CATTGTACGCCTCATCGGCATCTGCTGCCTGTAAGTTCTCCGCAGTGCTGTGCATGTGTGTGTGTGTGTGTGCGGGCGTGCGTGCATGCGTGTGTGCGTGCGTGTGTGCGTGTGTGTGTGTGCGCTTGGATACTGGTGTACATTGCACAGGTATGTGTAATTATGTGTGTCAGGTTACTATGGAGGATGTGCTGTGTATGTGTGTGTGGCACACACAACACTGGCCTGTAGACATTAGAGGCAGTTTCTTGATCACACAATCCCGCCATTTATATTTGTATGATCGAAGTACTTGTACTAGTATGCGAGGAGTGGCAGGTTATGTGAGTACTACTGAGTAATAAATGGCAAGCTGTAACGAAATAACATGTCATGTGATAGGTCATGTGATAGGCCATGTGCTAGGTCATGTCGTGTGATAGGTCATGTGCTAGGTCATGTCATGTGCTAGGTCATGTGATAGGCCATGTGCTAGGTCATGTGATAGGTCATGTGATAATTATGTCATGTGATAAGTGAATACCCTCTACACAAATACAACGCAAGACCTCACTGTGTGCACAATGGCTGTTTGTGTTTGTGTGCAATGATTCACTGCCGTGTACTTCTATGTATTCGAAAGTATTCTCCGTGTGCCTGTGCCGTTGCCCCGACAACAGGAAAATGCCCATCATGCTGGTAATTGAGTACATGAACGGTGGCGACTTGCTGCGCTTCCTACGAAAGCCGGAGACGCACCTGAACCTCGACGAGCAGCTCTCCATCATCCTGCAGGTTGCACAAGCTATGGTCTACCTGGTGTCAGAGAAGTAAGTGCTGCCGGGATACTTAGCCAGCCTAGCCGTGTTGATAATGGTCATCATCATAATCCAGACCCAGAGCCAGCATGCTGGCGAGAATGAAAAGAGCCAGCGTATCAGGGAGCCGGGATGCATGTACTTCAGCAGCATCGCCTTCGTTTGTTGTCATGCAGTGTGTATATGCAGTGTGTATATGTAGTGTATATGCAGTGTATATGCAGTGTATATGTAGTGATCGCCAGTTTGGGTTGTCTCCAGCACATGTGTCAAAATTTCTTATCATTTTTTTCATTGTGCTGTATGCATGTGTGCCTGCGGTTTGTGTAGGCAATTCGTACATCGAGATCTAGCGGCGCGCAACGTGCTCGTGCACAAGGAGCGAGACGGAACAGTGACGGCCAAGGTCACAGACTTTGGACTGTCAAGGTAGGCATTAATTATATGCAACCGTTGCATTGCGGCTCGGCATGAAGTCATACTAATGATGATCGCCCAGTGTGGTTTAATGTTTTTTACAAAGGCAACTTCAAAGGCAAACGTGAGATGCAGCAGGGGAAGCATGCACTATGTGAATCTTGGCAGTGGTGCTGAGGTTTAGGGAGCTCCCGGTCGAACTACAAGTAGAGTCTTGGCTTCATGGCCACCCAGACGCACCAGGGGGGGGGGGGGGGCTTTAAGTTACAGCAAAACAGCCTACCGTCTACCGGTACTGTATTTCTGCACACTACTCTGCACATACTGTATATTCATAGAGCACTCTTTAGAGCTGCCCCAACTGGCCCTGATTGCAATGTATAACTATGTGTTGCAAGTGAAATTATGATCTTTGCGATGGCTTACTGCTGCTGAATACTTGCTTAGAACCTGCTTTGTTCCATGCCATAAGGTGGTGCAGCCATGACATTTTGTTTAAGTTTCTGCATGCACACATGTAGGCAATGTATTTTGTGCAGGAAGCTAGTGGACAGAGCGGGTCATCAAATAGCACCTTCCAGTTGATAAGCATTGCTGGTAGAGCCGCCGGTAGGAGCAGGACCGAACGCACACATTCACCCAATAAGCAATAACTGTCAGTATCATGTGTTGGCTGTGTCTGGGATGCTGACGTTCCTGTGTTTGACTGCGGACTGTGCTCTCCCCGGTTACAGAGACATGTACAGCAGTGAGGGATATCGCATGTCCATGGCAACGGAGAAACTGCATGAAGTACGCCTGCCTGCTAAGTGGATGGCTGTGGAGTCGCTAGAGTACTTCATCTTCAACAGCGCAACGGACGTTTGGTAAGCGCTTTTTAAGGAATACGACACAAAGCCTCCTCTACACTCACACGATACACGGTGCATGTGGTATACAGTGCCAATGTTTGCTTTGCATGATGATCTCATTTGGATACTGGACAGCTGCACTGTGCCAGTAAGCTTTGATGTGACGAAAATTACGGAGCGTTGGATTCTCCTTTTCATTGCTAATAACTAGGTCTTGAGGCGATTTAAGGTCAGGCTGGTGAATGGGTTTCAGTATCTTGATCAGTGCTAGTTGCTGGTAAAGCATTGTCCATGCTTGAACTGGTATTGGCTACCTGCATGCTGCGGTGATATCCGCAGCATGCATGTCTTGGATGTTTGCACCCAAGCTAGCTGGCCATGCAGGGATCTTTTGCCTTCAGTATGTACAGTGTGTATACATAGTGTGTGAACTGGCATTGGAGGGTTTTCAAGCTGGTTTGCTTTCTTCAATGTGGCTACTCTTTGAAAGCCTGATAGCGAGAAATTCTCGCAATGGTCTATGTTGTGTTTGCAGGAGCTTTGGTGTGATGACTTGGGAGGTGATGACACATGGACAGGTGCCCTACACCGGAGTGGAGGCGCCGCTCATGTACCTAGAGTTAATGCGTGGCCTCAAGCTGAGCAGACCCACGACTTGCCCGGATGCCGTGTAAGTGACATTGAGAGCACTGCAACAAGAAAGTCTCCCTGTGCGTTGGTATGAGGACTATTGGTAGCTCACAAACACTGTGTTTTTGTAGGTGCCAGAACATCACCGCCCGTGTACCATAGTCTGGCGTTAAGTCTTCTTACCGTGTGTGCTAGCAGGATCTGCTGTTGGTACTGCTGTCCGCAGTGAGCATCTCTCTGTCACCCATCTTTAGCCATGCTGGGTTTGCTAGAGCTGTACTACAGTACTGTCTGCAGGTGCCAAAGAAGAACGACCAGGCTAGAATTTCACCAGGCACAGCCGCGTACCAATGTATACACGACGTGACGGTGACTCGACTGTGCATAGGCTATAGCACATGTACATGAAGATCAGAACGGTCTAGGCCACTGAGGAGGCTGACCCCCAGTTCTTCAAAAACCAAAGTGCTGTAGGCAAGTTAGAAGTATCGACGGAATGCAAGGATCTTGGGGAATCTTATGACCATACAGATAGGCAGTGGTTGATCGTACGTTGAGTCAGACATTTCAGCAAGTGCGCTATGGCTGTTCCTATGCTGCTGTTGCTCAAGATGTCCTGATAGACCAGCAGCGCTTGGTTAACACGTGTTGTGTGTTTGTGTCGCTTTGTCTTGTCCTACTATGAACAGGTACAAGTTGATCTTGGCTTGCTGCCATCACACACCCAAGGAGCGGCCTGGCTTCGTTCGGCTCCGTGATCAACTGGTACGGCCTTCAATCATACTGTAGAGTAATAACTATCCTTTGGTGAATAACTTGTATATGATGAAGAGGTGGTATGGGCATAGTGTGGGACACGGCAGGCAGACACTTAAATAATGCGTTGCTGTTGGGGTTATAATTATTTTAGTTTTCGTGTGCCACAGCATGTACAGTTGGCATTCGAGGCTTTTCTCTTCAGCTCAAGGCCATTGCTACGTTTCTGTTGTCATTTACTGGTGCAGACTGATCTTCTGTGTGACGTCAAGCTGGCCGCAAAGGCCTCGGGATCGCCGAAGACGTCACGGAGAAATGTGAGTCCCTGAAATGGAAACATTCGCTGTAGTCTGCTTCAAACTTGTGAAGGTCTGAAGTGGTAAATTTGTGGACCACCATTCACAGTTAAACAGGGGGGGGGGAGGGGGGGGGGGAGGTGCATATACATACTATGGGCAGCCTTTTCCTTTGAGAATCGCAATGTGCACATATGCATCTGAACATGGAGGAATCTGAGAAGAAAATCCTGAATTTTGTCTGTAGTACCCTTGGCCATGGGTGAGTTCCTCGCCGTATGTGCGCGCGCGCGTGTGTGTGTGTGTGTATGTGTGTGTGTCTTTCTGTGGGTACAGGACTGGGAGGATGTGGCCTACAAATCGCCCGAAGTGCGTGGGCAAAACAGCGGTCCGCCGCCCACCAAGCCACCTCGTCTTCCAGCTAAGCCCAGCCAGGAACCATCAACTACGCCTCCAGCTCGCCCATCAAAACCGCCTGCATTGACCATTCCTCAAGACGACGGACTAAAATCACGGTCAACATCGGCTATTGCATCACAGGGTGAGAGAGATGACGTGCGCATGCAGTCACCGCCCAGCTCTGCACCGCCGGTGCCTGCACGCGATGAGAGCAAGCAACGACTGCTCGAGTGGGTGCAGAAGAGCTTGCACTCGGGACCACCGACACCGGGCCCAGCAGAAGCAGAGGATGACACACCACCGGGGCGACCGACACCACCTCAATCTGATCCCAGCGATGAAGATGTCGATGGTCATAGCCCAGTGGCAAAAAGCAGCCCTAAGAGAGTGCAGGCGTTGTCCTCTGATTCCGCAGGCACATCTACCGTGGGCAAGGAATGCAAGCGAGAAGAGGAATCCTCCCCATCGGAATCTGCTTTGGATCGGTCTCACGGTACTGGAGAGGCTGCTCGGCCGCAACCAGAGACCTCCAGCAGAGCGGAATCCACGGCCGGCCTCAACAAAACTGGCGAGAGCCCGTCGATGAAAGCACAACGGGATATCAAGATGGCCGCTCAGATGCCGTCGGCCTCGGCAACGGCCAGTCGTCGCCTCAAGTCCTCTCAGATCCTGGAACGGATGAAGATGTTCGAAACAAGTGACGATCATGACGGCAAACCCACCGCGGTGTCCGCGAACAAGCCAGTCATCAAAGCCAAGCCGCAGAATGTCGTGTTGAAACCGGGCGTTGCTAGCACCCTTGGAGGTGTTGGATCTAGTAGACACAGTCCTCAGCTAACAAGATATAGCCCAAGTACCATGAGAACGGCCAACCAGACCAAGAAAAATGAAACGTCATCAGCTAATCAAACAGCCCGACCACCCATCACACGGCAAACTGACCAAATCTCCAATGCACCGTCCGCCGCCGCCACCACCACGTCTTCCGAGTCCGCTGCAAGTACCGATGCTCCCGGGGCAAAACAGCCTTCGCCTCAGCGCAGCCCCGGGACAGGAGTGCGTGGTAGTGTGCCTGCAGGCCATCGCTCCACACTACCCACCGGTGAGCATATCAAACTAGCCGGCCGCCGAACAACACTGTCCGCGTCTGCGATCAGTGCGGAAACTAATGTATCTGACAAACCCACTTGCAATGGCTACATGGACGGGCATACAGAGCGCGAGGAAGGCAATGAAGCACCTACGCAGACGTCCACCGGAGATGACACTGTTTGTCCCCGTCCGTTCCCGGAGAGTCGTCTTTCGTCCAGCTCTGAGGACAGCGACCAGTATATGGTGATGAAGACAGGTGGCAAGTCCGAGTCGGACTCTCACAGCTTACCGCTACCGCGACACAGCTACGTCAATGTACCGTCATCGCCGCACCCACCGAACAGCAGCTACGCCCGCTCGGCCAGTCTGCCAGCGGATGAGGACGGTTACGAGGTCATGCGCAAAACGGGAATGACGCCAGCGTCGGATGATGCCGAGTACTCCACCACGGCAGACATTCGCAGTCTACGAAGCACGCCGGATATCCCTGGCACGTCATCGCCTGCTTATGCAGCAGATGCTATACATCGCTCTACCTCTAGTCCAGTTGTGACAGGGGTAGGTGGAGGTGAAAGTGCTGCTGGCGCTATTGATGAAGAAGGCTATGAGCTGATGACGAAGCCGTTAGGAATGGGCACTCCTGACGCATTGCCGGACTGCCAGTATGAAGATGAAGGATATACGCTCGCCACAGATATAATCAGTACGCGTAACACACCTGAAACAGTATCAATCAGCTCCGTGCCACGCGAGGCAAGTATTGGCAAGGCCAGTCCGGAACTGGGAAAGATGACGACGCTTGCTCGCAAGTCCTTCAGTCTCCTGACTGGCCTGGCACGGATCAGAGACGTGCGCGAGTTGGATCTGCTGAAGCTGGATACACTGCGAGCACTGGCGTCTGAAGAAGGTGTAACGTTCAACCACTGGCAAACCGAGGATCTTCTGAGAGGCAGACTGGCTGAACTCTGGCATCAACAGCATGGTAATATTGAGCAACGATTTTTTTTAAAGGATATGGATAAGATTGGATGTGACGTAATCACCAAACACACATCAAAAAGAAGTCCAATGTCGAGTAACCATAACGTTTGTTGTTGTTGTTGTTGCTGCTGCTGCTGCTGCTGCTGCTGCTGCTGCTGCTGCTGCTGCTGCTGCTGCTGCTGCTGCTGCTGCTGCTGCTGCTGCTGCTGCTGCTGGTGGTGGTGGTGGTGGTGGTGGTGGTGGTGGTGGTGGTGGTGGTGGTGGTGGTGGTGATGGTGGTGGTGGTGGTGGTGGTGGTGCTGCTGCTGTTGTTGTTATTTTTGTATCGTTCATATGCCGGAATTTTGGTTACTGAGGGATGTGTAACATGACGGCTGCTGGTAAAATTCTATGGCTGTATTCCCATACATCACCGGGAATGTCAGTTTTGGTGTAGTATTTGTACATGGACATTGTTCATTCTTTGGCGTGTAGCAGAGGTCACTGGTTTGAGTCCTGGTGGTGGCCGTCAATCTTTTCGTCAGGTTTTCTCCCTTCTCAATACCATCCAACTTTTGAATTTTCGTTCATTCTCTGCTACAGGTTCATGTTGTGTTACTCACCTTCACTTGTGATGGTTGCAGTCATAATGAGTTACGTCACACTTACTAGTTCTCTCTCTCTCTCTCATCATGTGCCCCAGGGAAAGAAGCCAGCAGCCGCGATGGCAGTCCCCAGGCGGACAAAGACGACCCGGCACGGCCACCTGCGCCTCTTCCCGACGAGGCGCTATCACCGCTCGACTTGATTGTGAAACGCTCGCAGAGCGCTAGTGACGATGCTGCTGCTGCCACCACTGATGGCGGCAAACCCGGCAACAACATGACAAAATCACCCAGCTGCAATTTCTCGGCATCAGCTGCATCGCTAGCATCGATAACGGAATCATCTGTAGAACCAGCAGCTGCAGCATCACCGCAGCCACCGCTACAAGGTCATGCTGAAAAAAGCCCCGTGAAGCAAGTTGCTAGCAAGCCACCGAGCGGGAAACCCACACCTCCGCCGCGACCGAAATCAATCAAACCGAGCGTTCCGCCGAGACCGTCGCCGTCCAAGCTGAAAGGAGGCAAGGATTCACCCAGCACCACGGCCGCACGGGAGAAACGCTCCTGCTCCCACTCCATAATCAGATGGGAGAGCGAAGACACGGCTCTGGTAATGCCTAACGGAATGCCTTCACAGCACCGCGCCAGTGTGGACTACAAAGGCTATGTTGAGTCAGCAAACATTGCCAGTGTACCCAGCAGGAAACTCACCAGTGGTAGCTCTCTGGAAAGCGCCGCCAACACACCATCGGAGCAGGCACTCTCGTGTTCGACGTACCTGACCGTCAACGGCGGCGAGGAGCCGTGGGAGCGATCCGACACCGATGACGTCATCCTGCGGCTGGAGGCCGACCTGCTCGCCAAGGCAACGGTCGGTGAGCTGCAGGCTGTGGCGCGGTGCGTGGCGTCCGACACGCCTGCCGTGTCTCCCGCCGCTCAGTCCAAGGACAGAGGGCAGCTCACTGCTCTGATACGCTTTGGAGTACGCAGCCAAGGTGAGAGCCGCCAATGAATATTGTTCACGTTCTTTGAGTTGAAGTCGAAGTTTTGAAATTCATGAAACTCAAAAATGGCAGCACATGACTACTGCCCACAATGGCAAGAAAGGCTAGCAAAGCCATACTAGATGTGTGTGGATGTGTGTGCGCACGTGCGTGCGCGTGCGCGTGCATGCGTGTGTCACTTAAGTACACATAATTGTGTTAAGACGTAACACAAACATAATTATTTCAAAGTGCATACTAGTAACAGAGAGAACTTCCTAATCACGTTTTTGACCATCCTGTGTGTGTGTGTGTGTGCTTGGAGAAACCCATGTGTGTGTGTATGCTTGGAGAAACCCATGTGTGTGTATGCTTGGAGAAACCCATGTGTGTGTGTGTGCTTGGAGAAACCCATGTGTGTGTATGCTTGGAGAAACCCATGTGTGTGTATGCTTGGAGAAACCCATGTGTGTGTGTGTGTGCTTGGAGAAACCCATGTGTGTGTGTGTGTGCTTGGAGAAACCCATGTGTGTGTGTGCTTGGAGAAACCCATGTGTGTGTGTGTGCTTGGAGAAACCCATGTGTGAGTGTGTGTGCTTGGAGAAACCCATGTGTGTGTGTGTGTACTGTATGTGTATGTGTGCATGTATTCATGTCTGTCTGTCCATCCTTCCATCTGTCTGTCTGTCTGTCTGTCTGTCTGTCTGTCTCTGTCTGTCTGTCTGCCTGTCTGTCTGTCGGTGGTATCTCTGACTGGTTGATGTGCTAGATGGATCGGGTGGGAAGGTTGGCATAGCTGGAGCATTAATGTCCGCCAATCGTCTTCTATTGCCGCCAGTGATGGGCGGTGACTTCTTCGACCGCGTTGAACCACTGTCACCGATTGAAGAGGACATCGCTCAAATGTACGAAGAAGGCTACTCCTTTGCATCTGATCTGGTGTACCGTGGTCCGCAAAGGCCTTCGGCACCTGGCAGTCCGTCATCTCGAAGTGGCGCGCAGGGTGGTAAGCGGAAAGCGAGCAGCCCAGACTCGGTATTCAATGGGAAATCCAACCTTGTAGATACTGATGTCCCGAGGTCACCGGGCAGAGCGGACTTTGCCAAGTCATCGGCGCATCCTCCTGTCCCGGTCCCACCCAGGCCCAAGTTTGGCAGGAAATTATCAGCTCCGCAGCTTCCCCGAATGGCGCCGCCTGAAACATCTACATCACCGCCGACATCGAAAACTCCAGATAGGGGAAGGAAAGGACGCCTCGCGTCGGCGTATCATGATGTCATCCTGCCGGCCTTCTCGCCAGCCAAGGGCAAGTTTGCAACGCTGTTCAAGCGGAAGCAATCGCAGGAGCCCAAAGACGAGAAGGAGACCGGTGGCCGTACACAGAGATCTCGGTCCATCACCGAACTCAGCATGTTCTCGACCAAGAACAAGGCGAATGCGCGGAGTAGTAATGCCACACACGCTGCAGCAAGCTCAGCCTCCCGGTATGTGGTGAATAAGCGTGGCAGCATGGACGACACATTCCTGGACAGCATGAAGGCCAGTGGTGGTGGTGCGGGTAGTGACCTTGATCTCAAACTAGGACCGCACTCCGATTACTACCTAAAGCCCAGTGATGAGGGTGACCTGGATAATCACTATGCCGATGTAGACTACGCAGCGGCAAGTGCATTGAAACACCAAGCTGCTGTGCCACCGCCCCTGGAGGCAATCACCGGTGAGGGTGAAGAGCAGATTGACCTGGACAATGAGTATATGGCAATGTCCAGCTTCAACCCGAACACTGGTGGTCCGCTCCACGAAAACGAGGAGGAGTACCTAGACATGGCGTCGTTCACCGAGCGGCCAAACTTCCTGCAACCCGGGCAGTCCGGTAACCCTGGACCGCAATCCTCTGCTCCCATATCCATCCGGCCACAAACCAGCCAGGCCTCTGCTATCTCTTCCGCCGATCAAGCGCGAGTTGCCGCTAACATGAGATCACCTCCGAAGGTGCCCCCACCCAGCCTGCCCACCAGCCCGCCGTCTCAATCTGCGCCGGCGACGACATCCACCATCGCACTGCCCCGACACACCAGCGACGAGGTGCTGGCCGTACCGAAGCTGGTGCCGGAGACGGAGGGAGACTTTGACGCCGCGTACAGCGTCATGCCCGTGTCTCAAATACCCACCGGTGCGGCGTACCAAGTCTCAGAACCCGTATCGCCGCCGGGCGAGCCAACGCCGAATTTCCAGCTGAAGAACGTGGCGTCACCGAGTGACATTGAGAAACTGCCGACCAGCAGTATCAAGTCTTTCCTGCGCGAGAACAGCATCAAGTACAAGGACACCGCTAGCAGAGCTGAGCTCATAGAGGAGGCTAAGGAACTCTGGGCTGACGGTAAGCACTGTGATGTTCACAGTTAGGCCTGCGTGTTCTAGTGTCAGTTGGAGGTTTGAACTGTATGTTTGAGGTAATTTGTATTAGGGTGTTGTAGATAAATGAGTAAAGTCATATCGGTGTGCCTGGTGTGAGACACTGTTCCTTCCCAATAACAACTCCAGGTGTAGCAATGACCCACAGATGATGACACTTGACTTCTTCAGACCCAGTAACCCCATTTGACGGTATTCTTTCCATCTCACGATGCGACTCTATCGGTTATGTTATGCTGTTGTGTTGTCTGCTGCATGGTGGCATGGTGGTGGTTGCATGGTGGTGGTGGTGGTGGTGGTGGTGGTGGTTGCATGGTGGTGGTGGTGGTGTGTTGTGCAGATGCCTACTTTCCCATTGCTGACCTGGTGGTGCCCAAGCTGGATAACCTACAGTCCGAGGCAGCAGTGAGAGCACTGTCCGTGCAGCAGATGCAGATGGTCCTGGAATCACACGGTCACGACGGTGCGTCCGACAGCCGTGACGAGCGCATTCTGGTGGAGTATGTGGTGCAGCTGTGGCAGCAGCTGATGGAGCCCAGCGATCCATCGCCGGATGCTTGTAAGTATGGCAGCGCAGCGGCACAGCACCATGACTATTGTCATAGCTCATCACTTTTAAAATTCATTTGCTTGTTCAACTCAAACTCATGGCATACGCGAGCAACACTGGTAAAGGCAGACCCGGAGCCAGCTCCTAAGGAGTGGTACGGCCCCAGGTAGGCTACAGGGCCGATCATTTCCCCATGCCTATATTTAGTGGCATGGGAGGATGCATGCTGCATCATATCTGGTTGTCTCAGCTACTCATCCCGCTAGCAACAGAATTAATATACAGCTAGCACAGTAGTCCTCACTGGACAAGAAGAGCAGTCTAACGAGAACAGCTTGTTCATGCTTTCACGTTTTAATGATACACTGGACATTACATGAAAGCTGGACTTTGGTAAAGTCTGGTGTGGCCATACTGGCCGTACCAGTGGCGCCGGCTCTGAAAGGCAGCTCAGCAACTTCAGAGATGAGGCGGTGATACCCATGCATCCATGACAGACGGTTATCCATGGCAAAGCTACATCGACACTAGGAAGAAGACATATTTTTTAGTTTTGACATCCATGTGTACATGTACAACATTGTTTATGAGTTTTGACATCCATGTGTACATGTGTACATGTGCAACATTGTTTATGAGTTATGACATCCATGTGTACATGTGCAACATTGTTTATGAGTTATGACATCCATGTGTACATGTGCAACATTGTTTATGAGTTTTGCCCGTACAAGAGGCTTTTCTGTCGTCCAAAAAAAATGAAGCAGGGAGGAAAGCAAACTAGTAGCTTTAGTGTGCCATGCTGGCTCCATCTAGGACATCCTCAGTGATCGTATAGTGTTATTCAATTTATTCTAGTTGCCGTGGTTACGAATTTGAATTGATGCTGTTTTGCCCAGGCCCCGACCTATCCACTCTTCGCCCGTCCGACATAGCTAACCTGGATGATGAGACGGCCGCGGCCATCGCTTCTAACTATCGCATCTCGCTGATCAGCGGGGAGAAGCCGCAGCAGATCAAGGAGAAAGTCTGGAACCTGTGGGTGAAGAAGCAAGCAGCGCTCACTGGTAAGTGTGCCATGCTCTGCTAACTCATCGTGTGTATGCATGTGTGCGTGCGTAGTGAATACTAAAGAGGGTAATTTTGCCCCTTGCAGAAGTGCCGAGATACCAGCAAGAAAACATCTCCTTCTTATGGCTGAGACCTGGTTTCCTCACTTTTGGCTGCTTTTAAAAGCCACGGGTTTTGCATTACTATTTTGGCCGGTAGCACTCCAGCCACCGCCAGCACCATCAACCCAGTCACTGTTTTCCTTGCCTTCAGCTATCTCTATCTTTGTCACTTCTGCTTCCTGTCTGCTACAGGTTCTGCTCGTACACCGACCTAAGCCGTCCTGGTAGCGAAATACAATTTCACCCACCAGTGTTCCAGCGCTGTCCGCTGTCCGCTGTCCGCTGTGTTAGCTGTGTTAGCTGTGTCCCTGTACTGTATGCTGTGTCTCAGTGCTATACCACTGACGCTATACACCGGCATGAGTAGGTCTGTGCCAAGATGTACTGTTCTGTGCCAGGATACGCTGTCCTGTGCACTGTCACGTCGCTGCTCTCGCCACTGTGTCTGTAGCGGCAACGGCCGTGGTGTGTGAGTATAGCACAGTGTAACAGCGTGCATGCACTGCAGAGTCTAGCACTGCAGCTAGGGAGTACTGCGTTGCAGCGCTGCGGTATAAGTGAGACGTGGATACCATCCAGACTGGACGGACACCAAGGATACGCCTGCAACGTCTGGAAATTTCCTTGCATGCATCTGTCTTCATGGACATGCAGCATTCGGCTCCTGGCCGACTTTTGTAGAAGCAAATGAACCCGTTCAACATGACACAGCGACGAAATGCAGCCGTACAGCAGATACCTCCGAAGTACATACAGGTGCATACCTGCATGGCGTGTTGTTCATGCGTTGCCGTGCCTGGCCCCGTCACAGCCGCTGCACGTCATTTTTTTCTTCTTCAGACAATGGAACTGTGTCAGCTCAGCCCGCACACGTGATAACAATACTGTCATTATGAATTTATGATACATGTACAGTGCTACTACTGTAGATAGTGTGTAGATGTCTCTCAGTCTACATTTGATTAGACAGAATGATCCGCTGTAGGTATACACAACACTAACGCCGCTTTCAGCAATGTTTACCGAGCATGACCTGATTGAGAAACCATTGATATCCACTTTTGTTGTTGACGGCCGGCATCCCCGCTCATTGTTCACGCCGGCATGCTTCATGTTGAGCAGCAGAAATCTTCTTGAGATGCTTGATCCCGTCTTCTGCGCATGCTTTGTAACATCGACCACTGGGAGTATTGTTTTCTTTTCACAGCTAACGTGCCTTCTGTTTTCACTTGCCGGATACTCTGCAACCCAGACAACGCCGTGGCCTTGTCTGACCAGGTGCTGGGCGGTAATTTCTTTTTGTTCTCGACAAGATATAAGTTATTCAATTGGCCAGCGTAATACCATTAGGTCTACCGTGCTCTGTCTAACATACTGGCCTTCCATTGATCCATCCGACTCCATTCCATTGATCCATCCGACTCCATTCCGTTTGACTCACTAGACATGCCTGTGAGATCGTTAACCGTGCTGCACACACCGTGTGTGTGTGTGTGTGTGTGTGTGTGTGTGTGTGTGTGTGTGTGTGTGTGTGTGTGTGTGTGTGTGTGTGTGTGTGTGTGTGTGTGTGTGTGTGTTGAGAGGTTGCGGGTTCAATTCCCGACGATTATGGTCGCACACGTCTTTCTTCTCTTTCTCGGACTCTTCCTGACTTTTCTTTCATTCTCCTGGGTGGTTACCAACAGCCAGTGTATGCCGGAGTATGTGGCCCGTGTGGTGTGTGTGCGTAAAAAAAAATGAAAAATGAAAAATAGGGATTCACTGGCCAGAAAAAGTCACTTCAAACAGCTGTGTGGTGGATACCAGGCTAAAAATAGTGGCGGTCAATTCATCAGCCTTGCAACCTGTTGAATGGTGTAATCCCAGCACAAGTTGCTATGTCTAACATAGCTGTTCGCTATCATCGCTTCCGCGATGGGCATGTCTGAGGTCTGAGGTGTGTGTGTGTGGCATGAAACGTCACAAGTGCAGCCGTGGCTCGGCCAGAGCAACCAACACAGACCGTAGCTCCTTCTGCATCGTGTGTGTGTGTGTGTGTGCGTGCGTGCGTGTGTGTGCATGTGTGTGTTCATGTGTGTGTGTGTGTGTGTGTGTGTGTGTGTGTGTGTGTGTGTGTGTGTGTGTGTGTGTGTGTGTGTGTGTGTGTGTGTGTGTGTGTGTGTGTGTGTGTGTGTGTGTGTGTGTGTGTGTGTGTGTGTGTGTGTGTGTGTGTGTGTGTGTGTGTGTGTGTGTGTGTGTGTGTGTGTGTGTGTGTGTGTGTGTGTGTGTGTGTGTGTGTGTGTGTGTGTGTGTGTGTGTGTGTGTGTGCTTGCATATGCGTGCACGTAGACGGTGGGAGGGGAGTGATGACATTCAACTGCGAGGGTGGCAGTGTATGCTCAAATACTATCAAGAGTTTGTACGGGAGTCGTAACGCACCAGATATTCAGGTATGTATCGAATCCGTGTTGTTTTAATTAAACCGCCACACTGGAGTCAAACAAGTGGGTTGCTTCTACATGGAGCATTTTCCTGCCGAACTTACTCGACGCTTGACTGACCCACGACTGCATATGTGGAGTCGCAAAATTTCCCAGGTGCAGATCTGCCAGTGCTTCCAACCCAGTGCAGACTAACAGCAGTGCAGATACTTCTCCGTCTCCGGTACACCCCCCCCCCCCCCCCCCCACACACACACACCACTGGTACTATTGCCAGCACGTGTGTCGTAGTAAATCAGGCCCTAAACAGTAAACAGCCAACCATGAGCATGCACCTTGCAGGGAGGAATTCCTGTTCACAGGCAGCACGTATTCAACACTCGCGGTCACACTTACTTACTTACACACAATACCCATTGCTGAAGCGATGACGGCGAACAAACACCATTCAATTTTGACCATTTGACGCCCATTGCCAGAGGCGATGATAGCGATACTACAGCAGAAGCCATAGCAACACACACACACACACACACACACACACACACACACACACACACACACACACACACTTGTACTGTACTTGTGGTGAAGTAAAAATAAAGTAACAACAACAACTTGTTGCCCACTGCCAAAACTGGTCACGTGGGTCTCCCCGGGAGAGGGGAGAGAGACTCAAAAGGAATCTTGGAAAGATGACTCAATTGGCTATTGAACCGCCCAACGGCCGACACCCCCTGAAATCCCCAAAACTCTGGGTGGACTTGAAAATGATCCCACTTATGGGCTCACCACACCTCAGTAAGTGGGTGAGGACAAGGTGCAGAAAAAGGATTGACGGCATCAGGGTATCCGTCCTGGGATCCAACTGCAGATACCCCTGCCCCCAGTGAAGGTTAATACTTGCTACTAGTGTGGGTGGCTAAATCAGAGTGGATCTGATAATTATAACCTTCACTAGCACCATTGATTACACAAGAGTTAATCTAGCCAGAAGCAGTTCATGGTTAACGGGTATGTATACTTCAAATATAAAGTGTATGAACCCTGGAACCAACAAAGGTGGCAGGTACAACATTACACCTTCAAGCAGCCGAGCCCGTTGGCAACAGACCCAACACTATCAGGCATACGTGTACCCACCAACCGAACTAGCTGGCACACACACACACACACACACACACACGCACACACACACGTTTTGACCTTTTGACACCATCGCCAAAGGCGATGATAGCGATGCTGCAGCAGAAGCCTTACTCCCTTAGCAACTTGTGCTGGGATTGCACCATTCAACAGCTTGCAAGGCTGAATATTTGACTGCCACCAAAGAATGAAAGAAAAGTCAGGAGTCTGAGAAAGAGAAGAAAGACGCATGTGACCATAATCGTCGGGAATCAAACCCGCAACCTCTCGATTGGAAATCGCTGCATATACCATTGCACCATATGGGGCACCACATGCACGCACGCACACACACACACACACCAAGCAGGCATGCAGGACACTTCATAGAAAGACGGAGGTAGAAGTACCAACGTAGTCATTGTGTGCAGGAATGAAACAAGCACAACGCGCAGTACGGATGAAAATTGAACAATCATAAGTGCAAACAATTCTAGGCATTTCCTTTTTCCAGCAAGAAAATTTCGTTCATTACACATGTTCGGGCAAGTTAAGAAGAATTGGAAGAGAGCGCACCATCATGATCCGGGTTGGACGGAGGAATCATCATCAACATCGTCGTCATCATCGGGATCATCATCATTATAATAAACGTGGTTGCCGAATAAAAAGCTGGCGAAAAGATGAGATTGGTGTTAACATGGTCTGTTATACAAGCAAAGCACAGGAAAAATGGCTAAAATAATGATCAGGCAGCCTAAAAATACAGATTCATGGATATGGGAGGCTAGATTAAGAAGGTTTGAGGGTAGATATTTTACAGCGAATAAAACTAGAATAGGGACACAGACGCATACACAGACATGCACAGACGCGTATACACACACACACACACGGACACGGACACAGAGACACACGCACTCTACAAGACACCGGTGCTACATTACCAGCCAGCCAGCCCAGCGGATAAAGAACAAGAACACTGCAGGACTCTGGCAGGCGATGAGCATGCCAAAACCCACTGGTAGTGATTGTGGAGATGTCCTCGTGCAGAGGGCCACGGCATCGTAAACGCACCATCATCCTCCGTGTCACATCTTGAAATGAAGGCGTCGACGACAACGACGATCACGTAATCGTCACTGTTCTATCAAATCAACTGATAAAAAATATTTATAGATATGCAAGAGGTCCAGCTGAAAGCAAGATTCAGCGGCATCAACGTGATGCTGCAAGCAGCGTAACAGCAGTAGTAGCAGCAGCGGCGGCAGCAGTGGCATGTCTTGGGCAGCGACAACAGCCGTGCCACGCGCAATTTCAAGCACGATGAATAATCTAGAAGATAAAACTAGAATCGAGTAAGGCCGGGCAAAATACAGAATATAATCAATTGAGAACTATGAAACCAGGAAGAAAAGGCCCGCCAAACAAAAAACACTGAAAATAACACCTTGGACATAAACAAACTGACTTCATTACAACATCACAAACACGAACGGATGATCTGAGGGAAGGGGGAGGGGGTATGAGGGGTGGTATTTAGACAGCACCGATATAGGTCCTTCGTCTTTGTCTCTACAGAATGTACAAGGTGATTGGCATGTGACAACTCGTGTCCGAATGTGAAGCGGAGGTGTGATTCGGCACGGACTCAGAGTGCCGCTGCTGCTTCCGCCTGTTTGATGAGTTTAATGGTGTCCATGTTGATAGTCATAAGGCTTGTGTAGGCCCTGTCCAGTCGCGCTCCGCCCTGGTAGATCATGATATTATCTAATGATACACAGTCACACATAGTCATACATAGTAACACACACACAGGCACACACAGTCACACAAAAGGCACGCACAGTCACACACAGGCACACAAAAGGCACACACAGAGTCACACATAGGCACACACATACACGCATACACAGGTACACACAGGCAAGCACAGTCACACATAGTCACGCACAGTAACAACAACAAACCACAGCGAACTGCAACAAGCAACAAGAACAAGCAACGACGGCAGCAGCAGCAGCTGCAGCCGCAGCAACAGCAGCAGGAGGCACAGCAGCAGGAGCAGCAGCAGCACGAGGAGGCACAGCAGCAGCAGCAGCAGCAGCAGCAGCAGCAGCAGGAGGCACAACAGCAGTAGCAGCAGCAGCACATCACACCATCATAGTACTACTTACTGGTGCTATTCTGAGTAAGCATCTTGGCTACAAACGTGACCAACACGTCACAATCATCTTCATCCGATGCACCAAACGCATCGTGTGGCCACTTGTTCCTGTGATTGGCATACATAGACAGAACAAAGTCAAATTGGCCTGTAGTAGACGCACTTTTTCCTACACAAATCACTATGTATTACTATGTATTGCACTATTCAGTGCTGGCACCATCAGGTCCCTTGCTTTCATTTAGAGATCGCTGGCTAGTGCTCGGAGCTGTAACTGGCAATCTCGTACCGTATATAGATCTGTCTATCAGTTCCCCAGCTCAGTTGTTGCGAGTCTTTGCTTCCGCTGTTCCTGCTTCTAGTCTTACCTTCACTTGAGTCTTCACTGGAGTCTTTCAGTGTACTATAAGTTCTGTGCTACCTACGTTTGTCTTTTCGTGCAATATTATTCCCTGAGACTACTACTCGTGTTTTGAGTCGGAGAGACTGAACCAGTTTTGCCTTGTCACTTGGTCGCGTATTACATGGCCTAAAAAATAAACCCAAGCTAAGCACGCAGTCGCACTCTATCAAACCACTGCCCAAAGTCTCACACGTTCCACAGGACTATACGCCTCAGCATAGATGACACGACACAGCATACACGGCAGGGAGCACATACCGATAGAGACGAATAAGATTCAACGCCGTCACGGCGTCATCGTGCGATAGAGCGTCCATGACGGACCCGATGGCATCGCGCCGGCACAGAGAGTACGGATCGGGGTTCTGCTGGAAGAAGCTGTGACCTTCCGGCAGCTTCCATTCGCAATTCTTCAGCACCGCCAGAACTGACGTCACCTGTTTGGTGAACTCGAATGACAGGTCTGTCACCTGGTAATGGATATACAGCACAGCACAACTCCAGACATTTGTCGGTTTTACTACCTTATTTCACACACACGCATGCACGCACACACGCACGCACGCACGCACACATACACACACACACACACACACACACATCTCTGCCTTCTCATCTGACTGTGTGGGCAGACTCTCAACAAAAGATGACGAGTAACGTAAGAACTAGAAACTCATCTAAAACATGAGTGTGCACTGCTACCTCACCACACACACACGAGTATGAGCAGCCAATGAGTACCACTCAGCAGGCTAAGTTTAGCCAGCACAGAGGGCTGGGAATTTCAAAAAATCGTAATAGAGGCACATCAGAAGAGATGTGTCGGTGCTGCAGCAACTCAGGCTACAAACAACTGTCAGCGTTCAGCTGATTCTGCCAAGATACAGAATACGTCAGCCTAGAGTCGGAGCAGTCTACTAGTACTCTCCAATCCCCACAATCCCCACAGGTGCAGACTTCAATACCCACAGGTGCAGACATCAATACCCACAGGTGCAGACTTCAATACCCACAGGTGCAGACTTCAATACCCACAGGTGCAGACTTCAATACCCACAGGTGCAGACTTCAATACCCACAGGTGCAGACTTCAATACCCACAGGTGCAGACTTCAATACCCACACAGGGGCGTCGCACACGGTACGGTCACTACGGTATTGACCGTACCACTTTTTGCCCCAGATACCCGTGAGTCAACAAAATACACTGATCTGGGATCTAAAATTCCAAAATTTTCGGCTCAGCCACCACTCCCCCACGAGTCAATTGTACTTCAGATGGCTGACCGTACCACACTAAAATACCTTCCGACGCCCCTGCCACAGGTGCAGACCGGCGTCCATGTCCCTGGCTGACTCGCGAGCTGGTTGAGTGTGTCCGGAACCGAAACAGACTGCACCGCCGTCTAATGCAAGATAGAGCAAACGAGGCACTCCAGCAGGAGCACCGAGCTGCACGTGCTAAGGCCAGAAAGCTAGATAGACAGTTGAAGAATGCTTACTTTATGGATCAATGCTATACGTCTGATCAGAGGAAACTTTGGTCCGTGATGAACACTGTCACCGGACGAAAGAAGACCCGCCGAATACCCCAGGTATCAGCTGACCAGCTGGGCGACTTCTTTGCAGATGTTGTTCATGACCCCAGTCGACCTAAGCACCTACAGATGCCAGTTGGCCCTACGAAATCTGATGCCCTTACAGCCTTCCAACCTGTGTCGTTGTATGATGTCGCTAAGCGTTTGCAATGTGTGGATCCACATAAAGCTACCGGAAGTGATGGAATCCCAGGTATTGTGTTGAAACGTTGCTCGGACACCCTCTCCCCATACCTGATGAAGATCGTCAACTTATCTCTTGCGTCTGGTATAGTGCCATCAACTTTCAAACATTCTCTTATCAGCCTATTGTATAAGAATGGCGACCCACTGTCAGCTCGTAACTATCGGCCCGTCTCGCTATTGCCTATTGTTTCTCGCATACTGGAACACTTTGTCAAGAAACAGCTGACAACTTTCCTAGATGATCACTCCTTGGTACCTTCAAGTCAATTTGCATACCGAAGAAATCACTCAACAGAAGATGCTCTTATCCTTGCCTCCAACCGCTGGAAATTGGCCAAATCGGAACGAAAACACACCGGGGTAGTAATGGTAGATCTATCGAAGGCATTTGATAGAGTCCAGCATGCCAGGCTTGTGCAAGTGCTGTTTGACCTTGGCATTTGTGACACACCACTGGAATGGTTCCTCAGTTATCTCTCGGAGCGGCAGCAGTGTGTACGGGTGGAACACTCAGTTTCGCAATATGTTGGATGCTACCGAGGAGTCCTCAAGGCAGCGTTCTGGGCCCTCTTCTTTTTGTACTGTACACCAGTGATATGTCGTCAGTTCTACCAGGTAGTGTATGCCACCAGGAATTCGCTGATGATGTGGCTCTGGACTACTCCGACTATCAGCCTGATTTAGTGTGCTCTGTTCTCTCTAACGCTGTAACACGACTCGCTGAGTACTTGGACAACATTGGTCTGCTATTAAATGCCAGTAAAACCCAAGTTATGTTTGTGAGACCCCGTGGGTGTCTGGATGGACCATCTGAAGTGAAGTGTGGTACCACAGTGCTTGATGTTACTCCAGTCACGAAGTATCTCGGTGTCATGCTTGATGACCAACTGTCCTGGAAGCCCCAAGTGGACTTTATTGCCAGCAAGACTGCTACTACAATCGGGCAGCTCTGGTGCCATGGAAGGTACCTTTCACTCAATGCCCGCCGGGCCTGGTACATGAGTATGATCCAGTCTGTTCTCTGCTATGCCTCAAACTGTTTCTTTCCCGCTCTATCCAAACTGCTGCTACATCGACTGCTACGCATTGCTAAGTCTGGCATACGAGCCATCTTCCAACTCCCCAGAAGGACCCCCACTGCTCCCCTATTTGCCAGACTATCAATGCCTCAGCTCCACCAGCTGTACGTGCAACGTCTGCTTCTCTTCGTCTTCCGCTGCCTTCATGGCAGAGCCAGCTCACTGTTCACATCCTACTACTCCCTCATTGCCACGGATGTGGACAGAATTTGTGTCACGCGTGGTCAGGTCAGCCAGCTGCTCAGAGTGCCGTTCCTACCTGGTCCCTCAGGCCGTAGCTCTATCGCCTTTGTTGGCAGTACCACATGGAACTCTCTCCCTGCTGATATTCGTGCTTGCGACGTACGCCACACGTTTCAAGCATTGCTGTCTGGCTATGACCTTATCTCCCTCCTCAACTAGCTCTCCGATGTTGTGCCTACTATGTCTTCTTCACAGATTCTGCCTGAACAGATGCTCATCAATTATGTTCTTGTCCTCTATCCTAGTCCAAATCCTGCCTTGCCCATGCATGACTCTCATGAAATGGCCGTACTAAATAGTCTATAGAACAAGAATATTGGATATCATACTTCTCTCATCAACTATGATAATACCCATTTCATACCCCCCCCCCCCTTCATAAAATTAATACCTACTGTTTTCTTTCCTTTCATTTCATCTTCTTTTCCGTTCCTTTCTTCTTCATACACATTTTAAACATTTTCATCATATTGTGAGAGCCGTGGGCCAATAGCCCCGGTGAGAAGGCAGTCTTGCCTGTTCATACGGTGAAGTAAAATAAAGAAACAACAACAACAACAGGTGGAGACTTCAATACCCACAGGTGGAGACTTCAATGCCCACAGGTGGAGACTTCAATGCCCATAGGTGGAGACTCCAAAACACACAGGTGGAGCAAGCTTACATCAGCCGCATCCCGTGCTTTGTTGAGCACGTCGAGCATCTTCCGATAGCTGCTCAGCAACAGGAGCATCTGGAAGTGCAACTTGTAGATGTCTTGCTGCAGCAGAAAGTCCTACCCGAACAATGCACAGAAGCAGACACCAAAGACAGTCAGCATACAGACCACAGAGAACGCAAACTAGAGACCGTCAGCATACAAACAAGACTGTGCGTAGGCATAACACGAGGATACCGCAAGCATACATGTCATACACGTGAAAGACAAGCCTGTGCCACTGGACCATTTCGGTGTGTCCATTAAACTTAGATAGGTTGCATACTAGCGTGATGGCCCTAGATAGGTGCACTAACACAAGTACTAGAAGTATATGTACTCTGAGCCTTGCCTACCTTTCTGGTCATCTCTGCCATGGTCGAGTCCATACTGTCACTAGACATGCCGGACACTGGACGACGTAACTTCACTCGAATGCTGTCCAATCGCTGAAGAGAACATTAATGAAAGCAGGGAGACCGTCAGTCTTTTAACTGCTCAATTGCTGACAATGCATACGCCCCTATCGTACACCCACAAGATACACCCACATCATACAGCTACACTGCCACTTGATGCCCTACACACCAGCCCAGCCCGGCACAGTACAGCCGCAGTACAGCCCAGCCCGGCACAGTACAGCCGCAGTACAGCCCAGCCCGGCACAGTACAGCCGCAGTACAGCCCAGCCCGGCACAGCAGCAGCAACCAGATCACACATGTAGCACATCACTAGTGAAAGTAAGCAACTACTTCAGTACATCAGTACATTGCACCTACCTCCAACACGGAATCACGTCGTTGTGTGTAGGCACTGATGTTCTCGTTGATCTCGACTACGCAGAACTTGAAATGGTCAAACACTGACGAGCTAAGTAACTGCACAGCAAAATATCAACACAGGAACAAGATGAAAGATGGCTTAGGTTCTGCGAAAGCCTGATGTCAAAAATCAACTTCTACATTCTTTAACCCTAGGACGGCCACCACTTTCAGTACTCCTAGAACGGCCAAACGGTGTCATTTGACACCTGCATACATTTCCATGTCTAAGATCTATGATATAGGTTATTATAGTTTTTGTTTTCAGTGCTGGCTATCACTAGCGGCATTTATGATGTACACAACACATTAGGATTCACCCAGACACAATTTTTGGCTATATGCAACTAAAGTACAGTGTCCGCGTAACGGCAATTGCGAAGGATGAACTCAATTACTGGCAAAACTTCAATTACTTGCAAAGTAATTTCGTATAATCACATAGTTACAATAACAAGCAATGTGTCAACGTCACTTGGCACATGAGGAACTGCTTTTTGGGAATATGTGCTTTAGCATAATCGGATTACTCGACCGTCACGATGAATGACACACAGTAACAAGTAAAAACATGGACTGACTATGAGCAACATGTTTGCACCAAGCTGACACATATGCTGCTAGACATGGCCGCAAGATTAGGCTAGTAACGACTGCATTTTAGACTCTTTCAAAGAGGTGTACCCTTCTCTTCTCCTTGGCTGCCACTTAGCAACCAGATGTTATGACTATCTACAAGCTTATTGACCAGTGCAGGAATTAGCGTTTTCTGGATGTGCATGAACTAGCAAAGTTCTGGGATATTGTGAAGGCGTTGATGCCTGTTACATCTATTCATTTATGTAACAGGCTTGCAGGGGTACCTCTTCTGGAATAGTCTTTGTTGAGTAGATCCACCACATTCGATCAAAGACATATCTCGTCTTTGCTAGAATTGGAAGATGTGGGGCTTCCTACTCTCACCATGTAAAACATATGGCTCTAGGTGGTCTACACTAGGCGGACCATTGTTAATTCTTGCTACTTCTTCCTTCTACGTCTACCATCTTTGCATCCTACAATGTTATCTTGAAAAACGAAACGCAATCCGCGATTATTGGCAATGAAGTTAGATGGTAGTTCACTTTGATTTACCAAAGTGGTTCATACTGCAACTCTTTCTTCTCCATCAGTTTCCTGACCAATAATGCACTGATGATGAAGTTATCAGTTATTACTTAGCGATCACCTTCTGCAGCATCCGGGGCCAATGAAAAGAGACGCCATCCCAGCGGCTGCCTACCCGTTTAGCCTGAAGTGGGGGAGGAAGCTGTTTGGTTCAAGAGCCTTATTAGCTCGTCAAGAAATTAGAAAAGATTAGCTACACAGGACCATCATTGCGATAATGCGGTGTACCATCTCCAGTTTGCAGAGTTGCGATTCCTCTTCCTCAACACTATCCATAGCGGGGTCTCCACCACTCCTGCAACTGTTTCTGACAATCCCTTGTCTGGACTATCCCGCAATCCTTGTCCGCTCTCTGGAGGCTCGTAAACCTCAATACATTCTGAATCCACAGGTACTCAGGTGTTGTGACCGTACGATTCGCCCTCATATGACAGAACAGATCCACCACTGCCAATGGTCACTACACTTGAACATCTATCAAATGAAGATAAAGTGGGCAATTTCGCTTTCATGGTCATCAGATTCATGCATGGTAATAGGCTACATCCATTCTAGTATTTCCTTGGCCGTCAGACCGCGATGGCTCCTCTGGGGCAATTTGCAGGAAAATGAAAGGGAATGAGCAGTATAATAGCTATAAAGAGAACAAATTCTGCTGTCATCGCCACACTACAACAAAGTCATGAAGGTTTACCAAAATCGATTTTCTTGTCACAATCATCAGTGGAAAGCCGTGACTGAAGAACTCTTTCTATTGCTCATGAGTGATATGCACGGGCTTTGTGCACCCGCTTCTGGATGGAAGTAGGGCACACTCCATTTTCCTTACAGCGTTTCAAGAAGATAATATTATGTGAAACGTTTCTAGCCACGTAGCGTACTTCCATCCAGAAGCGGGTGCACAAAGCCCGTGCATATCACTCATTAGCAATAGAAAGAGTTCTTCAGTCACGGCTTTCCACTGATGATTGTGACAAGAAAATCGATTTTGGTAAACCTTCATGACTTTGTTGTAGTGTGGCGATGACAGCAGAATTTGTTCTCTTTATAGCTATTATAAAATTGTTGTCTCCGCGTCGATTATTTAATGAGCAGTATCAAAGACATTAGCTCAAGAGTGTTTGTGTAATCTGTGCACTAATGTTTACCCGCGCCAAATTCGCGATTCTCGCTCGACGGTTGTATGTGATCATATATTCCGTCCTGTATTCGGCAATTTTCCTGCTCATGCACCTTTCTTTTGTCTGGTTGGCATACGAGCAACTCAATATGGCGGACTCCTTCGATATATGTTCATATTGTTTCCATCTAGCTGCAGTAATGGCTTTTTTAGTGCAGGTGTCAAATGACACTGGTTGGCCGTTCTAGGTATACGTACTCGCCATTATGGTACCTCATCAATAAGAAATCAAAGGTTTATGGCAAACGAAAGAGGAAGCAAAACTAGGAATAGTCACAAGATTTGAGCGTATTCTGATTAGCCATATTTCGGTAATTCCAAAAGTTTGACTCGCGTGGTGTCAAATGACACCGTTGGCTGTTCCAGGTAACTCCATAACAACTTGTGATCAATGCCTTCCACTCCCTTAGTTTTTTCGCACCATCAGTACACGTCTTTCCCACCATCGATACACATCTCTCCCACCATCAATATACGTCCTTCGCACCATCAACACACGTCTTTTCACATCATCAATACACGTCTTTCGTGCACGGCATGACTCGACAATGCATGTCCACAGTACCGAGTAGATATGGGGACAATAGCACACGCGTAGTATGATCTGATTGTGGTAGGGATGCTCCTGTGGACTGTGTGGAGCTGTGCTGCGTATTACTCACCAAGTCCGTGTCTACGTAGATGAAAGGGCACATGACCTCACTCTGCATCACGTCCACAAAGCGCACTGAAATCATTCACCGGTCAAGGATTATCATGGACGGCATGAAAGAGACAACCAACACCAGTATTCCAAAACAGCCACTACAGCCATTACAACCACTACAACTATTACAAGCAAACCTAGGCGGCAGGTAACTAAGGTTGTTATCAAGATAGACATCTTGAGTCACAATGTAATGTGAAAAGAAGACACACTGGTGACCAGTATGTCATAGAAATTGTAACACCCAAACAACACACACACGCGCACGCACACACACACACACACACACACACACACAAACATGCATGCACATACACATGCATGCACACACACAGCTGTACTGCAGTGAAGCAGTGAGGACCAGAAGAGGATACGGAACACAGAGGTAATCTCAGATGATGGGTCAGCGACGACTTGACATGCATCACGTGTCAGCTTGCCCAGCCGTCGCCGGTATGCCTGTTCACACACGAACACGCCAAGCAGAAAACATAACAGATATGCTCATCGGTGAAGTAAAACCCTGTCTGATACAGTGCAGTGTGCTGCGTAAAGCAATTCCACACAGAAATGCAGGCATAGCTGCCATAGATATTATGCTCACAAGAAACATCAAGCAACAGAATTCGATTTTATATATACCGTAAAGTCCGGAGCAAACGCCCACCCCATTTTTGCAAGATCTGCTGGCCTGTACACACTGACCCCATGCACTGTCACCCCTACTGTACGAAAGTGCATCTCACACCGTAGCGGGAAGAGCACTTTGCTACGGTAAACTATGTCCACTTTCCTGGTTTCAAAATCTCTTTGTGCACTAGCGCTATAGCCACGAGCTAGCTAGCTCGTAGTGATTTTATAATGATGGTTGTTTTATTTCGCAAATCCGAACGGGTTTTCTTCCGAATACCAAGGTACCGAAGAACAGAGTATTGAAGGAACCAAATACACTTCTGACGGTGTTTCAAGCCATCATTTCGAGATCACACAGCGCCCAAAGGCAAATGTTTTTCTTGGGCACTTCGGAGTTTTCAACAAGTTAGCAGCGACGTTGTAGGTGTAGCTTCTGTTACATACCCTGTTCGACTTGCAACTGCAATATTGGGACCAGTCAAGCCGTTGACTGACGCTTGTTGTTGTTGTTGTTGTGTTTATTTTAATTCGCAAACCAAACGGGCAGATCTGCCCAATGAAAAGGTGGCGAATGCAGATAGAAAGCAGTAATAAATGAAATTGGGGACTGATGTAATTAGGATAGAGGTGGAGAAAATGAGAGACCAATTATTGTTCCTGACAGCGCGACATTGTGGCACTGCACAAATTTATGCTGCATTACTCGTACCACATGGAGAACGAACTACCACATTTATTGAATGAAAGGAAATCTCGACAGAAGTTATTTCTTTGCAGGAAGATAATGACAATCGCTTTTGCACAGCCTCCTAGTAGGACATAGGCAGTTTGTAGGCATTACAGTCGTTCTCGTACGCATTCGACCTTCATGCCAGGTGTTTACAATTATATTGACCTGAAAAAGACGAAAATAGTATGGACCCGCTGGGGTGGGCGTTTGCTGCGAAGTGGGCGTTTGCTCCGGACTTTACGGTAATAATGAAAAAGAAAAGAGTTAAGACAGTGTTCCGCCCCCAAGAGCCAACATTAGAACACCACTGTACAGTGCATACACACACACACACACACACACACACACACACACACACACACACACACACACACACACACACACACACACACACACACACACACACACACACACACACACACACACACACACACACACACACACACACACACACACACACACACACACACACACACACACACACACACACACACACACACACAAACACACACACACACACAAACACACACACATACACACACAACCATCCACCTGCCCACCCACACCCCTACCCATCCACCCACATCACCACGAATGTGCTTTACCTTGAGCAGTCGAGTGAAGATGAACACGCTGTTCACAGCTGCGGCGGCGGTGGTGTCCGAAATCACCGTCGACACGTGCGCACGCCACACTTCGTCCACCTGTTCACCCAACAGCACATCCATAACAAAGCGCAGCCAAACAGGGACAGTTACAAAACATAACCTCAAAACACAATTCACAGCTCACAAGGTTGCCATGATCAAGATAAAAGAAAACGACCACTGACACACAACACAATGCAATAAATACACAACAGGTATCAATGCTTCCTAAGAACTCGCAAACACCAATATCAATGCTATTTAAAAAGAAAGAGCGAAGCGCCCGAAAAATACAAGCAATCTCAGTCGAGAGTAGAGAGCACCATCTCACCCACACTACACCATACCCATTGTGAAAGGGCGAATATATGTACAGCCGTCTGTGGAACAGTACCACAGACTGCCAGGCAAGGGACATGGCATCTAACCAGAGTAGCAGCAAGTAGTGCAAACCAAGCTCACCTCATCGGCAGGTATACAGATGAACTCGGAGCAGAGAGGCGATACGAGATCTCGGCCGCTGGTCGGGTGATTCGTGGCCAGCGTGAAGCTACTCTCACCGAAGCTCTTGACCGGCGGCGGTGGCATCTCGGCATCGAGACTGCTCGCCGATTGTACTCGCATGCTACTGCTGAGCTGCTGCCGCCGTCGTCCATTGTCCTCACCGCATTCGTCATAACTGTCAATGTCCGCGTCTGCACCGTGATCAACATCACCACCAGCAGCAGCAGCTGGAATCATCATTGGCGCGTCAGCATCGCCAACAACGTCCTGGCCATCTTCTTCGTCTAGTGACGTAACTGTATGAACGGAATCTATGGCCATCGGGTGCGGGGAGCTCTCCGAACTGGTTTTGGTAGGAGATGACTCGTCCTGTTGGTTATCGGCCGATACCTCGGAGATCTCCGGCGAGTTGATGGAGGACTTGCTGCCGGTGGAATCGCGATGCTTACACAGGACACTGCTACTGCTCAAGCTGACGATGGCCGGAGAGGAGACGCTCGGGGTAAGGCCAGAGCTGGCCGAGTAGAGAGATGGCGAGCAGGCGCCGCTGCCTCTGTCTCTACGCGCTAATCCTCGGACACTGCCGCCCTTGCCTGTAACACGTCTACTGCGAGACAGCGCAGCACCCACAGAGCCAGCTCTAGAAGGTGTAGCCGCTGTGGCGCGCGCAGCGAAAACAGCTTCAGATATGGAACTGGGCGACGACGCCGTAGCTGATCGATCCACACTGGCATCGTCAACAGCAGCAGCAGCAGCAGCTTCGGCAGTGCTGTGCAATGGGCTAGCAACACTGCCACGACTTGGCGGTAGTGACACGCTGGTTGGCGAGAATGGGGAATGACAGGGTGACGTGTACGACAATGCATCAACAGACTTGGCCGGTGACGGCGGCAATGGGACGTTCGCTGGCGAGTACGCTTCACTCTTCAGACGGCTATACGACGCAGATGTCGACGATACCGCCGGCACCGCTTCAGGAACGGAGATCGCGGCGCTCCTGTCCGGTGACGGATGCGTAGAGGAAGCTGCCGACGAGTCGTGAGAAGACGTGAACTGATCCATCGAAGAGCGTCGGTCTTCAGACGAATGGTGATCTCGAGATGGTGCACCGCTGCAGAAATCAGAGTCGGCCAGTGCAGTGATGCCAGATATACCGGTGCTTGTTTGGTCGTGAGCTGACGAAGAGTTCGGAACGCCGTGCTCTCCACAGGTGGTTGGTGATTGGGCACATCTATGGGGCAAAAGAGATTCAAAACAAAACCAGAAGAAAAAAAACATTGAGCATATTCAATAACAACAGCGGTGACCACAACGAAAACAGCAGCAAAGAAAATGACATTGCAACGCCAACACGGCCACCACGAACAGGAACAAGAGCAACATCAGCAGCAACAACACAGATGCACACAAAAACACCCTACTATCAAACCCAGTGGCAATCCACCCTCACATGTTCGAAAACAGAGCCGTTCAGTCACTCGAAAACACGCATCACCAGTAAGAACATACCCAGTGAATGTTCATTGGACATCGGCATTCGAGCAATATCTTTAATAATGTGCCCAAATGTGTTTCCATGGAAACTCTACAGGGTGCGTGTACAATCGCCAATCGCAATACAACATTGTCAACAGCGATATGCACAGAGTACTACAGGGCAGCCTCTCTGGTTCATTCACAAATTGTGCACATCGAATGACCTATATCCGGAATGCTTGTCAGCGATTTGAGGAATATTTGTCAGCAGTGACAATCTAGACACTTCTGACTGCAATAAAAGTGGTAACTACAAAGGGAGTTGTAAAATACAGGTATATAACTACTCCGTGGTGGCGACACACGGCGCATAGCACACAGAGTAGACAGGCACTCGTTAATAAGAATAAAAGTACTCGCTTACCGTTCACCAGTCTCGGCGGTGGTTGAATCACCTAGCGATTCGTCCAGACTGCTGGCAAGATTGTTATGGCGAGGGGTAGAGGAGGCGGTAGCCTCTGGCGATGCCATCATCGCAGAGCTATCTGTTCTATCGGCGTGCGCAGGCGATGAGACTTGAGATGAGGGTTCGGACATTGGCCGGCGATCATCGCGAGGAACACGCGAGCCGTTGCCTAAATCGATCATGCCCCGCGACACGGAGTGCAATGCCAGCTTGCTCTTGCCCAGGGTCACCTCATGGTCGGACGAGGCACGGTTCACCTTGTCCGTCGTCGACACATGGCGCAGTGACAGCTGCGGCACGGCATCACTGCTCTCCGCTCGGCTCAGAGCAGGACGGTCGGTTGGTAAGTCGGACTGCGGAATGCGCACGTTTTCACTGCTCATAGTTGGCTGGATCGCGATATAAAACAGCACAGCACAGCACAGCACATCATTAAAAATAAAAATAAACACTCGTAGTATTCTATACACACCCATTCAGATCAAATTTAACTACAACACTGCTTTCAGCTGTTACTTGCAACTACTTAGTACTTAGTACTGCATATCATTATACATGTATTCATTATTAGGAGCATTCTCAGACTGAGCTTGGTCACTGTATCCCTATGCCCCACCGACGACTCCGCAAACAACAAAACAGTGCTGTCCACAGCTTTTAAAATTTACTGCACTTGTCCATGGAAACACACACACACACACACCGTAGAAGTCACTACGCGGACCATGAATGCTATAGTCGATGTGAACGCAACGGCCAACCAGACATGGACCAACGCAGGAAAACCTTACACTGCATCATGACTACAGTCCATTTCAAAACTCTAGACGCGCAGTGTTTTTGAAATATTTCAAATTTGGCTGGAACTTTTCGAGAATAGTTTTCGGAATATTGCTCAGGTCCGCTCCACAATTACTCTCATATTATAGTTTCTAAACGATTGGATAACAGACGCCCAATTTGGAAAAAATTATGCACCAAGTGATCACAGAGTTTATGTGGTATGGATGCTGGCATAACGGTTTTTGCCTAGGTACGCGTCTATAGTTTTGAAATGGACTGTACACAATATTTCGCACGGCATGGTACAGAAGGCAACTTCCAAGCGCACGGATACATGTATGTCCGCATACACAACTTACCGAAGCTTGCTCAAACTCGGCCAGGCTAGACATGCTCGATGAGAACAGGCTGGGTGTTCTGTACATGGTCATATCACAACACAACAACATAATCAAACCACGCACAATTCACATCTGCCTGACAACAACATCATTCAATGCCTGCAACAGAGACTTTCCGACACGCTTCACACCACGTCGGCAGCAGCAGCAGCATCCTGCACAAAAAATAGACCGAGGCCTTGCAGAAGTTGTGAGTAACTTGACAAGTAGCGGTATGAGTCAGACCTGTGGATTTCTCCCAGTTCTTATCTAACAATTGCAAGACGCCATCAACATTCGTCCCCGAACACGTTGAAATTCATGGCAAATAGAGATGTTCAACAGAATAGCGACACCGACCGGACGCATCCCGTACCTTGTTGATGTGTGGCTCCTGCCAAACGGAGAATCACTGATGTCCTCCAGGGACAGGTGGCGCCGAAGGCTACCCCACGGCTTGCTAACAACACTGACATTGTCCGAATCCTGTGCAAAAGACAACAACGCCATTAAACACATGACATATGCACAGAGATAAGTGACTGCAGAAGTGCATACAGCAGCAACAGATGATAAGGCAAGGATGTAGAATACAGTCAACTTCGCTAATAACGACAATTCGCGAATAACGACAGAATTTCCATGCCCAGAGCAAAGTCCCGTCTAACTGAAATACATATAATGAGACTTCGGGTATAAGGACACTTCGCGAATAAGGACACTGTTCTGATGCCCCGCCGAGTGTCGTTATACGCAAAGTTGACTGTACATGCACATGTACATCTACAATATAGAGAATTCTACACTACAACAGAGACTAATCTACAGCACACAGTCCCTGCCATGCTTGCTTCTCAACACACCACCGAGGACTTTCGAGAACCCCCAGCACCAGCAGCACCAGCAACACCAAGCCGTGCATACGCAATACAAAAAAAACGCACCTTTTTCGCTACACAACTGCCACCCAGCTCAGCTGCATACCCATGTGTATACCAGTGAATTGTCTGCGTTTAGCTACTCAACTAAAGCCATGTACAGACTGTCAGTATTATGAAGGACCTCTATAAACAGCATGGTGATCATGTGCAAGCAGAATAACGCCACTACAACGTACCTCTCCACCTTCCAAATCATCAAGGAAGTCAAACTCCCGCAGTACTCCGTACAATTGCTGTAAGAATGCAAGATAGGAAACAGACAGAAACTGATCAGCTAAGACAAACAGACACATGGAGTCAGATCAGCTCAAAAAATTGAGAGAGAGAGAGAGTGAGTGAGAGAGAGAGAGAGTGAGAGAGAGAGAGAGAGAGAGAGAGAGAGAGAGAGAGAGAGAGAGAGAGAGAGAGAGAGAATGTGTGCAATACACCATACCTGGTCATTATGATCAAGGGACTCAATGTGTTCGAGCAACGAGTGCGAATCTGACGCCATCACATCTTCGCTGGACGAGATATCACCTTGCACATCGTCCGGTGTCAGATCACTGCCAAACACAACCTGCAATGGAACAGGTACATGCACATGCACATACAACATTATTTGACCGGTACAGGTCTGCTCTCGATATAACAACTCTCACTTGTACATAAACCTCGCTAGTACATAAAAAAATCAAATCCCGCGCCGAAACAGCATCACTCCCATACAAATTTTGTTCTACACAACATAATCCTACATAACATAAACCTCGACATAACACACGCTACGGCGGTTCCCGACGTGCGAACTCTCGATACAACATAAATTCACTTGCACGGTACGATCAAGCGGTAGCTGTAGCTAGGCAGTTTAGGCCAGTTTAGTCTTACATAACGTAAACCTCGGCATAACGCACCCTACGGCGCAGTCCCCGACGTGTGCACTCTCGATACAACGTAGATTCACGTGCGCGGTACAATCAAGCTGTAGCCGTAGCTAGCCAGTTTAGTCTTATTGTGCATATATTCTGCGGCATTGATGGTATCTGATGTCGATGGTGGTACAGTGTGTATATGTTTGCACGGTTGAACCCGCCTTGTAATACCCTTCATTTTGAGGTGCATCTTGTATTTTACACACGGTTTTCTACATAACATAACTCTCGATATAACATACTTTTTGCGTGGTCCCAGAGATTACGTTATATGGAGAGTAGACCTGTACTAGATCCACCACTTCATCCAGAACGAACATGCAGTGCAGTGGACACATGAGGAGTAGAGACAACCTCGTCACTGTTGTTAGTTCTAACTGAAAAAAACATCTGCCAAATGTGAAATAATTATACTTCAGAGGGTGTTTCAAAGCCTCATCCATGAATAAAACAAAGAAACACAGAAACAGGACATATAATCCTATCCACTTACCGAAGGGCTAGCAGTTACTGCTGTCTTAGACATACAAGTTCTCAGAACGCACGCCAAGCGATCCCGTACTCGCGACTGCAAACAATGAAAACACAACATACATGTAAGGAAATGAGAACAACATGTGCCAGGCAGGAAGAAGGGAAAGTACGGAAAAATGATACAAAAAAGAAACTCAACCATCTATCGCTGCAGGGTGTAAAGCATCGGGATAAGCAATCCAGAAGCAACGACTAGCACGTTGATTGACTATACCTGACAAAGGTGAGGTTTCTTCCAGCAGCTGCTTGGCTCCTGACGCAGAACGTTCAGTACTGCTTCAGCAGCCACATCTCCATCCGTGGATTTCGCATCACCTCCGGTTGAAGACACGGCGGCGAGGGCAGAGAGTAGTTCTTGTGATGCTTCCCGCTCAGCAGACCAACTAGCACCGGAGGGACTACGAACACGGCCAGCTTTCGTCAGGTCAACCTGCCACACACACACACACAGAAACAGTACAGTGGCACTCTACAACTCAACACCCACCATAGCATATCCGCTGCACTGACTGCTAATCCAATTTAGGCGAACACAGACGTGAGAATCTTCGTGTTCCAAGCTCATTTCCACCAACAGCAGCTCATCAACATCAGCAAAGGCATAAATGGGGAGAGTGTAGGCAAATGAAATTTCAAATAAAATTTCCTTGCACAATGAGAAGCTATGCTAGCGGTGCAAGCCGTCTGCTTTTCTTCAACACATTGGTGAAGAACTGGGGAAAATGAGAATCCAATTATGGTTAGTTCACCAACCTGAACGTCGAGTGTTGGGCCTGGTAGCTCCGATGGGCGGCAGAAAAAGCTCATGTTAGAGGAAGCTGGCTGCGCTATTGTAGCCGATGTCTCCACTGCTATCTGAAGGATTTCACGCAGCTCATTAGAACACTTCAAGCCAACGTTGCCCTGTTCAGTCAAGCACACACACACACACACACACACACACGTACCAACACACGCACACACACACACACACACACACGTACCAACACACACACACGCATGACAGTGGTAAATGAAGGCCTCTTGCACTCAGTGTTCCTATCGGAAAAAGGCTTGAACGGATTGATGAAATACTCAGCTGAAAGTACTAACCTATACCATACATTAGGGAATCTCAAAAAACTAGCACCCATGCATACCTAACGGAGAGAGAGAGAGAGAGAGAGAGAGAGAGAGAGAGAGAGAGAGAGAGAGAGAGAGAGAGAGAGAGAGAGAGAGAGAGAGAGATAGATAGATAGAGAGAGAGAGAGAGAGAGAGAGAGAGAGAGAGAGAGAGAGAGAGAGAGAGAGAGAGAGAGAGAGAGAGAGAGAGAGAGAGAGAGAGAGAGAGAGGAGGAGGGAGAAAGTAAAAGAAGTGGTGCAGAAGAACATGGTGGTACTTCGAAGTACACATACCTGTACAAAGCTGGACACAATGCGTAGAATCTGTTGGTTGAGCGCAACCCGACTCTCCAAGCTCAGGCTACTGTCAGGTGACTGCATATCCATGGAGTGCAATTGGATGAGCTGGCCGATGATTGACACAATGTGAACGGTATACAACTCGTCACAGTGAACCAGCAGCTGAACAACAGAGACAATCAGCAGACACACAACGCACATGGAAACATTACAACACCAGTTACGGAGACAATCAGCAGACACACAGCACACATGCAAACATTACAACACTGGCAACGGAGACTTTCAGCGGATACAAAACACAGTTCAAAACAGTGCAGGACCAATATCAAAGTCCTTTTGCATGCCCAGTGAATTCAAGTCAGTTGAGTGAACAACAAACACTGCAACATGATTAAATTAACATGGAGCAGAACAGGAAAAAACGTGAAGAAAGAGGGAAAAGAGAGGGGCGGATGTATGTATGCTATAAAGTATAAAGACATATTAGATATACAGCTGAGTAGTCATTGGGTACGACAATGACAGCAACGAACTGTCCACCATTCCTGCACAAAAAGTACACCAGCATAGTACGTGACAGCAGGCTGTGTGACACAGAAACAGTGACAGTGCGACCACTACCTACCCCGGTGAGCAGCGGCAGGCACGCTAGAACAAACGAGTGGCATGCCTCTCGCAGGCGCACGCAGATGCTGCGTATCCAGGAAGACACCTGCTTGGTGTAGCGGCCGGTCAGGTACAGCTCAAACAACATACCCAAGTTACGCAGCTGGCTATCTGCCTCGCATTCCTAAACCAGGACAAATGCAACGAAGAAGAAGAAAATACCCAATCAAACGTACACACCTCTTCTTGGAAAGGGAAACTGAAGAGCCAAGTCACCACTCCAGCCTATATAATCAACTAAGTGTCTCTGGCATTGTGATTTCACAGCTTGCAAGTCATGCACAGACACACACGCACACACAAACGAAGTGATTGACTTACATGCACAATCTTGGTTACTGCCGTATAACATATGTCATCTGGGCTATCGAAATGAACACACAGGTATGGCAACAGACTGATGATATTCACAGCCAGACCTGCACACACATGTACATACATACAAACAAACAATGCACAATCAGGAAGGCCACATGGGTTTAGCCCAGCAATCCATGGAATGATGGTGTTATGCATGAAAACTGTTAAAAGAATACTATCTTATTTCTCTTATCTGAACCTCAAAGTTACGAGCACTTCGGTCTACCGGGCACGCTGTTGGTGAGTTTTAGCGGAAATATTACTACTATTTCACCATTTGTGTGGAAACGGTGACACCATATGGCAGATCCTTGGCCCTTCCCTATTGAAAGTATGTAACTCGGAGTTACGGACATTTCAAAGTTATGGACAGTGTCCGGTCCCAGACCACCTGGATAAAAGAGATATGGGTGTATACTGCATAGGCATATGTACATACAAACTCAGTACCAACTTCACTACCACTAACGATAGACGGATAAGCATTGGATACGTGAGTGATGTCTACATCAGTGCATTAAATATTAGCAGGAGCAGCATGCTGCTGTAGAAGCAGCAGCAGCAGCAGCCACAACAACATAGGGCAGAAGTAGCCCCAGCAACAGCACGACCGCTTACCATTCGTCTGCGTCATGTCGACAACCGAGCACCGTGTGTGCTCCGTGAGGCGACTCAACATCTGCACGGATAGCTCAAACGTGTTGGAAGACGTCAGACCCTATGCGCAGGACGGGAAATACAACACAACGAAAACAGATTGGTATAGGATGGGGAGGGCACAGGCACAGGTACCACTAAGATAGACCAGCACCAGCCGGTGTAAAGCCACATCTAGGTACTGTAAAACCGGGAATTTTCCGTATTTCCCAAAATCAACGGTCCGGAAGCGCGAAAATTTCGGTAAACCAGTTTTCCAGATCCAAAAATTCATTTTGCACACTGCGTGGCATGGCTTTTCAAATTTTAGGTCGCGTTTAATTTTAGGTAAAAATTACCAAAGTTACCGAAAATAAATCTCCACTGAAATTTTCCGGTTTGACAGTAGTCAGAATATCCAGAATAAAGAACAATGAAGAACAAAAAAGAACAAGGAAAAGTAATGTGACGTAGTGAACTGGGAGCACTACCACTACGGCACTAGCAAATCAGCACAAACCTTGAGAACAAATGCCTGAATGCCGGGGAAAGATGGCCAGTTGGAATCCAGCAGAGTTGAGATAAGCTGCTCGTGAATAGTTTCATCGCCCAGCGAGACAACATCCATCACCTATTTTCCAAAGATCACAGAAAAACAGAGACACGTCAGCTCCACCGTCGGCCAAATAAACAAAGAAATTGGAACGCACGAGTTAACAGGATGTTGGCAATAGCCAATAATGACACACCAACACCAATGAGCTACCATTGCCACAAAGAGCGAGGAGTTGCTCAAAGTCGATAAAGCACGCAGCACGATATGTTGAGTAAAACCTGTGTTTGCCGGACCCTGTACCAAGCGGAATCCTGTAGTGACCGGACAAATTGCCACGCACCGAAGTGCTATGGATCGAACGTGCGTCCCTGGATCAAGCGGAATCCTCTCATATCAGGACAGTTTCCTCTGCACCTAGGGTGTTCGGTCAGAGGTTTTACCGTACTTCTTCCAGTACGAGTTCAATACAGAAATGTCGCCTCACCTTGCCTAGCAGCTTCAGCCCAAACAAGAATTCGTGTTCGTAGTCGGACTCGAGAAGAGCCACGGAGATCCAGAAGACGCGGCACTGCAGCTGAAGCCGGTCACTACTCGTCGTTGCACGAGTCAAGCTAGGACTGCGCTCACGATACGAGTGGCTAAAGGACAGTGAACACGGATAAACATCACACAATGTGACAGTCAACAGGCGGTAGAGGAATACTGTGTAGTGTGTCCTTACAGTCAAACAATTACTAGTAGCACCAAACACACTCACTAATACTGGAAATGGTGAACCTCCAGCCACAACTCGCACATTCGGGCACGCATCAATGTAGGTGTTGAATAGACAACTCACTTGATCTTGCTGTCTGAAAAAGCATTGACTGAGGCCAAGTTGAAATGTAGCGGAGAGCCTGAAGACCCTCGGCCAACACCAGGTGACAGGAAGCCTGATTTGACCGCGCCCTCACGTTGGTACAGCACTGAAGAGGAAGGCATCATAAAGAAGAACGTGTTAACTGTAGGCAACATAATTATACGAATGTCAATGAGCCAGAGTTTTCTGAACATGGTTGAAAGGCTACTAGCGTACCAACATGCGAGCGAACGTGCGCGCACACACACACACACACACACACACACACACACCTCAGACCTCAGACCTGCCCATCGCGGAAGCGATGATAACGAACAGCTATGTTAGACATAGCAACTTGTGCTGGGATTACACCATTCAACAGCTTGCAAGGCTGATGAATTGACCGCCACAAATTTTTAGCCTGGTATCCACCACACAGCTGATTGAAGTGGCTTTTTTCTGGCCAGTGAATCCCTATTTTTCATTTTTTTCATTTTTTCTCCATTTTTCATTCTTTTTTCTTTTTCGACACACACACCACACCACGTACTCCGGCATACACTGGCTGTTGGTAACCACCCAGGAGAATGAAAGAAGAGCTAGGAGAATGAGAAAGAGAAGAAAGACGTGTGCGACCATAATCGTCGGGAATTGAACCCGCAACCTCTCGCTTGGAAATCGACTGCACACGCACACACACACACACACACGCGCACGCACGCACACACACATGCTGAGTTAGCAGTCTTTCTGAATGGTGTACCACGATCAAATACTCAAAATAGAACAAGGCTATTGAAGAGGGGAGAGGCTTGGAAAGATTCATCTTGAATCTAAAATGTTAGAATCAGAAAGAGAGATTAAAACAACACTATGACACAAATCCCAAAGCATACCTGCATCCGAGCCATGACGACGACGCTCCGGAATACCATCTTGACCACCGTTTGCTCCATCCGTGTCAGGATCGACAGTCAGGTTGAGCGAAGGCGGCAACACAGTCTCTAATCCATTCGCAGCAGCAGCTGCGTTGGATGCTTCGCCGTGAGTCTGCGGACCGAAGCAGTCGGTGTGACGGTAGGCCGAGCGAAGCGACGACAGCTCATCATCGTCACTCAACAGGTCCTTGATGTCGTTATCCACCATGGCTTCAATGGTCAGGTAGATTTCCATAGCATATCCCTGGACAAAGAATGCAGGTAGTTGATAGCAGCAATGACCGGTGAAAAACAGAAAAATATCATTTGACTGCACCTCATGGCATCATATAACACACTTCTGTCCTTTCGAAATAACACCACATGCACAATAGGCATCCGGCAACTACACAAACCCTGAATAGCTGCAGATTTGCTGAATCAACCATGACACACCCTAATACATACCACGAAAACAATGGGTGTCTTTGCTAGTCTTTTCTGCAAGAGCAGGACTCTTTTCAAAAAGGGTGAGCTGAGGATTTTGGCCCGAAGCCCAGAACGGTGTCCTCAAAAAGATGGAAACACCACAAAGATAGACAGACACATGCAACAACTCGCAGACACTGAGTGAGCATACCTGTACGTCGGCACTGGCATCCGCTGCAGAATCGCAAAGCCGCAGCAGAATGCGCACCAGCGAGCTCCAGGACATTGGCAGATGTAACGCTCGGCATAACTAGAAAAAAGAGAGATCACCAGAGACAATGGGCGCTTTCGATTACACGTTTACACAATTCTGGAACTGGTTTTTTTAAATTCTGGAATGGCCAGAATGAGCGGATTCCGGCCTTGTAAACGAACGACTGGAATTCACAATGCATTTTATTCATGTCATGACACAAACAAAATTGATGAATCGTAAAAAGAGATCACGTACACCCTCGCGCGCATGTGGACCCAGCATCGCGCACACGCCGGCCAGGGAGGCTCTTCGCGCACTTGAGTCATGACCAGACCGGTAACACACCGACTGTGCAATTCTGGCGCCAGAATTAGAGAAATTCCGCCCTCTCTTCAGAATTAACGAAATTGGATAAAAACAATTCTAACGACGGAATTTGTCACTTTTTGTGTAATCGAACTGTGCATCAACAATAACTAATTCTAGAATAGGGCTTGAAAGTGATGATGTCAAAAACGGCCAGGGAGTAGTAAGTTGACATCAGATTTGTATTTTGGATCCACTAAGGTGTGACTTTGCTATTGCCTCAGTATGTGGGTGCATAGCAACCCACTCATGTCGTATGCACGTGTGACTTTTACTTCGCCACCAGTTGTCACCCCGCCCCCATTAGCCAAATCAGGCAGTTTCACTGGCTACATCACCTTGCTGTGAGTACGACCGCTTGAAATGTGCTTGGATCCATACAAAAACTGGATCCAAGTGGATCCAGTTTTTGAATTTTTGAAATTGTTGCTATGCTGTGACGTAGCACTTTCAAGCCCTATTGACCAAAATGCGTGTAATCGAAAGCGCCCAATAGATTGTTATTTTCAAGGTACAAACTTTCATGAACTACGTGGAAAGATGAAAAAATAAGAATGTAAATACCAACGAATCACATTCATTACGTCTAAAACGTGTCGGACACGTTGTTCAAGAACCTACAGTGTGTGCTTCTAAGTCACGCAGTGTTATCCCATTTTGTCTCCGAGGAAACTGTTCATGTATCGTTGTGAATTGGCAGTCGCTACACACTGCCAGAGACTACGCACCTGGAATGAGCGACCGGCATAATGACGAGACGAGCAGCAAGTGGCCCAGCGCAACGATTCCTTCGCCCAGCGTTCGGACAAGGCAGGGCCGGGTAGCTCGGAGAGGACCGTCATGACACGCGACAGCAGTGCCTTCAGATGCTCTGCACTCTTGATGGACACCACGCGGGAAGTGATCTCCTCATACGACCATAACGGACGCCGCCTCTCCCTGACATGAACAACCAAAACACAAGACAACAAAAATGCAAAGTCCTTAGATGACGCTCAGGTGAGCAGGGACAACTACCCAAGCAACCATAACAATGTACAAGTAAAAGGAAAGAAGAAAGAGCTGAGCATCAGCCCAGCATGGCCCACTTCCTTCCGATTGGGTTACAGATGGCATGCATGCAACAACAGCAGTGTGAAATTGACAAATTACAAACGACCACCATCCAGAAAAGTTCACATCAATACTTTACATTGCTAGCATGATAACGACCACAATGGCACCAAGATGGAAGTCGTAAAAGGATCCCTCAAGACGATAAGAACACAACAAGGAGCCGTGGCCCTTCTTACCTCAGAGCAATGTACTCCACAAGACTCTTGGCCTTGGTGTGTGCATTGGTGCTGGCGCTGGATGTCGGTCGGCCGTGCGTACGTACCGTGCTGTTGTGTGAACCGCCGCTGCCCGCCGAGTCTTCGTCGTCCGACCGAAGGCCGAGCTGCGTGTCGATACTGAGAATGCTCTGCAGGCCGGCCAAGCTACTCAGGCTGTCCTCGGAGGGACTGCGCAGACCCGAGGACACCATGTAGTGGCCAGCCGAGCACTGGTTGTCATCGCTGGTCAGCACCATCACCAGGTTGGTCAGTAGGCGCTTGCAATGTTCATACACCAGGGGTTTGACATGATCCAAGCCTAGTGGCAACAAAACAACGACCACGGCAACAACAAAAGCAACAACAAATAGCAGCATACAAGCAATAGTCCATGGGCCAAGTCTCAGGAGAGCACGTTTTAGGGGTGTCTGTGCACACACCCGGTATAGCAGGTTTTTATTGGCGAAATCAGTAGATCATAACTCGGTGACAAGTATTTTCCTTGGTGGCACCTTCGCATTTGGTCGGATCTTGCAGGAGAGCAAGCTATTTCTTGCTCCGAGCAATGGCGGAATCCTTCTTCCTCCTGTCAATCCAGCGCGGTTTGCCGGAAATTTTACACTGATTTCGATTGATTTCTTTGCATTCGCCCCGTTCAAGGTACAATCGCAAATCACGTTTTGGTGCCAAGGAGGCTTCTTCGGTCACTCGATGTTTCTTGGTCCTGTTTCATGTCAAATGTTTCTTGATGTCAAGTTGCTATTCTTGTCAACAACTACCATTGCCTTTCCGCTTTTGTGTTCCGACTTCGATTGGCGAGAATATATTATCATGGAGAGTGAGGACCCTGAAGAGCCACCGATTCCGGTGAAATTGCCACCTGAGAATACTCCTGGCTTAGACTGGCAGAGCTGTTTGTGCCACTCTGCATCCTTTCAAAAAAAGGAAGGGCTAACTCCATTCCAAGAGCGTAGTTGGACTACGTTTCATAGTGCTGCGGATGTTCGTCGAGGTGAAGTCTACGACTTTCTAGTACACGAAGGAGCTGCTCAAGACTCCGAGCCTCGTGGTTTCTACCACAGGTCGTGTTACCAGAATTACACAAACAAAAGTAATTTGTCTCGCCTCATGAAAAAAAGAGGGAGGGAGAGCTACAAGGACGTTTCGAAACTAGATGTCGAGCCGGAGGAGGACATGTCTGAGCCTCCCCCCAAGAAGCGACCTACTCGGAAGTCCTTGCCACTTACGGATTTCACGCTGTGCCTTCTTTGCCAACGTACGAAAATGGTGGACAAATACACCCAAGAGAAGACGAGTCGTGTTGAAATGGACACTGGAGTCGAGAGATTGGTGCAGGCTGCAAGAACTCGTGGTGACAAGCGAGTCTCGTTGGCTATCGAGGATGGAGACTTGGATTTTTTTGCTGCTGAAGTTAGATACCACCCTAGTTGCTACAGGACTTACACAAAGAAGTCTACCCTTGAGGCAATAATGCAGGAACGTGATGATCCCGTCGATGAAGCTACTGCAACTGCACTGCAGCAGCTGATGACGTACATGGAGGAAATTGAACATCATGCCATTGTCTCCCTTGCCCAGCTAGCAACGAAATTGATTACATTTCAGGCGGAGCTCGGCAGTGCAAGCAGTGAATTCACCCGTCCTACCCTCAAGCGTCGAATCCTAGCCCATTTTGGTGATCGTGTGGAATTCACCAGGCATCACGCAGCAAATGGAAGCTGTGGTAATTGTTGATGCGATGGCTGCCCTGCAATCTCTTAAACCCACAGGAGCTACCTTTGGTAGCCTTGCAACTCAAGTCATCATGCCATTGTCTCCCTTGCCCAGCTAGCAACGAAATTGATTACATTTCAGGCGGAGCTCGGCAGTGCAAGCAGTGAATTCACCCGTCCTACCCTCAAGCGTCGAATCCTAGCCCATTTTGGTGATCGTGTGGAATTCACCAGGCATCACGCTGCAAATGGAAGCTGTGGTAATTGTTGATGCGATGGCTGCCCTGCAATCTCTTAAACCCACAGGAGCTACCTTTGGTAGCCTTGCAACTCAAGTCATCATGCCATTGTCTCCCTTGCCCAGCTAGCAACGAAATTGATTACATTTCAGGCGGAGCTCGGCAGTGCAAGCAGTGAATTCACCCGTCCTACCCTCAAGCGTCGAATCCTAGCCCATTTTGGTGATCGTGTGGAATTCACCAGGCATCACGCTGCAAATGGAAGCTGTGGTAATTGTTGATGCGATGGCTGCCCTGGAGCTACCTTTGGTAGCCTTGCAACTCAAGTGCTGACATCTCTTCTTGCAAGTGTTCCGGATGGGGGGGCGGGTGGACTTCGTTGGCGACCAGTATCCGTCCGACAGTATCAAGTCACTTGAACGCCAAAAGCGAACCCAGGCATCCTCACAGGTGGTCTGCGTCACAGGCGCCGAGCAGAAGCTCCCTTCGTGGAAGGGGTTCATGTCGGTGTCGGAGAATAAGATCTCCCTCAGTGACTTCCTTGTCCTGTTCTGGAAGACGCCCGAGGTAGCCCAGTTTTTCAAGCAGCGTGCTCTTTATGTTACAGCACGGGCCCAGTGTCAGCGGCTGTCCAGTCCCGACGGAAAATCTGTTGTTTCCGTTGCCGTTCCCGCCCTAGATTCCTGCCAAGAGGAGGCTGACACGCGTATGTTTCTGCATGCAGCCCATGCAGCAACAGAAGGAGCCACTGCTGTTCTAATTAAATCCCTCGACACAGACGTTGCAGTGATTGGCCTTTGGGTTGCCCCACAACTGGCATGCAACCTCCTGCTCCAGACTGGTACAGGGCAACATACCCGGTTGGTCAGCCTGACCCAGGTTTCGCGGTCTTTTGGTCCAGACATTTGCACTGCTCTGCCCGGCTTTCATTCGTTCACCGGGTGTGACTCCGTTAGCTCATTTGGTCGTCGGGGCAAGAAGCTGGCATACAAGCTTCTTACCAGTGGCCACAGTGATGCCATGCAATTGCTCGGCAACTCCCTCACAGTCACCGATGAGCTACAGGCATCATGTCAACAATTTGTGTGCAAACTGTACACAAAGACCACGGTGGCTTTTGTGAACGACATCCGCTACAGCTTGTTCCGTCAGGCATCAAGGACGCTGTACGAAGATTTGCCCCCCACGCAGGACGCACTACGTCAGCACACTCTCTGGAGCAACTTCCAAGCGCACCTGTGGAAGAAGTGCCTGCAAGCTGGGCCAGTTCCACATCCCCGTGGTCACGGTTGGTGTTTGGATGGTAAGCAGCTCTCCATTGTATAGAAGACTCAACCACCTGCACCATCCGCTCTGATGCAGCACGTGCTGGTGCATTGCGGGTGCAAACGGGGATGCAGCTCGGCACGGTGTAAGTGCTACAAGGAGAAGGTGACATGCACGGATGTCTGCACTTGTTCGTCCTCATGTACAAATCGCCCCGACGTTGCCATAGATGGAAACGTGCCGGACGCAGAGTCTGGCAATGAACGCTAGCAGTAAACACTTCAGTCAAACCAGGAACATCCTCATTGCATTTGAGTGCCTTATCCGTCTTCATCACAATATGTCTGCATTGTATGTTCTGGTCAAAGACAAATCTAGAATATAAATGTCGTGTTTATTTATTATTTTATTTATTCAAACTGTTAAACGACGCTTCACGCAGCTTCTATATATCTATATATTCAGCTTAGTTTGAGTACTCTGGCGGAGGTACGTTCGGGCCTGATATAAATTTGGCTTTGGAGAATTTATTCTCCATTGCTTTGGGCTCGGCCTTGTAACTCTGTGCTGCGCTGATGAGGGGACAAACCCCGAAACAGTGACTGTCGGCAGATTGAGTATTCAGCTCAAGGCCATGGTAAAAAATATCTTTGATTCTCAAGTACGCGCGCATCGATTTTTGGCGGCGCACCGACGATTTTTTTTATTTCTATGCATGCATATGCGTGCATGAAAACGGTCAATGCGAAAGGCATGAATCCGGGAGTAGTAAAATACCGGTATTTTTCTACTCCCTGGCCTGAATAATAAAATAATTATAAAAACCTGTGACTTATAGTCTGTTTCAAAAAGATTTACAATCAGGTTTGGGTCTTAAAAAGTATGAAGATAAGGGAAATTTGGACAACAAAGTACATAGAATGGCTTGTTAGGACACGGCAAATTGTTCTGTGAAAGTTTCGGAACAATTGGATCAGTCGTTAAGGAGTTAGAATTTCGGCCAGGTTTCCGGCCTTTTCCCATGGTTTACAATTTGCCCAGGAAGCCAGTATCGATTTTTTATCAAAACCCACGATTTATCCTTTCCTTTTTGGCCTTGTGGTTATGAATGCTGTCTGCTGACCATGAAGTTGTGAGTTCAAATCCCAACCTATCCTCAAGTCAAACTTTTTTCTTCATTGTTTTGGTGGTCAAGCTGGTACGAGACAAAGAAGCCATGCATGATGGCTGTACCAAACGACTTGTTGTTGTTGGAGCTCGCGCTTCCTGCCGAACTGACTGACACTTGACTGGCTCACGCCATGTCAGCATATATCAGCATATATCAGCTGGCAGCACCACCCGGCACCAGGTTTCCAGGGGCCTCACTGTCCCCTCGGCACAGTCAGAAGCCGGCAGATCTCGCCTGGCCTTTCAGGCAGCCTTGGCCTGGAACGCTCTCCCAAGGAGTGTAAGGGAGATCAAGGCTGCCCAGCAATTTAAGCTTGCCTCCATCCCCTACACCTTGCAATGAATGCTCTGTCTGACTTTTCCCGTCCACACACCACGTCATTTACTCTTCTCTGCGTGCTTGTGCGCTTATGAACTCTTTGTGTTCCCTCTGTTGACGCTTCAAAATCGCTCTATTGACACAGCAAAATCGCTCTGTTGACGCTACAAAATTGCTCTGCGTGCTTGTGCGCTTATGAACTCTTTGTGTTCCCTCTGTTGACGCTTCAAAATCGCTCTATTGACACTGCAAAATCGCTCTGTTGACGCTACAAAATTGCTTATCATCTCCCTCCCTCCCTCCCTCCCCCCCCTCTCTCTCTCTCTCTCTCTCTCTCTCTCTCCGCTCTCTCTCTCTCTCTCTCTCTCTCTCTCTCTCTCTCTCCCCGTCGCTCTCTCCCTTTTGAAATTCGCTTCCATAGAATTGGGCACCATTGCCCGTTTGGCCTTGCGAAGCAAAATAAAAATCAACAACAACAACAACAACAACATGTGAACACACCCACAACACTGCAATGGTGTGAGTGAACATGGAAGTCATCGCGCTGTAGCTTTTTGAGATTTATTCTAGTATTTCAAGATCGCCAATTTATTCGAATTTAGCAGTCAACGCCGTCTTCTATCAGCGTTCACAAGCGTCTGCTTTTCTCAAAATGTCGTCGAAGTCACACGGATAGCTTTGCCAAGTCATGGCCATGGGAATGAGTCCGTGTCGATGTCGTTTTCGTCACACGGTGAGTAAATTGCATCGCAGCTCAAATAAACTATTTTGGTCACAAAACGAATTGGGACCCATGCCGCTCGTCAACATTTACAACACTTTCGTTTCGGCATAGTCATGTCCTCTCTGACTCCATTATCGATACGAGGAAGAACTCGTTTGTGTAAACCAGACGACAGACGCACATGACTGTATCAATGTGAGTGAGTTGCCATTTTTCCTGCTTTCGCGCGGAATATTTCTTCGAGTTCACAGTGAGTTTTTCCAGGCAGCGCTCGAGTGCTCATATGGTAAGACGCCAAACTCCGCAGGCGATCGCCAGGATTGCAAATCTTTTTGAAACGGACTGTACAGATGTGTGACCCTATCTTTCGAAATAAAAAAATTGTGGGAATTAAAATAAAAAACCGCTCGCTCGCACCGATTTTCACAGGCTCATGACCTGAGAATCAACTTTATTTTTTACCATGGCCTAATAATATTTATTTATTTATTCAAAGGGATTACCCAAAGGCTCTTGTACTGTGTGTTTGGCCATAAGCAAGTGTGCAGTGGAAACATAGACCATTACTTTTTGTAGCTGCTGGGTGCCTTGGAGGCGTTGTAGCTTCATCAGGAAACACAGGCTGGACTGGCACTGGCAATGTATTATTGTACACTATGGCTGTTGTATACAGTATAATTCTAATAATGGCATAGGAAACTGTCATGGATTGGATTTTACATACCTGATATGGCTCTTCAGGTGTATGAACACCGCTGAAATGCCACTGGTGCACTTCTGCGTGATTTACAATGCGTATTGACAAAGAAAACTGCCTGTTACTATGGGGTTGCTATGCAGTTGCCATGGGAACAATATTGAAATTTCAAACGCCTATATCTCAAGAACCGACCACGCCCACAGATGCCAACATGGACCAAAACGTAGCGCATGACAAGGTCTTTCAGATGAAATCATAAAAAGTTGCTATACCAGACATGTGCACAGAAATTAACTTCTCGGGGCTCGGCCCACGGACTACAATATGCTAAGTGACCATTTGTCCACACCTAATGAAGAGAGAGAGAGAGAGAGAGAGAGAGAGAGAGTGTGTGTGTGTGTGTGTGTGTGTGTGTGTGTATGTGTGTGTGTGTGGGTGTGTAGATACAAACAACTACTACTACCCCCCCCCCCCCCGCACACACACAAGCACGCACGCACGCACAAACACACACGCACGCACGCACCCACACACATACAACTCCTACTTACCTAGGAAAGCCATGTGTAGCAGCTTAGGAAGGAAAATGTTCCACTTGATGGCACAGCGATCCACGACAAGCTCCGTTAGCAACATGAGAGCAAAGTTGCACCTACACGTGAGAGGTGTGAAATGCCAGGGAAACAGACTAAGTGAATAGTGTAGCAAGAAGGAGCCACGGGTGTGTGAGGTCCCTGATAGCCTACTTGGCAGGGCAGTGTGCCGGAATGGGTGCTGGGTTCGAATCTCGCTCTTTTCCAACAGCATACACCCTGCTATAAGAGACACTACACGGACACACACCGGGTGCAGCATGCATGCAACACAATGACATTTGAGCCGCGCCAAGCTAAAAAGTGGCTTAGTGTTTTGCCAACAAATCGAGAAAATCACCAAAACGTCACAGTCGGCGAAATTCTACTCGAGCGCAGTCGCGAAAATATTCACTTTCGAGCATCCTTTCAAGTCAAATAGTTTGCAAGTGGAGAAGAAGGAAGAGACCTTTTATTTTCGAGCAACACTTCTTCAGTGTTCCCTCTTTCATCGTTGTGGGGATTTCTCGGCGCTGCCAGAGATCGTAATGGAGCGTTCTGGAGAATGTGGAAGCGAGCAGGATGACACTCTGTCTCCTTGTGCGCCCACCCTAGTTGACGAGGAAAAATCGATCATTCATAGTGGCTGTGGTTCTCATCGTGGCCACGACTACCGTTTTATCTCTAATATAAGCACGGTCCTTTATTTTTTCAATATACCTCCGCCCCGTGCTATTAATAGAGACGTTCCTTTATTGGAGACTGTTCCATTATTATTTCAACCTCATTTCAGAGGCATGTTTCCATGCCAAATTCATGTCAGACACACACATTTCAGGGTTTTTTTCGCCGGTACAGATAATGAATTTACACAGTGTGCTTATAATGGAGACTGAGCACTTTATTTTTTGAATGCCACCCCAAGGTGTTCTATTATTGGAGACGTTCTATTATTGGAGACGTGCTATTATTGGAGACTGTGCTTATATTAGAGATAATACGGTAGTCTAGAGCGGCTGGTATACCTGCCGTCCGGCCATCACTCGGACAAGCTCTCTGGTGAGATGGATCTTGCTGCGATGTTTCACTTTGTTTCGGGTACCTTCAAATGTTCATGATGTGGCGTACTGTACTCCAAAATTTCCTCATTTCAAGGACAATGGTGCGACACGATGAAACGATGCATTGACTCTACCTGCTATCATATCGTCCCGTGGTGCTTATACCACTACCTACACCAGGGAAGGAGAATGACATGGACTAGGACGGACAAAGAATCAGTGCCGCCTTTTAGCGATGTGCAGTCTGTTGGACCTACGTGCAAGGGACCAATGGAGCTCGATCTTTGGCACAACACTACGAGCTACAGGGAAGGATAAATTCATGCTGTCGTAGGTGATTGGAGAGAGGATGACGGACTGTCTTGGTAAGATGCGACGTTTCCCAGCCCAGCGAAAAATATAGTCCGTGACAGACTCACAAAATCATTGAAGGGTATGAAAATTCGTGTTGCGTGATGAAATGACAAGATCAATTATTTCTTCTTTCTTGGATCTTCTAATCAGAACACAAGTGCTCGTTCTTCTTGTATTGCTTCCACACCTGCTAAGCTTTGTCTCCACTTGGTGTCCCATGTTTTCTGGAGTAGGTCTTCATAATTATTATCTTAGTTTCACTGATACCATGCATGCTGTGACATGTGCGCAATGTATGCTTATTTATGGCACATATACATTTCAGATGGGCACCAAAATTTCCTTGATGGTAGTTGGATAGGTAGACATCACTTTGGCATGAAAAAAGAAATTTCCAAAATTTATGCCTAAGCCACCTTTTTGCTTGGCTCGGCTCATTTAGTACACAAGCACTGATGACTCAAATGGCATGACAGGACAAGATATACAACTCAAATCAAGGGCGTGTAACGTATCAAGAACAGCTCACCGTGTAATGCAAACTCAGTACTCACATATGCAACACACTATCCAATCGAAAGCTAGCCACGCACAAGATCTTACCGATACACGAGTGCAGTGTGCGTGTTGGGCAGCAGAAAGTCAGTCAGTGGCGCATAGTAACCGCCCCCGGTGGGCATCGGTAGTGGGCCGCACAGTACTTTGTTTGGACTACCTACGGGTGTCCTGAATGAACTGGCACTGTTCGTAGCTGTGGCAGGACCGGGGCTCAGACCAGTTTCCTGAACACGCACAACAAAGAGGGACAGAGCCAGTGATAAAATAATAATTATAATGTTAGAAGGTAAGAAAGCGAACCTGAATGTGCGCGTGTGAGTGTGCACGAGATGGGCAGACAGGCAGACACACAGAGGAAAAACTGGAACAAGTCATTAGTTGTTACTCCGAGTTTCACGCCAAATGCCAATCCCAAGACAACAAAGATTTACTCACAGCAACGATGCCAGCCTATGAGACAGGCAAAGAAATAAAAAAAGAGAGAAGGGGGGAGGGGAAGAGAGAGAGAGAGAGAGAGAGAGAGAGAGAGAGAGAGAGAGAGAGAGAGAGAGAGAGAGAGAGAGAGAGAGAGAGAGAGAGAGAGAGAGAGACAGAGAGAGACAGAGAGAGAGACAGAGAGATGGTTAGGAGATAGAGATAGATGTCTAGATAGATGGATAAAGAGAGAGAGAGAGAGAGAGAGAGAGAGAGAGAGAGAGAGAGAGAGAGAGAGAGAGAGAGAGAGAGAGAGAGAGAGAGAGAGAGAGAGAGAGAGAGAGAGAGAGAGAGAGAGAGAGAGAGAGAGAGAGAGAGAGAGAGAGAGAGAGAGAGAGAGAGAGAGAGAGAGAGAGAGAGAGAGAGAGAGAGGGAGAAGCAGATAGTATAAGTACTTATCAGTACTCACGCGTTTGGGTGTTTTGATAGAGTTGGTGAGAACTACATCAGGTTGCACACTTCTCACGGGCGTGTCCTCCACGTCCTCTTCCAATACGTCAGCGCTCTGCTGTGCTTTGATAGTGACCAGGGATGAAGAGACTGCCACGCGACACGGGTCCACACTGCTGGGTGCCATGTGACAGGTCGCATTCGTCACCTCATCCTCATCCAACTAATACAGAAAACAGGACACACACACACACGTGCAGCATGTGAAGAATTAGTACAGTGTCTTGCAGTAGTGTAGCCCTCCCCCCCCCCCCCCCCACACACACACAGCACACATTCAAACATGCATATCATACAGAAAAAAACCATGGATCGTCATACCTTTTCAAAGCGTTCACATCTCTGTCTCCCATACAATGCTGGCCAAAAAATCATCCCATGAATAAATTGCCATCAGGTCCTGCACAGCCCAGGCACTATAAACACTCGGCTGTGTATTCAAATTCAGCGCCATTTACACTGCAGTGATGGGGCAAACTTCACTGGCCGGCTCTGTACATCTCGGAGACAATAACGGGCTACGCATCATAACTCGGCAACATCGAACTCACCACACCACCCGCTGGCAAACTGGAAGAGAAGTGCACGCCTGCATCGGTAGCGTTCTCCGCATCCAAGACCATCGGCGGGGCGGAGTAGCGCTTTGCCGCCCGGGCTGCTGCATCGGTATGCTTGTCGCGGCTGAACTCACGTCGATTCCTGGACAGCATGAGGAACCAGAACATAGAATCTAGAAATTCAGAGGACTTGCAGAGTTTACCTCAGACTGAGAACATCAACAATATTGTCTGCAGAAAACTATCTCACTGACCATTCAGTGAACCATGTCATTTCATGTCTACTTACACATGCAAGTTGTCTGGTGAGGCTACCAGTGTCCTTGTATCTTCGGTAGTGCTGGGACGTTGGCAGCAACTGCTATTGCGGCTGACAGTGGGCAAGCGTGGTTGAACAATGTAGTACGGCGGTACGGCGATTTGATCGATTGTAGCAGTCAGTGGGTCCATCGACTGCACCAAAGCAACAAAGAACAAGGAGCAACACACAAACACACACACACACACAGACATCCACACACACACACACAAGTAATTGTCAGTGAAAGGATTGGCAAGGAACGCAAAACTAAAAACACGATGCACAGCACAGTAAACCATCACACCGGGGAGCAATCACAAGGTTGACAGTGTCAAGGGTAAAGATGAAAAAGACCTGTGCCCAAAGACTACGCGAATGGCCGCCATACACACCTCGAGTTCTTTCATGAGCTCGCCGATGATAACGTTGGGTGCAGTGCGACCAATATAGACAACCACTTTCTTTGCCTGGATAATGAACAAAGAAACCAAAGAGCAAGCCAGGAATCCATTAGAACTTGAAATGACATATATGAGAGAGAGAGAGAGGAAGAGAGAGGAAGAAAACTACATTGTAGCAGTATTCCATGTGGTTGGATTCACTTTATACTCAACGCTAGGGTATGCCACCAGCATACATTCTTCAGACAACCTCTCAACACATACAAATGATACAAGACTTGACAAAGCAGGCCTGCCTGAGGGGGTGGGAGGAGGAAAGGAGGGCATACTTACGTAGTGCAGTAGCTCAGGGCTGCCGCTGTAACCAGCGAGCATAACAACGTAGGCCAGCGCTGTGGGAATATTGTAATGATACTTGCACAGATTGGCCCAGCAGTCCTCAATCTCCTTGGAGTGCACGTCTTCATACTGAGTACACACATACAAAACAGTGCAGAAAAGTAAATTTAGCTATGAACACGTTCACAAATACGACACGGCATGACAGACATAATAAAATACAATGGTGACCATTGATGGAATTGCGATTTTATACGACTCACTGTTGCAAAAAATAGTAGAAAAAAACACTAATCCGTGCAAATATTAAATTTAACCCTTTTATTTATTGGCCGGCCCATACATTGATTGAACACCGATGTACGATGGGGTAGGCATTTTGAAATTATCGTAACTAATACTTGGTCAAATCTCGGTCTTTCGGAGAGATCGAAATATGTAGGTCGAAGAGAAAACTCTCAGCTGTCGCCTCGAACAATTTGCGAAGCGATACAAAGAGTGGTTCTTGAGTTATAGCACTCGTAATGTTGGTCCCGGGAAATTTGCGCTCAGAGCGCGATGTGTGGGTCAACGGCCGGGATTTTCCCTGCTTACGTCACCTGTTGACAAGGCTACACCGATTCAACTTCAAACGTAGGTTCCCGGGAGTCTCTACGAAAATTTTTGAGTTTGATACGAGCAACAGGAGTGAAATGGTGGATAGAGATAGATCTTGAGCATGAGCCCAGCGCTGGTGGGCCTTCCCTGGCTTGCAGCGCTGCGCCAGTGCAGCCCGTAGAGTCGAGTGTACGCTCATTGCGCTCCTCTCGTCAAGGCCTTTCCAGGATGCCCAAGATCGTGGAATTTGCCCAGTGCAAACTAAAGTTACGTCCAATTTAGGTACAGGTTTGGCGATTGCGTGGGCTTGTGTATATTTTAATCTGCCAATAAAGGGTTAATACACTCCGTGCAATAAATGCTGAGCCAAAATCATTCAATGGCACAATGGGTAGACTGCATAATAGTACTTGGCAAGACTATTGGCTAAGTTACAAGTCCAGTGTCTGTGGTGATACGGCCATGCTAAGGCCATGCAGCACTTGATGCTACTGCATTCATTGCAGAAATTCCACAGGCCAATACCGCAACATAGCAACAGAGATACAGGGCATACACACACACACCTTGACAGTGATGTAAAAGAGGTTGTTGAGCACCATCTCGGTGGCCTCTACACTGGCCGAGCCAGAGGGCAGTGGCACGTTTGTACGCCAGCTGTCCTCGCACACCACCACGGCGGACTGGCGCGGGAAGCCATGCGACGCCATCGGCCACTGTGTGGACATCTCCAGCTCAATGTTGCGTAACCATGGTACCATGTACTGTAGAATACAGCGCTGGCCACGCAGCTTGGCACTCTCAAAACGCATGAACAGTTCTGAGGAAACAAATCAAAAACAGTCGCAGGAACTTCATGTTAAACGCGCTAGTGCAGATTTACCAGTGGTCATTGCTCAATGCTCAAAGTCAAAGGTGTTACGGCTTCAGTAAAAAAAAACTGTGCTCAATTGCCTAGAACGACTGAGAGGCTTAGAGTCCAAATCTGGTGCAGTGTATGGAGTCCAGATCTGGTGCAGTGTATTGAGTCCAGATCTGGTGCAGTGTATTGAATCCAGATCTGGTGCAGTGTATTGAGTCTAGCTATGTTGCAGTGCATTGAGTCCAGCTCAGGTGCAGTGTATTGATGCAACTCACACCGCACAATAACACCTCGAAATGCACCTACCTGAAAGCATGGGTAGCGTCAGCTCCGGGTGAGAGCGAGCCAGCCGCTCGGAGAGAGTACACTGCCAGAGTGAGTGGGCACCGGCCAGGCTAGTCATGATACAGCTACTGGCATCACTATCTGATGAGAAATAGCGCCTGCACACACACACAGGTCATTCACGACGGAACAATTAGGAAAGGCTCTGTCAGCGAGTGCTTTGTGATACTTTTAAGAAAATTAAAAAAAATATTTCGTCGACAATTTGTTCAATGTAATCAAGTAGCGTGCTCCACTGTCCGAAGAGACAATTTGACAATTCGTTTAGTGATTTAGCAACCGCAGTACTGTACAAAGTACACTGTATGTACATACTGTGACCGTTGTTTCTCTTTCCATCGGTCTACCTGATAAGATGGTATTAGTGACTACACCCTATTTCCAAAACTTGCTCCGATCGCTTCGATTTTGGTCTCATGCGATTCTCCCAGGCGTAGTACATAGGAAATCTGTAAGTATTATTCGAATCGGCCCAGCCATTCTTGAGTTATAGTGAGTTGAAGTGCGCCAAGTTGGACTTTTGCTGGAAACAGAAATGAATGGGAGCGATGGGAGAATCGGGAACGACCGCACAGTCCGTGCATGCAGTACAGTGTACAGTGCACACGCCTCGTCACTCGAACTGCGCGTACGAAATTGCATACTTTGGTATGCTGGCGCAGAACAAATTCGCTCGTAGAGGAAGACGAAAGCGTCTCACCGCCTTGTAATTTCACATGGCCAGTAGTTTTTCGACGCTGAAGACGATGGAATAGTCCGCGACGCTGCGACCCGACCAGAACAACCCGAAATTCATGCCCTGAAAAAGCGCTGAGCGCAGAGCTCCTAAATTTTGTCGTATGGAAACGGGACTTCGGGTCTCAAGGGCACGAACATCTCCTCTCTCAGATAAAGCAATTCACTCGATGCGATATTCTACAATTTGACCTGGCCACGCCGAAATGCACTGCCATGTCAGATTCTCCCATCGGAAGTATAGAAACTTGTTTCCAAAAAAATCAGCGTCTGGGTGCGAGGGAGTAAAGTCACTAATGGTATTGACAGTACTTGTGGAATGCTGATCAGGACAGCTTCAAGCTGATCATGTCACCAGGTGTATATGCACTTGAGGCTACTCGAAATCTACTCAAAACAGTATCCGTCCCGCTATGTGAACAGTATGGTCTCGGCGTCACCTCAGGTCGCCTGAGGGCAAAAAGCCTCACCATCACTATGCTCCCATACGCAATTTTTTGTCTTTGCCTGTGAGCTGTGATCATTGTAAAAAAATAAAAAATAAAAAAATGCTAACAACGGTAGCTCTTACCTGTCGAGTATTTGCAGTAGCTGAGCAGCTCGCTCGCGAACACGATAACTAGTATCGGAAGTCATGAAGAGCGCGACGTTGAGAATGGCCACCATGTCACAAGGGTAGTTGGGACTGCGCAACAGGAAGCACGGCACAATGGAGACATTAGAATAACATCAAATACCATCTTACACAAATAGGTATGCAGACCCAAAATCAAGATGTTTCACTCGATTAGAAGGAGATCATCACCTAAGTACATGTGTGTACTTCGAAGTAAGATGTTGTTCTCTCTGCTGAACAAGTGGCATTCAAAACAATTTCCATGCACCAATCAGACAATGCAATACAATTCAAGCAGCCTTCTGTTGTCCAAAACATACAGTAGGGAGAGAGGAAAATTATAATTACAACTCTACAACTCAGAGTTTCACGCTCTGGGCGATCTTCAGGTAACACAAATATCCCCGCTTACTTCTGAGCAAAAGAGCGTGCCAGAGCATGGAAACAGCCATCCACAACCAGCCGAGATCCAATGTAGCACTTCTCAATGATCCATTCGAGCAGGACAGGCAAATCGGTGTTGCGCAACATCAATATCTCCAGGGCACTGCGGATCAGATTTTGCGTCTGTCGGTCAAAGCAGCCATGGATAGCACAACACAAGTCAGCCTATCGGCTACAGTGATAATACATACTAGTAGCAGCAATCATTCAGTGCACCCAGGCCATAACACACACAGGAGCAATAGGTGCTTGAAGGATTTGAAAGAGAAAGAAATCTGCTTGTGACAGGGTGAAAACCTCACACAAAGCTACTGTGTGTATAGTAATGGTAGCGACCTCGGTGATAATTTTATAAGGAAGTTGGTTGCTCCCCACACTGGAACACTGTGTATATGCACAGAGAATCACAAAGTACAGTTCAAACTTACACTGGATAATGACAGAATTATATTTCAGAATGCTCTGTCTCTACTAGTATATCAACGTCTTTGGCCAGTTTCCTAATTCGATTTCATCTGACATCACAGTCTTCATATTATAATCCAGAATAGCTGGCAACCACTGCGTGGTCTGAGCCATTCCGCAACTATACAGGACCCGCGTGTGGACTGAATGAAAGAGCACTACAAATATCCCTTGCCTTCTCCTCGGGCCGCTCCAGTCCCTTCGATATCCAACGAAGCAGGTAGCCGTGTGGTTCCAATGCCGACGAGTTGAAGATCGGGCCACAAATCAGCAGTGAGCAAATAGCCTAAAGCACACAGTGATAGAAGAAGAAAAAAGAGACCCTTCACCCAAGCTCCATGGTGTTTTGAATCGAACAAGGAGTAGGAGTCACAACTACATCAAATCAGAACAATGTTCTGTTCCATGGGAAATTGTGGGCACAAGTTATGCGATCAAGTCCACCAACTAAACCAGATTTTGATCGCATAACTAGTGCCCACAATTTCCCATGTTACAATCTGAGTTCTTAATGTTCTGTTCAATGTTCTTATCCGGCGTGATGTGGTTATGTCCCAACGTTTACCTGGCAGGACTGGATAAACATTCTCATCAGCCACTACTAGCAATACGGCACAAACAAATGATTCAAATAAGTGAAATAGCCCACCTTCAGAGCAGCAGCATGGAGGTCTGGCTGTTTGATTATCCTTGTGGCACTAAGAAGACAGAAAGAAAGAAAAGTGAATGAAAGAAAGAGGACATCAACCAAGCAGGTCCACATGAACCAATAATGGCACCATCAAGGTGTGCCTCTTATTCATGCAATATACATCAACTCTGACACAAACACGGCATGGCAGGACCGGACCCAACCGTACGCATTACCAGAATCCAGCAGGCGTATACTCAGTAGCTCGGCAATATTAACACCCCCCCCCCCCTCATATAGGGATTGGACCAGGGTAGTGTATTGCGTGTAATTTTAGGTGTTGTTAAATTTCGGTGTCAGGGACCCGCCAGGTTTCAGGTGTAATGTAGAATTAGGTGACCAACCTACCCTTCACGTACAGTGTGTACTCTGGTGCCTTTTAGGTGTTATCTAGATTTACATGTCGGTGCCTGTTTTCTCTACCGAAATTACCGAAATTAAAATTACACCAAAAATAACGTGTTATACAACATACGTAATATGATGTCCTAGCCAAGCGGGCATAAAAGTTCCCGAGCATACCAGCTACCAGTAGGACTTACGTAGCTAGCTCAGATGTTGTGATAGACAGCTGTCCACACCAACTACCGAACAAGAAAAACAAGTCGCCTCGCATCTCACTCGATAGTACACCTACAAACGAGAAGCGAAAACAATAAACACACACCTACCAAACGGGGAAGCAAGAAAATGCTGTATTGTCGAACAATACTTAGTACTACTAGTGTTTGTAGCTTGATGCATGCTGACAGGATGGACCTAGAAGAAATGTCCCACGTCAAGAGCTGCATAGATAATTAGATATATAATGGAATGTTGATACAATGTATCAGTACTCAATTACACCGGCATGTCATATTGTTTGATGAACAACCTTTCAACACAAAGCCCAGTCCTAAAGCAGACGATGCTCGCGGAGTATGCAGTCTGCATACATCTCGTACACATCGATACTATTCTACCTATTGCTATCTGCTGTGGCAGTCGGTGAGCCAGCCTCACCTTGCTCAATACTGTTGACAAGCTCAGAGATGAAGGTGCAGAAGCAAAGACGCATTTGGTCGTACGGCGCTCCCACTTTTTCGTTTTCCTGCAACAGGAACAATCTGTTGATAGATGGGCAACAAAAGCAGCAGAGAACAAGAATAGTCAGCAGATGATGGGGTCAAAAATCAAACAATACATTTTACGGCTCGAGTGAGCGTCGAGCAGACATACTTTTTTCGAATCCGTAGGAACACCACCACCACCAAGAAGCCATATTTGGAGTAACGGGAAGTAGATCTAAGAAGACCAAGTCGGTCAGCACTGGGCAGAGCCTATTGTATCTGTATAAACCCATGGTGGCTAGCATCACATACTGATCACATACTGAAATGAATGACGTTCGTTTCAGGGACGGCAAAAAAAACTTGCAACTGTCTCTTATGTACAAAGGAGGGCATTGGTAAAGTTGACAGAATTGAAAAAGTGCAAACCAAAGTCCATGTACCTCATTGCCTCGATGTAGTCCAGATGACAACGTAGCAGATTACCAGATGCATCCAATGTGCCAGAAGGCCTAAAGTACACACACACACACACACACACACACACACACACACACACACACACACACACACACACACACACACACACACACACACACACACACACACACACACACACACACACACACACACACACACACACACACACACACACACACACACACACACACACACACACACACACACACACACACACACACACACACACACACACACACACACACACACACACACACACACACACACACACACACACACACACACACACACACACACACACACACACACACACACACACACACACACACACACACACACACACACACACACACACACACACACACACACACACACACACACACACACACACACACAATTTCACCGGTTAGTGACAACATTCAAGGCATCCATAAAAATACTTATGTATTGGCCCCATCTACCCAGGGAATGATTCCATTCACACGGGATTAACAAAAATAGGAACCAACCAGAAAGATGCCGCAAATACAGAACACATTGCCAAAAAATTGAAATTAGTTTTTTTAGAAAAAAAGAAAAAGAAAAGAAGCCCATTGACCAGGAGACATTCAACTACAAATGGTGTACAATGCCATATTGTCATGAGGAAATTTAGAAAGAGTGAAGCTTACGAGTTCCGGAAGGCTCCGTTTGCCGCCACGAACGAATAGATGCGACTGATATTCAGCCGAAGAGGATTCTGCTTGTGTCTGTTCTTTCTTTTGCCCTGAGCAAGCAGAAGAAAAGAGCAAGCAACGTGCACACACCTGTGTTTAGAGCAGAAATGTCATCAAAAAGGACTTCTTTGATAGCTCAAGACTCGACACCGCAGAAACAGCAAAGAACCACAACACAAAGAGATCAGGACACACACTAAACTCATGAGGAAAGACAAGCCACACAGAGAAAATCCCCAGCCGTAGCAGTACTTACTCGGTCGAGGGTTTCAACCAACAGTTGCAGCTCAGTGACCATATCACTACACACAACAAGAACACAAGCATCACAATGTGTAAGTCAAACAAGTGGTGAAATACTAAGTACAGCCAGGTTTACACATGTACAGCAAGTACAAAACATGCACACATACACATGCACACACACATGCACACACACACACACGCACGCACGCACACACACACACACATACCGTAAAGTCGCGGATAAAAGCCGGGTTTGCATACAAGCACATCGCGGATAGAAGCCTGAAAATCAAACGGGTTAAATGCATATAAGCCTGTCGCGCGTAGAAGCCTGGCTTCTATGCAAGCGCGGATCGGGTAGGTCAAGAGTGCATGCGCTATGTACGGTGCATAGTAAAACTGCCGCCATACCGGTAGTCAGCGGTAGATCTACGCGTGTCGCGCGCAGAAGCCTGGCTTCTATGTGCACACAAGCCTGGCAAAAATATCAGTGGTGCATATAAGCATGGTTTGCATACAAGCCTGGTTTGCATTAAAGCCTGATGCAGAAAGCGGCTTATGTGCTTATAAGCCCGGCTTTTATCCGCGACTTTACGGTACATGCACACACATACACACATACACACACACACACTTGCATCAGAATTAGACAGAAATCAACAGTAAAATATGAGCCCCGGCCAGCGAAAATCAGCACTTGTGTACTTGATATCAATCATCAAAATGTGACGTCAAAGTTTGGGACGCGCAGTGAGCTGGCTTTTGAAGATTCTTTTTCGATCGAGTGGGTGTCTTTGTTGTCAAAGGAGTTTCAAGTGTCTTCAAATGTCTCTGGTCAATTGATTTTAGCGCTAGGTGAGAGCTCGTCACAGGGAGGTTGAGTTTCGACACAGCGATGGCGACAGGTGTCGCGACAAGGACCGTTAAGTCCAGAGTTGTCAGCGTGAGACTCCCTGTACGAATCGGCGCTGAAAGTTAGTTCGCGATCGGAATTATTTCTCTGGTGGCGATCTCGCTGAGTTTGTCCAGCAGTGGCGAGTCTCATATGCATAGCAACGAAGAGCCCTCATAAAATCGACACTGGATACTGGTGGCGACGATAGTCAGTGCTGGAGAATAGCGACTGCGAGGAGAAGCTGAATGTCGACGCTGAGCGATCCGTATTTTTACATCGACAACAATGATGTTGCAGACACTGATGAAGGGCTTCTCACGGCGCAAAACAGAGCGTAGTATTATCAGTACTCTACCTTGCCAGACGACGCCAAGCTGGCTGCTGCCTGTGCTGAGAAAAGGGATCCCTAAAAGGTCAAACCGGCTGAACGCTTTGGGGCATCATCTTCACGTGCTACAAAACGCGAGTATTCGCTCATATCATTGAAATACAATTATGCTGAAATCATGGTCTGAGTGAAAGTGTGCAAGGGAGTGGATGTCAGTGGTATTGGTCAGTACATCTATCAGTATGGCAAGCTTTGGGACAATGCTCAAACTGCCACCACAGAGGTCCCTGCACACAATTTGGAAGGCCAGCCACCAATCATCGTTTTGCACTCTGGTGTTGTAAAGAAGGTAGTGGTGTACATGTATACGGAATATCGTCACACTTCTGAACTACTCATGCCTGCAGCACCAAGAGGGCAAGCCTGACTTGCATTCTATTAACTTACATGTACCTGTTCCACATCACAATCAGAAACTGTAGGATCAACTTGCATTGAGTCACTGGGCATGGATGCTGCGCCAACTGTACGGAATCTTGACCTGTGTGACTTCAAACTCTATTTTCCTTGCTTTCGCTTATCAGATTGTCACCAAACTTGATAACTTGAATGATTAATAGTGTAGAATCAATTTCGAGCAAAAAAATAATTTTTGAAAAAATTACACATGTTCAGGTTTCTGCTGGCTGGGGCTCATATGAAGTTTTGCAAATTATTTCCCAACAACACAGTGCTTACCCGAAGACAAGTGGGTTGCAATAACCCAGCGCTGTGACTACGGCCTCGCGGATTTCCGGCACTTCACTACGCACCAACGGGACTAGCCAATGGAAGAGAGCGGCTGGTGTGAACTTCTGTTTTCCGCCCTGCATTCACATGGTGAAAGTATCAGCATTAGCATCAGCAGTGGCAATGTAAACATGAGCTGCAACAAGAGTGCATGCAGGGTACGCACGTAAACCATAAAAATCTTCAACAAACATAGTACAGTACATGTAGGTTGTTTATCTCATATGGTATTTCTGGGTATGACTACTGAACAGTAGCCCGAACAAACCATTCAACTGTTCTAGCTGCATGTTACATGGTGCAAAATTCATTGTACAGTCGGCTACTAGCTGGCAATGATGCGACACGGACGCAGCAGCAGCAGCAGTGCAGTGTGTGCCTTGCACATGTACACACATATACACATATGTACATGCTCCATGCATGTCCACTGCATGCCTTTGCACACGTACGGATAATGCTTACAGAAGGGGGTACATATTGGACACAGTATATTTACCAGGCTCAGTTTGACTGCAACACGCAGTGCTAACACAGATGACGGGAGGTATTTTCTAGTACAGAGATACCTACTTATTTACGAGTACAGACTCTTACGATGTAACACATCAGCATCCCACAGGACACCATCACATGCATCTCACCTTGGCATCAACCTTGTCGGTAGGAGATATGTCAGCTACAGTCCTGTTGGCACATACATACACACACGCGGCGGCGCACATGCCCACACGTACACACAGACACATGCACACACACACACGCGCGCGCGCGCGCACACGCACGCACACAGCAGAGGGAGTTACAAAGACATTTAGTCAGTTCAGACAGGCATACAGTACCGGTAGCTATCAGATCACTTTAGCAAACAAATTCACACAGGCCATTCTGAAATACTAGTAGCTCTGAGCATGCACTACAGCACGTAGGTGCGTTCCTAAATCGCACATAACAAGAACCAAGGACAAGACAACACACACATGCCTGAACCGCACAGAGCAAGTACCAAGGACAGCACAACACACATGCCTAATTCCCACATAGCAAGAACCAAGGACAACACAGTGCACACATGCACAAACAAGACTGGCAAATGATACAGTCACTCACGTGCTGGACAGAAGTTCCAGGGAATCATGGCCAGTGGGCGGTATAACACGGCAGGCAAACACCAGGTAGTTATGCCATAGGCATAGGTCAGTGGGATTCGGCGGCTTCTTCATGCTGCGCATAGAGCCTTTGGACGGATCGGACACGCTGAAGCTGTAAGCAAACACAAACACAAAAGCTCTGAAATGATGTGGCACTTATTTCAGACAGGGGGTAATAAAAGACCAGCCCCAAGTTCAGAAAATACGTTAGGGGCAATAGCAGCAGCAGCACAAACACCTTGGACACATTGGCTAGACAAGAGCAGAAAGCTGGCCGAACTGTTAAAAAGCAGGGCCAGACCGCAAGCACACGGCTTGGAATTTAAAATTGGGACTGGAAGTGTGCACGGCTAGCTCAAGAGCAGATTAGCAGAAGCACAGACCTACCGGAATACTGGTTCATTGCACCAGCAGCCCCACTACAGACAAGGGGGTATAACACACTAGGCTTGGCCACACACATGATGGTACAGTCAGACCTTTTTAACCGCACACATCCGTTATCCACAAAAATATCCGGATAGACGAGGGAACCGGATAATCGAACGCACATACGGTATGTATGCATGACATGTGCTGTAAATCGGTAACCAACGATTGTCTTCCGGATGGTGAGGGATCCGGATAAGAGAGGACCGGATGAGCGAGGTCTGACTGTATTGCAGTCACCACCCAAAACACACACAGGAGATTCGAAAAGAGGAAAACAGCACGACAACCGAGATCAACACCTACCCAGGATCGATGTTGGAGTACGCTGCCATCAGGCGTTGGAACACCGACGGGCGGCTGTACTGCACTGCCGACGGGCACTGCTGCGGCAGGTTTTCACGCTCCAGCAGTCCAGCCAAGCATGCTGACCACAGGTCAACGTGGCTATCACCGTACGATACAACATTGTTTGCATCCAGGCTAAACCCACTGCACACACGATGGGAAGGAAGCAGAAAGGGGACCGGTTCATAAGCATTGCACCGGAAAAAGAACAATATATCGAGAAAGGTACGGAAGCTGGTAGAAATATCACACAAGATACAGTAGAAGAGAGATGAATGTTTTATTTCAACACAGAACTCGGAATGAGAGAGAAAGAAGTTTGCTTCCCAATGTTTTCAGCTGTTGTACTGTACAACCAGTTTCAGGATATAAAGAACTCCAGCGGCAGTGATGCCGTGTCTAATGCAAGGCCTGTCCAAGGCAAGAAGGTGCAGTTGCATGGCTGATACCGTGATACGGTGGAGACGTACCTTGTGCTTGGCGCTACGCCACCCATTGTGCTTGCCTTACTGCCATCCGATGAGGTCGGTCCGGCACTCGATCCGGTTATAGTGGGGTAGGACGAGTGCGCGGTCAAGCCGAGAATGTTTGACGGTTGCTCAGCCAGCCAAACCAGATCAATGGATGACAGCGGGACAATGTTATTCTGCAGAGCAACAGAACATCAGAGTGCTTAAATCATCAGGCAACCTCAGCAGTATGGAATACGGACTGGTATCTGTGATGCACTTCATACACTAGCCTGCATCCACAGATGCGAATGTGTGCACCGCCTAACATCTGTCGACTCGGTCATGCCACGGGAAAGCCCACAAAACATGTGATAACACCTTGAATGAATTAGGACTTCAACATCTTCGTACTAAAAATGTGCATGCATACATGCACATGCCGATCATTGGAATGCAGTAGAGGAGGAACCAGCGTACCCGTGTTTTCTCCGGCAACAGCGACAGGCACTTGTGCACAACGCTGCTGGCGATCTTCTCAATGACGGTCATGACCGTCTCCTCGGCAGAGTTCTGGTTGAGCCCAAGCAGCTGGTGTAGGGTACGCACTTCCTTCAGTATGATCATGGCCAGCTTGCGTGTCGTTGGTCTGGTGCTGCACATCACAGCCAGTGAGAAGCCCTCGATGTAGTGAAGGACCTCTGCCGTGGAGCTGCTCGGAAGCAGAGTCTCCGGGCCTATGTCACTCGAAGGAGTCTCCGAGTCGGCGCTCTGCATATGAATAAAATCACATACAACAGCAACAATACCGATGGCATGCAGGCACGTCATGGCAGTAACGGAAGAGAGCCGGCTCGCTACAAATAACACTTTGCAAGAAGTGAGACATCCAGATGGACATGGAAGCAAGTGCACACACAGTCAAGCCCACGAGCAGCAACAGCTTGCGAATTATCAGAAGGACAAAACTTAAACTAAGGCTAAAGTTGCTACTTTCCAAATGGAGCAAACTGACTACAGTCAACTTTGCATATAACGACACTTGGCGGGCATCAGAAAAGTGTCCTTATTCACGAAGTGTCGTTATACCTGACGTCTCATATACGTATACAGTTGGATTGGACTTTGCTCTGGGCATGGAAATTCTGTCGTTATTTGCAAATTGTCGTTATATCCACAGTCGTTATTAGCGAAGTTGACTGTACACAATTTCAACTTTGGACATACAATCAAGAGTACATAACCCCCCAGAGTGTGCAACGCCTGATCCAGCTCTGCATAGGGTCTTGGTCGAGCGTAATCGGATCTTTGCGTCATAATACCGTACATATCTGAGGGGAGTCCGGGGAGTCGTGGGTACTCTCGGATCAAAAACAACGGTGCCCTGCCTCGAGACCGGCCTTGCGCTGGTGTGGAGTGTACGCATGACATCAGAAGATCCGATTACGCTCAAACAAGACTCTATGCAGAGATGGATCAGGCGTTGCACACTCTGGGGGTTATGTACTCTTGATACAATGGTACACTACCTCTCAATATCATGCCAATGGCCGGCTGTGGGATAGCAGGTTGCTATGCTTACCGGCTTCGGCGCCTTCTCCTGGGATGCAGCTGTTTTCCAGTGCGTGAGAAACTGCACAAGGCATCGGAGCTCACTTTCCAGAATCAGCGGATGCGCGTCCGGAACGTCTTTGCTCATGAAGCTGACAAACCCTGCAAACGACAACGATGCCAAAAAGCAATAACACCAGGGTTTAAGAACAAACTGTGTGCAACTGAGAGAGAGAGAGAGAGAAAGACCGGCCAGCATACCGCAGTAACATAAAATGACCTATGCATCAGACTACGTGGACCTCACGGCTCAAATACGACTGCGAGGGATGTCCGAAATAAGTTTTACTTGGCAATGGCGATAGCGCTGATAGTACAATAATGTAGGTCACGCCACATTGACGGGGCCATGGCCAGTCGCACACACCGACAAGCGAGACGATGCAAAATGCAGATGTGTGGGGTTCTCCTCATCACAGCTTATCTACCGTATTTTCCGGAGTATAGTGCGCACCTTTATATAACGCGCACCCCCAATCTTCATTGGGGGTGCGTACTTCAATCTTCATTGAAGTACATGCATTTCATATTTGGAGCATAGTGCGCACCTGCGATTTAGGGCCTAAAATAGCACATCTAAAGTGCGCACTATACTCCAGAAAATACGGTATGTACAAAACATACCTCGGACAACTTCCTCCCGCCAATCTGGCAGTTCCATAACCATCGTCTGAAGAGATGTGAATGCCAGCCTATAGTCGGTAACAGACACGAGCAGCACAAGACAAAGCACAGTAAGACAAAAATAATGAAAATGTACATGGCCAACGACAGCAGCTGTCAACAGCTGCACCGGGAACAGATCATTGTGCAGTGTTTACTATGTGACACGTGTACTACATTACACACTCACCCTCTCAGTTCACTGTCCAAATGGATGGTTAGCCGAGACAGATGGTCGACGAGGTCTTGCTTGCTAACACCCTCCGGAATGCACCTGTGGCCACACAAGATAAGAAACACAGGTCACATGACCAATCTCACAAAAAAACATCCAAGCGTAAACTTGATATCAACAACATCAATGAACACTAAAATGAGACCAGGCGAGTCTACACGACAACATTGTACAGAGAAAGCACGGCACATGAACTATGTAACGATGAGTATACAAAGTGTGCCCAGACTGACCTTGGAATGGCCGCAATACAGGTACGGTAGAGCTCAATCTTAGGCTTCCGATCACCGCTACACAGGACGAGTGTGCAACAAACACAGCAAAGGAGACACACCACACAGTCACATATCACCAAAATAAGATATTCTTGGTAAAAACTTTCAGGATTGTCCACCCTCAAGACATCTCCCTTTTTGTTCTCTCAAACTAAATGACTATTAAAAGAGACAGTGTCAGCCATGGAATTCTTCTAATGTCAAGCTGTGGGAGTGAACAGCAAGTGAATATTGCCATACCAGGAAAATCGTACACGAGCACTTTCTAATGACCCACACTAATTAGCCATAACCACAGCACCCGTTAGAATAAGCCCTGTGAATGCAGTGCCTAGCTCTGGTATGGCTAAAGTCATTCACAACGATGCAGAGGACGACAGTTGTACTCACGTCAGAATCTCCTCTTGATCTTTATTAGCAAAGTGAGAGTTGGTCATGACCAGCTGTCGGCCAACCTGCAAGTCCAAAGACTGCAGCTCCCGGTCCAATGCACGGCGGAAAAAAAGAGGAAAAATCCCAGCACACAGCCACACCACACCACATAAATGCGTATGAACAGCCTTACAGGGAAAATTGATCAGACGCACATGCACACTCACACACGCACGCACGCACGTACCCCCCCCCCCCCCCCCACACACACACACACACAACACCTTTGACCTTTGACGCCCATCGCCGGAGGCGATGATAGCAATGCTATGGCAGAAGCCTTAGCAACTTGTGCTGGGATTGCACCATTCAACAGCTTGCAAGGCTGAAGAATTGACCGTCACTATTCAGCCTGGTCTACACCATACAGCTATTTTGAAGTGACTAATTTCTGGCCAGTGAATCCCTATTTTTGGTCTTTTCATTTCACACAACACACACACACACACACACACACACACACACACATACATACATACAAACATGTGGGTGCCTGCCCGTAGGCAGTGAAATTGAGGAACATTACAATAATACACAATACAGAGCAGCAATTTCCCAGCAAACATAATGTAAAACATGCATCACAATGCTGCAGCGTATGTACCTCTGATAGTAGTTGAAGATGCCAATTTTCTTGGCCACCTGGTCGGTCAGTACTGTGTTGAGAAAGTGCTTCTTCGTGCGGAGAGTGTTGCCGGATGGCATAGTTCCGACTGTTGGAGGCATCGGCGGTGCACCCTCCTGCAAACCAAACACAACACGGGCACAGCGGTGTGTCACTGTCACGATGAACAATATACGGATGGCGTTAAGTTGTTAAGTCACCTCAGTGCTTGTGGCTCAGTGTCTATTGAATTGAACAGGAATGAACAGGCATTGCTCACTCTTCTTGCCTGGACAAGTGAATCGTCCAAGCTCTCACAAAATGACGAACAAGTCAGGTCCCAGGTTCGAGTCCTGGTGGGGTCGGCATTTTTTCGCTAGTTCACTTCCCTGGTTGTTTACAGAGAACGCATAGAAAGCAGAGGTTAAAAATTAAACAAGCAGCATAGTCTCACCTGTTTCTCAAGGCTATCAATGATAACCAGGAAGGCACGAAGACCAATGTTTGTTCTCTGCAACACCAACAGTACACATATAACAGTATGCAGTTAAAACTTAGGCCCAAGCCCGGCAGGAATACTTACAGAATCACTGCGGACAATTTGCTCGAGGCAAACATCACCACAGATTGCCGTAAGATTGAACTACAGTACCGTATTTCCCCGATTATAGGTCGCACCTTTTTACACTAAAAATCAAGGGTGAAAAGGGGGTGCGACTCACAATCGAGCATGACTTACTACTGAAATCAATATATCAAAACAATATGGCTCAAACCTGGAAATGGGGGTGCGACTTATAATCGGGGAAATACGGTACATGGCCGTAATCTTCAAGACACACAAACACCACTATAGCATTTGATATGAAGGATGCACACACATACAAACATAACAACAACCTCAGCATGACAGCTTGCAACGCAGTGCCCACATCCTGAGCCGAGCGTGTCATAGCATCTTAGTACTACAACCTGACTTGAAGAAACCACGTGCCAGCACGCACCAAGGACCATTATGGCGGCTTTGCAAGTACATGTACATTGTATATTACAGTTAAAGATATCGTTGCACAGAACAGACTACACATAGCAAATCCTGGCCTTAGAACCTCACACAACTGCTCAAGCACATCCATACAGTACATACCGTACTTCCGCACATATAAGCGCATGTGCTTATGTCCGGACATAAGCGCATGTGATAACACCGTTGTTTAGGACACAGACAAACCTTTATTGCACTTATAAGCACATGGGCTTCTAGCCGAACATGTTCACAAAGCAAAAAATCATTTTTGTAGCAAATTTTCACTTATAAGCCCATGCGCTTATACGTGGGGAAGTACGGTACCATGTATTTGCTGTATGCATGCAATAGGTCAGATACTAGGTCAGATACCGCAGCAGTTCACCAGGGTCACGAGACACACAACCAACACACACAACACTGCGATCGACTAGAACCCCCCCAGTACAGGCAAAACATACCTCGGGATGTTGCGCTTTGTTTGGGCGTTGGTTGATGCTTAGCAATTCAAAGATAATCTCTTGCATGGCGAAATCAAGCTTCTCCTGTGAAAAAAAGAGAACAGAGAACCAGAAAAGGAGAGCATCTATCCAACCCTTCATGGTAAAGCTGCTCCACATGCATTAGGAATTGGCCAAATACAGACAAACGCCAACACACATTTACACAATGGCCTCCAGGAGGCATATCAAGACCCGGCACGCCAAATAGGAGCAACAGAAGTGAATGTGATCATTCACTAGGGCTAGGGCTGGCCAACAGCATTGCCAGTGTGCTTGTTTGCTTAGCTTCATTTAACTTCATCATAGGCACGGGAAATATCTGCCTTCTCACTGGGCGTATCGCCACAGTTCCCACCTTACCTGTGCGATGAAATGTACAATCTTCACGAAAATAGTCAGTGATGTCTCGCGCGGTACAACGGACCGGGAATTGCGGGGAAATAAGCAGTCGACAATTGTCCGTAGCCGACTGTGTGACAGCAAGATCAGACGGAACAAGAGCCATCGTCATACAGCATACCAAGATAAAGAAGAAACTTTATAAAAACCTTAGGGGCAGTCCGGCATTATTGAAATTTTTCGCGGGATGAAAAAGTCAAATTATGACACCCCAATATTTTTCAAAAGGAAACTCTCTTTGACCCACCCACAAATGGTGCAAAAGATCGATAATTACGGACGGTCCCTTATAAGTTATAGTATGCAAAGACCACAGAGCACACAAAGACACTGCTGTGCCATTCAAGTGCAGTTAGAGTGCCAAAGGCTATGCAATGATCAGAGACCGAAAGAAAACTGGATCAGAATAGTACATGACCATACTCAATCTGTGGACAGAACTGTTTCGTCCCTTGTGGACTCATCAGCTACATGACCATACAATACCAATGGATGCCGCACCACATTCAGCCAAAGCACAAGAAGCATCGGGTACCAGACAACACAAAGGCAGCAATACCTCGTATGCTGCACTCAGTAGGCAACTCATACACTATAAGATGCCCAGCACCCTATAGAGTGTTCATAGGTCAAAATTGCCCTGTATGCAGTTCAGGTAGTCTAAATAAGCTACTGCAGTTACCTCTGAGTTGCTGTGTTACTCTCACACTTCACACGAATCATATAGACCCTGCGGATGGAGACAGGGAGGGGAGAGAGAGAGAGAGAGAGAGAGAGAGAGAGAGAGAGAGAGAGAGAGAGAGAGAGAGAGAGAGAGAGAGAGAGAGAGAGAGAGAGAGAGAGAGAGGGAGAGGGAGAGAGAGAGAGAGAGAGAGAGAGAGAGAGAGAGAGAGAGAGAGAGAGAGAGAGAGAGAGAGAGAGAGAGAGAGAGAGAGAGAGAGAGAGAGAGAGAGAGAGAGAGAGCAACATCAATACATGGATAACAGAGTAATAAAAACGGAGCTGTATGAATCCAATACTGTAGGATAAGACTCTCCAGGCGAAATTTCAAATCCCGTAGTATTGAGAGCAGAGCAATTGAACAATGGTTATTGTCGTGAAAATTCCCTTGTTTTATGTCAGTGACGTTGAATCTCTTCATTTACTGAAGTACATGTATATTATGAACTACGGCTGGCCACAGCAATTTGACGGGTATGTGTCACTTGTACGATAGAGGGCTTGCGTGGGACACGGGCAGGGGCTATATTCGTCAAGAATAGTTCGTGAGTTCGTTAAACTTCATCATTTGTGAGAACTAAACCTGGTCTAGTGAGAAGGCATTCTACTGCCTGTAATTCTGGTGAAGTAAAATAAAGTAACAACAACAACAACAACAAACGAACCGTACAGTTCGTCAGAATGTTTCGTTCGTTTCTTTTAGGGTTCGTTTCAGGCCTAGTTATTGATAAGAGTTGAGACCATTTTCAGACGATTGAAAGGGAAGATTCATAACTATAGAATTTGAACAGATCACACCCAGAGCATATCCACTGCCTACATAACGCACACGCGGAACGCGTCCAACACTCACCACAAAAGCCGATAAATAGAATCCAGTGATACTCGTTGCATTCGCGGGTCTCGATGCTGTTTGCAGAACACACACACACACACACACGCACACGCACGCACACACACGCACACACACACACACACACCTCACACACACACACACGCACACACGCACACACATACACACACACACACACACACACACACACACACACACACACACACACACACACACACACACACACACACACACACTACACATTACACATTGAGCAACAGAAGAAGCACCACACGACATACCGTACATGTCAACCAAGCATGCGATGAAAGTGCAACACAAGTGCGCTCATGCTTTGGAGAATGCCAACAGGTAGCTGCTATTGCAATCTCCAGCAAACCCCAACACCCATGATCAACAAAAACGAAACGATCCCGAAGTCAAACAATACAGTCATGCCTAGTGCACTAGTGCACTTGTGCCATTCATACCTTCAAGTTAGTCAAGCACATTGTCAAGAAGTAGTGCCAGTTTGCCAGAAAGAACGACCGTTGGCTGATACTGAGTAGGATTGTGACAAGCGGGAAGGCCGCCTGGCATAAGCAGAACACACGCACACACAGCATGGCAGGTAGAAAGTCAGTACAAAGACTATAATATTATGATTACAGTCTGATCGGGCGCCATAGAACACTTCGCCGAAGAACACTTTGGCTGGAAAATGGCACAGATTGAAGAACAATCCAGGCTAGATTTGCAGATCTAAGAACACTTGTACTGCTTTATGCATGGCGTGATAACATCGCTCTCCATGATCGCGGAATAAGAACGGAACGACTAAAATCTGAACGTTTTAGAACAATAGACACCCTTAGCAAACAACGGTAACGCTATTTTTTACGGTACTCGTACCTTGATCACCCAAATAGCGTTGAAGCTGCAGCGTATAAACTTTATGGGGGCTGATTTATCGTTGTGACCAACGTACCGTGTTTTGGCCAAATATTGCATAGTCCGTACGCATTTCACCTTGTATCGCGTATATGGTGACAAAAATGGTTGTACCGCGCGAAATTAAAGCTACTCTCGTGGCAACAGCGTACTAAAAATAGCGTGCATCTTGCTAAAGGTCGAACCCAAATCACGGTATTTTCCCCCTTACGATAATACCGTTACAACATAACGTTTTTTGCTAAGGGTGTCTAATACCAGACTGCGCCGTAAGCCCCTGCGCTCTTCGGCGCCCGATCTTACTGTATTATGAACATAACCACGTGTTACTGCTTATGTGCAAGACTATAGACAACAGAAGTTGATGGAGGTATTATTTTAAACTATAGAAAACAACATGAAAAGCAAAATTGCAGAAATACTGAGTGCATGGACGTATACAGCTATATTTCATCAAGTCCATATCCACAAACGGAACATTACACAAAACTGCTTATCAAACACCATCACTCAAGAAAAGAACAAGGTTCAGGACCCTGACAATCGTCATCCTCAAAGCTCTTCCGCTAGTAGTACTGTCATTTCCTTCTTGGCAGGTGGAATACAGGAACTTAAAGCTTGTTTTTTTCTTGAGTGTCATTGCAGTTTTGTCTCCGAGAAAGTTACAAGCACCGTCATCGAATATCAAAATGAATGGACAGCGGATGCCAGCCAACATCAGGAGTCATTTCAATGCTACATCAGTGCACTGCACACGCATACACCAGCATGGCCTGAGAGTTCTAGGGTAAGACATGTTTTATAATGGTTTTATACTCCACTTACCATGGCTTGGCGGCCACCTCCTTTCTTGGCCATCTCGCAGGTCTGTGTGTACATCAGGTCAACAAAAGACTTGCACACCGGCAAATTCACCTCCAATTTGACAGCCTACAGAGGACCAGGGCAGAGAAGGGAATTAACAACAACAGCAACGACAACAATAACAGCAGCAGCAACAGCCCTCTTTATTATACAAGTACATATACTACCTTAACAATACCCTGTGCGGATGAAGTTTGGCCAACCAGCAGTGTACACAGACCATGGAGCTGCACAGCGCCACCAGTGCACAGCCCAGTGCTCCTAGACCATGGGGCTGCACAGGGCCCGGCGTTAGTTCACTAATGCAATCAGATTTCACCGAGCAGCACTGTATAACCATCTTGGAATAACCAATCACAACCACTTCGCAGGGTCCAACAGAATCAAATGTTCTGAGAAATAGCCGATTTCAAGTTGACTTCATCTCTACCCCTACTTGAACAACATGACGCTGCCTGACACGCACCAGTATATACAAAATGATGTACCATCAACAATTAGGTGGCCAGATTCGGAAATACGAGCACCTCGAAACCAGACCATGTTTGCCCAGTCCGAACGGCGGTCATATTCCTGAGCCTCCACTAAATTGCAAAAAGGAATACAGTACTGTCGGGCGCCGAAGAACGACCAGCCTAGAATTTCACTAAGAGCACGGCATACCAACGTATACACGGTGACTCAATAGTGTATAGACTGCAATACATGAAAAGAAGAACGGTCGAGGCTAGGAGGCCAACACTCCAGTTCTTCGGCGACCAACAGTACTGTACAGCATTGGACATTGTAGGCAGTTGCGAATACAACATCGCAACACAAAGACCATACAAACACACATTCAAACTGACCGCTGCGACAGGGCCAAGAATCTCGACAAACATGGCCGCAAAGGCACTGCGAACATCCTTTTCGCGAATCGTCAGGTAGATATTGCCCAGCTCTTTCAGGAAGCGAAACCACTCCTCAAGCGCCTCGACGGGATACATCTTGACCTTGGCGAAGCTCAAGCCGCGGATCAGATTGATTGTCGTCTCATTGCCGGGATTCATGGCAAGCTCGTCCTTCAGTTTGTTACGCACAAAGGTGAATCTAGGGCAAAAACAACAAATTTAATGGCTTTGAGTGTCTAACATAGACGAGCGGAGCACAATACATGACCGATGTAAGCTCAAGCATGAGACCAGCGTCAGTGGTATTACTAGTAGATGCCATTGGGCACAGGGAGACGACACAGGTGACTGTAACGCTAAATCATGTGGGTTTCAACCCCAGGTTGCTCGTTACTTTCGGCAAGGCCGATTTATACAGACTCGCACATGGCATTGCTTGTCTGGACCGCGCTTGGGGTCAGCAGGCCACGATCGCATGTTGCATAGTTGGTTTGACCACAGATCACATAGAAGTGCCACATCCGGGGTCAAACCACATCGTTCCGGGTACAAAGGCCTCGGTCCGTCCCCCTGTATGCTACGAGTCCCAGGATGGCATCTACTGCAGCAACACAACATACATCTACATGCGATCCTGCAGGACTCGACTCACTTGGACAAGGCGGATAGAATGAACAAACAGAAGAAGAAAAAAGGAAGCCATAATCCCCTCAAATAGATGATCAAGTATGCCCTGGGACAACCCTTACCTGGAATAGGACAGGACACCGATGACCTCGGCATACAGGTCGGCGATTCTGTCACCGTTGGCTGCATTGGGGCCATTGCAGAAGCTGTGTCCACAACGAGAATAACAAAATACACACACACACACACACACGCACACACACGCACACACACACACACACACAAGCAGTCAATGAGTGGGCATGCACCAAGATACACCACACGAGGGCCAACCCACCACTTGAGCAGGATACCACCCAAACACCCACAGCTAAACAGCCAATCCAGGCACTTACAAGTTCCGCTCCTTGAACTTCTCAAAGGCCGTTTCAATGATGAATTGGATGAGGACGTCCGGTGTGGGGTGAACAGACAGCTAGAAGACAACGACAGAAACAGGGTACCGTAAGTTGGTACATGATGTTGACAACTTGTACCAAGGACCTGTCAGGAAATGACAGAGGTGGCTATAGCAATCAACACCCCTAATTGACCAACAAGCCGACACAAGGGTCTGCATACTCCCAATAGCACATGAGCATCCTTGAGTTCACACCGAAGACAGGAAAGGCGTATGTCAATATTGCATTGCAAGAAGACGACATCAACGAGGCATCCGTGTGGTACGAGTCAATGCGCTGAAGACACAGTGCTGATAAATCATCTCCAGGGATAGTCCAAGAGGTAGACATGGTGCCTCAATGGTCCTTATGCACGTTGTACAGATGTACGAAGTTCTGTACTAGGGCCGTAGGTGTGTACATACCCGGTTGGGTGTTCATTGTGTGCTATACATGCGCGTTTGACCCATTTAGCCTCATATTTCATGGCAAACAATCGCTTTTCCAGCTTCTTCACTTTGGGATTGAACTAACGACTAGCTAGATCTCTGCCGGAAAAAGATTTCGTATGAAATGCCTTCATAGTGGAAATAGCAGTAAACACAATAGGGTCATGCACATTCAACACCCAACCGGGTCTACGGGATTCTACAAGATTCTACGCGATTCCGTGCATCTGTACAAAGTGCATAAGGCCTATAGTGGAGAGCATAGGTGATATAGGTAATGAGATAAACGTCTTAACAACATCAGGTCTACCTTGGTCAGAACTTCAATGAGGACTCGGCAAAAGATGAAGTCAACGCAGAGCTGTGGTGAAGAAATCACAGCACATGCACACACACACACACACACACACACACACACACGTGCACACGCACGCGCGCAAACACACATGCACACACACACACACACACACACACATACTGGTAGCACAAAGGAACGCTCTCATTAATTGCAAATCCACCAAGAATATCTCCACTAACAAGGATATAATAGGTCTGGGTTGGGACAAGACAAGGGAGTTGAGTAAACCAAACAAAGTGAACTGGCGCATCACTAGACTAGCCCACAAGTGCACCAGCTAGTAAAGGCATTTCAAAAACTTCAAGAGCGATGAACAATATCACCAAGAATCCTCACGGAAATAATTTATATCTACATTGCATGTATGTGCAGCGACCAGTACAGAAAGGTTCAAGACAAATTGATATGTCTAATCTCTACAGGCGCCAGAGCTCTTCACACAGATTCCGACAAACAGGACTTACATCTCTTCTGTCGCGCTGATGATCGCGCATCTGAGAACCACCAGCTTTGCCCACAGAGCCTCTGCAGGAGCAACAAGGCACAAGCACACGGCAATATAGCCATCAGCATAGCTATGGTGTGGTGCAAGTGGCAACAACAAGGCAAGCACAACAAAGCAATGGCTGCACACACATACAACAACAACGACGACGATGACCATACCTTTCCCGCTTGCCACTTGATTTCATCTGCAGAGAAAAAAGGCATCAACAAGGAACCCATCAATACTCACAAGTCACAACAATTCAGCTGATCACAGGTGGTAGAATGATTGGAAGCTCGCACACTCCTACCATCAGACTCTAATCATGCTACTTACAGTATGTAGCAAGTAACAATTCAACGCAAATACTGTAGAAAAGCTAACATTGAATGATTGAAACTGCAGTAATAATCCGTGTAGGTCATGACTTGGGGGGGGGGGGGGGGGGGGGGGGAGAGTGGCCGCCTAAATATGGGAGGGTCGAGAGCATTTTACTTGAGCCAAACCCTACAAAAGCATACGTCTTGCCAAAGTGAACGTCAGATACACGCGGCACGCACTGGACATATTCATGTGCATGTAGCATTCTGTCAGAGCTAACACATACCTGCTTGGCATACCAGTCCAGTACAGTCCGTAGCACGGATGGCAGACAGTGCTCAGATATAGCACTGAGGGAAAGTAGAGTCTACAGGAGGCACACAGCGACAGCAGCCACATAACAATAGCAGCGTTACATTACGGTCAAACAATGTGAACAGTGACAGCAGCCACATAACGATAGCAACGTTACATAACGGTCAAAAAATGCGCGGACAGTGAAACATTAACAGGGGCATAGTTAAGGACAGGACATTTTTGACGGAAACATAGCATTGCCTGATCAGTACAGCTCACTGGCGTCTTCCGTAAATTATGTCGTGAGTTTGCATCGCTCTCAGGTGCCACCATGCATCGCATCGCAAAATAATTCTGAAAATGCCACTTAACAGAGCAGAGAGCTGCAGCGTTCTACAAACTCTGAATTTCTTACGATCACAAGCAATCATGAGGGGACTAAAAAAATCCTTCCCCGAGTACAGTATAGATGTCAGCAAAGAATACCATATTTCCGGAGTATGAGCGTACCCAGATTTTTCGTCACGAAATGCAAACATCTGTCCTGTTTAATCACGGTTAATTTGACCATCGTAGTATAAGCAGCACCGACTGTTTTGGGTAAATTACTCGTGTTTAAAGTTTGGTGTATACACCGGAAAATATGGTACATTGTGTTGCCATGACTGAGATGCACCCCTCGGCTAGGACTGTAACACAGGTGTGCTGTGCAAATCACCACAGCCACACACACACACACACACACACACACACACACACACTCTGGGCCTGACCTGGTCAAACTGGACATCTTCGCCGGTCTGCAAATATCGCGCAAGCGGGCGATCCTGCACCAACAACAAGAAGACCAGCGTTTCAACAAGCAGGACACAAAGCAGACGGCCCGCTGCAAAAGAAACTTCTCTATACAAAAACTTCAGAAGAGAGGACAGGCAAAGTAACGAGTTGCACTTTATTCTTCACCAAAATCTGGTGGACAATGCAAAATCTCAGCCTAAGATTTACACTGCATTACAATGGGCAGAGATAATGGCTGCTTGCCACATACACGGGTTAAACAAAAAGCAAGGTCATGCTATGTTGCACCTGTCCCTGACCCCGTCTCAAACACTTTCATACGGGCTTATCTTCCTTCCCAGACCCGAAGGACTGTTACGACGGAGGCCAAGACGGTGATGGCGACGGTTAACACGGGCAGTGGCACGACAGACATAGCCATGTGGAAAAGTACAGTACTGCTGGTCACCAAAGAACTGGGGGAGGGGGGCAGGCTAGTAGCCTAGACCATTCTTATTTTCATGTCCAGTGAAGCCTGTCAGCTGACCACTCAATGGACCTTCAAAACGTGGTCTCTGTAAGCAGGTGGCCTCCTTATCCAGGTCATTCGACTGGAATAGCATCCCTTGGTCGTGGTTGCAACGGTCTTCTCGGACAGGTGGTCGCCTTATCCGAGTGGTCGCCTTATCCGAGTGGTCGCCTTGACAGCTTTTACTGTACAAGTACCGTAAAGTACCGTTGATCCCCCCCCCCCCCCCCCCCCCCACCGCACCATGTCGCTTCCCAGCTGGATTTTCGGCAGAGGGCGGGAATTAGATCAAGACTGTCAAGTGCAGTACGCTGTACAACAACGTAGAGGATCAGACTCGATCTGCTGGATTGTGCATATTTTCATCCTGGATTGGCACATGCCGTATTTCCCCGTAAGTTAGTACGTACTAACTTTCAAACTTAGCAGCCACATGAGTACTAACTTTCGGGGAGTACTTTTTTATCGGGGGTAAATGACACGCAGTGGGAAGCCTGCGCAACTCTTAGTGTCCGTGCATATGATGTATGTACTGTACGGTGTCTGTACATGTAGGACGGGTACGAACTTACTATCTTTCGGGGGGAACTGTCTTTCGGGGTGATAACCTCGGCAGTGGAAAGTGTATTTTTTATAGGGGGGGGGGGGGGTACTAAGTCATTGGGGAGAACTAACTTACGGGGAAATACGGCATTGTGTATAGCAGTGCATGCGTCGGTTCAACATCGTATTTCGTCGTATACGCCGAAGTCGCTTCACAGGTAGAAAATCGACAGGGGGCAGGAATTAGAGAGGGGGAGGATCAACGGTACTTTACGGTACTACAGTCTATGCACAGTTGAGTAAACGCGTATACATTGGTATGCTGTGCTTGGTGAAATTCTAGCCTGTTCGTTCTTTGACGCTCCGTTCTTCGGCGTCCGACAGTACAGTAAATTACATGGTATCAATTTCTAAGGTCCGATGCTGCTTCGCGAGTTAGCCGACACTTCCTCCAACTAATGAACATTGTGTCAGTTATCAGCGGCCAGGATGTGTCATGTATTTATCAAATTTCAATACTTGGACCCTGGGCATATAATAAAAACCACTAAAGCACGATACACTGTATGCACTAAGTTAAAGTTGGCATTGCCTAGTTCAGCAACAAGGGACTTTCTGGAATCGGGGAAGTAAGTTCTCAAGACACATTCCGGCGCCACTACACACTTATGCGCCCAGCTGTTCCCACACTAGTTGCAAGTGCTGCATGCACACACACACACACACACACACACACACACACACACACACACACACACACACACACACACACACTAGCTATATATAGCCTCCAGTGCAGGGCCATTCATAGAAAACATGACAAGCAAAGCAATAGCACGGGCCCTCTGGCACGGGGCTACTGAGCCACTGAGCCAAGTACCGCCACAGACTGGTAACAAGAAAACTTAAACTGCACCTAAACTGCAAGTGCAATTGCAACGTGTGTCCAACCTGTCATCTACCTCTTCTACTTCAGTATGAGCCACTCAGTTCACATACACACACACGCACACACACACGCACACTCACAGAGCATGCACTGGTCCTAGTTTTGCACTGGCTCAATTGGAAGATACTAGAGCGGTGCACAAGTCACAATGTCCACACTTCTCAACTACTGGCTGTCACAGTACATCCACATTGTAACAGAGCAAATAATTAATGGTGACGTTTGGCTCATTAATAGTACATGAACCCATGGGCCTGGCCAGTAGAGCAATGGGTATGGAGTTTACAATTGGCTTTACAAAATTACATTACTATGTCAGAAATTATCAATTGGCTCAAATGATCTTCCTGAGAATTTTTTTCTCTCTGAAATATTAATTGAAGGACTTGTACACACTGCTGACTTGGCAGGATGTGCACAGAGCTATCAAAAAGAGAAACTGTCCCATTGACGAAGATCAGGCCCAATGGGGAAATGAGCTACACAGTAATCTCCCGGTTCCAGATTCCACATACACAGGGCTTTGGTGCACAAGCATGTACATGACATACAGCCAGATTTTCTTCTCAAGTATTGACACAATACTCTGAAAATCAGTACGATCAATTGCTCACCAAAGGCTGAGAATTGACCACTTCCAATTTCTTTGCAGCTCGGCTGGTAAACTCAGCTAGCAGTGTCCTCAGTACTACCTCGCCAGGGGTAACGTTACTTGATGGCCGACATGCCAAAGGGACCGGACTCATTGATCCATCAGAATTAGACTCCCATGGCAAGCCATACCATCGAGGGCACTCAGTAGCACCCGCAGCAAACTCTTTGGCTTCTGGATTGAACACAGAGCCAGGAAACGTAGTCACAAGACGAAGGGCATGTACACAACCGAGACTCATTTTTCCACTACCTGACGCAGATGTCGACGAAGACATCTCTATTTAGTCCCGTCAGTCATACAGAGCTTGCTTCTCCGCTGAAACGCGTCCATGAAAGTACCGCGTTCAACCTCAACTCTACGATAATGTAAACTACTCTAGTCGCTTCTCTGTTGTCCCTCTCTCTCTCTCTCCCACTACTGCCTTTGTCCTAAGTGCTCACATCAAAATTCTTTCTTCCCAAACCGTGCCCAGAGATGATGGGCCGAGCAGTGTTTACAGCTTTTTTCCGACTGAATATGAGAGATTCATTCTAGATTCTCTTCCAAATCACCACTTGGCATGTTGCTTGATGACTCGCGCTGAACGTTGATCAGACCAGGCCAGATCAGACCAGGCCAGAATGATGCATGTCTTCGTGCGTGGCCCGATCCACCAAATGTACACACCCGCTGTATACATGTACTCGCTGTATGGTGCTGCCAGAAGTACGCTGTTGAGTGTGGCATGAGCATCTCCGCGCCTGTTCATAGAGTGAAAAACAATGTTAGACGTAATGTGGCATGTCGATGACGTCAGGTAGCAAGCTCTTCTTATGATCTTCTTCGACTCTTGTGCAAAGTCATGTAGTTGTACGTCCAGCTTGCTCCAAACAAAACAGAAGTGAACTACGAATTGTAGTATAATTTCGAAAACTGTGATAGTCTTTCCCTGCTTTGCTATTTCCAACAGCACCAAAACTAACTTGCTCAGTACACAGTTCACTTTCTCTATTCCACCATCTGTGAATTGGACTAACCGATGAAGATAGTAGATGTTTATCTGACCGAGTTGCCGATTGCAATGTTATTGTAGAGCGTCTCAATCTATGAAAAATACTCAGTAGTTCCCGGCTGATGTAGAATGACTACAGCCATAGTCAGCTGGGAGAGCTAAGATCTGGCCGCTTGCCTTCCACTGAGCTGCCGACCGTTTGGGACTGACTACCTGCTCGGGGTAGAGTGATCACTCCGAAGGTTTTGCGTGGTATTAGAGAATTCATCATGCCGAGGCAGACACGCTCAACATGCATTCTTCTCGACCTTTGTACTCGCTGCTTCACGGGATTCCCAGTCATTTTTGTCGTGTGTCTACTGCTGTGGGCTTTCTATGCCTACAATGTTGTGCTATGCGGTGAGCTTGGTGCATTGCCTGGTTGAGAGCCAACTACAAGTATGTTGCTGACACTAAATTGTGTGTGCGTCTCTGTCTGTTCTTGTGTGTGCGTGTGTGCGTGTGTGTGTGTGTGCGTGTGTGTGCGCGCGTGTGTGTGTGCGTGCGCGCGCGCGTGTGTGCATGTGTGTACACGTGTGTGTGTGTGTGTGTGTGTGCGCGCGCGTGTGTGTGTGTGTGTGTACGCTTGTTTATCAACAGGTCAGCTGATTGATTCAATAGCAGAACGAGGTGCGTAGAATAAGAATAATCGCCCTGGGTATCGTTTTAATACTGTAGCTCCAGAACCAAAGTCTCCCGAGTCAGTGATGCTCTTGGGCGCCCGGGTGAAAAATAATGAGTTTTGTGTAGTGAGCATTTGTGTCACATGTTACCCGGTTAGTACTGTACATGTGCGAACGTGGTAGCTTTTTCAATTTTGACAGTTTGTTCTGGGGAAAATACAGTAGTCCTTAGTTGCTAATGCAATTTTCCTGATCAGCGTAGTACTGTGTACACGAGTTTCCCACTGTCCATGTGGTCAATATCGAGCAAGAGTCCGTTTCCTCATGGTGGTCTCAATGACCTTCGTTTCAAGCTGCCCCAAAGCACATTTTAAAGACGGTCTAGTCAAGTGTGAAAAATACAGTACAGTCGGGCGCCGAAGAACGGAGCGCCGAAGAACGGAGTGCCGAAGAGCGACCAGCCTAGAATTTCACCAAGCACTGCATACCAATGTATACACGGTGACTCAACTGTGCATGGACTGTAGTACATGAAAATAAGAACGGTCTAGGCTAGGAGGCTGACACCCCCCCCCCCCCCCCCCCCCCCCCAGTTCTTCGGCGACCAACAGTACTGTAGTTGAACCTAGTGCCTTCACCGCGCGTGTGTTCTGTGTCGTGCGACTTGGTATGGTACGGCCCGTCTGAGCTTGGTAGACAGGTACAGTGGGACCTGGCTGGGTGAAGACTCGCATCCACCGCTGAGTTTGACTTGACGGAGGGCCGGAAATAGTGGTCTGTGTGTTCCTGGGGGGGGGGGGGGGGAGGGGGCAGGGGGCCTGAGCCCTCCTTTCAAAGCTTAAAGGCCCATTCACACTATCAATTTGTGCGACACAACAAGCGACACTTGCGACAAGGAAATGCCTGTTGCTTCCAGTCGCATACAGGCCACTGTCGTAGAAATTGACCGAAGTTCAACTTTTCCACCTGAATACTGGCTGGTTGCAGTCGGCAGTGTCGAAAGAGGTTCACTGCATGGCATGCCCTTGATTTCTGGTGCTGTGCAACTGACCAATATCATCACCAATCTTTCATCTTTTCTGTTTCATTTCCCTCAAGCTTATGAATGTTTTTTTTTTATCTCATGACATCATCAAACTTTCATCTCATGGTGGTGGTGGTTGTTTGTTATTGTTGTATGTTGCTTGCTTGCTTGATTGCTTGTACAGTTCTCTTGGGAACGGCATTTTCCACCCTGTGGGTGATGGTGCTTCTATCGTACTATCGCGCCATCAACACACCGGCCGGAGAACCTCCTGCACAGGTGAGCGGCTTTGACTCGTGAAATGCACTGGTGAGCCATGTGGGGCGATAACCTGCCTTTGGAGACAGTTCGCTTCATGCACGACTTTCTACTTCATTCTGAGATATTGTTATCTTTATTTGCATCAAAACTTCACTATGGTTGCTGGTCTGATACGTGTATACAGCAGTGACTACTTATGGGTCGGAACATGATTGTTCTATCCGTCCTGCTCAACTCCAAGAGTGAATTTTTGCTCTGTATTTATAAGTCTATAACCTGGAGCACTGTGATGAGACAAGTCAAACGGCAAATGAGGAGTGTCTCCCACACGAACTTCAGCAGACTGTACACATGCTGTCACGAGTCCAGGCAATCAGCTGCCACCTTTGGTGTGCTTTGCGTACGAGAGGCTCATTACACAAGTCGTTAGGGTAACTCTTGCTTCACTGTGGAAAGCCTCGCTAGGGTGACCCTGTTACTTCACGGCAAGTCTGTTTTTGCACGACTGCATACATGTATGGGCACGTGTACTACCGTGTGTAATGCCAGTTACCAAGCAGCCTTATCAGCACTCATCAACCCTATTTGTTAGACTTCTTCTTGTGATTTCCTTTGTGGCTGTCGGTCACCGTGTGCTGCTGTTCTCCTTGTGTTGCTACCTACTGTGCAGTTTCGCTTGTCGGATGCGCAGATTGCGGAGTACGATGCCCTGAGCCAGGACGACAAGGTATGGTATGGCATGACCAGGAATGATAACACCATTGATGGTATGCAATAGCATCATCATCATTTGATGTACTTTGCATAGAGTGGCCTCCCCGAGCACCGGGTTGCCAGCCAATTTAAAGATGCATGAAATTGTTATCGGATAATGTCATCCGCATACTAGTAACGTCAAGAGTACATAACCCCCCAGAGTGTGCAACGCCGATCCAGCTCTGCATAGGGTCTTGGTCGAGCGGAATCGGATCTTCTGATGTCATGCGTACACTCAACACCAGCGCAAGGCCGGTCTCGAGGCAGTGCACCATTTTTTTTGATCCGAGAGTACCCGCGACTCCCCGGGTTCCCCTCAGATGTGTACGGTATTATGACGCAAAGATCCGATTACGCTCAACCAAGACCCTATGCAGAGCTGGATCAGGCGTTGCACACTCTGGGGGTTATATACTCTTGGTAACGTATATGACGACTGGAGTGTGTCACTCCGTGCTCACACTTGCACGATGCAGTTTGCACCGCAACAGCATGCGTATTCCTTTCTCGCGACAGGCCGAACTGCTGGAATGTTGTAACCGTGTTGAATAGTTTGTGACTATCTACGTGAAATGCGCATTCCATGGAAGACAATCAAGCTATGTTCAGCCCCTGAGCAGTAAGCGAGCGTAATGTACAAACCACTGACAGTCTTGGCCAAACTGTCAATGCAAGCTATGGTCGTGACCACAGTTCTAGCAGTTACTGCATATACCGTAAAGTACCGTTGATCCGCCCCTGTCGATTTTCTACCTGCGAAGTGATTTCGGCGTATACAACTAAATACGATGTTGAACCGACGCTTGCACTGCTGTACACAATACGTGCCAATCCAGGATGAAAATGTGCACAATCCAGCACATCGAGTCTGATCCTCCACGTTGTTGTACATCGCACTGCACTTCACAGCCTTGATCTAATTCCGCCCCTGCTGAAAAAAAACAGCTGGGAAGCGACATGGCGTGGTGGCGGATCAACGGTACTTTTACGGTACAGTGAAACCATAATACAGTGAAAAACTATTATGAGATGTACCCCATGGGCAGCAGGAAGGTGTGCGTAGCATCCGAGCCACTTGCTCTCTCCTAGCATACTTCAGTACTGATCACAGAACCCGCGGGCCGGACAAGCTCCCTACTAAGCAAGAGTACGCACTAAGGGGCCATCCGGTATTATTGATAATTTGCACGGAAAGTTTAGTTATGACCCTCCCCCACCCACCCTCTCCCCTGAACGAAAAAACACATTGACTTGACTGGTAGAATGGATTGATGTTTCAGCTACATGTATATATATATTTCAAAACTCTCGTCGACCCACCCAGTCACTCATAAACGAAAGTTGTCATTTCGTGTAAAAGATCGGTGATAGACGTCCCCTGAGTGAGTTCCACTGTACAAATTTGTTGAATGGTGATCCCGTGAGTGATTATTGTCGTTACCTTTGAGAACTTTCACCGTGCATAATAATACTTCAAAGTATGTTTGAACAGATTAGTGGCAGTGTGAAGACGGCCTCTTTTACTCACCACCCCTGCAGATGTGCAGTTTGTGTGTGCAAACAAGCTCTGCCCTCCCCATTCCACGATGCGGTGTCCTGCGTTTTACTGCACAGGTGCATGGGTTTGCTTTAATACTTTACGATTTACTTAAGTAACTGTCATTGTTGGTGAAGACGAAAGCTTCAAAAAAATGGCTATTTGATAATATTGCCCGCGTACTGTTGCCCGCATTGCCCACATGCCATCACAACCGTGCTACAGATAGATCTGGCCTTTACGTTTTGGTATTTGGCACTATTTGCTCGAGGTCTCGATTATAGGATTTTTGTCTCCTCGCTGATGCGGAACAGAGGATCATAGCGGGTATTCAAATAGAAGAAATCGCATGGAAACGAGTTATGAAGCAGCTATCCACGACTGTAACAAGAAAATAAGCAGTCAGAAAGTGCGATAACAGGATAGTTGCTTCATAACTCGTTTCCACGTGATTTCTTCTATTTTAAGCCACCGTATTATTATTATTTGTTAAAATATTTTATTTGGGGAACCGGACACACCAGTGGTCCTCTTATGCATGAATCCAGCACTAGCCAGATTTCAAAGGCGACAGCAAAGTACACGGCAATCAGTGTGGAATGTATCACTGGAGTAGTTGTATTTTTCTCGTGTTCTGTTTGGTTGTAGTCTGCGGAGTTGGACGCCAAAGCCGAGTACATCAATGCGTTGGGTTCCAAGCTGCCGATATCCACCCGCCTTCCCAATGGAAGTGAGTTGTTTATACGTTTGTGATTCAATTTCTTATTTGTTCTCGAGATACAGTAAAACCTGTAACTAAAGACCACTGTGACTAGCGACCAGCCTGGTACTACAGACCACTTTGCAAGGCATGGACGGTCTCACATTCATATACGGTTGTGTGGTGCAAACCTCTAACTAAGGACCACCTGCCACGTAAGACCGCTTTCTCTGGCCCCAAGGGGTGGTCGTTAGTTACAGGTTTACTGTGGCTTGAACTGTTTTGCTCGCCATTCCCACTGTCTTTGAGTCTCGTGTGTTACTGCTTTGTCAGCTATTTGTCTTTGTCTTGGCGCGCTTTGTCTGTGCCGACGCCGAGACCACCAAGGTCGGCTGAGCAGCAGGGCCCCGCCAACACTTTCCGCATTCATTCGGGAGCATAGTGGACTTAGTAAAAAATAATAATAATACCAAGTAATAACATTTAGCATTGTGGAGTCACCTGCTTTCATACACATACTGTGTGTCTGGTGAAAACCCGTACCAGTGCATGTAATACATGTACTAGCTACAGTAGCACTTAGCATGTACAAGGAAACTTCAATGTGAAGTATAAAGTCCACTGGAAATTCGGGGTGATGCAGTCACTGCAGGTTGGTTATTGACTACCTTTAGTTGTTAACGATCGAACTAAATTATAAATTAAATTTGTGGGCCTTGCATACGCTGTGTCAGTCCTTTGAGCATCGGTTATTTTTAGAAGAGTGCAGATATATGTGGCCCGTAAAGGTTCGCTGTGCTGGGGTCTCACTCTACTGTCCAACACTAGTGCATAGTCATTCCATTACTTTGAATGATCGTGTCCGGAGAGGTCATTCCTTGTGCTCAGCACTCACTGCACTTCCCCTCGGGTGACGTGGATCCACTATGCAGAACATTCCTGATCGTCATTGTTTGTGGCACTGTTGCAGATATTCGCTACTGTGTGCCATGTGGTCTCATCAAGCCGGACCGCTCCCATCACTGTTCCATGTGCAGAACGTATGTACTTCGGATGAGCCGCCGCACTTTCTCTGCTTCTACCAATATTGTGTGCATGCGTCCCCATCTCTGCAATAGATACTGTAGCTAGGATGTGGCGCAGTCCTATGTGTTGTGGCAGAGCATGTGACCAGTTTCCAGAAAGGCAGCTATGCATGGGCTGTTTGTGTCATGTTATGTGATTTGCCATGTGACCTGGGAGTGATCTTGGCTTGCATTTGGCTATTGTTTCTTGCTCAGGGTTGCCTGAATGCTCATGGTTTGCGGCAGTTTTAAAACCGTTAATACGAACGTCTTTGCCTGTTTTCTTGTTTAGATGTGTTCTGAAGATGGACCATCACTGTCCTTGGTTAGTACATGTAGTTGAAGTAACGCTAGCACGACCAGCATTGTTACCCTCCCCTTGTTTGGGACCAGCCGGCTCTGGGCTTGATATACACTGCACTGTACCAGTCTGGAAGAAGAGATTCTCAACTTACTTGTAGTGTTATGCGTCCTAAAATAACACGGATGCATAGATAAAATTTAATCGTGTCTGCTGATTGCAGTACTCAGTACACTTGCCAGAGCATACTGTAAAGCGACAAACTTTCGCAGCGCGCAAATTTAGCGTTTCCATAAATTGGGCTGGTTCACGATGAGAAACTTTTGCGATTCTTTCTCGACAGTCGGATCTTGTTCAGTCTATAATCGATATAGGGAGAGGTGTGCGGCGATTTGTATTCGCGAATGTGTGATGGTCGCGAAAATAGCGAAATTTTATCTCTAGCGAAAGTTTCTCACTTTACAGTAATCCCAAAGATCCAGTGAACAACCGAAAGATGTCTATCTCTACTTGAGTTTATGCTGAGGTAATCTTCAGACAATTGTCTCCTGATGATTTGTATTTGTATTTGATACTATTCATTAGTGCTGAGTCGGGTAGCATTTTCTCCGGGTATCGGGCTAGGGTAGTTTTCCACGGGTAGCACGGGTACCCGATCGGGTAATGTTTCCATGGTAACACCACAATGCAGCCATAGCTAGAGCTGGGTAGACATGCAGAATATTACATGAATTTGTACACGTGCACTGTACGTCATAATAATTATGATGTCATCTGCAACTTCGGGTTTTCGGGTACCCCGACTACCCGAGGTCCTTACGGGTAGCGCGGGTAGTCAGCGCGGGTACCCGACTACCCGTGCACACCCCTACTATTTATTCAACATTTCCTGATTCGTCAAACCACTGCCAATAACAATTGAATGTGAAATGAAGGTTGATAGCCAACCATGTTTGGCATTGTTTGCTTCTAATCTAATGATTGTTTTGTCATCGAACTCCAGTAGCGACAGGGAAATCATCTTGTCTTTACTGGATTGTTGTGCGCTTAGTTACATGGCAGTGGTGCTAGGTCAAGTTGATAATGTGTTATTGCATGTTGCGAATCTGTATCTGTGTGCGCAGGGTGAACAACTGCGTCGGATTTGGCAACTACAAGTTCTTCGTCCTGTTTTTGTCGTACACGACACTCTTCTGCCTGTACACCGTGTGCTCAGTGCTGCCAACTTTCATAGCATCTTGGGTGAGTCGGCGAGTCTCATGCACACTGTACACTGTTCAGTGCTGTCTGAGCACTGGTGGATAGCCATGAAAATCTTGAGTAGCAAATATCTGCATCAGTGCCACAACTTGGAGTCATGTTGCTGGCGTGTGAGGTCGGCCAGAGAGCGCGTTTGGTGGAGGTGGAATTATTTTAGTGCCACAAGCAATGATGTAATTCACTGGTTGCCCACTCCAGACAAACAAACGAAAATTGGACGGTTCGCGTACCAGACAGGTCAAGAACCACCTTTCCGCTTCCGTGGGACGCTACCTCCCCATGATCAGGCGTCAGATGCGGCTCCTAAATGGTGGCGGAGGATAGATCAGATCCACCAACCAAAGGCCGAAAATCCCATTTGCCACATCCAGGTTTTCCCCATGCCAGGCCACGAGTTCACAATTCACTGTGGGTCGCAGCATGGTTGGAAAAATCTTTCCGCTTCTAAGCAGGACTTGAACTTGGTACCTCTTGTTCCTCAATCATGGTCTTGCTCCCTACAACCAAGAGTATAATATATTATAAGCTCCCAAGAGTGTGCAACTCCTGATATCTTTTCTATGGGGTTCGCCGACGGCGAAAACTCACATCACGTGGGGTAGTAGTCCTGTTGTGCGTTTCCAGTCTGTTTTTAGTGAGCAGCGGAGCAATAAAAATAGCACTCCCTGACAGAAACACACTTCACGTTTAAAACTACCCGGCATGATCATGGCAGATATTTGGATTGCGCGCACGCTATCCTTCGTTGTATACTTTAATAGTACGAAATGTACCTGAAACACGTGATGTGAGTTTTCGCTGCCGGGGACCCCATAATTACCGTATGTGCGCACATTTAAAGCCATGGCGCTATTTTCGATTATGAAGCCAGTCTCAGTTATAAAGCCATGGACTTCATAAATGGAATGACACTTGAAGTATGTTTTGCAAAAATGAAGGAATAAGTACTATGCTAACAAACTTACAGCCCAGCAGGAAGGGTGAACAAGTGGATTTAGATTGAAATTTTTGTGTGGACTTTGACTTTTATGGCATGGCATGGTGGGCGAGTCATTTTGCATCTAAAATGTCTAGGAAAGCAGCGGTGTTTCAAATGAATATAAGGCCATGGCTTTTAAGGCGCTGACATACGGTATGCAGAGTTGCACACTCTTGGGAGCTTCTTTACTCTTCATACAACGCATACCGTAAAAGCCCCTGTATACGCCCACTCGAAATTACGCCCACCCTCCGTGTACACACCCAGTCAGGGGAAGTCAACACTTTTGTTTCGAAATAGCGCCCATGCCCATGTATACGCCCAGGTATGCCGGAAACACCAGTACATGTACGGATACCCAATACTTACTGCTATCCCTATTCCAAGTATACGCCCGGTTCCAAAATAACGCCCGTGCCCTTGTATACGCCCAGGAAATCGAGGCTGCTATTCTATACGCCCGGGGCCTATACACGGGCTTTTACGGTATGCGATGATGTCATTCACTGGTTAGCCACTGAATACAATAATTCCTATGTGATGATGGTACAGGTGGAAACCTGATAATTCGAACCTCAAAATGCCAGGAAAAAACTTCTAATTATCCGGACATTCTTATTATCCAAACATGAACCCATAACACAATATGTATGGCAAAATGCTCTCGTGGTCACGCAGAGTTGCGCTATGGACCTTAGACACAGCTTTCACGGATGCTGAACTGACCGGCACAGCCTGCTCATGCAAACTGAACTGACCAGTACAATGTACAGTGAACTTCGAATTACACTTTGCTAACTTCGAATTATCACCACAAATCCCACACATGTTCTATGTAAGTGGAATCTGTGGGACTTCTAATTAACCGGACATATCCAGTTCGAGGTTCGAATTATCAGAAAAATTTATGTGGGAATCGTATTGATAGAAATCGGTCCTGGAAAAACTTCTAATTAAGCGGTATGTTCGAATTAAGCCATATTCGAATTATCAGGATTCCACCTGTATTACTACTGTGGCTATGTGTACAGGGTGACATGGGATTCGGCAACCATCACCGAAGTGGATCTCACGGCACAAACACCACCGACGCAGCGGACGCCGGCCTGAACACGTCTCAGCGTCTGCAGATCATCTTCCTCTTCTTCCTGGCGGCCGTGTTCAGTTTCAGCGTGGCGTTCCTGGACTTCTTTCACATCTACTTGACGCTGACGAATCACACCACCCTGGGTAAGGCTATTTTGCGGTGTATATATATTTTTTCAATCAATGCGATGAAAATAAAGAACATTGAAAAACTCTTCTTTTTTTTAAATAGAAAAAACTTTTTGATAGAGTTATGAATTATTTCAAGGGTAAGGCAATGGATAACTAGAAGTGTTCGTGAAAGGTTTCCTCCAGTGTCTCGCTATCATGATTCATGAATGAGATTGTTAACTGTTGTTGTCATTCATAAAGAAGAAACAGAATGGGGCTGCATTTTATGCTTGAAGCATATTTCCAGCTCCAGACCTCAAGATCACCGTGTGTGCACGGCTCATTGGCACGAATCTGAAACACGGAATAAGTGGAATCTGTCAAATCTTTCCTTTTAATGAGAGCCATGAAGAGTATCAATGCTGCGGACATCACCGCGTCACATATCAATGTGTAGAGTTTTCAAGTGTTATTCAATGCCAAAATCGACTTTCGCATTACGGCAACGTTTTTTAGGAACGAGATATAAATTTTAGTCAACTCAGGTTATGGCAACACTAGCCAACACTCGGATGCACTGCTACTTCACACAGTCGGACGGTTCTTTCTCAACGTTTCGGTCACACTGGCCATCTTCAGGATGAGATAGTTAGTGTAGTGCTTTGCCAAGCGTGGCGGTTCCGCAAGGCTTCTTTGTTCAGAACATCTATCTGTTTGCTTGTGTATCTTTGCTTGAAATGAATTAACAATCGGTCTCTTTTTTGTGCGTTTCTCTTCTCAGAACAAGGCCGCCCTGTCCACCTGGTGCATGGAAAGGATGCGAATGCATACGATCAGGGCTATCGGCGCAATGTTCAACAGGTTCTGGGCAGGGACACGCTCTTCTGGTTCTTGCCCATCGGCTCGGGGTATGTCTGTGCTGGCTTTTCTGTTCTTGGATAATGAAATGGAGCCACGGGTCCCTATTCTTACAGTGGCTAGTAGTCTATAGTTTTGCTTTGTTATTATTATCGACATGTTCGCGGTGAATCACTCACCGTAATGTCGCGTATAGAAGACTTGCTGATTCCTGTAGAAGCCGATGTCAGTGCTAGGCTTCTATTCAAGTCAGGCTTCTATTCAAACCACGTATCTCTATGTACTGTGTATATAATACAACCCAACAGTACGCTTGTACGTGAAATATAAACCGACATACAAACCGAGGCGTCGCCGAGGTTTGTATGATGGTATATATTTCACGTACAAGCGTACTAGTGGGATGTATTATACTTATGCTGACCTTCATACAAACTGACAGTCAACTTCTTCCTGTTTCTATGGTGGCGGTCTATATGGGGTTTTGTATGGGGTTTGTATGAGGTTTATATGCCCAGTATAAGCCGCCAGCATGATGGGCAAGTTGGCTGGACGTTTGTATGAAAGGTCAGCATAAGTGTCAATACTAACCAGGCGTATGTGCTGACGGTGTATCTTACAAATCAGGCTTGTATTGAAAACACGCTCCTATCCGAGAACAGGCTTTTATACAAGACACTACAGTATGTACAATAGGGTTGGGTATACGGATAAGCCTCATGGTGAGGAGAATTATTATTATGCTATGGAAGTACAAACTTCCGGTATGGTACTTTGCTTTTGTACTGTCAAACTTCCAAGGGCCATACACATCTCTACTGTAGAAAGAAGCCCAGGTACAGTAAAACTCTCCTAATCCAGGCAGGTTGGGACCGAGCACACTGCCCGTAACTAGGAATTGATCTTAACTCAGAACTTACATACAGTCAAACCTCTTTAGGACGAACACCAAGGGACCGATGGTATTTGTTCGTAATAACGGGAGTTCTTCTTATCCATATTTTACGCCCAGTGAATAGACAGTGATTAATCCAATAGAGCTATGAACTCTAGTTCTTCTAAAGCGAAAGTTTGTCTTATCAGTGTTCTTCTTAACGACATTTCACTGTACTTACTTACTGCAAGTGAACGCGGAAACCCCTTGTATACCATCATCAAAGCAAGTCGTCTCTTCGCTGCGAATTTCCATGAAGTGAACATTTGTTACGCCAACCAATAGCATTATTTCCATGCCGCACCGAATGCTCGGTGCGAATTTCCCAAGTCCATTCAGCACGTGCGAATTTGTGGGCGGTTTACCACCGCTGACATTGACGCGTAAGTGCATAATAAAAAATCAAAAAAATAAATCAATAGCATTGCCACCGGTTGACGAATGAAGCACTGTGTCCATGCGCTCGACAGAAACGATTCTTCATTCTGTCATGTCTCAAAAATGTACAAAACCCCAAAGACATGTTTTAGTTGACCTCGGCCCACATCTATGTGCATGTGCCGTATTTTCCGGAGTATAAGCCGCACTTTGAACACTCAAAATTCATTCCAAAATGGGGTGTACGTGTGCGGCGTATACTCCGATGGTCAAATTAAGTTAATGAACGGTGGTAAAATACTAAATAGGGTAGATGTGTGTATTTCGTGGCAAGAAATAGGGGGGGGGGGTGCGGCTTATACTCCGGAAAATACGGTACTCAAGCTCAGGATGTTTGTGTTGATCCTTACTGGACTGAATACTGTACTCAAGCTCTGGATGTTTGTGTTGATCCTTACTGGACTGAATACTGTACTCAAGCTCTGGATGTTTTGTGTTGATCCTTACTGGACTGAATACTATACTCAAGCTCGGGATGTTTGTGTTGATCCTTACTGGACTGAATACTGTACTCAAGCTTGGGATGTTTATGTTGATCCTTACTGGACTGAATACAGTGCCTAGCTGTTAGCCTATGCACCGGGCTGTACCTATCGGTTTGTGTTAAGAATCTGTTTGCTGTCATGTGTCTGCTGTTTTGCTGGATCAGGGTGGGCAACGGCTACGAGTTTCCGCTGCGAAAAGACCATGCTGGCCGCAGCGAAGGCGACAGTCTGCTTGCATGCGGCGAGCAAAATCCTGTCTCTGGCGATGAAAGCGATCGTGTCTAGGGCTTACCAAGCGATCGTGTCTAGGGTCTAGGGCTTACCTTGGATACTGGTGATGATTGTAGTTTCTTCTTCGGGAATCCTTTTTCATTTCTTCGTGTATTCTCCGATTGCGGGCTCAGTATACCTTTGGTGTTTTTTTTCACTCTGTCCTGGTATATCTTCATGGGTACCAGTTTGCTGTTTCACTTTTTGTTTATCTTGCCGTCGCTCTCTGGAGAGGTACGTTTCTGGTCTCCATTGCACGCCGTGCACATTTCTTCAGTTAGAAGCCATCAGAACTGAGATTCTAAACATTCTGCCCTACACACTGCTTGTGCACTCAACGTTCACCAATTTCTATTTTACTTGATGCAGTGTTGGCTTTGTTCGAACCTGGCTGCCCCGGCCGCAGTAAGCTATTTTTAATCAATGTGGTAGCCCGCTGACCTAACCCCGGCAGGTGTTATTCTAACAACCACATTCACATTCACACACAGGTAACTCACTGCACGCGCGAGTGCTGCGTTAACACTTTTCAAGCTATGCTAGGCAACTGTTGTACTATGTATTATCAAGGGGATTATGTACTCTTGGTATTATCAAGACTGAAATTTCCTGTCGATTACATTTTTGATATGTGTTAATTTGAACATAATATTATGCATAATGCCGTTTATTATTATTTTTTAAATTTTACCTTTATTATTTTTTCGGCAACGCAGATGATGATGATGATGATTATGCTAGGTGAGCTTTTCATGCATTTAAGTTTTCCTTGACCTACCCGGTACATGTAGTGCACTGCAATGCCCTATTATGTCAAATAAGACTTGTCAGTTATGCCTAACCTGTTAGCATGTTCACTGTGCTCATTCTCTGGCTGCAGGTACATGTACTTGTGTGTGCTTTGGTTCATGCAGTCGTGAGTCGGTTATCCAAACACCCAGCTAGCAGGGAGCCCTACACATGATAATAATATGTGTAGGGCTCCCTGCTAGCTACCTCGCGGGGCTGTGTATAGCTATCGATGTCATTGCAATTGTCCAAGAGTCCAAGACCATGATACAGTCAGACCTCGTTTATCCGGTCCTCGTTTATCCGGATCCCTCGCCATCCGGAAGAAAATCGCTGGTTACCGATGTGGCTGGCTAGCGCTTGCAGAAGCTAGTATCAGGGAGTTGTACAAGCAAATGAGGTCTTTGACCTGCTGGGTGTATGCGGACAGCACTCAGTTGCATGCACTTGTCATTTTTCTCACTTGTTTTACATACTGGGCACGCTAGTTGTACTGCATAGGACCTGTCTACATGTATGTACGATGTCACTGCTTTTGACATGCCACATGCATAATATACAGTATGTGTGTTCAGTTATCCGGTTCCCTCGCCTATCCGGATGTTTTTGTGGAAAACAGATGTGTGCGGTTAAGCGAGGTCTGACTGTACTGAACAAGAGGTAGTAGCTTCAAGTCCTGCCTGGAAGCGGACCTATCAGGATTTCCAACAACCGTGGAGTGACCCACGCGTCGATATTTCTACGCATTGTGCACAGTTGGGTCACCGGGTGTACTTGTATGATTGTGTTGTCCTTGGTTGGTGAATTTCTAGCCTGTCCGTTCTTCAGCACTCAACAGTACTATAGCATCTCCGAGGAGACACAACACAGGTGGGTGGAACGTAAACGATGTGGCCTTGGCTCCTGCAGTGTCTGTTTGAGTCGCCCGGCTTGGGGCATGCGCCAGGACCTGGTGCTGTATGCTTGCAACATATGAGCAGGTCATTGCCTGGAAGTCAGCCCCCTCAAACCAAAACATCTTCCTACGCCACTGTTGCTGTCTCCTTGGATGCCATGGCACATAGCTCCCTCGCTGGATGCCTACTCCCTGGTTGAAAGCCAATAGGCGTTATGCGATTCATCAGTTGAGATGCTTGGCCAAAGTCGCGGCACAGCGACCGACTTGCTCCCGGCAAGCAAAACTGCCAACTCACACTTAGCGCCCGTAAGCGGTTCCGCTGACTCATGCTGTATACATAGTGCCCGTAACTTCGGCATAAGCGGGCCCTGAGTTCCACTGGCTTGCCACCATGACATCACCATGAGTCATTGACATCATTCATAATTATAGGCTCTATAGCTCATGTGACAGCACTGCAATTATCTTGCTCAAAATGTCCGTATGCCTGCGGCATTCTATTGCATTTTCCAGGCATACCTGCCAAAGTGAATGTGGTGGAGACACATAATATTATACTATCCGACATACGTGCATGCATGTCAGGCTGATTGTAGTAATATTCAGCTGCGGACATGCACACATGCCACATGGTCCCGGCGTCACCATAGTGACGTCTAGCTATAGCGTGAACGCAGTATCGTGTGACATCCGCACGACATGCACCAGCACTGAAGTCGGTCGTCTCGGCTGCAACCAGATCTCATGAACTGTGTATCCCAAGCACGCGTTGTATTGGTGGACAAATTCCGGCATCCACTTTCACTGACCCCAATTTCGTCAATTGTACATCATTGGATCATACAGGGAAAGCCACCCCAACCTACACCATAGCGCAATACCGTCATAACTTACTGGACTTTGCAAACAGCAGGAGGAGCAGGCCTCAACGTCCGTATCAGCAGTTACAGCTTTTGCATGTTGTTGGGTCTGAGGTCGTGGAGTTGACGTGAACACCTTGTTTTACTAGCCAAAACGTGCTGCCTGCAGTCTTTTGCAGGACAGACTCAGTGCCCAGTCGACTCCGGCACAATCATCCAGTTTACATCGTTTTACGGACAGCGGGTAAAGATGGTGCTTGATACTGCGGTAGACCATGCATGGTAGACAGCCCAGGCTTGGCCGAACTGTCAAATCTAGGCGCATCGATCACATGGCCTCGTCCATCGCTCGCTTCTCAAGCTATTCATGGCTTGAGTCCAGGAGTCGATCGATGTTTCAATCGGGAGGAGGTCGTCCTTGCCGAGTATTACCACCGTGGCTTGCATACATGTATCTGTGACACAGCAAGCTGAACCGAACACGATCAGGTTGATCGGTGGACAAGTGTTCCTCTTCGCTGCTCACTCTGGCTTTCATGTCGAGTTAGCAGTACTGGTAGGTAGCCGGCTAATCCAGTAGCGGTGAAGTTAGTTGTCGTCCTTGTCCCGAGACTTCGGAGATCGTGGAGAAAGGAGCGGCGTCGGACCACCCCTCTCCAAGCAGCTTGGCCATGGATTTGTCCGTGGCAGGGGGTGGCCAGGCCCAAGACGGCTATTCGTACCTCTGCCGTTTGGAGGAGCTGCGCCAATGGATGCTCAAGGTTCTGAGCGAAGAGGTGCCGCCAGCATCTGAGCTAGAGAGCAGGCTTCGTAATGGCGTGCTCCTCGTCAAACTTGGGAAGGTGTTGCTACCCGATGACCCGATGTGGCGCAAGGCCTACGACTTGGACGAGAAGAAGTTCTTGAAAACCGGCTGCCCCGATTTCCGCCACACGGACAACATCAACTTCTGGCTGCAGTCCTTGGTCAAGCTAGGGCTACCGGCCGTCTTCTACCCGCAGACCACGGACATTTATGAGGCCAAGAATATGCCTAAGCTAGTTTTCTGCCTGCACGCGCTGAGTCATTTCAGTGCACGCCAGGGCCAAGTGGCGAGCGCCGTTCCGAACTTGGAGGGTCGGGCCACCTTCACAGAGGAAGAAATCACTGAGGCGACGGACAAGATAGCGACCGCCAACGTGCCGTCGTTCCAGGCCGTGGAAGACCTGGTGGACGAAGAAATGCAGTATCAAGCAATGGGTGAGTTTAGTGCTGATGAGCTGAAGGACTTGCGCGAAGAGCACTTGGCAAGCAAAAAGGCAGCTGCAAAAGCAGCAGCCAAGGAGCCAGAAGTTGAGGAGGAAGAGGAGGAGGCGATTTATGACCCAGTGTCGACGGATGCCCCGCCCGTACCCCTTCGCAACGTACGGCCGAGTCTACCACCGGAGGACACGGACCTGTACGACAACTCGGACAGTGTGAAAGACCAAATCAAGCACAAGAAAGAAGAAGAGGAGGAAGAGGAACCACCGCCACTTCCGCCCAAACTTGAAGAACCACTGGCAGAAGTGGAGTGTGGCGAAGGAATCAAGGCTTCACTCTACTCCGCCGTCGACAAGAAAGCGTTAGAAAAGGCCCGCGACGATGCCATGTCACCGCAGGAGAAAGCTATCACGGCCATCAACCGCGCCCTGACCAACCGGGACGAGACGGAGCTACTGCAGGCATTGAAAAACCCGGACGCCGAGCTTCCGGACATCTTCACACAGCCGACTGAGTACATGAAGGCACTGGTTGCCGAGAGCAAGTCCACGTTTCCCACGTCCATGACGCCAGTGTTCAGTGGAATTTCTCGGCCGAAGAGCGAGGAGCTCCTGTCGTCGCTCAGTCCCGGTGCCTTGCTCGTGCGTACCGGCTCCAACAACGAAAAGGTTGTGTCGTTCCGCAACCGTACCGGCATCAAGCACTGGCAGATCGGCGTCAGCTCCGACGGCAAGTACTTCTTCGGCGCGAGCGCGCGGTACGAGAACTTCGGCGACTTCATGCAGCAGTTCATCGCGTCCCTCTCGTCCTCCACCGGTCTCCACACGTACTACGCCAACGACCGGGTGCTCAAGCCGCGCTCCGCGGACCAAGACCGGATCTACGGGCTTGAATCCGACGATCAGTCGACTCGGCTGGAGCGCGAGTACATAGAGAGCGTGGTGGCGCAGGTGAACAAGCGCATCCGTCAGGACCTGCTCAACATGATGGGCGGAAGCGGAGATGGCGCTGGCAGTGACGCCGGTGCAGTACCACCACCGCTACCACCCGATCCAAGTGGTGGTGGCGGTGCCGGTGGAGCCCCCGCACCGCCACCCCCAGTCACCCGCCGGCCGACGCTGGAGAAAAGAGCGTCGCAGGATCTGCAGTCCGCCCGGCCCGCCGCAGCCGAGCCGCAGATACTGCCGTCCAAGATCCCGCCGACAAAGTGGACGGAGGCGCTGCTCAGCCGAATGAACCGGGCGCAGGCCGAGAAGATACTGATGGAGCACGGCGCACCCGGCAGTTACGTGGTGAGGGTGAGCGAACGTGGTGCCGGCCAGTATAGCATCACCTTCCGACTGAGCAGCACGATCCGCCACTGGAAGGTCGTCACTCAGAACGGCATGTTCACCTTCTCCGACGACTCGCCCAAGGTCACCTCTCTGAAGGCGCTGATCGGATTGTTTGAGACAGTGAAGCACGAACCTGGCTTGAAGATGATGCCTCTCCTGCCCGCATCGGCTGCACCCAGCGCCGCAGGCCGACCATCAGCTACAGCACCGCCACAGCTTCCTCCGAATCCGGCACTGCCACGCCAGCGTTCTCTTTCAGGTAACGGACCGCCGGCAGCACCCACCGCTCGCCAGCCACCGCAGCCTGGCCCAGGTGCAGCTGCTGGCAAGGCATCATCGGCCAGTCCAATGGGCAGCCCGGTGGCCGAGTGGTCCGTGGAGCAAGTGCAGCGATGGCTAACGGGAATCGGACTCGGCATGCACACGGCCAGCTTCCAGGAGCACTACGTTGACGGCCAGTGCCTGCTGGAGATCACAGATGATCAGCTGAAGTACGACATGGGCATCACTGCCCTGGGACATCGCACGCAGATCATGCGCAAAATCAAGGCCCTAACAGCAAACGTCTAGACTGCTGTTGAGCATGGCCGTGCCATGGCAAGGGGAGCTATCAAAAGCCGTTCAACTCCCATGCAATCCATGCAAGCAGATGCTGAGTCCAGCCTCCAACGCCACTTCAAGCACCACTGCTCTACTAGCCCTAGTATCCATGTACAGTACTGGCCGGGTCGACCAGTGTCATCTTGTAGTATCAAGTGGCTGATGTTTTAGTTCACACGCTCCTTTGTCCAATTGCTACAACTTTTTCAGTATACTTGAACCTTACAGACTGTACATGAGCAACCCAGTTCCAAGCTGTTATGCTGGTGCTGAAAGCAGCACACAATGCTATACTACCATAATAATTATTTTGCTGACAAGCCATAATCATGCATGTGTAAAGGACGTGTATGCCATCGGTCAGCAGCACTACAATAGTTATAGAATAATCTCAGTGAAATGATGTGCATTTCCGGATTGCAACGGATCTTTTCTCATTTGAGAGCAGGTTTCGCAGGGGACTGTTCCCCCGTGACTGCAGTTTGCTGAATTCTCTTGATTTTCATTTTTAAATCGTGTTAAAAACATCTACGCCTTCCCTTCTATGCCTTTCACTGATTCAGCTCCGGTCTGCCAGTGGATACACCGCGCTGGATGTGTGCATTCACGTTGTGCATCTCAGTGCCAAGGTGACCCATGCGACTTCAGTGACACTTGTTGCAGTCGGCTGTGTCCACCTATGGTATGCTATAAAAAAAAGGGGGGGGGGGTAGTCGACTTACAACCGGATTGTAACCGCTAGCTATTGATCACTATTATTAATTTTTGAACAAGTAAATCGAGGCCCCAAGTGTTGGAAGTCGACTTATAACCGATAAAATATGGTAAGGTCTAGTAACACAGCGTAGGGGTTGATCATCCGCACGTTACGGTACAGCCCCCCCCCCCCCCACACACACACACAAGCCACACAGTGACACACCCATGAATGCACATTCCGCAAGGAGTGCAAGATGGTACAAACAAGTTGAACCGAATTTCTTCAGGGAATTAATTCCGCGAACAGATACATGTACTATATCACCTACAGGTCAGGTCTAGACGTGTTGTCCTTCGTCAACAGCTCAAAAACAAACCGCATAAAAATAATAAAACACAAGAAAAGGATCCGCTAATAATGTGCCGGATGTGTGTAGACTAACATTCAATTCTCCTAGCAAAAGATGGAAGCGAGAAGACAGTAATAAAATGCACATACTTTCACACTACCAACACCTGAAAAACGCAGGTGAAAGGTGCTTGGCGTTAGAGAATAAAAAGAAGAAAGAAAGGGCCTGGGAGACGATGCAACACTCGCGTACGGGTTTTGCGTAGTGCTAGGAAGAAATGCATACATCAAGTCTAGCGAATTTGAACTCCGTACACCAACTGATCAATACTGGGGCAAGTGAGTGGGGCGGCTGATAAGGCAGAAGTCAATAAGAACATAACTTAGTACAGGCGTGCTGCTGTGCGACAGTTTACTTCTTCGTCTTGACGCGGAACGTCCGGATGTCCATCGGATGGAAGACGAGAGTAGAGCCGTCGTCGGCATTCTTTGGGTAGCCGCTCTGCTCCTGGCCAGCCACTTTCCACGCCATTCGCTGACGATCGGACTTGAGAAGGTTGGCAGAGAGGGTGAGCTCCTCATATGTGATGTTTGTGTGCGGAAACAAGGTTTCCAGCACCAGGCTGGCCGGAGTGCCGCCATCACTGGCGGGAATGTAGTGCTCCACGCGTAGCAGGAACGTGTCCTGAGTTACGTTGATCTCGTGCTGCAAGGTGAGGATGTTAAGTTGATTTACTTGCTTCGGTAAGAAGGAGCGCTCGCTGTTGTTCCTGAGCGGTTCGCTAAAGGCCAGGATGGGTTCGAGAAAGAAGTCCAGGGCGTCATCGGCAGCGGTGTGCGATGAAGACTGGAACGCCGACGACTGCACGCGGTGCACGCCCGTGATGATAAGGCCGTCGCCAAACACGCCGGTCTCGTTCAGCGGCTCTCCGACGCCGCGCTGATCGTCGTGCAGCAAGCGTCGATGCACCATCAGCTCCACACTGCCGTCGACCATGCTGCTACCGCCCTGCGCGCGGTCAGCCAGCACAGTGAAGTTCTTGCTGGCATCCTTGATCTTGATAGCCGTGTTGACGGGATAGTAATTGCTGGCAATGGGCTGTGTCAAGTTGAGGGTCCAGGTCGGACGGTGATTTCGCTTGCGCTCAAGCAGCTGCCGGCCGTTGCTATCCGTGTAGAACACGCCATCGGACTTGATGTCGGTGGAGAAGCGGCTGATGATCTCTTTTCCCAGGCCGTCGGCGAAAGGAATCGGTCCAACAGTGTACTCCATCTCAACACTGGACGGGTTAGACTCGAGAACACGGACAGTCTGGAAAACCCAGTCATTGAAGAGCTGATGCACTTCACTTACAACCGGACCCCTCAGTACCTTTACACCGGCAACATTGCCTTGCTCGTTTACCGGATAGTCGGCAGTGTGGTTCGGTCGGAAGATATAGGCGCCACTTTCCTGGTTGCTCCTGTTGTTGTGACCATCGCTACCATTATACCAGAGAAACTGCTGGTCCACAGCGACTTCCGATTCTCCACTGCCAAAGCTCATGACTCGGCCGGTGCTCCGAGAGAACGTCACTTTAACGCCATGAGAGTTGGAGATGGAGAACGTGCTCGGCTCAGCAGGTACCTCCTCCGGCTCGGTCCACACAGCAGCACCGGAATGTCCTTCAGAGACGGGCTTGACCGTGAACGTTTTGTAGCCCTGGTGCGGCAGTGTGGCCATGAACAGAAGCTCCACCTCAGCATGGCCACGCGCACCACGCGTCGACTGCTTGGCCAGGCTCACCGGCATTATCTGCGAGACGAGGTCGTCCTTACCGTCGCTCACGGCAACGCTGGTGCGCTTGGCCAGCGGCACGCGAATCACGACGTCGCGCTCCTGCCAGGACGGGTTGTAGGCAATCACCGTGAACTCGTTGGTGCTCTCCGTGGCCGGGCACACGCTGATGTTCAGGTACGTGCAGAACTTGACGTCCTTGGCGCCCGTCCAGCTCGATAGTATGCGCCCCATGGTCTGGTGGGCCACATCGGCGCCGGCGGCCAGGCGCTTGGCGTAGTCGTTGGCCACGTGCTGCTTGGACGTGCCGGACACTGCATCGTGGTGCTGAGCTACGCCCATGGCCTCCCACAGCATGCGGCAGTTGACGCTGGCGTCGACTTTGCCGTCAAACACTTGCATCTGGTGACATGCCTGGGCACGGGAAAAGAAAAATTTAGAAAACAGGATTGAAAATGGAGATGGAGTGACGCTTACTTAGCAAAAAAGAAAGAAAGAAGTATAATTATGTTGATCTCTACTTGAATTTGACAGAGCTACAAGGCCTGCACAGCCTTGCATGCCTCCTGGAGACACTGGGATAGTGGCACACCAGGTCAAGAGGCCATCCCGGTGATGCTGCAGACCATGAATACACTACATTTCACTTGCACTTCAAAGCACACATTGCACACATTGCATATACATATACAAATACACACACTTGAGAGGGACGAAAAGCGTTTCTTCTGTAAGTCCGAGTTTCACGGTTTTAACCGATCATTAGACAGCAAATACATGTGAGGGTAATCTAAAATTTGCTACCACATGTACTTCACTGCGAATAACTTTACATTACATTTCAGTGATTTCACCAAATCTTCAGCCCGGCCTATCACCAGAGTGGCAATACCTCCTACAGCTCCATACTATGGACGTTCAGTGATGCGAGAAAGCTATGCACATATCACCGTAAGTGGTAGTGCAGATTAACAAGCCATACCGGTACACACACGACTAGCAGTCTAGACAGAACTGTGTATGACAGGGGCATAGGCTGTGTTCGTGCATTCCATGTGCTTCGCCGCCTGCATCCCCAAAATAGAGGTCATGCAAATGCAATCACCGCAAATGCTCTGTACGGAGTGGTAAATCGGCATCGTGTCAGTGCTTGTGCTGCCACCCATACATAGCACTTAAAAGGATGTTGTAATTGACCCAGTGCGCATTGCCAAATATGGAATGTATGAGTAATGCTTGTGAGTACGCTGGGATCAGGAATGCACTGTTCAACACCCGCAGACGACCATACCCAGGTGGCTGTGAAGGGTATTTAAGGTACAAATTATGCCATTGCACAATGGGTCCATTGCATGACCTCCATATAACAAAATTCAGCAGAATTATCGACGTTCACAGGCATACCATGAACCGGTGGGGATAAACTCTTAAACCCTTACAAAGTAATACCCTGTGCCACCGCCATGCCAAGGGCAATGACAGTTGACATCGCTCAGTCATTTACAAGATCCTCAGCACAACCCCTACACTGACCTGCAGAAGAACATTGTTGACACGAACGTAACGCTTCAGAGCCGGGCGAGACGTAAAATAGCCGGACCAGTACGCAAACGGGTTGTCGGCGTACGGGAAGAAATCGTCCGTCTTCACCTTGTATTCGAGTCCTTGCTTGGTGGCCGCAGCGTGCACGGCGTCCAGATAACGGGTCGGCGTCGAGTACTGGAGCGTGATGTTGTGGCCATGTGTCTCGACGTACTGGCGCACGTACTTGATCAGCTTGTCCATGTTCTTGAACCAGAGGTGAGCGTTCTCGTACTGGAAGTCCGAGCCCATTGTCATCATGATTTCGCCACTGCTGTAGTGGCAAGACTGGTCTCGGATCGCCTGCACAAACTTCTCGACGCGCTCGTCCACGTTGTTGTTCTCCAGGTGAGAGTCGTCCTGGATCGGAGCGTCGGCGCACGACTGATCAAAGCAGAAGCCGTTGGGCGGATTGTACCCGTGGTACGTGACCCCGGTGAAGATGTCGGACAAGGAGCCCAGGGACTCGGTGCCGCGCCAGATCATCTCCATTTGGCGCTCGGCCAGGCGTTTCGCTTTGTCCTGGTAGTCGATACGGCCGAAGAAGAAAGCGTCGAAGCCCATCATTGTCAGGAGAGTGGACATGGTGGACGAATGGCCGAACGGATCGATGTGCCAGCCGACACGTGGCCTGGCCGCTTCGCCAAACTCGGAGTTGATGAACGTTAGGCCCAGGGTCATTTGGTCGATGATGGCTGCATAATGTGTGGCCGCCTCATCATTCATGCACCAACCGCCGTTTATAAATTCCAGTTGGCCATTGGCCAAGTACTTTCTCACTAACGCCTTTTTCTCATCGCTTTGCTCATTCCACCAGCGAGAGAAAAATGCCTGTTCTACGTAAATGAATCTCCGCAGCATGTCGGGCTCACTCTTGCCAAGTGCGTCCAAGACTGAGTCGAGAATATACTGCACTCCAGCGTGCTGAATGCTGTTGTTTGCTCCATAATAGTACTCATCCACGGTTTTCAACCATCCAACATCGTCATGAGTGTGGCTCACAAGGTGAACGTTAACTTGTTGAGGAGGTTTGCAATCGAGATCCGCTCCATAATTGAAACTGGCACAGCACAGAATCAACAGGACCAGTGCAAATATGTTGTCCATTATATTCATCGATCGAAATAATTTTTACTTGCTTGCAAGTAACTTAGTTTTTCATTAGGACTAAAACACCACTCTAGCTCTACGACATCCAAAACGAGGACGGCTGCGTTCAGCGATCCCCGAAACTAAAGCTGCCAACTTCTGCAATGACGGCCACCTGACCTGTCTACTTCTAGCACACAAACTCAAAAAGTCAAACTCAAAAGACCTCAGATAAAAGGAGAGGAAAGGAAACACTTACCGTAGGCGTAGCATGCCGTGTGTACAGGTACACGCGCACGCGGAGATCTTATGAGTCAAAAAAATGACTCCCTGGTGAAGTCGAGTCGTCATCCTCCTCCCCTGCCCCCCCCCACGCCGCTAGCGCTGCACTTTCCGTTTGCGACCGCGCCGTTATTCTGTGGTTTTACCACGCATGCGCTCGCTAGCTGCACTTCCCCACAATCGCGTTCGTTTACGTTTGCGTCATTATGCGAGCGCGATGGCATGGTGATCGTGATTATTGAACAAAAAAAGAGAGAAGAAACCTGGCCGTGCTAGCTGTTCGTTTTCAGTGGCAGCTGCTTGTTTTGAGGTGACGAACAACCATGGACAGCCAACTTCTTGCTAAAGCCCGCTTCAGGGACGTTCCGTTGAAGAAAATCCCAGCATGGTTTTCTGCCAGACCTTTCAAACCCATTTACACTGTGGACTTGTGGTGTAAAATGTACTCGAAGACGTTCGTCAGAGTCCGCGGACCCGGCAGCGCTCGATTTTTCCATGTCATGGCGTTTTCCTCCCTCTGCTGGTACACTCTCCAGTATCAAACGATGTGTGGTAAGTGCTGATCCTGTGAAGACCTCTCTTCCTGCACCACACTCTAATATTCGAACAGTGTAGGTCAAAAAAACAACTGGTAGTGTAGTTGACTGTACACTTTGGTTGCTTGATGAGATGGACTGTTACAGTAATACCTAAACTCTCACAAGGCTGTAATGAATGTGAAGTCTAAAAAAAAGGCTATACATGGTGCATGTAATACCAGATCTTGCCGTCTGGATTATCCGGGATAAGATCTGTCTACATTGTGTACATATCTCATCTCGTGCATGCCGATCTCGACTATGTAAAGTATGTTGGGAAACTTGAATGAAGTAAAAATGAGAGTGGCTATTCTTATAATGTAGAATCCACAGCCAAGGCAAGAGTATGTAACTGTGATCACCTTTCTGTGGGCCAGATGCATGGCACGCTGCCTTCATTACATCATGCAGCTAAAACTGCGAACTGCACTGTTAACAATACATGTGTTGTTTGAAACCAACTTTAATACTTATACGGAACTGAAGGTCGTGTACCCAAAACTTACAGATTGCGCCTGTACTGGGGAATCAAGCAAAGCCAGGTGTACTGCTGCAAAAGATTGGGGATTTAGGAGCATGAGTATAACGTGATGTAGGCAAGTTAGGCTGTGTTTGCATGGGAATTTTCAACCCGGGTTGCAAGTCTGTACGATGGAAACAATAGGTGGGTGTTTACATGAAGACAGTTGACCCGGGTCAATTACTGATATGCCGCCAAAAGTCCACTTCTAGAGTCCTGTATGGTCACGTGAATGCTTTCACGCAAAATTTGCGTGTGCAGTGCTGTTCAAACCTGGCGTGAGATACGCACAGAGGTACGGTTGTACGATTTCTCGATTTCAACCCGGGTCGAGCGCAATGCGTCATGTAAACGCGCCAGTCAATCTATGTTCATGGCGGGTTGAAACTCCACACGGGTTGAAACGTCTCGTGTAAACACAGCCGTAGGTAGTGAAGGCAGCACGCTGCGCACTGACCCATGATCACGGTTGCATGGTACATGTTGTACTTTTCTTTGTGGACTTGTTTTTACATGTAGTCTAACTACTGTAAAAACCATATATATAACGAAGTACTAACTCTAACGAGTTAACGAGGAGAAATCTGTCGTTAAAATAGAAATCGTTAGGCCAAAACAAAAATAGGCTTGTTTCCGGTCGGCAACCCCTCAAAAAGGAGACTCGGTCAGCCGGAATGAAACTTTTTTTGGATACTTTTTTTTGGTTCCTCAATCGTTGTGGTATTGATGGACAAGTGTAGGTGTACATTGTACATATTATCATGGCAAGGGTCAATGTCAAAGTTGACTGACTCACTGTTCTTGTACAGCATGTGGTGTATTCCTGTTTTCGTACATCCTGAGAAATCAAGCAAACAGTTTGAGTCCTTCCAGCTCCGTTATTCTAGCTCGTATCGACCCCGGAGGTTTTCGAGCCGACAGCTGAGAATCTCTGCTACCTTGTAGGTGTTTCGATTGTGGAATTCGGTTGAGATTTGACTGAGTTATGACTCTTTGAGTGCACTTGCACACATGGCATTGCCACCGTTTGTATACATTTGGGACCAAAAAAAGTTTCAGAATTTGGGAAAAAGTGACCCGGTCGGGCGACCGGAAACAAGTTCATTATTTGTTTTGGCCTTATACAGAAATCGATACAATCATATACTGTCCTATTGAGCGTTGAGAATGAGTGAAAATCGTTACCTTTGGTACACGTAAACTAGTCAATTTTGGGAAATCGTTATATATGCGCCTCGTTAGAATAATGGCTTTTACAGTACTATACATGTACAATGTACTGTCATAGCACGTTAAAGTAGTCGACAATTGTGTGGAACAGAATGTACTTGACATTGCCATCCTCGGGAGGGTCTCTATTTAGTGGTCCTTTCTGGGGCACTGGTGTCATCGCCGCGCTGATTCCGCGCACAATTTTCTCTTTGGCGAGACATTGACATTCCTCTTCAGAATCTCCCTTTTCATGGCTTACTCGTGGTAGCCTTTTGTTCGGATGTCAGGTGCTTTGTTGATAGCGGCGGAATACGTCTCAGCTGTGTTCTTGGAACACCCAGTGCATTGAATGGCCAGAGCTTAGGCTAGCGGTGCGTTCATTATTGAATCGACAACACTTGCCCAATTGCAGGACTGACATCTGATCTCATTGTGTACGCAATTTGATACGTTCTGATCGGATTCAATTCGCAAACGATCCAAAACGCAAGCATGCTAGTGCTTGTGAATCGCAAACTGTCACCGAATGTTTGCAGTTTACTGTACTCCACCAGCTTCTACCAGGCGATGACGCATTGGAGGCTGTAGAACTGGCAGAGCTACCACGTTTAGTGTGATAAATATCGAATGCCCCTGCCAAAGCCGGTTCAGTTACGTCAGCCGGAAGAGAAATGGCACGCATGCTGCGACGTAGGGGTATTCCGGTGGTCCGATGCTGAGCCAGAAACAAGACATTATCCTGCTCACTCTGTTCGTGTATTGTTCTGTATGTACATGTGTGTGTGTGTGTGTGTGTGTGTTTGTTGGCACAGCTCGTCACGAACCTCATGAGTTCCGCTGAAGACACTCTCGGCGAAGTTGGAGTAGGTGCTGTGCATCGTTGCTTTACTGCGTTATATCTTTCTGCTTGTATTTATCATGCAAATGTCTTTTGTGAATAGTGCCCTCCCGTTACTTTCTATGGGATATTGGCAAGATATCTCCTGTCTTTTATTGCTGTGTACGGTCACTATAATCTCGCTGATCCTAACTTTGGACTGTAGCCCCATTGCTATGCATATTTTTGAATCAACAATTCTGGACATCCGTACACTGTGGACAGAACGCTAGAGCTACCCAAACGTAGAGACTGTGGTTTGTCTGTGTGGGTCAGAATCGAGAGTTCGTAATGCCCCGGGAGTGTGCAACTCCCACATGCAGTGCTGTTGCAATAGAATTTTAAGTCGACGTCGTTTTCATGCTGATGCAATGCTCCTTGCAGGCGCGGCTTCTGAAGCTTGTAGAAATGACCGAATGTGTGAACCCGCCACACATGTTTGCTGTCCCGTGTTTTTACACGATCGAATGGTCATGTGTACACCGCATTGCATCATAACAATGGCCTCAATTTGAACTTTGTCAGGGCAGCACTGATAGTAGAGTCGCACACTCTGGGGGGGGGGGGGGGGGGGGGGGGGGATCTGTACTCTTGCTCGTAATGCATTTACAGTGGAGTCTTTGAGACTCACAATGCTCATGTGGGCCTGGAGCCTGACTGCCATGACTGTTACTCGTCTGTGTGTAACGTAACGTCTGTGCGGTTGCTGATGTGCTGTTCTGGGCAGCAGGGTTCCAGAGTCCTGTGTGCATTTACTCAGTAATGCCCCCCCCCCCCCCTCACACACATGCACTGCGGAAAAGTGTCTTTGGGCGAATCCATTTTTGTGAATAGGTCACCAAACTATTTCCTGGTGCAATATCCTCCATTCGTCCGAAGCCATGTCTCTGTATGCCTACTCGTACACTGGCCCGTGTGTTGTTGCTGTTACTTGTATTTCCCCTCCCTTCATGTGTGTGCAAAAGAGCTAGTAGCATCTACTTGAGTACAGTGCTGCTCGATGCAATCCAATCGCGTGAGTCAAGTTGCTGTGACGCAGGGCTGAGATTGGCATTAGACACCCTTAGCAAACAACGGTAACGCTATTTTTTACGGTACTCGTACCTTGATCACCCAAATAGTGTTGAAGCTACAGCGTATAAACGTTATGGGGGCTGATTTATCGTTGTGACCAACGGTAGGTTTTTTAGCCAAATATTGCATAGTCCGTACGCATTTCACCTTGTATCGCGTATATGATGAAAAAATGGTTGTACCGCGCGAAGTCAAAGCTATTCTCGTGGCAACAGCGTACTAAAAATAGCGTGCATCTTGCTAAAGGTCGAACCCAAATCACGGTATTTTCCCCCTTACGATAATACCGTTATAACGTTGTTTGCTAAGGGTGTCTATTGTGGCCATGATATGACTGCCACCAAGAGTTCATGAACTCTGGCTGCCACTCTTGATCCATTCGGTGGTGTCTTCCAGCGTGTCCCCAGAAATTACAGTACTCTGTTGCATGTTTATTGTTTGAATAGTCACCTGTCAGTTTCATGTTATCATTGACTTGTAGGGTTTACACCAGAGAGTCGTAGCATCTTTAGACCCCGGGCTGCCAGTGGTTGCCTGTTAGAATAGCCCCTTTCAATGAACTAACAGTTAGCCGTGTTCCACTGTTGTACATGTGTAGCACTTGCACCCCATTAGTATGACATCGCTTGCTTGGGCTCGGCGGGTCGAGGCCATAACCGTGACCGCGAGCTGCATAAACCACTGCCGCATCACGTGGACCTCCTAATTCCGGCTTTACAATGCACATTGTTTCGGGTGTCACAATCTTTTCTTGTCTCCCCAACCATTGTGTATGCTAAACCATAGAGACCCATGCACTTGAGTCGGCAAGCCCTCGAGCAAGAAAGATCTGAAGGCCGATTTCATGACATAACATTGTGTAGATGCAAGTAATGACGGCAGCAGCGCCGTCCGTATTTACGCAAGGCCATCCTTTTCGAATGTCCAGTATCAACGGTGTTCCACACAATGTCGATAGAAAGCAAGTGCACTTGATTAATACCTGGAGCCAGCTCCACGGCCCCATGCGTGTACAGTTATATAGCTACAGGGCCAATCATTTCCCCAAGCCCAATTTCAGTACTCAGAGAGGATGTGTGTCATGTTGCATCATAATCTGGTTGTTTCAGCCAGAGCTACCGTGACTGTAGTTAGTACTCCCTGGTTTCACTGAGCTGCTACACATGCTCACTCTAGCAAATTAGTTTGAAAAGACCCTCTACACCTGTGTGGCTTGTGTGCATGGTGAAGGCATCGCCCACATCCTCTATCCACCATGATGCTGGTGCTTCTTCAAGCGTGTTGTAGTTTCGACTACTGTTATAGTTTGTTTTTCAGCGGATCATTGAGTTCAGACCGTGGCATCTCATGTTCAGTCAGAGTCTCTCTCTCATCCTATCCCACTAACGTGTGACTTCCCCAGATCTCTGAAGTCTGATCCTGCACAGACCTAGGGAAATGGGATGTGCGGATTGTTGAAGAGAGACTGACTACAAAAAGTAGCAGCAGATGCTTTGCTGGAGGCTGTATACCATGGTAGATCTACATACCAGGGAGTAGTATTGCATTATACCATCATGATACTCCACACTAGGCAAAGCCCGATTTTGCCAGGGAAGCTTCGATATTTTGCCGCATAATTTTGCTGGCTCATCGTCGATATTTTGCTTTCATTTTGCCAGGCCACTCGATGTTTTGCTCTCTTTTTGCTCCAAAATTTGTGTCACGTGTGGGAAAACTGACCGAAAGAGTTTCACGTGTTGGCAAAAATGAGAAAAAGTGAGTCCCGTGTTGGGAAAACTGTGCGAAAATTAGTCACGTGCACCGTATAAGTGTAAAATCTCCCAATTTCCAGCGAACACACCACTATTTTGCTCCATTTTGCCAGCAAATTCCCTTTCAAAATTCTTCGATATTTTGCTAGCAGAATTGCTAGCAAAATCGGGCTATGCCTACTCCACACTGCCCTGGGCCTGGCGCTGCACCAGTCGAGCAGCAGAGCCTAGGGATTTCCCCACGCATTGGAGGCCGACTTTCAGCGGGGATTCCCCCAGCCTCCAATTTTGGCCTCTAACATGGGAATTCCCCTGAAAGTGAACCTAACTTGTGCAGCAAAAGAATGGATATCCATGGCAACGAAGCAATGGCCAGATTCGCAGCTCATGTTCATCCGAGATATCATGATATCCGTGCTTGAAATAAAAAATAAAATCAAAGCGGAGGTGTATTCGCCACGTCCTTGAAATTGGGCTGCAAGGCAGATGCTAGTTCTTGTGTTGGCCTCTTCTTTGTTTGCAGTGGCAAGTGAAGCAGCTATTGATACACCAGGAGATTAACTAGTGAGCGTATTTCCTCGGGTACCAGCAGCGTGATTTAGTGAGGAAGTTTTTGTTCGATAGTAATTTTTTTGTAGTTTGGCAGAAGCTTCAATCCACTTTTCCGTCAGAAAGCCGACTTGCTGAGTGACGATGGCTTCAGATCGTGGAATCGTGCTTGGGATTTCCATCGGATCTACCAAGGGCTGCGTGGCCATTTACAAGGTACGTGTTTCGTCGCCGCCAGTAATCTTGCCTGTTAATTTTATTGTTCTGAGCATCGTGTGGACGTAGAGCTATGAATAGTATTCGTACTGTACCATGTAGACAACACCACACAACATAGTGTTATAGTTTTAGTGTGAATATCTTCGCGATTTCTGCATTTCGCTCATCATATTTTTTCAAAGAAATAATTTCAAAAAAGGCTTAGTCCTCAGAAGAACATTGCAGTTTTATGACGTTTTGTGGATAGCTGCATACTGTGCCACTTTGGAGTCGTTTGTTCCATTTTTGAGGTACGGACTGGAAGCATACAACATGCCGGGGGGGGGGGGGGGTGCATGTGTACACGTACAGATGTACTGGAGAACATACAGTTCCACTGTAGTCCCACCGATTGAACCTCACTAGGTGGTGGTTGATCTACTCCTCCTGTTCCCACATTCTAGGAAACAGAACTTCTAATGCCATCTTCCACATGTACTATCTTATCATCAACACCCCTTGTGGAAAGAGTGGGTTTGTCAATTGACAACCGCTCTTTTCAATTGCTACTCAGTGCTCACTTTCTTGAAAAATAATTTTTAAAAAAATTTGTTTTATTATCAGGACTCCTTGTTTTTGTTTCAACATACTTAGCACTCTTACTTGTTAGCGCCATGGTTATCTGTCATAGTGGGAAGCTTGCTATATTTCCATCAGTAAAAGTGTTCAGACTTTGGTGCTGTGAGCTTGTTTACAATCGCTTCTAAGTGTCTCCAAACTCCATTTGTGATCGGTTCAGCCAGCCACTCCCAGCTCTGCTGACGAATCCAAATAAGGTCAAAATGCCTACGATATAGCTACACGGAGGTTGCTGCAATGTAGCCGTGTGGAGATGGTCTATCATCAACATCAATGAACGTTGGTTTGTTCCTGGTGTTTATGCAGGATGATATGCCGGTGGTCGTTGCCAACGATGCAGGTGACCGTGTTACTCCCTGCGCCACTACCTTGTCTGGCAAGGAAAACGTAAGTAGTGTTTCGACTTTGCTGTCATTTTCGCATGCTGCACTGTGAGCATGTGAGGCGTTTCACACAGGAATCCAGCGCGCCACAGATTGAATTGAACCATCCTGTCTGATTGATCAGCGTTTTAACTAGTGACACCTACCAGTTCATGTGGGATTCGGTATACAGGGCATTGCACTAAGATCGTGCTCCTTCTTGTCTTGCCGATAACTGTTATATCCCGAGGAGGCCAGCCTTATTGTTTTCGCCAGTAGTTGTTGTATTGGTTGATGACTGTTATGGGTACTAGTAGTTGTATCACTTTTGAACATGTGTACCCTCAGATGTAGCCGTTTGAATTTAATAGAGTGGTTTCAGAGGGACCCAAGGGAATGCCCGTGTTCACATCTTTTTCATGTGACGAAGTCTGTGTAGAAATTTAGATCATGGCATGTGGACAGTGGAACGAACATGGATGTCCCGTGTAGTCATGTGATGTATGTGACACCACCCTGTATCACCTGTGCTTTCACTGCTGTGTGTGTGTGTTCTCATGATTTGTGTTGCTACATCAGTCGCTGCGCGTTGCCACACGCCAGGAGGTGGTCAAAGGCACCGGCCTGATCCAGGGAACGCTGCAGCTACTCTGTAAAACGTGAGTAATGCCGGAGCTACGCCGGGCCAGGCACGCCTGTCACTCCCTGCGATGGACATGCAGAGTGAATGCTGTACCGTAGTCCCTGGGTATTAATGGTGATCAGGGAATATTTCCCTTATCAGAATTTCATTAGTGGAAATTTGTTCAATATGACCTGTATCTCAGTCTGCTTTTTTTCTGTCCACCATCATATTGTCTGATGTGTGTCCAAGAGGGTTCACTGTGTGTGCTTGTGCCAAGCTAGGACGTTGTTCATTGCTGTCCATTGCACTGTGTTGGACACGTCTGCTTGCCTTGAACCAGAGCTAATGTGGGAACCAGCCATTCATAGTGTTCAGTTCTTGTTCCGGTGTCCCAGGGGATACATGTAGTTGGTATTCTCTGTGGTCTTGTGTGTATCATACATGTTGCCATTGTTGTACAGTCCGTATCGCCTATAAGGTTGGCGGCTATAGTAATATACCGGATATAGTGATCAATTTCTCAAATTCATTTTCATTTGCCATAACTAAGTATACACAGTTATCGCGTATAGTAATAATCGTCTATAGTAATATATCGCCTATAGTGATCAAATTCATATTTCAAAAGACGTTTATTACAATTATTTTTGCATCGATTATAGTGATTGATGTAAAATCAAGTGGTGTCAGAGGAGAACAGAGTGTTACTTCTTCGTGAAGAACTAGCTTGTCCAGTGTTGTTTGGTGAGTTCTGCTTGCACAAGTTGCCAAAATATGCCTCCATCGTGAGGAAATGCTGTTGTGTGACATGAGCTGCAGCCAGCTATGCAGTGCGTATGTGCATGGTGCCCTGAGTCGTTTGACACCCCACTCGCATACATTGCATGCAGTATCGGTCATAGTGATATATCGCTTATAGTGATAAAATGCTCATAATCAAACACCAACGCTATAGGCGATACTGACTGTACATGTGTGTCTTCAGGTATGAGGAAGTATCAAAATCTTCGTTTGTCTCCCGGCAAATCTGTGAGGTAAAGCCTTTTTTTTTGTACGGGTACATTTTTTCGACAATGACTTTCTGCAGTATTTTGAACTCTTGCATGGTGTCAGAAATTTGGTTTGTAGAAGTGATTTGACTTCTTTTCTTCCCCCTATTCTTGTACAAAATGCATCAGCTTGACAGAGCCGATTACATGTACTGCTTCGGACTGCAGTTTGAATTTGTCCTGTAGTTGATACTCAGTGCTGTTGAAGTTTGTTTTTCACTGTTCGTGGTGCATGTGCATATAGTGTGAATCATGCCATCCTGCCATACTGCATTGCCTTTCTCTGCTTGCAACAGGTTTCAGAGGGACCCAAGGGAATGCCCGTGTTCAGAATATCAGCGGAGAAGTCCTTCACGTTCACGCCACGCGATGCCGTGACCGCTGTGTTTGCCAAACTAAAAGGTACACAGTGCTCACTCTCATGATCGGATTTCGTTGATCAACAGCGGAATACAAATCTCTTGAACGTCATCAGAACGCATAATTATTAGTATCTCAGAAAGTGATAATGTGAATGGGCTTTCAAAGATGTCATCAAGAACTTCACGAACAACAGCCAGGCCCAGCCTAAAAAGTAGAGAAGGGACTAAATGGGTTGAGTCAGAGGGTTCATCGTAACTGGGATAGTCCATAGCCATGCGATTCCCACCACCATACCTTTATGATGTGGGTACGCCACGTGTAATGGGACATTACAATCGAATTATCCCATTTTCAGCTCGGGGCGATCAGCAGTCTTCTGTTTCTTGCAGAGTTTTTCATGGTTTTCTTTCATAACTGTTATTCGTGTTGCTTTCAGAGTCGGCCAAATCCGCTGCAGGACGTGAAGACGCTAAGGATTGTGTAATTGCAGTGCCCGTATCGTTCACTGTTCAGCAGAGAAGAGCCTTACAGTAAGAGCGTTCAGCTATGCACTTTTGCTTCTGGCAATATTTTTCTACAGTGTCTGACGTTCTTTCGAATCCTGGCCGTGAATCGTTTATCGGCGGGGTCTTGGTATTTTCTCTACTCTGTCTCTTGTACATCGGAGAGCTGTGGGAAGCTCAGGTACATTTCTCAACATGACTGCATACACAGTGTGTAGTGTATGGCTAGGAGAGTATCGGCAAGCTCAGGTACATTTCTCAACATAACTGGATGCACGGTGTGTAGTGTATGGCTAGGAGAGTATCGGCAAGCTCAGGTACATTTCTCAACATGACTGGATACACGGTATGACGTAGGGGAGCCTTGGAAGGCTCAGGTACATTTCTCAACGTGACTGCGTGCACTGTATGACAATAGTGACCAAAAAACTCACACTTTGCTGTGTTTTTGCTCTGGCTCTCTTCTGTGTTCAGGTCCGCCGCTGAAAAGGCTGGCCTGAATGTGCTCCGACTCCTCTCAGAGCCTGCCTGTGCACTGCTCGCATATGGTGAGGGCCCGCAGCTCCTTTTGCAAGTGCAGTAGGCACATTGACGTCACCTACATTCAGTTTATTTTGTAACTAAATGCTCAAGATGTGCCTCATGAGTTCTGACTTCTATGCACGGGTGTGCTAAGTCAGGTCTTGTGCGTGTTTGAACAAATTCCATTTTTCGCTTTATGCTGTAGAAGTGTTTTGCCACCGTTGTCAGTCCTTTGTTCCATAAATCACGCACATTTGCACTTTGTTGTCTGCAGGCATTGGTCAGCAATCGTCACCAAATGCTGGGTTAGTGCTATGTTGTCATATACTGTATTCATTTTTCTTGGCTTCACTACGATGTGGAACCCCCCTAAAAATACTACATAATTTCTAGCTCTGAGCGATCATCAAATGGCCCTGGGTAGTAATTAAGTTCCTCTCTTACTGCTTCTATTCACTCAGCTAATGAATATTAGGCCAAAACAAATAATGACCTTGTTTCCGTTCGGCTGACCGGGCCACTTTTTCCCAAATTCTGAAACTTTTTTTGGTCCCAAATGTATACAAACGATGGCAATGACATGTGTGCAAGTGCACTCAACGAGTCATAACTCAGTCAAATCTCAACCGAATTCCACAATCAAAACACCTACAAGGTAGCAGAGATTCTCAGCTGTCGGCTCGAAAACCTCCGGGGTCGATACGAGCTAGAATAACGGAGGTGGAAGGACTCGAACTGTTTGCTTGATTTCTCAGGATGTACGAACACAGGAATACACCACATGCTGTACAAGAACAGTGAGTAAGTCAACTTTGACATTGATCCTTGCCATGATATATGTACAATGTACATGTGTAGGTGCTCTTGTTCATCAATACCACAACGATTGAGGAACCAAAAAAGTATCCAAAAAAAGTTTCATTTCGGCCGACCGAGTCTCCTTTTTGAGGGGTTGCCGACCGGAAACAAGCCTATTTTTGTTTTGGCCTTACTGTTTTTTTTTACTGTGCATTTAGTTATCGGTGTTTCTTGGCTTTCACGTTAGCCCTGTTCTATATATTTTGGTGTGTTGTTCATGTTTTGCCTGTGCATACAGATTTAGCTGTTTGGTACAAGTGGCCTTTGTTCTGTTCTGTTTTGCTTTAGGAATGTGGTGGTGTATGACATTGGAGCGACGAGTGTCAACGTGTCCGTCGTCTCAGTAATGAGCGGTCTGTACCGCGTGGTTGCCGAGCATAGCAACCCCAGCCTTGGTGGTCGCAACTTCGATACGGCGGTGGCGAAGCATTTTGCCTTTGAGTTTCAAAGGTGAGACGGGGCTGTCACATCAGTATCCATGTACCCATGCTCTCCTTTTTTTTCTTGTACTGTAGCATTGTGTCGTAACGGCTGTATCCATCTTGGACTCTTGGTCCTTCCCATGTGTATCATGTTGAAAGGGGATTTTCTTGACGGCATTGTGCTTGTCTTCACTTCACATTTCGTCCCGTAATACTTTTATTCGCAAGAAACGAAGGGAAATCTTGACCAATTTCAGCCTGTGTTTTTTTTAAAGTTCACTTCCCGTTTGATCCTTTGAGAAGCCTAGTTTGGGATTCTGTAAATTTTTGTTGTCCTGAGCTGATAAATTACATCCGTTTGCCAGAGATGGACATGGAGTGAATGCCTTCGAGAAAAAGAGACTTCCCGTTGTAGCTTCTTTTTTTCCCTCATCTGACAACTATTTATTACGACTGTAGACAAAAAGAAAGATAGTGAATGAAAAACGTAAAATGTTTGGCACCTATGAAATCAGGGGATGGCCCACGCCTGGTAAAAACTTAAATATGTACATGAATACATAATTATAATTTATACAAAAGAGAAAGACCAAGGAACTACAAGTTACGCTATACTGTCCACTAACACCACCAGTTTCTAAACAATCAGCTCATGCGATAACATTGCACGACACTGACCGACGGTACTGACGTTCTACAACTAACTCAACTGGCAACAGCTCTAGCACATCTTGGATGCGCACTCAAACAGCCTTCCAACTTGACAGTATAGCGTAACTTGTAGTTCCTTGGTCTTTCTCTTTTGTATAAATTAAACCTTGGCTCTCCATCTGAATACACATAACTTTCTAATAAGGGAACTACACAGTTCCAACAATGATGTACATAATTATACTTAAACAAAGGGCAACCTTATTATTGAATATCAAATGAGTTATACACGAATGCCCGCCTCAGCAACCACCAAGGCAGGAGGTGAGCTGGAGTCCAACTGCATCGGTCGCAGATTCCGAGATCCGCGCAAGCACAGAACACTTGACCGCAGAAGGGCAAAACTCAATTTGCACCTGATGCAAGCCATAACAGAGCTGTGCGCTTCCCCGCTTGGAGCGATGCAATCCGCTTGTAGAGCGCATCAGCGTGTTTACCCGAATCATCAGTGGTAGAGAAAACGGCGGGAACAAATGACGAGTGCTCAATATCGCGGATGCGCTGCTAATAGCGACGCCTCTTCTCCTTCTCATGCTTCACGTAGCAAGAAGCAGTGGAGGTGGCTCGGTTTGATGGTGCGTGAGGGTTGAATACCCTCACATCAATGTAGGTGCGCTCAAACCGGCCACCCCAAATGCCACTTGCGGCAACATCGAGGCGAGCTTGGTCCGTCTGGATAGCAGAGCAGTGTCGGAATTGCTCTCCGGTGACTTGCTGCAGGTGAGGTTCCACGGACACGTTGTGCGCTACACGCTTCAGCATGGAGGCGGTGAGGTCACGCACTGAGGGAAATCCACCAGTGGGGCAGGATAGTGCGTGGGCCACTGTGAACGTAGCACCACAGCTACATGAAGATAGCAATCGCTGGGGCAGCCACCCGTACCGCAGGTGAATTCCATCACGAAACTCGCCTTTGGTGAGACTTAATTAAGCCGTGCCGTTTCAAGGGTCGACATGTGAGCCAAGAAGAGGCTTCCTTCTCAGATGCCAGAGCAATGACCCATTGCAGCTCAGCATCGGCAGAGGAGGAGGAAAGAAGCACAGCTTCAGTACGGATGGAGGCGTCAGCTACAACCTTCACCTGCTTCTTAACAGTGCGGACATCATGGATAGCTGTACCCAGCCTCATAATGTTATTCTGGGACAAGATAAGAGACGTCAGGGGAGCGGTGAGGGCTCGAGACGATTGGTGTTGAGAGGCTCGAGAGACCACCGAAACAACATGGGAGGGTAAGCAGGTTGCACTCTTGGGCATTCACTGGCCGTCCGAGAATGGCTGGTATCAGCTCGTTCGAATCATCGTACTCTTGCACTTCAGGGTTGTTCGCCTTCACATGACGGTGACTAACCATAGTGATGCCTCCTCGCATTCCACTCTCAACAAAATTGTGCATGTCCACATCTGTCAATAGCTCCAAGGATGCTTTCGTAGTCTTGAGCAAGGCATCCCATGCAAAGCCAGGGAGGGTGAAATAATGCACAGGATCCAAACCCTATGTGTGAAGAGCCATATCCCTGAAATGTTCGACACTGCAGCATCGAGAACACACAGGTGCTCAGGCATCTTAGGCATGACGCGGCAGAGAAAAGTCCATTTGCTCTGTAGACCATGGATGTAGGCGGCGTGCGGTGCTTGAGTTGAGGCTGAGAGCACGCATACGCACTTAGGCATTGGACTTGTGTGACCCAGTCATTGACCTTCTGCTGCACATACTGCTCGATGAAGGCAGCTGATCCGATGGCAGCACCAAGGTATCAGCATCCATCTGTCCGGATTGTCACTCCAGTGCCTGCAAAGATCCTTGTGGCATCGTCGAGGAACTGTGGCTTCACATACGGACTTAGTTGGATTGGGGAAATATCCATATTGGGGGCCCTTCTCCGCCAGTCGATCCCACCACTTATGCAAGCTCTTCAGACGACCACCAGCGCCAGAGTCATCAGCATACCATGCCTGCACTGCTCCCTCAGTGGCTAAAGATTCCATAAGGGGAATGAGAGCAATGGCATACATTACCATGGCAATGGGACCCCCCTGAGTCGTGCCCTCCTCTGATGAGATGACCTCCTCCGCTACATGCAGGTTTGCAGGCTGCCGGTAGGTATTGATGGTCAGTTGTGCTAGGGAAGGGCACAGATGCTGCACATTCCTGAGCGCAACCTCCCTGTTCAGGCTGTTGAAGGCGTTTGTGGCATCGGCCAGCAGAACGCCTTCGGTAGCTGGGTCGCTGAAGACTTCTGCCATTGAATGAATGGCAGCCTCGATACCACTGTCCTGCCCCGCACACAGCTGCAGACTTCCGGCTGCATCCATCACCTGGAGGATGGCCTTGCCCAGGATTCTGCGCATGACTTCCCCAATGGGCCTGACGCCAGGATTCTTATTCAAAGGAATCAGGCGGCATGCTTTGTAGGCCACGAGTGACGAGGGGTCGACAGTAGGGAGGTTTAACGTTAGTTCCCACGTAACGGAAACGCGTACGTGGGTGATCCACGTAAAGTGGATGAAGGGCATCCACGTTGCAATGTTGTGTTTAGTCACACGGAACAAACAAAAGCATGACGCGAAAGGCCCAAACCTGGTCAAAGACGAAGCTACCCGGCCTATTAAGTTAAAGAAGCTCATCGAATATTTTGATTTCGTGCTTTGGAAATTTCTTCAGCTGAGCACCCTCACAGCTCGCAAAATGCGCTCCATTCTGATTTTCACCCACGTTCTGGCGGAACGTGGGTGAGCCTCCATACACGGTATGTCGTGAATCAGAAAACGTCTGTACGTGGGTCACTGAGTATCACGTGGTACACACACGTAAAGTACCCACGGGTTACGTGGGACTAAATCTCCCTAGTGTGAGAGACTCGACACTACATCGTCAGGCACATGCGGCCAGAGCATCGCATAGGTGTTCGGTAGCTTGCCTGTAGTTAGAGTCACCTTGCACACTGAGGATACATGTGAGCCGAAATAGCTCAGTTGGGAGAGCGTCAGACTGAAGATCTGAAGGTCCCTGGTTCAATCCCGGGTTTCGGCATTCTTTTTTCTTTTTTTCACGCCTTCACTTTCTCTGATGTGTCTGGGTCTGCTCCTGTCTCCCTTTGTCGATGTTTCCCCGTAATCTGTTGCTTCAACGACTTCTTTCCCTTTTTTTTTGCATAGGAAATGGAAAATGGACATGACAGATAACAAGCGCTCGATGGCGAAATTGCGCGCTGCATCTGAGCTGTGCCGTCAGAGCTTGTCGTCGCTGAACACGGCATCTGCCACTGTGGAGTCGCTCTACGACGGCATGGACTTCCAGAGCAACATGTCGCGGTAAGTGCAGTGTGCATGCTTCGATGTTCATGTGGTTGTCTTCTGTGTGCCCCGGTATGTGCAGTGTGCTTACTTCGATGTACTGGTACACATGGTGGCCTTCTGTATCTGTACAGTGTGCATGCTTCGATGTTCACGTGGTTGTCTTCTGTGTATGCCTTGTGTGTTGCCTGGATTAGTGAATTCATGCTACTTCAACCCGAGTATTGGTTACACATTGATGGTATATTGTAATTTGTAACTTGCGTGCCGTCTGTTCAGGTCTCGATTCGAAGGCATCTGCGGGCCACTCTTCCAGCAGTGCCTGGAGCCAGTGAATCAAGCCTTGGCCAAAGCTGGATTGGCCACGACTGACATATCTAAGGTATGCACTGGGAACATTTAGCGCAAAGGGGAGATCTGTGCGGGTGGCGGTTTAAGATGCCAAATGCATCTTAACCCATTGCTTATTACCGGGCGACGCTATTTCAATGCAGGGATAGTAACTATTGAATATACGTGTGCTTACGTGTCAGCACATTCTTCCAATGTTCGTGATTCTATTCAAAGGATGCTTCGGTACGAGTCATGCTTATTTCAATGTCATCGGGAAGTACTTCCTTTTAGTAAACAGTCTCTGAGACAAAAATGCGATAATACTCATGAAAACTTCCTTTTAGAGTGATGATTTATGTGTAGGTCGATTGTTTAATTAGCTGTTTGTGTATGCTGTGCCTTGTTTTAGGTTGTCATCACAGGTGGCTGTGCACGCACTCCCAAGCTGCGGCAGTGGCTGGACAGCTTCTTCCAGGGCAAGGCGGAAGTGCTGTCCTCCATCTCGTCGGAAGAGGTCATCGCTACTGGTGCTTCCCTACAGGTCAGCACGGTTGCTACGCTCACTGCACCTCGACTTGCACGGCCCCTGACGCCCTGGAAAAGCCACAATTGAAGCTGAACGTACACACACACACATACCAGTACAATGATGTAATCGGAACTGGTCCAGGCCCGCTAAGGCGCCCTCGACTTGCACTTCAGGCTGGATTTCAGTGAGCGCAAGTGTACATCTTAGGGCGGATGGGATAAACGACTTGATGGTCTAAGACCAGGAAAGTGAGGTCGGCTAGCGATATTTGTTCTGAATGGGTGATACTGCATGTACATCATCAAGAGTCAATAAGCAAGAGTATGCATCTGTGCTTATGAGTCAGTAAAAGTGGAGATGCCTTCATTACATAACCTGCCTGCATCAGGCAGGCTCTGCACTCAAACCCACACTCTCGCACTCATGCCAGTACATCCGCCTTTTGCTTGTTTCGTTCGAGTACGTACCCGATCTCCAAGTTCTGGATGCATAAACTCCAGTTCCGTTCGAATGTTTGTTTCAAACTGCAGGGAATGTGTGGTGTTTGATTTTCTGCGGTGCAGCGCAGATTGTAGCTGCGTGATGTAATGAAGGCAGCGCTGCACACCTGGCCAATAGAAAAGAAAACACAATAGGTTATCTTGGTTAACTTCTGGATGTTATGGATTTCATTTCGTGTTCACCTCGCCTTTGCTGAAAACTGCCGACGAACTGATCAATATGATTGAGCTGGTATTCAGTATGCTTGTGTCTTACTGTGGTCATTGGTTTCTTCCCCGATTGCTAACACCATCTGTAGGCTAATCTTCTAGCCTCGAATGTGGACCGAGACTTGGAAGAGTGCCTGGAGATGCAGAGTGAGATGCCATGTCTGAGCTGTGGTCTTGCTATTGCGGTAAGGGCTGTGCAGATTTATTGGGGATTGTGTCACCGTGATGTTTCTTATTGAGGTGACACCTCCTACACAAACAAATGCGACATTCTTTTTTTGTTACTGACCGGTTTCACTACAAAGTGTAGATCATCAGAGTGAAAAGAAAAGTCGAACGAAACACAATTTTTTGCTCTCACCAGGTGGGTAAGAAATGTATTGACACACGTGGGCCGCCAAAACGCTAGGGGCCCCGAGGGCATTGGGAGATGCTACGGTACTACAATCATGCCATAATTGCACAAAGTGTATGTGTGTCGTAAATCATGAATGAAGTACGCATGCAACTATGAGTGTAAAAAAAAAAAGGAATAGAATGGGGTACGGAGCTTGGGTTGGCTGTGACTCCGAGTTTCACGCCTGTGGCGATCATCAGACAGCAACTACGAGTGTATGCGGCTAATAGTACTGTGTCCTAATAGGGGATACTAAGACAAGCTAAAAAGTACTATATTCATGAGGTGAATTTAGGCGAGGTCCAAAGCTTGGACCTCGCCTAAATGCAGGCGACTAAGCCTGCAAACAATGAAAGTATGGAGAATGGAGAAAGGAGAACAAACATTGAACAATGTTTATCAGAAACGAGCTTCAGTGAAACAATTGTTTCGTTTTGCGATAGAAGATCTCAACATTGGAAGAGGAGAAAGATTCTGCTAATATCGTTCTAAGACGATTTCTTGCAAAATGCGGGTGATAGGAAGTAACAAATTTAATTGTATTCCTGTCGTGGCTGGTCTTCGTTTTCTTGGCAGACGAATGATGTGTAACACGAGGTTCAATATTCAGGAAGATAGGAGCCAAGAAATGTGGAGGATAGCCTCTGAGCCTAAGTCTGCACCAAAAACGCTCACGGATAATAAGAACATCAGACGATCTTGAATTTGTTCTACTATATCGACAGAGTTCTGCAATGATAAATGAGCGAAAGTTTGATTTTGGGTGATCTGACTTATAAGGAATGTAAAGATAAGCATTCCTGGGTTTCTGGTATGTACGATTTGACCAGGTGAGGTTAATGTCAGGTAAATCTGAGTAGTTTCATAAATGATGTTTTTAGGGTGAAAATCTACAAATCTAGAAGACGGGGAGGTGCCGTATCCAATGCAGGAGACAGTTGGTCTACCTGGTACTAAGCCATCAACAAGTGTTTGGTGAATTTTCGGAAGCATATAGAATTTAGCTGGTTTAAGGCCACGCCGTTTTTTTCTATGTTTCGCGTCACCTTATTCGATGAAATCAATGAGGGAGGGTGAAAAAAATAAAAAGCCATCCAAAAATAAACAGTGTACGTGCATTGCATTTGTGTACAGTGAAGCGACGCGGCACTGTTCATGTACATTGACATGTACATGAATACATGAGTGTATCCCCTCTGCCATGCTTGTGGTCCAAACACAGGCGACATGATGATTGTGTGACTTGCGGCCCAGCTTATTGCACACACATGTAGTACATGTACAATGTACATGTGTGTGAGCTGAGTTACATTTTCCGGTTTTCTGGGTTAGCATTTAATAAATTTGGATTGCATTTTCAAAAAATATATATTTTGTTCGTTTTTTGTTTTTTGTTTTTTTTAAACTCCGGCTGTCAAATACATGCGCGCGGGGACGCGAAACATAGATAAAAAACGGTGTGGCCTAAAAGGGAAAGAGCTAAATAATGCAGTGACATCACGTTCGGAAAGTAAAGGCCGATTCACAATACAACTTTCTGCGACGCGACATGCGACTTGCGACGCATGCGACGAGCTGCGACAGCAACACACGGTTCACAATATTCTTCATGTTTGCGACATCCTCATGCACAAGTAGTACTATGCACGTGCACTGCACGTACACTGCACGTGCACCCAGGGTCGAAACTGTACTCCATTTGTGTATGTCGCGTGTCGCATGTCGCAAAAGTTGAACTTTCTTCAACTTCTGCGACAAGTGCATTGCGACAGCTTGCGACAGCTTGCGACAGCTCGCGACAGGCAGTTTCTTGTCGCAACTGTCGCAAATCGCGTGTCGCGTCGCAGAAAGTTGTATTGTGAATCGGCCTTTAGGCAGAGTGTACTTTACAAATGTCTGAGGTCACGGTATAGAGAATCATGCAGTGCTTGGTTATCTGAAGATACTGGAGAATAATATTTTCTGTCAGCTAGCTGGCGAAGGCCTTCTGCTATGTAATCGTCTTTGTTTAAATTAACAGTGCCAAGATTTTTATCTGCTTTAGAAATTACGATATCTGGTCTGTTTTTTTTTAAGAAATACGCTGATAATTCGTTTGGAGTTAGATTATGTTTTCGTTTGCTTGTAATCTGAGCTGCATAGATGCTAGATTCTAGTCTTGACCGGAAATCAAGTAGAGCAAATTCAACATGGTAAAGCGGTAGGAGGAACCTTCTCTGAAGGGAGGTGAAAATGTGGAATACATAGTTTGGTAGGCACTGTAGTCCTAATAAGATTAAACAGGTCATTCCATCTGATTTTATGGTGAAGTGCAGAAATATCGTTTGATAATTGCTGCGGTGTTGGCAAGTGAGTAGAGGGTCTAAAGTTAGAGCCATAACCAAGAACTTGCTTTTCAGTGGGTGTGAAATTGAAACTAGAAAAATTATGAAAACCAGTTCAGAACGTACGTAGAATGTCGATTCAGATTAATATTCCAAATATATTTCAAACGTAAGTCTAAGAATGATTTCTGACTTTTCTTCTGCCGTGGGACAATTTCACTGTAACGTTTTTTTGCCGTCTTCTTCTTCTTTTGCTGAGCTGGTTTTTCGAATAATCTTAGACTGCTGCTGCTGCTGTTTTTTCGGTTGCTTTTGCTGCTGCTGCTGCTGCTGCTGCTGGGAAGTGACTTGCCTTGTGACTTCTTTTTTAATAAGAGCGCCAATCTCTTCTGAGGTTGGAGGCAGTGCTTGTACGTCCATCTTTTCTTTTGGCTTGTCTTTTCTGGCTGAGGTTAAATCAGTCCGACATTGTTCAGTGATGATGCAAGCTTGTCTTAGCCCAGAAAGATATTCGAAACGGTAAATGAGTTGACTGGCAAAAACGCTGGTTGCTTTCTCAGATGCAAGTCTTTCTGCAGGAGTGTTGAAATCAGTGTGAGCTTCATTTAGCGTAGCTTCCGCTTTACTCAACTTGGTAGTGCAGGCGGCTATTTGCTTACTCACATATTCTGTGCACTCAATCAAACTGGCCTTATCTGATAGCTTGGAAAACTTCTTAACGATATGATCCTGAAAAGAGTTTCCATCGATTTGACTTTGCAACTTCTCTTTCTTTGCCGACTGCTCTGATATACCGGTAACCTTCCTACTTGTGAATATACGATTAACGCACCAGGTAACGTACTTCTCTAGCTCACCATCTGGTAGAGGACGGTCGCCAGGGCAGGAATCGGGTGAGGGATCGGCAGTGTCGGCAGAGTCGACGGTTGCAGCTGCAGAAGACTTAGCGTTGATTGGGGCGTCGATTAGGGCAACATCATCATCATCGTCATCATCAATATCGAAAGCAGTGTCTTCACGCTGGCGTTTAGAGGGCGGCGGTACCACACTGACAGAGCCGGCACCGGGCCTAGGTAGGCCAACGTGGGTCGTTTTGTCCATACTAAAGGAAACGTTTGAGGGAGGTCATATTGATCAAGATTCTTATCGAGGTGACACCTCCTACACAAACAAATGCGACATTCTTTTTTGTTACTGACCGGTTTCTCTACAAAGTGTAGATCATCAGAGTGAAAAGAAAAGTCGAACGAAATACAATTTTATGCTCCCACCAGATGGGTAAGAAATGTATTGACCCACGTGGGCCGCCAAAACGCTAGGGGCCCCAAGGGCATTGGGAGATGCGACGGTACTACAATCATGCCATAATTGCACAAAGTGTATGTGTGTCGTAAATCATGAATGAAGTACGCATGCAACTATGAGTGTATGCGGCTAATAGTACTGTGTCCTAATAGGGGATACTAAGACATGCTAAAAAGTACTATATTCATGAGGTGAATTTAGGCGAGGTCCAAGGCTTGCACATCTGCCATGCGACCATACGGGGCAGCCATGTTGGTTCCAACTCCAGTCAACCCCTCTATCAATGGGTCACATGATGTCAGCCATGTTGGCTCCATGTCCAGCTGATCCATTCATCAATGAGTCACATGATGTCAGCCATATTGGCCTCCAACTCTGCTTGAATCCTGCATCAATGGGTCCCATGATGTCAGCCATATTGGCCTCCAACTCTGCGTGAATCCTCACATCAATGGGTCACATGATGTCAGTTATGTTGGTTCTACTGATCTACTGTACCCAGAATGATTTGTGCTGAAGTAAGTTTTCGCTCTGATTTGTCTGCATTCTGTGCATGGTCTGTGCAGCTTGGAACAGCTGATGGCGGCAGCGCGCAGCTGCATCCTGTCTTCCCCGTCTCCACTCCTATACCGGCACGCAGCAAGCTCACACTCAACGTCAAGCCCGATCAGGTATGGCATACATCATGTGTGGGTGTGTGAAGCTACTTCTTTATACTGCTACACTGCATGCTGCTACACTGCATACTTTCATGGTGGCTTAGGTTTCACATGTGTTGCTGCCCATACACAGCTGCAGCACTCGCAATTTTCACTGTACTTTTTTGCTACACCGCTTGTAGAGTTGACACTGAGCAACTGTGTGTGAGCGTCTGTACTCGCAGCTATCCAGTGCTGCTGTAGAAGTGGCTACTTTGTCTCTACAGTCAATCTGCAGACAGAACTGTTTCGTCCTTTGTGGACTCATCAGCTCAGCACAGAAAAAATGAGGCCCAACCTGATAGCAATGAAAAATAAATTTTCCTAATCCAGATTTAAACCAGGCCCGAACGTACCGTGCCAGAGTGCTCAAACTGACAAGTCAGTGGGCTCTGCACAACTCAAACAGCAAAGGCACTACCCCACACAAGAGTGCTCAACCGCGACAAGAGCGGGAGCGAAATACCTTGTTTCTATATTGTCCTAACCCCGCTATGCTGTGACTGTCTGATGTGTGTGTTGCTGTGTTGGTACTACTGTAGACATGTGCAGTCGTGACCGTGTGTGAGCACAGCCCGGCTTCCGGTGAGCCAGCACGGCCAGTCTTGCGGGTAAGCTACTATTAAATTTGGATGTTGCCGTGGACTTTAGTTTCTCCTAGTGCAATGCACAGCATGGCCTGGCAATAGACCTGTTGCACACATATCACATGACCACACAGCCCGGGCGGGTTCCAAGTTCCACCTCCACTCAACCTCAGCATCTATGGGTCACATGATGTCGGTGGCCATGTTGGCTCCACTGTCCACATGCCATGATCACTTTCTGCACACATTTAGTCACATGACAAAGATGTGAAGCCACTCTATACCTGAACAGACAGGAAAGCAGTGTACATGTGCCTGCTCTCAACATTGCTGCACGGTTTTGAGTTGACTCTGAGGAAGTTCACATCTGTAGGCGAGATATACACTGTTCTAGTATTCCAGCCACTGTGTGAACAATGGCAATTCAGTATGTAACTTTTTTTAACATTTTTCGTTCACATGTCGTTCATGTTCCACCCACAGGTTGTGCTGAAGGATCTCCCCGCAACTGAACAAGACAAAGAGATCGAGATCTCGCTATCTGTAGCACAGTGAGTTTGGGGCGTCATCCTGTTTGCCGCTCAGATATTTTCTGTCGCTCCGTCGTCCTCCGTTGTATTAATGTTTCTCAGCTCCGTTCCTCCTGTCGTGAAGCAGCACGGAGCATTGGGCGGTGGTGGTGGGATTGTTACATAATTTGAAAGACTAGGATCAATTCGTGTGAGTTCTTCTCTCAAAGCGAAGATCAAAGTGCAAAGCTTGTATTGTTCGCATCCAGAACACTGAGCCATCCTGACTTTGGTTTGTTCCTGTGTCCTAAACTCTTGTTTGCAATCAGTTCAACCAGCCACTTCGAGCTTCGCTGATCAGATCTAGCAAGGGCGAAGTGGCTGTTAGCTGTCCAGAAATTGAGCTCTGGACTCGCTAGGTTTGCTTGTTATGTAATGATACGTGTAGTGGCAAGAGTACATAACCCCCAGAGTGTGCAACGCCTGATCCAGCTCTGCATAGGGTCTTGGTCGAGCGGAATCGGATCTTTGCGTCATTATACCGTACACATCTGAGGGGAACCCGGGGAGTCGTGGGTACTCTCGGATCAAAAACAACGGTGCCCTGCCTCGAGACCGGCCTTGCGCTGGTGTGGAGTGTACGCATGACATCAGAAGATCCGATTACGCTCGACCAAGACCCTATGCAGAGCTGGATCAGGCATTGCACACTCTGGGGGTTATGTACTCTTGGTAGTGGGTGTCTAGGGTACTATTAGTGTGTTGGCATTCTAGCATGCAGCGTTGAGTAAGTGTCTGCACGTGTGTTCTACTTCATGTGTGCTTTATAGGTCTGGAGTGCTGAAGGTCTCAGCTAAGGAGCTATCATCCAAGATCAGTGCACAAGTGTCCACGGAACCCGTACAGAATGGTCTTTCGCCAGGTGACTGAAGTACTACTGCAAGTGGCCACCAAGCGCTACTCATGCGTTGCCTCCGCTCCGAATGAGACTCCTCCTTGACGCGTCGTCGTGTGCGTGCATTCTAATTTATCACGACATTGGCAGCAGCACAGTGACCCAACACCATACATTGCTGTGCTAGCAGTGGCCAAGTGCAATGTGATGCCTACTGACCAGACATGCTCTGCATGTTTCTACCCAGATCACCATCATCATCATCATCACGCGACACTGCTCTGCCAATGAGGATGAAACGGAAATTCAGTAGACAGTAACTGCTCCGCTGGGACGCTAACACAATGTTACATAGGGTGCCATCCACGCCTCTGGCGAAACAGCTCTGAAGTGCTACACACTCAGCTGTGATTCAAGCCCATCATGTGTCCCCCTTCTTGTACCTTTTCTCTTCTCTTCTTTTTACTCTTTAGAAGCTTTTAATTACATTGCCTATACGGACCTATAAAGTATGTACATTGGTTACGAAATGGTGAATTTTCATGAAAGTTAGTTTTTCCATTGAATAATTATTATGAAGATGAAGTTTTTGATGACTGTGTGTTTCGCTTAAAACTGGGGTATAGCTTGTTGACAAAAGAAGCCACAAGCAAGAAAGAGACAAGAAGACTAAATCGTATGTTTGGCCTTCACTGTGACTTGTGTGAATTGATCAGCTTCTCAATAGCGGCGGAAATGTTCTCTTTCGAAACAGCACCGATGGTTCGAGAGAATTCCTTTCCGTTGCTGAACAGGACCACATTGGGAATCGACGACACCTGCAGCAAGCCAAAACAACGGCGCAGCACCATACATTTACAGGACGAAACGGAGAATGCAATATCAGGGGCCTTCAGGCAGGTTCAAGTGCAACGCTGAGGCTGCATTCACACATGGTCTACTATTAAAGAGCATGTTTCTTGAACACTCGGGCATGTAAATCTGCACATGCATAAGCAATCTGGTATGAGTACAAGTGCAGTCAACTTCGCTAATAACGACTGCGGATATAACGACAATTCGCGGATAACGACAGAATTTCCATGCCCAGAGCAAAGTCCCATCTAACTGTAATACATATAACGAGATTTCGGGTATAAGGACACTTTTTTGATGCCCCGCCGAGTGTTGTTTACCGTTATACGCAAAGTTGACTGTACATAAAGGCAGGGAGTCGTATAAAAAAAAACTATAAACCCGGCAGAAACAGAGGACACACAGCTGAATTCCTTGTACAGACAACCTCGTGAGTAACTAGGGAGGTTTAGTTCCCACGTAACGGAAACGCGTACGTGGGTGATCCACATAACGTGGATGAAGGGCACCCACGTTGCAATGTCGTGTTTAGTCACACGGAACAAACAAAAGCATGAAGCGAAAGGCCCAAACCTGGTCAAAGACGAAGCTACCCGGGCCTAGGCTAGGAAGCTCATCCAATATTTTGATTTCGTGCTTCGGAAACTTCTTCAGCTGAGCACCCTCACAGCTCGCACAATGCGCTCCATTCTGATTTTCACCCACGTTCTCTCGAAACGTGGGTGAGCCTCCATACACGGTATGTCGTGAATCAGAAAACGTCTGTACGTGGGTCACTGAGTATCACGTGGTACACACACGTAAAGTACCCACGGATTACGTGGGACTAAACCTCCCTACTACCTCGGGTATTACAACTTGCGAATAACGATCACTAGACTGCATACTTTCAACCTCATGAATAACGGCACTGTTCTCATGGTTGATTGAGGGTAGTTATCCACAACGTTGACTGTACAGCAAAACCTGTCAAGGAGACCACTCGGATTAGGCGACCACCTGTCCCAGAAGACCACTGCTACCAGGACAAAGAGATGCTATTTCCAGTCAAATGACCCTGGATAAGGAGACCACCTGTCAGTGGAGACCACCTGTCAGTGGAGACCACCTGTCACTGGAGACCACATTTCGAGTGCCCCTTGAGTGGTCGCCTTAGGCTATGATCGTTTGGTCGGATCCAGATCCAGATCCAAATCTCAGATCCGTCGGATCCTTCAGAATCAACCGAACACTTTTTTTGCGGACCTTGGCTGTTGCCATGTTGACGAAGTAAAAAATGGCGCTGACAGGTCACCCAAAAGAGGCACAAGTCGTACTGATCGCCCGCGTCGTACGAAAAGTCAACAAAAGTCCACTAGACGTATGACAATGAGTATAAAAATGATTTTTACCCACCATATACGCACAAAGGTCACATTTGGATCCGATGGATCCAGTCAACCCTGCTCCCGGGGCAGGGTTGCTCGGATCCAAATCCGAAGGATCTGGATCCGGATTCGACCAATCGATCATTGCAGATCCAGTGGATCCGATGGATCTGGATCTGGATCCGACCAAACGATCACGGCCTTAGACTGTCCCCGGGGAAAATTGCGGAAAAAAATCGCAAAAAACGCGGGGAAAAACGCGGCATAATATGGCATAATTTGCGGTAAATATGCGGTAAATATGCGGTGAATAATATTGATGTGCGGCAATTTTCAGTGAGTATGTAGTGAAATCAATCAGTAAAACAAGTCTCTGGTGTAAGCACTCGTCATATTTGAGTAAAAAGCCGCCACGATGAGACGTTGCTGACCGAACAGTGCATGTGTGTACGTGTAGTGCAACAAAAAAGTTCAAAAAACGCGGGAAAATCGCGGAAAACGCGGTCTTTAAAAAATCGCAAAAAACGCGGAAAAAAACGCGGCCGCGGAATCGCAATTTTCCCCGGGGATAGCTTAGACAGGTTTCATTGCAACCTGTTTGACGCAAGTTGATAACCATTAAAAATTATATTTCTGCTCAGTACAAGTATTTCCAAGGTGTATTCATAATACTTCTTGGGGCGCAATAATTCATGACATGGCAATCCACACGAAATGCTGTTTTTCTACTGGGTTTACTAGTAGATGACGCAATGTGTTAGAAACTCTTTCAGGAAATTTAACTCCTCGGGTAGCCCTCAAAAGTGCGTGCATCTTCTCGCGCACCTTCAGTCCGCCTAATGTACTGTCGAGGCCTTACGTTGTGCTCGATGGCAAGCTCGCCCAGCTCATCAATGTCGACCTTGACCAGCTCTGCTTCGCCCTCAGTCTCGCTGATCACCGACTCAAGCACGGGAGCAAACTGCTTACACGGCATGCACCACCTGAACATTCAGCAGCAATGCGCACCCATATACCAGGCACACACACGCACACGAGCACACCATAATAGCATGGCAATAATAACATTACGACTGATCGCAATGCTCCTCCTGAGACCAAGATATGGCTAGTTGATTGCTGATTCACAAAAGCATTACGGTTTACCAACCAAGCTAGCTGAGCCAGCAGACTCTGCCTGTGCGGTTGGACTGCAGCTTTTGACAGGCCTAAATGGCTACACATGGTCGGAGTAGTGTGTATGCGCTAGCTAGTATGGTCTGGAGAGTAACATACGTAAAGCACTATGCGCTCTTCGGGTGCAGGCAGCAGCTTATGTGGTATTTTTCTGCTTGCTCGCAGTGGCAGCAAACCTGCAGTTTTCTCATGCGCCGAACGTGTTGAGAGGATAGTGCATGAGCAAGTGCCCAAACCGGTGAATCCGCAATGAAATAAGTAGGCTTGGGTTGTCAACTGAATCACCAAATGGCATCCAGCCACAGCTAGCCGTGTGAAGTGAGATGTTGGTTTATTATTCCTGTAGCTATGCTAGCCAGGGTCCATGCTTTGTTGGTTATCTGTGTGTGTGTGTGTGTGTGTATGTGTGTGTGTGTGTATGTGTGTGTATGTGTGTACAGGACAGGACAGGTATGTGTGTGTATGTGTGTGTGTGTATGTGTGTGTATGTGCAGTCGGTGCGCCCCTGCCGCTGCCTGCTTCTCCGCTGTGCTGCGTCGCTCACTGCCAGGCTTGTGACCGCTGCTTTGCGTCTACACGTGGCCGCGCCCGTCATCGCTGCTCACGGACTTGTAGTCGTCCGACCGTTCAGGACCGTCAGGGTTTCACATGTGTTTGCGCCTGCTCCCGCCGATTTCGCTTACCGCATCACCTGGATCGTCACAGGGCTGTGTGCTCCTCCTCTCTCTCAGCTGCCCCTCCGGGGCCCACGTAACCTTCATGGCAGTGGCTCAACAGGACAGGACAGGTGTGTATGTGTGTGTGTGTGTATGTGTGTGTGTGTGTATATGTGTGTGTGTGTATGTGTGTATGTAGGTGTGGTCAGCATGATATCATGTGGTAAGGTGCAAAGGGCCGGCGGGGCGCAGATGCGGGCGCTGAGCGTTCACCCCTGACACGCGACTAAGCACCAACTCAGCTAGCTTTCACAAGGATAACAAGCATAGCACCGAGTCCTGAGCTAGCTCTCTTGTTTTATTTGCATGCATGCACTTCATTTGGGAGCATGTGTTGCAGAAGTGCTGTGTATTGTTTGGCGTGAAGACAAAGTATAAAATGTTATGACAGTGTTCCTGAGACGGCACTCACGCCGCTGCACAGCTGAAAACATGTTGTTGGTTGACAGCATGTTACAAGGCGGAGGACCACTGTGTTCGGAAACAGTGCGCTTTCTTCAACCGTCCACGGTTGGCAGAGCCCCGGTCAGGGCTAACACCCATATGGTTCAAATGGTCGCAAGACCGGGGCTCTGCCAACCGTGGAAAGGCTGTAGTAAGGGACGCTGTTTCCGAACACGGTGACCCACCGCCTTGTAATATGCTGTCAACCAACAACAAGTGTATACTATAGTACTAGTAGCATTGATTTTTAAATCGAATACACAAACAAATCATTATTTATAAAATAATGATTTGTTTGTACAATGCCGAGTGTTGAGGATGGAAAAATTGAATAGAGCTAGAAGAAGGTGAAGTGTCCGGATATGGATGAGACTCATGGACAAGTAGCTTTCCCCGAAGCAGTACCATCGTGCTCGTATTAAACTTCAAAGATGCGACGACACTTACGGTGCGTGGAAGTCAACCACAACAGGCTTCGTGGATTTTATGACAGATGATTCAAACTCCTCGACAGTCAAGATATCCTTACGGACAGAAGACGTAGCATGAAGACTACGAACAGCCGCGCCACACGTTCTACTGCTCAACAATCGCCTGACTGACAACATTGTAGCAAGAATATCAAGGCAATGTTATACAGAACAATTATGCAGAGTAGTATCTACAAATGTAGCATGCAGTGATGTGACAAAATAATAATTGCAAAGAAGATTTTCAAAAATGCTCTGAAGATTTTCCACATTTTTGGAATTCTTTTTCGAAAAAATATTTCATCGTCCAGAGCAACAAATATGGCGATCACGCATGTGATGAATGTGAAAATCCCGGCTTTGTTTGAAAGTGATTTTGTTCTCTACAGCCGTCCTTTCCAGTGGTTGACTTTCTTCTTGCACAGTTCGAGTTTACCTGGAACGTGACAATGCCACCAAAGAAGAAGGCAGCTGCACCCGAGCCTCCTCCAATTATTGGACGGCCTGGCACCAATCTAAAATGTGGAATCGTCGGATTGCCCAATGTGGGAAAATCGTCTTTCTTCAATGTGCTGACAAAAAGTGCTGCACCTGCTGAAAATTTCCCCTTCTGTACGATCGATCCGAATGAGAACCGTGTGGCTGTGCCGGACGACCGCTTCGACCATCTGTGCGCGGTGCACAAGCCTGCGAGTCGTGTTCCAGCCTACCTGCACATCACCGACATTGCTGGACTCGTGAAAGGTGCTCACGAAGGCCAGGGTCTTGGCAATGCGTTTTTATCGCACATCCGTGGCGTGGATGCATTCTTTCACGTGTGCCGAGCGTTTGAGGATGAGGATGTGACTCATGTGGAGGGTGACGTCAATCCCGTCCGCGATTTGGAGATCATTTCGGAGGAGCTCCGTTTGAAGGACATGGACTACGTTGAGAAGGTTAAGGAAGGCTTGGAGAAAACATGCGTTCGCGGTGGAGATAAGAAGCAGAAGCCGGAGTATGATGCCATTTGCAAAGTGAAGACGCTACTGTGCGATGAGAAGAAAGACATCCGATCTGCTTGTTGGTCAGCGGCAGAAATCGACGCATTGAACAAGCATCTGTTCCTGACGTCCAAGCCCGTTATCTACCTGGTGAACCTGTCAGAACGCGACTATGCTCGCAAGAAGAACAAGTGGCTGGCCAAGATCAAGGAATGGGTAGATGAGCGCGACCCGTTCGCCTTGATCATCCCGTTCAGTGCCGAGCTGGAGGCCAAGCTTGTGGACATGAGCGACGAGGAGCAGGCCGCTCATCTAGCGGAGATCAAGACGACCACCATGTTGCCGAAGATCATCAAGACCGGCTTCCGCGCCCTGCAGCTGGAGTACTTCTTCACTGCCGGCCCGGATGAGGTGCGCGCCTGGACCATACAGAAGGGCACCAAGGCACCGCAAGCGGCCGGCCGCATCCACACAGACTTCGAAAAGGGCTTCATCATGGCCGAGGTCATGACGTTCGAGGACTTCAAGGAGTACGAAACGGAATTAGCTGTGAAGGCGGCGGGCAAATACCGCCAGCAGGGTCGCAACTATGTCGTGCTGGACGGTGATATCATCTTCTTCAAATTCAATGCCGGCGCCGGTCTTTCGGCCAAAAAGAAGTGATCATTGTGAGATCGGATGGTCAACACTTAGGTTTTCCGCCGCCGTCTACTTCGAATTAAAAGTCGCCACAGGATCGTGCACGCCATGTGACTTCATCGCCCACATCCTGGCTTGGTTTAGGTACTTCCACTGTTCTTGGCTGCACAGCTATTTTCTATTCTGTGGTGTGTTAGTCACCTGACCTCTATTTGTGCGGCTTGCCCTTTCGGGGGTGACAAGAACGCTGGACATTCCTGCCGCTCCAGTGGATTGCTCTAGGCATGGCTACTCTATAACATCGAATGAACAAATTTCACTTTTTTGTTTTCTCCTTCCTGTTTTTGTACTGTTTTTGAAGGATTATAAATAAGGACTCGGTAAAGCCAGCAAGTCTTGTGTGAGGCTTCTGTTTGTGATGTGTAATGTGGGTGCCAGTTCCAAGCAGTGGTGTCATGTACAGCACACGTGTACAGTCATCACTCCCATTCACTACAACAGTGTGTACTGGGAAGTGCACAGATTATTTAAAATTTCCACCCAATTCTCGTGTGCAAACATGACATGTGGTGTCAAGGTGTGCTCAATGACTCAGTGACAATGAGAATAGCAAAACTGGCCTAAAAGTAAAAGCGTAATAGACTCTAAAACATGATAGAGGAGCATGGAGAGAAAAGAACGGCTGTCTCAAGAAATCACATTGGCAAAGCGAACCACACTGGGTGAAAGCGGGTTAAACTGTTAATAGAACAAACTAGCCTGAAACTTGAAAGGTGCCAAGTCCTGGCCGAGCAGACTTAACAGGAAGAAACGGTAAATAAAATCTAAGAAGGATGGCAGCAGTCAGACACGACGGGATTGCCTCAGTCCTGGCAATGCCGACCCTAGGGGCGCGCAAGTGCAGAATGCACCCAGTAGCATTGAAGCACATGGGGAGTTTGGAGGACAGGCTGCGTGATCTATGCCATCGAACAACGAACTCTTCTCGCAAAGTTTGAAGCAAAACAGCTCAGCCCCGGTGAGGGTCATCGGGAAGAACGCTACGCGAGTCACTGCCAGTGCCACAGAGACCGCACTGCATGGAGTACTCCTACAAGAACAGTACAAGACACACACACGCACACCCAGAGAGCAAAATACATGTTAAAGTTCAAACTCTGCATCCACACCACTAGGGAAATACGGCTGTGCTAGCAAGACTACAGGTGACAATCCCAGATACATCACGGAGGTTTAGCATCACAAATTTCGCGTTCGAGATCGCGAACATGTTTTCAGTTCGCGAACGTTCGCATTTTTCGTTCGGAAAAGCTGTTGACATAAAATTACCAAGTGCACTGTCGGCACACATGTGCGACCTGGCAGGTAATGCAAGCGCGGATTCTGTTTGCTGATCCTCTGCCCCTCATCATAACGCGAGTTTCATCACTGAGTTCGACTTTCATCGGAGTGCGAACGCGAACGTGAAATTCGTCTTGCTAAACTTCCGTAATACTGCAACATGGTCAGGCCAGTTATGTTTCCTGTAAAACATCAAACTTGAGAAGCAGGAGATGAAACGTTATGGAGAAGTAGCCGTGTTCGCGGTGTCAATCTGCAAAACGTACCTGGTACCCATCATCGACGCTAAACGAGTAGGTGTGTTTCGCTACGACATGATCACACTTGGAGCACCGGTCTGGAAGCAAATGGAGACATGCGAACACACACACGTGTGCACAGACACACATTTACTCCTGAGATTTGCTAGACATACTAGTATGTGTGGCAAAGCCAGCACCCCACCGCCCTTGTTGTGCATGTATGGGTGGGTAGGCCGAGTTCACATGTAGAGGTTGTGTAAGTGACAGCATGGTGGTGAACTGGGAGTCATACCTAAACCAGGTTTGGGTACGACTCCCTGGTGTTGAACCAGCGGATTCGTTTATGGGTGCTACCAAGAGTGCATAAACAGGAGTATGCAACTGTGGTTCTGGGTCAGGGTGCTGCGCGCTGACTTCATTACGTATTTTGTAGGCCTAGTATTTTGCCTCCATCACACTCAGAAAAAAGCATGCTCTCAAACCCACAATTTCTTGTACGAGCCCATCTGTTTTCGCTCGATTCGTTCCAGTACCTACGCGATCTCTAAATTTTGGTGCATGAACTCCAGTTCCGTACTCGAGTGTACCAACGACGTTACGTACGCGAATGTACCAGCGTACACATCCAGCAGAGATTTACTACAGGTGAACTCTGGTTTCAGCAGCCACCCTGCCGAAATATCGCGGTCACGGAAACCAGAATGGACCACTAGTACCAAGAGTACATAACCCCCCAGAGTGTGCAACGCCTGATCCAGCCCTGCATAGGGTCTTAGTCGAGCGCAATCGGATCTTTGCGTCATAATACCGTACACATCTGAGGGGAACCCGGGGAGTCGCGGGTAGTCTCGGATCAAAAACACTGGTGCCCTGCCTCGAGACCGGCCTTGCGCTGGTGTGGAGTGTACGCATGACATCAGAAGATCCGATTGCGCTCGACCAAGACCCTATGCAGAGATGGATCAGGCGTTGCACACTCTGGGGGGTTATGTACTCTTGCTACTACATGACATGGGGGATATGGACATCACACAAACAAAAAAAAGGAGTTACGTCTACATGAAGGCCAGCTATAAAAAAAATTGTAGTCACTACACCAGGTACACCACACCATGATACTAGTAGTCAGTAGCAAAGCATGGATACGCCGCTGTATTGAGAAAGAGGTACCAATACAGCATTTTCAGCACAATCATGTTCATTGCAGTGAGTTCGAGGTACTACTGTGTACTTGACTGCTCATCAGAACTTCTACTTCTAGTTCTACAACTATCATCTCTCTAGTGTATCTCTGCAAGGCTTCTTCACTCATGCAGAACTGGCCTGCCAAGATTGAACTGAACATCGGTCCCTGAGCGGTTTTACAGTAGAATCGCTCCTCCTGTTCGTGTTTTCCAAGCGCAACTCGAATGATGATTGAAGCGCAGAAACTACGAAGGATGGACTGTAGAGCGAACCTCTGAACAGCGAGGAATAGAAGAAAGGTGCTCATCCTTGTGCGCAAGAGCTACAGACTGACGAACAACTCGCGTCTGTTCGATATGAACTCGGGAGAGAACGATCGAGGCTATTTTTGAAGGCCGTGCAGTCGAGTCCACGCAAGCTGTCAAATTATCTGATCGCAGGTCCACTACTACTGCACAAGCAGACTACGGAGTCAAGACATTCCCACGCGTGCATTACTTTCAGCGGCCGAAATAGCTCAGTTGGGAGAGCGTCAGACTGAAGATCTGAAGGTCCCTGGTTCAATCCCGGGTTTCGGCATTTCTTTTTTCTTTTCTGTCAGTTCACATGGCCATTATGCATGGACTATGGTTCATTCTTCAGTCAACGTGTGAGTAGGTCTACCAGGTCTACGGTCAGTGTACTACGAACTGCATAACACCATGAATACTGACTCGTTGCTTTGGAGTTGCCTTCCTTGTTTTGATTTGAAAAGCGATCTCTCTTGGGCTGTGTTTACATGAGGCGTTTCAACCCGGGTTGAGTTCGACCCGGGTCAGATTTCAACCCGCCATGTACACAAAATGAATGGCGCGTTTACATGACGCATTGCGCTTGACCCGGATTGAAATTTCGCCCCGGGTTGATTTCAACCCTCCCCCCAAGAGGAGGGTTGAAATCAACCCGGGTCAAATATATCGCATCATCCTTGCCCAGCCATGATCTGCCCACGCTCGAACCAGCAAAAAACGACAGAAACTACATTCACTTTTTTTTTAAATACAGTACATGTACCAGTCTGTACAATATAGCTGTACACGGCTCAGATGGGTGTTGCAATGATGATGCATGTATGTGTAATGTCACATGTCCTTGGTTCTGAATCCTTAAGACTAAATAAAGAGTGTACGGGTAAAGCTTACGTTCAAACGAAATTTCCTCTGCGCCGTCTTCATCCTCTTCTCGCTTGCACTCGGCTTTCGCAAGTTCGCCTCTGGTGCTGCATTCGACGCAGCCTTTTAAATTGATGTAGTACACGCCAGTCTCTAGGCACGTGGTCCCCTGCACGAACAGCACAGTTTACCGTGTGAGAGAGAGAGAGAGAGACAGACAGATCGAGAGACAGATCGAGAGAGAGAGAGAGAGAGAGAGAGAGAGAGAGAGAGAGAGAGAGAGAGAGAGAGAGAGAGAGAGAGAGAGAGAGAGAGAGAGAGAGAGAGAGGGAGAGAAAGAGAGAGAGAGAGAGAGAGAGAGAGAGACGGGGCACTCTGGCGGTGCTTTGCGGTACGACAGAATACTAATGCTGTGCCGTTTCAATGCTGTAGACATGTATTCAGCTACTGCTGCTGTTGATGGACAGCCAGGACAGTTTCGGTCTTCATCTACATATACTTTGAAGGAAGCACTGCAATTTTACTGATTCTATGTTCTGTGTGCATCGGTATGTGACATACGCCACAATCACGGCAATGCAGTGGTGGGTTTAGGGGGTGCGCGGAAGGGGGGGGGGGGGGAGGGGAGGGGCCCTCAAAGGTTTCGACCTAGGTTTCGAAAAATAAAAGACAGGGCTGGGGGCGCGCACGCGGCCTGAAACGATCGTCCAAAACCGGTTGCACGGTACGTGCTCGAGCTGGTGTTGATTGTACATGTACCCACTACAGAGTACCAGTGAGCATGCACGGCAGGGAGTCGTCAAATACCGGTATTTGACGACTCCCTGATGCACGGCTCCAGAAACACAGTGGTTTTCAAAATGGCTGACCTGGGACAGTAGCATGATGTCATCTACCCCCACCCCGTACCCCATCCCGGCCGCAACCCCCCATCCCGGCCGCAACCCCCCATCCCGGCCGCAACCCCCCATCCCGGCCGCAACCCCCCATCCCGGCCGCAACCCCCCCCCCCCCCCCCCCTCAGCCAAATCCTGGACACGCCACTGCAACGGGTTTTCATACTCAGACCCACCATTCTCTTTTCTAAATATTCTAGCCACCACCTGGTATCTGGACTAAGCATGCAAGCAAATGCACACCGGGTGCATACACAATTCATTTCGATCTCAGAATGATAATTGTTGCAGTTTGCTCGAGTACGTGAACGCAGTGTATAACATTAAAATCAAAACCGCACATCTGAAACGGTGATACCTCTACTACTGGCTGCAAGGTAACGGCTAAAAAGTGCACTGATAGCCACTACAAACAGATGGGAAACAGCAAAGCCTTTCTTCTAAGACATTGGTGATATGTTTACAGATCATTGCTTACCCGATCCTTACAGAACTCGTGAACGCACTCGCGACACATACTCTACGTACGCTTCACAGAAGCCTTATTCCAAGTAACGCTACAGCACAGTCTGAAAGACAAGAAAGCTGTGCAAGCTAGCACACTCCACAAAACGAACGTGACTGCAAAATTACAAGAATACAAGTCGACAGTGAGAGCAGGATGTCCGAGAGTCGAGACTCTTTCATTCCAGCCTTTCGATTTTGAAAATCATGCTTGACGTCATCATGACGTCATGCTAGCTGATGCGCAATTGCGCATCCTTATCGGCTTATGTAAAACTGAAAATATGTGCATAATGCCCATACCGGTATGTAAATCAAAACGTACATGACACGTGACTGTTGCCTAGGCTTTGGCCAATAACTTAGCTGGCTTCCAACCAGGGAGTAGTATAATAATTATGGTATTGTACTACTCCCTGCTTCCAACCGTGGCCAGGCACGGTCAGGCATCGGTACAGAGTCTGAGACATAGGCACTATTGCATCTTGGGTCATCCAACACGGTGCGAAGTCCTGCAGGACAAATCACCATGCAGCTTGTCGGAATCACTGCAGCAGACAGTGCCCAGTAGATCTAAGCGTCGCGCAGCATGCACTCGCTTTGACCATAATTCGGATTGAATACAGCGTCAACCCTATGCGGCAAGTGCATTTGGCGAGAGAGGTTAACTTTACCTCCAAAAATTGAGTCATGTAACAGTAAGAAATCATGCAAGCGTGCTCTTCCAGTCTTCAGTCTGTGATAATGACTGACTCACAGGACCACCGGCCAGCAGTTCTTGATTGGTCCGCCATGACCATAGCCTTTCATACAGTTTGTGTATGACATGACTGTACTTCAAGTAGGTAAATAACCTCCTCAGCAGTGAACAAGCATTGGTCGCTGACAAGTTGGTCCAGTGATGACCTGACTATTAAACCGGATTGGTTGCGGTGGGTCTGCGACTGATCTTGCTCTTCAATACATCTTACATCCGTGCACATCCTTCTGGGCCCGTGCGGCCCCAACCCGCGGGCCACCATAACCCGGCTCCAGAATGTGCTTGATAACATCATGCAATTTTTTTCTTCGGCCGCAGCGAGTCACTCGCTACCGGACCGCTAATTTTGATGAAGCCGGCAATAGTGGTTATGATCAAGAGCACAGTCACACTGCAGAGTTGCATGGTGCATGTGTATGCACTGTGCATGGTTGCTTGTGCACGGCTGTGTATTGTCATAGATAGAATCTGAAAATGCTATAATTAAAACGTATATGCAGAAAACAGGCTTCAAATGTTAGCCGGCCCGAATCACGACAAGTGTGTAGAGAAACTTGAGATATCCGTAAGGCAAGGGTAAGAACACGTGTAAACAAGAACTCTATTGGCACATAACAGTAGTGGTCAGTTTTAGGTTCTTCTGAGGATTTGTTACGAGCTGTGATGATGGGAATAGTAACAAATGAGCAGCCGCTGGGAAATTGTGGGTCGTTCATAGATGAGGTAGATATTATCATAGGGTGTGGTTAAAGCAGGCTCGTGCGCCGGTGCCCTTCAAGGGGGGGGGGGGTCCGGGGGCCTCTCCCGGAAAATGTTCAAAAAATGAAAGCAAAATCCTGCATTTTGAGGGAAAAAGGGGGGTTCCGGGCACCCAGAAACCCATACGGGGCACGCGCCTGGGTTAAAGTGCTTATGTGACAGTGTGAACTTGGTCTATTTTCAATGTTCAACTGATGATATTTCGCAGATCACGGTCAGAGAACATTGCTCAGCCAAGAGACACAGCCTGGCGTGATTGTCATAGTTGAGAGGCTGTATGTACATGTACAGCGATGGCTGCCATCGCACGAAGCTCAAGCCATGCACTAGATATCCACCTCGACGTACTGCAAAAACTTTGTTCGCATGCCGTCCAGGGTCTGTGAGATTTCAGTGAAGGCCGGACGGTTTTCAGGCAGTTCGTCCCAGCACTCCAGCATGACCGCATACCTGGGTGGCAGAACACACACGGGCACAAAGTTACTTGTAAAACGTATGCAAGACTTAACCAGCGTTTGCAAGACTTTTAAGCAGCGCTTGCAAGACTTTCAACCAGTGTTTGCAAGTGGGCAGTGAATCGATTTCAACAAGAAAAGCTATTTCTCTAAAGCGTGATGGACTCTGCTTCTTCCGAGCAACGAAGGTTTAACCGAAATACGACAGTAAAGAAAAGATTTACGACCATAGGTGACTGGCAACATACACATGATGACATTCAGTAAGGACTAAAGCTGATGGTTACAAATACCGTAAAGTACCGTTGATCCGCCCCCACGCCATGTCGCTTCCCAGCTGGGTTTTCGGCAGGGGGCGGGAATTAGATCAAGGCTGTCAAGTGCAGTACGATGTACAACAACGTAGAGGATCAGACTCGATGTGCTGGATTGTGCACATTTTGATCCTGGATTGGCAAGTATTGTGTACAGCAGTGCATGCGTCGGTTCAACATCGTATTTCGTTGTATACGCCGAAGTCGCTTCACAAGGAGAAAATCGACAGGGGGCGGGAATTAGAGAGGGGGCGGATCAACGGTACTTTACGGTAGTAATATTGCATACTAGTAGTAACCTCGTACTCGAATTGCTCTACAATTGTAAGCAGAGACGATTGGCATAGCGGGACATCAGTGAGTAGCAGAGGTATTATCTGTACTCACATTCCATCAGAGCAGTCCTCCGGTTTCGCCAGTCTCTTCCCAGCAAGCAGCAGGTCAAGAAGGTCTCCGTTGTCCGTAGTCGGGTACGGGTGAACACCTATACATGGAATCCCACACAGAACAGCAGTGCCCGGCGTGGTTACTCTCATGTTCATTGCGCAACACTGAGATGCTTCAGCTGCCAAGACGAAGTAGTACTACACACTAATTTCTTGCAATAATACGGTGATACTCACTCGCAAAGGAATGAGTGGTTTCATATCTCTGTCATGTGACTAAATGTGTGCAGAAAGTGATCATGTGCATGTGGGCAGTGGAACCAACATGGCTGACATCATGTGACCCATTGATAGAGGGGTTGACTGGAGGTGGACCCACCATGGCTGCCCGGTATGGTCGTGCGATAGATGTGAAACAGGTCTATAGGAAGTAACAATAGCGTTACGCATTTGGTGCCCAGCAATGCAGAACAACAGACGATAGTATAGTACTGCTGCTCGACACACATCTCCAAGTTGTGCACACTCACACTGGCTACAACTGTACTTACCCGCAGTCGCAATCTCCCACAGGACTATTCCATACGACCACCTGGACACCACACACACATCCACGCAGACATGCACACACCCACAGGAAGTCAGGAACGTTATGGATCGGATCAGAACTGCTCAAAGCTAGACTGGGAAGAAGTACGTGTGTACTGTTTGTGTCAGCAAAGCATGATGGGTTGCGAGACCACTCCAACGGATTGACTTAGCTAGCCTCACCTATTTTATCAATTTACCTCATGATCAGCTGCAGCCAGCTGCACAGGCCAATCAGCTCCCGATTGCCTATACTTGAAATATACTTGTATGTCGGGAGGTCAGTTTCACTGTACAAACACATTCTTCCAAGCCCACCCATTGCAAGGGGCAATGCCGAGTGATTCGCACACATCACATGCTGTGCAGGCGACCGGCCAGTGTTACCAGAGCGGTTTAAAAAATCCTGCTCATAAATTGTTGAACTGCTAGAGAATCATAGTCACATTCACAACTTACACATCACTCGCCGTTGTGAAGACTTTCGACTGAAGTGACTCGAGGGCCATCCACCGGTAAGGCAGCGGCATGCCCTTCTTCTCTGTCTCCCTTGTGATGTCAACGTGGTACACGTCCTGCGCCAGGCCAAAGTCACAGATCTTCACCATGTTGCCTTTGCCCAGCAGTACATTCCTGGCGGCCAGGTCACGGTGAACGATCTCCAGTTTTTCCAAATGTACCTGCAAATGTAGTCATCGCACGCCAAAAAAAACAGGTCAGGTTTAACCAGTGAGATCACCATCAGTATTGTCCCATTGCAGTCGCCACACTCCGCAGACTATTGCGTCTTCATTCTCAAATTCCCAGTCAGTATATATAATGTCATGTACCTTACAGTACAGGGTCAAGAGTTTTAGGGTGATGGAAGGCTGAGGATAGTGGACAGCCATCAAGAGTTTTAGGGTGATGGAAGGCGGAGGATAGTGGACAGCCATCAAGAGTTTTAGGGTGATGGAAGGCTGAGGATAGTGGACAGCCATCAAGAGTTTTAGGGTGATGGAAGGCTGAGGATAGTGGACAACCATCAAGAGTTTTAGGGTGATGGAAGGCTGAGGATAGTGGACAGCCATCAAGAGTTTTAGGGTGATGGAAGGCTGAGGATAGTGGACAGCCATCAAGAGTTTTAGGGTGATGGAAGGCTGAGGATAGTGGACAGCCATCAAGAGTTTTAGGGTGATGGAAGGCTGAGGATAGTGGACAGCCATCAAGAGTTTTAGGGTGATGGAAGGCTGAGGATAGTGGACAGCCATCAAGAGTTTTAGGGTGATGGAAGGCTGAGGATAGTGGACAGCCATCAAGAGTTTTAGGGTGATGGAAGGCTGAGGATAGTGGACAGCCATCAAGATTGCATTGACCCACAGCCACCTCTAGAAAACCTTTTTTTTTACGGTTCCGGCGACACTCGGTCAGAATGAGTTTCTGCGTCCACACAAACACAACCACCCTCAAGGACCGAGGCACAAGTGCAGCTCCTAAACCGGGCTAGAAAAGCGATGGGAGGTGAGTACTGAGTAGATCGGACCCACTGCAAACGGTGGTCAAAGATTGAAATCCCATTCACTGAATCCATGTTATCCTCATGCCAGGCCACAGTAAACTGTGGGTTGCAGCACGCGGTTGGGAACATTCTCCCATTTTCCGAGCAGGACTTCCCACTCGTAACACCCTATGTCTCAGTCATGGTCTTAGAGCAGCCCAGATGATCTGCCTGAAAACACACATGCCGAAAGTGGCGAAATTCAAGGATCACAGCCATGCGGGCTTCATCAAAGCACGGCTTTGTCTTACCATTCCGGCGGCTATCTTCATGGCGAAGTGCAGCGTATCCTTGACGCCAAGACATCCACTGTCCGTGATCTCCACCGTAAGCAGCTCTGCAGCAGTAGAACCTGTTTCATTGTGATAGGGGCTATCGGCTGATCCTACCGACTGCACGGACACACAACAGAGCAGAATCAAGCATTTGACATCAGGTAGTGAACATATGTTGGTTATCTTCATGTTATTGTGACCTATTTCATAGATGTTGGTTGCCTTGTTGCTTTCTCCCAACTCTCCTCTCACCCAAGCCATTCTGCATAAGCGAAGCTGTGGACGCAGCATACTGCTGCTACACTTCAACGCGGGAATGCGTATAATAATAATAGTGAATCGACAGTGCCTGCTGCGGGAAGGTTCCAGGTGTTCCAAGTTCGATATGGTAAGGGTGGAAGGTATACTGTAAGTCAGCAAATATTCGGTGCATATTTATTTTCAGCTTTTTTTGGCCGAAAATTGATTGCGGCCGAAATTTTGTTTTGCAAGGTTACAAGTGGCAGCACTACATGCCGGAATTTAAATGCAGCGTTTTTTAAACCCTGGAAAGCCGAAATTTAAATGCGCCAAAATTAATTGTGTAGACTTATAGTACAGTGCACCTGCAACCTGGTCGCTCTGTACTGCATGCGGTGAAAAGCACTTTATGTCACACTGCGGCATGCACTACTTCCGGTCAGAGAACGTTCTGGCAAGCCAGCCAGACTAGAAATTTTCTCTCCACTGCAAAACAGAGGTTGACATGCACGCAGGCAAGCAAGCACGCACACACGTATGCACACACACACACACACACACACACACACACACACTTGTACTTGTTGCTCACTGCCAAAACTGGTCACGTGGGTCTCCCCGGGAGAGGGGAGAGAGACTCAAAAGGAATCTTGGAAAGATGACTCAACTGGCTATTGAACCGCCCAACGGCCGACACCCCCTGAAATCCCCAAAACTCTGGGTGGACTTGAAAATGATCCCACTTATGGGCTCACCACACCTCAGTAAGTGGATGAGGACAAGGTGCAGAAAAAGGATTGACGGCATCAGGGTATCCGTCCTGGGATCCAACTGCAGTTAGTTACCCCTGCCCCCAGACACACACACACACACACACACACACACACACACACACACACACACACACACGCACACACACACATGCACAAATTCTCTTACTGCATCTCTGTTCTTCCTCGATTCCCGCAGAAAGTCTTGCAAGTTGCCGTGCTCCATATACTCAACGATCAGGCAGCTAGAAGCGAGGCCCTCTTCGCAGCAGCCCAGCATGCGTATGACATTCTCGTGTGGCTCCAAGTCCTTCATGATGTCAATCTCATCGTGGAATTGCTTCAGCTCGACAACCGTTGCCTTGGCTGTGAGTAGAAAAGAATGCAAGACGAGGCACTGCGGCCCGTCAACCACCACCTGGAATCTACATGACTGCAACAGTACGTTGATTGACCAACGGTAATGAGCATTCGTCAGTACACATGCTACTTGAGAAGAAGTTTGGAGGCTTCCTGCAGTTTCATAGTAGATACAATTGGGTGAACTCACCCATTCACTCATTGACTAATTGACTACCTGAAGAAGGCCATTGGCCGGAACGTTGTATATAATGGAATGGTTCGGAAATTTGCAGAGTATTGTGGAATGGGTGAGTTCACCCAACTGTATCTACATGCTACTTGATCAGTAAAACTTGAACTAAAAACTGTAGTCTACCTGAGGCTTGCTTTGATAACCTGGGATATATACGGCAAGAATAAGCCATCCACTGCACTGGTGGATAGATACTGCAAAAAGGCGGGCCCCTCCGGGAAAGTATGGCCAATTACTCCCCAAATAGATAATGCATGAGCTTGTAAGCTTACATATACAATTCTCCCACAGCAATGGCACAACAAAGTCCAAGGTGACATTATACAGAATGCAAAAATGCACTACACGAGGCGACAGCTTCCATGCAAATGCCATGGGAGAGGAATCATTGGTAAGCAATTTCAGCAATATTTGACATCTGCAGGAAAGCTTCCCCACGGTCACGACCCGCAGTGTAGTGTTTGAGTCCATAGGAAATACTGTGCACCGTGCAGACAATGACTTGAAAATGACAGTGACTGACTGCGCCTTGCCATGATCAGATCACCCGACAAGGACAAGGGGGGTTGGGTATATCGTGACCTTACCTCCCCCCCCCCCTACACACACACCCCTCCCAGGGGGCTCATACCCTGAACAAGTGTGTGTATGGAAGGGTAGGGATGATCGGTTGTACTTAAGTGCAATTTCATTCCTTACGTGAGTCTCAACTACTATGATATACGTCACATTGCTGGCTTAAAATTCCTCTCGTTTGGTACACGACAAGCATGCAGCTGTCACAGAAACTGCCATCGTGCAGACATGGACTAGGACTTACGGTGCAGGCTCTTTATTGCCACGTCCGTCACTACTCCGTCGGCGTCCTCCAGCTCGGCTTTGAACACCTGGCCGAACTGGCCTGCGCCGAGGTAGGAGGTGATCTCGATGTCGAATCCGTGCAAGCTTAGATTGTGCATCAGGATCTGCACTTGCGTGTTCACTCCAAACTCACCGAGCTTATCCACTTTTCTGCCGTCGTCAAACTCCCCAATGTCAAACTCTGGCAGATCGACTTGCATGTGTTTTTGACAAACTTTCCACACCGGCTTCTCTAGGTCGTACTCCTCCAGCATCTTGTTATCCAGGATAATTCCGGTCTTCGAGTCGTACTTTGACAGGGCGCGGTCGACAGCGGCGGCGTTGCGGTGATAGCGCACGACAGCCACGACGATGTACAGGAGAATGCACAGCGCGGACACGGTCACGACGGGTATTAGGATGGTCAGTGATACACCGCCGCTGCCGCCGCCTGGTGAGCCAGCAGCCCGGGAGGATGTCGTGCCGACCTGCGGTGTCACTGTTGAGTCCATTGCTGATGTTGCTGCTGATGTTAGCCTTTCCGAGGTGGTTGGTGCCACTAACAGCAAATCACAAGCCGGGTAGTGAGAGCGGCAACAAGCACACAGTTTTATTCCCGTAGCTATGCAGAAGACGTTACTTCAGTAACGTCTGGCGCTAGCCAGGGTCCACACAGCTTTAATTTGGTATTTGTGTGTGTGTTTGTTTGTTTGTTTGTGTCACGCTTGGCGCTATCCCGTATCTGTCCCGTATCTGTCCCGTATCTGTGACTACAAAGGCTCTACAGGATTGTACATAACAGCTGTCCACAATATTTGCGGGCTCCTGTATCTGTCCCGTACCGTACCAATATTCGTCGTATTATGCACACGACTCCCTGATGTAGAGGGGGATTTGGAAAGAAATAGGGAGACGAGGAGGAAATTAAATTAGAATAGACGCCGATTAGGTGATAGGATGCGTCAGCATAAACATACTTTGGAAGAGAGATCCCGTCGTCTCCAAAATAAGCGTGAACGAGCGATTCAGTGCCGGTCACAGGAAACGTAGGAAGAGAGATCCCGTCGACTCCAGAACGCCCGTGATCGGTAGAGTCCGGCGGTACCAGGCAACGTCAGGACAGACATCCCGTTGAGTACAGAACGCCCGTGATCGGCAGAGTCTAAGCCGGTCCCAGGAAACGTCAGGACAGACATCCCGTCGAGTCCAGAACGCCCGTGATCGGCAGAGTCAGCGCCGGTCCCAGTAAACGTCAGGACAGACATCCCGTCGACGCGCAGAAAAACTAAATCTGCAGCCTATTTTGCCGTCGAACAGGATACGTATTTATATAGGAGACTGTAAAGTTATGTAATGTCTAAATTTCGACGTGAGCAGCAGGTCACTCGCGTTGATTTTTTCGACGTGCGAGCCAAATAACGCGAGCTGAACTTTCGCGTCGCAGACATCCCGTCGACGCGCAGAAAAACTAAATCTGAAGCCTCTTTTGCCGTCGGACAGGATACGTATTTTAGGAGACTGTAAAGTTATGTAATGTGCTCCACAGGCAACCATGCATTCGGCGTCGTCATTGGCTCAACAGGTCAATGATTATGTACATGTATTACTACAAAAGGCCAGAAAATCCGATTCCTGTATTAAAATCAACTAATGTTCGCTGGCGATTTAATTTCGCTGATTTCGCCGCTTGGTACCAACCGGCCAAAGTAAATCGCAGGCCAACGTTTGTCATATAGGCAAATGATGCATGATTGAGCAATGGATGCATGTGAGAGCAAAAATACCGATCGATTTCAAATTTGACGTGAAACTGCGCGTCACGTCGGAAATAACGTGCATCTTAACCTCTCTAATCGAGAGGTTTCTATTTCTCATCGGCCAAAATTTGTTGATTTACAATATAAGGAGATAAAAATTAAAGAAGGAGCAAAACAAAAGTAGATGATTATTAGAGAAATAACAATCCGCAATAAATTCTGCAAATACTTTTGCCTAACTCATAATATTCAAACCGATTGAAACGTTTTTGCAATACAGTGATGTGGCCAATCAACGGAAAAAGACAATTCCATCAGTTCTTATAACATGTACGATGAGCTAGGCAAAAAAGCATAAAACATAGCGTAGGGCCCTGAGCTTCCAAGCTCTCTCGTTTAGTTATGTAACCTATGAGAATGAAGTTGAAGACACCAATGCAGCAGTACTTATGGTTGATTCAAACGGTGGCAAAGACACACCTGCCTAGAGAGCGTGTGTGGGCAGGCGTGTATTTACCACCATTTGAATCAACCATAATATTATGTAATATACGTTCTCGTTTTAAATCGGATGACTCAGCAGTACCAGATCACTAATGTAAAAGGGGGGGGGGGATCTTAATTAAAAGTGCAATTGCTTGTAGCAACTCTGTACGGTGCACGAGCGTAGGCCAATGGTATTCGACCAGGCATAGTGCAAAGTACAGCCAGACCTCGCGTATCCGGTCCTCTTTTATCCGGATCCCTCGCCATCCGGGAGAAATTCGTTGGTTACCAATTTAAAGCATATGTCATGCATGCACACAGCATGTGTGTTCGATTTTCCGGTTCCTTCGCCTATCCGGATATTTTTGTGCAAAACGGATGTGTGGAATTAAGCGAGGTATAGACTGGAACCTTACAAGCATTGGGCAAGACCGAGTACCTGAGCCGGCGGTAATACAGGTGTGTCAACTTTACTTCAAATGCCAATGACATTCCGGTGTGCAATAGGTACAGACCTGCATGAGAACAGTGCATAATGGCTCCCTATCAATTGCAGCAGCTATTGCAACGCGGACTGTTTTGCTTAAAGTCTACATCCAGTTCACCCAGACAGTATTGCCGTCGAACATCCCTCACCTGTCACTGCGGATGCATTCAGTTTGACATAAGAAAACCGCGTTGGTTGCGAGCTTGATTCATCAAGAGGATCGCGCAGCACAATAGCAGACACCTGGCGAATGGCACAAGACAAAGTGAGTCTAATTGTTCGAGGAAAGTGAGTACATTTGTAACAAAGATGATATTATCCAATTACTGGCTGCTTCAAAACAGAACACGGCATGGCATCCCACCATTGCCAGGGGGACGATGGTGACACCATGGCAGTGTTTTACATTCTATCGATTGCGGCGAACAGGCCCATGCTCTGTTGTGGCTGCAACCGTGTATCATTGAACTCAAACACCCCAAACCTGAAGATGCCTGTGTGTGTGTGCGTGTGAGGATGTGGGCGCTTGTCTGCGATAAGCACGGGTCGTAGAGAGTGAGTGAGCAAGTGTGCGTGAGACTCAGAGAGACAGAGAGCCCAGACACAGTCAGATAGACAGACAAACAGACAGACAGACAGACAGACAGACAGACAGACATACAGACAGACAGACAGACAGACAGACAGATAGACGAACAGACCGACAGACCGACAGACAAACCGACCTAAGACGACCGATATTGGATCATTGTACAGAGACTTTGATACAGAACTGATCAAAAGTGAGGTTACATTTTAGTGATTTTACCCATACTGCTGTCTTCTTCAGACAGACAGAAATACTGACTGACAAACAGGCAAAGGCAGACAGGGCAGACAAACAGAAAGAAGGACGGAGAGAAAGAGATAGATATATAGAACAACAGAAAGATGTCGGACAGGGAAATCTTGAAGAGAGAAAAGAGAAAGAGAATCACAGGACACACTGAGGATACACACCAGACAAATGACGCAGTATGGCACTGGAACGTCATCAAGGTTCAGAGAAGCATAGTAGCGGTGTCCACTGGTATCCTGGAAGCACAAATTCAAATTACAGTGAAGTTCAACAACATTTTAATCAAAGCTAATGCAGCAAAGACGCCAGTTCACAGCCAACCATAGTACTAATAAATGAACTCATAGCTGGCCAGGGTAAATATAAATACTTTAAGACTCCTTAGCGTCGGAATCCACTTGAGACAATTATTCAGGGCACTTTACTTTAGTCTGTTCAGGTATGCAAAAGGCCACGCCAAGACACCGTTGGATATGCATGCTTTCAAGCAGGCAAGTACCTGAAACGAAGAAGGGTGCATAGCAGCGGACGTGTGTATGCAATGGCGGGGAGCTTGCAAGGTGTGTTAAAGCTCATATGTCACACAGCTGTGGGATTGACTGGAAACACTGAATGATCCCTGAAGTTGGCAACCCACATCAGTAAGACATAGTGTACAACCGTAGCTATGACTGATTACATGCCGGGCACTCCGGTAAATGCGCAGAGCCTGAAAGTTGACAAAATGTGTGGCAAGCGTTTCGATGCTATCTTACGTTGAGTCCAACTGTAACAGGGACCTGCACACCGAATCTTCTCCGCTGGTTGCACTGGTATGCCTCTCCTTGAAAGACCAGGAAGAACGGAGGGAGCAGAAGTGGCGAAACTGGAAGTACCCAAGTCATATTGACTTGCAACGATGCTGTGCTGTTCTGCGTCTCGAGCAACTTGACTTTGGCATCGAACTCGTAGTATTCGGTGCTGTTGAAATCTGCCACGTCGCCGGCATCGAGTCGCGCTGCAACAGAGAGAAAGTGAGAGTGTACAGTCGCATGCTGGCCCGGCGCTTTGCTTGTGCAAACCGCACCCTAAGAAGGTTGTCAGGGTTCTCGCCTAAGCGGCATAGCGGGGCGCTGCGCCCTCCTTCACTTTTTGACCGCCCCCTTTCAAGATGAATGCACCACCCTTCAGGGCGTGAGCACCACTTTTTTATATACATGATTATACCATGGTACGGTACGGAGGGCCTGTTTTCAGCCAATCAGCGCTCGTCTAGCCATGGTTATATTGGCCAGTATAAATCCCGCGCGGGATTTATATAGAATATAAATCCCGGTGCACGGTACGTACGCTAGGGCACTGCCACCGTACATGTTCACTGCCTGAAAGGCAGTGAACTTGTACGGCGGCAGTACTCCAGCGCACGGACCATACATAAACAGACACAACGGACACCACATGCGCGTGTACACTCCACACAGAACGGCACACTGACGAGGAACAGTACACAATGGAAAAGAAGAATGACCTGGAATTCGTCTACAGAGTATTCTATTATACTGAATCTGAGGATAAAGAACGTCGAATAACCACGAAGTATCCGAATGGGTCAGCAATGTACATTGTACTTCGAAGAGTTGAAGATCATCAACGGACTGTCTCCTTCGTAAATAAGTTTATAATACCAGTGTACATGTACTTCAACCCGATTGGAAAAGGCTACAGTAGATTGGATTGAAATGTGATACAAAACAGTGTATGCAAATGCATCTACTTGCAAGCAAAACTGATTATAAGATGCCGCATGTGAAAATCAGCACTGTACCATAATTATTGTTACACTTACTCCCAAAGAGTCCAAGCTGTAATCTAACTAGTGACGGTAGTTTGATTCAACGACAAACTCCAGTACCGCAGCAATTCAGTCGACTTCCGCACCGCTCACGACTCAAGACAAGATCATGAAGATGCTACAATATGCACTGGAACTGAAAGGAAATCTTATGCCAAACATCCACGGAGGAATCTCCTTCTGACCTTGCTCGACCATTCTTTCAATTGACAACTGATGACCATCAGAAGATGTTCATGTACTGCATGATGTAGGAGATCTCCAAATAGGTTCGTTGTTCTGGAAATGCGTAGGGGTACCTGGCATAAGTAGGATATGACCCTCGTAGTCGGGTTATACCGTACCCTCATATAAATCCCTCCTGCTATCGCAGTCGGGATTTATATTCAGCCGGTATAACCCTCTGACTCGGGTTATATCCTCTACTAAGTACACACACATCATGTAGTGGCACAGCATAAACTGTCAGCACAAAATGAGGTTAAATCACAAAATTGTGGGTACGATGACCCCCCCCCCTCCCTTTACCTTTGTTCTGGTTATAACCCTGATTGTACACTTACACCTCAGTTATTCGGACACCAAAGGTTTGGACACGTCGGTCTACCGGGCACCCTTCGAGTGAGTTTTAGTGAAAATATAACCTCTTTTGTCACTTTTCATGAAAATATTGACGTCATATGCCACACCTCTGGTCTTTCTCCGAAAAAACGTATGTGTTTCAGAGTTACGGGCATTTCAAAGTTCCGGGCTGTGCCCGGTCCCTTACAGCCCGGATAAACGAGGTATGAGTGTAGGGTATCCTGTTAAGATTTCTACACTCTGCTGACCTCCTTGCAAGGCGGCATCTTCCTTTCTAACACCGGCGACCAGCCATGCCGGAATACTTGCAATTTTTACATTAACCCTGACATGCGCTAACAATAATATGCTACTTCATAGGTAGCACTCACAATAGATCAGACCCCACTACATACGGAGGGATATGGCCAGCCACACCTGCCAATGCGCTTACCATGCGTGGAGAAGCTTGCAATTTCCGACGAGCGTTGAGTGCCGTTGATAACTGCTGCAAGCTGGACAGACCGAAGAAAGCATTCACATGGAAAATAATGTTCAAAAGCAGGATATATTTCTACTTCAGCATACAGGAGGGGAGCAGATGAGATGCAATATCAATGCTACAAATGCAGAGTTGTCTGAGGATTGCTTTAGCTTTGCTATGTCCATGAAACACAGCGTTACAACAATGGCCTAGCCGGTTGTCTCTGTTCTCTTCTGCCTTTGCTGTATTGCTCCATCCTTGTGGTGTTGAGCACTCTAGGCAATCTGGGAACTCTCACTATTGTGCACTATCAATGCTTTTAATAGCTTCCTTGCAGTCAAATTTACACACTGCCCAGAGCAATGATCTGCGGTGTACCGTACGCTTACCTGAAAGCGATAATGGCAGCCGTAGTGAACTGAAGCCTGCCATTCTCCAGGGAAATCCAGCGGAAGTGTCAGCGATGTTCTCTGCGAAGAAAAACAGGCACCGAATGCATCGCGTTGCCAGGATAGAAACTATGCTTGAGACCAAGAAGACAGACTTCATGCATGCTCTGGTTTCGAAACTGGCCTGTGTCCAGTACTACTTCAAAGTAGGCAGTACAATCATGAAGTACAGTCGTGGACATGGAAATCCAGTCGATTGACCGGGGCCAGTGCCCTCAGCACGTGCAGAACAGTGCACCGATGCAACCAGCGCGCTGCAGTGCATAATTTCGTGCATGTGTGTGTACTCGTACTGCTTACCCACGGCTGCATGGCCAGCGCCCTGGGTCCGCTAGACATACGACCGGATTTCCATGTCCACGACAGCACTATTACTACCAAGTGACTAGAAGCTAGAAATGCACACACCCTTATACTGATAGGACATGCAGTGCAGTCAATTTGTCAATCCCCGGGCCGCTACATTGCACACTATCATTGTATAAGGTAAAGTGGAGTGGAGCGTCTTGCGCAGCACAGAGAAGCCAAAGCTTAAACTATGTGTACCTGATTTGCAGCTCATTGGCAATAAAACTTATTACAAAACAAATTTGATTGTCGGGTTTGCCGTAAGACTTTGGCCGTAAGACCGTTCGACACAAGATGCACATCTGACTTCTAGCCGTAGATCATAGCTTACGTCTGAGGATAACTGCAATATCCTGAAACCCGGTAGTCCAGCACAGCGCGTCGTCTCATCTTCATCCGTACCCTCATCGACTGTCATGGCCAGTCTGACTGGCACGCCGTCCTCCAGGCCAGGAAACGAGGGATCTGCAAGCAACCAGTCATCCAAGTGATGTATTTACTCATTCTCCGCCGGACAGCTAGCTGTTTCCACCTTGCTGTGTCTTGTCAGAAGAACTCAGAGTTACTAGTCAAACCAATCGAAATGAAGTGCAATGAACGAAAAGCATCTTTAAACCAGCTCAAAGCATCAACGTCAAAGTGCTCTAACTGCGACATACACACGGCAAGCTTTGAGAAATTTTAAATGATGTATTTATAAATTCGGTACAAGTAGCTATGTCGCCAACAGTGACTTAAAATGCATTCCGGCGACCGGATTTCCATGTCCACGACAGTAGTATGTCAGGCATGGTCCGTTGACCATAGTTTCATGATGCTAGCACGTCTGATTGGTTGACTGGTTAAACATACTGTGTTGGTCTAAGCATCCTAGCATTCAGGTCAAGTGCTCACCATAATGCCACCTCAAGGACACGGTCATCAGCCCACCGTGTGTTGTCGGCACATGGTCACTCACTTCAATGTCCCGGAATGGCGATGGGAGTGACTCGATCACCGGCGCATCCCCTGCACAGCAACCAGTCACAACAGAGATCACTGTTAGAAAGAAAGGATCCGTGGAAAAATCTGTAACTTTGATATCAGAGTCTCTCTCTCTCTCTCTCTCTCTCTCTCTCTCTCTTTCTTTCTCTCTCAAAAACCCCGGAAATGTGAGCGTTCACGTGGCAACGTCATTCAGTTGCACGCTTTCTGTCCGAATGGCGAGCTTATGTTTAAACGAGATGTGTTGCTTGCTCGTGAGATGCAATTCATCTCACACGCAAGCAACACAGCTCCCACACAGGCATGTCATCTTCACTGAGATTTGCTTATTTGTCTTATATGGCCCAGGGCTCAAACTCACAGCCTATATTTTTATCGGCACAGCCCAATACACAGGCACTATAGGCTCTTACCAAAATAGCTGTGAGTTCCAATAGTGACTTTTCCGAAGCTGAGAGGTGCTGCTCCTACCGAATACACCTGCATAGAGCATGTGTGTACACATATGCACACAAATATCCACTTGCACACGCACAAATATGTACACGTGCACACACACAAATATGTACACGTGCACACACGAATACAAATAATATATGCATGTACACACATATCCTTCCTTCCTTCCTTCCTTGTACCATTGCAGTGTCCGGCTATGTGGCCCCCAAAGGGGCAGACTCGGATTTGTGCTGTCCATCAGGGCGCTCGAAGGAAGTGTCTTGTCGCGTACACACATATATGCAACCGCACACACACCACACACACCACACACATGTTCACACATGTGCTTGCACGAGCACGCACGCACGCACACACACACACACACACACACACACACACACACACACACACACACACACACACACACACACACACACACACACGCGCACACACTTGTACTGGCACAAACTGTACTCGGCCCGGCGTAGAGCATCATTTACGACTTGTTTTCTGCATGTTGGCCAGTGTGTCCACACCTTCCTGAATTGCAAACACAATAAAGACTAAGTCCTGAAATTATACATACCCTGAACGTGTAGCTGTATCGTGTATCAGCATTGATGAAGATTGAATGGACACTTGCATTCAACAGCAGTCGCTGCAACAGCACAAATGTAGGAGCGATAACCAACAAAAACACATGCCACTTTTGATGATTTTTTGTGATGTAATCAGCTCCAGATGCATTCAAATTGCAAGGTTAACAATGCCGCGCAACATACGTATACAAACAGTATGGTGCATAACATCATGAAACATGTTGGATTTCTGGCAACAAACAGCGACTGAGGTTGACATGAAGTCTTTGCACACCGTCTGGGGTATTACACTCTATTGACAGGCCCGCCGGAACCAGCATGGTTGGACAAGGCCATCACAGGAACAACTTAGTTGCCACCAACGAATGTTTAAAAAAGATGAGGAGTGCATGTGCCCCGCTGCATCATACATAAAGTATGAAGGACTATGGCATAGCCGGACCAATTGAACACCACTACCGGCGGTCTTGCTTGATACTGGTGATGTTCAGGACAATCTTGTCCGACCATAATGCTAAGGAAGGTCATCATTTGTGTGTTGGTGTGCTAATAGATGATATGCCGAATACCGCGCAACTAGACTTGAGAGGGCATCGCACACAAGTTGCATACAAATTATACTACAATGTGTACATGGTAGGCCCTGAGCTCTGCAAGATTGCAAGTCACAGGTAACCGTACAACTTTGAACGTTGTATGCAACTACTCTGCAATGCCCTCTCAAGTCTAGTTGCACGTTATTTGGCATATCATCTATTACTTGGTGCCTGTCCTCGTTCGATATCCCATGCCTCTGCCATAACTAAGAATTGTCAACTAGGCATTCAGCATGGCCAAACACAATGTGGACAACCATACGCCCATGCATAACATATGCCCATGCCTATCTGTTAAATGAATTCATAAAATTATGAGCTGCATGGCTTGACTGATTACAGTGCAACGGCTTTTGGTGCAGGTCTTTGGTCTAGTGTTTGTCTCTTCGCTGTCCTGTTTAGTTTGTATGGTGGTACAGCGTGACGTCAGGAGTATGCGGCAACCAGACAGACAAACACACACACACACACACACACACACACACACACACAACAAAAAGGACAATATCGACTGTACTCACGCGAGTAGGAGTAACTGATGCAACACCATCTGGCAGTATGGAGCTTGGACGGAAGTATGCCACTTCAAAATGGTGGACGGCCCAGACAGGATCCGCATCTCTCCATTCCAGTCGAAATCCAGTGCCTTCTGTTGCCGCGAGGGTGAGTTGTCTGATCGGCAGTAGCTCTCTTCCGGTCAGCTCCTCTAGACATGTGACACAGGTCACAAAGCACCAACTGATGTTAGTTAGGTCAGATTAGTATTCTCTCGCGCACCCCCCCCCCCCTCCCTCCTCCCTTTCTCTCTCTCTCTCTCTCTCTCTCTCTCTCTCTCTCTCTCTCTCTCTCTCTCTCTCTCTCTCTCTCTTTCTTTCTCCTCCCAGTGGTGTTAAATCACGCCTCCTTTCACCATGCACATGCTAGCTGTTACCTTAAAGAATACCAAAGACTAACGTAGCCAACTGATTTTTTTACACTATACCCAAGAAGAACCTGTCTAGCTGTCGCAGCTGATCTATGTTGCATGAACCGGGCTACTTTGAAGAACAGTAAGTACTGGCATTATGACTCTCAGTTCTCACCAGGTACATCGGTGAAGTGATGCCAGATCTTTCTTGCACCATCGGCCGAGGTGATCTGTCCAACACAGCACACAGAACACAGAGCACAAGCCCATTTGAAGAAGTGAGAAGCACACGATACAGGTATCACGGGACATGGTCATTGCGCACGTAACTGCTATGTCCCCAAACATACATTCTCTAGTTACATTCTTACATGCTCTCATAAATTAACACAGTCTTGCTGGTGGTTATTGTTGTGTATGTAAGTTGTTATATTTCTACTACACGGTTTGCTGTCATAGTATGCATTGCGCATGCTTGGATTTGATTTTTACACAGTCTGATAAGTCCAAGTAAGTTCTAGGTTAGGTGAACAACTCGATAAAAATCAAATCCAAGCATGCGCAATGCATACTATGACAGCAAACCGTGTAGTATAAATATTACAACTTACATACACAACAATAGCCTCCAGCAACAAACCAACCATGATGTCAGTGCAATACACTCCGGCTCAGAGGTCTAGCCAGGATTTTATGCCAGCCGGCCAACGTTCTAGTGAAAATGCATCGTGCTGGGGGCTGCGCCCCCAGACCCCCGCCATCAGTCACATATCCACACAGACACACACACACACACCACTACAAATCTTTCATTGCAGCTTGCATCTCCTTTCGCTTCGTCCAATTATGGACATTTATCAGGCAGTTGTGACAATGGCATTGTGACTATAGGTAAATTAACAAAAATAATTAATATGAATGTTCTGGAATATTCCCAGCTTGTGGTGAATCTTGCATGACCTTTCATTGTACTCAGGTTTCATTTCTTTTATTCTAGTGCATGCTGCTGGCGCCTGATGTATTGACTATTGCTACCGCAGGCCAGTCTCAACCTTTGCATTGTCTGAGATTCAAGTAGCGTATCGTTTGATGCATGTGCTGTCTCCATGCTATCTAGTCGTAATATATTCACTCGTCTTTGCATTTGTGCACAGTCCTGTGGATACTCGCAGGCTGCGGTTGCGCTCTCGCTTTGGTCATTCTAGAATGTATACTTCCATGCCTTTGAAGATTTTTAGTTGTTAGTTTTGAACTGTAGGAAGCAGTTTACAGTTTTGGTTCTTGCAGTTTTATCTCAGAGGAGAAAGTTCTTGGTCTCATACTGTTACGAGTTGCTGTTGTATCTGGTTGAACGCATGCCGGGGCAACAGAGGGCAGCATGAGTAGCCATAGTGGTCCTATTCGAGCCGGATCTCAGAGCCAGATCCAAGAAGTCCTGCGCGACGACGAGCAAGTCCCAGGCGTTGAGTGTAGACGGAGCTCGCGGTCTACCAAAGGGAGACCGCCGAGCAGATACGGGTTTGATAACTGGAGTGACGTTCCGGACAGCGTGAGCTCTGCAGGACATGCGCCCTCGAAAGTTTCAGGAACTGCTGCGTCGCAGGCGTCACTTCGTGCAGAGATGCTTCGTGTAGAACTTGAGGCTGCAAAGCAAATCGCTGAGCTGGAGGAGGAAGCCGAGACACGCAAGTTGGCTCGTGAGACAAGTTTGGTGCAGAAGGAACTGGAGGTTCGAAGAGCCGAGGCTGAATCTGCAGCTGCACTACGATCCGGGTCAGGGAGCAAAGTGTCGTCTCGCAAATCAGAGACTGGAAACGCTGCATCCAGTGGCAGGGCAATATTGACTGCCAAGAGTCTCGCTGAGCACGACAAGTTGGTCGGACCTGGTCGAAAATTCGTATTACCACCGCGTGAGCACTTCAGAACGATGAGTGATGTCGGTGGAGTGAACGGACAACGCGACCACGGCAAGCCAATGAGTTTGCAAGGTACGTTTCGTACTGTGAATGCGCCCACACAACCTGAGGCTGTATTAGGTGTGGCGGAAGACAACCCAGCTCAGTCAAGTACATGTAGTGTCAATGCGTTTGGCGTGCCTGCCCTGGGGCCAGTGGCGCAAGCATTCATGCGCGCGCCCGCTCAAAAGTCTGTGACCAGTACAGTGCTGTCAGTAGTGCCAGCCAAGAAGTCAATGGCCAGTGGTGCGCCTGTGGCTGTAGGACGTACTACAGTGTCCATACAGGCAGCTAGTAATGCAGTGCCTGTACAGGCAGCAATGCGCAGTGCAGCAGTACAATCAAGACTGCCTGGCAGTAACAAGAAGGCAGTATCAATGCTGAATGCAACACCACCATGGCATACACCACAGAAGCATACAGCAGTGGCCAAACAGCAGCAACCAACACCAGTGGCAGTGCAAGAACACTCCAAGCAGGTGCTAAACCCGCAAGCAGAGTCCTTCATGCCCTATCCACCTCAACTGCAGACACTACACCCTGCTAGTTTCAGCTTTCACGTGAAGCCACTGGAGCTACCAAAGTTCTCTGGCAAGACTAGTGACTACGACCGGTGGAAGCAGAACTTTCGCCGCGTTGTTGACGAAGATCCACTAACGACTGAAGCGTACAAACTTGCACAACTGCGTGAGTGTCTCATGCATGGCACGGCCAGCGACCTTGTTGATGGCGTGCTTGACGGTCCAGGAGCTTACCACACCATCCTTAGGGAGCTAGATGCATGGTATGGCGGCGACAATCGCACTGTTGAGCGCCAAGAGAAGGAGATTTTGCAGTGGCCGAAGCTAAAAGAGTCAGACGACAACTTTGCCAAGTTTGTCCTCAGACTCCGGACGATGCTCATGAATATGGAGATGTGTGCAGTAACACCGGGCCGTGAGTTGTACCTATCGGTTACGCAGAAGTTGCCGAAATCGCTGTTGCTTAGGTACATGGAGAAGTATGACGATGCTGACTGTGATATTTACCAGCTAACACAGTGGCTCCTCAGACGCGTCAACACACTACGCCGTGCCGATGAACGACTCCGGTCGACAGAAGTCACTGCCTCAGCACCAGCACCAGCAAGATCATGGTCGAAGCAGAGTGCTACAAAGTCTGAACGAACATTTGTGGCAACTAGCAAGGATGCAGGTACCGACAGAAGCTGCCCCTCGTGTGGCAAGGCGCATCAGCTCCACCGCTGCCCCGATTTCATTAAGATGGAGGTCAGGGACCGATGGAAAGTCATCAAGTCCAAGCCAGATGTCTGCGCCCTATGCTTCGGTCTCAATCATCGCGCAAAGACTTGTACCAGGCAACCCTGTTCAAAGTGCAGCCGCACGCATCATGCCATGCTACACTACAACATCCGACGCTCGGATTCCGCTGCAGACCCATCAAATGCCGCAATCAAGGCCAACGCAGCTTCGGCCAGCAGTGGCGGTCCTGCCAAGATTGCTACAACACATTGCGCAAGTCATCAGCCAGAGATTGACAGTGGCGAGTCATTCATGGTTGTGCCTGTTGTATTCCGACACAATGGTGTGAGCCTCCAAGGTAATGCACTCCTGGACCCAGCATCGTCCACGAGTTATGTCCAGCAGTCCGTGGCAACAGCCCTCAATGTGCGTGGACCCAAGCGGCAGCTCGTCACTTCCGGAGTAGGCGGCAAGCAGACCGCAGCAAGACGTGAGCATGTACAGATCCAAGTGGCGGCTCTGGGCGACAAGACCATGAACAAGCTTGAAGCTTGGGTTCTGCCCACCGTCACCGTGCCATTACCGGCAGTGAACTGGAATCAGCACAAGAGCAGCTGGCCGCATCTCAGTGATATTGACTTCCCATCCATCAAGGGCAGTCAGATCGACGCGCTTATCGGCCTGAATGCCATCGAGCTTCATGCTACTCTAGAAGAACGGCGAGCAGAAACAGCAAGAGCGCCCATTGCTCGACGAACTCCTCTCGGGTGGGTGTGCATTGGTACAGGAGTCGACACCACTCGTGCAATCACAGCTACTACACCAGCTACTGACACAGTGCTAACTGATGGGCTGACCGAGCTAGTAGAGAAGTTCTGGCGAGATGAGTCGGCGGGCACAGATAACCCACTAGAGGAGACGCCTTCACCCGATGACAGAAGAGCCGAGGAGCTCACGAGCCAATCAATCAGCTGCAACGGCAACCGGGTAACTGTCCGAATCCCATGGGTCAATGACAGCGGTAAGCCACGTGTCAGGTCCAACAGAGCTCAGGCTGAGCAGCGGCTCCGCAGTCTACAACGCTCGCTACAGTCACGGCCAGCCGTGAAGCAGCAGTACTCTGACGTTATGCAGAAACACATTGCCAAGGGTTACGTGAGACGCGTGGACCCGGATGAGATAGCCAAAGACGGCAACGACCAGTGGTACCTACCCCATTTCCCGGTAGTACGCTCAGATAAATCCACGTCAAAAGTGAGAATAGTATTTGACGGTGCAGCCCGCTGGGATGGACACTCCATCAACGATGAGATGTTTACAGGTCCTGCACTTCAAAACGACATGACCAGTGTGTTGATCCGATTCTCACTGGAACCAGTTGCGCTTGTTGGTGATGTGTCGGAGATGTTCCTCCAAGTCAAACTGGCGGAACGTGACCAGCGCTATCATCGCTTTCTGTGGTATGATGACAATGGCCAAGTGCAGGTGTATCAGTTCACCCGTGTGCTCTTCGGCGCTAAGGCGTCACCGTATCTGGCAGGACGAGCGGTGAAAGAGGTCATCAAGCACCACGGTGATGAGTACGACTCTGACGTCGTGCAGTGCCTAAGCAAAGACCTCTACGTTGACGACATGCTGTCATCACTACCATCCACACAGCGTGCCATCCAGGCCAGAGAGCAAACGCAGCAGCTACTTGCCAAGGGCGGTTTTCACATGCGAAAATGGCTGTCGAACAAAGCTGAAGTGATGAACACCATACCAGAGGAAGATAGGTCACCTGATGTCGTCCGAGATGTGGACAGTGACACCAGCCTCCCAACTGTCAAGACTCTCGGCGTCAGTTGGAACGCCGAGAAGGATGCCTTCACCTTCCAGCATCAAATGAAGGACATCACGACATTCACCCGACGCTCTGTGTTGCGCGGCCTGGCCTCCATATTCGATCCGCGTGGCCTGATCTCGCCATACGTCATCACGGCTAAGGTACTCCTGCAGGATGCCTGGTTGCTGGGACAGGGATGGGACGACCTGCTGCCAAAGGAACAAGTCGTCAAGTGGCAGGGTTGGTTCCAAGGCCTCCCAGACCTGAGTAACCTGGAGATCAGCCGCTGTTTCAAGGATCCACAACAGCCATCCGAAGACGCCAGTCTTTCCGTGCACTGCTTCTCCGACGCCTCAGATCGGGCGATAGCAGCCGCTGTGTATGTCAGAGCCAGCTACCCAGACGGTACCACCCGAATAACGCTAGCGATGTCGAAAGCGAAGCCGGCACCAGTGAGGCGACAGACGATCCCGCAGCTTGAACTGAGAGCAGCTGTGCTTGGCGTTCGCGTTAGTCATCTCGTCGCTGAATCCATCGGTATCCCAGTGTCAGCTCACACATTTTGGACGGACTCGATGAACGTCTTGGGCTGGGTCCAAAGCCACAGCCGGCGCTACAAAGTGGACATTGGCAACCGAATCTCTGAGCTCCAGACCTCAACGAGAGCACACCAGTGGCGACATGTTCCCGGAAAGAACAACCCTGCAGACAAAGGTACTCGTGGTTTGTCTGCTGCATTACTGTGCCGTGACGCAGTGTGGTGGTCCGGTCCACAGTTTCTTCGCCAGCAGCCAGATGAGTGGCCTCAGATGAAGGAAGTCAGCACATCCTCGCTGCCTGGTCAGCTCAAGACGGCGCTAGTTGCAGTCGTCCCTCCACCCTCCGAGATCCTGGGTCGCTTTAGCACATGGTCGCGACTGGTACGCGTGACAGCATGGTGCAAGCGATTTGTGGCAAACTGTCGGCAGGCAGTCAGTGACAGCAAGTCCACGAAGGGGGATGCCGCATCGGACAGCCAGTCCAGCACGCCAGTGAGAGTGCCAGTACAGCTTGGCGGCACCCGCTCCATCAGTGTTCCAGTTCTCAGCACTGACGAAGTATCAGTAGCAGAGCGGCACTGGATTGCAACTGCCCAGAAGGATTGCCATGGTACAGCATACCATCGTCTACAGTCTAGGCAACCGATGTTGAAATCGGACCCTCTGGCACCTCTCTGTCCCCAGTTCGATAGTGCAACAGAGTCACCCCTGATGACGGTAGGAGGTCGATTGCAAGCTACAAAGAACATGCCAAGTGGCGTACGCCACCCAGTCATCCTACCAGCAAAGCACCGAGTAACCCAGCTGATAATCGAACAGGAAGATCATCGGTGCTTCCATGCAGTTGGGCCACAGCATCTTCTGGCCAATCTGCGACAACGCTACTGGATTGTTCACGGAACATCAACAGTCAAGGCCGTTCGAAGCAACTGCGTCACTTGCCGTAAGAACCGTGCGGAGCCAGCGTCCCAGATGATGGGCCAGATTCCAGACTTCCGAGTTGCAGGCTCGTTGAAACCGTTCAGCCGTACAGGAGTTGATTACGCGGGTCCCTTCCTGACCAAGCAGGGCCGAGGTAAGACGCAGGCTAAGCGGTACCTGTGCCTGTTCACATGCCTTGAGACTCGTGCCTGTCACCTAGAGGTATCCTATGGCCTCTCCACTGAGTCATTCCTGTTAGCATTTGAGAGATTCACAAAGCGCCGTGGTGTCCCGCTTGAAATGGTCAGCGACAACGGGACCAACTTCACTGCCGCGGAGCAAGAACTCCGTGAGGCCGTCCGGGCCATGGACAAGGAGAAGATCGAGAAGCGACTGGTCAGTGATGGCGTGCGATGGCGCTTCAACCCACCTAGAGCACCACATTTCGGCGGCGTATTCGAATCCCTCATCAAGACGGCTAAGCGCGGACTCACAGCAGTACTTGGGAAAGCGGACGTCACAGATGAAGAGTTAGTGACTGCCATGTGCCAGGTTGAGGGCATGATGAACTCGCGCCCGCTGACAGTTGTAAGTGCCGATGCAGCTGATTTGCAGCCTCTAACACCAGCACATTTCCTCGTCGGACGACTCGACCCACCAATGGCTCTGGAAGTGAAAGCAGACGAGCACCCCAGCAGAGACCCACGCAAACGTTGGTTGTATGTTCAGCGGCTTGTAGCAGACGTGTGGAACAGGTGGCGAGATGAGTATGTTCCCTTGTTGAATGTCCGTCGTAAGTGGCAACGTCAAGGTCGCAATGTAGCCGTAGGTGACATCATGCTGTGTCTTACATCAAACACTCCCCGTGGAACATGGCCCATGGGTAGAGTCACAGCAGTGCATCCTGGTGCAGACAAGCTCGTCCGAGTAGTGGATATTAAGATCGGCGACAAGATCTACCGACGGTCTATCCACCATCTAGTACCTATTCTGGACACCGAGTAGTTTGTGCCTTGTGTATCTGAAGTGCTACAGGCAGCCCTGTGACAGTACTCTCTCTCTCTCTCTCTCTCTCTCTCAACCTATGAAGTTTTTCTTTCATCATACAGTACCGTAGTAGTACTCACTCGTCACAGTTTGTTTGCTGACCCTGTGCTCGTGAGTGAAGGGGGATATGTTCTGGAATATTCCCAGCTTGTGGTGAATCTTGCATGACCTTTCATTGTACTCAGGTTTCATTTCTTTTATTCTAGTGCATGCTGCTGGCGCCTGATGTATTGACTATTGCTACCGCAGGCCAGTCTCAACCTTTGCATTGTCTGAGATTCAAGTAGCGTATCGTTTGATGCATGTGCTGTCTCCATGCTATCTAGTCGTAATATATTCACTCGTCTTTGCATTTGTGCACAGTCCTGTGGATACTCGCAGGCTGCGGTTGCGCTCTCGCTTTGGTCATTCTAGAATGTATACTTCCATGCCTTTGAAGATTTTTAGTTGTTAGTTTTGAACTGTAGGAAGCAGTTTACAGTTTTGGTTCTTGCAGTTTTATCTCAGAGGAGAAAGTTCTTGGTCTCATACTGTTACGAGTTGCTGTTGTATCTGGTTGAACGCATGCCGGGGCAACAGAGGGCAGCATGAGTAGCCAATGAAAAAGGAAACAAACACTATTGAAACAGCTACATCAGCATGGATCATGATTGTGTTCACTAAAGCAACGTGGAGGAACTACTTGAAGTGCTACAACTAAAGCAACGCAGTGCCTGAGTGGTCCGCCACAACAACTGGAGTAGTGTACAATGTCGATGGTCATGTGTTCCGAAATGCAGCATGCACAAGACCCAGCCTAGCCACGAATGGCCCAAGATAATAGAGAGGTTGCGCACAACGAAAATTCGTAGCGCCGTAACGAATATTTTTAACGAAAAAAGCTAACGAATATTCGTCAACCGTGAGGTTGCGCACAACGCGTGAACCTTTTCGTAGTGGGTCGACGCGGCGGCCGCGCGGGTACGAAGAGTCAAGACAAGGAGTTGTAAAATATCAATATTTTAGTACTCCAGGTGACGAAAAATATTTTCGTAGATCTGCTCTGTTTCGGTCACGTTTGGACGGATCTTCGGAGCAACTTTCGTTACTCGAACCCGGACGGTCGAAATCTAACGAATTTTCGTTGTGCGCAACCTCTCTAATGACAGTCCAGAGTCTGTAGCTGTCACTTGTCAGTGTCGCAGCCGTGTACCCACCGGAAGCAGCGAACCATGACCCGACCTAGCACCTGTTACATTTTAGTTTTTACTGGCACTCTGCGCACCAACGACGTACATGTACTCAAGTGCATACTCAAGTGCATTTCAGGGTGAGTGAAGAGCTAGCACTGAGCCTGAGTTACAGTGAGTAGCCTCTGCTACGTAGATCTACTGACTCAAGTGCTAGTGCAGTGCACTTACGGATCTACGCAAGTACAGTGCACTGTAGTGCAGTGCCAGTACAGTGGAAGTAGTTTTCGCTGCTGCCGTGCCGGTCGTTCTGTTTCCACGATTATTCGGACATTGTAGTGGCAGAAACTGGACCTATTTTCGACATCTGACAGTGGTCGACTCTTACCTTGGCGGAGGATAGTGGCTTGGTGACATGATTGAAAGAAAAATGATCCCCGAACACAGCATGCTACAAATACTTGTACTTGTAGAAATTGAAAATTTCTCTGAATCTCAATTGTTTGCCAGCCGGCCAAAATAACCCTTGGAGCTGTCTCAGCCGGCAGGTCGCCCTCCCAGCCGGCATTCTGCCGGCTGAGCCGGCTTTGGCTAGGCCTCTGCGGCTAAGTGCGTGATCTTCAGTCTATGTTAGTCATTCCATGAAGCCGTACTCTTGCAACATGCCACAACACCCACATCCTATAGCAGTTAGCATGGACTCAACCACCATCTTCTAGTCATGCACACCGTAACCCGGGAAACCACCGTGGCGACTGTCTGGAATTGCTCGCGTGTGAATTTTGCAACCTTACCGTCACCGTGTAGTTACAGTTCAGGAAGAAAGTGATGTTGGCTACAACATCGCTAGGAATGCCGATCTCCGTCACGTTCTAAGAATGGAACATAACCGTATGTGCGCGCACGCGCAAACACACACACACACACACACACACACACACACACACACACACACACACGCATGCATATGTCTTGCATAGGTCTGATTCGTGTTGTGTGCTTCGGTTATTACACACACATGTATAGGTAGGTGCAAGTTTGCTTTTCCGATTAGTTCGGTGTACATTGAGAGTACAATGCACTGGAAATTAGAACCGTAAAATATGAAATTCAACAATGATAACATGCGAACTCTGATTCCATGAAGGCACATATGTACATATACATATACAAGCATAGATGTGGTTGGGCACAAAGTCATCGAGCTGCAAAATATCAAAATTTAGCATCCCTTGCCAGCTAGCAATAACCTACAAATAGAAGCAGTGCAGAGAACATTGATAATGACATACCGGACCAACAGAGCCCCGGATTGCAGGATTTCCGAATGGCAGACACCGCTGGTGCTGCGCAGGGTCTGTGCTCTCCACTACGACGTCAAGCTCCAGCGATTCTGTGTAAGAGGGTGCACGATCAATCCAGATATCTGTGCTTTAACGCAGGCTTCAAGGAGTCCAAGAAAGCATGCATAGCTATCGTGTAGTGTATATTGTTTGTTGTCGCATTGTCTCTCTCCATACTGTCTCTCTCCATACTGTCTCTCTCCATACTGTCTCTCTCCATACTGTCTCTCTCCATACTGTCTCTCTCCATACTGTCTCTCTCCATACTGTCTCTCTCACTTTCATCTGTATCATACTTAGTACAGTAACTTAGTGTATGCGCATGCTGCATGTAAATAAAATCGGTCCTTGTCTTGTCCCACAATGAACTCCTGTGTGGCTTGCAGGCCCGGCACACCATGGTGGTAGCTGTGGTGTCCACGCCTGTATGATTAGGATGTAACCCTCTCCGCCCAACACAACACTCGTTTACATTGTGGATATTCATTGCTGTAGAGAAGACACTTTTGCATGTAATGACAATGCTGTTCGATGCCAAACCTTCACAACTTGCAGGCTTCTGCGACGTCAACTTGTTTACGTCTGGAGAGCTGTGGCAGTGATGCATTGCTTGTTCACATGGTATTCTCATTTGAATAAATTCACTACTCGGGGAATGGAACCGGACACGGTCGTTTGAATTTCAATATTGCCTTTCAATCCCTGGAAGTTGGGTGAGTTTTGGCCATACTCCCCTATGAATATGGCCTATATGTAAACTTGTGGCATTATTATTTTTCCAATCAGGAAGATGATGTCACTGCAGTCATATCTCCTGACGCTGGCTCACTTCCGATAGGGGAATTCCCCTATAATCCCGGAACTACACTGTACAATGAAGCCTGCCTAGACAACCGACCACTCAGCAAGGGACCTTCAGAACGTGTACCAGGTGGTCTCCTTATCCAGGGTCATTCGACTGCAAATAGCATCCCTTGGTCCTAGCTCCAGTGGTCTTCTAGGACAGGGATCGCCTTATGAATATGCAAGTGGTCGCCTTGACAGGCTTTACTGTATCCATGGAGACTTGTTCTCCTTTAAGAGAACGAAACACTGCAGCTACACCGTTGGATAGTTCTCTTAACTAATGCAACATGCTAGACTCACCATTGAAGATGTTCTCGTCGATCTGCACCGAGAATCGAGGTGAGGGTATGCGGATATTGTCCACTGCCAGGTCGCGCAAGCATGTTGGATCGTCAGGTCCACCGCAGCCTTCAGAACATAACATATTGTGCAGAAATACACACCACACCAATGCACGCAAGTGAAGACGTGTGCACATGCATGGAAGGACACACACATGCACACACACACACACACACACACGCACACACACACACACGCACGTACACACGCGCATGCACACACACACACACACACACACACACACACACACACACACACACAAACACACACACACACACACACACACACACGCTCGCACACACACACACACACACACACACACACGCTCGCACACACACACTGTTGCGGGATGCTGTGGTAGCTAAATATTGGCAACAGCGACATGCATTTCGGTTGCTCCACATATTCATAGTAATTATAAGTTCACATTTTCTAATCTCCCACTGGCTTTCCAAGTCAGCAGTTTAACGGGTTTCCCATGTGCTCAGGCAGGAATTTGCTTATCAGTAAAGTTGGCAAGGTGGGATATGAGGTGTGCGCTATAACTCAGTGCTATACATGATACGTACTACAGTCGTACCTCTTTAATCCAGCACTTTATAAACCAGCACCCTCTATAAGCCAGCACAATTTTCAGTAGCCAAAATGTCCTCAGCATGCACCTTGGAGCAGTATGTCAGATTTGTTAATCCAGCCCCCTCCCCCTAATCCAGCACAATTCCTGTGGCACAAATGGTGCCGAATTATATGGCTAACGCCCCCTCCTTTGCATTGGCTTCTGCCATTGGACGGTGAAATAAAATAAAATAAAATAAATAAAATATAGGGACCACTGTAGTACATGTCTGCTGTGGTGATCTAGATCAGGGACTGTAACATAGTAATGCTCCCTGATCTATGCATGTAGGCTGTGACCTGTTCACAGGAGTTTTGCTCACAATTCCGGGGCAATCACTGCTTGATTGCCGATCCCAGATTCACCCTCCAGCAAGGAAAAGCATATAAAAGCACTTGCATCTGAGTTTCGGGTGATACCCAGAAAAGCAACACTAGTGCCAGACACAGTCCAAACAAATATGTACACACGCAAACTCACTGCTAAACACGTAAAGTAACACGAGAAGCAGGCAATTGACACATCTCTATTAAAGAGCGGTACACACTGACTGGTATAGCCCGTGACATGGCTCGTCTTCGCGGCAACTACTGGCGTAACACAATGTACATACGTCATTGAGTCAAGTTCCGACACAGTCACAAGGTTCATTCTCAGTGATGTTTCCCTGCATAGCTAGCAGTACACAAGGACTGCTTGTAATGGCGCAATCATGATCTTGCTGTACTTGCGAGTTATGGCCATAGGTTGGAATTATTGTACAATACACACGCACGTCGAAGTTACAACCGTCAACAGGAGCAATAAACACGCGCTTCCACCGAGAAACTGACAGGCACTTGCTACAGAAATTGCTACTGGTTTTTCTAAGGGCATTGTACCATCGTCGCTTGGATGGGACACACCCTTCATTATGAGTTGAGAAACAGGTATCGGAGCATGCATGATTGTGATTATATAATATTGCAACGAGAAAAGACAACAGCTGGTTCGGTCACATTTTTTCTCCTCACAGATTTTCCATGTTTCAGAGACGTGTCTAGCTACATATCAGGCAATCTTGTACTTCATGTCGTGCGAGACAGTTATCTGCTTTGCTTCGCATTTCACCAGCATAGATAGATGTAAGAACTCAGATGGTGAGCCAAGGAAAAATTGTAACATGTTCAAAATCTGGTTTAGTTGGTGGACTCGATCGCATAACTTGTGCCAACATTTTTCCATGTTACAATAGATAGATATGTGCCTCTTTCAGCATTTACTCACTGCTGCCAGGCAATCACAACAGGCCCATGCATGCTTTTCTATGTCCTTGCAACTCTAGAGCCACGGGCGTGGGCCCTCTTACAATTCTTCAAACCTGACCTGGAAGATATCCAGGAACACAGACTGTCTTGTCTTGCAGTCTGTCTCTGCAGCTTAACCAGGCTAAATGCAAGATTCAGTGTAGATGTATACGCAAGCTTAGCTGCCAGACTGTTCATGCTTCAGCACTCACGCACAAACACCAGACAATTGCACGGAATTCTTTCGTGACTACTAGTATTAGTATTACGTATATCTACCAACGTGCATGAACACTGTATTACACATTATTTTTTATAGATATCAGCACGAACAGGTGTTTCCTGCATTCCTGTATTCCTGTATACACGGGTGGGTGTAGGCTAGCTAGCTGGGCATGTCGGCTTGCTTACCGTCGAAATCCACAGCGGAAGACAGATGGGGTGCTGTGCTCAAAGCCAAAACGAACACAGCCACCAGAGCACCTAGGCGTGACGCTAATGTGATTCGCCGCATGGTGCCTGTCCGATCACCGGCCTCACCGCCGGGTCACTCACACAGAGAACACTTTCCGGCCACTGTTTGTCTAACTCCCGGTTCCTGTGCTTGACGAACGCTTCGTCAGGACACGACGTATGACAGAGGTTGCAGCTTACTTTCGAAACCCAGTTGGCGGAAGAAAACCAACAACACTGCCTACTAGGAACTTTGAAGTCAGGTCATCCAGTTTCAACCTAGAAATTCGGGGTGAACCAGCGGCTGCTCAACTCTGCCGAACTCACGTTACTGAAGCGTGTGTTCCATCTCACATGATTGTCCGAACAAGCAGTGAATGGCTGTGTACACGGACCCTCGTTGGGGTCAGGTGTGTCCGCCCGCATTGCCTACAGCAAACTTCGTTTGTGGCTATTCGTAGTCGGCCAGTGGAATCCACCAAGTACATCAAGTGGTTGAAGTGGCGTCCTTTTCTCGAAATAGCCTCGTTTCTGCTTGGAGCTGTGCTTGCAGCTCCTCTACGACCACGCTGAGTCGAGCTGTGTCGCAACCACGCTGCAGCATTGATGGCCCTGTGCACAATTGGTGCAGTCGGAAATCACAACACAGAGACGGTATGACGATGTTGCCAGTTGTCGAATCTCTGCCCTGCAAGAACGACACTAAGAGGTTATGCCCCCAGGAAAGTTGCTTATCAGTCTCACTCACAAAGTTCTTCGCGCACCAATCTTTCACGGATTTCAATCGACTGGGAAGGAGACAGAGTCACAAGCGCGTCAGCCTATTAGTATTACCATAAATTCCTAATCCAGCGGATCTACAGTACCAGCCTTGACCGACGTGACCATTGGTGACCATGGTGACAGCGGGGGCAAGGCGCTAGCTCAGGTCTGTAGCTGGATGGATGGCGCTGCGCATGCGCATGCGAGCTTGTGGTCCTAGATCCTGTACAGATAAAAGACGGGTGCCTGGATACCATGGATACCGTCGACGATTTGTGCTGGCTCCTAACGACCTAAGGCTAAGTCCTAATGAGCAATGGTCCCAGCATGGTGACCGGTCCGCATGTATGGCTGTTCGTCGGGAGCACAACCAACAGAGCCACCAACACACACGATCAGGAAACGTGTGGAAAATGCCAACTATCTGCTGCCTGAGAGTAAAAATGGGAAGAGGAGAAAACCATAGTTGAGTGCACGAAGCCGGGTGAGAAAGTTTCTTCTGAATACCGGAAATCCTATTCGTTCATATACCGGTACTAGTACAATCATGTACATGATGTGCATGTACTGTAGGTCTACTGTACTGTAAAAGCAGAAATTTTCGGTGCTGTAATATTTTCGGTATTCTCCAAAATCGGCGGTTCGGTGGAGGGAAATTTTCGGTAAAACCCGTTTTCCAGGTACATGTACGTATACTACTTACTAGTACCAGGCAGTGGCGTGTCCAGGATTTGGGGGTTGCGGCCGGGATCAAGGCGGGATGGGGTGGGGGTAGATGACATCATGCTACTGTCCCAGGTCAGCCATTTTGAAAATCAATGTCAAGAAGCTCCTCCTGTAGCCCCTTCTTCAACAGTTATTCACCCGAACGGCCCCAGAGATTGTTCCGGAGGATCAGCGCACCACACGGGGACAAGTGTCGAACTTGCTTCAAGTCCCCACGGTGGGCCTGCGGTACGATCGAGCATGATGTTTTGGGGAAGCATTCTCTGGAACGCTCTCCCCTCTGATTTTAGAGTGATACGTGTCCCTGGTCCCCTCCGAAAAGCTCTTTCTGCCATTGATATACTTACTTTGTCCTCGTTAAACTTTTATTATCTGCCATAAATTCCAACCTTCTCATCTATCAATCATTTGTGCATGCATGTCTATAAAATCAACCACGTGTTCCTGACTCGATGAGATTGTCTTTCTATTCTTTGACTCCATGAAATTATTGTCTTTCTATTTCTGACTCCATGAAATTGTTCTTGATATAAATTTTTCCCTTTCTTCTTTTGGTCCTTTCTGTCTTATTAGTTATTATTATTATTTAATATCATTAATTTTCTTGTTTTCCCTTGCATATCATCCCTTCATCATTCTGTGAGAACCTGTCCTATGCCGGGGCAGGTGAGAAGGCATCTCTGTCTGTTCATTTGGTGAAGTAAAAATAAACAACAACAACAAGCCGTAAATCTCACACACCACGACTCACGAGCAGTATTTCTGTACACGCAGCAACAAATGTACATTGTAAACTTCAAATTTGCCGTTATGTGAGCGAATCAACTGCTTTTTTCTTCTGTTTTAATATGCGAGTCCAACAATTTCTCACCGCTCTCAAAGCATCCTTTACATAGGCAGCGGTACTTGTCACTGTGCGCTGTTCTTTATGTTCTGGCTGCTCGCTGACAACAGGTTCTTCCACGTCTGGCGGAGTTTTACTGTCAGTCCGCTCCGAAAGTTCAACTGGATTGTCTGGAATAACAGCGACTTCATCACTCCCACTGTTTCCTGTTGGAGCGGCAGCAGGAGTTGCGCCGCCACAGGAACGCTTTACAAAAAATCCAGGCTCTGCTGGCTAGAGCTTGGCCTTTTGGGATGTCCCTGAGACATCGAAGAAAAGCCTTCGAGTCAACCAAAACACGATTCGAACGAGGATGATCGCCTGAGCCCTCGGCATTCGAATCGTGTTTTGGTTGACTCGATCGAAGACTTTTCTTCGATGTTTGTAGAGGAGACGGCTCGATACCGGGACGTTTTGACAGCCAAATTTGTATAGACCCAAACCGATCATCAGCGTTGATTTTTCACTCGAAATATGTTTGTGGAAGGAAACTGGCATGTTGAAGTTTGCTCTGGGGCCAGAGTCAATCGAACTGAGCCACTCCTTTGTGTTGACCCATTGCCTCCAAGTTGCCCAATTTTTCGCTTCAAAAAAGTTCAAATCAGAGGTGGCTCCAAACCGGACACGTTTTAGAGTGCACGTCAAATTCACTCTGGGTCTGAAATTAGGTAATTGCTATCGCTCCACGACGGCCAGTACAGAGTAACAATAAGCCTTGTGTGTGCTTCCATTAGTTTTGATTGGTATGCGGTGCTTTATTGGCGAGAGGCGAGCCGCTGTTTACCTGCGACAAGAAGTTGATTTTTCGAAAGTCGTAAAACTCAAGTCGCAGTGCGAAGCAACACGTCAAAAACTCACCTGCTTGATATGGCGCTTCTGGTCATCGCAGAGCCATGAAATTTTGGCTCGGAGTATAACACATAGTAGTCTCACTGTGACATATGTTTTCTAATCAAAATACCAATAGAGAAAGTGAATATTGAGTCCGTTCCGGTTTGCAACCGGTGTCCTATTTGAAACCGTCCCCTCTACCGTTGAAGACGCGTCGAGCGCGTCCCAGCAGGGATCACACTGTACAACAGTACACAGTCAGGTCACCGTGTTTCTGTACTGTAGCCGTGCATGCTCACTGTACGTAGACTCTACTCTGTCTCTAGCTCTGTAGTCTGTGTAGACTGTACAGAGTACTCGTACTGTACTAGCACCGTGCAACCGCTTTTGGACAATCGTTTCAGGCCGCGCGGCGCGCGCCCCGAGCCTAGTCTAGCTCGACCCGGCGCGCGCCCTGTATTATTTTTCGAAACCTAGGTCGAAATTTTTGAGGGGGGGGGGGGGGGGCGCGCGCCCCCCGCGCCCCCCCTAAACCCGCCACTGCCAGGCAGGCACAGTGGGTTGGTCAAAGACCATGATTGAGATACGAGAGGTACCTGGTTCAAGTCCTGCCTGGGAGCGGTTTTTCCAGCCGTGCTGTTACCCACAGTCAACTGGGAACTGTTACTTGTGGCCAGGCACAAGGGGTACATGGATGCAGCTAATGGGGTCACTTTAGGCACTTGTGCCAGTGGTTGTGAGACTTACCCACTCACCCCCACCGTTAGGCGATGCATCTGCCGCTAGGGTTTATCGGGTGTTAGCGGCCGTCGTGAGTTCCCTTCGGGAACGGATACGATAATTTACTTACTTTATACTAGTACATGTACGTATTTCCCTTGCATGCTCTCTCTCATGCAGCACACGATAGAGTTGGATTCAGAGACATCATTCACAATTCTCTCGCTGATTAATGCCTCTACGAGCACCTTGTGATTATGAGTTATACATACATGTACATACATACAGTACCGAAATTTTCGGTGCGTTTTAATTTCGGTAAAAATTGTCGGCACCGCAGCCACCGAAAATTTCTGCTTTTACAGTACTCCATTTTACAGTCCAATTAAAATTGCTTACCCGACACTTCGTATTGGTAAGAAATACCGGTACCCAGTCACGCACGCTGCAAAGATGAGAATATTTGGACACATCATGCACTGACATGTACATTCTACGTGTATACATGTATACACAGAAACGTCAGAATTGCTTACCCGACATTTCACATTGGTAAGAAATACCCAGTCAAAAAATGGGCCGTGACTATTTCAATTTGGATGCCCAGTCCAGTTCGTAAATAGGGAAAAAGAAAAGAAGGAAATGACATCTGGCGACAGCCGACCATTGGTTTCCGCCGTGAAGCTTTGGAACACCCTGCCACAGGAACTCACGTCCAGTCGTCGTCCAACCCCGTTTAAAAGATTGCTGAAAGTATTTTTCTACGGTTAATATGGCCGAATAGCACCTCCCTCTGGCATAGGTCCTCATCTTCCTATTTCTCCCTGATTGTTACTTCGTTCGAACTTGACTTGTAATTACCGGTACAAATACTTCCTATTGACTGTTTTCTCATTTTGGCTCAAGTGCACTGAGCTTTATCGCGCCACACTTTTTATTCTATCGCCATCATAATATTGGGCATCAATGCCCGTTTGGTTTGCGATGTAAAATAAAACTTCAAACAAACAAACAAAGGCAATGATCGTGTCCGTGAAATATCCTGTGTCAGTTCGTGTCTTCTCCGCGCGTATCATTGAAATCTGTAATATACCGGTACATGTACAGTATCTACTCAAGTCTGTGGACAGCAACTGTTTCGCTCTGTTAGACTTACAGCTCCTCAGCACAGCTCAGAGGACCGAAGCGCAGCTCTTCGCAATGAAATACGTTTCCGTGAAGCAAAGCATTTTTATAAAGAGCTGCAAACCCCGTTGACGGTACATGTATCTATAAATCTGTGATACATGTACTCTGCATGTGAATGTTAGATCAATGAAATTCTGTAGCAAGATGCCACTGGATACAGCGTGCCATGATACAGTCATAATCCTTCACCTCTCTACCTCAAACTAGACTCTAGTCTGTACCGTGCACGTTAGCTGCAGTTTTCTCAATTCCTTGCCACTTCTCTGTCTGCAAGTAAGTTTCTTCTCGTGCTTGGCATTAGTCATACGTTGCTGCATGATCGACTTGGAATTTGTTGGCCATTGGCTGGCTGCTCGTGCGTTTACCAGCATGAGAAAGCACATTAAATTATTTGAACTGAAAATCAGTACAAAAATGATACTTCAGGTAAAGGTAGAAGGGAGATTTTGAACAGTAGAAATTAAAAAGTAGACATTTTTGGTAGAAAAGTAGAAAAGTAGAAAATTTTGGTAGAAAAGTAGATTTTGGTAGAAAAGTAGAGCATTTTGAAAACTTACGGTAGAAACACTGAGTTCGAGAAGAGAGTTGGGCAGGGACAGAATAATTGTTGCTATGGTATTCCTACTTCCTCATAATCAGCGGATCTGAAAACAAGTACCGCAGTAGAAAAGAAGGGAAAGAGTGAGCTCCGCGTACATGCAGGAGCAATGGACTACTTCCGGTCTACAAGAAAACTGCTACTCTAGTACTACTAAAACAATTGCGTTTACCGGTATGATCATTGCCATTGTTACTAACTTGCTACAGTAATGTTCTAGACTAGAGTTCAAGAAATCAACGGCTGTGTTCAGTGTTACAGAGTGAACGACCTGATCTGCACTGCCTAAAGCAAGACATAATTATATGCGTTGAAAGGAGGCATTGTTCCTACACTGTATGGCATTTGGGTCTAAGCTCTAAAGAGAGATTTATTTTACAAATATGCATGTCCAAAAAAATATTCACTGGTGAAAAAATAGTATATAAACTCGTTTCAGTATGTTCGAAGCTTCATAGTACATGGTATTCGAGCTGAGCTCTTCAGACCCTGCCAGTGCTGGCTTCGGCTGGGATTTTGAAACTGGCCTCTGCAGTGTCGTATACGTTATCGCGTGGATGGCTGCTGTCACACTCTCCATTGCAGATAGCTGCATTGTCATGGAAACAAGAGTATTGAGAAAGGCACTGACTTACACATGCTGGACAAAATCTGCGAACATACACGGTATTATACTAAGGCTAGTATTATTTGTAGTGATTCTGAATTTCATGCCAAGAAACAATCAAGTTTAAAGTGATATGGTGGAGCCTTAATTTAAGGCTGTTACTACAGTCTAGGCACCGGCGGATTATGCCGGCATAATTATTGGCATAATTTGGTGGTTGAAAATTTGGAGCATAATTTGGCATCCTCTCGGAGGTACATGTAGGAGCATAACTACGAGATTATACCACAGTTGTAGTATGTAGGCTGTACAATTGTGTACAATGCACCTGATCAGTGCTGGTGGTCTGCATGGTAAAGGGTTCGGAGGTCATGCAGATAGTGTTTTCAATGAAAAGCAGGCCTGCAGGGTAGAAATCATGGCAATACAGTCACGGTATTGTATGCTCGAACTCGTCTTCTTCAAAGTTCTTTCTCACACTGACACAGTACATGTAGCAGAAGATGCGAGTGAATCAGGCTTCATCAGGTATCCCGTAGCGGACGAGATAGTGGCGGGTAGTCCGCAAAACTCCGTGTACATGTACATGTACATTACTTCGTACATTTGTACATTATGCATGTTACGAAGTCATGACCTCTGGTAGTCTGGATTTTAGCAGCCATGATATGACTGCAGGCTATGGATATTGCTCGAAATTGATGTATAGTTGATGTTCGGTCATGATGGAAGGAGAAGTGGAGCTACGGGACAGATGAGCTGATTATTCGCAGGGTGAGGGTGACATCGGTTGGACGAGTATGATGATTATGAAGACTGTGAGTTGAACGTGATAATCTTCAAAGGTAACTCAAACTAATTTGGCAATGAAATCATATTTTTACTGAAGTACAAAAGAAATCAAGTAATGATAGAAGAAGTAATGTTTTCTCTTTTCCATGTTGATCTCTAACATGCATGGACACCTTGCAGCTTGGTATGGGGATACTCATGTATTTTGTTGTACTTATGGCCACTTGCGACTTGCAAGTACGAAAAGGCACAATTTTCCGAACTTTGAGGCTCCATAAGTACGAAAAAGTGAATATATATCCCCGGGTGCCAAAGCATATGAGGATTTTACGAGCATAATGCGAGAATCCATGAAAGCATAATTCCATGGTTCACGAGCATAATCCGCCGGAGCCTACTACAGTCCATTCATCGGAAACTGGCCCGCTGGCTTTTGGAAGTCGGATTTGGGCCGAATTGAGGATCAAAAACCCACTTTAAATCTCAAAAATCGGTGGGTTTTGGATCTGCTTCTCCATACATTTTGCCATGGGTATACCCGTCCTAATTTTGTAAAACCTGGCTGAATTTCTATTTTCCTGTTCTTGGACTTTTCTGGCCTCAAATGTGGCGAGGAGTAATTGCACGGGTCACACAATGCAGGATGTACTGTTGTTTTCACGATATCTACAACTATGTGAGAGAGACACCAAAAAGTTAGGGTGCCAGTTTCCAATGAATGGACTGTAGTCTTTAATAGAAAGTCATTTTGATCTAAAAGGCCGTGCATGCATCATGGCACACACACTCAGAAACACTGATCATGCATGACTTACAGAGTTTGACTTGGTATACACCTGGCAGCCATTGCTGGCATGCCCCTCCTTGGCTGGCATCGCAGCCGCCAAGGCCGCTGGTATCTGTGGACAGGGAGGCTGCACCGGCGTAAGAGCCAGGCTTTCGAGGCATGCTTAGCGCACTGGAATCTTCAAGCATGGTGGCACCAGACAAGGGAAGACACCATAGTAGCCGATGTGAACAATAAGTAAAAAAGTAAATGGACTCGGATGGTGAGCCAAGGATACATTTATAGAAAAGAAAAAGGACCAAGGAACTACAAGTTCCGCTATAATGTTATCGCATGCGCTGATTGTGTAGTAACTGGTGGTGTTGGTGGACATTATAGCGTAACTTGTAGTTCCTTGGTCCTTTTTTCTTATCTTTTCTATAAAAAAGTAAATAATCTACTTTTTTACTTATGTACCACTTATTGTGTCCGTTCCGGAAGGGAACTCACGACGGCCGCTAAAACCCGGTAAGCCCTAGCGGCACATGCAGTGCCTGTCATTGGGGGTGAGGGGATAAGTCTCACAACCACTAGCACAAGTGCCGAGAATAAATACTACATCTCCAAATGTTCACCCCTTCACGGTTCGACCTTTGCTGTTAGTTTTAAAAACAGTCTTGTCTCTGTTCTGAAGCATTTCCATAACTATACGAAAGGGGTAAGTAGCAGCATCCGCCTAATTTTCACCCCCGCACTACAGCACAAGACCGCATGAGTACCAGGCTCTCCTCACATGCCCATAGTTCCAAATGATGAAACCTTAGGGTGCTTTCTAATTTCCTCTAGCTTCTCGGTTAAATATCTCTTGGAAGTAGAGGAAACTGGAATCATTTAGCAACAGGTCTCGAAGAATTCGGAGATATTTTGCATACATGTATGTTCAAACCATGGAAGTTGGAGTCACTCAACATGTGTTACACATACAAAGGGCGAAAGGAACCACGAGCTTAAGTGACTTGAAAGTTGTATGCACTACGAGCGGTATTTCGTACAAGGAGTACGCATGGTACACATTGCACTGCGAATGATTGGTATTTTGCAGTGGGTTTTATCATCGATCCCGTCTGCAAGTACAAGTAGTGCACAAGATGGTGTAGTGTATCCACTCCAAACCGTTGCATGTTTTTCATCAAATCTTTCTTTTTGCCTCCTTTTTGCCATCGTATATCCAAAACAGTCTACTGTTGTTTCATGGTACGGTGCTGTTTCCTTGGTTGCCGTTTTTTTCCTTCTGAACCTCAGTTTCTTCCTGCCATGCTCTGTTGTGCAGTGCTTGAGGGAACGGCATGCCTTCCTAAGTTACCCGCAATGGAACCGGAACAAAGAAGAGCCCTCGCTGCAGTCGTCACAGTGCTTGCGACTGGACAGGTATTAGCAAAGTTCGCTTCAAGTAGCAATGATGAAGCGCCGTACATAGAGGATACAGTGGTTGAAATGTGTGCCAGGCTTCGGCAAAAAACGTTCGTCCAGAAGAATATAGTGAAAACGTGGTACTAACTCTGCCCTCGGACATATTCCGAGACCACTTACGTATTTCGCGGGAGGTGTCCAAATCAGTCTTTGGTTTTAGCGAATTCAAATAAAGAAAACAACAACAGTCCTGCAGTGTCTTTAACACCTGCCTGATTTCACCGATGTCGAGGGAAGTGTAGGTTGGCCACGTGTTCCACCTGACAAGAAACTGGAAATGGCATTGTGGACTCTCAGCACCACGGCATCATATCGCCAGGTTGCTGACCGATTCAACGTCTCGCGATCAATTTGCCATTCGTCACACACATCGTGACCTCCATATTTGGCCCATTTCCCCGCTTTTGGCCGCGCTGCCCCTGCATGCAATAATTAGCACCATACACATTTGTAGCCCGTTTTCCTTCCTTCTGACCCTGTACATAAACCACCGTCCATTTGATCTAATTGTTACGAGATTCGATTCGCTTATTATTTACATCCGTTGTTGTTCCTGGTCTCGCTGTCTTGTCCTGTCCGGTGTCGAATATGGTCTGCTGTCTGTACGGGAGTGATGTGTGGTGTGCAGTATATGGGTGTGATGCGTATGACGTGGTGTATGTGGTGTATGCGTTGTCAGAGAGTGTGGATCTGCTTCTGCCTGAGTGAGTGCGTTTGTCTACTGGTTGTCGCGCATGCGTGGATTATGTGGAGCATGCGTTGTGCGAGTCGAGTTCGGGTGCGAGGGAGTGGTGTGATTCGTCCACGATGTTGTTGTCTTGGTTCTGGTCACATGTCTCGTACGTACTAGTCGCTCATTGGTCGTTTCGATGTGTTCGCCCTTTCTCTGTTTATAACTGTTGGTTGTTTATTATTTCGTTGTCTTTCTTCCCCGTTCTCTCGCCAGTCACTTGAGTACTACTATTAATCTAAAGAAGTATCGTGCCGCCACGAATCCTTGTGTTATGAGTGAGAAAATTGTCGAGTGGCGAGGAGCGGGGGGGGGGGGGAAATTCCATTACAGTGGCGCCCAACGTGGACTCGAGCTCCACCACATACTACGAGCGACCTGCCAGAGGGACGGAACTGCTCCTCTCGTAAGTGTGCCTTGTTTGCCTCGTTCCTGTTTTTTTCTCTTCGCGTTGTTTCTTTGTTTTCGCTCGCATCCGCGATTTCTTTGGGTTTTCTTTCTTTTGACCAAGGCTTGGCCTCGGGGAGTCTCTTGCGTTTGCCGTTTCCTTTGCTTCTCCTTCCTCCCACTTAGTTCGTCATCATGACGGAGCCTGGCAGATGGTTGCTTCCACAACCGTTCCATGGCCGCCCAGAGGAAAGCCTGGCGGCTTACCTGCGAGATTATGATTCCTGTTTGAAGACCAACGGCTACGTCGGCCGTCTAGACGAGGGAGAAGCAGACCCTAATCGAGATAGACTCGACCAAATGCGTATCTTTCTGCTACAACGGAGACTCCAGGGACCGGCGGCTCTTGTCCTCGAATCATTATCTGACGAAGACCGCGACGATCCTGACAAGCTGCGAGCAGCCTTGGTGGCCCGCTTCGGAGATAAGGGCAAGTCAATGGGAATAAAGTGCATCCTGGGTGCTGTGGATGGATGTCACATTCCCTTAAAGGCACCTGTGGAAGACCCTCTGTCGTATGTCAACCGTAAGGGATTTCACAGTGTTCTACTGCAAGGCGTCTGCGACCACGAGCTATTGGGCACGGACGTGTACTGCGGCGGGCCAGGCAGAGTGTGCGATGCACGCGTTTTCAGCAATTTACCCTTGCTGGATTGGCTGCAAACTCTGTCACCTGACACACATATCATAGGAGACAGAGCATATCCACTAAGTATATCACCACTGTTGCCCTACAAGGACAACCCCACGAATGGACAGCAGGTCTTCAACAACAGGTTGTCGATGGCATGGCACTGCTGAAGTGTAGGTGGCGTCGACTGAAGTATTTTGATGCATCAGGCATAAAATCGCTCTGTGAATCTGTTGTTGCTTGCTGCGTTCTGCGTACCTTGTGCCTTCTGAAGCAGGACAGTGCTGAAGACTGGCTATTTCCGCACAATGGCAATGCAAGAAGAGGAAGCAGAAGCTAATGCTGAAAATACCCATGCTATCAATGCTGCGGAAGTTAAGGGAGACAACATTCCAGGTCACCTTTTGGGACTTTCTCCGCAGTGAATAATGCCTTCCCTGGCAAGGTGGGACATTTCCCATCTTATTATCACAAGCATTCCCAGTATTTATGTAGTTTATAGATTGGTTTGTTCGTGACATTATATCCATGTTCGACTGATGATGTCTTTTGCACTTTGCTCCATCGACAGTGGCAGCCTGCTTTATCTGCTTTTGCACTCTGCTGTGTCTGCAATCATAATAATACCCGCCATAGATCTGTTATTTCCTACGCTTTCACTTTTACAGTTTCCTCGGAGACAAGAACTTGCACCTTTTCTCCATTTTCTTTCTATGTGTATGGGTCATGCATTCGTCCTTAATCCATTGTCCTTGTTCATTTGATTTTGCCTGTATTTCACCCGACTGAGTGGCGATAAGGCTCCGAGGAAATTATAATAGTGAAAACTTCCGAGATGTTGTTCAATAGCCTGAAGGCACGTCCTTCTTCTCAGTAACGGTATTATCGCTTTGCAGAGTGAATGGGAAGAGAGCGGGTCTGCTCTGAAACCCTTTCCCTACTTTTCTTTTGCTTTTGAACGAGTGCCCATGCCCATGCCCATCACTATCATAATCATCATCCTCCTTATCATCATTATTTTCTGTCGATAGTGCCTGGGAATGGTATCACGTGACCGGTAGCTATCTGAATCATTTTCCATCTTACTCAAATGCACGTTTAATGCACAACGTCGCCAGTGATCACTGAAGCTCAGTGGAGGTAAAGAAAGGTTTCTACCTACTTCAGAGTTCAGTATGACGTGCATTACAGCACATAAAGGGGTTCAGACATTGTTGAATTATAGAGCAACACTGTTGTAGTGCTGAGCAATCATAGAATCATAATAATTATGTAATTCTTCATTTGTTCTCTGAGTTACATTCCTTGATAAGGCCAAGACATGTTTAACTTAAGAGCGCTGGGAGGAACTTGACCGTCCCTTCTTCTGGCAAGGGCAGCATTTCCGGCCACCAACAAACTTCTAACTTACGGACTGGCAGTTTATCATCTGTTGCAATGTCCATGGCAATTTGTCCAGTTCCCGTGCCATTCATGGTCGTCCAGCTATATGCAATGGCAAACATTTTTCCTGCATTACATCACAATTGAAGATAGAAAGCAAAGAAAAAAGTGTGCCCAATCACTGCCCATGCTCCGGTGACCAGCTTGCTTGCGTAACAGATCATCACACCCTTCAGCTAAGCCCTAGTCTTTATGTAGGCTACTCATAATTATATCATCGCTGTAAAATCAGGATATATATCATACAGAATGATGAAATGACACGAGTGCCACTCAAAGTGTACCCATATGAGCAGAGGCTTGTAGGTAGGCCGTGAACCCAGTGGAAAACAGGCTAGACAGCGTGCTGTGACAAACAGTTACACTGATGACTCACAATCATACATGAAGACTTAGTGCATGCATAGAATACTCCAGTGCTCGGCTATGGAATGCAGTCATGACATCATTGAGCACTACCATCACGTAATGGAATACAGCCATGACATCATTGAATACAGCCATGACATTATGGAATATAGCCATGACATCATTGAGCACTATCATGACATCATGGTCCATTCATGGAATATAGTCATGACATCATGGAATACAGCCATGTTGTTGACTTTTATTTTTACTTCACTAATCGCCATGACATCGTGGAATACAGCCAGGACATCATGGAATATAGTCGTGGCACATGTCGAGCCTTACCAGCCTGGTGTCCAGATGCAGGGTGCACCTCAAGACTGGTGATCTTGGCATCGCCATTCTTTACCATCCTGCACACTCCCAGCAGCTCACAGAAGTTGATTGGATCCAGTTTGGGACTATGAACACAACGACAACGATGACGACAATAACAATAACATGACAGTGATGCCACACGTATCCATTATTGTTGGTTCCCTGATGCCATCATGTGCAGCTAGAGATCAAAAGCGCAAAGCAATATGGACTCGGATGGAGAGCCAAGGTTAAATTTATACAAAAGAGAAAGACCGAGGAAGTACAAGTTACGCTATACTGTCCACTAACACAATGTTATCGCATGAGCTGATTGTTTAGTAACTAGTGGTGTTAGTGGACAGTATAGCGTAACTTGTAGTTATTTGGTCTTTCTCTTTTGCAAAGCAATTTGTACAAATTAGCTATGGTAAGTAGTCAAAGCAGAACAACGGGCGGTATATCACATGCTTCCTGAACCTGATGATCATGAATAGGTCAGGACATCAAAAAGGTAGATTTATACTATACAGTCAGACCTCGCATATCCGGTCCTCTTTTATCCGGATCCCTCGCCATCCGGAAGAGAATAGCTGGTTACATATTTACAGCATACGTGATGCATCCAACATAAACGGTGTTCAGTTATCCGGTTCCCTCGCCTATCCGGATATTTTTGTGGGGAACGGATGTGTGCGGTTAAGCAAGGTCTGTCTGTAGTCCGTTTTGAAAAGATTAGCAATCAGGTTTTGGTCTTAAAAAGTATGAAGATAAAGGGAATGTGGACAACAAAGTGCATCGTAGGGATGTCATCGTACAGATGTCATTGGGTATTCGGGTACTGGCTGTGCTTTTAGAGCAGGTAGCTGGGTAGCAGTTTGCACCTGAGAGTTCGATCGGCTAAGTTAGTTGCAGTGCGGTGTTTTCACAACGGTGCCTGTACAAAGTACAGCTATGCGCTGACTGTACACCTTTCTATTAGGGGTGAAAGGATTATGTGGTTTAGTCGATTATTTAGTCGAAAAATCTAGTCGATTACGATTTTTCTATTCGCTACAGCATTTTCGTACGACATACCATACAGTACGACGAAATATCCGGCAAGTACTAGGTGCAGTGTGTCTACATGACTTTACTGCGTGCAGCACATGTACCAGAGTACGAGTCGATGCGTGCATGCACGGAGGACAAGAACAATGTAGCCTTCAGAATCAGTTTGTGCCTGTGGGACGGTCGATGTTTCCATTATTTTTGTTTGAAGTTTCAAAATAATGATTGATTGTAGTTGATTCAAATTGGTGAGTTTTGTCGTCAGTGGTGCTTAATCGATAAGTTTTGGATTAACCGCTAAGGAATATCCCTTAACCGTTTCACCCCTACTTTCTATGTAGCACAAGTGCATGCTCGCTGTACTAACGCACAGTGTGGCAATCCCGCCCAGACAATACCATGCACCACTACTACTCATGCTTTGTCAAAATACCCGATAGGGTACTACCCGTGCTACCCCGAATAGAAATACCCGATAAGGTACTACCCATGCTACCCCGAATAGAAATACCCGATAGGGTACTTACTACCCATGCTACCCCGAATAGAAATACCCAATAGGGTACTACCCGTGCTACCCCAAATAGAAATACCCGATAGGGTACTACCCATGCTACCCCAAATAGAAATACCCAATAGGGTACTACCCGTGCTACCCCGAATAGAAATACCCGATAGGGTACTACACATGCTACCCCAAATAGAAATACCCAATAGGGTACTACCCGTGCTACCCCGAATAGAAATACCCGATAGGGTACTACACATGCTACCCCAAATAGAAATACCCAATAGGGTACTACCCGTGCTACCCCGAATAGAAATACCCGATAGGGTACTACCCGTGCTACCCCGAATAGAAATGCCCGATAGGGTACTACCCGTGCTACCCCGAATAGAAATACCCGATAGGGTGCTACCCGTGCTACCCTGAATAGAAATACCCGATAGGGTGCTACCCGTGCTACCCCGAATAGAAATACCCGATAGGGTACTACCCGTGCTGCCCCGAATAGAAATACCCGAACCGGCTATGCAATCAAATCCCTCCCTACCTGTTGCAACCCTAATTTAATAGTAGTTGTCTCACTCAAAGCTATCAAAACATTAATCAAGCTGTCACATGCAGCCCCACGTACTGTTCAATGACTTCCAGGAACTGCCCGACACCGACATGAGCACAGAGCAGATTGCAGACAAGGCCGAGGTCCCTGTTCCCTGTGTGAGCTGCGAGAGCATCGGAAACAGCCGCGCATGTCTCGAACCCGTGGTCTGCATAGCAGAAGCAGCAGCCAACAAAAACCCAATGGCATATAAAATATGATAATTGTACTTGTCAAGTACTGATGTGTCCAATACTCGGGGAACATATGCCACGTGAAATACAGCATCACTACAGTCCATTCGCCAAATCAGGGCCCCTGATACTCTAAAACTATGTACAGTATCTGAAAAATACGATTTCTGACCTACATGTCTATATAAGTCATTGACTTCACGATCTTGAATACGAATGAAGTGACACTGTGAAAACTTTAGACTATGGGCCCAGGTTTGGTGAATGGACAGTAGACAATAGCGCTCGGGTTAGACAACTTGGTGCATCACGTAAATAAAGGCCACTAGAACGAATGCACAGGAATCAATATTTAATTGATTTAGCAGTGTTATAGGCTACAGTCAAGGAAGCTGCAGAGTAGTTCGATCATGACCAGCCACACTCTAGTTTGGAAAAAGCGGTTGAGAGTGACCATACATGACGCACACGATGGCAACGTTAGTCAACACTTTTAGTCTACGTGGAGACAGCACTGTTGCCGTATTGGCGGGTGCATTTTCTTACGGAGTACAATCTCCCGCAGCCTTCCCAAGGCCTGGCTAGAGAAATCGATGCACGTCGGGCACAGGTCGAACGTCGGAGACTGCACGGGACTACTGAGAATCAAGCCATCATACGACGCACGGCTTTGCCGTTCGTGGTGGACAGCCAGTGCATGGCCTGCCGTGAGCAGAACTGCGAACGCAGCGAAGATGTACGAAGCGCACTGCAATGGTGAAACAAACAGGACAAAGGCATACGAGGTGAAAATAAGTACAGCCACTAGTCCTAGCTGCTAACTATGGTGGCCGCAGGAAGGAAAAAATCACCTGGGCTCCTTTTGTGGGAAGATGCTCTCATGCTTACACAACCTGGGTATAAGATGGAGAAGCCCTGGGACATTATCCCCAATCGCCAGTAGAAAATAATACTCCCGTAGCACCCCCCTCCACCCTGGGCCCCCTTCCCTGTTAAAAACGTACGCAAATGGGGGTCTCCACTACCTGAAAAGTGCTCATGGGGTAGTTTCACATTGTGGTCATGTTACTGCACTCGTGTAGAATGTGATCACGGCATGCCGACAGTGGAGCCAACATGGCTGACATCATGTGACCCATAGATGCAGGGGTTGAGTGGAGTTGGAACCAACATGGCTGCCGCGTACGGTCATGTGATAGAAATGCGACAGCCCTAGACCCTGTGGCGGCAGAGCTTGATCACTGAACTGTCAAACGTAAACCCAGGTGGAAAGCCAAGGAATAACTCCGACGGACTCCGACGGAGAAAACTCACATCACGTGTCTCAGGTACGTTTCGTACTACGTACAACTAAGGATAGTGTGCGCGCAATACAAAAATCTGCCACGATTATGCTGGCGGGTTGCATACGCGCAGTGAGTTTCTGCCAGGGAGTGCTTTTATGATTACTCCGCTGCTCGCTAAAAGCGGGCTGGAAACGTACAACTGGGACACTACACCACCACGTGATGTGAGTTTTCGCCGTTGCCGGCGCGTTGGTGAACCCCGTAGAAAGGGTATCAGGAGTTGCACACTCTTGGGGTTATGGACTCTTGCTTTTTATTTTTTAAATATGGACTCTTGCTGGTACATCTACTACAGTGTACATGTACCGTAAAATCCCGCCAGAGCGCCCCTACCTCCTCGACGCTTCAGCCTGGTGGGGAGGGCGGATGGGCGAGTCCTACTTGCCGCATTCAGTGCTACATGAAAAAGTACTCACCCTACGAAAACTGTTTGTGCATCTCCTACACCGACCAAAGGTCAAGAGCCAGGAGTCGTACAGACCCGACAAAACGCAGGGTTTGTGCGATCCCTGGTCAGGAGGGTGGGCACTGTTGCGTACATTTCCAACAGGGTCGAGCACGCGTCTGCAGTGCAAGTACGGCATCAAAGACTGCGACAGAGTCATCATCGTGACGAGGATACAATCAATCACGTCCCTGACAAGAAATCAGGGAGGGGCGGATGGGAGAGGCGGGGCGCTCTGGCGGGATTTTACGGTACGTGTACCGGTAGTAGCAGATTTGGTACACAATGGTATGGGTCAGCCATGCTTGATAAGTTCACCGGGCCTGATTCTGAGAGCACACACTGTCTGGAAAACAGTGACTCTACCAACCAACCGGTCTCTGGACTCTGGATTCCGGTTGGAACTTGCAGTCAGGAAGGAACACTGTCCTCCACCTTGTGATGTGCTGTCATGCAATCATCATAACAATGATCCAAGCAGGGAGTCGTAAAATACCGTATAGCACAGCCTGTACGGCTAGTACATTTCTACGTCGTACAGAGGTCACACGTGTACATTCGCGTCTAGCATATACACGTACCTTCATTCCTGCCCCGGAGAGAGAGAGAGAGGGAGAGGAAGAGCTATTTCCAGCGACAGCTGCAATACGATCCAACATCCAGGATGTCACCGTCTGCCAAGTCAAACTCAAAGCCTCAAAGTCAAAGCGGCGTGCGGATGTGAAGGGCAAAACAGGAAAAGGTCAGGCATGCGTGCGGCGGGGGGGGGGGGGGGGGGCCGGGGGCTACAGTTTTCGTAGTACATGTACTGTACGCTACTCCTTATTTGGGGGCATTCGAATTGTCACTCTTTGGCTTTTCGAGGAGTTCCTTTTTCTGAAGAGGTGGCTTGTTGGCCTCTTCAGAAAAAGAAAGTCTCCTCGAAACATCTCTAAGCCGTTCAAATCAACCTCCTAACCTCTGGACAGGTGGGAAGAGGTTGGAATCGCGGACATGCATTTCCCGTAGAACCTACAACAAACTCTTCACATATACGGTAAAGCGAGGGGGGGGGGGCGGGGGCCCCGGGGGGGGGGGGGCTGGTTTGGAAACAGAATCCGGAAACTGGTGATTCGCTGGTAGAGAGGCAGCACTACAATGCTCTGGGGAATCCCCAACTGTCACGGTGTGGAATGTATGTGTGCTTACAATGTATGCCGGTGTGCAGGCCTGACCAAGCTAAAAGCTAAACGCCTATCCATTCATACCGCTGATCAGTTTCTGTCAGGTCCTGAGCTATTCTTGATCCTCAGCAGTATTCTGCTTTGTGGCAGCTTATCTCTTCGCGTCTTTTTTTCCCGGTTCCCCGGTTTCCCGGCTTCTTTGTTTCTTCCCTCCCACATGCGCCGTTATCACGGTATTGAGCCCAGCTCCTCAGGTTTAATGTGTGAAGTAAAATAAACAACAAATAAACAACAAACTACAATCAGACAATTGTAAAGCCGGAATTCCGCCGGGAAGGTGAGGAGTCACGGTTTAGCGGGTGGTGAGATCTGGTGCACACACTGCACAGGCGCTATGCCGGGTCCGAGGCTTTATCCATGCATGACTATAGAGATGTATCACGTGACTTGCTCATTCTTGCAGCAGTAGTGAATCTTTCATGGATTCCGATCCAGATACACTTGCTTTATTTTCCTTGCATACAAGGTGGGACTTGGGGCCGGGTCACGTGGTGGGGGCATGCAGTGTCCATCACGGTTACCGGGCCATTCACGAATAGTTAGTACATGGAGGACTGTGTGGCAAATGGGATTTCGGCCTTTGGCCCGTCAGTGTCTGGTTGGTGGATCTGGTCTATCCTCCGCCACCATTTAGGAGCCGCATCTGACGCCTGATCATGGGGTGGTGGCGTCCCACCGGGAAGCGGAAAGGTGGTTCTTGACCCGCCCTGTACGCGAACCCGTGGATTTTTTTTAGTACAGTAATGTGGATCTACAGGAAGACCGTTCATAAGTTGCGGATCAGGTTGTTGCCTTTGTGATAGTAAATAATGAGCAATTTCAGACACTGATTTTTTGACAAACAACTACAGTATTATGATAAACAAAGAAAGCATGCACACCAGTTGACTGCTGGTAGCCGAATCCGGCAACAGTATGCCAAACACCACAATTTACACAACAGGCAGAGAGTTTTGACACGCGGAAACAAACAACAGTGAGAAAGTATTGGAGATCAATTGAGATATCTGTCTTCACATCCTCTCGCAAGCAATCACGGTGTAATGCGGAAGCAATGGATCTGCCAGGTTTCACGAAGATGAATGTACTACAAGATATTGAAAGATGGCAGGACTATAGATTTCTGAAAGCCAAGAATACCCGCAGTGCGTAAAACTCAAACAGCTAGGAGTATTGCTTTCGCGCGGCAGCAGCAATTCATGCCGCCGTTATTACAATCGGCTGGCATCGGCGGTGATGTTGAATGTAGCCTCTGCCATGTCGTAGATCTGACTGTGGGGATGGGTGCTACCACACTCACCATTGCAGATAGCTGCATAGAGATCAGAAGGGAAAATGCAGGAGAAAATGCATATCACATAACTGAGCAAGAGAGCGGATACTCGGAGAGAAAGAGACTGATTCAGAGAGGCATCATAGGAAATAGAAATCAGATACATCTTGGAAGCTAGAGCATCAGTCATTGGGGTCGAGACTCGAAAGGCAAATTGCTTTTCGCCACGCCGGGGACCAAACATGCCGCATGTTTGCCTTTTGCCTTGGCCAATGACATGAAACCCTGCAGATTCAAGTCTACAATGCACTAATCGCTATGACAAGATGCATGAAGTCCACAGTACAGACAGTATATACATGTACTTGTATAGGAGCACAGCAAAACAGAGACTAAGAACTTCATTATCCTGCGACTCGCCAGACGGACAACCATAGGTATGCACGAATCACAAGTATAGGCACTGAGTTGCGTCACTCACCGACTTTGACTGTGTATTGACCGGGCAGCCATTGCTCGCATGGTCCCTGGCTGGGATCACAGCCACTGTTATCCGTGGACAGAGAGGCGGTTCCGGAGTAGGAGCCGGGCTGCTGGGGCTCGATCAAATTGCCAGTACCTGATAGAGGAAATCGCAAAAAAACATTTATCGGCATTATTAAAATTGTTCATAGACAACAACGCGGCCACTTGCAATACAATTCAACTTAGAACACACACACACTCTCTCTCTCTCTCTCTCTCTCTCTCTCTCTCTCTCTCTCTCTCTCCCCCCCCCCCCCGCGCCTCTTTCTCTCTCTCTCTCTCCCTTCTCCCTCACCCAAATATGTCTTTCCGTTGCGAAAACCAGGCTAGACTTCACCAAATTGTAGGCATGACCCATCATCAGACAGGGTGAAAACCAAAGAATTGTCAAGGATAGTTGGCCGCCCCTAGAGAAAGTTATGCTGTCACAGTGTGTGATGATCAAGTTCGGGGATTAGGTGGTGCCTCCTAAATGTTTTGGCACCATAGCCAGGAGGTCGACTATGATCTGGAAAATTCAGATTCAGAATTTTATTCACTGGTTCCATGGTGAGTGGACTCTTTGATCTTCCTTGGAAGATTTGCAGGTTCCTTTCAAATTCTTTTAAATAGAAACATAAGGATTGACCGAAATGGCTGTAACAATTGACCGCATGATAAAAAACGAGTTTGATTAATTACAGAGTGATTGGGAAAGGGCAGGTCTGCTCTACACCTCTTCCGATATGACGCTGCGGCGGCCTTGCCACTCTTCCCCATAGAGTATTTTGGAACAAAAATGACACTGAACTGATCTGACCCTTACCAACTGGAAGATGATCAAGGGTGATGACCTCAATGACTATTTCTCCAGTTCCTGTGCCGTTCGTGGTCGTCCAGTCGAAGGCGATGGCAAATGTTCTTCCTGCAACGTGTTGAAATCAACAAGAAACGCACAGAACAACTCCGAAGTTCCCGTATTCAAGGAATTTCGGGTAACCTGCCAGGAGCTTGAACACTATCATCATGTCTTCCAAGCCCTGCTGGCATGCACAGACAGATGCATACCCTTCATTGCTATGCATGGCTAAACTAGTCCACCACAGCCACTGAGATCATCATTTTTATATTAAGAGTGACGGGCGGAGGGCTGAAAAGATTCAGCAGTGACATACACCGGCATTGTTTTCAGCGTACCTCTCCGTCCAGTTGCGGGGTGCACTTCGAGACTGGTGAATTTCGCATCACCGTTGTCCACAATCTTGCACACCTTCAGCAGCTCGCAGAAGTAGATTGGGTCAAGGTCGGCACTGTTAACGACACAAGCAAACATTGCGGCAACAAGCAATGCAAGGTTCATGAATTGAGAGCGAAGTATAGTACTGTTGCATGGTGGTATTGATACTGTTTTGTATCAGAAACAGACTGCTAGCCACCATGGAAAGAAAGTAGGGCTGAAACGATCGTGGATTTTCACCTATCAATTACTCTTTGGCGTAACGATCGATTGCCGAGTAATTGGTGTAATCGCTTCAGCTCTAAAAAGAAGGCATTTTCGAGATTTGATTGGAGGTGGTCCGGTGGCATGCAATGTGCCTGGTAGACCGGTGTATTAGTGCAGATGTGGGAGCTGCATGTAACATAATGTCCAACTGTGTTGCTAGGTGATTATAGGCATTTCCGCGTTGAAGTGTATCCGCATGATAACGAGTCCACAGCTTCGCTTATGCTGAATGGCTTCGTAAGGAAAGCGAAGTGTTGCAGTAGTAGCTATCATTACCCCCCCCCCCCCCCGATTATGATCAGTATCGCATTACATCAAGACTCAAGAGTACATGATTATGTACTCTTGATTACATGCATTACTAGGTACTGTGTTTCCGAAGTATACACCGCACTGGAGTATAATCCACGCCCATGCTTTCTGTCACGAAATACAGGCATCTACCACATTTGCCACCATCAATTTTTCCATCATAGCCGAACATACTTTCTTGGGTGAAGAACTCGTGTTTAAAGTGTGGCTTGTACTCTGGAAAATATGGTAGTCGTCCGATTCTCGTGATGAGCAACATTCATTTGAGCAACTGTGACATTCATTTATCGCGTGCTAGATCAGAACACCAGTGCAAGAATCAGCACAGATGCCACGGTAAAGCACGCATTTCAACTCACTTCTGGATGAACTTGATGAACTCCTTGATGCCGACGTAGTCGCAGAGCAGATCGCACACGACGCCGAGGTCCTTGTTGCCCGTCTTGTTTGCCAGCTCGCCGCAGAGAGTGCCGCAAGAGCCGACCACACCGCTGTCTGCAAAACGGGAACAAACCAATGTGCATACATACAGGTATTGTAAGCCGATGATTACAAATAATTATACCGGTACTACTGCTACTAGAGCTTGTTGATGATGATGATGATCTACGTAACATGTGTGACCAGGAATCACGGGCCTACAGCGTAAATACCAGCAACTATTGTATGTGCACCATAGGAAAGATGACTCGCATAACGTGTGTGTATACCTTGGTGTACACAGCATGATGATGAACCTGACCTGATGGTGAATTATTATTTGGTTGCTATTGAAGAGATGGCTGGCTATCGCCCACATCACCTTTTCATTGGCTAGTGCCACGCGATTATGAATAAATGGATAAATAAAATAAATGTGTGCTGCCACCGATGGCTACAATATGCTGGGCCAGCAAAATAAGTTTTAAAAGCGAAACAGCTGCTAAGCACCTGTAACAGAAGTTGTTCAAGCACCTGCTGCCTACTGATGTGTCAATCGATATCATGGATGTTAGGGCCGCTAAGTTTTCCGGCTTTGGACGAACTTCTTCCACATCTGTGGCTCTGCTGGTACCATGGTGTCCAGCATAGCTCAGTACACATGTGAGCAAGAGTGTCACTGGGAAGTCTGAACCACTGAATCATTGGTATTGACCAACCATCTGTTTCAAAGCAGCAAACAGCCCCATCCACAAGGTGCTACAAAGACGTCAGCTGATCAAGTCTTTGCACAGGGTTCGTCGACTCTGGTCCCAGGCAAGCAGGGTACAAGCCATTTTTTGTTTGTACCACCGTCCCTGGTAGATCTACATGGGCCCAGGGTAGTGACTAGTGTAGTCTGTAGATGTACATTTACGTGTCGACGCTGCCTCCCACTCCCAAGTCCCATGCCCACTAGCTAGACACGTACCCCCCCCCCCCCCTCCCCAAATCCAGTGCTGCCGACAATCATCATGATCATTGACTTTCGAAGTCATCCGATTCAACCCATGTAACTTTGTTTGTTCTGCCACTCGACATGATCATTGGCCGCGCCACAGCCGGAGCTACGTCAAGTACGTGTAGTGCCAGGGGCAGGGGGAGTAGAGAGTTGCCAAGGAGTATTTCTTACTGAGAATGATGTTGAGCAGAATGTCGAGGGCTTGGCCGGTGAAGCTGACGCATGTTGGGCACAGGTCGAACGTGGGAGACTGCACCGTGCTCAGGCTCACGCCTTGCGATAGACGGTGTGGCCGCTCGTGGTGGCGAATAGCCAGAGCATGGCCTGCTAGGAGAAGAACTGCGAATGCAGCGCAGAAGTACGCGTTACCCTGGACATAACAGAATGAACCGAGAAAGGATTATGACAACTAGAATCCGGCCGGTGGATCTACCACCAACCTAGTCAGGAATACAGGAATCTCTGCAAAGGCAAAACTCCCCCTGTCCATGCACGCCTGTGCTCTCGCACTGTGACCTACCTTCATCGTTGAAAGAGCTGAGAGAAGTGAGAGTGTAAAGAACAGCCAAAGAACCTTCAATACCAACCGCTTGCACACCGACAGTGGAGAAAGAGCGAGCGTTCAAAAGGTCGGGTACGGCCGTTAGCTCTTCTGTGTCGTTTTGTCGCAGGCCGGGGTGCGAGTGCTGCGCGTGCGAGCTGGATGACTCTCCAACTGTCTGCTAGTGGCATTAGCTCTGGGCTGGCGTGCAGTGTTTGCTTGGTAGGATCTCGTGCCATTGCCATCGCCAGGTTCGTACTTCAAAGTAGATCTATGACTATGTACGTGACAAGTACGCACGCAACCGCTCCGCCAAAAACACTGGTAATAATATGGCTACAGTTTCGAAATTCTCCTCAGTCGACACTGACGACAGGTGGACAGCACGCAAAGCTCTTGATCTCCTTGTTTGGTGCTTCCGATGACGGGAAGCCTGGTCACGTGGACGGTGAGTGGCTCGATGCACGCGATGCGCTTTGTTTTACACAATGACTATGAGTCTGTGACACACATGTGATGTAGTGCCTACTAGTGGATCAAAAAGAACATAAGACGTAGTCATTACATAATTCATAACCAACAGTTACTGTCGACGTGTCCTTAAAATGACCAGATAATTGTATGCATGGCCTGATGAGATGGTGTACATGGTATTCACGTGACGCATTGTGTCTTGTCAGTAGCGAGCTAGCTAGCCCTGCACGACTAACTGTCGCTGCAAGACCAGAGTCCATAAGTAAGCGGCGTAAAGGTATACCGTCCTCACGCAATTAGAGCCCAAGCTCTCTTGGATAGTGCCCTCTCTTGAATACTCACGGTAAACAGTGCCCAATGTGTGCGCAACACTGTGACCACAAGGCCGCCCCACTTTTTCGGCCGTTTTTTTTTTTTTTTTTTGAGCACACTGCAACAAAGATCGATGATCGCAGCTCAGCGCAAACGAGTTACGTGGCAAATCCTTGTCCCCGATCGTGTTTTTTCTTTGTAGAAACAAAACAGTCTTTCATTGCAGTCACACTACTACTGAAATGGCACCAAATGCCTGGAAATGCTTGCAATTGGCTTCAATTTTTGACATTTTTTCCCGGGGGAGGGTAATGTTTGTCCCAGATCGTAGCGTCGTCAAGGTTTGTTGCAGGATCAAAAAGTCTTTTATTTTAGTTACACTGAAATGGCACCAAATGCCCGGAAATGCTTGCAATTGGCTTCAATTTTTGAATTTTTTCACGGGGGAGGACCCCCGGACCCCCCCCCCCCCCTCCATGGCCGCCCCACCTCCAAAGCCGGTGCGACAGGCCTGGACCACACACACAAACCCACTGTTGAAGTTTGATTTCACGATGGGTAATATTCGCGTTATGCTGAGCAGCTCTCCTCGTCAGAGCGCAACGCGAATATTAACCACCGTGAAAAACTGCCTATTAGTGAGGTTCTGTCACACGGTATAACGTGCCAAAGTACGTATGGAAACTTTGCCGCGGTACGGGATTTAGTTTGATACGGATTTTTTCATACCGTTTTCCGTGTGAAGCGCGCTTCACACGAGCGCGCTTCACACGGACTGGACTCTGTGTGAGAAGTAAGCGTACAGAGTACATATGGCGGGGTGTTCGTGCATGCTTCGAGCATGCTACGTACAGCAGAACCGGTGCAACGTAGGAAAAATCCGTGTCAAACTTCACTGCAGTTGACACGGAATTTGGCACGTAGTTCCGTGTAGCAGAACCTCTCTAATGTCCGTGACTTAGTCACGGACATAAGGCAGTTTACATTACTGCCTCGACTGTTTCTTTATTGTTTACAATCCTTAGCCCACATCCCACATGCACATGTAGATGCTACACCGCTATGAAGTACACCAACACACAGGGCACGGAGTTTGGAGTTATACGGGTGCTGGATGCGAGTGAGGCAATGTGGCTCAACATAGAGAACGAGAGAGCGGGAGGGAGAGAGAGAGAGAGAGAGAGAGAGAGAGAGAGAGAGAGAGAGAGAGAGTGGCTCAACATAGAGCACGAGAGAGTGAGTGGCTCAACATGGAGCGCGAGAGAGTGAGTGGCTCAACATAGAGCGCGTGTTTTGGAGTGATTGAACGAAACCATTGCCGTTTTAAGAGTTGCGCCAGCACCCGGTGTTTATTGTGACAAGTGGACCGGTAGTGAGGTCCTAGTTATAGATAGTGGTAAGGTTGGGATGGTGGGAAAAAGAATTCACAAGCCAACCACTATTGCGGAGAAAGAAGCAGAAAACAACAACTAAACAGTTTGAGCTCTCCTAACTGCTGTAATAGAAAAAAATATATTTTCTGATCGCTGAGCTGTAAGTGCAAACCGGAGCCAGGACAGGCGCACAGTTCTGTGAGACCTTTTACCTGCATGCGTGCTGAGCTGTAAGTGTGACCCGGAGCCGGGACAGGCGCACGGCCCTGTGTACCTTATATGGTAACTGCGTGCTGCACGCTGCATGTAGCAGGCGTATCGGGTTGCCCGGTGAGTGCACTCAGTGCAGTGTGCACCTGCAGACGTGTACGGCAGTGCATACGTTGCATATGTATGCAGGTGCCAAAGGTAGAAAAGGACATGCCGATGTATTAGGCTGCGTTTACACGACAACGCTGGGGGCGAAAACGCAACGAAATCCTTTCGGATCCATGGTTCATTTACACGGTACGCGGAGCAAAACGTAAAAGTTGTACACCAAAACGGAAGAAAACCAAAACGCTGGCCAAGGTGGAAGAATTTGAAAACGGAAATGTTCTGCCGGATAAATTTGGGTGTGTAAACAGTCGAAACGGTGTGCTGGCCTCGTTTTCCGTCACGTTTGTTTCGTTTTCGGCCGTTTACACGGATCCGACAATCCAAAAAATTGTTTTTACAATTTTCGTCATGTGACGTGTGTTGTCGTGTGCCTGTTTTCAACCATTACTTGAGTGTGATTGGTGCTTCCACGGCAACACTTGGCACATGACGAACTTTGGCGGATCCTTTGCTCTCGTGTAGACGCTTGAAAACGGTACAAACGGAGACCACGTCGGATCGGCTTTGATCGTGTAAACGTACGAAAACGAAAAAAGAAATGCGGGACTGAAAACGGAAAACTGGCCGTGCGTTGTCGTGTAAACGCAGCCTTAGGAACATGAGGAAATGAGCAGTGGGAGTCTGTGATGAGCGCTAACAAGGGTTAATTAACCCTTATCCGACCGGCCAGTCAAAAATCGACGACTATCCGCCGATGACTTGAACAAGCTGTAACTCACTTATATGTAGAGGATATAACCCGAGTCAGAGGGTTATACCGGCTGAATATAAATCCCGACTGCGATAGCAGGAGGGATTTATATGAGGGTACGGTATAACCCGACTACGAGGGTCATATCCTACTTATGCCAGGTACCCCTACGCATTTCCAGAACAACGAACCTATTTGGAGATCTCGTACATCATGCAGTACACGAACATCTTCTGATGGTTATCAGTTGTCAATTGAAAGAATGGTCGAGCAAGATCAGAAGGAGATTCCTCCGTGGATGTTTGGCATAAGATTTCCTTTCAGTTTCAGTGCATATTGTAGCATATTGTCTCGTGAGCGATGCGGAAGTCAACTGAGTTGCTGGGGTGCTGGAGTTGTCGTTGAATCAAACTACCGTCACTAGTTAGACTACAGTACAGTTTGGACTCTTTGGGAGTAAGTGTTACTATTAGGGCTCAAACGGTCACGGTTTTACCCCTAACGGTTAACTGCTAAGCTAACGGTCGGTTTAACGGTTATAACCTATAAGCCACGGCAATCCTGCGGACTCTTTTTTAACCGTACATTTGACTATACTCATTCAAAAATGTACCCTATTCAGTACAACGCACACATGTACATTGTCTTGCATGCTCATTCATACATACTCTCACACCAAGAGACCGGATATGACCCAGTTGACAGCCCAGAAATTGCATACGCGTGCGACAGCTTGCGAAAGTGCATACTTTGCAACGGCCGGATACTTGAAAAATCGACTGAAAAGTTACTGCGTAACCGTTATCTTTATCGGTTAACCGTTAATTCTTCGTAACCGGTCTGCAACCGGTTAATCGGTTAATCGGTTAATCGGACTAACCCGGTTTGAGCCCTAGTTACTGTTACAGTACTGATTTTCACATGCGGCATCTTATAATCAGGTTTGCTTACTTGCAAGTAGATGCATTTGCATACACTGTTTTGTATCACTGTATCACATCTCAATCCATTCTAGCGTTCTAGCATTCCAATCGGTGTAGGTGGATTTGAAGTACTAGTACACTCTGTATCATAAACTTAGTTACGAAGGAGACAGTCTGTTGATGATCTTCAACTATTCCAAGTACAATGTACATTTTAATATAGCTATGAATAGGATGAAGGCCGCAGACATCACGCAACTACGTTACTTGTTTGACATGTATTTACTGTGTATTTTATAACAAAAATATTATTGAAAACCCATAATCGATTTTCTTGTTCCTATCATCAGTGGGAAAAATACGGAACTAAGGATACAACCAAAGAAACTGAAGTTAAGTACTGTAAATAGAAAGGTGTTAGAAATAACAACAAGATACAAGTGCAATAAAACCACTAGAGGAAACGCTAAAAGGTAACAAGATTACGTAACCAAAGGCGAGAAGGCGCTAAACGAAGTCACGGTCAACCTACGAATACAACTTCAGTGCAACAACGTGCTCCTTCTGCTTACACAAAACAGGCTCAGTCTGAATACGTATAAACTGCCTCAAGGAGTTATGTCCAACAGTTGAAAGTCCTTGAGGCAGTTTGTATACGTATTCAGACTGAGCCTGTTTTGTGTAAGCAGAAGGAGTGTTGCACTGAAGTTGTATTCGTAGGTTGACCGTGACTTCGTTTAGCGCCTTCTCGCCTTTGGTTACGTAATCTTGTTACCTTTTAGCGTTTCCTCTACAAAAAAAGTAGTGGTTTTATTGCACTTGTATCTTGTTGTTATTTCTAACACCTGTCCATTTACAGTACTTAACTTCAGTTTCTTTGGTTGTATCCTTAGTTCCGTATTTTTCCCACTGATGATAGGAACAAGAAAATCGATTATGGGTTTTCAATAATATTTTTGTTATAAAATACACAGTAAATACATGTCAAACAAGTAACGTAGTTGCGTGATGTCTGCGGCCTTCATCCTATTCATAGCTATATTAAAATTATTATCTCCACGTAGACGATGTACATTGCTGATCCATTCGGGATACTTCGTGGTTATTTGACGTTCTTTATCCTCAGTTTCAGTATATTAAATAGAATACTCCGTAGACGAATTCCAGGACATTCTTCCTTTCCATTGTGTACTGTTCCTCGTCAGTAATGCCGTTCTGTGTGGAGTGTACACGTGCATGTGGTGTATGTTGTGTCTGCTGTGAACATGGTGAATGGTCCGTGCGCTGGAGTACTGCCGTCGTACAAGTTCACTGCCTGAACTTGTACGGTGGCAGTGCCCTAGCGTACGTACCGTGCACATTTATATACAATATAAATCCCGCGCGGGATTCATACTGGCCAATATAATCATGGCTAGACGAGCGCTGATTGGCTGAAAACAGGCCCTCCGTACTGTACCATGGTATAATACTAGTTTTGATCGAATCTGCACCATTTTGGTTTCAAAAGATGCTGGAAAGACCCACCATTCATTTGCAAAAGACCTAAGCGTCTTAGCATCTTTCAAAGAGAAGTTATAAGTCTCTGAGCGAGGTCTGTTTTCACACCGTGTACGAAACAAGTTTTCAAATGGTGTAACTTTGGCAATGATAACTTTGCCTGGATGCTTCCCTGATGGTATATTCAAAATGTGTTAGCATGAAAGTACAACATGGGATTTTAAATATCTGCAAAAGGCAAAAGTAAGCTCCCAGGATCATGAATGTGCGGGTTTACGTAGTCACTGGCACTTCGACAAACACCTGACAGTGCAGAGGATCCAAACAGACATACCGGCAAAGCACAGCATGTTGCCAAAGAAGCCGCTCAATAACACAGCAGAGGAGGCAAGCGCCGGGCACAGAGCAAAACGTGCAGAGCTTAGCTTATAGCGCAGTGACGCACACAGAAACGAAACAAATACTGAAGCGCAGACCGGGCGAAGAAAGAGCGTGCCAGAAAGCGCACAAAAAAAGGGTTGAGGGATGTTATGGTGGCCGTGACGACAGGCACTATACAAAATAGTCAAGCTCATCGCGCATGTAATGGTTCTTCTCGTCGTTCGGGATGCGAGGGTAAGACGCCACGAGCGCGTCCTGCAGCACAACACAAGACATACAGTACAGCACAGCACAGGGAAACGTTACCAGGCAATCGCCATCACAAAGTACATACACTCGGATGTCTCTTATCCGGGCACCTTGGGACCGGGCACTACCCGTATCTCAGGATAACTCATCTACAATGTAGCATACCTTTTTGAAGAAGTTTATTTGACATGTATTGCACATGTTCAGGGTACGAAAAGAATCCATTGAAAAAAATAAAAATGGGTGGATTACACAGGCTGGCAGTGACAAATACCGTATGTCAGCGCCTTTAAAGCCACGGCCGGCCTTATATTCGAAACGCCGCTGCTTTCCTAGATATTTTAGATGCAAAATGACTCACCCACTACGCCATACGCCATGCCATAAAAGTCAAAGTCCACACAGAAATTTCATTCTAAATCTACTTGTTCACCCTTCCTGCTGGGCTGTAAGTTTGTTAGCATAGTACTTATTCCTTCATTTTGCAAAACACACTTCAAATGTCATTTCATTCATTTTATGAAGCCCATGGCTTTATAACTGAGACTGGCTTTATAATCGAATATACCGCCATGGCTTCATTAAAGGTGCGGACATACGGTAAGCACTCGTGCATACGAAAAACTTCAAACCCCTCAAATTCGAAGCATTTTTGCCATAGGAACTCAAGCTGAAGGTACCCGGTAGAGAGACATGCCCGTATCTGAGGCGTCCGGATAAGAGACGTCTGAGAGTAGATGTTCAGAAAGCTGGCCAGCACAGCGCCTGGGCACGGAATAACCTGACAGCATGAGGTCATTCACAGGCAGGATAACCCAACTGCTGTGCTGAGTTCATGAACCACCTACATGTATTGTACATGTACTAGCAAATATAACCAAATAGCATACCGTGCTGTGATTGAGAACGGACACATGTCTCAACATGTCCGGTGCTCTGTAGACAGCAGTCAGAAATGGTACCCGATACAGTACTGGTGCTGGTAAGTCTGAACAAAAGGGATACCTTTTGAAAGGATTGGAAGAACTTCAAATTCAATCCCCGACTGATACTTTGAAAAGGGATATCCCATGGTTTTTAACTCGGATACTGAGCCAGCAAGGCCATCATTTTTTATATCTATGTTTCGCGTCAGGTCAACTTCCAGAATCATATGCGAGAGGTGGAAAAAAAATAAAAAGTTGCAAAATAATAAAAAAAGGCTCATCAGAGGTGTATGCACTGGGCACAAAAGCTCGTGCATGGTGTACATTTGAAAGAAAAATCGTACATCGAAGCACAACATCTGGGTTATCAGCATGAGTAAAATATTCACTTTGGACGGAGGAGGCAACCGTTGGTGCCTATGCTTCGCTGGATTATTGTACTCAGACTTCAGCAGCGGTGCAAGCTCCGGAACGACGCATCCTCTCAGCTTGAGGCGATCAATGCGGTCTGGTGTAAGCTCATAGAATATTGCACATGCCGAACAAACGAATTTACCAATGCTGGCCTAGAGGCCATTTCTGAATCCCAGCTTCGCCGTATGCAACCAGTCCACACTTATGACTCGCACGATCGTACATTCACTGTGCATGTTCATTTTTATTTTTTTCCAAAAAAAATCAAAACGTATGCGTGCGGACGACGCGAAACATAGCTATAAAAAATGATGGCCTAATAAATGTAAAAAAGAGAAGAAAACACATGAGAACGTGTCAGTTTTATGCCCTATTATCGCACTTTCTGACTGTTTATTATCTTGTTACAGTCGTGGATAGTTGCTGCATAACTCGTTCTCATGTGTTTTCTTCTCTTTTTTTTATGTCCCTCGGTGTTTGTATTTACCTGTGATCCAATATAGAGACTGTTGTAAACTTTCCAGTAGACCATTCGAACGCGCCGTGCCGGGTGAAACAGGCCAGCCAGCGCGTACTGGATGACGCGCGATGGTCCTATGGCCATGCGCATGCCCTCCACGCAGTCCAGGACGTTCTGTATAAGATGTGGAGACACCTGTACACAAGGACACACGGCACAGTGCATATTTTAGTGGTTTCATATTGTGATCATGGGACTAAATGTGTGCAGAAAGTGATCATGGCATGTGGACAGTGGAGCCAACATCATGTGACCCATAGTCATGCAGGGGTTGAGTGGAGTTGGAGCCAACATAGCAGCTGCTCTGTATGGTCATGTGATAGATGTGAAACCACTCCTACAGTGGTGGTTGGTGTTGGGTGATGCTATTGACACAGATCTGCAAAGAATATGTGTTACACTGGACTTGCACACCAGAGCAGCATTTCTGACAAGAGCAACCATTCAACACACTCGGGACCGACAGCCAGAGTGTGCAGACCCCAACGACTCATAGCTTTCACAAGCAACCTATCAAACAATGTAGTCAGCTAGATACACAGATGGAGTCCAGCAAGATAAACATAGAAGGCTGCGTGATCCAGATCACCGGAAACAGTACCCCCCAGTGACCCGAGTGAGAGTGACTGACGTAATCTCGTTACAGCGGTCTCTGTGTGCTTACCTCAAAGATGTTAGGCCAGACGTAGTTCAGCAGATGGTTTAGCGCGTCTTCGCAGCCAAATCCAAACACACCCAGTGACATGTGTTTTACTGCAGCTGTCGCAGTTTGCCGATGGACCAGATCTCTGTAGACCAGATAATATTCAGCGCACAAAAGATATTCAACGACAACGCAAATCCACCATGATCAAAACGAAAAGGTATTTTTAGTACACAGCGAAGATTCCAAAACCAGTGACTACTTTACAGCCACAGGCTTTGTCCCTCCCCTGTAGAGACGAGCATGCACTCCCTTTAAAATGCTACATCTCAAAGAAAGAAACACCTCCACCACCCATGCGCAATACACACACGCGCACACGCGCGCACACACACACACACACACACACACACACACACACACACACACACACACACACACACACACACACACACACACACACACACAGGGGAATACACTAGACACGGAAGAGGCAGAGAGCCGTTACCTGTCCATCAGGGCATCCTCCAGCAGCGGAGTGACGGCGTAGATGTAATCCTTTCCCAGCTCACCAATATATTCAAACATAAAACTAAGCGACTTGAGCACACCGTTCTGCACGTTCAGCTCCGGAACGCGGTATTCGTTCATCAGGGCTGGCAGTACAGTGTACGGCGAGCAGGTCTCGGCGACAATAGCGATGGCCACCGTCGTACACACACGGTTCTGACGTTCCTGTACCTTCAGGTTATTCAGCAGAGTAGCGAGGACATCTTGCGGGCTGTGCAACAACAATACCACAAACCAAAAAATTGGCTACCTCCATTAATAAGAGTGGTAAACAAAAGTACCCATCATCCTGACAAAATCGGCATCACTACCCGTTGTTATTCTGCGGTGCAGGCATAAGGACTGCCTCCAGCAACCAAAGCCTGTTCCAGCATTGTGAAAGGTGTTTGTCAACAATACAGAGATACACTAGTGGACCAGGGTGGACAGCGTGTACAACCCACAAGAATTGAATAGACTGCGGAACGGAGAAACCCTATGCAAGTGACGGTTTGCCCCTCGAAATGTCTAATTGTGCGAAGCAGCAGCAAAACTACAGTCGTGGCCAAAGAAATCCAACCAGCTGGCCGAAAGCAGCGCCAAGGAGGATGCGGCCCCCGGAGGGGGTTTGAACCGTGCACGATGTATTGGAAAAATGGAAACCCGGCGCTGCGGGTCGGATTTCTTTGGCCACGGCTGTACTTTGTCTGTAGGCATCCCTTCTTGATTTTGTGCATTCATTTGCAAGTGTATGCTTACCCAATAGCCTTGGCAATGTAACCAAATGTATTGACGGTGGCACGACGGATAGCCTTCTTGTGTGCCTTCAGTAGCTCGAGCAGCTCAAAGCAGATACGCATCCACTCACGAGCGCTTACATACTCGGCACCACGATCAGCGATACGGCCGACAAGATCGATGCAGTTCTCCTGCACTTTCTCATGTCTACATAATGAAAGGAGAAACCACACAAATACGGAACCAATTAGTGCTGAAAAGCTGTGAATACCACACAATGCACTGACAGTGGGTCCAGAAATCAACTCAAACAACGTTTTCTAAGACGACGAGAACATTGTAAAAATAAACTACAAAACCGGGAAGTCCATCACACAGCTGCACATGCATACAAAGCAAAGTGATTGTACGGCACACCCACACACCTGTTCTTGAGCACGGGGGTCAGACGCGGCAACAGATCCTTGATGGGAGGCGTCATCTTCTGCATTCCAATCACGTTTACGACAGACTGTACCGAACAGACACGGGAGGCAGGAGAAACGGAAAAGTTCAGTCGAGTCGGAGCACAGCATATGGCATGGCAAGACATAGGGAAACAGCAGTATCATTGTAAGTGAACAATACAGTAAAAGTCCCGGAATCTAGACTCCCATCATCTGGGCACTCCCGTCTACATGGCACCTTTCTGACCCCTCCAATCAAGAGTCACAAAATCGGCGGCTTTTTCAAAACTATTGATGGCATAAGAAAAGCGTTTGCTTGTATGCAATAAGTATGTATCTTCTGAGCTACAGGCAGTACCCGGTTCCGAACTGCCCGGATAAGGTAGTTCTACTGTACTAGTACCCAGGGACAGTCACAGACAGAGTCGGACGACAGTCTCACCTTCAATGCTCCCAGGATGCTGCCCAGTACTTCAGGGTATTCTTCTCCGAGGTATTCGTAGAGCACAAGACCCAAGTGAGCCAGCAGCTTCTCTTCCTTGCACGTCATCATGACGCTGGCAATGCGAGAGATCAGGTCGGCGGCCTGCTGTCGGACCTTGGCCGACTTGTTGTTGAGACGCCAGAGGATGGTACCGCAGATCTGCGGCAAGTAGGCCTTGACGCGGCTGCCCAGGGCGTTCACCACCACTCCAAAGCCGTTCAACATGACAATGTCCTGAATATACACACAGCATGAGCAACGGGTAAATCAAATGCTTACGGCTATTTCGGGTTAGCAGCCAGAGAAAAGGTCAAACAGAGATCACAAGGTTGAGCAAGGATGATACGTGCACTAAAAGTAGGTCAGATCTTCGCTTAGTCACGTCCATAGTATGTGCACAATGAGATTCAGACACAGTGAAATACAAACAAGAAAATAATGCATGGAAAGATGTAGCCAGTGCTAGAGTTCATGCTCACCTCCTGTGTCTGTTCCTGGAAAGCGTACAAGATACCGTCAATGAGCTGCTCTTCCAGGCGAGAGTCAATCTCAGCCGCACCCAGGTTGTTCATGATCTGCATAGCATAGCAAACACAACGCACAGACAGACAGCTAGATGTCAACGGAATGGAGTGAAAATGACATACCGCACATCTGGAATCGAATTCATTGACCCTAAAAGAACACGTCTGCATGTGCTTCTTCAGTAACTCCAGCCGTGTATCATGAAGAGTAAGGACATCAACACAAAGCGGTGTACAGGACTTGACACACAACATACCTTCTCGATAGTTTCCATGACCATTTTACGATACTGCTCGTTCTCATCCTTCAGGTCATCCACCACGCGGTTGATGATGTCGGCAGCACCGACCTTGTTGGCAAGCTCCACGGTTGTGTCTACCAGCTACAAACACCAGCGACAGCAACAACAAAGCATAAACCCATCAGCCAATCAATGGACGCAATATTGAATGGAACAAGGCAGTGTTGTTTTCCCTGCAGCACAATTTGATTCCAGCTCGACTCAGAATAACAGCTAAGAACGAAAGAGGGTGGTGGTGCTCTGCGGTCATGCGGTGGCATGTGCACTGGACACACGTCGTAACCATGGCTGAGAAGCAGGTGGATCAAGCGTCATTCAGGGCTGAAAGCAAAAAGGAAACGTAATCTTGTTTCTTAACCTTGCGCATGGCCCACAGTCAATTGAGAGCCCATGGTGTGGGCCATTGGGTACTAGTAGATGGGTCTCTCAAACTTCATGCAGCGCATGTGCTTGCCCCCCCCCCCCCCCCCAAACACATCCTCCGCCGCAAACCCCAGTCATATTACGTCCACGAGTTGTTGCTTACTTGTCGATAGTTCCTGCGATCCAGGGCCATACGATGTGTCCAGAAGTGTTTGAAGAAGTCAGGGAGAATCTCCTCGCGGATGTAGCCAGGCTCCACACCATCAGTGGAGCAGCATTGCTTGACCACCTACACATCAAAGGTAAGTCGCAAACACACACAGATACCCTCATGTCTCACTACAGTTCCATACTGGATGACAGTGAGCTCGCGTGTACATTTACCCCAAGGCAATCTGTCTGTCTGTCTGTCTTCTTGAAGCGCTATCGCACCAAGAACATGCATGGGACAACTGACCTGGCAAAGGCAGGCCATATATTATGTACCAAGTCAGTAGCCAGTTGTCTAAGGTCCTCAGGCTGCGTATACTGCTCTATGTCCAGTGGACAGAGCCAGTGCTGTCTGATGAGTGTCTCACACGGAACTCTGAGCAACGGCGGAAAAGAACTTGGTTGCGAAATTGGACATGTAACTACTGGCAAACGAAGGCGCATGGTGAAGACACCATCAAGCCAGTGAGTCCAAACACACAGTGCCGTGTCCGTACAGCTTACTTACCTTCAACACAATCTTCTTCATTTCCTCATCGGGCGACTGGAACTCTCTGATCAGAATCAGGACGACTTCACGAGTATAGTAGTTGGCAAACTCAGCATCCATCAATGGAATCAAGTAGCCAATGGCTTTGAGGAAAGCCGCCAAACCCTGCACACAGCCAACAATCACACACAGGCACATGAGCGATGATCAAACGGACTACATATTCGAAACCGGACATGCTTTCAATACTGTACAACCGGAAACTCCAACGAGTCACAAAACGTTTTAACGGTCATTTTTTCCGTTATTACCCGGTTTGAGATGTCTGTGTAATGATGCCCATACAGATGGGTGGAAAGGTAGCCTTCGTTAAACTTTCTGTATGTTATCATGCCAAAATTACAAAAACGTTAAACTTTCCGGTTTTATAGTAGTGGCATGATACCGGCACATGCAACAAGAACCCATAGCTACCACTATAAGCGACGAGTAATAGTCTGCTCATAATTGCCATTGATACACGGAATGTGAACATATCCATGGGGCGCGCATTGGTCAAGACGAACAAGCACCTGCTCAACTGCAAAGACACACACACACACACACACACACACACACACACACACACACACACACACACACACACACACAAGGAATTGGCACGTTTTCGTTTACCTTTCCACGATGGGTGCGGATACCCTTCCAGAGGGGTTTGAGTACACTGTCAAACGACTCAATACCGTACGGGGTGGCGGCTTCAGCCAGAGCTGCGATGGCCAGAGCGGTAATAGTTCGTACCTTCTGTTGCTCGTCGACCAAGCCTGGAGAGAGAGAGAGAGAGAGAGAGAGAGAGAGAGAGAGAGAGAGAGAGAGAGAGAGAGCATGCTTACTAGGCTGCCCAGTATAGTAAACAACTCGCAAGCAAGGGCCCCGTGCTCACGATGCCTGCAAACATAACTCTTGGAACAGCATTCCTCCTCCTCCACGAAACAACTTCAAACAAGCATTTTTTCATGGCAGGCAGCTGGAGCCAATCTTCATAAAGAGAAGCCCAGTATGGGAAGGTTCAGCAGTGTACTCTTGTAGTTCAAAAGGAGTGAAGGCTGTACAGCAGATTGCGCAGCACCTTTACTCCATGTTTCAGTTTTTTTAATCCATGAAATCCATAAATTTGTTCAAAACAATGCTGAATTTTGCACTAAAATCTCCAGTAGAAGTCCCACTGAAAATGATGTCAATACAGTTGAACATCGATTATCCGCACATCGACTATCCGACCATTCGATTATCCGTAACAGTTTTTTTGGGCGCACGTGCCGTAGAGTACGCACTGTGCATGTAGTGAGCCATTCAAAAAATACGAAAATTTTGAAAAGTAAAGTGTCCATGTGATTCTGTACATGTACATGTACATTTTTTTTTTTTTTTTTTACTAAGGCCACAGCTTCCAATCATGACATGCAAAGCAGCGGTGCAGCATCGCAGGCATGAATCGTACATGTTTCTTATCCGGAACATTTGCCTTATCTGAACACCGCCTGACAGTTGTCTGCCCAGAGGTGGTCGGATAATCGATGTTCAACTGTAATCATCATTGCCCATAGCAAGGCACACACACATACACACTGTGGTAAACTCACCATTCTCGATGATCTCCACCAGGCTTTTGAGATGCGGCAGCACGGCACAGCCCATCAGGATGGCGATCTGCTGGCAGATCTTGATGCCGGTATGGCGGGCCTGCCAGGACTTCTTACTGCGGCACACGGCCTTCAAGAAGGGTAGCAGCGAGGGGATGCCCAACGCAGATGCCACCACGGCAAACGCTCTACAGGAAGACGGAAATGCACAACGGGACACTTGGTCAGGAGACAACACAAGCTAAAGCATGTGAGATCGCACGCACACGCTCTTGAGAAGTGTTTTCTACAGGGTCTGTGCATAGAGTGGTTTGACATCTATTACATGACCATGCGGGTCAGCCATGTTGGTTCCAACTCTCATTCAACCCTTGCATCTATGGGTCACATGGTGTTGGCCATAAGAACAAGACTGTGCAGCTTCCGTATGGGTATCTCTCAAGATAGAATTCCTGGATTACAGCATAGTTGAAGCAGGTCAGTGGCGGAGAGCGGTGGTGCAGTGCGTACAACCGAGCCACAGCTGTGCAGGAGACCTACCCGAACCCTGCATCACTAGATGGCTCAAGAACACCAGTGCATGCAGAGCGGAGGTACACAACGTATCCAGCTCATAGCCCAGCAACATACCTTGCTGTCGTGTTACGGACGTATTCGTCAATGTTGTCGATATCGGGTCTCATGGTTGAGATCATAGTAGCAAGACCAGCAGCCTAGGGCACACCATCACAAGGGAACATGGCTTGTTAGATAACGTACAAATGACAACATGAACAGCAAGCAAAAGAGAGAGAGAGAGAGAGAGAGAGAGAGAGAGAGAGAGAGAGAGAGAGAGAGAGAGAGAGAGAGAGAGAGAGAGAGAGAGAGAGTATGCAACGGTGCAGGCTAGGAAATGCTGGCAAGAACACCAATGCGAACAACTTCCTCCATTGTGTGAAGTTATCTGACCATGAATTGGCTGCAACACAATACAGTTGAGCCTGATGCACACTTACGCAAGTGTGATACAGAAGTCATGGCAAGGCCACTCACCTTTGCCAAGTTGGAGATGATTTCACGACCCTCTACACGAGCGTAATGGTCTTCATCAATCAGCAGAGGCTCGATGACAACAAGAATCTAACAGAGGATGGGCAATGAGCAACGGGCAAAGCAAACACGTAAAACACACGCACACGTCAGCATACAAATGCATGTGCTGCATCAATATAATTATAGTGCTATAGCGCAGAGCATCATACCCAATTGAAGATGGATACCGACAAAGATGCAGGAAAAGATCAGCGCCTACGTTACACTCAAATTCGGGACGAAATCCAAACAGATATCACCCATATTCTCGGTTCCATCTTTGCCACAACGGGTCCAAATGCACAGTGATGCATCACACACCGACCAGCAAGCAAAACGGGACATCGCAAAGATGATCACCTACTCACCTTATGGACGTAGGGCCGCACAAGTTCATCAAGTTTGTACAGAATTCGGTCAATGACCTTGACGAGCAAATGTCTCTCCTGCAACGAAACACATACAAATGACCACACACACACAATAGGGGGTTATATCACAAGGATGAGGAACTGAATTCCACAAACAATCTGGGTCACACACACAGGAATAGTGAAGAGAGGTCGAATATGTCTTCACTACTTCCAGAACTGCTTCTGTGCCACAACTCCAGTCGGGTTCCATTACGGTTACACGTAGAGATAACAAACTCACCTGATCTTCGAGTGTAGGCGACATAAGAAGCGGTAGGATCTGATTGAACAGAGGGCCAGCGCCAAGCTCACGAGCCTTGTCTGTGATATGGCGAAGAGCAGACTGTAGATAAAGAAACAAAACAACACACCAAACACAATCGTTACAGGCAAACATACACATTGGGCAAAGAGAAGACACCCAGAGAATCAGCCGGAGACAGAAATCCTGAAGAGTGGCATTTTTACTGCAACTAATCCTGCAGTTATTTCTCAGACAAGAAGCACAAACAAAACACAGGAAAAGAAACTCTACCTTTCTCATCGGTGGCGTGCCGTTCTTGATCTTTAACAACAGCTTCATGATGCGTCGCTCTTTTTGCTCCTCAGCACTGAGAGTGTCCTCATCCACTTCCACCTGCATCTCACACAACATGGATAAAACAGTAAGTGACAAACGTGGACAATACGCCTACTCTACGCCAGTTCACAGGAGATCAGAATCACGCGACCCAAAGCTAAGCTATAGCAGATCATCGTCAGTGCATCACTCCTTCCACTTACCGCATTTCCCCGATTGTAAGTCGCACCCCCCCCCCCCCCCCATTTGAGGTCTTCGTCATGTGGTTTCAGTATGTTCACTTCAGTAATAAGTCACACTTGATTGTAAGTCGCACTACTCTGGGATTTGTTGCAAAAGGTGCGACTCATATTCAGGGAAATACGGCATCACGTATATGATCATGCGATCACTAATTTTGGATACGATGCCAACTTGCCACACACAACCATCCATGAATCACCAGCATTTGCAACACACAGCCTGACATGGTACACAAACCCCAGCACTCACAAGGAGCTTGTCAAAGTACTGCATGCACTTACAAGGAGCTTGTCAAAGTACTGCATGTCCTCAGGCTTCATGAACGGCATGTTGCCAGTGGGCTGCTCGTCCAGCAGCTTGACACTGCGGTCTTCCATCTGAATGCGGAAGCCACTCATTCCCATTGGAGTCGGCGTGGCGGACAGCTTACGTGCCGGCGTTCTGATGGGCTGGTAGTTCGCTGGCGGGTCGAGCACCTAAGCAGCAAGAGAGAGAAAGAGCGTAAACTGGTGTGAATTCAGAGTGCACCAAACCAGTGACTGTGCACATGACTGTTCTGCTTCAGTGCGATGCAATAATGGAGTCATGCAACAGAATTTAGACCACATGAAGAAAAAAACAATTGATATATTTCAGTCAGTCAGTCCGATTTCTCAGCATCTTCAGGCGAGCCGCCAGCCTATGGGTCAAATGTCAGATGCAGCTACTATGCGGTGGAAGGTAGGTAAAGCAGGCCCACCGAAGTGGCCAAAGATTGAACAATCTCATTCGCAGAGTACCGTCAAGGGAATTTGTGCCAAGCAGTATGCATACCTTGTAACCCTCCTTGGGCAGCATGGCATCCAGCTCTTCATCCAGGAGTGGGCGATTACGCTGGTCGATTTCCTGCTCCCAGCGCATAGCCTGCAGCTGTTCAGGCGTCATGCTGCCGAGTTGACCAGGCGACGGTGTTGCTATATTCATGGCAGCCGCTCCGGACGGAGTCTTTCCTGGGGTCATCCGCATCGCGGCATCGCTGGGAGTGCCTGGCGTTAAGGGCGTGGCCGAGCCACGCTGGCTTGCGCCGGGTGTCTCGTCCCAGCGTGATGAGCGTTTGTTGCCCGGCGTGTCTGCCATACGCTCTGAACCGCCAGCGGCTGGTGTACGATCGGCACGAGGCGTGGCTGACCAGGTACTGCCTGGCGTCTCGCCTGCACCGCAACACACACACACACACATCAACGCACGTGTCACAGAAAGGGGAAAAATCAGGCCATGCACAGTGACAACAATGGCAGCAATGACAACAACAATGGCAACAGTGACACCATCAGCACCAGCACCCGCACCACCAGCACCATCAGCACCAGCACCACTCAACATGATATAGATTGCAGCACGTTCCAGTGCAATCTACTACACCCTAGCAGTAATTCTAAGACAGGACAAGAGACCACACAGTCCCGCACGCCAACCAGTCAGCACATGGTGAAACCGATCTCAGAACCAGAGCACAAGTATTACACGATCATTTACACTTACCACCACCTCGCTCCGTGGAAGGTGTTTGATCCCAGCGGCCCTTGCGACCACCGCCACCACCGCCGCCACCAGCACTAGGTGTACGATCTGCACGCGGGGTCTCGGCCCAACCACCTGCGCCAGGAGTCTCTCCTACACCACCACAGCAAGAGACACATAACAGCACAGTGAACATGAAAATCACACAGACACTACGAGTGAGGCACCGTTTCACGGATTACAATTTACAAACCACCAGAATAAACAATTTGCAAGCAGATGAACTAAAGAGGACAGTATTGAGATACTGGTCACTGGTCACGTGGGTCTCCCCAGGGAGAGGGGAGAGAGATTCTACACGAATCTTGGAAAGAAGACTCAACTGGTCATTGAACTGCCCAACGGCCGACACCTCCTGAAATCCCAAACTCCCAAAATTGAGAGACACACACAAGCACACACCACATACACGCACGCACGCACAAGATACATGAAAAGAGAGGAACGTAGAAGCACCCTCCGCCAACTCACCTCCGCGTTCAGTGGACGGAGTCTGATCCCACCTGCCAGCGCGAGCACTGCCGGGACCAGGCCCTGCGGGAGTACGGTCAGCTTTAGGTGTCTCTGCCCAGCCACCCACAGCAGGAGTACGGGCCGGGGTCTGTGCAGAGCGGGGTGTCTCAGCCCAGTTGGCAGCACCGGGAGTTCCACCTGTGATCACAGTATCAGCGAGTATACGCAAAACAGATTTGGAAAGATTTGGACAGTTATTATTTGTTTGTGTAGCCAAGGTTTTAGTGTGGTTGTGTGTGTGTTGGGAGTAGTTGGCTACAGTGGAGTTACGCCATTCTCATTATACATAACAAGATTACATTAATGTCTGTGAGACAACCAAACACAGTTCTGCACTGTGTACGCCATGATAAAAACACTAGGATCAGGGAGAACAGCTGAATAGGAACACCAGTCATGCATGGAGAACAGCTGAATAGGAACACCAGTCATGCATTGGCAGCTACAGTAGAACTCCCCTTATCCGGGCAGGTCGGGACCGGGCACTGCCCGTAACACAGAACATACATACGTATTGCATGCAAGCAAACACTTTCTATGAAGCCAATACATCGTTTTGGGGTTGTTTTGGTTGAAGACCCCATTTTTGTGAGTCTACAGGGGTCAGAAAGGTGCCAGGTAGATTGGAGTGCCCAATCTGGGGACTGCGGATTTAGGGAGTTCTACTGCACATGGTGCACCAGTGCTACAGTCTATACAGAACTAGAGTACCCACTCACGAAGCTGCTGCCCACATCATACAAGAGACTAGCGATACAGACTGGGACAGCTACTACAGGTAAGTGGACGCATGTTAGTCACAATGCATGGGCAAACACAGGAGAGTACATGATTGTACAGGCAGAATGGCAGACTTCCACACGTGAAAACCAACCAACTCACTGAGATGTGTTGGCGTTGCCTGCGCTGAGCTGCGGGCGGTGTCCACCTGATCCCAGGAGGACTTCTTCGCAGCTGGATCCTCTGATGGCTGATCCCATCTTCGGCCTATAGAGCAAACAATTGAATTCACACAAGAAACAACAACTATAAGCAGTGCACAACCACTATGGTCACTTAAAAACAAATTCACAGTTCGCGTCAGACTCGGCCAGAGGCCGAGTTTTCCGCATCTGTAGGAACGCCACCAACCCCAAGGATCAAGGCGCAGATGCAGCTCCTAAAGACTATAGGCTACACCGGCACAAAATAACACAGGTGCAGCAGTGGACTTGTAGACACGACCCAAGGGGGGGGGGGGGGGGTGCAATCTCAGTAAGTCTATGCGCCGTGAGCATGCCTGTAGGGAAGAACACCACTGTTGTTGACTCCGGGAAACCATCAGAGCACCTTTGCTCCACTCATCCGTGCAAGGGCCAAAAGAAGCACAACAGACAAAGCGCTCTCCCCCATGGAGAGTGAAGACTGGAGAGCACCAGACACAGATCGCGTTGGTAACGGTATAGTTATGGTGCTTACGTTTCACAGGCTCTGGTTGCAGCGTTTTCCCTTGCTTGGCTAACTCTTCCTTCTTGCGCTGGATGTCCTGGCGTACTTGTGCCTAAAGACAAGATAAAGAAGCACAGAAGAATAGACTTGGCTGTGATGAAAGGATACAATGAAATTGCAGTAGCAAATTCAGCGTAAGCAACAACCAGATCCGTCATCGCCGTACACAACACGCAAAATGTCTTACTTCGAAGTAGTCAACGCAGGTAGAGGTCAAGGGAGAGTGAAGAACGACTGCAAATATCATGCACAGCTTGTGCCAGCATGCGTGCAGTGAACTTGTACAAGAAATGGAAGAAAGAGAGTTGTGTTCGGTGTGAACCTTTATAGGTCTGCATTTGACAACCTATACGTGTACAAGCATATCTTATTTCTGGATTTTTCGCCAGTTTCGTACGGTCGTGTTTATTTGCCGGTGAAAGAGGCCTACATCCAGATGATGACAAAAGAAGAAGAGAAAAGAGAGAATGGACTCGGCTGGAGAGCCAAGGATTAATTTATAGAAAAGAAAAAAGGACCAAAAAAAGGACTCTAGAAAAGAGAGAGAGAGAGAGAGAGAGAGAGAGAGAGAGAGAGAGAGAGAGAGAGAGAGAGAGAGAGAGAGAGAGAGAGAGAGAGATATATGGCTACTAATGTGGTACCTCTTGTTGCTTGAGACGCTCGTCGGCCAGTACGTCCTTGTAGCCACGCACAGGTGTCTGCTCAGCTGCACAGCATAAAAGAGACACACATTCGCACACATGCAAGCACCCACACACAAACACAGAAACACACACATGCACATACACCCGCACGCACGCAAGAGAAACAGAACGAACCACTAAGTCATACAGCAAGTCGCACACGCACACAGCACTTTAATAAGCACACAGACGCGTACGGCATCATTACAAAACTGTGTGCTTGAATGATCGCATTGGCACAGTACACACACGGCATCACGTGAGCGTCAACATGATCGCACACAATAGGTGAGGATCGTGTTGAGCACGAGGCAGTAGGTCAGACATCTCTACGTTCTTACAACACGACGGACAATGTGGTTACTTGCAAACAAGTTAAAAAAACGTCAACATGCCTATGAAATTCATTCACACATGGCACTCAGAGGCCTTGCATCAGCATACGGTCATCGCATCTGTGAAGATAAAACATACAACGCGAAAACAGCTGAAATCGACGGATAGCGGCACTGCCCCACAACGACGGTGGGACAGTGCCTTTGGAGAGGGGAGGGGGCACCGAGATATAACCCACAATGTTACCATACCACAAAGGAGACATCATCTCAACAAGTTCATCAAGCCAGAACTCTAAAATGTAGACTGCTGTTTGTACGATGTGATTTCAAAATGAATAGAGCCAGGAGAAAGACACCAGGGACGACAGCAATTTAGGGAATTTACGCAAAGAAAGGCCCACGGATCAACGGGAAATATGTTAGATGTTTATCCTTCAGCTGGTTGAATGGACGACGTGGCATCTGCAGGCGATGTTGGCTTTCCCAATACTCACCCACCACCGGTGCGTTATTGGCGTGGAGAGATGGCGACGGTGCAACAGAGAGGGCGAGAGCAAACAGTGTTAGTTCATGAATCACAAATTCGTTTTTCTTCCTTTTACTGTAACTGAACACACCACAAGCCACGATCAGATGCTGGGAAGAGCGAGGACACGGCCACAAACTATTCCAAAGCTTGCTTAGGGTCACCGTAGCTCAATAGCAAGACCGGCTCCGTTTTGATAAGGCTATATCCAACGTACCCCACAGCATCTGATCTGGCAATGGCGGCGAATACAAACAAAGAAGAGAACAGAGCGATACAGAATCACCATAGTGATGTAGCTTCCAGCCACAACTGTCAACCACAGCAAAATAGCTGCATGATCGATCAATTGTACTTGGAGAGCACATCAAATCAATATTCACAAAAAACTGCACATTGGACAGTGGTGAAAGAACGTACCGAACGGATCCACACGTGCTGGAGAAATGATTCCCGCTAGTCGGCGATTTTGATATTCGTTCTGGCGAGCAGTAATGCGACGGTCTCGAGTGTCCATTGGGTCAAGTTGCTGCGAGAACACAGCAAACAAGTGAAGCAGCCGCACACAAAAAATAGTATCAGCAAAGCCGTGAAAGGTACGTTATTGTGGAAGCCAGATTAGGACATACGCAGGAATACCAGCACGAATAAAGCATTGATTGCTGATAAAAGATGACAACTAACCTACATGCACTGTGGTGGTAGCACCACTACATACAGTCTAAGACATACACATAAAGTACTGCAGTTAAAAAAAGAAAAAAAGGGGGGGGGCAGTATAAAGCAAGGAACTGCTTCAAATACAAGCACAAGAGATCCAATTGCTTGGCCAAAAGAAGAACAGCAGCAAGGCCATCGAGCCACCAGCCTGTTTTGGCACGTTGAAAACATCGTCAACAACAACAACAACAACAACAACAACAACTGCAGCAGCAGCAGCAGCACAAACGGTTGCAGCAAACAGCAGAAAGCCTCCCATCAAACAAGCCATCCATACCTCTCCTTCTTTCTCCAGTCCTCGGATAGCCGCCATGTGGGGTGCTTCTGCTCCACGAGAAAACTGGGACGATCCCATACTAGCACCAGTGTCTTCTTCTTCACCCTGTATAAGACACGAATAGTAAGACAAGTACTTATTGCACTGGCCCAAGCTGAAGGATGAACTGTCCTCATGATAATTTCGTAAAACAACATAATGATGAGTTTTGATGACGACCATGAACGTCTTAGTAAGACGAAGTTTTCAAGCTCTACCAAAGCGAGAGTCAGCATGGAGACACTTGTGTGCTCACACACACACACACACACACACACACACACACACACACACACGCACACGCACACGCACACCACACACACGCACACACGCGCGCGCACACACACACACACACACACAAACACACCACACATACGCACGCACACACGCACACACATACACACACACGCACGCACACACACAGCAACACACTGGAGCAGCAGGGTGGCAGAAAACGAACCTCATCATCTGCCACAATCGACTTGTCGTAGCCTGCAAACTTGTCCGCAGCGGAGTAGACGTCTCCATCGTAACCTCCTGTAGCTCCGAAGGCAACCTGCACACCAAAACACAGGGAACACAGGTGAAGGTTTAGCTTCACTTCGAGCACAACCTTCCACCACTGTGCAGCTCAGTCTCACGTTCGCTTTAATATAGGCAAGGAGCTGATGCTTGCCAAAATGGCGATTAACATATACTTGCCTCACACACAAACTCTGTATGCTAATGGATGTCACACAGGAAAAATTAACACTTTTATCTCCCCTCATCACCATGAGTTTAAGCCTAGTTCACATTCGACGGGGCGCGACGGGACGCGACGTAAGGATCGACGGGAAGCGACGGGACGGTCTGACGGCGTCCAATGTGAACACCGGGAACGGGAACGCAACCGTACTACCGTACAGATCGGGAAGCGACGGGAAGAGTTGGATCGATCCAACTTTTCATACCGTAGACGGGCGTAGACGGGGACGCAAGCGTACAAAACGGCTGCAATTCGAGTGTGAACAGGAGACGGCGTCGTGCGCCGACTACTCCCGATTCGTACTTGGAAATTTTTAGCATTTCGAACACTGCGCTTCCCATGATAACTCACAGAATGGCTAGCACGACTTGAGTTGAATTTTAGCAACATAAGATCTCATGTCACTTATTGTATTTAGGGATAGTTCAGAAGCGTGACAGACGAACTATTCTATCATTTCCTGGGGCTATTATTTGAATGCCACAACTTTCAGGGCTAATTTTTTGGTCTTCATTGGTATTGTGAACTTGCTTCCGCTTCTTTCAAGGAGAAATAATTGAAAAGAAGTCCCGAAAAACGAGAAATTAGGTCCGAAAGTCACTCCGTCACGGACCGTGCCTTATGACTCGCGCCGTTCGACGTTGAACGTCGCAACGACTGCTGCATGTCGTGTCGTACGAATCGTACAGGATTATAGGATTTTTACAGCTCACCCCAGCCCTCCCGACAAGCCCTTACGTCCCGCACCGTCGGCGTTGCGTCGAATGTGAACTTGGCTTTAAGTCCACTCGATGTGATGTTGGTGACAACAGGCATGCTGTGACGAAAGCGTCTTGCACCTGGTGGTGATTCCTGTCCTACAGAACCGATGACAATACTGCAGAGGAAAAATAATTGACTCGTGCCTGTTTCGAATCCAAGCAACGCTGATTGAAGCCGCGCGTTCTTTTCCTGCTATTGTCTACACCCCTACCTCGACGACAGTACCAAGTGATGAGCGTTACCAAGAGTACAGAACCCCAAGAGTGTGCAACTCCTGATCTCCGAGCTATGGATGCTGTGCCCCCCCCCCCCCCCCCCCCAGCGCGCTGCCTGCATTACGTAGTGCAATGACGATCCAGCTGCATGGATTTGAGGTTTCCTATGGCTTAGCCTCAACGATTTAACGTGCAATACTGTCAATTCAATGGCAATGCCTGTGCGTGACGCATCAGGTACAACACCATCCGAAGTCCCCGAGGAAAGCGGATTTGGAAGCAGGAAACCGTACCAGATCAATAATGACGCAATCGCCCAGTTCGTGGCTACGTAATGCAGGCAGCGCGCCACACCAGATCCGATATGCAGAGTTGCATACTCTTCGGGTTACACATACTGGGAGTACAGCCATATACTATTAATTTTATCTGCTGCTGGCCACATATAGCAACTGGGTGGCCAAGAATGTTCAGGGGCTTGTTGCACACGAAACCACCATTCTCACAGCTCACAGTGAGTGTGGTCAGCTGTCATGCGAGACTACCAAACGAACGTAACCTGATTTTGTCAATAGCTACATGGCTCATCTGAAGTATGGCTAGCTGTGATCATCAAAGAGATCAAGGTTTGTGCTCCAATTCTACTGATTCTGCATTCCCGAACTATTTCAAACGGGTTTCACACGGCAGGTGCAGGACACTTACGCCATCTTTAGAAGTACCACCGGATGGAGCATTGTGTTTAGCCAGCAATTCCTGGTACTGCTGGTCCAGAGCTGAAGGGCAACAAAGTAGGAGAAGAAAATAATTGGAAAATTTGGTGAAAAAATAATTGGAAAATTATAATCAAGCACAAGCTGAGAACCTACCTTCGCGGGACGTTACAGCCATGCTGGAAACACGGGGCAGCGGTCTCCCGCAGAAGGCTCACCAAGACTGCAACAATGGATCCAGTTAGAGGAAGATGGACAACGCCTTACAAAAAAACATGAACACTGAAGTTAGTTTGAAAACTGAAGTCTCTTCGTTCTGTGCGAAAAAAGTTTGCTTGCTTGCTAGCTTTTGCTGCATACGCATGCATGCAGACTGTATGCAGCGCAGAAACTTTCGAAGAAGAACACGAAATCTGTCCGTCGCAAAAATCTTGACGATCGCGAATCGATCGCCAACTTTTTCGATGCCGCTCTACTGTAGCTAGCTCTAGTCTAGCTAGCTAGCTCTGTAGCTAGTGCAGTAGCGGCACTGGCTAGTCCGTCTTGAATCGCCATTTTCTTGAGACAGAACACCGTTATCATGGCAACAGACAGTTTTCCTCAAGAAAACTTTCTTCACCACAGGGAGATGAGATGGTACAATGTACCTGTGTAGGCTGTATAAATCTTTGAATTCTCGTGATTTTAGATGGAAAGATGAAGATTTCAGGCCTAACACGCTGTGACTGGCATCTTCGCATCCCGAAAAGATTGTCTGGGTTCGAAAGGGGGCATGTCAACTGAGAGTACACTGCACAACACATACATGGCACTACCTGATCAGCATGCGGCACAGGACGTGTTTGATAGTTCGCGTGTGAATGCGAGGGTAAGTACACGGTTTTCTCGTTAGTTGCATGCAAGAGAGACGATGCGACAGAAAGCAAAGCCCTTTGTAGTTTTCTCTCTTGCACTGGTAATGGTCTGCTGTTGGAGTTGAAATGCTAAGACATAATCCTTGTTTCGCTCTTCTGTGTAGTGTGAAGAGGTCAACGAACATGTAGAGCTCACTTTGATGAAGTAGGCAAGGCTGTGAGCGCTGTGGCTCAAAGCGATAGGCCCTAAATCTTACGAGATGTTTCGAGTGCTATTGTTTGTTGCGAGCGCTTCGTCTTCAAAGAGTCCTGCCTCTTTCCTGGCAGCTGCCCTCCTATAGGACCAACCACGAAGTGACTGTACCCATCTGCAGCCGATCAATGTTATATTGCACAAGAAGATATCGTTTTCGCCAAGCCAGTGCCCCGCCAAAGACCATCGCCGTGTCACACCGTCGGAACGAGTTCATGATGAGAAACATCATTCGCGCGAGCTTGATGAAGAACTATTTCGAAAGACAACATAGTCTTTACCCCCGGGACGACAACTATGCGCACGTCCTGCAAGGGGAGAATGTCACCAGCGACATCAAAGACGACGACGGCAGTATTTCGGAAACCTGGAGTCAGCGGAGGTCGTCAAGCTCCTCCGCGACCCGGTACATGTACAGTATAGGTGACATGTCGACACGAGCGTGCGGAAACACTGCATACACTGTAGTAATGTTGCGAGAGTTTGCGGAAGGAGTCCAAGTCGGGAAATCCATCAGCTCCAAAAGCTACCTGTAGGTGGGCGATGAGACTCCAGCTTCAGACTACAACAGTCAGGACTTGTAAATAGTTGAACTTTGTGAAGCAGCAGATCGAGAAGTAACGTTAGTTAGCTGGAATCGTAGCTGTTGCAGTATGTCGGCGCTATGTAGGTTGCATTTTTTACGGAGAGTCGATCGCCACGCGAATGTTTCTCTCCTCACCGAGAGCTAGCTGGCCTCCAAACTCCGTCAGGGTCTGCCTAAGGTACCGAAGGTCCTTTGACTAGCTGCTGGCAGGGCTCCATCAAATCCTTTAGCTTCAGCTCGGCGAGCAAAAGTCTCTCTCTCCTCCGCCATGAGCTGACACACACAAACTGAATACAAAACGATGCACTTCACACGTGCTGGCTTGCACGCTTGCCCCCTTTCACGAACCCAGACAATCTTTTCGGGATTGGTCTATTCAAAGGCTTCAGTCTTCACCTCTCTTTTTATGCACTATTTCCACATCAAGTACTACATGTAGTACGTAGTAGTAGTAGTAGTAGTGGAATTTATTATTTTGATAGGGAAGGCCCTACAGACGTTGCCGTCTTGTTACAGGGAACCTTCTAAGTGCTCTTTACAGAGCGGAACAAAAACGGATAGATGCTCAACCTGACGACACGAGACAGGCAGAGAATTCCACCAAGTATTACGTTAGTTCGACACAGCCATAAATTATAATTGATTGATTTTTATGTAGTGTACATCATATCAACTACTACTATAGTACAGTACATGGAATTGCATGTACCGGTACATGTACTTCCTATTACGTTTAAGTATACTCTTGATAATTATTTATTATTATTTATTTATTTATTACAGCATCTCATACAGTCATAGCACAGTGAGAACACCGGCCAATACAAAGAGAGAGGGTGTTAGCCAACCACGGCAAGGCAGGGAGAAGGGGAATTACTAGTATACTCTTGGTGGTACCAAGAACATACTAGAGGCTGTTATGTGCAGTCTTGGGGGTTATAACTAATACTGCAAAACCGGAAAGTCAACGTTTTAACACCAATTTTTTCATTATTTGAAGAAACGTTATCGCGAACCCAGTCTGAGATGTCTGTGTAAAGATGCGCATACAGATGGGTGGCCGGCCAGGTAGCCATCGTTAAACTTTCTGCACGGTATCATGCCAAAATTACAAAAACGTTAAACTTTCCGGTTTTACAGTAATCATCATTATTGTACCCATGGTGGATCAAAGCCAGCACACTACCCTCTGTTGCTCTTTAGTCTGTTTACTCTGACTGTAAATAGGAACCCTCCTAACAAGTACAGTCGTCCCTCTCTAATCCGGCACTTTATAATCCAGCACCCTCGATAAACCGGCACAATTTTCAGTAGCCAAATGTCCTCTTCATGCACATTGCAGCAGTAGATCAGATTTGTTAATCCAGCACCCTCCCTAATCCAGCAGATTTTCGTGGCACAAATGGTGCCGGATTATAGAGGGACCACTGTATCTAGAGTGCAGATCAATACAATGCCACCTCTCATCCATGTACATGACAAGACACAGCTGTCAGCCTGATACGTGTCCTTGGCAAACATGGACGTTCCTTCGTGCTCATGCAACACACCGGAGTAAAACACAAAACGACAGAGACTGGAACTTGTGGAAGATGCCAAAAACGTACTCCCACGAAGATCGGGAAAGAGATCATAATCTAGGCACATACCAGCATGCACCAAAGAAACATGTGCTGATACGAAAACTTCCACAACGAAACATTGTATGTACATGTACAGAACCTCAACGTGTGAAGTGAGGTGGTTTCGCAATTTTATAAAATATACCATTGCGTCTTGTGAGCGAGGATTGATATAGCTTCACTGGCAGGGGGGAAGCAGTCAGCACGGGTGTCCACTGCGGTCATTGCCATGCACAAAAGAAAGCACCCACATGACTGCTTGCCATATGTAGACGAAACGGTTCAAGCTGCCTGGCACTGAAAGCTAGCCTTGTGACATCAGGTGCTAGAGCCGCAGTGCACCACTATCCCAGGGCGCGAGCAAGACAACAAGAGTTGAGTGCCTGGTGAACTGGTGCAGTACCAATCCGGAGACATGGGGAAGTTGGGCTGACGCTGGCAGCCTTCATCACCGTTCAAGCGACTTCATCATCCATAGACCGTCCCCAAGCGAGTGAAGTGAGTCAACGCCAATGCCCTTGTTAATTTTTCGACTGAAGAAGGCAGAAAAGCAGACAAGAAACCAAAAGGAGCGTAAATACATGATACCCTGAAGGCAGAATACCTTACTGTGCGTGAAAGTAATACACAGGCATAAACACACACAGACACAGACTCACACACCATGCACATACACCTTGACCTTGACCTTGCCCATTGCGTAGCAATGATTGCGCATTGTTATTTCTCCAGCGTGTGTGCACATACACACACACACACAATAAATATTCTACACCAAACAGTTCACACCCAAAGACGATGCACTCACATGTCACCGGTGGATAGCTTGGTGATGCCAACGCCCAGGGCGTGCTGCTTTCCTTCTGCCATGATAGACTACAGCGTCGCATGCTCAGTCAAGGATCAACCAACACAATCATAGTACACGCACCTTGAAACGGCTAATTCCAGCGGGTGAAAGTGATTTGTCATCCAGCATGAATTCGCGACGTAAAATTTTAGCACAGACAAGCAACGTTTCGCAGAAGTGCCCTCCCCGGCCCTTGACAAACCTTGGCCACACAAGGTACATTCGATACAATGCATTTCATAACGGGAGTATGGTTTTCAAACATAAAAGAGTGCACAAAGCAAGTGCAGTACAGATTCCTCTGAGCATCATTTACAGCCACTGAAATGCGAACACTTCGGAGACCACACTGATCCGTTGTGTATAGGGAGGTGCTCAAACTACACCGACATCATCTTGATTGAGAATAGTCGGGAATAAAACACACAGACACACCCTCAGACTCAGACATGCCCATTGCGGAAGGGATGACAGCGAACAGCTACGTTAGACATAGCAACTTGTGCAGGGATTACGCCATTCAACAGCTTGCAAGGCTGATGAATTGGCCGCCACTAATTTTAGCTTGGTCTACACCACACCGCTGATTCACAAGTATCTGGTACACACACACACACAAGGTAAAAAACATGTGCACGTGAGAGGATACAACAATCGTGTCAGGTGGCAGGTCCACATCCATCTTGGCACCGGGAGAGGTCAGACCAGGGCACATGATGTTTGCACCGCTCAGCACAAAGCGAATAGCACCCTTATCGACCTGAAGCTGTGGCAGGATCATAGGATCTGCAAGACGGCACAGACAAGAGAATAACATCGATAAGTGGGCCATGTGCGTGTGTGTGTGTGTGAGGGGACACAAGGGGACACGTGGCCGTAATGGCAGTATTTACCAGGATCAGGTGTGTGTGTGTGTGTGTGTGTGTGTGTGTGTGTGTGCATGTGTGTGTGCATGTGTGTGTGTGTGTGCGTGTGTGTGTGTGTGCGTGCGTGTGTGCGTATCAGATACTGGTACAGAGCATTGCAATGGGATGGCTACTGAGGCGCGTTCACCGTACTTGTGCATTGTAGACAGTCTGCAGCTCTACACCCCCACGTGCAATACTCATGATATTACCAGGTGCGTGCGTCGGTGCCCTTCAAGGGGGGGGGGGGGGTTCCGGGGCCTCCCCCGGGAATTTTTTAAAAAAATGAAGCAAAATCCTGCATTTGAGCGAAAAAAAGGGGGGGGGGGGTTCCGGGCACCCAGGAACCCATACGGGGCACGCGCCTGATCACTGCACACGCTCCCCAGTATAGAAGTCCACAAACACCATGAGCAAAGACAGGGTCCTGGTTTACTATGAAGCAACCAAGTTGAAGTACATGTCCAAATACGAGCCTTGCCCAACCCTTGAAAATATCTTCCCAGTGACGTCACAGATAGATTTACGTTGACTGGCTATTCAAAAGAGAATTACATCCGAAAGCAGCGCGCAGTAGCTGTGGTATAGGCCGTGCACCAATAGCCATGGTAACTCTGCACTGCATTGACACTGCATCACACAATTGTAGTATAATCTATTCGTGAAACAACAAGCAGCAGGATGTACAGTGTCGCTCAATGAAATCTAGCCGCGTCATTAAAGTACGCGCCGGGCGTTGCGCAGCCCTAGACCTGCGAACACTGGGCTGCGTAATGATGCCAAGGCGCAACTGGATTTCACTGAGCAGCACACTGTACATAAGCACAGCATGCATGACTGCAGTCGACAGTCTCCTTACACTTGTGCAGAAGACGAAGAGTGGGGCAGAAGTGTCCGCCGCGCTGCCTGAAGAACAGCAGCTCATTGTTCACCGACAATAGTTCTATGTGCTCGTGACTGGACAGTGGATACACGCACACGCATGCACGCACGCACGCACACACACACACACACACATGCATTTGAACGAGTGGAGATTCATGTATTACCCAAGTGAAAACCCTCACCCAGTAATACAGTATGAATGCCAGGCAAACTTCACGTACTCGTGCTATATCTCCTGCTGTTGCAAATATCTCACTTTTAAAACTGAAGGAGTTAAACTGGAGTTTTTTCATCACAAAGTCTGCGAGCCATTCTGATCAGGAGAAAAGCTCGATTCCATAGAACCTAACATAAAGATACGTCTGATACGATCGGCACTTCGAGATATTTTATTTTATTTTAACAGTGCCCCCCTTACCATTTTACAATAATGAGTGGTTCCTTCTTCGGTAGGATTACATCGATGTATTCCTCAATTGCAGGAAACGTCTCCTTCAGCTGGTTTCGAATGCCTTTCTGCACTGATGTTTTGCTCTGAGTGCAGCCGGACACGCTCTCCTTTGCTTGGAATCTAACATAACATGTCAACAAAGCCCACTACAGTTATTGTCTGCCACCATTAGCCATCAGGATCTCCACTTTACAAACTCACTTCTTGAACATTTTCAAATTGATTTCGTGACAAATGAGGCCAACCAACTTCGGTTTCGCCTCAACAGCGAAGTAACTCCACACACGGACCACACCAGCTAATCCACGCAACGAGCTCCAACCACCACAAGTACAAATCTATGAACTGCAATGAAACTGTAGCTTTGGAATGCAAAAAAACTTCATAGCTAGCTAGCTTCACGTTCGCAAAGCCACAGTTCTTTCAAAGCTGTAAAATGCCAAATCAAGGCAAAAAATGTGCAGCTTTGGTAGCAACCAGATTGCCACAGTGCATATTTTCCATGACAACGCAGTGTACAGGGATGATGCCGGAAATGATGATTGTTCAGGTGCACTCCTCCTTATAGTTATACTTATAGTTATACATGTACTACTAGATCCTACCTAGTAGGCTACCGGTATTGTTATGTCTATGAGCTGGGGGGTTATGTACTCTTGCTATGAGGGGAAGTAAAGATAATGCTAGTAGTAATAGTAATACCAAGAGTCCGTAACCTGGTGATGGACTCTTGCTAATAGTAATACTAACAGTTCTGGTTACAATGACTATGTTGCCTCTCCCACAGCAGGGAGCCATGGCTCCCTGCTGTGGGAGTGGTACACCGGTAGTGCCATCTGGAGCTCAACATTGTTCCGAGGCTGACATCAAGACTAGAATGCCAACGCTGGAAAATCAGATCAAGGAGCGTTATCACGCAAGCCGAGCAACAGGCTGATGCAGTACAGTAGTATTGGCCATCATCGGCTACGCGAGTTAATCTGGGAGTTGTATGATCCCCTCGGTCCCCACGGCCCACTGATCATGTTCCCATGATGCGTTGTCTGCATGGCTGATTGGACGCCCGGCGTAAAGGTAAAGCCGGTAAACACAGTCCTGTGCGATGTGTTTCGGGCCCGATGCCGTGCTTTAAGGCCGAGTGCCAGTACTGAGTCCCCGATACCAGGTGCTCTGTACTGCAAACGGGTCTAAACTCTCGTGGTGATTACTTCCGGAACGAGTATGTCTACATCCGGGAAATCGAGCAAAGCACACGTAGTGCCGGATCAAAGCCAATCCCCACCTCTGCCCCGTCACACACGCACACACATGCATGCACACACACCTGTCCTATCCTGTCCTGTAGAGCCAATGCCACAGGGGTCACGTGGGCCCCGGAGGGGCATCAGAGAGGAAGATGGAGCACGCAGCCTGATGACGCCGGAGACACACACACACATAGCCCCGGTGAGAAGGCAGTCTTGCCTGTTCATATGGTGAAGTAAAATAAAGAAACAACAACAACACACACACACACACACACACACACACACACACACACACACACACACACACACACACACACGCAATAGAGTCTACCATGACGGCACAGCAGTCATTGCACTCAGCAGAATTAACGATTTGAAATGCATTTTAATCTCAAACAAACTGCAAGAATCGATGGCGAAGCTGTGAGCAGAAGAAATATTGCAAATGCCTAGTCAAAACAAATTACCCCGGTACATGTAGAAAAATATTATGCTCAATGTGCATGATTGTACAGTCATGTAGAAAGCTCCAAGACTTGCCATAGAATTGATCATTGAAAAAATAAACATTGAAAAAATAAAACCAAAAACCAGCAACCATTAAAAATATAAACCAAACTTGCTCACCAGCATCATCAGAAACACGCAGCATCACACGAACACAATGCTCAGTCACGGTTCAGAGTTCAGAGTTCACGGTTCAGAGCAGATACAGAACACAGACTCACCACACATGGTACGGACAGGGGCTCAAGAATCCCTGGCGGCCATTTTGCAGAATTTCAGCTTGGCGTGACAGTTTAAAGTTCCAGCCACAATGCAATGCCAATGTATAGAAAGCAAAATGATGCTACCAGTAAAAGAAAACGTACAAAATAACAAATTCTGATAGGTCAGCTCCGGTCATTATCAACGAGTTTTCACGCTCAGTTCCCCTCCAGTGCATAGTCATCCTAGGAAAAAAAAGTATCCAGTCTAGAATCTAAGAGGATCGCAGGAGTTCAGCCAGGCTGAACGGTCGGTGTCAATTCATCACATTGTCCAGTTCAATTGGGTACTAAAGGCGTGCGGAGAATACATAACGCATTACTCACCCACAGTGTAGCTGTTTCATTGATGCTGCATGAAAATGCATGAGTATGCATGACCTGTATGATATGCATGACCTGTATGATATGCATGACCTGTACGATGTGCATGACCTGTACGATATGCATGACCTGTATGATATGCATGACCTGTATGATATGCATGACATGTATGATTGCATGACCTGTATGATATGCATGACCTGTATGATTGCATGAGTGATACAGGTGAAGAACAAGATGAAGGCACAATGCCTGGACATCCAGCCGTCATCATGGTCAAAGTACATGACTGCGCTGCATGCATGATGTCCTAAGCACAGAATGAAAATCAGTTGTCCATCAAGCGAGGCAAGTCGCAGAGTTATCACGGCACTCCGCGCACGTAGAAGACCCACTGTATGGTTTCGCTGCACGGAAGGCCGGCTTCTTTCAGCGACTCGGCAGTGCAGCTCACAGTCAGCGTGCCCGTGGGTGGCGGTGGGGGCGGTTGCGACGCGGCCGCTTTGCTGCTCCCGGTCGTGTGGCCGGTCTCGCAGCTCACGCCGATGTAGTAGACCTTGCGGGCGCGGAGAGTGTCGCTGGTGCTGCGCAACGTGAACGCCGGGTTGTCGATGGAGAAGTGGAACTTGGCCGGCTTGGCGAAGACGTTCTTGAACGGGATGGTCGTCGTGGCGTGGCCCTTCACGACCATGGGACCCTGCGGCTTCGGCTGCAGGCACGTGCCCTTGACCGGGAACTGGTACTCGCCGCCGGAGCTCGATGCAATGGTTAGCGTGCCTTTGAAATCACCTAGCCACTGCGGCTCGAACGTCACCTCGGTTGATAACGCAGTGCCGCCCGGCACAGCGGCCAATGCCGAAATGCTCCGCTCCACCAGGAAGTTAGAGTCGTCGACCTGTGCAAATACGTCACGCACCAACACACACACACAGAGCAAGTCTTTGTGATCATGTGACACGGAGGGGCACGCATAGAGTCATCTGAACTTCCATTACCATAACTGCCAGATTCCACACTGGAGACTCCTGGATATGCTTTTAACCTTTGGGGAATCCCCAAGTATTAAATATACAGATAAAAACACACATCCGGGTACATGAAAACATGCACGACGCATGCAGACACACTGCACACGGCCATACCTTGCACAGATACTCGGTTTTGGTGCGTGCAAAGTTGGTGAAGTGGCACGTCTGCACCTGCTTGTCGCCGAGCGTGGTGCGGAAGAAGAGGGACTGCTCCGGCGGAGGCAGCGACGCTTCCATCGCCAGCTCGTAGCCGTAAGAGCCGAGTTCATGGCTACTGAAGGTCAGCTTTGTGCTGCTTCTGCCAACCTTCAGTGGCAAATACTGCAGCGTACATTCTCCCTGGTAACGCATAGAACGACAAAATAGAAGGAATTACATGCATGTACATGTACATGTATATCATAACTTGTCGTGTATACTAACATTGCCTAACAAAGGGGACTTATGAGAGTCCAGCAACGGCGCCCAACATGGGGCTCGAGCCAACGACCCCGAGGTTAAGATTTTTCATGTTCTACCAACTGAGATTCACGAGAGAAAGAGAGAGAGAGAGAGAGAGAGAGAGAGAGAGTGGGAGAGAGCAACAGTACGGTGGCACAGTGAAATGAAAACACTCGTGCAGTTACAGAAACCTGGTGCATACACATCAGAATCAGGATATGGGTACACATGCTTACATCTGACTTTCCGGGAACCGTGAATTGCTGCGGCAGGCTGATCTCGTTGCAGCTGATCACCGCCGAGAAGACGACGGGCGACTCCAGCGGGTTGTGGACGACGATGGTGTGCGGTATGCCCTGTCTGACTGGCGTACGCAGCGTTATCGTTTTGATCATCTCCGGCGAAGTCGACTTGACGGCGAATAGGTAGACGAGGTGCTCCCTGGTGTCCGGATTGCGAAATGTCAGCTACAGGGCCAAAAACACAGTACAGTATAATACAATGCCAAGTTGATTGCGAATTCCAATGCCATAATAAACAACCCATCCATTGGATACTGATGAACGCGCACACATATTTACTGCTTGCAAGCACATGTGCTGTGATAACTTGCTTACCTTGCAGAAAGCCATCGGTATCCAAACAGCAAGAGTGTGTGTCTGAGAAATTCCCATTTAGAACCTGGTGCCCTTTTTTGCCTATTTCCAAAGAGGCATGCAGTCATAACAGCTAGGGCTTGAAGAAGCATCTGGCACCAAAAGTCATGAAATAAGTACTAGTAATTCCATAGCCAGCAATCGTATGTCATCACGTACATTCAAAATCAACATAATTTTGCGAATCGACCTTTTTTTCAGGATCACTTTTCAACGAGGACGAAGCAAAGTCGGCCGAACGAAGCCTAGAGGAAGAAAATCACCCTCTCCACTTCACCATCACGATACTGACATAGATACGAGATGAAACAACTAAAAAATCCACAAGAAAACTGTACGGCCATCATCGCGCTGACTTTGGTCTGACTTTGGTCTGAGAATTTCTATCACGATCAAAAATGTACGAGGAGCACTCAAAAATAAGCCACAGACTGAAGTAGAGTAACCCTCTTGCGCATGTTGTACGTAATGTAATGATTGATACGTGCTTTCGATATTGATTTCGCTGGTGCACACGTTGGTGCAGTGCTGGTGCACGCGCTGGTGCACGCGCTGATGCACGCGCTGGTGCAGCCAGTTGTTTTCCGTTGTACGTGATGCAGCTTGTTGAGGAGAAGGGTTTTCAATATCTTGGGTTCAGTTCTTCTTGCTTCTGGCCTGGTCGAGGTCGTGCTTTTTTCTTCTGTAAACTTCTTGTGCATTTTGGAATTGAAATTAATAATTATAGTCCAACTTATATCCTTGCGCTGGTCTGGTGGTGGATAATTCCACAACAACGTGGTACCGAAACCCGGTTTTGAGTGGACCGTTGGCGCTTTGTGGTTAGGTTCTCGGAGAGTATTAATTTTGTTATTTCACTGCCTGTTTCAGTAGTAATGGCGTCGTCTGCTGGACATTCCTTGTTGCGGCCGTATCGTGGAGGAGATGACGACCTGGAAGCGTTCTTGCTGAAATTCCGCGTGGTGTCACGGATACAGAAATGGACGTCGGAAGCTAAAAGAATGGACCACTTTCCTTTATTCCTAGACAAGGACGCGTTCACTGTTTGGAGTGCGCTGCCGGACGTCGAGCAGACCAGTGAGGAGGTTGTCCATGGTGCGCTCCGAGCCGCTTTCTGCATCACGCCAGCAGAGGCGTATAAGAAGTTTGTGGCCAGAACTCTTCGTCGGGGAGAGCGTTGACGTCTACTTGGCCGACTTGAGGAGGTTTCTCCGCCAGAGTGGTCATGTGGAAGCGCGTGACACTTCGTCAGGGAAGTCATGTGACCCAGTGCTCCTGGAGCAGTTTCTGCTCGGCATTCCGCAGGTGCTGGCATGTCAGGTGCGCCTCCAGCATGCCTTGCACTGTATGACTGTGGATCAGTGTGCGGATCAAGTTCGCGTGTTGGTTTCTGCAACCCAGGTGTCGGCTGCACCAGTACAGGGTGCACGTTCTGCGACATTTGCAGCGACGTCGTCTAGTAGCAGCGGACCTAGCAAGCGGTCTGTGTTGTGTTACCGGTGTAATAAGGTCGGCCATATTCAGCGGAATTGCCCGCAGCTACCTAAGTCACCAGCATCCGGCGAACCTGTTTGCTATGGTTGCAAGGAGCGAGGCCACGTCCGCAGTGCGTGCCCCCAGCGGAAGAGGTGTGCTGGAGCAGCTGCGAGTGAGGATGTCGGCCATGTCTGCGTCGCGTCGGAGATTGATGGGCCCGCAGTAGCGTTGCCACGGATCTTCTTGCCTGTGAAGCGTTGTGATGCGGTGGCGTTTCGGCGTTGTGTTGCTGCCATCGACTCGTGCTCAACACACACGTTGGTGTCTCGTCAGTTGGCAGAGGACTTGGCACTGGAGGTGACGACGTCAACGCCTGATATCATCACCGTTGACGGCAATACACTCAAGGTATTGGGCTCGGCTGTTCTGGATGTCGAGCGGGTGGACGAGACGGTATTTCTGCCTTTCTCGTCTGTGTCTGTATCAATTGTTCCGGAGTTGAGTGTTGTGAATGCGGATGTGCTTCTGGGCCTCAACCTGATATCGCAGCATGGCGGAGTCGACCTCAAGTACGCGGACTCCAAGCTCGTCGGAGCATCTTTCGGTCAAGCAGCTTCAGCTTCCGCAGATGTGCCCAGTTCGGACGTCCGCAGTGATGATGGTGATTCGCCTCAGCTGCTACGCCATGTTACCGTGGAGCATGACGGGGAAGATGTCATTCTGACCACTGCGGATGGGTCAGTTCGTTGGCGCGCTGATGTTGGCTACTGGGAGCTTACGTGGGCATGGAAAGACGAACCCCCCACGCGTCCAGTCGGGTCAGGCATTGGTGAATATTCCCGGCATAGCCTGTCAACAGACCAGGAGTCACAGTTCTGCGAGGAAGTGGACATGTGGATCCGCAATGGATGGTTGGTACCCCATGACCAAGCAGTCCATGGTGCGCCTGGTGCTGTGTTGCCCTTGTTGGCGGTGGCCCAGACGCACAAGGAGTCCACCCCTGTCCGCCCGTGTTTGGACTACCGGCAACTCAAAGTTGATTGTGTCGCATCCAGGTTTGGACGTGCCTGTTTGCCAAGAGAAGTTGCGTCAGTGGAGGTCTATTGGCAACGCCGACAGCCACGTGTTGCTGGACATCAGCAAGGCTTACCTCAACATCCGCATCGCGCCAGCTCTCGCCAAGTTCCAAACGGTCGTCTGGAAGGGCCAGCTGTTTGCAATGGAGAGGATGGGCTTCGGTTTATCGATTGCGCCCAAATTCATGGACATAATCGTCAAGTGGGTCCTCCGTGCGTATGCTGATGTGGACAACTATGTCGACGATTTGTATGTTCCGAAGCCTCGTCTGCGTGCTGTCACCGATCAGTTGTCGCAGTATGGGTTGCCCACCAAGCCAGCGGAGCCAGTCGTCTCTGCTAGGGTACTTGGTCTGCAGCTGTCAGAGTCTGCAGATGGCCAAGTGAGGTGGAAGCGTCGTGGTGACGTCATGCCGACCTGTCAGCCGATGCCATCACACGACGCGAGATTTTCAAGTGGTGTGGCAAGCTGACCAGCCACTATCCTGTCGGCTCCTGGCTGCGCCCAGCGTGCAGTTATCTGAAGCGTCTGTCTAGCCTTCAGCCTGGATGGGATGATCCAGTGTCTCATGAAGTCGTCGCTTGTTGTGCGGAAGTCCTTCACCGTCTGCAGACCGATGACCCTGCGCAAGGTGTGTGGTCAGTTCCTGAAGGCGCACAGTGGTCGTTGTGGTGTGATGCTTCGGACATCGCACATGGTGCTGTCATTCAGGCCGATGGTAGGATCGTCGAGGATGGCTGCTGGCTGCGGCAGAAGGACGACCGGCGACACATTAACATCGCTGAGCTCGACGCCGTGATCAAGGGATTGAACCTTGCCGTGCAGTGGCAAGTGAAGGAGCTCACGCTATTCACCGATTCCAAGACTGTGGCTGCTTGGTTGCAATCGGTGCTTGGCAATGTGTCTCGTGTTCGCGTCAGCGGCCTGCAGCAGGTACTTGTGCAGCGCCGTCTCCAGATTATCACTGATCTCGTCGCTGTCACGGGCTTGACGGTCAAGGTCCAGTGGATCAGCAGTCAGCAGAACAAGGCGGATCAATTGACCCGTGTTCCCAGCAGCTGGATCCGATGTGGCAAGACGCTCCTTGCTCGGACTGCACCGTCCGTCACCGCTGCGGTGGTGACCGTTGGTCCATTCTCATTGGACAGAGTATCTGCTGCTCAGAATGCAGATCCTCGGATTGTTTCGACTCGCCAGCAAGTCATCGATGGTGACCCAGTTACTGATCCTGCGTTTGTCAAGGTCAAGTCACAGCTCGTAGTCCATGATGGTATGCTGTGTCGAAGTGTGAAGTTGCCGCCCAATGATGCAGTCGTCATTCCTGTTATTCCTAGTTCACTCGAGTCCGATGTCGTTCGTGCTGCTCATGTGAACTGTGGTCATGCGTCTTGGGAGGGTACATGGCGCTTCCTCCGCTCGAAGTGCTATTTCCCGAACATGGCTGCCCAATGTCAGCAGTTTGTGCGCCACTGTTCGCCGTGTGCTGCTGCCAGCCCAACCAAGGGCGTTTCGGCGGAGGCCAGTCGCCCTGTGGTGGCTGATGGCCCATGGAGTGTTGTAGTAATTGATACTCTGGAACTGGGCGTCGATCAGAGTGGAGAGTACCATTGTGTTCTCGTCTGCATGGATACTTTCACCAAGTGGGTGGAGGTGGTTCCGCTCCGTCAACATGACGCGGCATCAGTGGCCCAGGCATTTGTCGGCCTGTGTACGCGGTGGGGCCCGCCCCGAGTGGTCCGCTGTGATAATGGCACGGAATTCATCAACGCCGTGATGTCATCGCTGTTTGACACGTTTGGTGTGACAGTGCTCAACGGTGCCGTGCGTCATCCCCAATCACAGGGATCTGTTGAGCGATTTAACCGCACTCTCCTCACCCTAATTCGGAAGGTTTTGGATGAGGCTGATGATTGGCGATCTGAGCTGGACGTGTTATTGTATTTCTACCGTATTCGTCCGCACTCTGTCCTCAAGATTTCTCCTATGCGTGCGATGCTTGGCTGGGAGCCCACCAGTGTGCTCTTCTCGGCTAATCCTGGGCTGGGCCGGACTCCATCTGATCTTGAACGCCAGGCTGCTCGGATCCGTGATTTTGTGGAAGCTGAGCTGTCCTCCAAGGACTTTGTTGAGTCTGACGATGATAACTGTCTGTTCGCCGTTGGTGATGCCGTTCTTCTACGTTGTTCCCATCGTCGCCAGAAATGTGAGCCGCCCTATGAGCGTGACTGGGTGGTCATTCACATTGTGTCCCCCTCTACTGTGGTAATTCGCAATGAGGCTGGTGGTGGTGAGAAAGTGGTGAATGTTGAACTGCTGAAGCCTGATGTTGGTGCTGAGGTGTTTGCTGATGTGCCTGCTGCGGATGCTGTTGCTGATGTGCCTGCTGCGGATGCTGTTGCTGATGTGCCTGCTGCAGATGCTGTTGCTGATGTGCCAGCTGCGGGTGCTGTCCCTGATGCTGGGTCTCGGTTTGATCCCCGTGATCCTAATTATGTGCCGCTTCGAGCCCCTGCCGATGATCCTGCTCCATATCAGTTTCGCCCATATGGCCTCCGTCAGCGTGGTTCGCTTGCACCCCCTCAGCGCTTCCGTTAGTTTTGCTTTGTGGCGCTATTTAGTATTTGTGGTGGTTTTTTCTTTGGCATACCACCAGGGGGAGAGGTGAAGTAGAGTAACCCTCTTGCGCATGTTGTACGTAATGTAATGATTGATACGTGCTTTCGATATTGATTTCGCTGGTGCACACGTTGGTGCAGTGCTGGTGCACGCGCTGGTGCACGCGCTGATGCACGCGCTGGTGCAGCCAGTTGTTTTCCGTTGTACGTGATGCAGCTTGTTGAGGAGAAGGGTTTTCAATATCTTGGGTTCAGTTCTTCTTGCTTCTGGCCTGGTCGAGGTCGTGCTTTTTTCTTCTGTAAACTTCTTGTGCATTTTGGAATTGAAATTAATAATTATAGTCCAACTTATATCCTTGCGCTGGTCTGGTGGTGGATAATTCCACAACAAGACGTACCTTTATCGCTCTCTACTCCTTTTTCAAGGCACAAAAGTCGACTCTCCACTTTCAAACCAGGAACTAGACATACCAGTGGTCCTTTTCAGCTGCTCCACGAGCGCAGGAAATGTTCACCAAGGGGCGCAGAGCAGCATCCATTCCAGAAAAAGAGCTAAAATACGAGTAAGACTGCATGCCTGAGTACATGAGTACATGTATGAGTACATGCAGAAAATAGTCAATTTCAGCGTTTCTGCTCCAAACAGCAACTAGCTTCGACTAGAAACAAAGATTACACCAAAGGATCAAACAACAACCATTTTCTGCAGTTTTTTTGCAGATGGCTTCCTTGTGCTTGGCCCAGCACGCCAAAAATCACACCTCAGAGGAGTACAAAAATTACAACTCTCAGATGTCCTCGATTGCTGGCCATGGGCTACAAATGCTGTGCTTATTCCTGTGTAACCCAATGTCAGAGCTACGCTTCTATTCAAGCCAGGAATTTCTGTACGTCAGCACTAAAGCAAGGCTTATGCAGGGGCGTAGCAGCCGGTCCGGCCAGTACGGCTTTGGCCAGACCACTTTTTTTAACACAATGCCAAAGTGCCCAGAATTCAGGATTTTGCACCCAAAATTCAAAATTTTCCCCGGTGGAGACCCCTTCACCCCCTCCGGCCGGACCACCCCTAACGGCAGTGCTACGCGCCTGTTAAGTGGTGATGTTCCATCTTGAAAACCAGGCTTGTATTCAAAGCAGCCTGCTGTACGATACCAGCCTTTATGCAAGACAGTACAGTATGTGATCACAATCTCAATGCGACACCATCTCAATCTGGCAGCTTATACAACATTCCCTACTCCATACATTAGAGTCCACCGTCCTCACCCGCATCGACGTAGTTCCTTCGCGGTGTGCGCGGAACCGCAGCTGATAGCCTGCCTTTCCGCCGGCTGGCACGTCAACGTAGTCCAGGCCATGGATATTGGTAGCTGGGTCATTCTTATCCGGCTTGATTATGTCAATCTTCACATTGAACCTGGACAGCGTGGCACGTATGATAGGTAAACGTGTAAGCACGATGGTGGAAGATTCAGTCAGAGTTAGCTCTACAGGCTTGAGCACATAGAGCGGTTACAGGCTGTCCAACTCTCCTGCTTCGGACCAAAACATTTGTGTACATTTACATGGGAGACAATTGCCTCTGTGCACATTTAATATAGGTCTCCTGCTTTGGAATGGTGGCAAGGTTGGACAGTCTGGGGTTACGCGAATGATACGGTGGCGAGTCAGCGGGACTGCTTAAGGGCGCTTCGTATATAGTGCGAATCGGTGGTTTCCATGGTTTCGTTTGAGCTAGTGCATCGCTGTGCTGCGACTTTGCCTAAGCATCTCAACTGATGATGATGTAGTCGCAAAGCCTCTATATCTGACTGTTAGTGGACTATGAGAGTGACAGGGCATAGTCAGGGCAGAGTATCACGGGGGGGGGGGGGGGGGGGCTAACAGCCTAGTAGAGCTTGGACGAGAGAATGACCAAGCGTAGCAGATAACGTTGAACAGTGGCAATGGTATAGCTTCAAAAACCAACCATACATAATGTGGTAGTGAGGGGATAGAGTACTTCTCGCACAAGCTGGTGCAAGTCACATCAGCACCTATTAACTTACACAACTCAGTACACGAAACAGCCAGCCAGCAAATACTTCTGAAGTTCACTGCTCCCCCCCCCCCCCCCGCCCCTGCATGGGTGCGCCCGATGTCAATCAAGTGCCCGGAAAGTGGACAGGATATGCTGTCAACATTGCTTACCGCTGTGGTGTCTTTAGCCAGTTGCTGATGGTGAACTCCTCATTGAGCTCCTTCTTGCAAGGCCACTCGCGACTGGGAACTGTCACGACCTTGGCTTCTTGCGCCGAGCCCAGGAACGTGTAGTATATTGCGTTGCCGTCGGGCAAGGCAATGAACGCATTCCCCTGTAGCCAGTCCAGCAGGAAACACACAGTGTGCGTGCATCTTAGACACTTGCTCCATCTCTTGTTTGCAGCCATCAGTCAATCGGGCCAGGGTAGAGAGTACATTTCAAGGGAATTTTCACTTGTACCACCCAAGGCGATTGGGGACTGTTGGATAGGACACAGATATGGTCGATTCGGTACTGACATGTTGTGTATGCAACGCACGTGATACCCTGTACGCGAACCCGTGCAATTTTTTCCTTGCGCATGCGAGCAGTTATATTTCTAATACACAGTTTGCTATCATCATATAATAATATATGGTCGGATTGGATTTTTGCTGTTGTTTCACCTTGACCCAGGAAACCTGTAAGGGCACATGACAGCATGTTACCTGGTGTTTCCGTCCGTCAGCGGTCATCACCACTGGTTTGTAGGTGACTTCGTACGGCTTAGTGCTCAGCGGATCCACGGTCACGGACTCGGCACCGCTCCAATAATGGCCCTCGATGACGGGGCGCAGCACCCACGCCTGGTTGGTCGGGTTCTTGATCTGTATGGTCTTGACGTCCTTGCTACGGACGTGACATGAGAATTGGATGGGCTGTGTAACGACAGACAGAAGGAGTACAGACACCGAAATAAACCCAATGCAGCTGCAATGCATACTGGGTGCAAACACTGTAAGTATGATTATTAGTTTTTGTTTTATTTAATACACACGCTGCTTGATTACAAGTATCACCTGGAGTACATAACCAAGAGTGTACAACTCCTATCTTGAGCTGCGATCGGGTCACCCACAGTAGAATGTCAATTTCTTGATAACGTCAGATTCAGGAATGCATGGATCCACCCCCCCCCCCCCCCCCCCGTTGTCCTGCTTCGATCACCGAAACTGCAATGCATAATATGTCACCGGACGATGCAACACTGTGCTGACAGTGATCAACACCACGAAGGCTGATGATTGCGAAAGCATGAAACTCAGAGTGGCTACTAACTAGCTTTGATTGCCCTTGTTGTTCCGTGCACAATATTGGTTCTCCAGGCAATCGTTTTTTTGCCTTTTTACTTTAGATCTGATCTAAAAGAAAAAAAGGCAAAAAAAGATTGCCTGGAGAACCCGGGTATCGATCCCGGTACCTCTCGCATGCTAAGCGAGCGCTCTACCATGTGAGCTAGTCCCCCTGCCTGGTCACTACTCGATGCTAAGCAATAGCAATTCTTCCTGATCAATGGGTGGCATCTGTACTTGGCACTGATGTCGCATCCATTACCCACAGTCTATTTCGGATCAGGGAGTAATGAAATACCGGTGATATACTACTCCTTTGTTTGGATGGAGAGATCGGCTAAGCAGTGGAGCATACATCCAATACAAAAATTAATGCAGTACGTACTAGTATTCATTTTGCAGTACGTACACACACACACACACGCACACACGCACACACAACACACACAACACACGCACACACACACACACACGCACACACACGCACGCACACACACACAGAGGATAAGCCATACCTCTCTCGTCGTTGTTCTCGCTATGCACACACCAGTCAGGGTCAGCTGCAAAGCAGCGGCATTCTCCAAGCGACACAGTAAATTCTGCAGAAGAGGGACAGCACAGCAAAGTTTGATGAGTTTTTTTTTATATGCGGCACTATATATTTCATCACTTTTGGGATGCTGACCACAAGAGTATTCCTTTGATGTACGTTTTGCGAAATCCATACTTGGGCGTGACTTTGAGATTGTTCTCTATTCAGATTTTGAATGTGAAACTTTGCCTGAAGGTGCCACTTAACCTGTTGATTACACTGAGCTCAAAATCTCAATTTCTAAATTCGGCGCTTAGGCCATGGTAAAAAATAAAGTTGATTCTCAGGTCATGAGCCTGTGAAAATCGGTGCGAGCGAGCGATTTTTTATTTTATTTCCCACAATTTTTTTATTTCCAAAGATAGGGTCACACATATGTACGTCACAGGTTCATATAATTATTTTCTTATTCAGGCCAGGGAGTAGAAAAATCCCGGTATTTTACTACTCCCTGATTCATGCCTTTCGCATTGACTGTTTTCATGTGCGCATATGCATGCATAGAAATAAAAAAATCGTCGGGGCGCCGCCAAAAATCGGTGCGCGCATATTTGAGAATCAAAGATAATTTTTACCATGGCCTTATAGCGCATTTCAAGTCTACCAGCATTTATCTCTACGAACAAATGTAGCATTTCAGAGGTCTGTTTCCTTGCAATATCTACTGGCCTTCGATACCACGGCTTACAATAATCTTTTTACAAACTTCCACTTGTTGTCGGTAACTTGGTTTTGGGCAGAGGTCGGCATTTATCACAAACTTTCACATTTTACCACATCCACGGATCTCGTTACCTCACATCTCAAAAATGTTGGAACAAATTGGAATGCAAACACATCTCAACAAATTTGCAACATATAAAAGAGGAAAAAAGGAATGCCTGGAGAACCCGGGTATCGATCCCGGTACCTCTCGCATGCTAAGCGAGCGCTCTACCATGTGAGCTAGTCCCCCTGCCTGAGCTAGTAAAGATGGGACTTAGACTATGTGTGTGGACAACACAACTATTTTTGGGATTGCAACCATGGAGAAAGCCACAATTTATCCACTGCACGGTAACTTGATCAGGGGCGTAGGAGGGGTTTTGGAAGTGGTACGACCAAAGGTCGGCGCGGCCGAAGGCTGTTTTGGAGGGGGTCCGGGGGACCTCCCGCGGGAAATTTTTGTAAAAAAAGACACAAAATCCTGCGTTCTGGGAACTTCTGGCACAGTTTATAAAGTCATAGAACTATTTCACGGTCAGAAGAGACGTGCATGGACATGCACAGATGCATGGCAGATCTACGAGTCCAGAAAAAGGTCAAAGTCTGATGCGCATATGCATCGATGGATCCTGATTTTTTTATTACGGTTCTGCACGTTCCGGACGGACCACACTTTTGGAAAAGTGGTACGGCCATGGTCGTACCAGTCGCAGCGGGTGCTACGCCCCTGTTGACTCTATAGTGTCCAAAATTCAAATACGCAAACCATCAACAGCATAGAAGGCACAATGACAAGTAGGAGCGCCCAGATCCTATAGCAATGCTACGCGAGCAGCAGCGCGACACATCTGGGCCGGGTTGAACCTACCTACCGCCATTTTGCCACGTGTGTGTTTGTAACTTTGTACCGCCATATGAGTCAACCTTGGACTTACCTCATAGCGTATGTCCTTTGACAGCCGTACTGGCTTGAAGCTGACTGTGAAGTGAACCTGAGCGATTGAAAGAAGGATAGGAATGACATCATGTTTACAACACCTTCACCTGAATGCAAAATCGGGCCTGTTTAGAAATTCGACTAGCGGGCCAGCAATGCATGTTCCTCGAACCAATCCATATACAGACTTTTGGAAGTATGTGTGTCTGTTGTTAAGTAGAATTCACTCAGGCAAAGGCAAACAAGGACAATTGGCCAATGCAGGGCTTGGTGAGAGTACACTGCATTTTAAAATGCATTTCCAGTCCACTGACAACTAACCTCCATTCCTGCTTCGATGACACCATCCATTGGACTTATGGCAAAGTCAGGACCAAACTTTCCAGCATCCCATTGGTACCTGATACACAGTGCAAAATGGCATGGCAGTGCTCAAATGTTCGCAGTCAGAAATGCCTGAATTTTCAGGATTTCAATCCCAAGCATGCATATCAAGAAAAGAAGAGCATATGGAGCATATCCCGGGCATATTTTCTGGTGTTGTCTCTTGTGGCTGTGGTGGTGGTGGTGGTGGTGGTGGTGGTGGGGGTCCCACACACCCTGCTGTCCCGACAGAATTTCAAGTTGATGTCGTTCTTATGATGCAATGCTCCTCGCACGAGTGGTTTTGCTTTACAAGTGTTTCCCTGAACTCATTTGTACTGGATAAAATTGCCAACCACATGCCCAGGATACGTCTGGTAATATGTGTACAATGCGCACTGCATCATTACAAGTCAGCTTGTCAAGTCAAGTCAACGACGTCAACTTGAAATTCTGGCAGGACGGAACCCATAGTTGAGGTGCACACTCTTGGAGGTTACTAGTATATACTCTTGGTCATACCAAACAAGCCGTCATCTGCAAATTAATGATAGTGGTGAGAAGAAGAGCTCTGTTCCAAATTGTAGCTTTACAGCTTAAATAGCATGTGTGGGGCAGGCCTGTATTTATGTCAATATGATTCAATCATACGTTACACCACTACCGGTATTCCAATAGAGTAACGTACTGTGTAGAAAGATCTCCAGAGTTCTTCATGGTGATACGCCGCTGGGTAGAGCTTCCGAGGACCACCTCGCCGAAAGTCAGCCGCCTGAAGTCGAGGGAAACCTCTCGGGCAATGCACGCCGCGGACACGGTGAACAGTGGCATGACTGCGTTTGCGTATTCCATGATGATCTGTGCGAACAGCAGAGGACACGTGCACAGGACCATCACGCATCTTGCATACTCAGTCTACTACTTGTCGCTCGGATACTTGGATCATGGTGTATGTGTCAATCAAGCAAAGGATGTATCTAAGGCCATGGTAAAAAATAAAGTTGATTCTCAGGTCATGAGCCTGTGAAAGTCGGTGCGAGCGAGCGATTTTTTATTTTAATTCCCACAATTTTTTTATTTCCAAAGATAGGGTCACACATGTGTACGTCACAGGTTCATAATTAATTTATAATTATTTTATTATTCAGGCCAGGGAGTAGAAAAATACCGGTATTTTACTACTCCCGGATTCATGCCTTTCGCGTTTTCATGCACGCATATGCATGCATAGAAATAAAAAAATCGTCAGTGCGCCACCAAAAATCGATGCGCGCGTACTTGAGAATCAAAGATATTTTTTACCATGGCCTAACAGATAATAAAACGTTTGCCCTGTCAGAAAGGCAACAATAGTGAACCCTGTGTAAGACGACCGCTCAAGGGACCTTCAAAACGTGGTCTCTGTAACCAGGTGGTCTCCTTATCCAGGGTCATTTGACTGGAAATAGCATCCCTTGGTCCTAGCTGCAGTGGTCTTCTGGGACAGGTGGTCTCCTTATCCGAGTGGTCGCCTTGACAGGTTTTACTGAATAGTGAACCCAGTGAATATTGACACTCGATTGTGCATGAGAAAAGTTTTGTTATTCGTGGAGTTGAAAGTATCCAGTCAAATGGGTACTACACTTGAAGATATTCAGTAGTTGTGGGAATGGAAAAGGGAACTTGAAGGTCTGAAGAAAGAAACTGACTGTCACCACCAGGACTCAAACCAGGGACCTTCGCTTGAAGATTGTGTTGTTATTCGCTAGGTTAACTGTACTCTCACCTCCTCTGAGAACCTGGGCATGCGGCCGGTTGGTGAGAAGGTCACCACCACGTTGCAAGCAGCACCCGGACCGAGCTGGATGTCGGAGTGAGGCTTGACGGTCAGAACGCTGGCATCCAGGGTTGCCCGCGGCGACAGGCCCACGTCGAACGTGATCGGCGCGAGGCTTCGGTTGACGAGCTTCACAGTTCGGCTACACGTCTGTCTCGGTTGTATAGTCTTGAGTTTGATGAATGATTGCTCTGGATCAGCCACTTCAACCTACCATGGTGGAAAGAAAAGCAGCAGGAGACACAGCGAGCAATGGTTTAGTGCTGCTTGAGGTGTAGGTGTTTGAACCTTCTGGTCTGCATGAAACCAAATACATGTTTTGTGTACGAGCCTTCAACTAAGAACAAACATACACACACACACACACACATGTTTACATACTGTAAACACACACACACACACACACACACACACACACACACACACACACACACACACACACACACACAGATGTGCCCTTCCATTAGCCACACATCTTATCGCTAACGGCAGCGGCAGAATGCTTGATCATGTTAATAGCTCAAAGGTCACTATACACTACCAGCATTAAAGCTGATAAAGATGCGAGTACCTTCAGTGCAGTTCCTTCGCCCGCGAACCGTACGTTCGTCGTGGAGAGACCATTCACATCAAACTGCACAACCTCTTGCACTTTGCCGACCGTCCTCGGGTGAAACTGGAAGAGCGCTTCCTTGCTTGCACCCGGCGGCATGATGCCTGCCTTAAACGCCACGGACAGGTGATCGGTCTTGAACGGCAAGCACTTGATACTGTCACCACGGAAACAGGAAAGAGACAGCAGAAAATGGACTGGTCAATTGGTGATCCTGATTTTCCACAGAATGGAGGTGCTCGAGCAAGCGCCATCATACTGCAACATTCAAAAAAGCCAGTGATTGCCATATCTAAGAAATGATCTGATTCCCGCTGCAAGACGACATAGATAGATTCAGAGGCCTTTCACCGGTAGTACACTCTGCATGAAATCCCATCTTGGCTTGGATTCGGAAAAGGAGTCGTTGATCTCAGCATGCAGATGTCTTTGTACCTATTCTGCTAACATGCTACAGCTCTACTCACCTGACGGGCTGCGAGTGGTCATTCTTGATGGTCAGCGTCTTCTTCTGGCCGGTTTCGGCTGGTCGGCCCGCAAAGCAGGCACCGAAGTTGTGCTTGGTGAACGAGAAGTGGAGGGACGGCTTGGTGCCCTCACCGGCAAACACAACCCGGAACGACGGACCATAAGCCATCTGCTCCGGACAGCCACAACACACACGCACACACACGCACACACGCACGCACACACGCACGCACGCACGCAGAGTATTTTACTACTCCCTGGCAGCAACAGTATCAACATGACCACTGCCGAGAAGCATACCACAAAAGGAAAGGCTGATGTACTCAGAGGTTTTTAATCACATCGTCCAAGGGGAAAGCTGCACACAATCAGTCTTACTCATCACTAATGCCAGCACAGGTTTCCAAAACACAGCTCACATACTAAACTCATGCATGCGGTGCATTGGTTCACAAAACGATGAAGCTACTGAAGTCACCCCAGGCCCCTGGACTGAAACATGCTTCCACGGAAGCTCAATTTCGAATTCATTGTCATGGCAGGATAGCGTTTGTTGGCCTCCTACCTGGCAAACTGCCTCGCAGCCAGACAGCACTTTTTTCTGGCTCGGGCAGAAGACGATGGTGAACTTCTGCGACGCGGCTGGCTCGATGGACCCCTTCAGGTTGGGCTTGAGCGAGATCAGCTTGCGCCGTCCCTTCCCGCTGTGAACATCCGACGGTGCACAGCCACCTGGGTCATCGCATGCTTGCGTGACCGCCCACTGGTAGACCGTTGGGAAACGTCCATTGTTATAGACGGAGATCGTGCGAACGACCTTCTCATTGACCTGAACCTGTGCACACAAAACACAATAGTCAGCATACTTGTTTAGTGTCCATCCCTGAGAGAGACCAAGCAGTCACATCATCCCTTTCCCTGTCTCACTATAAATGTTGCGACGGACTTGCAAACTCCATTGCAGCCATCTACACAGGACCTTTCGAGTCATACTGTTTCACCCTTATGATGGGGCCATGTTATGATGGGGCCATGCCCAAAAATGGGGCCATGTTATGATGGGGCCATGTTATGATGGGGCCATGTTATGATGGGGCCGGGCCATGTTATGACGGGGCCATGTTATGACGGGGCCATGTTATGATGGGGCCATGTTATGATGGGGCCATGTTATGATGGGGCCATGTTATGATGGGGCCATGTTATGATGGGGCCATGTTATGATGGGGCCGGGCCATGTTATGATGGGACCATGCCCAAAAATTGGTGAACCTTTCAGGTAACATCTGCAGCAAAGAGACCATTTGGGCGGGTTTTGATTGAGAAAAGAAATTTCTTGCTATAGAGAATAGGAGGAAAATTCTGTGCAAGTTTTGCCAATGCTCCATCGCTGTATGAAGTTCTTTTTTTGTCACTCCATGTTTCTTGGCACCATTTCGCCCACCCTGGATTTAGACACACTATTGTGATACGACTGGTTTAGCATAATCACACAAGCTTACTTCCGATCTCGTCAGTAATATTTGAATCATTCTCGGAAGAAGTGTCAGCACCGATGCAATCCACACAGTCAAGCAAAGCTGAACAACCGAACATTTTCATTTTCTTTTCATCATGGGTAAGTACAGGGAATAATGGAAATGAATCGCCCAAAGTAAATCATCTACACGTACATTTCAGGCTACTACCATGCCCCGTTCAAATTAAGTGACTGACCTTTCCGAAATCGACAATGTTGAAGTTGGGCGCCAAATCGAGCTGCTTGGTAATAGTCTTGCCGTCAGTGGCGGGTGACTCCATGGTGCCCTCCACGTGCACGGTGTAGCCTTCAGCCTTGATGTTCAATGGTAGAGTTTTCAGCATACCCTTCACCTGTACACGACCGCAAAGGATGACAAGCCAGAAACAACGTCTCATAGCGGTGCATGGTGTTTGCTACCGTTGCCTCATGTCATCTCAAACATAGCATAGCTTACTGCATTCACGTATAGAGTAAAACCTGTAACTAACGACCACCCCTCCAGGCCAGAGAAAGTGGTCTTTAGTGGCAGGTGGTCCTTGGTTAGAGATTTGCACCACACACCCATATATGGATGTGAGACCGTCCGTGCCTGGCGAAGTGGTCTGTAGTAGCAGGCTGGTCGCTAGTCACGGTGGTCTTTAGTTACAGGTTTTACTGTATCTTGATAAGAGTCCTCCTGTGCAGCCTCCCACAGTACAGCAGTCATGCTACTCTCCCCACTCTCCCCACTACCAATCACTATCAATTCGGACTAGCCACCATCCTTTGCATCATACAGGTATTGTATACCTTGCAGGATATGCTGAAGGAGATTTCCTTCTCCACGAAGAGGCTCATTTCGACATCAATGGTTTTCCTGAAGAAAACAGACAATGAGCAGAGAGAAGGGAATAGGAAACATGACCGTGTAATCTTCAAAGTGCATCAAGTCTACTACCTCACACAGTCTACTACCTCACACAGACTACTTGAGAACGGTTTTATTCACAACACCATGAAGTAAGAGTCAAAGCAAAAAGACAACCCAATTTCGGAATAAAATAGAACACTCAATTGAAATATAACTTTGAACTCAAAAGCTTCACACGAAATCATCACCTAATAACAATGCCTACGGGCATGCAAAGGCGAACGGTCAGAGCTCTGGCCGTGTCAGCAGAGCCGGCGGCAATAAGCTGCAAAGGGGCTCCCGACCCTGCGGCGAATGTAAGAGGCCCTGCAGCCCCTAAAGCACGTGACTGCCCATCGCAGCAGGCAAAATGAAACTCGGGTGCGTAACTCACCCATCACAGCAGAATATACCAAGTCTTTGTTTTTGTCTACAACGAGAGCAGCTAGCGACTTCAGAAATATAGAAGTTTCCTTGCCCGCCACACCCGAGGTCGAAAACACCAGTGGGGTGAATGATGCCCTCTCCACCTGGTTGACTCTGGCACCATACGCCGCCTTCTTCATTCTCTCATGTGTTCTCAGGTGGCTAAGGATTTCCGGACGAGACAGCAAGGACGGCCCAAGGTCAGTGACCCTTACATCAAAATAGGCGTCCTGCTGCCGCGACCAGAAACCCCTAGCCCGTATGTCCAGGCGTGCCTCTGGCTGACGATTCGCGGAGACGGCAGAGATGTCCTCACCGTGTAGCGGGAGCAGATGTGGCTCAACCTCCACATCGGGCAGTACCTCCTGCAGCACTCCCGCCAGGAGGTCCCGAAGCTCGTTATGGCGAGCCGACGGATAGCCGCCGGTCGGGCACGTGAGGGCGTGGTGGGTGGTCTTCGACTTCCCACAGACACAATGATCACTTACACCGTCCAGTGGGAGACCATATCGTATGCATAGCGCATCTCTAAAATCCGACTTTTTCAGCACGGTGCGGTTTGTCCAAGACGGCTGTGCTGTTAACCATGTTGAGACGCCTTTCTCATCCGCTACCGCGAGCAGCTGCCGCTGGACAGGTGAAAGCCCCTCAGCCAGCTCCGTCTGCATCTGCCGGCATCCACCGATTTTTTCCTGGCGCTTTTGTCGGGCGATGCCTCGTGCCTCGCCAACGGCTTCTTGAACAGGATTGGCCATGCCCTCTGCGATGGCCACGATGCTCTGCGTGTTTTGGTCCGGACTGATGGCTGGAGAGTCTCGGACGCTCACGTTATGGTGGGCGTCGATCAGGTTCACCATTGACGCCGTGATGGCAAGTGATGCTTGATGGTCTGCCTCCGCAGACTTTGCTACCATCGGGATAGCCAGGCCCCCGAATCTTGTCGGGAGGGACAGAAGCTTTCTCAGCGAGCTGTCAGCTGCCATTCCCTGGCCCAAAAGGGCAGGAAGAAAATGATAATCCAATGCCTCATCTAGAGGGGCCAGGGTGACAGAGTTTATCGATGAGGCTCTCAAATGATAGGACCATTTGGACGATAAGCCCTTTGTTAGCACAGTGTAGGCGGCCTGGGGTTGCATTTCGGCCATTGCAGTGAGATTCATCAGCTCCCGTCGCCAGTTGTTGACGTACCTGTCTCCGACACGATGGCAATAATCTTCATCGCCAATGATCCCACCAAGATATTGATGACCCGCCGCCGTGACGCAGACACACAGTCTACTACCTCACACAGTCTACTACCTCACACACAAGTCTACAACTCACACATTGCCAATACCAACCCAGGGCCTTGCGGCCAAGTGCCAAGTGACGGGTGGATTACATGACAAAGCTTGCATCTCTCACACATGTGTAGCACTCCTACTCTCAAAGGCGGTGTGAGTATGCGCACAGCAATCAGTACGTGTACTCGACAAACACAGCCATATACAGTGAAACCTGTCTAAGACGACCGCGCAAGGGACCTTCAAAGTGTGGTCTCTGTAAGTAGGTGGTCTCCTTATCCAGGGTTATTTGACTGGAAAAGCATCCCTTGGTCCTGGCTGCAGTGGTCATTTGGGACAAGTGGCCGCCTTGTCCGAGTGGTCGCCTTGACAAGTTTTACTGTACTGAGGACTCACCTGGATCTCGGAGGGACTTTCCCTTGCCGAGGACTCACGCTGACATTAGCCGTGTGTAGGTCCACCTTACGCGACGGGTCGGAGAACGAGTACTCAACGAACACTTCCTCAGTGTTGATGATCTCCAGCGACCGCTTGACTTTGCGACCTGCGCACGGATGAGTGTGCAACGGGCAGGCAAGAAAACATCACAACCACGCTGTCATAGTGATTGGCCGTACGCCTAGTGTACTACTTATGCCAGCTCACGTAACATCACGAAAAAGCATCCCTGTTCAATGTACAATCCCATGCACTGAGTGTATTAAATGAGCCTTTTGTCATTCCAGGGGATTCCCACTGAAATAAGCTTTTTGGGGATTTCCCCGAAATGAGCTAAACGTCGGTCCAAGTTATTCCTACCTGTGAGAGTGGATCCAAAGTTCAGTGCTATGGTGGACAGAGTGACATCCGGATCGGTCATTCGTCCAACCAGCAAGAACGGAATGCTCAGCCGGTGCTCGGGAATGGTGAAGTTCCAGAAGCCTTCCAGGAAGCGCGTGTTGGACGGCGCAAACTCAATCACCATCTAAGCAATGAAAGCATTCACGTACATTAAGAAATCAGACCATTCAACGTGTTAGCTAGCATGGGCACAGGTCATACACAAGACGTTCATAAGGATATAGAGAAGCCTACCTGCAAAGAAAGAATTGTATCAGGGTTACACATGAATTCACATTTCTACAGGCCAGGAACGTCACGTGATAAAACAGACCGCACCTCATGTAGAGCTGGATTGTGTTCAATGAAATCCTATCTCACGGATATGCAGCACCCTCGATCGGTGCACAGCCCGGTGTGTGCAGGTCCAGGCTGCAAAGCCCATGGCGCTCGATGACTCGTGTGATCTTATTTCGTTGAGCCAGACAACGGTACTTCTGTGAGCGCTAGACCTCCAGTGTACTCCCCAACCCCCCCCCCCCCCCTCCCCCCAACACACACACACACACACACAAACACCATCTCACTGCACTAGCCCACTACACACTGGATCTCACTTACAAGATTCTCTGAAGGAGAGGTGCAGGATGGGAAAAGAAGTTCAGGAAACTCAGGCCAACACCCTGTTATCAAATACGGTCAAAATTTCACTCTCACCTTATTTCGTTTTCCGGCGTCAATCACACCTTCGACAGTGGTGATCTTGAATGCATTCTCCGCGTCACGAGGTGTGATTGGGTTCATTTCCCAGACATACTTCCACGGCCGAGACGTTGGGTTGGCAACGCGGAAATCCCTATCACAACAGATACAGTGACAATGTCCAGTACTGCAAATTGGATGGTAACATATGACGACAAAGTTTCAAGTAACTCGGTGCATTTGAGTAGCAACTGAACAGAACGGTTGTCAAACACTATTTTCTTTTACGATGCAGTTGCGTGTAGTTCATTAACGTCTTAGTAAAGGTTAGGACCATCAAAGACACGCCTTGTCTTGGTGCAAGGACAGAAGTTGTTCCCGGTCTGTGCTGGTTGAATGAGCCTGATGAATCTCTCTATTTTGACAGATCATTTTTACATCACTGTATAACTAAATAGGCGACGAGGAGACAATAACTTTATTAAGGCGATAAATAGTATTCCCATTGATCATTTCGTAATGTCCGCTTTGCTTATACTATTATCGCCTTAACACTGTATAATTATGCTTTGTACGGCGGCATGGCAACCTAGTGGTGATGATGTCACCTCAACCAATACCCAGCTTTTCAACTGATCACATTATCATAAAACCTCTACTCCCTCCAGTTCAGTAAAATCGTTTCATGAGAAAATATAATACGAGAGCGACAGTTGTAATAAACCGGAGGAAGTACATGAATAGTCGTTAACTAACCTAGCAGTTGGCTGCTGGGCATGGCTAGTGAACTCCATGACCTTAGTGTTCACATGTAACTGTGCACCGGTGGGGAGCGTGTGCTCCGGTTCGGTCTTCAGCTCAACCGCTCGCCGAGCTCCGGTCAGGTAATCGGACGGCGGCAGGTCGAGGTGGGCAATCGGCACGATGCCATTGCCCACCAGTGTCATGGCTGGCGGATCCAGGGTGGGTGACAAGTTGGGAATACTGCAGCAAGGTAAATAGAAAGACCATCAGCCAATAAGCATACTATTTTCCTATGATAATGGTTAACACTTCCCACACAGAATGACACCCCCAAGTCCTACTTGGATGCCGTTGCATACCAGCGACAAAGAAGTCGGTTTTCGTGACTCTAGATGGGTCAGAAAGGCACCCTGTAGACGGACGTGCCCGGATTAGGGATTCTCGGACTAGGAGAGGTTTACTGCACAGATTTAGTCCTCACCACACAGCTCCCAGTTCACAGGTCACAGAGGCTTATCTTGCATGATGCACGATTCATGTTTGTGTCATTACATGTTTGTTTTTTCAGTGAAAAGCCTCCACCATCACCACACCCAGCTCCCAAATCACCACACTTCCACCAGCCAGTGCAGGAATGTGCTTCAATGCACAACTACTAACCTGCATGTCAGCTTGATGGTAGACTTGTCGGGGACAACGGGGCGGAACGTGACCTTAAAGGTGACCGTGCCTCCAGCTGCCACCGTGCCCTCGCTCGGCTCGATGAAGAACGCGGGGAGTTGGTGCCGGCGCTTGAGAGGCAGGAGCAGTGCATCGAACAAGTCGGTGGGAGCTGCCGATAGCGGCGGGAGAGACGGAGTGCTGCCGACATCGGTCTCGTCGTTGATCGCCCACTTGTAGCGCATGTCCACCTTGCTGGTGTTGGTGAGCGGCAGACTGAACAAGGAATATGATTGCAGATATTGTAGAGTAATGGTACGAAAGGCCTAGTAAATTATGTTGCTTCTGTGCTGCGTGTGTTGATACCCAATATCATTCAACAAGCCACAAACAGGCAACACACCAATGCACATACGTTTAGCATAGTAGCAGTGTGCAGGAAGGGCAATGCGTTGGATGCGCGGTGCGCTGTGCTCAGAGAAAGAATATCGCATTTCCGCAATTATAAGTCACACCCCATTTTCAGGTCTGAGCCATTATTGTTTCTACAGTAATTCACATGAGAATGAAGCTTGTCCGCAAGTCATAAGACCCGTAACCCATCCCTGGTCCTGAAGTTTAGTGTAAACAGATGCGAGTGATGTTCGGGGATGGACCGAGCTCCTTCAGAGTGCTCGATAACATGTTCCCTACAGCAGGTGCCCGGTTGTTACCTAAATATACGTCATTTAAGCCCTATTTGAGAAACAATCCAGTTGTGGCAGTTGAGTGTAGTATTGAGTGTGGCTGAGCGCTGCCTAAAACACACACACACACACACACACACACACACACACACACACAACACCAATGTCGGTGATAAGCCTTACAGTAGGTCACGAGCCTGATAGAACGCAGTACTCTTGAACTCCACGGTGGGCATGGCATCGTCCACAGCATTGGCCATCGGGCACTCGTAGGTGGCGTACTCACACTCCATGCTGACAGCGAAAGCAAGGTCACGGGCCGACCGGTCCACGGCGGTGTGTTCCGGCTCTTCCTGCAGCTGCCGAATGGGACGCACCAAATGGTCGGGCATTTCTGCAGTGGAAGAGGACAACCGACATCACCAGATACAACAGTTTGATAGCAAACAGGACATGTGCGTGGGTAGTCTGTAGAGGCTTTCGGTGTACAAATCCTAACTAAACAGCCAATGGTAATATCACTCAGTATCCCTGTGCGCCACGCTACAGGGAATGCAGGGGCAAAGTGCAGGCACGTGCCCCGTATGGGTTCCTGGGTGCCCGGAACCCCCTTTTTTTCGCTCAAAATGCAGCATTTTGCTTCATTTTTTGAAAATTTTCCCGGGGGAGGCAACCCCCCCCCTTGAAGGGCACCTGAAGTGGTACCTGGCGCCGAACAGCATCCAGAATGGACAGTCACCAAAATGTAAGAACAAGCTACACTTAGGCGGGAAACATTGATCACTCTCCGCTGCAGATCGGGGATCAATGGAGTTGTGCGTCGGCTGGACGCAATAATTTATAAACATGTAACACTGCACGTCCAGTGTATAATAATAATAATATCTTTATTAGGATGACCCAGAGGCTTGTCGCCTATCAAGGGGTTCACCGCTTTGAAGCATGCACATGTACATGTACACGTATGAGCTAAAGTGAAAGTAGTGAAAAGTTGTGCAGCGTGAATGCGTTGGGGAGCACACAGGGGGGGGGTTATGTACATGGTACCTGCAATATGCGAATGTACAAGCCCGGAGTAAGAAAGAAGATGCTGCAATCTCGAAAACACGAATACCACTAGCATGAATCGGACGGCCTGCACTCGGTATCACTGTGGTGTAAGTATAACTAGTGAGCCATGGTGCATTGCGATCAGAACTGTACTACAGTCAACTTCGCTTATAACGACACTCGGCCGGGCATCAGAAAAGCGTCCTTATTCGTGAAGTGTCGTTATACCCGAAGTCTCATTTTATGTGTGACAGTTGGGTGGGACTTTGCTCTGGGCATGAAAATTCTGCCGTTTTTCGCGAATTATCGTTATATCCGCAGTCGTTATTAGCGAAGTTGACTGTACCTAGAGCCAAACCACCCTGTCACATCGGGTGCTCCCCCAGATACAAGTTTGTGTACATGTATCAACATTGAAAAGAGGAGTCAGCGCACTGACTTGAGGGACATGGCCATTCAAAATCGAACAGAGTCGGTCAGGGTTTCAACGTTGCATGTGTACATACTGAGCACGAGGAACGCGAATAGCTCCATAGTGCAAAGAATCAATGGCCACGTACTAATTCCCGTGACCTGTATTTTTTGTGGGGCTTACCAAAAGCGCCGATCTTGTGAGTGGGCACAGCTTCAACAATCTGCGCCACAACACTCTGCTCATCCCAATCTTCTGCATCAAGAGTCTTGACAACACAACAAACAGACAACAGAGCAGGAGAGCAGGCATGTAAGTTAACCACCTTGGACAAGATACCCCCCCCCCCCCCCACCAGCCCAGCTGAGCGGCATTGACCTTTATCTGCAGGACAGTAATTAGGGTGAGTGGCAGCGTCTCAAGATGAGTGTCCCATTTGCTGTGACTACTGACACTCTTGGAGAGAAACATCTACCTTAATGCACCAAATATGGGCAATGGTCCTTACAAACAATAAGAGGGCGGAAAAAGTGTTTTAACTCTGAGTTTCACGCACTAAGCGATCTTCAGAAAACAGCAATCCTTATGGTCCTTATGCAGGTGACCCAGCTTAGGCTCCAGGCCCTCACATCACAGCAATATCCACAGTCTCCTTACAAGCAGTGACTCTTCTCTCAGATAAACCACTCTCACCTGTACATCGACTTCTCCCTGACTGACGTAGTTGATGCGAACGGTTTTGCAGCTGAAGCACAGTCGCTCGACGCTAATGGGCTTCTTGGCGACGATACTGGCGTGGATTGTTTTCGTTCGACCGGGACCAATGTGGCCGAAACTTGGAACGCATGTCAGGGTGGTCTTGGCATCCAGTGCCGGCATGATGAATTTAAATTTCAGCACAGAGTTCGCATCATGGTTGGTGATTGTGAAGTGAAGCGACTTCTTGGCTTTCACCTCAGTGCCGCCAAAGTCAACGTGCCAGCAGCGCACGGCTTCTTCAGGACACGTTGAAACCCCTGCGGATACAGAGCAGTATAATCAAAAAGTGAGTGTGTTATCTAAACCTTCCCAGGCACTCAGTCATGCACCCCGTGCACACCGTCACACAAAAGATCACAGCCTTTTCAGATAAGGAACAAATTATGCATGGTTGAAAGGAGAGAGAAAATGAGAGAGACGCGAGAGAGAACTGGCTGCGCCAAGAAGAGCGAATGCAAAACCGCTGTCCCTGGCAAAACGTGCGCGTACAAGTGCAGCACAAACGAGACCAGCGTACTACACGCAACAAATAAGGGTAGCGGGACGCAACCTAAAACGATACCAGTCTCCCCAGAAAGGTGCGCTGCTGCGCACAGCCCGCGTATCCATGGAAAACATGGTGCAAAACAAATGCAGAAATGCAGAAGCAAAATAAATAAATAAATCAGAAATTCGAACGACAAACAGTAGTGAGCAGGACGAAGACAGAAAGATCAAAGATGAGGAAAGAAAAGTGTTTGATCTGTCAGTGGGTGCTTGCACCCGATACGGGGTGACAGTAAACCCTGTCAGATAGTGACACATCGTAGAGTTATTCTGCAGAGGGACTTCACTGAGCAAGAATATAACAAACCACGTAAGTAACTCTAGCAAATCGTGAATAATAATTGTAAATGCATACACAATGTTATCATAAGTATTCGAACACCATAGTTCCCTTTCACCCCTCCACCTGATAACATTGGATGGGGCATACATGTAATGACATACAGCAGGGAAGACAGATGCCTAGCGATAGCGAGCAGGGGGCTGCAGAGAACCACGGGGACGTAATGAATGACCACCAACCAGATGATCAGATGGGGGGGAAATGTCCAAGCAAACCCAACCATCATCATCACCATCATCACGAGGACCATCAACGCGAACATCGCCAACATCAGGCGGGGGCACTAGAGGAGCACATGGCACATCAGGAACAACCAAACCAACATCACGCTTCAAGAGCTCGACATTGACCACCTTTTCCTGACGACGACCTGACTCAGGATGCACACGGCAAATCACAACACTGGCAGGACCAATAACATGTTTAACTGACCAACCAGAATCGAACGGGGGCTGACGTTTCTGGCGACGATCAGGGTTACGCAATAGAACACGATCACCAACAACATACGGACAAGAAGGCGACTCAACAACAGGCGCAGGGGCGTGCTCTGCAACAACCGCCGTCAAATAGTCGTGAACCCGAGCAGCCTTATCACACACACCATCAACCCAAAGAGAGGACGAAAGAGTAGATGGTATACCGTCCACAAATAGAGCACGAGGCTCCCAGCCAAACATAGCACGCATGGGAGAAATCTTCAATTCACTATGCGGACGAGTACGGTAGAAGAAGAGGAGAATCTCTAGCTCGGCTAGCCAATCGGCAGCAGTATCCAACACCTTGCGAATAAGAGTGAGAATAGTACGATTGAATCTCTCGGCGCCACCCTGTGACTGAGGGTGACGGACCGCACCAGTACGAACGCAAACACCAAACACATCCAACAAAGAAGACACAATAGCATTGCGGAACTCATGACCATTGTCGCAACGCACCACACGCGGCGGACCAAACTTCAAACAGAGACGCAGAAATTCCTCAGCAACAGAGCGACCATCATGACGCCGCAAGGGGAACCACCTCGACCCAACGGGAAAACATATCGACAACCACTAACACACAATGGTACTGACCGGTCTGGTTGACACCGAGCTCCAGTGTATCGATCTGGACAATGTCCCACGGCTTGACAGGAACGTCATTCTGAACAGCAGGAGCAGGTGGACCACTGCGGGGATTGGCAGCCTGGCAGGCCTGACAATTACGCACATAGGCCTGGCATAGCGAAGACATACCTGGAAAGAAACAAGACTGACACAGAGAACGCCACATAGTTTCCCAATTGCCATGACCTGTATTGGCATGAGCAGCAGTAATCAAAGCGGGAACGGTGGATTGCGGTGCAACAGGAACCAGTACCTCACCGTCGACGGGGTCACGCCAAGTGCGACACAATAGACCATCAATAACACACAACTGCTTACGAAACTTGCAGAACGACGGATCAGAAACAGAGATGTCACAAGACAAATCGCGAATAACGCTCTGGATAGCATCATCAGTAGCTTGACCAGACTTCAACACGTCAAACTCCAATGGATGTGAAAGTGTAGAAGAGGGGGCAGAAGCAGCGACATCAGCAGAAGAACACAACTTCTTAGCATGAGCAACCCACGGCTGCGGAACACGAGTCAGTACATCAGCATGATTCTCGGAACTTGGCACCCATTCCACTGTGACCGAAATACCGGATGCCTCAATCAAATCTGTAAAGATCTGCAGACGACGTTGAACCAAGACATGTTGCAAACCACTAACTCGCACCCGTTCAGTATTGCGCAACACAGCCTGGAGCCAACCAAAGACAGTTTTAGAGTCTGTCTTGAGCACAACAGAAGAGACATTCCAATCAATAGCCAGCTCGAGGCCTTTCAAGGCAGCATTCAACTCAGCAAGATTGATATGACGCCGGTCGTCCTTTGGCCGGAGCCAAGAACGATCTTCCAGAACAGAACCATCACACTCCAAAACAACACCAATAGCAACATCGGAGGCATCGCAATGAACAACAAAACCAGAACCAGTAGAGGAAGAATGCCACGTACCATGAGCAGGATCCTCTCGCACACAGCGATCGGACAGTTCCTGGAGGAACCGCTGTACTTCAGGAGAGACAGGCTTATCCCATGCGGACTGGCCAGACACGAGGCGCTTCAAGAAGCTGCAGGCCGGACGAAGCCAACAGCAGACGGGATAATGGCTGAGCGCCCGACCGCACCAACTGAAGAGTTCCCGCTTCGTAGTCGTGGGTGGAACAGACAGATCAACACCCTGACGACGGGTCCACAAGACTTCACCCGTGGCGCTAGAATGGAGCTGCAAGCCCAGAACACGGGCATCAGGCAATGGCTCTGCAGGCTTGGTCTCAAAACCAAACGCAGCAAGCTGAGAGGACACTTCGGCAGCACGGTCACGCGGCACGTGGATATCATCCACGTAGTTGTCGGCATCGACCACGTCACGCAAGACCCACTTCACTATGATGTCTAGGAACTTGGGGGCAATGGATAGACCGAACGCCATCCGTTCCATCACGTAACGCTGGCCGTCGACGAGGACAACCTGGTATGGCAGCAATGATGGTGCGACATGGACCTGTAAGTAGGCCTTGCGAATGTCCAGGAGAACGTACTCAGATGCAGGTCCAGCCTGCCGCCACTTCCGTAATTTCTCACCACAGGCAGGTGCTTCTGAGCCAGGATGTGAGATGATGCAGGCATTCAGCCTGCGATAGTCCAAGCAAGGGCGAACTGGAGTGGACGACTTGTGCTCCTGGACTTGAGCAAGGAAAGGCAGCACACACTTGGGCTGGCCATGTTGGTCCACATCATACGGCTGCAGCCAGCCGTTGTCAATCCAAGTCCGGACCTCCTGCTGGAACAGGGTCTCCTGCTCATCAGTCAGTTTCGAGCGAGAGTACTCGCCTATGCCACAGCCAACGGGCGACTGAGGCTCGCTCCCACTTTGCCATTTCCAGGTCAGCTCCCATCTCTTACGAGCAGCGTCCCAGCACACTTGGCCATCATCCGTTGCTAGGGTGACATTACCCTCGTCATCTCTGGTAACTGTCACATGCCCATATGGATGGTCATGGGTCGACCTCTCGGGTGGACCTGTAACTGGGTCAACGGTCTGCGGTTTCGTGCCAAACGTCACACCAGTGAGCACGCCATGATCATACTGGACGTCAACACCGCCCAGTGCGGAAATCAGTTCCAGGCCAATGACCAGATCTGAGCCAACGGCATGCAAATCAGGGACGACGAGAAACCGACTCGTAGTGCATGGCAGATAAACAGCATCATCGAGTCTGGACACCTGTAGCGAAACTTCACCCTGGATAGGCACACTGTTGCCGTCAATAGCCGAAATTGCCAGTTCGGACGGACGAACATCCACATTCAGGGCCTCCACCAGCTGCCGGCTCACCAGGTTGCGGCTGGCGCCGGTGTCCACGACTGCCTTAGGGCGAGCAGACTGTTCTCCCACAGCAATATCCACATGGAGACGCGGCAAAGAGCATGCATTCGCATCAGGCACACAGAGGCATGGATCAGGCGTGCGCTCAGGTGCTGCGGCCTGCACTTCAGACTCCTTTGCACGCCAGGACGTGTCAGACTGCTGGCGGGACTGGCGCCACTTCTTGTACTCCGGACAGTTTGGCTTCACGTGACCTGTCTCATCGCAGAAGAAACAGGTCAAAGCTGGCCGCCCACCACCATTGCCATGACTTCTGCTGCTGCCAGAACTCCGGTTTGCGGGACAATTGCGGGAAATATGTCCAGCCTGATTACAACGAAAACATAAAACATTCCGGCTGCGTTGGGAGCTAGCAGCCGCAGCGCCAACCGGCTCTTTCGGACGAGATGTACCCTCCGCGCTCCGCAAGCGACGGACATACTCAATACAGTCAGATACAGACTCCATGGAACAATTTATTCGCAACTGGCGTTGAAACTCCCAGGGCAAACCAGCAACGAACTGCTCGATGACTACACGGTCTTTGCCGTCACTCGCGACTTTCTGGCCAGCACCAACTAGCAGTTTCTTCAAGTCTGCAGCGTACCCCTCGACGCTCTCATCGGTCCGCAACGTGCGGGCACGAAATTTCTGGAAAGACGCAGCAGGCGTCGTACTGAATGCACTTTTCAAAGTTGCTTTCACGGCATCCGGGTCAGCTTTGTCGGTTGACGAAAGCTCGTCCCACACCAGGTAGGCCTCGTTCTCCAGAAACAACGGTAAATTGTTCATCTTGTCTGTGCTCGAACTCCACTGCTGGAGGTTCGCTAATACTAAAAACTTAGACCAGAAGGCCTCGAAATCATCGCCACTACCACGATAGGGTTTCACAAACGCCTCGATACGCCTGGACATTCTCACAGGGTTTCGGTACCACTTCGTTATCTAAACCTTCCCAGGCACTCAGTCATGCACCCCGTGCACACCGTCACACAAAAGATCACAGCCTTTTCAGATAAGGAACAAATTATGCATGGTTGAAAGGAGAGAGAAAATGAGAGAGACGCGAGAGAGAACTGGCTGCGCCAAGAAGAGCGAATGCAAAACCGCTGTCCCTGGCAAAACGTGCGCGTACAAGTGCAGCACAAACGAGACCAGCGTACTACACGCAACAAATAAGGGTAGCGGGACGCAACCTAAAACGATACCAGTCTCCCCAGAAAGGTGCGCTGCTGCGCACAGCCCGCGTATCCATGGAAAACATGGTGCAAAACAAATGCAGAAATGCAGAAGCAAAATAAATAAATAAATCAGAAATTCGAACGACAAACAGTAGTGAGCAGGACGAAGACAGAAAGATCAAAGATGAGGAAAGAAAAGTGTTTGATCTGTCAGTGGGTGCTTGCACCCGATACGGGGTGACAGTAAACCCTGTCAGATAGTGACACATCGTAGAGTTATTCTGCAGAGGGACTTCACTGAGCAAGAATATAACAAACCACGTAAGTAACTCTAGCAAATCGTGAATAATAATTGTAAATGCATACACAATGTTATCATAAGTATTCGAACACCATAGTTCCCTTTCAAGTGCAGGGAAATCCCAAATATGCAATATCCCGCCATTTCATTACGTCTCTTAACTAATATTCCAGTTTTTCTACTGAGCTTTGCTTCTATTTTCCTGTTCAGCTTTCTGGATTGTTTTAACTCATACCCTTTCTCCTGCCATACGTTCCTTCTTCCCATTCCATATGACAACTACCTCACCCTTTGCACTTCTTCTTCTTTGCGAGAATCCCTTCGATAGAAATCCGTTTGCCTTTGGTCAAACCGGGTAATGAGATGTCAATGTCAGTGTCTACTTGCAGGGTGTGTGTGTGTGGCAGCGCTATGCATCAACCACGACCATACAGTATACAGTGGAACCTGTCTAAGACGACCGCTCAAGGGACCTGAACAGTGTGGTCTCTGTTACCAGGTGGTCTGCTTATCCAGGGTCATTTGAGTGGATATAGCATCCCTTGGTCCTGGTTTCTATGGTCTTCTAGGACAGGTGGTCTTCTAGGACAGGTGGTCTTCTAGGACAGGTGGTCTTCTAGGACAGGTGGTCTTCTTGACAGGTTTTACTGTACTATGGGCACAGTGTAACCTGTCTTAGGCAACCGCTAAGCTGACCTTCAAATATGTTTAAACCAGGTTTTACTGTAACACAATGTACTGGTGCTCTCCGCGTCCAGGGTCATTCGACTGGAAATCACAGCCATTGGTTTTACATGTAGGTGTAGCGATCCTCTGAAGCACATGGTCACCTTCTCAGAGTGTTCACCCTGACAGGTAACACTAATAGATGTACAAATATCAATACTTGTACTACACTGCTTACGCGATTCACTTCTCAGATTTTGCTGCTGTTGCTTTTTCGTCTCCTTCTTGTCCACGGCGACCCTGGTAGTGGAGTCGACTTTCTCGATGCTGGTGCTCTTCAGCATCTTGAAACACGACATGACTTCCTCGAGTCCCAGCACCTGCAGTGTGTCCGTGTACCCCTCACCCAGCAGCTTTACACGCGCCACTTCAAACGGATTGCCGGCGGCAGCCACCTGCAGTTCTCCCTGGCAGGAGCCGACAATCTTCGGCGCACACTTGATGGCAATGCGCACCGTCTCCTCGGCACCAACATGCAGGGTCATCGTGGAGCGCTTCCGTGGAGTGTCCGACTCCGTCGCCGCGCCAGCCAGCGCATCCTGCAGTGACGTCGACTGGAACGGCGTGGCGTTGCGCGCAGCCAGGCGGGCAGGGACTTTGACGCGTCGCTGCTTGGGCTCAACCATGGGCATGTCGGTGGCTGCGGGATCAGGCACATCCGTACACGCATCCACGCCGTCGGCAAAGCTAAACGCAACAAGCCGAGCATCGTCCAGATGTTCGACAAGTCGCACCTCCACCTCGCATGAGAACGGCGAGTGGTTCTTTACAACGACCATCTTCACGGAACATCTGTGCGGGAGCAGGCGGCGGAACTCCAGAGGGGTCTGCTCGATTTCCGCAACGCTGTTCTTGGTGTTAACGACAGCCGGCGGTTCCAGGAGGCTGAGTCGCGGCAGGGCACCTTCACCGCACACGTCAAACTGGCACTGACTCTTCGGTCCACGGCTCATAACACTGGATGTCAGTACAGCCGGATCCACCACGCCAATGTCAAACGTGCAGTTGTACGTCTGAAAGCAAAGGCCAGAAAACGAAGCAACTCTTACACCACATACACCAACCAACGAGAGTTTCTGTGGCAAGCACACATTACTACATCAGGTGACTAGCAATGACTTAACGAAAATGACAATAATGTTCCCCACTGATCCTGTATACCATCATGTTCTCCAGTGACCCTGTACAGTCAGACCTCGCTTATCCGGTCCTCGTTTATCCGGATCCCTCGCCATCCGGTAGAAATCGTTGGTTACCGATTTACAGCATATGCCATTCACACATACAGTATGTGTGTTCGATTATCCGGTTCCCTCGTCTATCTGGATATTTTTCTGGAAAACGGACGTGTGCGGTTATGCGAGTCAGAGCCTGGTATGTTCAAGTGCGGCTACTGCATGGACATTAGGGAGCTGTAACTATTTTAGGACTCCCTGATTTGTGTATATCTTATGTATTCCCTTCCGGTTCACAAGTGACCCAGCGTTCCTTTTCCAAACGGGTCCGAGCCCCCCCCCCCCCCCCAACCGGGTCGCTGACCCGGCTGACCCGGCTCTGGGGCAGACACTGTACAGTTCCCCCACTGACCTGTATGGCTTGCGGGCAGAACGTGATCGTCACCAGTTTCATGTCTTTTCCGTCCAAGGAGAACTTGTTGGGCTGCACGGAGAAAACGTCCGACAGCTTCATGCTTGCCTTCGCATTCTGACCCTTTATCGTGATGTTGATGTCGCACGGCAGCTGTCAAATAGAAAAAAACCGGAAAGTGAACCAGCAAGAATTTCACCGGGAAACAGTCCTCCAGTACGTACAGGCCTAGGCATGGTAGTGATGATGTGTCGAGACTAGACGTAGCCAACTAGTTTAACAGAACATCCCCGCAATCCTGGCTGAACATGTGTTCACACTCAAGGCAGTGTAGGTTTGCCTAGGCCATTGGATGAGCATGAAGCTTAACTGGAGTGAGTACGAATGCCCGAAGCAACACACCCTGGGCAGTGGCTTCTACCATGCAAGATACCCGTCAAAGGAGTCTCGATTGTTATGCTATGGATGATCCACAACCACATTGACACTCACGTGCAGTGGGATATGAGTACAAGCGTGCACGGACGCAATTCTACACGACAGGCTCAACACCATCATCCTGTGAGAACCAGCCGTCATGGCCGGTGAGAAAGCATAAAATGCTTGTACATTTTTGGTGAGGTAAAATAAATATGAACAAACAAAAAGTTCGGAACGCATCGATACCTTTGTCTTGTTGACGAGCTTCAGCCTGGCTTTGACCTGCGTCCCCACGAACACGCTGTGGAAGAGGAACTGTCGCTCATCCTCACACAGGGTACCTTGTCCAACGTACACCTAGGCGTGTAAGCAGAAGGAGAAACATGTTTACTACTGAACATATCAAAATATTATGACTCAAACCTGAAAATAGGGGTGCGATTTATAATCAGGGAAATACGGTACCGTATTTTCCAGAGTATAGTGGGCACCTTTGTATAACGCGCACTCCCAATCTTCATTGGGGTGCGCATTTCAATCTTCATTGAAGTACATGCATTTCATATTCGGAGCATAGTGCGCACCTGCGATTTAGGGCCTAAAATAGCACATCTAAAGTGTGCACTATACTCCGGAAAATACGGTAGTTTGATGGATTTTGAAATTGTCTGATGATTGCCTAGTGCGAGAAACTTGAAGTAACAGCACATTTCACATCCTCTTCTTCTTGTTGGATTTCGAAAATATCATTCAGTGTTTATACGCACGCGTCCTTGTGTTAGTATTTAGTGAATCTCGAATGATCGTTGGCAGGTGTAGATCCTATGCGCGTGGCATCATCGCATGTTTTTCATCAAGCGGCGGACAGTGCTTATGCTATCACTCAATCCTTAAAACACCTCAAATGCATGATGTCATCGCGTTATCTCTACCACATGGATCAGAAATGACTTGGTACTTTTCTGCTGTACATAAATACGTGCCTGTGCACCTATCGGTGCTAGCAGCCACGTATGCTCGATTGTAAGTGGCACCCTTTTTAACCCTGGAATTTTAGTGTAAAAGGTGCGACTGGGTAATTACAGTATGCATCCTACTCACTCTCTGCATCTGCGGTGCTGAGATGTGAGCGGCACTGGGAACAATGTTGTGCTCCTCGAAGATATCCCGCAGTCCAGTATCGACGCTGGGCACGCAGGCCTCCATGATCAAGTTGTATGGAAAGCCGTTGGGATTGTCCTCTGGGGCGCGGTCAGCTATATCAAGGGCTAGTACCTGAGCGCGCGCGCGCACACACACACACACACGCACGCACACGCATGCACACACACACACACACACACACACACACACACACACACACACACACACACACACACATGTACACACACACACACACCACACACACACACACGTGTACACACACACACACGCATGCGCGCGCACGCACACACACACAAACAAACAAGGACAAACACACAGCATTAGTCACTTCCACACCTGATGATTCGTGTCTGCTGTTTGATCTTATTTCGAAGTAATTCGTTACAATTCTAAGAAGCATGCTATTAAAACGTCTTTTGGATAGAAAAGAATACAGCCCACACTTGGCATTGCTATGCGCATGAATCACAGCGTTACAACAATAGTTTCACCTGTTGCCACTGTTCTCTTCTGCATTTACAGTACAGTCGTCCCTCTATAATCCGGCACTTGTTTATCCGGAACCCTTGCTAACCGGCGCACTTTCTGACGAAACCGATTTTTTTCGTTCAATTCCTACATCTTAATCCGGCACTTGAATTCCGCCTCCGGCAGTGACTTTTTGAAACGAATCGCTCAAACTGCACGTAGTTTGATTTCATAATCCGGCAGTCGTAAATCGCGTACCTACAGGTGCACTCCTTGCCAGGCCAGGCTAGGCCAGTCTGGTCAATGTTGTCCAGGAGACAACGGCAGTCAACCAACCATACTTTCTTATTTTGGCAAGGAGTAGTGTCCTGCCAATTTTCAGGTGAGTGTGTGTGTGCGTGTGTGTGCAAGAGTACATGTGAACATGTTCTCTGTTTTACTTTATCACTTTATCACTGTGTATCTTCCCGGAGAACAATTGAGAACTATAAAGCCGTGCACCAAATACTTGGGTCGACACGGAAAAACCCTGCGTTTTGACGTACATATGATACATGCATGCAATTGGGTATGGACGGGACGTGGTAACGGACGTGTCAGAGGGCAGGATTTCTTAATCCAGCACCCTCGTTAATCCAGCAGAAAACACTGTAGCAAAAGGTGCCGGATTATAGAGGGACGACTGTACCAGGCTTACGTCTGTGCGGGCGTTGCTGTCGGCATGACACTCCACGGTGATGATTGCCTGGTTGCCGGGAGCAACGGAGCCCATGGCCGGCGAGCAGGTGAACGGTCCGATGAGCAGGCGCGAGTTGGAGCCCTGCCCCGACATGCCCTCGGGCCTGCAGCACACACAGACACGATGCAAGCAAACAATAATAGAGTGCCGCACGGTGCATTGTTTTACCCACTACATGTACTCCAGCACAACACAACACAACACTCTAGTGATGCGAAGACACACACACAACACAACACTCTAGTGATGCGAAGACTCAATGGCAACATCTTATTAAAGAAGAGACATGGTGGCATGCCCTCGGGCCTGCAGCACACAGACATGTTAGGACACACGATGCAAGCAAACAGTAGTACAGTATCGTGCGGTGCATTGCGGGTGCACTACTTGTGCATTGCCTTGACCGATGTCTACTCCAACACAACACAACACAACACAACACAACACAACACAACACCCTGGTGATGTGAAGACTCCAATGATGCAAGGAGCAACACTACAGCATCACACGGCGCATTGCTGGGGCATTGTTTTAACCCGCTACGTCTACTCCTACACAACAGAACACCAGAGTGATGTGAAGATTCCATTGCAACATCATAATATAAGAGAAATGACATCATAATATAAGAGAAATGACATCATAATATAAGAGAAATGACATAATAATTACAAGAGAAACGATTGGTAGAACACATCTAGTGAAATGCTGGTAAATATCTACCGCCATTTTGCCAGATGTGTTTAACCACCACTTCTCCTACGACGCCACACTGGTGACAATATCGATGCAGCGGTTGACCATCGACCGTCAACAAAGACGTCGTGGAAGGAGTGAGCCGGCTTAGCTTATGGAAATCATGTTAACAAACGCAGCTCGCCCATTGTGCGCATGTGACGCACTGCAATGACATAACTCAACTCTAGCCAAAAGCAACACACTGCACACCGAAGAGAAAGATGATAGGCAGGGAAGATTGCACAAACTGTGTGTTACCACAAAGTAAATAAAATGCAGGGATAGTTAAGCGAGGGGCAGTCTAAGTGACCTTTCTTGCACTAGGATAAGGTCAGTTCTGGTATTTACACAAGACTATCCTTTGATAAAAATCGGGCTGGAATTCGCATTCATAGTGTCCCTGTACACTTTCTGCTCTCAGAGTCGGTACTGGTACCAACGCCAAGACACCGACGGAACACAACCGACAAAAGAATAGATGCTGGCGTCCACATTAGTCTAGTGAAGAGCCCAACACAACACAACACATTATGGCAAACTCAAATTGATGATGATAATGGTGTGCACGTAGCGTCGCTGATCAGCTGTGGCTGTGAACATTGTACATGAGCACCATGGCATCATGTGACTACAAGAACACACATACCCGCAAACACAACCGGAGCACTGTCATTCGGAGTCAAAGTCTAAAAGAACCGAAGCCGCAATGCTCTCCCCAGTGTTCACAAGGACGCCAAACTCAAGATAATACTGAACATTGATGTTGGATCAACGGCAATTTCCGGTTAGGAAACACATATCAAGGCGGTGCTTGGAATACTACCTATACAGAACGCAACAGGAGTTGCCGACCCAACACCGTATACTCACATAGAGCACTTCTGGACTAGCAGAGGCAGGTCAACAATTCTGGACCGCGGCTTTGCTGCGTCTTTGATGCCATCCTTCCTGTCCAGCATGACTCTTAGTGCCCGTCTTCGGTCGTTCTCTTTCAGAATACCCGTCAACACGTCCAGGGCTGCTCCTGCATTCGCTCCCGCCTTTCTCTTCAGACTCTCGCTCAGAATCTTCTCAATGGATGGAACTCTGGAGAGGCTTCTACGACGTGCAGCCGCATCTCCCTCCCCACTGCCTGCTTGGTTGCCTCCTGCTGCTGTTGAGCCCCTCCTCGGTATGTTAGTGGATGACCTGCGCCTTCCCTTCTCGCCACCGCCGGTTGAGTCTCGTGTTGTCCGCTCATCCACCGATGCACCAGCTTCCGACAGCCGATTGGAAGAGGATATTTTTCTCAGCTTAGCTTTGCCGTCAGTCCCGCCGGCTACGCCTTCAGTTGGTGTGCCTGGCTGATCACTCTGCCCAAGTAAATTATTCGAACTGGATGTCTTCTTCAATGAAGATCGTCTTGCAGGTTTCGGCTCTTCAGTGCTATGTTGACGTTCAGTCTTTCCTGCTCCCTCACTGCGGTGATCTTCTGGCTCAGTCTTAGCCTCCAAGTCAAAACTAACTCGCCTCGCCGCTTGGGATTTATCTGTTTCCGCTTTTTCTTTCGGTTCATCCGGAGCACTGGCACGACGTGCATGCTTTTCCTTCTCCCCTTCGGCTTGGGCGTCCTTTCCATCACTTGTCACACCGCCTTGCTGGTTCTCCGGAAACACACTATCATGGGTCTCTTGTTGCTCGGAGCCCGTCTGTTGCAATTTTGCCTTCTCCTTGGTTCCTTCCTTAGTTGGTCTAGTAGAAGACTGCTCTTTTTGATCCCGGGCGTCTGGTTTGTTCGAGCCAACCCCTTTGTCATTATCTTTGCTCTGACCGTGTTTTCCATGTGGGTCTTTGCTCTCCGGAAAGCCCACGATGCCAAGGTTTGCACTGGCGCGGCCAGACGCACCCATACCCCTGCCCTTCAGAGGCAAGCCAGGAATACTGCTCAGGAGAGGATTCCTGTGCGTCCTGCCACTGGTTCTGGCCGCTGTCCGTGCCGTGCCCCTTCGGGTTCTGACGGACTTGTTTGTCCGGCGCTTTTGCTCGACAACTGGCACTCGCACAGCTTCATGCTGGAGATGGTCGATATTAAATCTTCATGCAGATAACAGTAGATTACACGAAGCATGCAATTAGTATTGCTTACATCGAGACTAAGAGCTTCAGGAACACATTGAGAGAACAGTTTATATATGCACAGCTGTTAATCACTCCTAGATGTCACACCATGCACAAAATCATTCCCACAAAACGCACCAAGAGTCGGTAAAACTGGAAATTCATACGTTTTCTAGCAATGGCCTGATTTTAGTGGTTTTAACGTGAAAGACGTGCTGCACCCAACATTGGCCTCACCAATCGAGAGTTCACACTCGGAAATTGCCAAAGGTTTCCCTCTCACAAGCTCACATACCGTAATTGATCAAAACTGCTAATCCGGGGGGGGGGGGGGAGAGTGTTTGGCATACCTGGAATTGAAGTCCTTCTTTGCTTGAGCAGCTCTGGCCAGTGCCTCCTTGGCACGTTTGTTCTTCTCCTGGGTATTCTCAATAGCATGCCTGCACATTCAGGACAACAGTAAAAACATGATGGAAGGCCCAAACTCGTTACTGCTACTTTCACCGGATGATTGTTTCGCCGTCTTTCAGAGCCAAACTAACCACGTGCACATGTCTTTGCAAGAAAACTTTTTTCGCGAGCATAGAAAATGCAGAGTTTCTTGACCAAGCGAAGTCAGACGAGATCACACCAGTTCGGGTTTTCTTCTACACACAACTCAGTGATTGTTTAGCATAACGCAGAACTCCGCGAATGTTTAGCATCACATATAACTCAGTTAATGTTTACCCTGTGACCCTCACTTCCCATGGTCAGCAGGTACTCGTTCGAGTGAAATCTCCAGTACCACTTACAGGCGCTTGGCATGGCTGGCTGTGGCCAACGGTGTCACGAGGCCATCGTAGCGCATCAGCTGGTACTTGAACTCAAATTCGCCGCTGTTGATCAGCGTGAACTTCCTCTCACGTCTCGTCTGCATGATCATCGTGCCAAAATTCAGATCCGCAGCCGGCTGCACGTTGTACCTGCGGCAGCATAAGCGGAGAAGAGGAAACACACGCGGTGCACTTAAAAAATAATAATCTCCTTTAATACGGGTTGATGACCCTCTATATATTATGCCACTTGCTCAGTATGCCTCTGTACATGTACACTGATGTCATAAAAAGTACTCCACCGTGGGCTATGTCGTAATATCTGGACTCTGTTATGCGTACACTACTGTACACTGATGTCATAAAAAGTACTCCACCGTGGGCTGTGTCGTAATATATGGACTCTGTTATGCGTACACTACTGTACACTGATGTCATAAAAAGTACTCCACCGTGGGCTGGGGCAGCGTCGAGTTACACACTCTTGGTTATGTAGTCTTGCTAACAAAGAAAGCTGAATGAGGTTAAGCTGCAGCTCAAATTTAAATGCGAAAGAGATCCTTACGCAAGAATTCCACCGAAGGAACTATAGTGTTGATACAGGGTGGGAAAGAGCCCTGGGGAAATGAAATGGAAGCCATTTTTTTCATTAAGTCCACTATGCTCCCGAATGAATGCGGAAAGTGGTGGCGGGGCTCTGCTGCTCAGCCGACCTTGGTGGTCTCAGCGTCTGCACAGCTTCAAGTGGTGGGTGTACTCGAGGGGACACGCACTGTACTAGATTCTGGTGCTCGACGGTGGAGTCAGGTGCAACTAGTCTTATCAAACTGCATGCCCAAGACACAGGATCAGAACAGGAGAAATGCACGTACCGACTGAATACAGCTTTGCATGTGACTCTACAGGGAACGTAGGCGATGGATTCATCTTGCTCTCCACCACAGAACGGGTCCAGAATCTGAGCATGGATACAACACACAGGGAGATCATCAAACAGAGCACTACCTGTTAATTCATGGTGAGAGCATACAGCTAGTCAGTGCTGCCATTTCATCAGCATTGACAATTAGCTAACTAGCTATTTACAAGTTTAAGGAATTTGTGAGGGAGTTAGCTAGTTCCCACCAGTTTCACCCACTGGAGAACCAAGCCATCTGAGCAGCTGTTGAGCATATCGTGATTAAAGCACTGTGCGTAAGAGTGCCACATGCCCCCTACCTCCAAGTGGATAACAGGTGTCCTCAACATCTCCACTTGCACTTCAGGCAGGAACGTGATAGCCACGGCTGTCGGCTTCTCGCCCGGCTGCAGCATGCCTTTCTGCGGTATGATACAGAAGGCGTCGGTCAGTCCCAGGTCCGGCAAAGACTTCTTGTCCACGTGATATCTGTATAGCAAACACAGCATCAAGCACAGCCTCCCTTGAAGTGAAATGGAAACACTACACTGGAGCACTACACTCCACTGTACTGTAATTATCATGACATAGCGGCATTGCTGCTCAGTGCTGCCACATTAAAAAAAAACAAAAAAAAAACTCTGCACTGGTGGGCTGCAGCCTTGTGCATGTGTACACCAGAGTTGCACAAATACTCGTGGTGCTGTATAAACTGAGACCAATTTTGAAGTTAACTGGCCACTGCTGCTATTAGAGGAAAGTGTAAGGAGGATCGAATGGCTAGATTTTGGTACAGGATGGGATGGTCAGTGTAGACATGCAGGGGCGTCGGACACGCTACAGTCACTGCGGTATTGACCGTACCACTCTGTGCCCCGGCTACCAACCCGTGAATCAATGAAAAGTACCGATTTGGGCTCTAAATTTCGAAAACATTCAGAGAAGCCACCCCAACCCCACGAGTAATTTGTATTTCAGGTGGATGACCGTACCGCCCTAGAATACCTTCCGACGCCCCTGACATGTCCCATCGCCCCTGACATGTCTCATTTTTGACTTACTGATAGTTCACTGTGTATTTGCCCTTGTTGCGCAGGTGCATCGTGAGCTTCTGCTCCTCGTACACGCGACAGGCGGCGAACTCGAGTTCGCTGTCCTCGCTGCCGCTGGGACTCTTCGGGTAGTTGATGTCGACGAGAACGTCGTACACCTCGCAGTTGACGGCCAGGTTCTCGGAGTGAACCATGCCCATCGTGTGGTCTTGGTCAAACACCTGTGATCAGCGAGAATACGACAGAGTGAGGCCAAGGACACGATGACATACAGAGCAAATATATTATACGTATATAATACAACCCAACAGTACGCTTGTACGTGAAATATAAACCGACATACAAACCGAGGCGAAGCCGAGGCGAAGCCGAGGTTTGTATGATGGTTTATATTTCACGTACAAGCGTACTAGTGGGATGTATTATACTTATGCTGACCTTCATACAAACTGACAGTCAACTTCTTCCTGTTTCTATGGTGGCGGTCTATATGGGGTTTGTATGGGGTTTGTATGAGGTTTATATGCCCAGTATAAGCCGCCAGCCTGATGGGCAAGTTGACTGGAAGGTTGTATGAAAGGTCAGCATAAACATACATATGGCAAGGTACATTTGGGCCTGGTTTAAATCTGGCTTTGGAAAATTCATTTTTCATTGCTATCAGGTTCGGCCTCATATTCTCTGTGCTGCGCTGATGAGTCCACAAAGGACGAAACAATTCTGTCGGCAGACTGAGCAAATATATACATGTAGATATAGAGAGAGAGTGAGAAAAAGGTAAAATGATTAACAGTAGAGCCAAACTGTTACACAATCGATAATGGCAACAATGGGAACAAGAGCAGAGCAAGGAAGCTGCACGCAATGCCTAGAGCTCAGAACATGTTCCCACTTGATAGACAGCTGGAAAGATAGAACAGTGCAAATGCATACCTCCAGTCGAAGTGACTTCTTCAACGCAAAGGCTCGTAGTGACTTCACAGTGAGCTTCACCGTAGCGGAATCACCGGGTGCAATTACTCCATGATCGTTGTCCAAAGTGAACTCGTCGCCCAGCTCCTTTATACCAGTAACATGGAAAGCAACTGGCAGCATACTTTTGTTGTAAATCTTGACTTCTTTCGTCACAGATCTGTGTGTAAGAGAGCAAAGTGAAATGAGAGATAGGGAAATAGAACAGAAAGAGAGAGAGAGAGAGAGAGAGAGAGAGAGAGAGAGAGAGAGAGAGAGAGAGAGAGAGAGAGAGAGAGAGAGAGAGAGAGGGAGGGAGAGAGGGAGGGAGGCAGAGAGAGAGAGAGAGAATGAGATAGCTTGATGGATGGATGAAGCCACACAAGTAGGCACTGCATACAACACTTGAGACTTGAGACAAGTTTGCTCCAAAGCATAGAGAACATGATGGATGCTATCCAGACGGGACAGTGTCCATATAGTGAATGCACGTAACTGCATACGAGAACGCACCTGCCCATAGCTACACGCGAGAAGGGGAACTCGTTGGGTTCCGCTACCAGGTGTGGCTTAGAAGACCAGCAGGTGACACCGAAAATCAGCGGCTCGGGGTTCTGGTTGAAGGCGATTCGAAGCACATCTTCTACATACACGCTATCCTGCTTCATTCTTGGGAAGGCGCTAATCGTCAGTGCCTACGGGTTGGAACAAGTAGTATCGGCAGCAGCAGCAACACCAACAACAGCAGCAGCAGCAGTGACAACGGCAATGACAAAATCAGCAACAGCAGCAGCAGTGGAAGAAGCAGCAAAGTATACGTGAATCAAGATATTTCCACGAAATCGTACATGGCAAGTGCACCAAGAACAGGGTCAGAGTTCACACGAATGTGACAAAGAAGACTTCTTCTTTTTTCTTGTACGCGTATAAAAGAAAGGATACTAACATCAGGATGAGTGGCTGAGTGAAATACAGTGGAAAAGAGGAGAGGAGGGAGAGAGAGAGGGGAGAGGAAGAAGGTGGGGGTGGAGGGAGAGCGCTAAGAGAGAGAGAGAGAGAGAGAGAGAGAGAGAGAGAGAGAGAGAGAGAGAGAGAGAGAGAGAGAGAGAGAGAGAGAGAGAGAGAGAGAGAGAGAGAGAGAGAGAGAGGGAGAGAGAGAGAGAGAGAGAGAGAGAGAGAGAGAGAGAGTGAATGATTGCGTGAGAGAAAGATAGGTAGAGAGAGGGGGGGGGGGAGGGGGGAGGGAGGGAAGAAGAGGAAGAAGGAAATGATGGGGAGGAAGAGATGAGAGAGAGTAACGCAGAGCATAGATAACGTACCCCCTTGCCGGCTGGTGGCAACACCATGTTGCGTGGCTCCACAAAGAATGTTTCACCGGAGTCGTCGCGTTCAAAAGACGGATCAACAGTAATGGGCAGACCAGTTGTGTTGATCACTTTCACCTTGACCATGTTCTCCGGGAATCTTCCCTCTAGCATGCTGCACAGAGCATCAATATAACAAGAAGCAGCCGTGGCAGCACCACCAACAACAGCAGCACCAACAGCAGCACCACCAACAGCACCACCAACACCAGCAGCAGCAGCAGCAGCAACAGCAGCAGCAGCAACAGCAGCAGCACCACCACCAGCAGCAGCAGCAGCAACAGCAGCAGCAGCAGCAGCAGCAGCAACGGCAGAGGCAAAAATAGCACAATCCACAATAGCAAAGATATACATGTAAGACCAAAGTTCAAATATTTATCCAAATCTGGTGAAAAGGAGAGTGTCATTGTATGCACATAGGTATTTCACCATCATGAGAATGGAGAGTTTTCACCAGAGCACACATCAATCTAGAAATTGCCAGCCATAATCAGATGAAGAAAAGCAATGCTCCTAACAGAATTCGTGCCAACTCGACATCCTGAAGAGAGCTGCATGCCAAATATAAGTAATCCAGTTCCGACAGAAAACTATGCTCTGCTACACTCATATAAGGAATGGACAATAATGCTTGATGTGCGGGACATGGATGAAATTCCTTTGTGATAGGCTTATTCTGGACAGTTGCAGCTTCACCATGGCTGTCAGGACATGGCAAGGCAGAATGGGGCAGCACGATGTTACGACAGACGAGGGGGACATGAGGACAAATGTTGCAATATACGTACCGGTCATGCGGTTTGCCGGATAGCAGCGAGCCAAAGAAGTACGTTTTGGACTCCGTCACGAACACCCTCTGGGGCTTGGCGCCACCACGAGGCATGCGCGATATCATGTTTGGCCAAATTATCCTGAAATCACACAGCAAACACAGCAATATGGTGGACCACATTGTACACAATCATGCTTCAAGTATAGACACTCAGTGCCACTCAGTGCCACTCAGTGCCACTCAGTGCCACTCAGTGCCCGTAGATTGCAGTAGTGAGCTAGTCCGGGCGTTAGCGGCCATCGCGAGTTCTCTTGGGAACGGCGACAAAATGAACTTACTTGCCTACCTATTGCTCACAAACTGTGTTTGGCTCTGATACGGATATGGATATGGATATGGATATGAGTGGATGATACAGTGAAACTTCACTATGACTACCTCCAGGGGAAACTCCCTTATAACTACCTACAGGGGACATACACATCTGTGCGTTCTAGCCCAGGTGCTGCACATCCAGGAAGCGGTTTTGCAAGGTCCTAAATGTTTTTTTTAAACCATACCAGTACCTCGGTGCCAGGCCAGCAGGCACTAGGCAGGGAGATAGCCTCTCCAGACACATAACGTGCGGGGCACATGTACATTCATATCAGATTCGTCAGGCGAAATAGTACGTCATAGTACATTCGAGATCAGCGGGAAGAAGATGACGACGTCCACTAATTTAGTATCTGTGCACACGAATCTGCTGTGTGTGTTACTCTGTGTGTCAGCTATGGCATCATCGCCTGTGGTTCCATGCCTAGCATGTACGTCTGAACCATCCTGCAAAGTTTGAATGACGTAGGTTGAGCGATCGCTCCGCGAAACATACTTTTTGATATTCTCTTCATAGTATATCTTCCACCACTGAAATTTCGAATTTCTTCGAATTTTTTGCTGAGAGTGGTGGCTTGCAACCTCGATATGGCTTGTTCCAGGCTTTCTTTGGAGCCATCGCCTGTTGAAACAGTGGCGGGAAGCTGCCCTGCAACTGTTCCAACAGGAAATTAATCGATCCGAGAAAGCGCGAGTCCGCGAATCTCGGTTGAATATTGAGTATTTCAAGCCTTTTCACGACGAAGATGGAGTTCTTTTTGGAGATGGACGTCGCGGCAAAGGACATGGTCTCCAACTTCTGGCGTCTGGTGAAGCCAGGGATCATTTGTCCAGTCAGGTCGGCAGCCTAACCGTCGGTAAGCTTGTGTTTGGATCCCGTTCTGCTCGATGTGGTAGATCACAAACAATTTGATATCGCACAAATTGATCTCAGCATCGTGCGTACGGTATTTTATATTCAGAAAATCCCAAAGTGTCTCTGTGTGGCTGTCCTATGCCACGAGAAACTCCAATCAGGCTCCTATGTCCTCTGCCTTCATGATTGAATGTCCACTTCGTTTGAACAACGAACACAACAATCGAGGACGGCTTTGCAATGAAAAATACAGCTATACTGGAGCTGGAAAAAAAAGAAGAAAAAAACGTGCTCAGGATGAGACTCGAGTACACGCATACTCTCCCAGCAGGTGAAACGCAAATTTTTGTGAAAAATGCGTGACGCCGACTGACCAGTAATTTCGCCTGACGTGGAAGCTGCACAAATAAACCAGGCCAGATATGATCCCCTGACCATGCCATAGATAAGGCGAACTAAGGATTGCATTTTGGAAATGAACAATACCAAAGCATTGTTACCTAGGCAACTTACTGAGGCAGCCGATTCATGTCCGGGTACCTGGAGATTCCACGACAGAACAGGTCGTATCTGCGCCGACTGCCGACAATCTCGAATTTCAGAACCTTACCGTAGACAAATGGGGAGCAAACAGACAGAGAGCTGCGTTGAGAGAAGGACCTGCACACAGGAGGGTGTGCTAGTAGGCACACTGCCTCTTGCTTAACACATGCCAAATAGAACTTGACGAAATGCCTCCTATCTCCTAAAATATGTGGCTCCCAATCCGAACAAACTAACTAACGTTACTTCTTGCCCAAGATTATTATTATTATTATTATACGCACGTCCGCGTTTACGTCAACAGTAAGTCCACATATTCGCATGTGCCAGAAGACAGGCAGAGTGGGCAGAGAGGAAAACAAAAAATAAAAGTAAAAAGACAGCAGGCGATAGGCACATAACTCATGAACAAGAACACAGGAGAAAAGCATAATGGAAGCAGAAATTTGATCAACATTTAGAACGGCGCTTCACGCAGCTCCATTGAAACAAATCTAGGCAGATAGCAACACTGGACAACACTCAGTCGCACCGCAATTTCACAGCGTCAATCTGAAGTTGTGGCTCAATGTTTCGGTCACTATGACCATCCTTAGCATGACATAGGCAAGGAAGCAAGGCAGACTTAAAAAAAGGAGCTGCTTAAAAATTCGATGTCAATGCGGAACAGAACGATGGCTTGCGACAAGAGAAGGACAATCTTTACCTTGTCAACGGTGCTTTGGACCTTCCTGAGAAAGTGGACATGGAATGAGACAGAGCCTCGGGGCGGCACTACCCATCGATGTACAGGTCGCACCGGCCTGTACAAAGGGATAGTGAATAGTTCGTAGTACAACAAACCAGTAGTTTACGGACTTAAAAACTGCATCATTAAGAAAAGGGAGCTGCCAACTGACAACCGCTCTATTCAGCTGCTACTCATTCAGTGTGCCGAGTTAGTAGTACTTGAACAATTAGTTGTATTGACTTGCAAAAATGCGACATCACCGACGAGACCACGAATAAAGTCTGGACAGAACAAGCATGTCCAGTTTACACAATCATGCACAATTTCCGAGGGCTACCCTACGGTAGGAGAGAGGGCCCTGTTCCAAGTGCATCCTGTCAACTGGTGTACAATATGACTCGTGTAATGACTAGTGACGCCATGCACTATTTGTGGGAATGGTCAAATAAAAATAGAATAGGCAATGTCCGCAAACGAGAACTCACGGTGGCTTCTGTTCAGCTGATGCCATGGACATCTGATCCAGACTTGCTGTAGACCTGGACAATGACAGTTTACAGTTCGCTCATTGGAAAAACTGGCCCTCTGACGTTTAAATTTAGATCTTAGTAGGTGCGATAGAATAGCTGTTTTCTTTTTACAGGCCGCATTGGACACCACCATGCTCAGAATCAAGGTGCAGACACACCGTTTTGATTTTACCAACAACTACAGGCAAGGCAAGGCACCACAACCTGACAGACAGAGAGGATGGCGAGGGCGACTTACGGCCGAGAAGAGATGCTGTCCTCCGAAGCAGCAGATGCCCGGCCGGACCGTTTGGGCGGCTGTGGAGACTTGGCCACTGACTTCCGGCCACTTCCACTCTTCTTCCCTAGAGACGTAGCCGAGCCTTTCTGCGACCTTGAAGAGCCGGGTTTTTTGGTACCCTCCTAGAACACACATGGACAAAGTAGGGCATTGTTATTACGTGGAAGCAAGTGTAACGCATACTATGCCATATTTTACTCTTTTTCTGATAAACAAACATTGAGTGTCTTGAGAGAGGCATGCACTGGTCAGTGATACACACTGTATCTACACGACATTACACAATGCATCTTCATATTACTTCTTTTGGTTCTTCTTCGGAAGGACATGGTGTGTATGGGGGGGGGGGGGGGGGGAGATACGGAAATTGGTTCTTTCTAAAATGCCATGTGGATGAAATATGCAGTGAAAATACCCCATCCTTACTGATGTAGCGTGGCTATCAGCTTCCTTGCTGCCGGCTGACTGCCCACCCCCGAATCTGCACAGTACAAGAGCATCCGAAATCAAGATAATTTTACCCATATCAAGAAGTTCGGCAAATCCACCAAAACCCCTCGCACAGAGTGCATTCCGAGCAGTCCACCATCGGCGGTAATCAATAAAATAAATAGCCCTGATTTCTGCAGTGGCAGTGGGAGCATATACAATGTGAAGTACTGCTCGACATGAATGAAATCCAGTCGCCTCACTCAAGTTTGCGCCTTGCACCATTTTGCAGCCCAGTGTTCGCAGGTCTAGGGCTGCGCCGGCGCGTACTTGAGAGACGCGGCTGGATTTCATTGAGCGGCACAGCAATTCGACTTACGGTTCCATCACGGGTTCCGGGGGTGGCGGAGGCGCTGGTTCGGCCATCAGAGAGAAGCAGGCAAGATTCTCAGTTTCCATCTCCTCGACATCTAGTCCCGGATGCTGGACAAGTTGGAATGTTGCCTGAGGCAATTCCGTTGGATTCCCAGGCCCAAACGGTATATCAGCTATCACCTGAGCAGCCAGAATATTGAACCAGGAACTGAGTAAAATATTCCAAAAAGGAGAAAAAAAGATTGCCTGGAGAACCCGGGTATCGATCCCGGTACCTCTCGCATGCTAAGCGAGCGCTCTACCATATGAGCTAGTCCCCCTGCTTGGCAACACTAGCTTTCTTAGTTACTTTATCCGAACATGAAATGCTCAGCCTCAGGAAGAAGCAGTACACATAGAATGGGTCTATACAGAGCATCTTGCCATGTGTTTGTGCGTTTGTGCCTGGAAACACACCCAACCAAAGTTATAAAGCAGAATGAGCCTATGACATAACGACACATTGTTGTTACCCCACCCCACTCCTAACCATCTCTCTCTCTCTCTCTCTCTCTCTCTCTCTCTCTCTCTCTCTCTCTCTCTCTCTCTCTCTCTCTCTCTCTCTCTCTCTCTCTCTCTCTCTCTCTCTCTCTCTCTCTCTCTCTCTCCTCTCTCTCTCTCTCTCTCTCTCTCTGTGTGTCTCTCCTGTCTCTTTGTGTGTGTGTGTTGTGTCTCTCTCTCTCTTCTCTCTCTCTCTCTCTTCTCTCTCTCTCTCTCTCTCTCTCTGTGTGTGTGTGTGTGTGTGTGTGTGTGTGTGTGTGTGTGTGTGTGTGTCTCTCTCTCTCTCTCTCTCTCTCCTCTCTCTCTCTCTCTCTCTCTCTCTCTCTCTCTCTCTCTCTCTCTCTCTCTCTCTCTCTCTCTCTCTCTCTCTCTCTCTCTCTCTCTCTCTCTCTCTCTCTCTCTCTCTCTCTCTCTCTCTCTGTATGTCTCTCTCTCTCTCTCTCTCTGTCTGTCTCTGTCTCTCTGTCTCTCTGTCTCTCTGTCTCTCTTTCTTTCTTTCTGTCTCTGTCTCTCTCTGTCTCCGTTTCTCTCTGCCTCTCTGTCTGTCTGTCTGTCTGTCTCTCTCTCTGCCTCTGCCTCCTCCTCCTGAGTCTGCTAGTTTAGTTTTGTACATATAATTTAGTTGCTAGCCTGCCTGCTGACCAGCCATACAGCTGACGGTACAGTAGAGCAGAAAAGAGGCTAAGTGATTACTGAGTGTTACTGTGATATGCTGTGCAGCTAGAACACGGTTTATGTCTGCTTACCTCTTCAAGAGATGGCGTCAGACTGTCCAGGTACTGTGCTACTAGCTCGGCGGACTGCCCTATGTCCTCGGCAATGGTGGTGTAGAGCATGTCCATCATCGGCTCAGCCTGCGACTCTATGGAACAGGTGCTAGGCCGCTGTTGGCCGCTTGATCTCCTCCTCTGCCCTTGCTCACCGTGCTCCACTTGTTCGTGTTGTTGCTCATCTTCTTCGCGCCCTGTCTTACCCTCGTGCTGAGTCGAGCCGGATGAGTGTGTGCTGGCCATGCTGTGTGCGCTCTGAAGACTGGTCTGGCGAGCCGGTAATTCCCCTTTGCCAGGCCAGTACAGCTGGTCTATTGACACGCGGAGCTTTTTCGCCAGCTGATGCATGGCGCTTTCATCGACTTCCGCCTGCTCTTCTCGGGACACCGATGACGGCTGCCGACACTGCATCGGCAGGACGATCGCCGATGTCTTTGGAATACGCGAGTGCAGGCTATCAGTGTTAGCAGTGCTCGATGCATCGGATTCAGTTGACCGTGCGCTGGATGGCACTGGCAGCTCATCCAGGCCCTCGATGACACTGTAGGGATAGTCGAAAAGCCGTGAGTCCGTTCCATCTGGTGCCTCCGTTGCCTGCGGAGGTCTGGGGAGCTGGACATCGATTGAGACGTAGGTGGGGAACTCGAAATCCTGCTCCGCTTTGTCCTGTGTGGCGGCTGCTGCGGGTGCCATTGAATCAGGCTTTGCAACGTCCGCTCGGCTCTGTTGTAGACACGCCACAAAGAGGAAATGAACATTTGTGCGATGTGCAAGACCTTTTCGCGGTATTCAACTTTCAAAATGTGGAGAAGAACAGCATTATGCATGTGAAGACGTAAGCCCCTCAGCCAGACACACCTATTTACAGTACATTTTAAAGGTGCCTTACAAATTATGGATTTCTATAAATTTCTAAATTTCTCCCTTACGTCCGTCTCCTTGACCCGGCCCAGTCCTTTCTTCCCAGTACCGCCAGCCGGCGGAGCTTGCTCTACTGGGCTTGGCTTTTCTGGGTCGGGCACGAATCCCCCGTCATCCGGGTGCCACAGGCCCATCACTCTGGGCAGAGTCGCGCGCGACGCATAGTACTCGGGGAACCTGTTGACGAAAGAAATAAAAAATAGGAGAATATTAATTTACACACAGACTGAGCTACACTTTCCTCCGGGCCTGCAGACTCCACTATAGCCAATTCATCTCTCATACAATTCCTGAAGATGGGCCTGGCCCAAAAAGTTGGATTTATTTATTTTTAAACCTTTCTTATTATTCACAAATATTTCAGCCGAAAGACCGTTTTGGGTAGTGGCGTATAATTGTGTGAGAGACTCAGCTAGCTAATATTAAGGCACGCATGGTTTTCACATATGAACTCAGGGCCAGTCGAGGCAACTCAACCGAGTTGTCAACGTACCATGGTGGAGAGCGGTACACACGAATAGAAGAGCAAACAGCCCCCTATGTCCTGTAGTTGTCTAGTTTTCACTGGTGGATGCCACTCATGGCAAAGTGTTGGAGCAGGCCAAGCCTAGACATGGACTGCAATTGTACATGCAATAGCAACGCAAAGCCTCGCTTACGGGCAAATAACTTCCACAATGCTCCATTTTTCTTATGACAGGATTCTGCTCGGAATGTCATTGCCTTTAGCATCTCCTTTATTCTATTAAGCCTTAAGTCTTCTATCGTACGCTCTATCGGCAACATTCATTCTTACCCAGGTAGTTCACCGTCGAAGTCAGCTGGAAAAGGTGGAGTGTCAGCTGCTGGGCATCTTGCTGACTCTACCTCATCCTCGACTACAGTAGCCTCGTCCGCAATTTTGTCAAGAGTCATCGTTGAGTCAAAGCGACTGCGGGAAGCACCGGCCAGCTTGCTTTTCCTGAGAAGGAACATGACCAACAGGACAGGTATCAATAAAATGAAGAACACGGAAACAGCTAGCTATCTGGAGATTGAGTAAATTGAAAATGGTAAATTGATCCGGCTTTCTTTTAAATTTTGATCCGGCTTGGCTCTCCATCCGAGTCTTACTTAGGCCACGCCGTTTTTTTTCTATGTTTCGCGTCACCTTATTCGATGAAATCAATGAGGGAGGGCGAAAAAAATAAAAAAGCCATCCAAAAATAAACAGTGTACGTGCATTGCATTTGTATACAGTGAAGCGACGCGGCACTGTTCATGTACATTGACATGTACATGAATACATGAGTGTATCCCCTCTGCCATGCTTGTGGTCCAAACACAGGCGACATGATGATTGTGTGACTTGCGGCCCAGCTTATTGCACACACATGTAGTACATGTACAATGTACATGTGTGTGAGCTGAGTTACATTTTCCGGTTTTCTGGTTTGCATTTAATAAATTTGTATTGCATTTCCAAAAAAAAAATTTTTGTTCCGTTTTTTTTTTTATTATTATTTTTTTAACTCCGGCTGTCAAATACCGTAAAGTACCGTTGATCCGCCCCCACGCCATGTCGCTTCACAGCTGGGTTTTCGGCAGGGGGCGGGAATTAGATCAAGGCTGTCAAGTGCAGTACGATGTACAACAACGTAGAGGATCAGACTCAATGTGCTGAATTGTGCACATTTTGATCCTGGATTGGCAAGTTTGTGCACAGCAGTGCATGCGTCGGTTCAACATCGTATTTCGTTGTATACGCCGAAGTCGCTTCACAAGGAGGAGAAAATCGACAGGGGGCGGGAATTAGAGAGGGGGCGGATCAACGGTACTTTACGGTACATGCGCGCGGGGGACGCGAAACATAGATAAAAAACGGTGTGGCCTTATACGAGTTGTGATTGTGTATTGTGAAGTCTCCAAGATACACTTATAGAAAAGAAAAGCACCAAGGAACTACAGGTTACGCTATATCAAATGTCCACTCACACCACCAGTTACTGAACAATCAGCTCTTGCGATAACATTGCACAAAACTGGCCGACTGTACTGACGTTCCACAACTAAGGCAGGATGTGTTTACTTTGAGGGAAGCTGCGAATGATACAGACATTTCTGTGCATGCTGTAGCTGGCTTGGAATTTCCAGGGAGAAAGAAATCGGGGAAGAACTTGAACATAGTTCACATTCCCCTGCTGAAGCTCAACTCCCTATTCGTGAAGCACAGCACACTCGTTATCGGAATCAGAACAAAGAACAATGTTAACCATTCCTGGACTAACATTGCAACATACCCAAGTTCACCGGCGTCGCCAATCGATGTCTTAGACTCCAACCCCGCAGCGGCAGCATCCGGCGGCACAAGGAGGCTGTTACTGCGCTGGTGGGCGCCTGAGGATGGCCGTGAGCCGCGCCTGACCAAGTTAGCCACAGAGCCCGACGGTGACTGGCCGACCAACTGGTGCTTGGACATTTTCTTCTTTTTCTTCAGGTTTCTGAAGACAGTCCAATCAGCAGAATACAGAAACTCAACCACCTTCATATACCCTTCATATACAGAAGTTAAGGAGTGTTGTTGTTGTTGTTGTTTGTTGTTGTGGTCGTCGTCGCCATCGTCGTCGTCGTCGTTGTTGTTGAATTCTATATTCTCATGTTGGCACCATCGCCAATATGCGTTGTTGTTTTATTTTAATTCGCACTCTTTCTCTTTCTCTTGTGTCCGTATGTGTGAGTGCTGAGAAAGGAGAGTTATATCAGCTCAGCAGTAGAATACACTGTGAGAGATTTCAGCTCTACATTCAGTGCGTGCATCTGAGAATCATGGTCGCATCAGCCCTCGGTGTCCAATGTGAACTACTGCTAAGAAAAACCCATGCCAGCCGGTCTTACTTCTCCTCTTCGAGCCGTCTCTCCTCCGCTTCTTGTGCCTCGCGAATTCTGCGCTCTTCTTCCTCCTTCTCCTGACGTCTGCACGCAGAACAAGGGTTTAAAAAAGCCCACAGAAGATGCGGTTGATGAATGTCAAAGCCTTTGGGACAAAATGATGCGTCCAGAACAGCATGATTGCTAACTACACGGACTTGAAATACAAATTACTAGTTTGAGTAGGCCCACCGCAACTAATCCGGTCATACAGATCACCACCGGACCAACTTGTTGGCCACTCTAATGCATGTTTCCAGCTGAGGAGTCTAAAGTACCCACTGCATGTACATCATAAGTGTAAAAAGGGTATGGAATGGCTGGGCCCAGTCAAAAACGGCGTGTGGCGGTCCCGTTGAGGTAGGTACAACGGCAAGAAGTGCCATTACATTGCAATGACGCGTTACATATCCATGGTCATTGCTCTTACTTTCTCAATCGCTCTTGCTTCTTGTCCATGGCTTGTTGTTCGTCAACACGTCTTCTTGTGTCTTCGTCCAAGTTCAAGTAGTCCTCTTCCGCAATGGTCCTCCAGTCGGGCAGTTCCACAACAACTGGTGTCTCGGGGCGGTCGAATTCTGAAGAGAGAGAGAGAGAGAGAGAGAGAGAGAGAGAGAGAAACATGATGAACACATATGGACCGTGTTGGTGAAAAATGCTTGAACACATACGCATCAACGGGGTCCTATATGGGTATTTAGATTACAGCAGTTACAGCATTGATCGTGCGGCAACAAGAAGACACTTTTTTCTACAACTGTTAGCTACACGTACTGTAAGGTGAGGAAAATCTGAGTCACTGCACCAACAACGACATCATACTCTATCGTGCAATGATGTCATACATGACAGCATTGTACTTTGAGTGTGTCCGTAATGATTGATGTGGCTACTGAATGACTCACCGGTGTACTCAAAGAATGGTCGCCGCCTGTCGCGTTGATCCAGGCCGCTTCTGTCACAGTACAGGTCAAAGAAGTAGAAATGCCTCCTGTTGCCCACGGCACGGCGAATGACGCGATAGGCCGCGTCCATATCACTGAGAATGGTAGTTTGAAGACCGTCGAAGATTGCACCTAGATAATGCTCATCTCTCTACAAGGAAACAATGGCAAACAACAGGAAACCCGTGTCAAATAAATAAAACCGAAGTCAATCTAAATTACGCAGGCTCAAATGTGGCACTACAAGTGCTTGGACAGGGTTCAAAAATGTGAGTAGGGAAGGATAGAGATAGTGAGCGGTGTGATAATCCAGGGAAGCACATTCAAAACACATAGCAAAATGAAAGGCGCATGTTTCGAGGCGGCTGTAATGCCAAAATGCAACATACGGTACGGCCGTCATCAAAACACGGCAGACGCACTGCGACAATGCCTTACTGCAATTTCCTAATTCACGAGCGCACAGCACATATCCCGTACTACTAAAACGTGTTTGACTGAACGCACAAACCAATGATGATATGAATCTACTCACCATCAGCCGGTGGCGCAGGATTTCTACGGCAATGTCTTCGTCCAGTGGTACGGTAATGTCATCGCGACTCGTGCTGGCACGCTCAACGAGCAACGGGTCGATCGATTCGTCCAGTGGAAAGGCCGAATGTGCAGTGTGCGCTGGCGGTGATGTCAGTGTGCTGGCAGATAGAGGTGTGGCGCCAGCTGCGTCACTAGAGACACCTTGAGCCTTACCACTGGCTAGAGGGCTGATCGGGGCATGAGCGTTGCCACCGCTCCCCGAGAGTGTCGATGTGCTCAACTTCTTGGACATGCCCGGTTTGCCTCCCTTCTTGCCAGCTGCGTTTGCCGCGGCTTGCTGCTGCGCCGCTTCCAGCTCTCGTTGATGTGCCACGAGGATTTGAGTGCGCGCTCTGATCAGGTATTCGGAGGCCTTCGCGCCACCGTGATCGTCAAGGCCATCGATGGCTTCTTGCAGCACCTCGTCCAGCGTCAGGGACTTGACGTGGTACTTCTCGGCGAGCCGTTCTGCGTGTGTGGTCTTTCCAGAGGACGGCGCGCCATGAACGACAATGATGATGCCCTGAGAGCGACGCTCCTGCCGCCCGTTGGTGCTTGCGTCGATGCCAAGGCTCCGACAGATCGCTCTTACCGACGGAGGCATATTATCTTGCAAGCCAAGCTGCGGATCCATGAGTAGTTGGGTGAAGTGCTGCGGTGACATTCTCCTGAAGTCCGCAGGTAGCCCAGCGGTGATGTCTGCACCAAGGTTGGAAATACTACGCTGGATACGAGACATAGGCGACATTGCTAGTTCCCTGGCGGCCTCTAGCTCAGCGATTCGGAGGGCTTCAGCGGCTTCAGCTTCCGCCGCCTCCCTTGCCTCTTTCTCTTTCTTAGTTTCTTTCTTCTCCTTCTTCTTCTCCTTCTCCTTCTCTTTCTCCTTCTGCTCCCTGGCGCTGCCCTTGTTGGATGCACGCGACTTGCCACGACCAATAGACGTTGCAGATTCGGCGAGTGCTACCGTGCTTGAGACATCCATTGCGGATGCATCGGCCTGGAGCTCTTCGGCAATCTGTTGCTTCTGATCTTGGATCATCTTGAGCGTATCTCGGTACTCTTCAAGAAGTTCGATAGGCAGTCCGCTACCGGCTTCAATCGGCGGTACGATCATCTTGTGCTGCCTGTCAAAGGTATTGTCCCAGGTCAGGATCTGCAGTGGGTCATACCAACATTAAATAATGACAATGGTGTCCTAAAGAAACAAACAACCATAATACGCCCAGAACCAACATCACATAGAGCACCACAACCTCTAACTCTACATGTACTTCCATATTCGGACAAAATTACAACTTTTGACCTCCCCCCCCCCCCGCCCCCCCCCCCCTCACTCTTTCTCTCAGAAACGTCCCACACAACAAACTCTCTCACAAACACCCCTCACCCCCCCCCCCCCTTCACAAACTCCCCTCATCACCCCTCCCTCGCTTGCCAACATATATTTACCTTCTGCTCAATTCCAAACTGGGTGTCAAATTGCGTGGCAAAGAACTCGACCGGGAAGTCGCACGGGTTCTGCACGGTGATCTCCGATGACGCGGTGTCATCCGGCAGTGTTGGACCGATCTCTCTGGTGCCGGCCGGGAAGATCAACCGAGGTTCAAGTCCTCTGCCAGACACCTGAACTTCATAGGTGTTTGCCAATCCCTCAACAACTATCTTGAATGACTCCTTGTATTGTTTCTACACGACAAAAAGAACAGCGGAGAAGGTCTGCAAAAGCCAGGGCTCACCAGCATACATAATTATAAGAGAACATTCCATGATCCAGTCGATAAATGGTTTCTTTGGTGTGAACGTCCAGAAATAAGAGTTCTCCCTGCCCTTTGGACCAGCAGAAGTTGTGACTCGTACATGTATGGGTCTCAGTGAAGGGAATATATGTATGTACATGTACATGTGTCTGATTGGAGCACACTCCCAGACTCCCAATAGGGAGACTTCTAACGTTACAGAATCAAAATGTTACACAAATCACCGTAGACATACCTCTTCCAGAGGGGTGAAGATCACGGACAGCTGCTGCGTGTCACGCGTGTCGATCTCTCCCTCGACGGGGTGTGTGCTGAACGCAGACTTCGGCAAGCTCTCTGCCATCGCCTGCTTTCTAAGATGCAGCGGCATGAACTTGTCAAGCTACAACAAACATACATAAGTTATTGAGAATCTTTAGATACCAGTAACGGTCCACAGATAGTTCTCAAATGTTCATGTTGATCGGCGGTACAGATACTTCATCCGGAAACAAAACAAAAACACTTTGTGACCTCTTTGTAGTATTCTTCGGGAAACGGCACATGCTACATGCATAACATAACACGATGTACCACTATCATGAATGTCTGGAGTGGCCAAGGAATGCCACAGCGCATATGCAGACGTGAACACTACACTATTTATTCTCATTCTAAGGAGTTACTGTGCTGAAGAAAGTTCGTTAATGAGAACAAAGACTTCAGGACAATGAGTGGATAAACCATTTGAAGTACATGTATGTACACTGTCCAACAAATGAGATTGGCATTGTTTGTACGTCACTCAGAGTCACCATCACTCGATTCCTCAGAGCTCATTTCCCCAAAGCTGACAGTTCGATTAAAGTCACGAAGGAAGCACTATTCCTTGATGGCAATAAAATTAAACCGTCTCAGTCATTGTATCAAGCGTACAAAGCAACTCCTTCTCAGTACAGAAATATAATCCAACAGAGCTAGACGCTAGAATGGACAAGATGTAATGCAAAAATAAGTAAAGCCGGTCCTATCTCACCTTGGGCTTTTTGGGCTTTTCCATTTCAACGTGCCACCGGAGCCTGGAGAAAAATACAAATGCAACACGTTCAATGCACTTCCGAATTAACTCAAAATCACAAGCTACAATCCACTTCTGAGTGGCATCAATGCTGTGCATAGTGTCGAGCGTTTTGGAGACCGTGGCAAACACATCTAACAGCAGTAACCAGTCCAATAGGCAGATACAAAGTGGAAACAACATTGCCCTTATCCAAAAAAGGGACATGTAAACAAGAGTTTTATTAGTACCTCCCCCCCCCTGCCCCCCCCCCTGCCCCCCCCCCCCGCCCCCCCCCTGCCCCCTGCCCGCTTCGTTGATTCTTTTGATAGCACTAACAATGGCCCTGAGCTGGCAGCTCTCTTGTTCCCTTATTTTTAATTTTTTACCACACATAACTCGAGACCTGAACCCGCACGGATGCACTCCCTGCGTTCTATGATCATAACTTCGTTTCTTTCTTTCCTTTTAAAGTTGTTCCATGTTATGATCCTGGCTTCATGTGTGTGTCCGTGTATGTAGATACAAGGGCACGTATGAGTTCAGTTGTCTGTGACAGAGAGTATGCCGCACTAAGAAGCACTCACGGAGCGGACGCCAGGTTGGCCAGCGTCAGGATCTGCACGGAACACTCCCCGGCCTTGGTGGTGGCAAACTGAACATCCCGTTTGCTGATGTCAAGTGTTGGAAGGTAGAGGTCAGCTTGCAGCCTGAGTGCAAGGCTTGGCTGGTCAGGTACCTGGAGCCAAGGATAGACAAACAGGCAGATGGATGCATGAAACCAAAACGGATGAACAAACAGAGGAGTAACAGTTAGAAGAACAGATGGAAGAACAAAAACACACAGGGGAATGGACGGACAGATGGACAAACATACATGTGAGAACATGCTTAGACATGTACAACGGTGACCATTTGAATAGTTTCAAGGTTGCTGTCTGTCCAACTTGTGCATGAAACGTTAAATGTGACATCACGTAGCGTGTATGCATGACATCATATAGTCTGTATGTATGACATCACACAAGCCTGATAATACCAAATATATATCCCCTAGTTACTTTTACAGTAAATTTATACCACAGCATTAGCTGCAGCAATGCGTAGCAGTGCCTCACCTCAAAGATAACGTATGCCGCAATGTTCCCGCACATTTTGCAGAGCGCCCTCTCCAGCTCATCCTGCGAGAGTCGCGGTGCCTTGCTGTTCTTGCCCAGGCGTCGGTGTGGGTCGTAATGTACGTCCACGTCCAGGAAGGCCATGCCACGTACCTCACGCAACCGATTAGTAGTCAAGTAGAACCCAGTGCCTACACAGTGGAGAGAAGGAACAACAAAACATGATTACATCATTAAACAAAAGAATGATGTAATCATTGCAGTGATGTGCTAGACATGAGAGCAGTTAGTAGTCACATGACACAAATCGTATGCATGATAGCATTGTGCCAGGTCCGAGGAGTGGCAAGTCACATGACCAGCGCAATGACTGGCCTCAGGTCATGTGACAATGCCATAGAGGTTACGTGATGACGTCATTGTTGGAGATGCTTTGTGCGCAGTGGCAAAACATGGTGGCACTACAATCATTGGTCAAACACTTCTATCTTTCACCGATTTATAGTCGGAGTATAATGATCATCTTCATTCAGAATGCACTGTAGGATGAGGCATGGATGACAACTCCATAACCATATTATCTAGGAGGGGATTATTATCCTCCATAACCGTGTCATTCCCCATAACCGCGCCATTCTCCATAACCGTGTCATACTCCATAACCGTGTCATTCTCCATAACCATGTCATTCTCCATAACTGTACCATCCCCCATAGCCGTGTCATTCTCCATAAACGAGTCATTCTCCATAACCGTGTCATTCTCCATAACCGTGTCATTCTCCATAACCGTGTCATTCTCCATAACCGTGTCATTCTCCATAACCAGGTCATTCTCCGTAACCATGTCATTCTCCATAACCGTACCATCCCCCATAGCCATATCATCCTCCATAAGGTGTCATCCTCCATAACCATGTTCCCCTCCATAACAGTAGCATCCTCCATAACTGTATCATCCCCAGTAACCATGCCGTCCTGTGCAGTACGTACATATGACTGAGCAATGAGACTATACATTCAAAGTCACCCACATTCTACAGCAGCTGTGCAGCCGTGAACTACTCAACTTACACTCCAACTGCCGCTGGTCCAGGTGGAAGGCCACTGGCCACGGTGACGCGTTGACCGCCTTGAAGCAGGTGGTGAACGGCTTGCTGACGTTCACCTGGCCAAAGTGAATACCGTGTTCGGGCAGTGACTTGCTGCAATGTCACCAACACATGCATGACAAACGATTTGAAACACTCCATACAGTGTAAGATGGACAAAATGCCAGCAGAATCAGCTCATCAAAAAAACGAGTTTGGTGGTATCACCAGCAGTGTGTTTGCAAAACCGCTACATTTCTATTGGTTTCATTCCAGCAGGAATGTCCTAGCTGGAACGTCCCGGCTGTGTTCCGACTTACAGCACGGTGTTGGTATCAAGATAACGACGGACGTGATACTCGGCCGTCCACACGCGGTCAATTTCAGCGTCGATCTGCATCTGGACAACTTGTAGCTGCAGAAGAGGCACGAGCACAGGACACGGGTACGAATCTCTCATTTAAGATCAGAGAAGGTAGAGACACAGACGGAGGGTGAGACGGCGTATATGCGTTTCACAAAACATTCTGTTACTGGTATGCTGCCCGCATTACATTATGTGAGCAATTTAGTTCTTCCGCTTTCTATCGTTTTAGTCTGCGTAGAATATATGCATGCTGCAGTATTTCTGCCGATGATTCAGACAACAAGAGATTGTGCATACCTTAGCAGTGTCCTCAATGTCCTCCGGCGGCGGTTTCAGACTCGCCGTGCTGCTCAAGACGTCGGCCATGGACGTGACGGCGGTGTCCATGTGCGCCGTGCTGAGCGCGTCGCTCCGGTGCGGTTCCGAGCCGACGCGCCTGAGCTCCTCCAGCACCTCGATCATGTACTCGCTGCTGATGTCCAGTCCGCGCTGCTTCAGGCTCTGCTGCGCCACACGCGCCAAGCGGATGTAGCCGTCCGAGACCACGCGCGGCACAGTAAGGCTGAGCGAGGCCAGCTGGCCGTTCCACTTCACTCGGACCTGCTCGCGCCGATGGCCCTGCACACGAATCTGCAGTGAGGCAAGCAAGCAAGCCATGCGTAGTGGGTTTGCGTAGAACAGAGCATACCCAACCCAGGAAAGATATTCTTTTCTACTGCTGTGATAGCGTGCCTGTTGCACACACGCATGCATGCACACACACGGACACACGAATACAGGTATGCACACACACACACACACACACACGCACGCACACGTGCGCACACACACACACACACACACACACACCAACACAAGCATCAACACACACCACCACAAACACACATCACCAACACCCACACCCACACCCACACCACCAAAAGCTTACCCCAAAGTCAGAGTACCCCACATCTGGTAGCCCGGCAAATATCTTCAACTGCAACTTGAAGCGGCTGCCCGGGGCCACTTTTCCCTGCACAGCACATAGTACATGTTGCAGAGAATGATTAATGTTATTAACACACTAGATTCTCTAAAATCATATCCTACTTTGAAGAAACTCGGCAGCAAGTGGGGTTTAGCCATGCAATTCAGCCCAAATGGAGGATTTATCAAGGCAGACCAACCCAATTGAGGATTCGTTCAGAGCCCCAACCAAACGTGATCTATCTACACAAACCAACCCAGAAAGCATATTAGCAGGTACCGAATACTCGGTTAAGGTGCCAAGGTCGACGCTCATCAGACCCCAGAAAAGGTGTTGGTTGATATAAACAGCAGGACGGTGTCCATGGAAGTCGGAATCCGCTACCGATGTAGAGTGAGAAACTTCAAACAGCCATGGACAACACTGCACACCAGCTTGGTCAAAAATCAAGGTGAAATTTTGACCCATGTAACAAAAACTAAAGTGTGTCTGAAAGTGCACAGCTGTCACTATCAAGTAGCAAAAAATGGAACAAAAATACGCCACAGAGTGCTCCAGGTTGCACGCAGCTCCTAGAAAGCAGCAGATCATGATGTGACGGCATAGTTTAGCATCATAGCATGGCAACAGCAGTAAGTTCAGGAATGATTTTTAGTAAGTTCTCAACAGGTCTCTTTTTCGGAAGTGAAACAACTTTCCTCTGACGACATGCACTGACTTGACTTTGTAGAAAGACACGTGACCCTCGTTTGATGTTTCACATCAGCGATACGCATACTGCATCATCAATATTCACAGTATTAAAGTGCACCAAACTGTCTAACTTACCTTTTCCGGCACAACATCACAGCGACTTAAGCTTTCACAGGGCTCAGCTGGGTAAACGGAAAACGTGAACGGTCCTTTGCCTAAGTTGGTGATGAAGAAATCTTCCGTGTGCACTACATTGAACAGCTGTGAAAGAAGAGGGGAAGGAGCGCAACATTAGAATAGAAACCAAGGGTGAAGGCACGGTTGACATTTAGAGGTGTTGGAAATGATGGGATGGTGGTGAACTAGCGGATTCGCATACGGGCACGACGCATAAACGGTGAGTCAACGGGCGTATGGGTGCTACGTACACAGTACGATCATTAGCCGGCGGTTTTGCCTGAGCCAGTGCATCTCTGTTTACGTCACAGAGTGATTAGAAAAGACCGAATGTACCCATCAACCGAACTTGAAGAAAAAATTACGTGCTTGGATGGAGGACATGTAATATACAACAACAACAACAACAACAACAACAACAACAACAACAACAACAACAACAATAACAACAGCAGCAGCAGCAGCAGCAACAACAGCAACAACAACAACAACAACAACAACAACAACAACAACAACAACAACAACAACAACAACAACAACAACAACAACAACAACAACAACAACAACAACAACAACAACAACAACAACAACAACAACAACAACAACAACAACAACAACAACGGCTTACAATGGATCCGACGTCCATGTACTTAGTAGACAGGGAATACTTGACTTTGCTTGCTACTCCGCTGAGTTTGACTGTGTAGATGGGACCACCGTCCACACGACACACTGCCTTGCAGTCCTTGCACGCGCCGGTCTTGCCAGCAAAGTCAAACGAGATCATCTGCTCGTTGCCCGGATGAATCGTTCCGAACACGGGCATCACGTCGAAAAGCTGCACAAAACACAAACCAATACACGGCGCGGGTGAGTACAATCATGCACGTGGCTATACATGTGACTCAAACGATATTAACTAGCTGTGCCAGGATATACAGTAACACTCAACTTCTTTTGAACACACACGTGTAGGATACACACACGTGTAGGATTCCGCCAACTTTTACACATGTTCATATAAGGTTGCGGGAGTTGGAAATGGGAAATGTCCGAAGAAAAAAATTGACTGTCACCACCAGGACTCGAACCAGGGACCCTCGCTTATGGCCAGCAAAGCTCTACCACGCGATTCCATTCCCACCAGGATAATTCTGCTCACATTAACCCCAAACTGCCTTGATTCGTGGATCCTTGGCCATTTCAGAAAACACCTCTTTTGTCCAGGAATATTCAGCCTTCCTGCGTCCATACTTAAACAGACATGTATCCTTCGGGGTTCGACAGCAATTCAACAATCTCACCGCACACAGTGGAATGCGGTTCTCTGATCCATAACACTTACATCTCCGGCAGAGGGAGGTACTTTTGGCAGCTGTGAGAACGGCTTGAACCGCTTCTGTACGCTATGCCGCCTGGAGCGCGGTGACGCTCTGCTGTCCAGCGCGGGCTGACTGACGAACAGATCACCATGAGGTGTGTCGACTCGGAACGACTGACGAGATTCGCCGCGACTCTCACCGCCTGCAACACCATTCTTGGCTGTGCTGTGCCTTGACCTTGACACGCCCGATCGCTCTGCGTTTTCTTCTGATGATGGCACCGGCTGATCTTGCTGGCTATCAGCACTGGTCTGGCTAACCGTGGCATGCTTAGATTGCCTGGAGCTAGCCACTACGCTCAGCGGCAGTGGATCAGGAATGCTGGCACCCTCGGCATCTCCGTCGTCGGTGTCGGACGATTCGGACGATGTGTCCTCCTCCATCACTACGCCCTCATCCTCGTCGGCATCGTTGGCCCAGTGCAGCTCCCAGCGGTACGCCACGGGGACCTTGCCGATGTTACGCATGAACAGGCTCTCCGTCTTGCGTGTGTGCCACTGCACATGACCAAAGTCGATCTGCACAGGGAAAAAATCGAGAGTTAGTATCCATTACTAGTGTGTGTGTGAGTGTGTGTGTGTGTGTGTGTGTGTGTGTGTGTGTGTGTGTGTGTGTGTGTGTGTGTGTGTGTGTGTGTGTGTGCGTGTGTGCATGCATGTGTGGGTGTGTGTGTGTGTGTGTGTGTGTGTGTGTGTGTGGTACAAGGCCAGTGGAATGACTCTACTAGCCAACAAACAAACTGAACACCAGACATTGTGAGCAGCAAGACTATCCGAGGCACAGCACAACACACTGATGCTCAGACTCCGAACTACACACAGCCGTTTACCCATTAGACTCCTTGTTCATACTGTAGTGGTTCATAGGTAACAGCGAACTACACATGTACGTGTATGTACCAAAGCAAGTGTAGGAGTTGCATTATTCGATGGAAAGTATATTTGTCACAGTTCATAAGAGTATTTATTTTGTAGAGCTTGTGTGGATATAGATTCCTAGGTTCGAACCCCGAGATGGGCAGTTAGTTACATTTTTCCCTCCTTGCATGTTTTGTATCTGCTAGGCCATGTGCAGGCACAGGATGCACACAGCACACAGAGGAATCGAAGAATCGACTGAGGGATGTGTTGCCACACATGTACAAAGACGGAGAATGTTCTTTCATCAATGTGCATACTTTGCATGCACAGTTTGGCAATGATGGGCGTAGGATGGAGAACTCGTTTGCTGCAAGGGCGGTGCCACACAATTAACCAGGGTAGCAACCAGGACAATTCCCAAACCAGTCGGACAGGACGATGCCACAGTATTGATACACATGCAATGGTATCTCTCAATACAGTTCTTTGATGCAGTCTGTACAGTGAAGACCTAGGTGATAGCGACCGGCACCATCCGACACCTGTTTACTAGACCTGATGCGACACTGTAGGGACTCCCCCCTGAGACACTGTAGGGACTTCCCCCTGAGACACTGTAGGGGCTTCCCCCTGAGCGCTACGCTCACCTCTAGTTTACTGAGGGCAATGTTGGGGAAGAACACCGCTCCGTGAAGTGGCACCGTATCCTAGAAAGCACAGAAAACACGTCATCCATGTAAAGTCAAATGATTGTTTACAGCACACAAATCCCTATCATAATACTAGCACCACCATAATTACTTAGGCATGTGTGCCTTAAACAGTAGGTCAAAGGTCTAGATACCACTACAATCAGTCACGTCAATTCAGCAATACTCAACGCTTCAGGCGGCGAAATGCTTCGACCAATGATGCCCCATCAGCGCAAATGTAATGCATGACCAACACACTGAATTATGTGTATTGTAAGTTGAGCAGATAAACAGCAATAACTACATATTGACATTGATGCCCCCCCCCCCCCCCCACACACACACCACATACACCACATACACCACACACATTCATAGATCAGGCACACCGATGCTGGGGAAAGTGCCATCGTAAAACTTACCACCTCAACGTGATCCTTGTAGATGACTGACAGCGGCTGGGCGATCTTCCTACTGAAGAGGTCTGCTTGATACGCCGGGTCGAACTGCACTAGAATGGTGGCCTCTGTGTGAGCGGGTATGCGCATTGCCTGAAACACATCAAGTTAGAAGCAGGTTTTATTTATTCCCGTAGCTATGCAAAATACGTTACTTCAGTAACGTCTGGCACTAGCCAGGGTCCACACAGCTTTAATTCCGTGTTTGTTTGTTTGTGCCATCGGCATGCTTGGCGCTATCCCGTACCTGTCCCGTAACGTACCATCAAGGACAGCATCGGCATGCCTGGCGCTATCACATACCTGTCCCGTACCGTACCATCAAAGACAGCTGGCAACAATATTCAAATAGGGCTTTCAAATGCAAGATCATAACGTGAAGCAACTTGAAAGAATGAGTATGTATGCAAAGTGTATCCGGGGAATGCATGCAGGGCGACAGTGCGGGTTTGAATCCTAGGTTATGTCTTAAAAACAAAAAAGGAGGAATGACAAATTTATAACATCCCTATGCTTTTTGCCTAGATCATCAAGGTGGTAGATGGTGTCGTATTACCCTCGAATGCAAAGAGAAAGTTGACTCTCGCTAGGCAAAATAGAATAGCGCAGGGCCCTGAGCTTCCAAGCTCTCTCGTTTATTTTTATTTACTAAAAGCCATTTGGTGCACGCAACGGGAACATGCAGCAGCCATGGTGGTGGGGGCAGGTACATTTTGAATTCAGCAATGACCTCTCAGTCATTGCCATTTGCCATACTAGATTTTTATGCAACTGTACTGGTGAAATCAGAGAGGCTAGACCTTTTCAGGGCCCATCCATATTTCAACTGTCCTTCTGAGTGTCTGTGTGTATCATCCAAATTCAACTGTCTCTTGGTGTACATGTGTATCACACAGATTTCAACTGTCTTTTAGTGCTTATCATCCAAACAGCAACTGTCTTTTGGTGCATATCTGCACAATTATCTCCACGAGCCAGCAATACTTACTGCCTCCTCGCACGGTCTTTCCGAGTGCGGCAGGCGAAAGCCGAAAGGGTAGTGCGCGGCGATCGTGCACTCAATCGGCAGCTCCGTGACGTTGCACAACCTGAGCGGGTGTTCTTGCATCTGTACCGCATCTCCTGGCGCCTGTGCACACGGACGAAGCAGAGTGCACACAACTCTAGGCCGCCTAGTACGGACAACCAGAGCATCAACACCCCTGTATCTACTGTTCACACATTTCAATCTCAAGCTCTATCTGCGGCCACGCTTACTACACTTTCCTGGCATCATCATTATCAAATATCATTGCACCGCTTGCCGTTGACCTCACGTGCTTTCACACTCACTATTTTGTTTGCCCTTTGGTAATGGATTTCTGCTTTTAACTTCAGTATATGTCTGTGCTAGTCAAAGAAATCTCGTTTATGACGACTATTCCCCTGATGAATGTCAATCGAAAACGTTTGTTATCTAACTGACACTTACACCCACTACAGCTGTGATGTAGTGTGGCATGAATCCACCAGTCAAATTGCTTATCAATACAACGTCTACCTCCACGACGACTTACATACGTTGCGTATGATATTGCGGGTGCAACTAACCTCCTCAATAATAAACACACGCGTTCGGGGCTAAAACGTTGGTCCGGCCATGGCCTGACCAACCGGACCGGTTCCGCCGGGCCTGCAAAGTACAGCACGTCCTCAGTGTATTCAGCAGCTTACCACAATCTGCCGAAAGGCCATCTCGTCAGGGCAGATGTTCAGCATCGGTTCGACAAACTTGCATGCCACGTCGATGGACATCGCCTTTTCCTTGTAGACATTCTGCCCGCAGACAGTGTGCATCAGCAATCTCTCTTGGACGAAGCGGACACTGCAGGGAAAGCGACAAGCAATGCAGCGAAGTGAGTATGGTTAAAGTACAATGTTGCTTTCAGTGTGAACATGCTGGAATTGTCGTGCATACACCAGTCGTGATCAGGAGTGACTCACGCCCTCTTCAAACACTGGCTTTCCATGAGGTCCAAAAGGCCCATTGCGGAAAGACATAGTTTGTACCACCTCAGTGGGTATGGTTGTGTAGGGTGCTGTTGTAGTAGCTGGCCCTCGGAGACAATTTCACACACTCAAACAAAGCACTCACTTTGTGGTTTCACGAATACTCGTTAGGACAGAATTATTAGTTACACACTCGGCAAGTAAAGATAAGAAGTGAAAAGAGCACAAGAAAAGAACAATGCAAGAAGACAAAACACACGGCGAACGGCAGCCATGTTTTTAGGTCATCAACCAATCAGTAATTTATATAAACCGGTTGCCGACGAAATTCTAGAATATTCCATAGCTGTGAACTGTGATTGGTTAATTATGCCAATGTTCTAGAACAATAACACTAGCAGCAGTCATACGGGTAAATACGGGTTTAGCCATACACGACTCATACATTACTCACGAGCGACTCACGGAAAGGGTAATAACATGCAGATACAAAATACGCAAGGAGAGAAAAAATGTAACTAACTGCCCATCTTGGGGTTTGAACCTAGGAATCTGTATCAACACAAGCTCTACAAATAAATACTCTTTTACTGCGAAAAATATGCTTTCTATTGAAATGCAACTCCTACACTGTTGAACAGTGCATGCATTTCTGATCCCAGCGTACTCGCAAGCATTACTCACGCATTTCATATTTTGGCAATTCACAATGAGCATGTCACTTCTTGTTGGCACTGCAATGTGGCCATAATATGGGGCTGTGGCGTTGTTGGTATGCGTGTGCCATTTTCAAAGCTGATTTCCAAATTTGAACATGCGTATACCACTCTGGACTTACCTCTTGGAAAAGCCCTTGACAGTCACGGTCACTTCGTCGCCCGGTCTCAGCACAAAACTGTCGGGTGTGATGGAGAATGACGGCGTCATGGCCTCGGTGATCGGAGCACTCGTCTAGCAACAAACATCAAACAAACATTGGCATGCTATGCACTCTAAACGAAACACTTCAAACTGCTACCAAAACAAACAAACCAGCATTGAAAGACTTCCTGTGGAGAGTTAGTGTAATTTCACACATTTTCGGTGTACTTTTATTTTCGGTACTTTCAATTCAGTGCATCTGTTTCATACCTAAAATTTCAATACACCAAACAAACACTGACACACATAATCCAATAGGGAACTGCTTCTCTGTACCGAAAATTTGTGTTCACCTAACCTGGCCTTTTGCCCTCATACCGAAAATATTGAGCATAGAAAAATTTCTGAAATTAGAGTACCAGAGATTAAGTGAGAACTTTACAGCAGTTAAAAAAAACTACCAAATATCTTCTGCGGTGTAATGTGCACTTATACGTAAGGACCGTGTTACACTACACTCTGCAATGCTTGCAACTGGTCTTCATAACTATGCATGGCCTGTCGCTATCCTCCAGTATCATTCCATACGGTGGAGTCATATATTACAACAAAGCCTCCCTTTGGTAAGGAAGATTGGTTGTTGGACGCAATGTGGGAAACACTACACGGTACCTTTCCCAGCTCGGCCGCCTCTTGCTGTACCATTCGCATGTGGTGCACGCGACTTGGCGAGTAGCCCCAGGTGCTGAACGAGCACTCGTGCACACGCAGCCCGTCGTTGGCAATGGTCAGCTGCCTGGCGATCGGCACGCGGCTGTACTGCCGCTTCAGGTCTAGATAGTACACGTTGAGGCCGGCCTTGAGCTCGGCGTCGATGTCAATGCTCACCGCTTTCTCGCCGCTCTTGAACCTGGCCACCGGTTTCATGGTGACCATGCTGGCTAGCAGCGGGGTTAGGAACGGCAGCACGGGCTTCAGGTGAAGGGTGCTGCCGTAGCCGATTGCGGACAGCGCGTACCGGTACTGTGCCCCACGGTCAACGTGTAGCGACACTACGCCAACAAACCTGGAGGATCAGCGACGACACCGAAACCATTTCAGTAAGGAACCGATGAAAAGCTATGCTTAAGATGTACAACAAAAGCAAGCTTCTCCACAGTCTACGTGTAGCGATACCGTGTCAACAAACCTGGAGAATCAGCATTGTTTCCAAAACCATTTCAGTAAGCAATTGACCAAATCAAAGATATACAACAAAAGCAAGCTTTGGGTTCGAAGTAACATTACCAGATGAGCTTTGAAAATCTATCAAGGTAATCCTGATTCTGGACATGAGGGAAGTAGCCAGCAAAAGGACAACTGAACAAACTGTTTGTTGGGTTGGATTGCAATCATTTAGTTCGAAACCCGAGCACACAGTAAATATTCAGCCCATCTACGAGAGAACATTGTATTTCAAACCGGCAAGACAACCCACCAGAGATGGAATTGTAGCCACCGCACCACAAGTAGTCCCGTGGCCAGTATGGACGAAGTCTTACTTCATCATTTCCTCTCCAACTAGGGATCATGTACTGTTTGCTCACCATACCCGAACAACAAGGAAACTAACTATATGTGCGATGTTAGAATGGTAACAATGTTTCACTCACTTTTTGCTTTCCTTCACGAAGGCCGTGATGACTACGTCGGCACTACCACCCGGCACCATCTTCACACGGTTTGTTGACAGGGTGAACTCACGGGCATTCTGAGCAATACAGCAAAGAGCACAGGTTACAAAGATAGAGTGGTGCTCATGAGTACAATGTTCAGCATTATGATACGGACTTTACTGCATGGACATGTCAAGATCCCAACTCTCACATGTATTCCCTTTGGCTCTGAATGATACTCCATGCTGAAGCTATGACATGATAAAAAGGATGAGCACAGCACAAAACTACTGCTACACTACAATAGAACACTGAGTCTATCTTACGCTTTCCAGTGTGACAGTGGCCGGAATGCCAGACTCGTTGCGTAGAGAGAACGACTTCTGGCTCTCCTTCAGCACCGGTATCTTGCCCCATTCCATCTCCAGGTTCGTTGGCACGGACAGGGAAACGACCGGGCCGAGTCCAGAGAAACGGACCTCGACATCCTGAATGCACGTGCAAGAACCAGACATGAACAAACAAACACTGACATAAGAAAGCAAAACATCACTACAATCTTCCTTATCGCCAGTATTGGAGTTGGTGGGTAGAAACTTGAGCACACTAGTTACTAGTTGGCATGGAGAATGTGCATTCTGCACTCAGCTATCTGCAGTGGTTCATCATGTTTTAAACTAATGATAGTGCCAAGGACATGCAGCTACTGGCCTTGGAGCAAGGCCGGGACAAGAGGTCCAGACGTTCAGTCACTCACCTCCATTATCTCGCTGCCAACGACACCGATTTTCATCAGCAGACTGTGACTGCCCAGGGCGAGCGCCTTGGCACGGATGTGGAGCGTGGCCGATTCACCGGGCTTTAAGGGCCGGCTCTACAAGGTAACATACATACAATCAACAGCAATCATGTACAGAATGCTGCAAAAGTAAAAAAAGATCCTAGGGGGAGGGTAACAGCAGAGGGGCACGACAAAGAAGAACCCCAGCGCGACATTTCAATCTGGTAGACATGACAGTTACACTGGAACACCTTGGTAAATCCACCTGTCTATCACTCTAAACTTCATAGGAGAGACTCGAGTAGTGCACTGAAAACAATACCAGATGCTGAACTTCTTATTCATTCACCGTCCAATGGCAATAGCCAATATATATGGACGGGGGCGTTAGCCAACCATGGCAAACGAGGAGAAAAAGAAGAAAATGAAGATGGGACATTGAGACGAGAGAAGCATCAACAATAGACTTACTCCCGTGATGTCGCACTCCAATGCTCCTGAGTCGCTGCTCTCCTTGACAGGAATCTGATGCAAACAGCAACCAAGTCAGATAACGGGGAAAGTCCATATGTCATGGAGCATGAACCAAAGACGAACATCCCAAAAGATTCTGCTGCTTATCCTCCTGACTATATAAAGTACATGTACACAACAAAATTCCATACTTTCAGCACCGGAACCATGCCAAAAGATACTGGAAAACATGTCTTGGGGTGTCACTACGCAAAACATTGCATCTCAATGATGGCAGTTTGTACACATAATATATGCACGTGAAGCTAATCATGGCAGCTCGGGTGAGTCGTCATGATACTGAAGTCCAGAGCTATACACACGTACACAGAAGGACTGCTTGGCTGGGGCTATGAGTTTCATGCCACATGCTGTTTCAACCGCAACAAGTAAGCCTTGACAAACGTACGGAAGAGATGAGTGGGACAGAGGAATGTCCTCTACGAATAAAAAGCCTCAGAAGCAAACTATCAAAGTGGAGTTGAGAGCCGCTACCAAGGCCATTCTTCACACATCCTTCTCTACTCCAAATAGCTCCATGATTCATGCCAGAACAGTCACATCACTGAGAAGTCACCCATGTACATCACTAGTGCCTAGTAGTGGAACCTTCACTTTAACCCCACCATTTGCCACAGTCTGCTCCCTCCCCCCCCCCCCCCCTCCCGGTCTACTATCACCCTGCTTGCGCCGCTCTAACCCTGATAAGGATTGCTCCAGCACTAGAAAGCCCTATCACACCCATCGCTGTGAACACACCTCAACACTGAAATTAAGCGGCAGCCACTCCTCGTTGTGCACTTGAATGTCCGCTTCGCTCCAGAGATCCACGAAATTCTCGCGCAAGTCCACCAAACGTCTCGGCACAGAAAGCTGAGGAATAATGCACCTAGAGCACAACAAAAGCACATTTACAGTTAAACTTGCGAATAACGACTCTCGTGTGGCCATCAGAAAAGTGTGATCATTCGCGAGTTATCGCTATCCATGGGGTTAAAAGCATGCCGTCAGGTGATTACTTGGTTTGAAGATGGTGTTGTTTATTCCGAGTTTCTTATTCGCAAGGCCGACTGTAGTTACAAAATGAAATAGGAAACTGGTTGTGCTTTGTGATCGGGATACAAATAGGACCTATTCTACTGCTGAGCATTGGAATGTGCGCACAGATTGAGAACAGTGAAGCGGGTGAAGTTCGCCCTGATAAGCAATTCATATGTGTACATATACCCTCAAAGCACAAAGAGTAAGCCACAATTAGAGTGAAGCTCAAGCGTTAAACGGCATTCAGAGAGTGTAAGAAGTGGGCATAGAAATGCGGGACAACGTTTTGTACATCAGTGATTGGAATGTGTCCAGGTGTCTGGAGTGGGCTAATGGTTGTCGTGGAGAGTGGCTGGTGAACTGTTCATGCTGGTGTCTGCAAGCGTTGTGTGGTCTCGTCCGGTCGAAGGGAGAGACCGTCACTACTACAAGAGGATGGACCAAATGAACTTATTTGCATCAAATATTTACTGCATACAGCATAAGTCATTGCATACTTTCCAGCGATGGGCATTGATGCCAGAATCTGCTCGATGCCTTCCACTTCCACCACTAGAACTGCAGTGTGATCACCCGGTGATTCAGCAAGGCTCCGCACCTGACAAGAAGAGTGCAATACGAAAAGACAGAAAGCACTCATGATCACTGAACTTCATCCAGATGACGCTCATGCAGCTAAAACAAGAGTGTGTTGCTATATCTTCATGCATGTGCTTACGTCTCACGTATCTAGTTTGACATCAATTCATGACGACATTACGTCCGCCTCGCACATGCTCTATTACTCTGGTCTAGTTTTAGTTATTGTCAGTTCTAACACAGCAGGGCCGGCGCCACTGGTACGGCCGGTACGGCCATGGCCGTACCAACTTCCCAAAAAGTCGGTCCACGTGGAACGTCCGAAACCGGAGAGAAAAAGTTCCGATGTATGATTTTGTACAGGGAGTCGCCCAGAGTGCAGGATTTGCTGTCAAAATTCCAAAAAAATCTGGGGGAGGACCCCACACCCCCCCCCCCTTACAGATGGCCCTTCGGCCGCACCGCTCCGTGGAAGCTGCCTCCGGCCCTGCACAGTGGCCGTCACGTCCTTTCTATAAATATGCTTTCCAAATTACGCCAGACCAGCTCACTGTGTGCCTGCATGGTATCCATACCAGTGCGTACATGAGTGTGCCGAGTGTATAACACTTATCACGCTGCTACATAACATGAAAGGCTCGCTTGTGTCCAGATATTGGAATACTTAGTATGCATCTTGGCTGCCTGTATTGAAGATCGTCTTCAAGTCGATTGCAACTGCTTACCCAGAAGGTGCAACTGTCACAGGCTCCCAGTGGTGCTTTCTCGACTTTCTCCAAATCAAATCTCGGTACAGCGGAGTCGCCATCGTCATCTTCATAGCGAATGGTCAGTGTGATTCGAATGTCCTGGGTGGATGTGTTGATGAGCGTCGCATTAGCTTGAGTTGGGAAACCTGAACAAAGAGTAAGCCAAAACATATAATCATGATCTCACAACGGCCGCTAACACACGGAAAATCCAGCGGCAATAAGCCATAGCAGATCCTGTAAGGTCTCTGCCTCGAACAACGAAAGGTCCAGCGGTAGAACATGCCCCTCAATGGTGATTCACTCTTCATGGTCCCTTCGCTGTGAGTGTCTCAGAGTACTGTAAAAGTCATTATTCTAACGAGGCGCATATATAATGATTTCCCAAAATTGACTAGTTTACGTGTACGAAAGCTAACGATTCTCACTCATTCTCAATGCTCAATAGGACAGTATAAAATATGTGTCGATTTCTGTGTAACGATTTCTATTTTAACGACAGATTTCTCCTCGTTAGCTCGTTAGAGTTAGCACTTCGTTATATATATATATATGGCTTTTACAGTACTCAGGCATACACGGATCCCTCTAGGGATCGTTCTCCTGCAGGAAGCATCAGACCTTGCTACCACCAATACCACTGTGAACCTCTTTGCTGCCATGTGTTCCCTTTGCCCGTCTCTCATGACAATTACCCCACCTCACTCAACTTGTATTCTTCAGGAGACTTCCTCTGATAAGCATCCATTTGTACTGGAGAATCCTTTGAAATAACATGGTGTTGTGAAATGACGTGTTGTTTTCCTGTGTGATGGCATTACCCAAACTGTCTGGTCTAGTAGCGTGCATGTGTGATATGAGCATGCGCGATTTTGTAGTCGGGAGTCCTTTTGTCAGTCTTCTTGTTCGTCTCTGTCAGAGCAGTTTGCTTTTCCGTCTTGTCAATATAAATAATGTAACAAACCAGTCTTGTCCTTTGTGTCCTGCGTCCCAGGGAACGGAATGGCTGAGATTCCGTTACAATGTCAAAAGGTTTGGTCATAAAGACAGGTTTCTCCGTAGTCCAGAGATGCGAGGGCACTGGCAACATGAGCGCATTGTACCACATCAACACAAATTGGATAACTGAAGCACGGGTGATGACCACATTGCATTTGTGTGGGCAGCAGGCAGGGTGTTCCGACGCCCAACCAGCTACCAGCTAGGTTGAGAACATAGAACTCTACGTGGGTAGCACCTTGATGAAACATTTAGGTTCAACATGCATGAAATGGTAGCTGACCAGCCCAACTGACTGTTTACTGATAGTACAAGGGCTGGATAGTTCCCAGCTTACATTCACTGGCGTACCTACATGTAGCATCTGTCCTCGTCCACCAGGGACTTCTCTGGCACATGAGTGCTACCCAAATGAACCACTTCATCCCAAAATACGTTCTCAGAGAAACGATAGCCATGATTATTAGTTGCATGTATGATCCACAAAAGGACTGCCTGCATGTTCTGTCTGACCGGCCAGACAAAACATGCAGTGCAAATTGTCCTTGCTGGCGCTAAAGAGACGGTACTTCTGCAACAGGGTTCCAGTCCATCATCCGTTCTATTATTTCTGCGATGTTTTCTGTGCAGCGCTTGCCAGAACCGCCGGCAGCAGGTTTTGATTGGTCCCCCCGGCACTAAAATAGTTGTTCGTACTTTGTGCATGATACGGCTGTTACAAATGTACTTTGTGTATGATACGGCTGTTACAAATGTACTTTGTGTATGATACAGCTGTTACAAATGTACTTTGTGTATGATACGGCTGTTACAAATGTACTTTGTGTATGATACGGCTGTTACAAATGTACTTTGTGTATGACACGGCTGTTACAAATGTACTTTGTGTATGATACGGCTGTTACAAATGTACTTTGTGTATGACACGGCTGTTACAAATGTACTTTGTGTATGATACGCCTGTTACAAATGTACTTTGTGTATGACACGGCTGTTACAAATGTACTTTGTGTATGATACGGCTGTTACAAATGTACTTTGTGTATGACACGGCTGTTACAAATGTACTTCGTGTATGATACGGCTGCTACAAATGTACTTTGTGTAGGATACGGCTGTTACAAATGCCCTCCACAGTAGGAAACGCGTGTTGGTGGCCAACATGTTGGGCCGCCAATGGCCTGACCAAACGGACCGGTTACGGAGGGCCTGCTTACGCCATGTCTTTTGATGTCACTCACCATAGCCCACATCATCAAACACAAGAGACTCCGGGTTGAAGTGCAACAGCGGACCCACGACAACCGCCCTGAAGAAGCAAGCACAATCACATGGGAAAGTCAGTACACAGCATACAGCACAGGCAAAGAATTTTAAATTGGCGAGCATTATACGTGCAATGAATCCAGGGTTGTATTCTCAAATTGTTAGTGTTGCATACAATGTTCTCACATTGTTCTGATGACCCATGCCACGACATAGCGACATGGCTCGCATTGATTGGGCTTAACCAGGGTACACAAAATGGCCTTGATGAAAAAATCAATGTCAGACCGATGGGTCCGAAGAAAGCCTCACCTCAGCCGGACATGAACTTGACAATCACTGTTGTCCACCAAGATGACGAAGGTCTCATCGAAGTCAGTGATGCGACTGGCTACAAGACTAATCTGAATGCAAGCAAGCACAGACAGGACATCACACTTAAGTCTTTGCAGGCAATTATTTAATGGCATCAGCTATTCCACAAAATCTCAAGCATGGTTCGCAATCACTGGCAAGAAGTGGGTTACTTGCCAACTTGAATAACTCATACATGAGGACAAAACTGGGCCCAACCTGTCGGTAATTATCTCTGAATGTTCGCTCTTGGGGCTTAAGAAAATACAGCTGGCTCACTTGTAGCGCGAGTTTCTCCTAAAGTGGTCACTGTACCTGCAGAATACTCATGCCGCCGGGCTGAATAGCGCCTGAGTCAGGTGTGATTGCAATGTCCTTGGCCATTTCAGTGTCGGGCAATTCGACCTTGAAGTCACCAGCCACGAGGGAAGTGTTGGTGAGCTGAATCTGTGCAAAGATGATACAACAAACCATCAAGAACAGCTGAATAGTGGTATACCATACAATATAAAACAGGTTTCTTGACAATGGGGGAAGGGGGCGCAGCAGCCCCCCCCCCCCCCCCTGACACACATAGCGTACCGCCCTACTCATTTTTCGATTTTTTGTGTTTTTTCAGTTCACACAGCGAAAATGCAGGTGCACATTGATCGTTCCGGTTGCTCTGTGCACCTGTACGCTGCACTTTTTTGTGACAAGGCTAGAGTGTAACATGGAAAAATGGACGAAGTGTTTGCCCCCCCCCCCCCCCCCTACAAGTTGTCCCGCGGGCGAGCTTCAGTGGAAATATTACTACTCTTTGGCTAATTTTCGTGGAAATAGTGATATCATATGCCGGATCTCTTGCCCTTCCCCATGAAAACGTATCTGATTTAGAGTTACGGACCGTTTAAAGTTTCAGATAGTGCCCGGGGCACCCGGATAAGAAAGATACGAGTTGGGATGCCTACCTCGAAGTTGTTGCGCTCATGAACCATGATGTGGCCGAGATCCATGTCCTGAGTGCTGGCTGTGAGCTGCGCGCCAGTAGCCAAACCGCTGATCGTCAGCGGGATCCGGTCCTGGAAACCGTCGACCTGCAGGTACGCTGTGTCCGTGTGCAGCTTGGCCACAGTCGGTGAGAAGATGACGGTGAAGTCGAACAAAGACTTCGGAGGGATGGTCCCCATCTGGATGTAAAGTGCAAGGAAAATGGGAAGAGTTTCAATGTGGCTATGATAAATTGGGGTGAAACGACTATTCTAAATCGGAAAGAATCGAATATCTTTCTAAACGAATCGAATATCGAATATTCTGCACCAAAAGAATCTTAGAGTTTGGCTAGTCCCCGGTCGTTGTAGACCAAGTAGGTAACAGATAATGCCAATATACTGCCATGACAATTTGCAACAATGAAGTAGGAGCAGTAATAATAATAGATTCGGGAACATTTCTTGCCGACATTTCACCTGTGAAACAGGATTTACACCCTTACCAGGCGTTCCATGTCTGCACCCCCCGAACAGAAGCAACAATTCCCCGCATAATTCTTACAAGGTGGGTGTTGGCATTCCATATCATTCCAGGCGCGATAACACAATATCCGGAGCTCTATCCATGGGCCCAGGACTTGGGGCACTAGATTTCTCAACAGGCTAAACTATAACATCAGGCACATTCAATAACCAAACTATAGGTACGCTTGAGACTCACAGCTGGGTCGATGCGTATGACATCCTGCTGAGGATTGCTACCAAAGAGGTTGCTGGATTCGACCGACTACAACAACAGATGCAAAGAGATAAGAGAGTGATGATGCAGAGCAGATGATATTCAAAGGATTACACCCCACACACACGGCTGAACATGACGAGCCAATAACTAATAAGGAGTGGATGAGTGCGGGCTCTCAGAATGCTGAGCAACACACACGGCAAACCGTTCGAAGCAGAACACCTGTGACCATACCTGAGTGGGATGTCCCGCCGCCAGAGGTCGATCATTCCCATGCGCAGCACCGTTGCCGTCTTGATCTTGGTCAGAGTGTCCGCTGATCAGTGCGTCGATTATAGCCTCGCTGTCACTGCTGAGCACCAGGTATCCACGCATGTATACAGGTATAGAAGCACACACAGGCATACAGATAGATAGGTGCACGGGCTTACATCAATACCATGATATCGGCAAACTAAATCGGCTGCTCATCATATACCTCGGTTGGCATGGTGCTTGGCAGCACTGTCAAACCGTAAAACTAAACAATCAAATGCAACCAGCAGAAACCAATGCCATGGTAACCAGCAGAAATCAATGCCATGGTTTTCTCATAGAGTTCTAGCTTTTGGTAGTTGTCCGGACTGGAACACCTGCTGTATCAGCACGACACAGAAAAAAACTGGGTATCGCAGGAGAGGTTGGCTACAAGACGCTTGCACAAGCAACACCAAGCAGTGGACTGCACAGAGCACTGGGTACAACCCCAGCAACACCAAGCAGTGGACTGCACAGAGCACTGGGTACAACCCCAGCAAGGCAGGTATGGTTCTACAGTCATGTGCTAGGCAGAGAGCTATGGGAATAATCAAAAGAGGAAAAGGGTGGACTTACACGACCGTGTCCACTGCGCCCATGGCGTCGTCCACTTCAGGCATGGCGTAGCGGCACCACTTGAAATCCAGAGCGTGGCTGGTCCAGTTACGGAACGTGAGCACCCTACCAATACAGTGAGCATGTATACATCATGCTTGAACAATGCATCAGACAAGGGCTTGCTATGCCCACAGGGAATACGACCCCCCCCCCCCCCCCCACACACACACGCACAAAAAGGTCAACCCGTTATGTAAAATATAATTTCACGGCTCACGTGAGAGTTAATCATGCAGGATTTTCCGCAACGACAGGCAAGCCACCACCAATAACCGAGCATTCTGTTCCATACGCGCCTCCCAATGCCTACTATCGCATGCTTGAGGATATATGGGGCTGTAGAAAAAAGAAGCATTGTGGAGGTGCTGGCAGTACGCCCTGTTTGGCATCCGGACACGAGATCACATCACAAACTGATTGCAAGCACAGCAGCCCGCATCCCTGGATGTGCTACAGCCTGCTCAGGGAAACCCCCTAGGCTGCTGTCCAACATCAGCAACATTGTAGCCTGCTCAGGGAAACCCCCTAGGCTGCTGTCCTACATCAGCAACACTGTAGCTTGCTCAGGGAAACCCCCTAGACTGCTGTCCAACATCAGCAACACTGTAGCCTGCTCAGGGAAACCCCCTAGGCTGCTGTCCTACATCAGCAACACTGTAGCTTGCTCAGGGAAACCCCCCAGGCTGCTGTCCAACATCAGCAACACTGTAGCCTATCCCGGCAACAAAACTCCAGAACTGAGTACATGCAGCGGAACTCCACCTTCACATGTCTAAGCGTCGTGCAATGCAGTAGCAGCATGCGTTTTCTTTGAAAGACATACCAGCGCAATGAACCGGCTGAGCTTTGAACTATTCGGCATGAACGTCCATTAATAATACCCACACCAGTGCGTAATATTGCAACTCACTTTGAGCCTATCATTCCAATGGCATTTTCCGCAAGCTGCAGGTCGCTGGAGTCCAGTCGTGCTTCGATCTCGGTACACTTGCCCTGCAGATCAACTGAAGTCAGTTCACCTGAACAACGTAACGCAACAAAAACAAAACAAACACAAAATAATGAAAATATCATGGTTCGCACGAGACTAGAACCTAGTTTTCCGCATCCGTAGAAACGTCACCACCCTCAAGGAACAAGTGTCGAGGAACACAAACGAAAACACAAACAAAAAAGGATTGCGGCTAGGAACAATTATGCGCGCGCGCGCGCGCGCGATGACCGCTACAGTAGGTTGCCTGGTGAGCATGAAACAGAGGGTTGTAATGAGCCGCGTCTCTCTCCTTGATGTAAGCAATGGCACCGGCCGCTTATCCCTCTCGTTGAACAAAGTAGCACACTCTGCTTGCTTATCTCTACGTTCCCTATCCCAAAGTAAATGGCAGGGTTAGATGATGCTAGCTACGACAAACACACAGTTGTGTAGGAGTTGCATTTTAATAGAAAGTATATTTTCGCAGTAAAAGAGTATTTATTTGTAGAGCTTGTGTTGATACAGATTCCTAGGTTCAAACCCCAAGATGGGCAGTTAGTTACATTTTTTCTCTCCTTGCGTATTTTGTATCTGCATGTTATTACCCTTTCCGTGAGTCGCTCGTGAGTAATGTATGAGTCGTGTATGGCTAAACCCGTATTTACCCGTGTGACTGTCTGTTGTGAACTGTGATTGGCTGCTAGTGTTATTGTTCTAGAACATTGGCATAATTAACCAATCACAGTTCACCGCTCTGGAATATTCTAGAATTTCGTCGGCGACCGGTTTATATAGATTGCTCATTGGTTGATGACCTAAAGAACATGGCTGCCGTTCGCCGTGTGTTTTGTCTTCTTGCATTGTTCTTTTCTTGTGCTTTTTTCACTTCTTATCTTTACTTGCCGGGTGTGCAACTAATATTCTGTCCTTACGAGTATTCGTAAAACCACAAAGTGAGTGCTTTAATTGAGTGTGGGAAATTGTCTCCGAGGGCCAGCTACTACATTGGTGGCAGCGGTGGGATTCGAACCCACGCCTCCGGAGAGACTGGAGACTACACCGTAGCTTAGCGGTAGGGCATCGCTGGCCATAAGCGAGGGTCCCTGGTTCATAAGCGAGGGTCCCTGGTTCATAAGCGAGGGTCCCTGGTTCGAGTTCTGGTGGTGACAGTCATTTTTCTCTTCTGACTTTTTCCACTTTCAACTCCCTCGACCTAATGAGTGTTGCTCGACTAGCTGAAAGCTACTTAACCAGGTATGTGATAGCCACATAGGGAAAGCCCCAGTAGCAGGGCTAGTAGAGCCATTCAACTCACCATGCTCAAACATGATGACCAGTTCCCCAGCGTGCTTGCCCATCTTGGTCGGGCTGAACGACACTTCGACTTCAGCATGCTCTCCTGGCGGAATGGACAGGTAGCCAGGACTGATTCCGAATGGTCTAGCATATAGCAGAGATGGAGAAAGAGAAAACAAGAGATACATCAATAGGGAGAGAGCACCCTTGCCTCGCACAAGAACTATACTACTATAATCCACAACAACAGACTCCAAAGAGAGTCTTGGATTTTTCAGTTCCTTAGTAGCAAGTATTTCCAGATGTGGCTGACCTCTTCTGCTTAGGTCATGTCCATAGCTTCCTACATGTAGCATGAACATTCAACCGTCGTGACCAGCATGCACAATGTGTGTTCCGACGAGAAAAGAATAAGCATCAAGTTTCTTGCAAGCAATTGTTGCTTACGGAGAGGCTGAGGTGCCAACGATTCAATGTCCAGTCGGAGTGCATTTTCATCTCCCAAATTCTACTTGTATGTGTGGAACGGCGTATGCCCACAGTTGCACAGTAGTACAGGGCACACTGAAATATCTTCAATCCAGTAACGTAGCTCTCTCGGGGGCAGACTTCTGCCATAGAAGCATGTTGCCCTAAGGCGTTGCTTAAATGCCTGGCACAGTGTGTAGTGCCATTCGGCCGTGTGTTTTTTTGTTTTTTTGTTTTTTTGTTTTTTTTTTACAAAGACCACTTAATGCCAAACATGAGATGCAGCTAGGGGAAGCACGCACAACCTGAATCGTGGCAGTGGTGGTGAGGTTTAGGGAGCTCCGCCGACCTAGGGTCTCGACTTCATAGCCACCTAGACGCACCAAGAGTGGGTGGGGAGGGAGAGCGAGAGAGAGAGAGAGAGAGAGAGAGAGAGAGAGAGAGAGAGAGAGAGAGAGAGAGAGAGAGAGAGAGAGAGAGAGAGTGTGTGTGTCCATGCTCCTTACCTGTCCGCATGCATGGCAAACAGAGCAGTGGCACTGCCGCTATTCTTAACAGTGACCGTCTTCGCGGACGCATGCTGAGAACAAGGCAAGCGGAAAAAAGCACAAATAACGGAGGCGTGAAAGCGAGATTCAGCCCATGCGAATGAGTAAAAGGTAACGTTCTGCAAATATGCTGCATCCATGCTGGCAGACAAAAATTGCCAAACCCAAATCAGCGATTTGCTGCAAACATAGCTTCCACTCAATTCATACTTTATCGGAACTGTGTATATCATTGAGGAAAGAAGAGACATTGGTGGGGCCATTATATCCAGGACTGGGAAGCTTCAAACTAAACTATCTTTGCTTAGGTGTTCCATACCTTACAGACGGCAATACCAAGGTCCACCTTATCAGGTATGTGCAGTCGACTCCTCGGACCAACGACGAGTACCGGGATGGTGAGATCACCTTCGTCAGTGCTGAACGTCAGGATGGTGGATGCACTCTGGGAGTTGAGTGAGAGGCAGTGAGAGAGATGGAGGGAGAGGAAGAGAGACAGGGGAGGGAGAGACAGAGACAGGGGAGGGAGAGACAGAGACAGGGAGAGGGAGACAGAGATGGAGACGGAGAGAGAGAGTGAGAGAGAGAGAGAGAGAGAGAGAGAGAGACGGAGAGAGAATATGATTATAGAAAGAACATTCCCATTTATCACACGAGTAATACATGTACAGGCAATAGCAAAGCATCTGCCTTCTGTGCTTGTACTTTGAAGCTTGTGTGAGTGGGAAATGTAAGCCTTAATTGAAAAATCGGATTCTTACAGTGGTTTGTAGTGTCAACGCACATATACATGTGTTGCGGATCTTTCTCTCTGTCTCTCTCTCTCTCTCTGTCTGTCTGTCTGTCTGTCTGTCTGTCTCTCTCTCTCTCTCTCTCTCTCTCTCTCTCTCTCTCTCTCTCTCTCTCTCTCCCTCTCTCGTTCTCTCTCTCTCTCCCTCCCTCCCTCCCTCTCTCTCTCTCCCTCCCTCTCTCTCCCTCCCTCCCTCCCTCCCTCCCCCCTCTCTCTCTCTCTCTCTCTCTCTCTCTCTCTCTCTCTCTCTCTCTCTCTCTCTCTCTCTCTCTCTCTCTCTCTCTCTCTCTCTCTCTCTCTCTCTCTCTCTCTGTGTGTGTCTGTCTGTCTGTCTGTCTGCCTGTCTGTCTCTCTCAAACACACACACTTCTCGCTATTACTTTACCTTTCCCAGCGCCGTACAGTGCAGGCTGATCACGGCCTCCATGCCCTGTGCAATGCGCTCGCCCAGCTTCTTCTTGCCCGTCACCTGCAGCCATGGTGCAGCGGTGTGATTAGCCTTGAGGCGAACTGTGTGAGCTGCCTGTAAACAGAGATTATAAATAACAGCATGCAAAACAAACAGAGAGAGAGATTCAGATCTCAAAATCAGAATTCCGTGCAGTTGGCAGAGAGCTCTGCTGCAGATCATACTTTACCTCACTACTTAAATTAATGTTCATGCTCACGCCAGTATAGGCACATGCCATACTCTGAGCAACATGCTTATTACACATTGCCAAATACGGAATGTACGGGTATTGCATGCAGGACCGCCGGATGCAGTTTTCAATTGGCCCGCCCATACCATAGCCTTGCCGCATACATTGTGTACGGTACGGTGGCTACACATAACCTCATCCGCAGTAAACATATGTTGGTGGCCAAAAGGTTGGTCCGGCCAACCCGGACCGGTTCCGACGGGCCTGGCATGTGAGTACGCTGGGATCAGGAAGGCAGTGTTTAACACATTACACAGCCATGCCCAGGTGGCTGTGTGAGGTGTTGGTGATAGTACAAACTAGTTCACTGCACAATGGTCACATACAGAATCATTACCGATATCACAGATCATCGTGTGTTATCCGTCCCAACGGGGACACGTACGGAAAGTGCGCATACAGGGGACAGAAGACGGTGCAGCAGCATGTGTAATGGAGTGACACAAACGCAATAGCATGTACATGTACAGCACGTGCCCTGCACCGCAGCTCACTGCAAAGCGTTCTCAGTTCTCACCTTGCTCCGGTTGTTGAGCGTCAGCAGCACGCTGTCTGTGCTGCCGTGGAAACAGACCACGGGCGGAACGGCGGCAAAACTGCTGCGCGACGGCTCCTGCAGGGCAAGCAGAGCATGCAGGGCAAGCAGAGCATGCAGGGCAAGCAGAGCATGCAGGGCAAGCAGAGCATGCAGGGCAAGCAGAGCATGCAGGGCAAGCAGAGCATGCAGGGCAAGCAGAGCATGCAGGGCAAGCAGAGCATGCAGGGCAAGCAGAGCATGCAGGGCAAGCAGAGCATGCAGGGCAAGCAGAGCATGCAGGGCAAGCAGAGCATGCAGGGGTTTCTGTTGTTATTTCTGCTGATATATGTATGTTACTTGGGTTGTCCAACTGCATAACTCTTTCGGGTGCCCAAGAAATCAGTGTCGCCAACAGGGAACAAACATTGGCTTATGTTGTTATTGCTGTGGATAGTTTACAAGGGCAGACCAACTGTATTAACAATAGCTATTCCGGGTCCCCAAGAAATCAGTATCAGCACAATGAAACAAACAATAGTCATTGACCTCACTCCCGGTTTCAGTTACATACAAAGGTACCAGAATAGTGAGTCAATATCTCCCTTTCTCCTTACCCCCTATTATCACAACAATGACAGCGGAGAGTACAGCCACCACTACAACCACCAAGAAGAATGTAACTTACCACATCAATGAGGCCCTTCTCTTTATCGCTGATCAGCTTCTCGAACTCCGAAGGAGACGGCTGAGCAGAAAACCAGAAGTGACAAGAAGTTCTCTAGCGCAGACTGATTTCTTAGTGAACCTAGTCCAGTGGGGTGTCAGTCTTTGCTACACACAAGTAGCTTGGTTTGCTTTTAGAGACGGTAGATTGCTACAACAGAACGTATGCATGTTCTCTGGAAATTTTAACTGGTTTGTTCTCTGGAAATTCCAAACTACTACGTACTGTGCATTCAAAGCTGAGCTGCTGGAACTAGAACTAACGTCACGTAATGCTCATGCAGTCAATGGAGGTTATCTCTGAATGACATCATAGTGTCTGCTTGCTATGGAGTGGCATTGTGGCAACTGGCAAGCCAGTTAAGGACATCATCGTATATGTTTTGCATGGAGTGGCTAATCAGTGCTCGTGACGTGATGTCACTCCATACAAAACGTCCCGGACAATGATGTAATCGCATGGCCTCTACATGTATACAGAACACTGGTATGGTGGTACGTCTGTGTGTACCGTGCACTGGTTCTGTTCTGCACACCGCTGTTGTTACAAAGCATGTACGTATCAACCCAGAAGGCATGCATACACAATACACTGGTTCTGTTCAGCAGACCCCCGTTGCAAAGCATGTGTCGACCCAGAAAGCATGCATGCACTGCTCATGCAGCAATGCATGCAACGTGTTGAACTATCGCTAGCTACCAAACAAAGCATAGAACACATGGCCACATGCTTTGTAGCTGACTCCAACACTTCGCAATGGATGAGCCAGCTCTACCCCAGGCCTACATGGGAAAGCATCTGTAACGTTATAATGACCAACAGCAACTTTATGTTGCCTGATGAATTGATGATTGCATAGAATGAAGCTCAGAATTGCAACAAGCTAGCCGTGTGCCTTGGTGTTCTGTGTATTAAATATCCAATGTGTATCCTTTACTACAGTGCTGGCAACTGAAATCCGACCACCAGGGCGGCACGCCGCGCCGCCCAGGGGGTCGGATTTCAGTTGCCAGCTTTGTAGTATTCCAACACAGTACAGTACTGCAAAACTTGCAAACCAGTACTACAATGTAACACCGACTGCTGCGTGTTAGAGTATGTAGCCATCTCTGTAACGTGTTGGTGACTGTGGCAATGCATACATCAATGAATACTTGTTTGAGCTTTGAAACATGTCTATTAGATCAGTATTTTCTACCCTGCTAGCTGAACTGATTCCCTGTGCACACAGTTTACTGTAGGGAGTGCTCCGCAAGAGTATGTGAATGAGTGCAAGCGCCCGCCGTACCTTTTCCGCTGCCTTGGCCTCGCTCCATCGGCGTAGAAGCTCGCCGTGTAGCTGCTCGCCAGACCTGGCGCTGCCAGTGTCTGCGCTCATTTCGGCAGTGCGTCTCGCGCTCGCTCTCTCTCTCTTTTTCTCACGTCTAGCCCAGCATCGCGCTCACGCTGATGATCTACTGCATGCTAGCGTGCGGCGTTGGCAACCCGACAAGGAGTCGCAAAGCAGAAGTAGAAGCCAGAATGGGAAGAAATGTTTCATTCGGAGGCAATTGTTTTCACGAACAACTCGAGCAAATGTCTCCAGCAGTAATAAATCAAAAATTTGAAGTCCAGCGGTAAGGAACCATACGGGCGCGCCAAACACTGTGCCAGTATGCCTACCTGCATCTGTCACTGTCACTGTCAGTCTGACCTGCACGCACAACTATCAAGACTATCCACCACCACCGATACCATGATACTCTGCGGTCCTCCGTTCAACTCCAGCCCAACCAGCGTTCAGAAGACTTTCCGTGTCCCTGGCAACGAGCCGCTAGTTGCCACAGCTACCTGGCGCCCGATGGCATGGGCCCATGCCGAGGCGATGCGATGGAGTGCTACGAAGTAGATAGTCCATCGGCCAAGTCTCAAAATCGAAAGTGGTGATGCACTGAGCTTCCAACTAAACGCGACCGTACCCAGCACGTAGAGAATATATCAGAGAACACTATTCCGTTTGTTGGACGTGCCGAATTCAGTCCAGGGCGTCGATACGAAGCGTTCTTCGTCGCCGAGTTTTTTACTGTGCGCTCCATTTGAGAGTGCGCAGAGTTCTGATCGAGAGTTTTTTGAGCAGATTTTCAAATTTTTGAGGCTGTCAGCTGACAGCTGTCAACCCTAAATGGCACTTTGTATGTGACAGGCAATAGGTTTTGGTGCCTCCGTATGCCTTCTAATAAGTTCTATCTTCCTTCGTTTCACTTCGCTGCTTCGCCCACCACCTCAGGAGATGACAGCGTACCTGCACTAGTCAGCTCTCGCTAACCCTGTAGCTGTCTCTCTTTCTCCGTCTTAGCGCTCGTCATTCGTGTCCTTCTGCTGGGGCGAGCTTGATACTGTTGTGTCGTAGTTTTTAGGCAATATATTAATAGTGGCTGTTGTTCGCGTGACGATCAGGATTTATGGAGAAAGACGACGACTCGCCAAGTTCCCATGCAGCCACAGACGGCGTAGCAATTCTTACCGCCAGCCCTTCGAGCAACGGAACCGGCCTGAGTTGGAAATCGTGTCTGTGTAATTGTGCCACGATACGGATGAAACACACAGGCTCGCATGTGACGAGATGAAGATAATCTCAACAGGCTCACGGAAATCCAACAGGCTCACGGGAACGCTGCAGTTATGGTCGGAGACGCGGAGTTATTTAGTCACTGGTAAATGTTGCATCGAGTGCTGTGTGCTCTAACACAATTGTAAAAATCATGAAAAAGCGAAAATAATGCAATGGTGGGGCTGAGTGGTGTTCTGTGGAGGAGACGTCGCTGTCTCAGTATTCAACGCCGGACCCTGTATTTCAAGTCTGTGGTCATGCTCGATCATAAGTTCCTGTATGGCTCCAGTGCCTTCTCAGCATTGTTGGCGGGTAAGCACCTGGATCGTGTCCAAGTACTGCGGCTCTGGTGGCTTGAGGGATGTACGGGTGCTCGCCGTGCACCCCTGCCGGCAATCTGCTAGTGAAGCTTGGTACCTACTGTGTCCGGGAGATTTTCATCCAGAAGCTGATCTTCCTAGGCTGGAGCTGCTGCTACTCCTGTGCTAGCCCTCAACCACTGGCGCCCCTACTCGGCTCCAGTGTGGGCCATTAACCACCCTGCCCGATTTCGCACTGTTGCTATTCCACACCGTCAGCATTTAACTCTGAGGTCAGACCTTGATCCCTCCCACCATATGCTATCTGTCTGTCTGCCTCTCTCTCACACACAGATGTGCGCGCATACACACAAACACACATGCACACACACACATGCACACACAGTGACACAAACATACACATAGCCAACTTCTCTGTGTTTGGTGATCATCATCTGTTTTCTGATGTGCAAGCTCACCTCTGATGCCGATTACTTCCTTGCTTAGACCCGGTCTGCTATTAGACCAGTCTGCTCTCCCTTCACTCGCTTGTAAATCCTACTTGGAGCAGTAAGGTTGTGTCACTGCTCCTACTGATGTCATTGTTGTGAAAGCAATATCATCGCCATTGGTGGTAATTTTCCACCGTGCATGAATCATTAACAATCATCATCTATGTGTCACGGCCTAACCATCCTCGTAACTCCCCTCATCGTGACTAGTGCTGTACCGTTGAAACCTACTTTGCTTCAGTGTATATTCGCTCCAAAGCTCTTGTTTTGTTGCATAGTGATCTGACGCAGTGTGCTATTGCCTATCGGGTAATATGGATAAGATTAGTACAGTCGGCATCGCCTATCGAGTGACCAGGTACATGTATAAGGATACTAGTACATGTATACCGGCTTAATGATATCGGAACACAAATAGCACTATGTGTGCAATATTCCTTTCTAAGCTCACGCTGTGCGGTGCAGATAGGTCATGTGTCGTTGCCAACTTGCCGCATGTGCATGTGCAGCAGGAAGGCACCACATGTCGACTACTACTTATACTGTACAGCATTGTGTGCTTACATGCATCTACGGCCTTGTGGATGCAATTGAGTCTCACATACATGTACATGAAATATTGCTTGTAGTGCGGCATCAGGTGTTAACATACAATGGCTAAATATTTTTCTCGCAATAATGACCGTATTCACCACAAGTGTGTTTATGTCCAGAGCCAACTCAAGTCCTGTATTATTTATGACCATGACAACAAGACTTCCGGACTGAAATTCTTCTATGACAGGCATGAACACTTGCCTTACAATTGTTCGTGATTGTACGAAGTACATATTCGCTGTTGCATCAATTTTGCACCATTTACATTGTAGTGCCACTAGTGGTATCGCCTGCATGCGTATTGAGTCAAACAAGGTTACCTCTGTATAATTATGCTTATCGTGGCTATCAAGAGCTTCGATGCAAATTCCCAGCTGACGAATGGTGTCCAGCTTGTGTTCAGCTCAGCTGGCACTCACAACTCATAATAATTGCGTTCTAGACGCCAGATGAGATGTTTCAGCTACAATGTAGACAAAACGTCCGTGTTCAAGATTGAAAGCCGTCACTTCATCTTCTGTCCATCCTCAATAGCACGTTCAAGCAAATACGTCTGAAACACAGTAGCGACAATCCGACAGCGGCGACACGCCGTCTTCTCCGAATGAACTTCTACCGTTCTAATTCAGATAACTGATTCCCCCAAAAATGTCAAAATAAATAATAGATTTCCACCAATCTCGCTAGAATCTTGCGAACCGTCAAGATGCAGGCATTTCAAGTGTTCGAGCGTGCGTAGATTCTGCTCAGCGGCTCAAGAACATTCGCCAAGCGAAAAAAAAGTCGATGAGAAAGATGTAATGGTGGACGAAATTACGAAAATCGGAAGAAGGTATTCGACCCAGTTCGACTATCCTGGACTGGATTGGCAACGTCCAACAAACGGATTCGTATTCTATGGGGTCTCATGAGCTAGTGTGCCAAAGGGCGTTTAGTTGGAGCTTCAGTGCATCACCTTCGCCGAAAGAGGCCCTTTCTGAGATTTGGCCGATGGACTAAGATCTACACTGCGCAGGGCTCGGCTGTCAAACCTCCCACTACTAGTATACTGCACTAGACTCGAGTCTAGACTCGAGTCACTATTAGTCTAGTACAGACTCAGTGTAGTAGTACACAGCTCAGCTGTACACACGCGCGCCGCGTGTACATGTACTTGGTGTAGGGCACACGTACGTAACCAGTTTACCAGGTAACCTTGGCAGCGCAGCTAGATCGGCACACTGCCCGAGTGTTGACCCTGGCCCCAGGCATGTGTAACTGTAAAGTGTAAACAGACAAAATGAAAACAGTATGTAACTAATTACTTGTTTACAGTTTAGCAACATTCTGAACAGGGATGTGATGTGAACTGATCTCCCTAGCAAAATGTGACTGTTTGGGATGTTTTGTGTTACAATTGAAACCTTGCCATTTGCTTCTTAGAACCTGTTGTGCCTTGCCTGTATTATAGTGGATCGCCGACTGATGCAGCCTTTGTAGCTAATACTCTAGCAACAGCATAGAAAGATGTAGCTGTGTCGCTAGGCTAGTAGGTAAAAGAGACTTGATCCTGCTTTCAAACTTGGAAGCACCCGTCGCCTCTGGCCCAGGAGGGTAATGTCGACTTTGCCAGTGCACAATAGCGGCAGTGGCACTGCTGCTGCTGCTATTGGGGCTAGCAAAAGTCCACAGCACGCTGGTCGCAGGACATTACCACCGCTGAACCACAGAGTGGACCGTGCCGGCGGCCGCAGTCGACTACTGAAATCGCCTCGGGCCCAGGACGCAAGCCAAGCGCTGGAGACCGGTGCACTACTGGCGCTGATTCGCGACTTTCCCAGAATGATTGAGCCGCACGGTGGTCTGTCGTACCCGCTGGCGGACAGACGACGTGCCGGCCTGGGATCTGAAAACAAGACCGGCGAGACGTGGAAGGTGCACAGCCGTCTGATGCAGCGAATCACACCAGAGCTACACACCTCATGGCAACTAGCCAGGCAGCAAGCGTATCTACAACTGCAATCAGCTGTGCTGGAGAGCTATCTACGCGTGGAGGAGACACGGCATCAGCTGGATGAACTACTTGTGCTGGAGAGAAAACTGTTTGAAAAGCTGAGAGGCCGGGAGCAGACGGGAAAGTTTTATCCGCATCCGCTTGGAAATATCGCACCGGCTATGGATTCGGTGTGTGACGCGAGTAGCGTACTGAATCAGCTGCGCAGTGTATGCAATGACAATCCATCACTGGCATTGGAAAAGCACGATCTGTGGATGAGACTGTTACCGACTCGCCAAGTACTGCTGCGATCGGCTGTGCATTGCGTGGAGCAGGGCCGCTCGCTGCTGGAGTGGAGACTGCGCGTGCTGGTCGTGCTGCGGGACAAGAAGGACGAGGGCAAGCAGTGGCGACAGTGCGTGTACGTCAGCATGCAGTACGTGGAGCAGTTCAACCGCCAATGCCAGCACTGGGAGAGAGCGTTTGCCGACCTTCTGCGCGACAATGGCGTGAGCATCCAGAGCGAGTGCTTCAAGCCCATCTCGTTCGCATGCTTCGTGTCGTCGGTCAGTTCGACGTTTGCTGAACAGCTAGGAATGCAGATTGCTAGCTCGGTGTATGATGACTTCTGGGAGAAAACCGCCGCCCGTCTGCCGAACAGAGAGGACAGGGATAACGCGCACAATGATAGCTTACTGGCGCTGGACCGATCCGCGATAGTGTTTGCTGCCGAGGTGGTCAGCATTGCATCGTGCTTGCCGGTGCTGTTCAGTCGCTGGAGCCCGAGCACAAACGAGGGCATGGATGACGGCAAGCTTAAGGACCAGGTGTTCGCGCTCATCGACCGAGTACTTGCGGCCGTGTACGATGAACTCGTAGCAGAGCAGACCAGAGTCGAAAAGCACACAACCAACAAACGCAAGTCCACTCCGCCAGTTTGGAATACCTCTTCGGGCCGAAGCAGCCAGGCGGGCAACACCTCCACGCGCTCCCCGGCAGCGGACATGGTGCCACGTCCGGCCCAGCATATCATGCAGGTCATGGTGCTACACCTGACAGTGGCCATGGTGCAGCCGGCTGCAAACACGCTGAGGCGACACTTTGCGGCGCAGCTGGACGGCCGGATAGCACGGCGCCTTGTACAGCTATCATGGCTGTCGAATTTGAGAACGGACGGCAATATTCCTCGGTCTGACTGTAAGATTCAAATTTGCATGTGCCGTAAAGTACCGCGGGAGGGAAAGGAAAATCGTATAGCAGAGTGCAACGAAGTTTGTACAGCGTGAGAATCTTAGTGTACTAAGGTCACACTTAGCAGACTTTGTGTGGATCTTGTGTCCGCTCGAGGGTAAATTAGCCGTGGTTGGCTATAAAAAGTTAAAAACCCTGCAATCGCCACGCAAAGTGATCATTGGCTACCCCAGCCATGTATTGCTTGGAATAAAATAAAAAAATAAAATTGAGTACGGCTTGACTGCACAACGTCCAATGTGTGTACATGGTTCACATCGTATGACCTACAGACAGGACACCGCCTCCATAATACGACCACGAACGGACGAGATGGTGGGGCGCTCTCGAGGTACTTTACGGTACAATTAGAATAGTCCCTCGCTGATTGAGTGCTTTATGTAGGGTCCGGAGGTACCTTCTCTCTCTCTCTTTCTCTCTCTTTCTCTCTCTCTCTCTTTCTCTCTCTCTCTCTCTCTTTCTCTCTCTCTCTCTCTCTCTCTCTCTCTCTCTTTCTCTCTCTTTCTCTCTCTCTCTCTCTCTCTCTCTCTCTCTCTCTCTCTCTCTCTCTCTCTCCCTACTGTGTTGGCAGCTGCTAGCAGGTTCTTTCCTGATTACGAGCAGTCATGTTTCCTTTGGTGTCCTGCCTTGACTGGGAAAGGCAGGAGACTCAGGAGATTATGTTGTGAGAATTAATAAATTGGGAAAACATAGCTGAAGCAATAAGTCGGTGCTGTTTGATGATCGCTTATGCCTACGACTCAGTAGTTTAACCCTTCTTTTAATATGTACAGTGAAACCTGTCTAAGACGACCACTCAAGGGACATTCAACATGTGGTCTCTATTGCCAGGTGGTCTCCTTATCCAGTGCCATTTGACTGGAAATAGCATTCCTTGGTCCTGGTAGCAGTGGTCTTCTGGGACAGGTGGTCTTCTGGGACAGGTGGTCTTCTGGGACAGGTGGTCGCCTTGACAGGTCTTACTGTGTACAGTTACCCATTGTTCTTGTCATCTATCCTGTTCTATTGCGTGTCTTCTGTTCTATTGCATATCTTCTGTTCTATTGCATATCTTCTGTTCTATTGCATATCTTCTGTCCGTCCAGCACTGCGGCCGGTGTCGAGAGCTTGGGATACACTTCTGACGTGGCTGGAGTTGCAGCACCTACGCCATCTCACTGATAGAGGCAAGCTGCAGACACTGCTATGTAATGGTTGACTACTGTGCGCGAATGTACAACACTGATTTCACATCTATCACATGACAGTAGAGGGTATTAGTTCTAACGTCAAACTCCACTCAACCCTTGCATCTATGGGTCACATGATGTCAGCCATATTGGTTTCACTGTCCGCATACCATGATCACTTTCTACACGCCTTTAGTCACATGACAACGAAGTCAAACCACTCTATAAAGTTCCGTGGATATTATTAAACCACTCATCCTCTGATGTAAGGTGAACATCCGCAACAAGAGAGGGAACACTAAACGGGGAACTCCGGTAGCAGATGATCTGAAGTTGCACTGGATAATCCTGACTGATCCTTTCCGTCCAGTTTAAAAAAAGACTCCAGGTCCATGTCCCAGTCATTCAGACTGACGTTTCCGCATCTACATGAATGCCTCATTCAACTCCCCCCCCCCCACACACACACCTCAATGTTTCATCCAACGAATCTTCTTTTGAGCACGCCCGACGTAATAGTCGAATTAGCTCCATGAGTCGTAACTCGTATTTCACGGCGCGTGCTTTGGCTTCATACACAATCTGCAACTGTCTATGTGTACACAGGGGCGTCACAGGGCAGTGGGGAGTGGTACGAGGGGGGGGGGGGTGTCCCCAGTGTCTGCTCCAGAGCCGGGTCAGTGACCCGGTTGGGGGTACAGTGAGTATCGTTTATAAAGTGACCGGGTGTAACGATATACCGGCTATAATGATCGAACTCGCCAAAATCAAAATCAAATCACAAAAAAATACAGCTAAAATATCACTATACACACTATTATCGGCTATACCGATATATCGCTTATTGTGATGGGCTTCAGGAAGCAAACCATATCAAATGCACAGGAAAATATCGTATATACTGATCAAGAGTGATGATCACAAAACAATTGTTCTTCAAATTTAGTTCATTTCTTCCAAAACTGATCCAGTGTTGCCTGGATGCATCTGGCAGCAGACGTGATTGAGAGAAAAATCTTTCCTGTATGCTGTAAGCAGCCACATGTACACGTGGCTGCTTTTCATGCTTTTTCCGGCATGTACGCATCATTTCATGCACAGTCATGTGCCATGTGTCAGTCATACAATGCAAATCGGCTATAGTGATGCACCGGATATAGTGATAAATTATCGAAAATCAAAGGAGCACGTTATATCCACTATTTACTGTACTTGGACCCGCTTGGAAAAAGAACACCGGGTCACTAGTTACCCGGGTGGGACTCAATCAGGAAGGCCTAGGACTCCCTGATGTACAATAGCCCCACTTGAATATACCCGGAACTGACCCGGTTGTAAGTGTTGTGCCAGGTACACGTGTACCCGGCTGGTTTGAAATCCTAGAGCAGACACTGGCCCCCCGTGGAACAAAATTCGGAATTGCACGCCGACAGGGCACGTTTTAGCACTCTGCAGGCGCTCTGGCCAGCTGGGCAGACGGTCCTGGACGAACGGTGGTACAACCATGGACGCAGTGTGTGTGACGCCCCATGGTGCATGTACATGTATTCTGGTGTACAGGGTTGAGTCAGGCGGTGGTGCGCAACACGGAGCTCACGAGTCGCCTGAAGTTGAATGCTGCCACTAGCTGGAGCCATGCACTACTTCCGGCAGTTTATGAAATGACCCGGCAAAGAGACAACAGCGCAGCAGAGGACTCGCCACTCAGCACGGTCCAGTTGTTCTTTCGCCGGCATGACATCAGAACAACGACAGCCGCAGTGGAAGGTGCGATTGGACCAGCAGACCCGGGCACGAGCGAAGGCGTCAAGTTCAGCAATTTTGCAACAGTTCACCACGAGTGCTTGGAATCGTTGATGAACCAGGCGCTGTCCTGTGTGGACAGGCGTCATCCGGCATACAACCTTCTGAGCAGCTCGGTTGCCGCTCGGAGATTCGCATGCAACCTGCACCAGCTGAGCATGCAGGTGATACAGCACGTGGACAGGAGCATGCATGGTTTGCTGATCACGCTGTTCAACGACGGCACTCTGCCTCCGCTGCTGGTCACGGTGCACAGCGATCTACCCTGGATTGCCCACGCATTGCAACGTACCGTCACAGGCTTACACGGCAGTGGTTCCGAGCAGCACACGATGATCATGGGTAGGCAGCAGCTGAATGAAATCGGTGAAGCTGTGCGCAGCTATGCGGTGAGTTGATTTTGGGTTAAAGCATTGTTTACGATCGCTGACAAAGACAACTATAGAGGGGAATATGCACTCCGGAAATTATCCTAGATGGGAATTGTGGTATTGTATTGTATTGTTTATTTACGGATTCTCCAGAAGTAGACGGATATCTATCAAGAGGGTCTCTCCAAACCAATAGAATGATGAAAAATAGAAGTGGATAGAACTCAAATAAAATCTGAGAATTTAAATCAAAGGAGAGGAAGAAAATCAACACATTGAGAAGCAGGAATGCTAATAGAACACTACTGTACATATGTGTGTAGGAGTTGCATTTTGATATAAAGTATATTTTTCGCAGTAAAAGAGTATTTATTTGTAGAGCTTGTGTTGATACAGATTCCTAGGTTCAAACCCCAAGATGGGCAGTTAGTTACATTTTTTCTCTCCTTGCGTATTTTGTATCTGCATGTTATTACCCTTTCCGTGAGTCGCTACTTACGGACACTTCTTACGTCATTGCTGTCATGTTGACGTCACGCCATGCGCGCATAACATTTTCAAAATGGCTGCCATGCTAGCATGATCTGCAAATGATGTGACGTCAATATGATAGTAATGACGTAAGAAGTGTCCATCATGCAGGCGCGTGCGCCGGTGCCCTTCAAGGGAGGGGGTTCCGGGGGCCTCCCCCGGGAATATTTTCAAAAAATGAAGCAAAATCCTGCATTTGAGCGAAAAAAAGAAAGAAAAAAAGGGGGGTTCCGGGCACCCAGGAACCCATACGGGGCACGCGCCTGTCCATGAGTGTTCAGCATTATCAGTACACGCACTACAGGGATAGTGCCTGCAAGTCTTCGTTTTCTTTTCCCTGCTCTGCTCTCCGGTGTGTCATCCGTTCTGCTGTTGAATACAGGCTGCTGTCGGCAAAGCACAGAGCGAATTTGACGGGCTCCTACAGCGGGCGTCGCTCACGTTCTGGAGTGATGCTCTGCCGGCGAAGGAAACTTGGAAGAAATCACCACGAGGTGAGCCTGGGCTCTTTGTACGGGCACAATTGCGGTCTATTGATTCCGGGAGATCAATGTCATCCTTGCTCTTTGGTGTGTACTGTAAACAAATCCTTGCTCTTTGGTGTGTACTGTAAACAAATCCTTGCTCTTAGTCTTTGGTGTGTACTGTAAACAAATCGCGGGTCGCATGAGACTCAGCTGGAGGCCAAGTTAGTTTCGCGCATCCGTATGAACACCACCACCCTCTATGGTTCAAGCCGCTGTGTACTGTAGGGGTCCCGCATCCGTATGAACACCACCACCCTCTATGGTTCAAGCCGCTGTGTACTGTAGGGGTCCCGCATCCGTATGAACACCACCACCCTCTATGGTTCAAGCCGCTGTGTACTGTAGGGGGCCATCCGGCGATATCGATAATTTTCACGGAACGAAAAAGTTTAGTTATGACCCTCCCCCACCCCACCCCCCCCCCCCACCCCCGACTTTGCGGCCGATCAAACGAGATAGGGCAACATCTGCTCGGCCATCACATGAACATATGGACTGTCTTACATGTGTGGACGGTGCTTGTGCTCACTACTATATCAGGGTCTACAGGCATCCGAAGCACTGATTGTATCTGTATTATTTTGTACTCAATGTATGCAACACTATTATCTCCACATCACCATGTTTTTATTTTTGTTTATGTTTTTCACTCCATTGTCGTGAGTTCCCCTTGGGAACGGGTACGAGAATAATAATAATAATTATTTCAAATTTGGGCTTCACGGAGAATTTCAAAGTATTAGGAAATTAAAGGCCACATGCCACGTACTGCTCTTTTCTCTCCGAAACTCAACACTTGCAAGCCAGATATGAAAGAAAGAAAGAAAAAATCCTCAGTCACGGAGAAAAGAGCAGTACGTGGCATGTGGCTCTTAATTTCCTAATAATAATAATAATAATAATAATTCAAATGATCAGTCGGGGAAGTGAACTGCCTGAAAAGAGAAAAAAACGCCAGACCCACCAGGACTCGAACCTGGGACCCTGCTTGTCATGAGCAATGCTCTAACCACTGAGCTATGGGACCAGGCTGAACCTAGAAGGCGCTGACAAGTTTTTCACTCTAAAGGCAGCTCACAACACGTGCCACACATACTGATGGCACTTGGGTCTTTTTCCCTCCCCCAGGGGACCAACCACGGTCAGTTTCTGGAAACTACCAGAGGTGAAAGAAAGTGATTAAATTTGGAAAGGATTGGGAGAACTTCAAATTCAAATGATCAGTCGGGGAAGTGAACTGCCTGAAAAGAGAAAAAAACGCCAGACCCACCAGGACTCGAACCTGGGACCCTGCTTGTCATGAGCAATGCTCTAACCACTGAGCTATGGGACCAGGCTGAACCTAGAAGGCGCTGACAAGTTTTTCACTCTAAAGGCAGCTCACAACACGTGCCACACATTTAATCACTTTCTTTCACCTCTGGTAGTTTCCAGAAACTGACCGTGGTTGGTCCCCTGGGGGAGGGAAAAAGACCCAAGTGCCATCAGTATGTGTGGCACGTGTTGTGAGCTGCCTTTAGAGTGAAAAACTTGTCAGCGCCTTCTAGGTTCAGCCTGGTCCCATAGCTCAGTGGTTAGAGCATTGCTCATGACAAGCAGGGTCCCAGGTTCGAGTCCTGGTGGGTCTGGCGTTTTTTTCTCTTTTCAGGCAGTTCACTTCCCCGACTGATCATTTGAATTTGAAGTTCTCCCAATCCTTTCCAAATTTAATCACTTTCTTTCACCTCTGGTAGTTTCCAGAAACTGACCGTGGTTGGTCCCCTGGGGGAGGGAAAAAGACCCAAGTGCCATCAGTATGTGTGGCACGTGTTGTGAGCTGCCTTTAGAGTGAAAAACTTGTCAGCGCCTTCTAGGTTCAGCCTGGTCCCATAGCTCAGTGGTTAGAGCATTGCTCATGACAAGCAGGGTCCCAGGTTCGAGTCCTGGTGGGTCTGGCGTTTTTTTCTCTTTTCAGGCAGTTCACTTCCCCGACTGATCATTTGAATTTGAAGTTCTCCCAATCCTTTCCAAATAATAATAATAATAATAATAATAATACGTACCCTATCTTCTGTATGATTCCTTCTGATACTTCAGGTGTAAAGCAATGGAAGTCGGGACCATACATACAATCCAGCATAGGCAGTCTTTTAACACCCTGTGTTGATGCATTGCTCGGTCAGCCACTTGAAGGACAGCGACGAGGTATGATTCTCGTCCTGGAGAATCTCCTGCAGTCGCTGGAGTCCCAGATTCAGCAGACCAGTGGCATCAAGTTCAGGTTAGTGTCCGTTCATGTGTATGTGTGTGTGTGTGTGTGTGTGTGTGTGTGTGTGTGTGTGTGTCGTCTCGCAGAGACAGTGACAGGTCATTGTACAAGAAAGCTCGTAGCTCGGCTCGGCGCACTATCAGACGACTGAAGCAGGAATGGTTGTTGAAACAAGCCAAAGACTGCCAGAAGTTCGGATTGACTGCTAGGGGAGGCGGAACATCAAGACTGTGTTGGATAGTTTGCGCCCGCAGGTATCAACAGCAATCAAAGATCGTCAGGGTGAGGTGTGTGACACCCCGGACGCTACAAATACCCGGTGGAGGGAGCATTTTGGCGGATTACTGAATGTTGCCAGTGAGTATGAGCCGAACATAATTGACTCTCTTCAGCAGCGGCCGGTTGCAGAGGATCTTGCTGGCGTCCCCGACCGCGCTGAGGTGCACCGTGCGCTGCTGTCCATGAAGAGCAAGAAAGCCTGTGGTAAGTCTGAGGTAGCTACGGAGATGCTCAGGCATGGGTGGTCCCGCTCTGATTGACAAACTACTGCAACTTATCGAGGCTGTGTGGGATGCTGAGCGTGTACTGCAGGATTGGGCAGATGCTATATTGGTTCCTATCCCTAAGAAGGGCGACCTGAGTGCGTGCGATAACTGGCGCAGGATCTCGTTGCTTGATGTGGCTGGAAAGTTGGTGACCCGGATCATTGCCGACCGTCTACAAACCATTGCAGAGGATTGTTTACCTGATTCTCAATGTGGTTTCTGGAGAGGAAGAGGTTGCGCCGATATGGTTTTTGCCGTTAGGCAAGTCCTGGAGAAGTTGCATGAGCACTTGATGAAACCTGATATTGTATATTATTGATCTAAGGAAGGCGTATGACTCTGTCCCCCGGACTGCAATGTGGCGTGTGCTGGGCAGGCTTGGTGTCCCGAGCAAATTGGTGTCCATTATCCGCTCTTTCCTTGATGACATGTTGGCATCTATCCGCATAGATGGTAATCTGTTGGACCCCATATCCGTCGGAACTGGCTTACGCCAAGGTTGCGCTATGGCGCCGGTGTTCAATTTATACATGGGCGCTGTTGTCGATAGGTGGCATGTTATGATTGCGGCTGATGAGGAGATCGGGATTGACATCTCCCAGTACCGAGTGAATCGTTTATTCAACACAAGGCTGAGGGAACTCACCCGGGTTCGAATCACTGAGTGCCAATTTGCCGAGACTCAGCACTGCTTGCCAACACGTATGCTGGAGCTGAGCGGGCACTCTCTGCCTTCCAGACAGTCGCGAGCGCATTTGGCTAGACCGTCAACACAGCAAAGACTAAGTACATGCCTGCCGGGAGTGGAGTATCACCATCAGACAGAGCTCCTTTAGATGGCACAGTATAATCTTTATTTCAGGATTACCCAAAGACTAACGCCTATCTGGGGGATCTCCTATTTGTGTAGAGTGTGTTCATTAGTGTTGAAACGACCTCACCGGGTAGATCTACTCGTTAGCTCGCTCGCCAGAAACTCGGCTCGTTTGTGCGGTCAGCTCGTTTGTGCGGTCAGCTCGTTTGCACTAACGAACATCGTACACCGTAATCCGTACACATGGCAGTACAAGTCGAGCGGGGAGTCGGAATTTGTTTACGACTCCCTGGTCGATCGAGAGTCCAGTCCCGCGCAAAGTGAAAATCACTGGCAGTTCCAGTGACTGCATGCCTGCACGACACTGAGTTGTTTCAGCTTTGGTGGACTCCACTGATGTCTTGTTCCGCATCTGCTGACCTGCTGCAGGGCAAACTTCTGTCAACTCTCCATTCGAGTAAAAGTTACGCTCAGTCGTTTGGAAGTTTTCTCCCGCGATGCAGCGAAGAACAGGGCTACAGTCTTTGCAAAACGGTCTATTGTTACAAAGGCTGCTCAACGACGGCGCTGAAAAGACATCTCGACACCAAACAGCAGTCGGAAGTGAAGCAGCAGCATCCCCAAACGCCGCCGGTGATAATTTGGACCAGCTGAATTTAAAAAAATCGAACTTAGGAAAAAAATATTTAAAAAAATCATGATTTGCCACATCAATGAAACTCGTTAGCTCGCTCGATAGCTTGCTCGATCGTTAGTGGAACTGATCGCTCGTTTCAACTTCCGCTACCTGGGATGCCAGGTTACGCCCGATGCTCGGAGCACCTTCGATGTATCGCGGCGACTCGCTGCTGCCTCGGGTGCGTTTTTCAACCTGAAGGAGACCATCTTCTGCAATGATGATTTCCACATCGGTGCAAAACGGGTGGTGTATGGCGTTACGATCCTTGCCATCCTGCTCTATGGCTCACAGAATTGGACGCTGAGACAGAGGGACGTACGGAAGCTCAAGGCATTTCACCTGCACTCTATAAGGTCGATGCTGAAGGTGGATCGGGGACGGCAGATCATCTACCGAATCTCTTCCCTCCAGGTTCGTCGCATGTGGGGTGACCGTCGATAAGGTTCAGAGGCGCCGGCTCCGGTGGCTGGGACACGTTTAGTTGCCCGGATGGGAAATCGCATTCCGCTGCAGCTTATGTATGGCGCCCTGCCAGCTAAGCGCCCGCCTCATGGCCCCAGGAAGCGGCGGAAGGATGTTGCAAAGGCTGACCTTACCTCCATCGGCATTCCAGCTGACGACTTCAATGACATCGCCCAGGACAGGGACGAATGGCGTCTGAGGTGCCATGATGGAGTTGAGCGCATCGTCAACATCAGGACTCAACCGGCAACGAAGCCGTTCCAATGCCCGGTATGCCACCGTAGTTTTCGTCGACGGCAGGATGAGAGTCGCCACAAATGTAACGCGATAAGACACTCCCGTCGAGCGCCCTGATGGACAGCACAAATCCGAGTCTGCCCCTTTGGGGGCCACATAGCCGGACATGGCAGTGGTACAATGAAGGAAGGTGTGTGTGGTGTGTGTGTGTGTGTGTGTGTGTGTGTGTGTGTGTGTGTGTGCGTGCTTGTGTGCCAGCTAGTTTACATTTGGTGGGCAAACTTGCGCAAGATAGTAGCTGGGTCAGTATCCATCGCGTGAGGCTAATTGAAGGTGTATTGTTTAACCTGCCCGTGACCTTTGTCGGTTTCAGGGTTGGCAGTACTAAGGCGACACCGACCTAGAGTTGGCAGTGCAAGGGCAACATTGACCCAATCGACATGCATGTCAGATTTAACTTTGACTCCACCGTTTTATACAAAGTACTGATCAAGTGTATTCCAACCCACTGTTTTCTTTCTCAGTGCTCATGGGGCAAGGCAAATGGAAGCCGACATTGACACGTTGAAGTCGTGGCTGGTCATGCCGGAAAGCCACTTGGACTCGGTGGTCGGTAGGGCAGTGGCCGGTGCCCAGGTGTTCGGCCGGTGGCAGCGCAACCTCAGTCTCTTATCCTGGCAGCCAGGCACGAACTACAGCTCTGATTTCGCACCACAAGGAGTTGACCGGCTGCTACCAGCAGCACCCGCTCAGCGAGGCTCGGCGTTTTCAGCACCCCACCGCAATCGCATTGCACCGATGCCAATGGCGGAAGAGACTGACGGCGGGCGGCAGAGCAGTCCGGGCGACGACGAAAAGGACAGGGAATGGCTGAAGTACCGCCTGCACGGCGAGGCAAAGGCCAAGTCCAGAGCCTGCGTCATACTGTAGTACAGGCAGTGCCAAAGCGAGCAACTCTGCTCTCATACCTGCATGTTCTGACACAGCTTTCCATGGACACATCACAAGTAGACACGAGTATGCCATATTGCTGCTCTAAGTTTCCAGGTCTTGAGACAAAGTGCAATTTAAAATTATTATTTGTTGAGCAGGCAACCAGCAGTAATCCATGGGCTTCTTGAGTTGGCGAAAGACGGAAACCCTTTAGAGCCCGTTGCATGTATTTCCCAGGGCAGCTTTGAGTTGGAATGATGTTGAGAGGCGCTTCGATTAGATTTTCCTAGGTATGCTGCACACGTATGTGTATGGTAGGGCACGCTGCTAGGTCTATGTGAGGACACGCTTATTGTAGGGCTCTCTCTCTCTCTCTCTCTCTCTCTCTCTCTCTCTCTCTCTCTCTCTCTCTCTCTCTCTCTCTCTCTCTCTCTCTCTCTCTTCAGAGTTATGGTGTGATCTGATGTTTGATGGGAAATCAGTTCTTTATATCAGTGTTCATTCTCCCAGGATCCTCTTTCAATGAAAAAGAATTTCTTTCAAGTTCTTTGCATCTCTGTTGTGATCTAGATCTGAGGCAGGCGTTGCTATGTGTGCATCGTCATGCGTGCTCAGGCTTGATTTACTCGACCTCTGGGCAGATACAGTTGAACATCGATTATCCGCACATCGACTATCCGACCATTCGATTATCCGTAACAGTTTTTTTGGGCGCACGTGCCGTAGAGTACGCACTGTGCATGTAGTGAGCCATTCAAAAAATACGAAAATTTTGAAAAGTAAAAAGTAAAAAGGTCGTGCGGCTAGTAATAACCACTGAAAGTGTGTGAGTGACAGTTTTTTCTTATCCGGAACATTTGCCTTATCTGAACACCGCCTGACAGTTGTCTGCCCAGAGGTGGTCGGATAATCGATGTTCAACTGTACCAGTAATTTGACCTCTGTCGGTATTGTATGTTGGCATGTGGCTGAAATCTGCAGTTCCGGGGAAGGAGTTTGGTGCCCAACGTTTAATAGAACACACCCAATGATGACCAAAAACACGCCCAAATTCCAATAATTTCTCCATGAGAAAGCCAAAAAATGCATGCAATGCACATATGCTATTATTGTAGCGAATACCTTTCCACAGGTCCAGTAAAACCTGTCAAGGCGACCACCTGTCCTAGAGATCACCACAACCAGGATCAATGGATGTTATTTCCAGTCAAATGACCCTGGATAAGGAGACCACCTGTACACGGGGACCACGTTTGTGAGGTCCCTTGAGCTGTCGTCTTAGACAGGTTTCAATGTAACTTACTGTGGACATACGTGGTCTGTGTAGGTTCAGTCAGTCCCGTAGCCTACAGTATGCATAGTATCATGCAGTTTAGATGCATTGCCTGATTCTCCCAGCAAGCTCTCACCTTGACATGCCATTGGCCACACATACCTCACACCTACCCCACGCACATGCACACACGCACGCACACACACACAGAAAACAGAGCCCCATACTAGTACGTACTTCAACACTTCCACACATACTCGGACTTACGGACAAGAACTGACGGGAAGATCAAAAGACACTGGACTAGAAAGCGTAGAGAATCTTAGAGAACATGATAAAACTGGACAAACACAGTCATAGTCAACAGACAACCAACGCACTGTAGCCGAGCAGCTAATAATAAGGTGGACAGGAGATAAGCGCAAAGGAAGGCTAGCATCAGAGACCTGATGTAGTCCTGAAACAGATCGCGTGAATGTAGTAGTGCACACGAAGCGTAACAGATACGCCATGGTACAGAAAGCTTAAGGAAAATAAAAAACGCCGCTAGGTCAGACCGCAAAAATCACAGGCACACACACGCACACACGCACACACACACACGCGCACGCATACACAAACAGCGGGGGAGGGAGAATCAAGCCTGGAACTTGGCCTGCAGCTTTTTGAAGTCAGCGACTGTGCGAGCCAGCTCACTGTCCTGACTGATCATAGACTGAAGCTCCACTAGATAGCCGGTCACTGTTTGCAGGCAGTTCAAGCGCAATGACGCCCTATACATGCAACATGTACGCATTCCATACAGACACACACACATCCACACACACGTGAAAGTGCAAGTGCACATACACACACACACACACAGTCAAGGTGAGAGCTAGCCCATGTCTTTGATCAAGAACCTTTGGTACACACTCGGAGCAACTACCATATGCCCTAGAAGAGCTCAACAGTGGTCTTTAATCATTCTTTGAACGTGTATAAAGCGGGATTCACACCAGAATTTTTCCGATGCGACAGCCGCAAACTGGGAAAACCCCAATCCGCACATCTGTGCAGCATACCCAACCACTGCAGCTGGCTGATCGCAGAAGTCGAACGTGGCTTGGCTAATGTTACTTTCATGATGCAACGTGCGACCAGGATCGTCTTTGCAGCAAAGCTGTACATTTTTTTCAAGAGTCGTTAATAATTTTGTAGATTTGCACAAGTTGTCGCAACATGACATTGATTGCAAAGAGTTCTGGTCACAGCGGGTGCATACTGCGCACTGTTCACATTACAGTTCTGCCGGGCACCGAAGAACAAACAGGCTACAATTGAACCAGGTACGGTATAACTGTATGCACATGCTAGCTCAACTGTTCTTCCACACAGCGCAGTACTGTACTTAACATAATCCCACATACCTCTCTACTCTCGTTAATCCTAAGAACTGTGAAGCAGTTACACATACCTCTCAGTAGGTAGGAGATTGGCAAAGAGGTGCGGTGAGGCCAGCAGCATGTGAATAGCATTGAGTACATGTAGAGGTCTGCCCGCTGACTGCCAGCATGGGTCCTGCATAGGATCACACACACACGCACACACACGCACACACACACACGCACACACACACACGCACGCACACGCACGCACACACACACGCACACGCACACACACACACACACACACATACACACACAATGCACACACCCAGATCAGAGACAAGAGATAATGCTAGAAATCGACATCATCAGCACACCTGACAACCAAAGTAAAATGAACACATGCTTGTTGAGCTAGTCAGCCAATCACAAGGAACTTACTTCAGCAGCAATTCGAGAGCATGCTTCAAACCAAAGGTCCCAAAAGAGGAGCTAACAACAATGTCAAAGTCCCCGTACAGTTTCTCTCAATGAGATCCAGTCGCGTCCTTCAAGTACGCGCCGGGCGTTGCGCAGCTGTAGACCTGCGAACACTGGGCTGCGAAATGGTGCAAGGCGCAAACTTGAGTGGCGCGACTGGATTTCATTGAGCAGGACTGTACATATACATGCTAATTCGTACACCACTAGTAGAGAACAGCAGCTATCTGTACCTTGGCCTTGAACAGTCTCTCGTAGACATTCAGCAGTACACTGGCGGTGATGCCAACCTGCTGGAAAGCAGTGGCTACCCAGCCGAGGGGTAGGCGCAGGCGAGCTGTCAGCTCCTCCAGGTGACGCACCAGGAACGCTACACACAAGACACGCAGGCAGAGATTTAAAAAAAGGCAGAATATGAGCTAGACACGGCTACACATCACCAGCGATATGAAGGCAGGAAACTTCCCCGTGCGCACTTGTATAAAACAAGCAAAAATATCGTACTTTGCTCGCTCTCAAAGTTCGGAACTTCTAACTAAAGTACTGCACTCACTCGCAACATTCAGAACTTGAAACTCACATATGCAAGCAGAATGCTCTACCTCCCAAAGAGTGCTCTAGGCCCAGCAGCAAAGCTTGCTAACAAAGTAGAGGGAGAGAGGAAGGTTAGTTGTAACCACCGGTTGGATCAACAAGCACCCAGATCATTGTGAGCAAGTGAAACTCTGTGTGGAAACTCCCTCTCTTCGTGCTGTGTAAACGTTAAACTCATGTAGCAATACCAGTCGACATACGCATGCTTCTTTTTCAGTATGGCAATGATACGCCCTGCTAAATCGAGTTAGGCAAAGAACTCCAAGCAACACTTACACATAGAAGTACCATGGACATGTAGCTACAATGAAAGGCACTTTTGCAAGAACTATGAAAGCCTACTTGAAATCGACTTCAATTGCCCAGGCCATCACAAGTGTGCAGCCAGCACAAGCATACACCACACCGCACGGTGGCTGCTTACCGACTGGGAAGTAGCGCTGTGACTGACAGTAGAGCTGGCCAAGGGAAACAAGCTTGTTAGACAGCGACTGGGCACGGGCATCTGCAGACGCTGACGCAGATTGCTCCAGTTCTGAAAACAAAGGAAAATGGAGGCACACAAGTTACTTGTACTAGTGCTGCATACGTAAACAACAGAAAAACAACGCATGGACTGCAGTATTCGTATTATATTATAAATAGTGAAAAACTCACTGTATTTGTGAGCACAATAATGAAAAAAGAAACCAGTCAGGGAGAGTGCGCAACAGGAGACATGGACAGTCCCCACACTGAACAGAGAATGCCTGTGAAACTGTGCCATCACTACAAGTATCTCTCCTCTTGGTACTTAGCATGGGCCACCTGGAGAAACACATGCCTGCTGAAATGGCAGGGAGAGTATTATACTAGCCACAGCGCTACGTGCACATCCACTCACCTTGGTCGACGATTTCTCGCCAGAGCGCCTCGACCAGCGCTGGATCGTGGTGGCCGGCGCAATGCACAATGGCCAGCTTGCACTCGGACAGATCAAACTGATCGGCGTAGTCACCGTACAGCTGAGCACACACAATAGAACGTACAACACGCACACAACACAAAACCTGCGATGAAAGCCCGCACTTGACAGTAGCCTAAACAAACGTCAAAACTATGAAATATTAACAGGACTTCTGGCAGAAACAGGACCACAGCAACAGTACGACACACCTAGGACACTAAGAAGGCAACACAAGAACAAAACAAGAAAACAGCAAGATGGGGTTACCTTGCTAATGTCCATCAGCTCTCTGTTGAGTTCGTCCAATGCTTTTTCAGCCTTCACTGCTTTGTCACCATTCAGTGAAGGCCGGAGCAGCACCAAGGCCGACTGGACTTGAAGCTGTATCCTGGCAACCTGCAACATACAGAGCAATGAGGAGAGAGCATTACTGGATGCGAGCAGTCAGCTAAAAGCTAGCAGCACATAAAAGCTAGAGAAGGAGTGCTCATTACTTCACGAAATCAAACACAAACAAATGCAATTTAATATCCTGTTCCGAAGTGCCTCACCTCCAGCTTCTCTTCGAGATCGTGTAAGGTCTGGCCGGATGGAGTTGTCGTTGTCAACAGATTACAACTCTTTGCACACATTACTGCACGCGATAAGTACTCAACACGTTGCTGCAGAGTCTGGGAGCTGAGCAGAGAAAAAGATGCAGGCAGAGAAAAAAAGTCGATACAGAGAGCAGGACGAACAGCAATACAGTGGTTTCACAGCTGTGCCATGTGACTCAACTGGTGTGGAAAGTGATCATGGCATGCGGACAGTGGAACCAACATGGCCGACATCACCCGACTCATAGCTGCAGGGGTTGAGTGGAGTGGGAAGTTGGAACCAACATGAACCAACATGGCTGTGTATGGTCATGCAATAGATGTGCAACATCTCTAGTCAGAGAATCAGTGTACGGCGGCATTCAACACTGCGTTCTTGGATAGGACATACCCGGGGCGTCTTTCGGCAAGCTGGCCTAGCACCTGTGCTGCGGCAGCAAAGTTCTGTGTGCGCTCGTAATACTTCCACAGCAGACCGAGCGCGGCATCAGCGGGCTGAGAACAGAAAACACCGGGAGAGAACACACACAAATCCATGACATGGCAGTACATGTACCAAAACAAACAAGACCAGAATGTGGAAAGTCGCAAGCCAGCGCAGTCATACAGAACGAGATCATCGTGGAGAGGCAGCCCTAACTCATAGCGGAATCCTGAATAGGTCTTGAAAGTGCTACGTCACAGCCAGCTCGGAGGCAAGACAATTCACACTTGGATCCACTTTGGCTAGAGTTTTTGTACGGATTTACGCATTTGGGTGGTTTTCCTTTGCAGCATAGTGACACATCTGCCAGTAGTGACTGGATTGGTCCCTCCTTCGAGTCCTTGTCAGGGACCCACTCCAGGTACAGAAAAATCCACACGTGCGTGTGACACGAGGGGACTGATCACCACATCACGTACTTCGCTACGGGCGGCATAGATCCAGAAGTGGTTATTTGACATTAATTTTCGACTTCCAAGTTCCAACATAACTTTACCCCTTTTAACGGAAAAGAGCTGGTCCAAGCCAAGGAGGAGAATATACATGATTGTACTAGTAGTATGCATATGCAAGCACAGTCAAGAGTGACATGCACTGCACTGAAAGGCTGGCCAGGGCAGTACAGCAAGCAAATCACACAGGCAGTACGCACCTCTTTCTCCGCTGCCTGCGTAAGATAGGTGTCGAGATACGGCGAGGTGACCTGCAGCAGCTGAGCCGATTGTCCGGTCTTGATCAGCCAGTCGTACGTCAGGATGTGCATCAGCTCGTCACTTGATGCCAGCACTCGGCTCAACGTTTCCTCATAGTGCTGCAGCACAAGGCAAGACGCACACAGCACATACACGGCACAGAGCACAGTTAAACAATGCCATGAAGATAGTACCCCAACTTCAACCTCTGTTTAACAGCATCAGCCATGGCTCAGAACGCCGTGATGAAGCGACTGTCACTGTAAAGCATACAATAACTGAGCAATAACTGAGCAATAACTGAGCATGCATTGCATGTGATTACGGAGAAGATAATTATCTACTCTTTATAATAGGCAAGAGACGAATTTCCCTGCTGGTTGGAGATTTAATCCATGAGACCGGTGAGTTTTCACTGTGTGACAAGTGGTACAACTGGCAACTAAGCGAAAAGAAAAATACAGCTTACTCTCCGGCAAGGTGCTGATAACTTCATCTCATCGGCCAGTACGGTGGCATCAGTATTGACACCGCTATTGAGTACTGTAACAGCAGAAATTTTCGGTGGTGTAATATTTTCGGTATTCTCAAAAATCGGCGGTTCGGTGGAGGGAAATTTTCGGTAAACCTGTTTTCCAGGTATTTTAATTGTACTATACTGGAATTTTTGGTAAAAGTTCGGCACCGAAGTTACCGAAAAATAAAACACCACCGAAAACTTCTGCTTTTACAGTATACATACAGGTGGTGTAAAGACATGCGGTGTGGCGTGTAAGTACCTGAACAGCGGTGCGGATGGCCGTGTCGGCGACCTTGAGCGGCGATGAGCCTGTCGGTACGGTGGCAGTCTGAGTGCGATTGTACAGGTCATCTAGGCACTTCACTGCACTGTCGTAGCACTCACGCCTGTACAATGTTGAGGTACACAATCAATCACATCAAGCACAAGCAAATTTTGTTTCGCAACGTTCAGTGTGACAGTGTATACAAGCAGCAGCAGTACAGGCTGAACATTTGTTGCAGCTGAAATGTGTTTTAGCCCTGGGAGGCCGAAATTTGAATGGGCTGAAAATTTGTCAACTTACAGTACATAGTATTACAATATATATACAGAATGATTTCTACGAAAAGTACTTCTGAAGTACTTGGCAGAAACAAAAACCTTCGACAAATGACCGTATGAAATCTGCTTGACTTGCTATCTGCACCAGCAACTTGAATAACCGACTTAGAATTTAGGCACCGGAATTTGGAATAATAAAGCTGACTGCTGCTAGTATTAGAAAAAAGAGGGTTGCTGAGACTGAGTAAGAGAAGAGAGAATGCATTGTTGGTTTGCTTATGCGTGCATGTGTACGTGTGTGTGTGCACGAGGCTATGTGTGTATGTGTGCACGGGCGAGTGGGTGGGTGCACGCGCGCGCGCGTGTGTACAATACCTTGCGTTGTAGGCGGCAATACCGGCCGTGTCATCCCAGGGCTGCTGCTGTCTGAAGTGATGCAGTGCCAGCGACTGTGGATCACGCTTCTTGGCACAAGCCAGGCATAGGTCAACCAGGCCGGAGAAAAAATGTGCTAAACATGGGGAAGGTAACAGAGAAAAGGGGAACAGCAGTTTGACCTTCCCCGGTTCTATTGAAGACAAGAAAATCTGCTCATGAACTAAAGTATAGAATGCAGGGAAAGGATCAGGATGTCTACAGCACCCTGCCAAAGGTTCACACAATGCAGCGCGGTCTAAATTTAGCAACCTCAGCACCACATCCTTCAAATATGGAAATTCAGTACATACTTTAAAAAACAACAGGGGAAGTGAAACATCTCGCGTGTGCCCACAAACATACCTTCCGTGTATTGGCTACAGACGACTGACAGAGGTAAGTGATGGGTCACCTTGCTGTACAACTGGACAACGGGAAACAAAACATACCAGATGACGATACAAGTAATAGTATTGTAGCCAGGACTTATAACTTTCGACTTTACGGATGGCCCCACATGTGCTTCATGTACTGTGCCCATGTGTGTGTGTGTGTGTGTGTGTGTGTGTGTGTGTGTGTGTGTGTGTGTGTGTGTGTGTGTGTGTGTGTGTGTGTGTGTGTGTGTGTGTGTGTGTGTGTGCTCCTGGGTGGTTACCAACAGCCAGTGTATGCCGGAGTATGTGGTGTGGTGTGTGTGTAGAAAAAAAAGAAAAAAGAAAAAAATGGAAAAATGAAAAATAGGGATTCACTGGCCAGAAAAAGTCACTTCAATCAGCTGTGTGGTGGATACCAGGATAAAAATAGTGGCGGTCAATTCATCAGCCTTGCAAGCTGTTGAATGGTGTAATCCCAGCACAAGTTGCTATGTCTAACATAGCTGTTCGCTATCATCGCTTCCGCGATGGGCAGGTCTGAGGTCTGAGGTGTGTGTGTGTGTGTGTGTGTGTGTGTGTGTGTGTGTGTGTGTGTGTGTGTGTGTGTGTGTGTGTGTGTGTGCATGCATCACGCACACACATACCGGTACGCGCGTGCGGACCTTCAAAAAGTAGAGGTCGGATTTCTTCGCCGACAAGACAACTGTACAGTTTTTCTTGGTATGCATGTCTTACTACTTGTTATGGTCCACACTTAGCGCTTGTGTTAAGGTTAGTATCTACGATCAGTATTATGGCTCGTCCTCCATACATACTGTAGTTGAATGCTATTGTACCCTACTGCCCAGATGGAATTACTCAATACATGGACCGACAACAAGTGGTCTCTAGGTGGAGAATAACCATCGGCTATACAATTGTATTGAGAAACACAACCAGCTTAGGAAGTTTCGCATGTGCCAGGCCACCACCATGCCTGTGATACCAGGGTGGCAGATGCAGCTCCAAACAGCGAGTGTGAGGTGGTAACTCTCACAACCAATGCCCGGCCCCCTCTTTAGGTGGAGAATAACACAGAGTAGCAAAGCCGTCCGCTAACCTTAAGGGAGTCTTCTAAGAGTCGCTGCCTCTCCTCCTTATCAGACTTGGTCTTCGCCACTGCCAGAGCTTCCGCAGCCTGCGTGATGATGGCATCGTCGGCACTGTACAGAGAGGGACACAGCTGACGCAGACGGGCACTCATCGCTTCCGACGCCGCATGATCGGACAGGAAGCGCTTGGTGAGCTGAGCAATCAAGGCTGAGCATATCTGCAAGGGGGAGAGAGCCAAGCAAACAAACCAACAAAAGACAATATAACACTCCGACTCCTGGTGCCCCGAATGAGAGCCCAAACAAAGTACGGCTGTCGCAAACAGTGTGCCTAGACTGGACAGTGGAGTTTGTGAAGTGAATGCGGTGATGACAGCAGTGCGGGCCAGCGCATGCCTTGCAGTCTGAATAGTATTTGCTTGCAGCACAATCCGCAGAGTTACTCCACGGCTAGCAACTGTGACAGAGAGGTCAATAGTTTGCCTAGAGAATGTTTGTCTCCCACACCAGCGTGCGATTTTTCTTCACGTATCCTCAAACCTATTTCATCACCCATCATAATAATATCATCAGTGCGTGTTCACATCATTTTCGTCATATAGCATGCTTTCTTTTACTTATATTCTTCATCTTTCATTGAGAGTCTAGCCGCATGGTTAGACGCGAAGACAGAAATGCCCATGCACCTGGAGAAGTAAAATGAAAACAAACAAACGCGTAGCACTGACCGCTTGTCCTTGCACGATGAGATGAGAGAACTTCATCTGTTTGAGCAGATCTTGGTGGTTCTGTGCACGGCGAAGAGATGACCAGCGTGAACACATGGGCGTATATTATCACAGTACGGTTGTGGTGATGAGTGTGTGTGTGTGTGTCCTAGCCGAGGACCGTCGTGCGTGGAGACTGGCCTGCAACACCATCCAGCCGCCTAAACCTGTGTCTCGGGATTTCAGGTGCCACTGCGCCCGAGATTTTCGCCGTCGCCAGGACCTCACTCGCCACTCGAAGTTCTGTTCCGCGTGACTGAAACAATGGCGGTCCTTTCAGGACCAGCCATCATCTTCGAATGGGCATTATTGTATTGTATTGTATTGTGTGTGTGTGTGTATGTGCGTGCGTCTGTGTGTGCGCGTGTGAGAGAATCTTGTCAGCAGCACCCATGTTACCCCAACAGGCAACTCCGAGTACTGAGTACTCTGAGAATATTGAGGAACAAAGCAAAACAAAATTTATCTGGATCTAGGCAGGAGAACCTCACCAATGCTGAACACTTACCAGTGAGAGACCAGCGGCGATGGACGAGATGTCATTCTCACATAGAATCCTCCACAGACACAGGACCTCCGTCGTACGGTGAAACAATGTACTGAGGTCGCGGAGGGCATTCTGCTCAGCTGCCGTGGCTTCCGCTATTCATGTGGAAAACAAACATAACACGAGCCATTCAACATACATGTAGGTAGTCCTTGATCATTTCCCAGGTCACCAGCATGGCTATAAGTCAACGGTGTGATAAGTCAAAGTGACAAGTACTTAACAGTACTGCACAGTTGATTACGTGCGCGATTTGGCATCATCAAAGAAAACCTTTACGTATGCTTAAGTTCGGCGGGTAACGTGAACGCACCTAATGACTTCATGGGCTTTTCACAAGCGTGCATTGTACCGTGTTCATGACAATAGCGCCCAGCTAATGTGCAAGACCCTGGGAAGGCCATCTAACAGCCAATAAGCAACAGAGAGCTGAACTGGTGCTGGCCCAACATGGCAAGAATGCCGGGAGCAACAACACATGCTCGCGCTCTCTGAGTGTATGCAAGTATAGCTGTGGAGTCAAAGGCATACAGGGCCAAACCAGTACCTTGCTGTTTCTGCTGCAACTGCTGCTGGGCGGCAGGAGAACCCGTGCTGGCCACCGCAGTGGTACCCGGGCGCATGAATCGCAGCATCTTCTGGTGCACGTTATGATCAGTGGGTGTGCCATGACTGGAAATGCTATTGGCCAGCAGCAACGGCAACGATGATGATGCCAGTGACAGCAACAACAACAGCAACAACAACAGCAACAACAACAACAACAACAACAACAACAACAACAACAACAACAACAACAACAGCAGCAGCAGCAGCAGCAGCAGCAGCAGCAGCAGCAGCAGCAACAACAACAACAACAACAACAACAACAACAACAACAACAACAACAACAACAACAAATTACACTAGTATCTCTTATTGGCCACTGGCTATCGTGAGAATAAAGATTTGAAACAACAATAACCATTAGGAATGTGAAGGTGACACAAAGCCAATTAGTAACTGCAGGAGAAAGACAGCCCTCTTGATGCTCCCCCCCCCCCCCCCCTCCCGTGTCCCGGCCCACTGCTACGGACCTGCATCATCACCTTTCCAACCCAACCAAAGACTATGAACCTATGATCCAATCTAACAGTGCAAAGATCAAAACCATGTGCCCCACGGCCTCAGCAACTTCCCCATCTTCACAACAACGCACCTCGAGTCTGTCATCTTCAAGGTCGATGCAAGCATTGCGTTTCCGTCCAGGAAGTCCGTCAGACGCTGTACGTGCTGTGCCATCCAGTTGATTTCATCCATACCCATAGTGCTGCAATACTGCAGAAACAAGTGAAGAGGAAGAAGGAAGAAGATGGAACAGAGAGTGAACTAAACACACCGGGAGTTCTCTGGAAGTACAGAAGCTCCTCAAGAATTCGTTCTTTGCCTACCTAGGGCATGTTTGGTCGGTACGATCCGGAACAACATTGAACAGTTGCTACACAAGGAGCGGCCCCATGTCGGTCAAATGGTCCTCCAGAAACAGAGTACATACATTTTTTTTGCAAAAAGTGATTCAAACTTGGTAACATTCATCAAAGTGTGTACGAATCACTTCGTTCGGTACGAGAGCATGCCAAATGAAACCGTGCATGCAGCGATCAGTCATCGATGTTCCCAACAGGTTTCACGGCGAAAAAAAAAACTGCTCTGGCCTCAATGCCGGAGCAAGCAGAGCATGTCCTGGCCAATCCAGAACAGGTGCAGTCCCAACCAAACGTACTGTTCTGGTGTTCTAGGCCGTAGCAACCAAACACACGCCCCTAGACCCCTTACCAACCAGTGGAATCAAGCTCAACATGATCATGCAAACATGAATACCAGCATTTCAGTACTGCTCAATGAAATCCGATCGCTCGAGTAACGTTTGCGCCTCTCGCACTAGTTCACAGCCCGGTGTCTGCAGGTCTAGGGCTACACAGCGCCCAGCGTGGCACTCACCCGCTTGATTGGATTTCACTGAGCAGTACTCTACTATCCTCACGGTGTATGCCTGCAAGGAGAGTGACAAAAAAACCCTGATACGCTGCCACAAGCTTACCTTGATGGGAATGGCTGTGCCCGGTACCGACTCAGCCGAATGTACAAGAAGGCTATCCCAGAGCGGCCTGGAAAAGAAAGGAAAAAGAAGAAGACAAGAACACGATCAGCACAAAGCGAATGGAGCATGCAGCATGAGTAGAGGAGCCGCAGCAATCTGTAACAAATGCAAAATAAAGAGAAAAAAAGATTGCCTGGAGAACCCGGGTATCGATCCCGGTACCTCTCGCATGCTAAGCGAGCGCTCTACCATGTGAGCTAGTCCCCCTGCTTATTATTTCTTGGGGAAAGTAGCTTCAAAAGCGCTTTCTTGTGAGAACTGATGTACAAAAGTGAAACACAAAGGGGCGCGGGGAGCTGTCTCAAAAAGTACAGGCATTCGTGTGATCTAGCAGCGATTTTCATTTACACTTTTGTTATTAGTTTGCTTCACACCTTTTATCAGTCATTTAATACGTATGATTTATAATGCAGTGGCAGTACCAGGCGTGGGCCATCCCCTGGATTATCAAAATGGGTGCCTTATCATTTTTACAAGAAACTAACTCTCCTCCTCCATGCGAAAGGTACCGTTCAACAGTTTATTGATACAGTCGTCCCTCTCTAATCCGGCACCTTTTGCTACGGCATTTTCTGCTGGATTAACGAGGGTGCTGGATTAAGAAATCCTGCCCTCTGACCCGGCCCTACCCAATTGCATACATGTTTCATATGTACATGTATGTCAAAACGCAGGGTTTTTCCGTGTCGACCCAAGTATTTGGTGCACGGCTTTATATTCTCAATTGTTCTCCGGGAATATACACAGTGATAAAGTGATAAAGTATTAAAAAACTAGGGCTCAAACGGTCACGGTTTTACCCCTGACGGTTAACTGCTAAGGTAACGGTCGGTTAACCGGTTATAACCTATAAACCACGGCAATCCTGCGGACTCTTTTTTAACCGTATATTTGACTATACTTATTCAAAAAATGTACCCTATTCAGTACAACGCACACATGTACATTCTCTTGCATGCTCATTCATACATACTCTCACACCAAGAGACCAGATATGACCGAGTTGACAGCCCAGAAATTGCGTACGCGTGCGACAGCCCGCGAAAGTGCACACTTTGCAACGACCTGATACTTGAAAAATTGACTGAAAAGTTACTGCGTAACCGTTATCTTTATCGGTTAACTGTTAATTCTTCGTAACCGGTCTGCAACCGGTTAATCGGACTAATCGTTTGAGCCCTATAAAAAACAGAGAACATGTTCACATGTACTCTTGCACACACACGCACACACACACACACCTGAAAATTGGCAGGACACTACTCCTTGCTAAATAAAAATAAGAAAGTATGGTTGACTGCCGTTGTCTCATGGACAAGCCTAGCCTGGCCTGGCAAGGAGTGCACCTGTACGGTACGCGATTTACGACTGCCGGATTATGAAATCAAACTACGTGCAGTTTGAGCGATTCGTTTCAAAAAGTCACTGCCGGAGGCGGAATTCAAGTGCCGGATTAAGATGTAGGAATTGAACAAAAAAAATCGGTTTCGTCAGAAAGTGCGCCGGTTGGCAAGGGTTCCGGATAAACAAGTGCCGGATTAGAGAGGGACGACTGTATTCCTTATCATTTTTCTGCTGTTTTTACACTTCTTCGTGCTATGTATGAATATGTGTAGTACAGTAGTAGATCTACGGCATCTACCACATACGGAACTGGACGGTTGGGCTTTTTGCTCCTCCGTTATTCTCTAATTTTCTACTTCGAAGTACTCCACTGTTCAATTCAATCAGTTTGAAAAGGAAAGCACTCACGCATCAAAAAAAAGTCTTATCAGAGAATGTACACTAAGTGAGGTCCACTTTATTTTAAAACTTAATGCACGACTGTAAATAAATGTACGTAGAGCAGCTTACCCGATAAGACGAGAAAAGTAGATAACCAGGCCACGCAGTCGATTGCTGAACACCACCTCGGGCCCCGAGACGGGCCGGCCCAGAACGCTGGACACGGGCGCCGAGGCAGCCGCTGCCCCGCGCACAGGAATAGCGGATCCAATCACGGGCGACTGGCCCAGGTTAGGCACGGCCGGTGGTGTACTCACCATGCCGCCGATGGTGGACGGTAGCCAGGGGCTTGCGGCTGCCGCTCCGGCGGTCGTCGCAGCGGTGGCCGGGCCTCGGAAATTAAGCGGAGTAGACGCATGCAGTGGCGATGGCACGGCTGTCCCGCCGGGTATCGGTGCCGGCGGAACGTGATAGTGCGGCTCGCCACCGTAGCGGAGATAGGCTTGCTCGGCGAGTGCACGGACCTATCACATCACAGCCATACGCAACATCAAACCAGAACAGGCATTTCAATAAATATTTCACTATAGTGCCTTTCAAAAGTATAGACCTCTAGACTTTTTCGAATAATTCAAATTTGGTTTGAGCTTTTTGAGAAATTTCTTCGGAATATTGCTCAGGCAGCTCACGCAATTTTTCTCATGTAAATTTCTAAGCGATCGGATAACAGACGCCCAATTTCGAAAATTTTATGCACAAAGTGATCACGGATTTTATGTGGTATAGATGCTGGCCAAACGGTTTTTTGAAACCAGAGGTCTGGACTTTTGAAACGCACTATAGTGCCAGCAATGAGAAAGTAAAGGTACTGTAGTGAGTGGAAGGGTGTACTAAACAATATAATTTCGCACTCGATTTATTTGCTTAGCTCCAAACTGTGTGCCTAAGGCATGCAGTTATGCTTCCCCTTTTGGTACAAAAAGGTGAGGTTCACACGAACTTCACTGTCTATTAGCCATTCAACTATACGTATGTCAACCTTCACTGACGAGATAAGGATGATCAAAAGCAGCTGTATGAAGGAACTGGGTAGCAACGGAAGTGTCACTTTGCTGATGGGGTGCTGTGGCAACATGTCGAGGTGGGCCGGAGAGCGCAATAGTGGTGTGGTGGCTGATGTAAAATAATCTGTGCAAGACCGAATGCTGCTGCATACCCTTCTGTCTGAACTAAGTGCCACGTCATATCATGGCTTTTACGTGGATTTTGTTCAACTCGGCTTAAAAAATTTAAGGCTCGCAAACTGCAATGCGCCTCGGCCAGTATTGCTGAAAATACGGCATTCAATACAAGAGAATTATTCTTACCTGAGGTTTGGCTGTGCAAATCAAGATCAGACACATGGCACAGGATTCGTGAGCCTGTAGCAGATACAACACAAGACATTAATAACATTAAACATCTCTGCACTCAGATGAGTCAGATCTCTATGCTGCATGAAGAAAGAAATAATTTACAATGCAAAATCGCCGGCCTTGGAGACGATCATCTTGATGTGGTCTCTTTGATGTACAGTAAAGCCTGTTAAAGCCGACCGCTCAAGGGACACACACACAGAAGTGGTGCACAGAGTACAGAGATGGACAAATTCTAACAGACTGCTAACTAGCGGATAATATACGTTGCAGAGCACCAGCTCTTCTCCCGAGAACACGGCTGTAGCTCACTAGTAGGGACCTACAAGCCTACCTGATAGAGTCTGAAGAACGAGCGCAGGGCAGATGTGTCAGAGCCAGCACTATCAACAAGCAACTGCTCCAATTGATCAACAGGCCGTAGCTTAGTGACGATAGATGTTCCCTGGACATAAATATGGACATGCACACAGATCAAGAGTTAGAAATATATTTCATCCTATCCACTACTGGTCTGCAAACTAAATCCGTGCAGTAAAATCTGAGATACGAGCAGTGCCCGGTCCCAAGGCGGAAGGATACGAGACATCCGAGTATACATGGCAACTAAACAAGCAGGATAGAACACCCGGACGTTGACCACAGCAATCCCGGCACAGCTTACCTGTGCGGTGAGCAGGACAAAGGTCGGTGCAGGTTTGACGTGTTGCGAGAGAATGAGCGGTGGCTCGCTGCGCAGCCCAGCACCCAGCAGCTGGCCACTGGTCTCATCCGGGACACTCTCCAGAGCCCAGGTGCGACCAGAAACTTCAATACCATGCTGTGTGGACAACACAAGGCACAATCCCTCAGTCAAAACAGCAAAATAATTGACCAGCCTCTTAGAAAAATGAGTAGGTTTGTACTTCGTAGCTAGCTTTTTCCTCTGCTGATTACTAGTGCTGAGTCGGGTAGCGTTTTCTTCGGGTATCGGGTTCGGGTAGGTTTCCACGGGTAGCACGGGTACCCGATCGGGTACTGTAAATCAACAATTTTTGGCCGGTGAGAAACTTTGGCCGATCTCGAAATGAAACTTTCTTACATACACCATGCATCATTTGCCTCTATGACAAACTTTGGCCGGTTGGTTGACAGTAATGTTTCCATGGTAATACTACACTGCACCCCTTCCCTTACACACTGGGTCGACGTGCGGACTTACATGAACTTGTACACATGCACTGCACATGGTGTCGTCTGCGACTTCGGGTTTTCGGGTACTATTCTGTACCTGACTACCCGAGGTCCTCAGGGGTAGCACGGGTACCCCGACTACCCGTGCACACCCCTACTGATTACCAAGCACAGCACACATCTAGCCGCATAATGTGACCTAGAAACTACATTGTTGGTAGAGAAGCCAGTTGCTCCCCATGTGCAGCTCACGCTTTCCCGCGAATCAACTGACACGTATTCGACTCACGCTCTGCTATCCGAAGCACACAAGGATCACATCGAACCATCAACTCAGCGAAAAAAAACTTGCAATTTAAAAAGAAATAAAACGCCTGCACAAGTGAACTGGGACATTTAGGAGAAGAAGAAACGTCATAACAGCACAGTTCAATGCATATCCCCTAACAGTTGGAAAGAAACACAATACAGACGAGGTGAGGGCTCGATAGCAGCACATAAACAACAGAGGACGCAACACATCAGCCAGCCTCTTGACTGCTTCTCACTCACCTGCATCTCAGCCAGGGTCGGGCAAAACGGAAAGCTGTCGGCATCCATCAGCCACAGCATGTCAATGTCCTCTCGCAGTGGCGAACAGAACAGGAAAGAGCCTACACATGCATATACAAACAAAGGACATGAAATAACAATCACGAGGGTGAAGTTAAAGCAGTAGTCGGAATACCAGCATAAAATATAAACAGGCTTAGCTCTTGAGATGCGGGCGTGCGGGACTGCTGGATCTGACTTAGAGAGAAGCAATTCAACAATGATGACTGCCCAAAAGGATGAAATGAAAGATAGCCAAAGACCAAAGGAAGAATGGGGAGAAATCTGGAAAGGAAAAAAAAGAATGAGGGCACACTCGGAGTTGAACCAAGGACCTCTCGATCTGCAGTCGAATGCTCTACCACTGAGCTATATGCCCTACCATGCTCACAGTCAAGTTTATCATGCTCATATCCTTTATTTGTACTGGGGTTCAGATTGCCAGAGAGCCAAAAAGGACAAAAAAAAGCCGTAAAGAAGACCAGGAAAGGAAAAAATGAATGAGTGCAAGCTCGGAGTTGAACCAAGAACCTTATAATCTGCAGCTAATGTCAGATCAGCTACATTTGTCGGTTGTAGCAAGTAAAATCCAACACTTGCCACAGGGGGGCAGTGCCACGAAGGGACTTCAACTTAAAAGTTCAAGTTTTAATAAGGAGCACTCGAATCCAGAGCCCATTCATATTGGGAGCACTTTTGAACGTTTCAGGTGCACCTGTATTGTTACACACTGGATACGTTCGATTACACTTTCTGCACCCAGGCTTGAAAATTCTCGAAAGGCCAGGATGAACAGAGTACGGGCATGTAAAGGAACCACTGGAATGTGTCATGAATTCCGTACTCACGACCCACTCCACAAAACCGTGAAAAGAGATCACGTTAACAATAAATTTCGCAAATCAGTAGTGATCATCATCCAACACACAAACGCAAGTGCGTAAAATCCGGCGGGAGAGTTAGAAATTCTACTTCCCTTCGAAATGGTCGAAATTGGATTCCGTGGATTCTGAGGAGAAAAATAGACAAAACCTCCGGCATACCCAGACTGCGCGCACATCGGTCCTTGTTGCACATTGTACAAAACGTACTTGCAGCCGTTGTGGACCATATTATTATCGTGTGAACACTGCACTGTATGAATTGGGCCTAACCTTCTCTGTGGCAGCTGGCATGCACGTTGGTTGGCCGAGACGACAGCATCGAACCTCCATAGCCCGGTGGCAGGCGGACATGAACGAGACTTAGCAAAGTCGGCCGGCCAACTTTACCATTCTCAGTGGTGGTGAAATAGAAGCGAACTCCTGGATGAAGAAAAAAAGAAGAAGAAAAATATTGTAGAAGTGGACCGTAATGTACTGGCCGCAACACAATGGCTCATGTAAAAAAGAAGAAGAAGAAAAAGAAAAAAGGTAATTGAGGGCGCACTCGGAGTTGAACCAAGGACCTCTCGATCTGCAGTCGAATGCTCTACCACTGAGCTATACGCCCACGCACAATCCCAGCGGGACATACAAGGGATTAGAAGCTTCGAAACAACGAGGAAGGTCCAAAGCACAATGCTCACCACACGAGGAAATTGCCATCAGATGCAAGGTGGATGATTCTGACGACTCGATAGGTGAAATACGCACCAGCTGTTTGAATATACTCTTATCCAGCTCCCTATCGGAAGAAAACAATACAGAAAGGGCAGGGGAACAATGAAATTGGCAACAGCAAACACCAAACGGTGCATGGAGAAGAAATTGCGAATGCAATGCGGACACTGCTAAAGGTACAGTCGACTCTTCGCAGAACTTCAGAACGGTATCCGCAGTGTCAAACGTGAAATCAGTTGCGGATATGCCACGTGTACAAAACAAAGGCACAGGGTACGGAAAGAGAATGATGATGAGTGCCAGCACATACCGGGAATACATGGATGCGAGCTCGACAATCCGCTCCACTGGCATTGACGCCACGCAGGTGCATTCGCTGCCGTCTGCGCCGAGGTCGAAGACGCGGACGGTGCCCTTCTCGGACCGACTGTAGAGAATGTTCCGTGTCGGGTCCACGGTCAGCTGAACCAGAGCATCTGCAGAAGACAAGAGAAGGGCAAAGATCATAGAACAACGACAACTACATGTAGCACATTGTGCACAGACAGCAGTGAGAAAGAACGAGGTTATGTTGCCACTCCGAGTTTCACGTTATGCATGATCATCAGACAACGTTGGAAAGCTCTGCTTGTTCGGGCATTGAGTGCTCTTGGGGCAGTGGGGCGCGTTACTTGTTGTTTATGTAACATATTGCATCTGACAAGCTATGTGCCTGATACGGCTGCAGTCAAGAACACTGGCTCAGGACCAAAGTTCTGTGCATGTCCAATGTCACATGCTATAAGGCACAAGAACTTCATCAGTCAGCAGGAGACTTATTTTCTCTCCACCTTGCACGACTAGTTGTTACTGCAAACACAAAACTGGTAATTCGGGCAGTCGGCGGACAAGAAAGTCGCAATCCTAAACACACTGTTGAACAGGCTCCCCCGAACCTACCCTCCGAGTTGAATGACAGGAAAGAAGGCAGTAGGTAAGACAGTGCACTCGTTGAGTGATTGACAAGCCTACACTTGCGCTGAAACCAGCTGTCTTGGGCCTGCAAAGAGACAAGGATGAGAGAGAAGTAAAGAGCGTGAATCATGGGCGACCTAAGGTACTCACTTGCAAAGACGTAGGGTACACAGATTTCACAACAAATACAGTTCCACTGGAACCTGGACGTAACTGTCACCGCTCGGCAAAACAAATAGACAATGAGCCACACATCCAAGACACTTCCTCCGCAAACTTGCCCATTGCGATCTCAAACAGTCTTATAGAAAACGGGGCAGGCTTCAGTACACAAACGTTCGAAGTAGCATGCATCATAGTGATACACCACGAGCAAATGCACGGGCAAGAAAAGCACACCATAAACCCGTGTAGATGTGATCGGTCGTAATACTCCAGGGCACCAGCAGTGTTAGCAGATCACAGCCCACTACATCTCTACCTCCCATGGCCAACGTTTGATTATTACACTTGCAAACTCTTACAATACAGTACCCGTTGGTACCTGATGGTGCAAGAGCCGCGGAGTCCATGCACAGTGCGCACTCACCTGGTATACAACCTCGTACAGGCAGCCGTCCTTGCCGGCGAGAAGTATGCGCCCGGACGGCGTACCGGCAACAGCCAAGTGCTGCACGTTGTCCGAGGAGACGGCAAAGAGTGGCTGAGGCTGCAGGTGCATCTCACCGCACGCCAGCCCATTGGCCTCTACAGTATAAAACAAACACACACGCACACACACACGCATGCGCACACACGCGTGCGCACACACACACACACACACGCACATACACACACACACTAGTTCACAAGTGCACACTCGAGAGCAGACTGCTGCAATGAATTACACACATTGAACAAGAAGAGGAATGTCCAGTCCACAGATACTCAAGAGCACACAGAGGAGATACGTACCGTTTAGGCAGACGCCAAGCAGCACAATCTGCTGCGGCGTGGTCAGCACCAGTAAGTACTTGATGTGTGCTTGAAACAGACCTGCAGCCAAGAGTGCACAAGTGTACATGAGTACATATCAAATTATCAGTATATGTGCAAACATTCGCACTTTCAATTTGACTGCATTCTTACAGCAAGTCGCTGTAGTTTGCATTTCTCGGAGAGCACTGTTTTTGGTCTCATTCGAAAGGTATTGCTTTGAAGTTTGAAATGTTATCCTTGAATGCACCAACCCATTGGCAGCCACCCCGCACCCCACAGTGGCCCCCAGTCCTTGTTCAGCTCCTCGAGCAGAAATCTCAAGCCAAATGGCCTTAACCCTTTACCTTCTATGTGCACATGAATCTACCGAATTTGGTTGATTGACATGCATGCACTAAAACATTCGTCACTCAATCAATTCTTGACGGAATCTCAAAAACTAAATACAGGTGAAATCTGTTTCGGGGTAAACAAGTTAGTTGTTTACGATAGGATTATATTCTCACTTGGCCATTGTAGGCAAATCATAAGAACCCCGACATCTAAGGGATCCTGCATGAAAGTAGGCAGCTGCGAGATTCGTATCTCGCGCATGCTCTTGCATGGCTACGTAATGCATTACATCATAATACAACATCCCCTTCGTCATAAAGGAGTTTAACAACCTACATAACATACCGTACATATACGACGGCGTGTTCACAATATAGAACATAACATCCAACAATAGCTCTATGTACAAGGTAACAATCATGAATGGCACACGACGGCGTGCTAACAATACAGAAACATAGTATCCAACAATAGCTCTATGTACAATATAACAGTGGCACCTCAGCTACTGTGACATAAGCGAACAGGTCCATGAGGCCTCTCTGGCCATACACATCCAGGATTGTCCTGGGTGCGACTGCGCGGCCAGACCGTTTTCGATACAACTGGGTGGCAGGTTCAGCAGGCTGGCTGACGTCACATGGTGACGGCGGCTGAGACTGGCTAACGTCGCTCCACGGCGACGGCACGTCACTCGGCGGCTGAGGTTCTTGGAACTTCTCAGTGTTACACCTAGCCTAGTTTCTTTCTTGCGCCCATAATAATAACACCGTATAAAATCAGTATGCCATGTCAATTACAATATCAGTATCAGCTTCTCTGACGAGCCTTTGATAGGCGAAACAGCTGTCAGAAGGAAATGTTTTACCCGTGACCCCATCGTTGTTTGAAGTTATTGGTGTGAGTAATGGCTACCGGGGGTAGCAATGGTCGGCTTTAGAGCGCATGGAGGAGAGTTAGCTCCAGGGAGCTCTAAAAATATTTGAGCAGAAAGAATGGCGTTCTTCACTCTGGTACGAGGCTTTCCTTGGATTCGTAGGTCGACGTCGGCACCTCCTGATTCCGGCCCGGCGCTGTGCTACCAGTCCCAGCGTCACCCTCAACTCTTTGTTAGAGGACGCTCACGAAATAGGCGTTCCCGAAACGAAATTTCCACTGTTCGTGTTCAAGCGGCAGATGGAGATGTTCAAGGCCAAGGAGATGTTCAAGGTCAAGGAGATGGAGATGGCGACTTTGAGTTCAGCCAACTCACATTTATAGTTGAAATGGAGGTCCTTCTTCATCATCTCCAAGTCGCCATCAGCAGCTTGTCGCAAAGAGTGGTTTTCGAATCGTTCATGGAAGACTCGGTACCCTTTCTGCAAGAGTTGGAGACAGTTACACCCAAAGAAAAGGCGGCGTTGTCAGCGCTCCACCCAAAAATGAATGTCCTCAACCGCGTGTTACGGCGCTGTTGGCCCAACGTCGGCGAACGTCTGCTACCAACATTTGTGATAAACGGGCAGTTTGTCACCGACTTCCCTAATTTGGGACGCCGCGGGATGATGTACGGTAACCTGTCGGACCGAGTTCATACGCCGACGTTGCGACATGTGTTTGTCATGAAGAGCGAGTCGGAATCGGTTCGGTTGCTTTTCCGCTTACTTTCGGAAAGGTACGATTATGTTTACGTTACGTTACGAGGAGATCGATGAGGGACAAGCGGCTGCAGCCGCGCTGGATGACGACGAGGCATAGGCTACTGAAATGTATGTATGCCAGTATGGCATGGTAACACCGTATCCTACGCATGATGTACTACTGTATAAAACCTTTATTTCGGTGTAATTTAAATTTCGGTAACTTCAGTACTGGTCCTGGATCACCTAATTTAAGGGCGCGTTTGGTTGGTACGAACTAGAACAGGATTCACCAGAACAGTGCATTTGGTTGGGACTGCACCTGTTCTGGGTCGGCCAGAACATGTTCTGCTTGCTCCGGCCTCGAGGCCGGAGCAGACCGAGCAGTTTCACTTTATCACAGTGAAACCTGGCGGGAACATCGATTTTGGTCCCAAATGATCACGTGCATACGCTTTTGGGTTGGATTCGTTGTACAGGTAGACTCCCTTTAATTCGAACCTCAAATTGCCAGGCCCTAACTTCGAATTATCCGGATCTTCTAATTATCCAAATGCAGCCCCATGCACTGATAATTATGTATGTCAAAATGCTTGAAATCGCATGCTGAATATTTTTTGCACATTTTTATTTGCATCAGCGAAACATAGGTGGTCGTACCGGTACGCGGTCATGTACTACGTACAACGGATCATCAAAACACTGGATCGACACAAAATCATTTTGACATTATCTTCATCTTCTAGTGAAGAAGTTGTCAGTCACTGCAGCTTTCCTGAAACAATTTCTACGGAAAAGAACTGCGTTGCCGAATCCGCGTCATGAAAGGCCGTTGGACAGCAGCACGTCGTTCTGAAGAACGGAAGTGGAGCAAAGGCATAGACAATATTTACGACAATAGTGTTGTTGTGCGCCAACATCTCCGCGCACGAGCTGGCACGGTAAGAAAGGCCATCGAGATCCGCGAAGAGAGTCAGCCACCTGGAAGAAGTCGTCTTCAATCAAACCTTTGCAATTTGCCTCGCACGGGCTTGAATCAAATTTCGAGAGAAGGTGGGTTTCTTGAACGCTATAGTCGATCCTGCAGCGGACCATCGATTGATTTTTGAGCTACTCTTGGCTAGAGAAGGAGAAAAGAATGAATTTCGAATTACAAGGATAGCAACTCAATCTCACTTCGAAATAAGCGTTCAAAGGACATAGCCAATGTACTGTAAACAGCTCTTCTGTACGAAGACTGGGTTCGAATTATCCAACCGGCGCACTTTTCGTACTTCGAATTATGCATTCGATTTTGACTTGAAGTGACTTGCAGAAGATCGGTACGACGAAAAAGTTCGAATTACACGGAATGTTCTAATTATACCGTATTCGAATTAGAGGGAGTCTACCTGTACCGTACAAAGTGACCATGGTGACCCATACGCATTTTGAAAAATGCACCAAGTTTGGCACATTTTTCACAAAAATGTGCTCTGTTTCTGGAGTACCGTTTGGTTGACATGAGGGTGCTCCACGTGCACCAGCTGTTCGATCCTGTTCTAGATCGTACCAACCAAACGCACCCAAACATTACACCTAAATTTTCCGAAATACCAAAAATATGTAAAAATCATGAAAATCACTGTCAAATTAAAAAAATCAACTTGTATACTGGTATACCGGTAGTACATTGTACATACATAGCATGTACCGGTATACATATGTGGAGCCTTTTGGCCTTGGCGGAGATATTAGTGCAAGAGCGTTTTTTTTGTTTGTTTGTTTTTTTGGTGCCATGCATACCGAATTTATCCTTACACCAAAAGGTCAGGGGTTTGGCTTTTACCGAAATTTTACAACACCGAAAATAAGGTGATACACAGTATTCGAATTATCAGGATTCCACCTGTATGTAGGAAGAAGCCAAAGAGCCTAGCTTTGCATTGCAACAATCGGCAGAGCTGCGATGCCGCATTTCAAAGATATCGCGCTCGACATTTCAGCCACGGCAAAAGTCGATTTTTTTCTGAGTGACTGGCCTTGAGCTGGGGATTTTCCCTCTCCTGACATGCTGAGTCACCTGGGCATGTTTTGAGCGCGTGGGCAGCATAAAAAGAAACTCAAGCAAACAAATTTGAAATGTTTACGATGAAGGAGTGAGAAATGGCTGACGAGGAGAGGATTTTCTCGGATACCCAGCGGTGGGGAGTATTTGAAGAACCCTGGCGTTGGATATGTGATCTCAGTAGTGTCCAGTTTGAGCTCATTGTACGCAGCTCGTGGAGAGCTTTCCAGAATGCCCAAGAGTGTGAAAATTGGTTGATTAGAACCAAAGATATTCTCAAAATGAGGTGAGAAATATCGCATTTGGAACTGCCTGGGAATTTTGGTCAGGACTCAGAAGGTAAAGGGTTACCGTACATAAAGTGAACAAACCGCAGTGATGGATTCGGATGGAGAGACAAAGTCGCATGAGCTGATTGTTTAATATTTTTTAATAACTGGTGGTGTTAGTGGACATTATAGCGTAACTTGTAGTTTCTTGGTCCTTTCTTCTGTACCATAAACCGCAGTGAATTACTCAAAAAAGGCATATACTATATTCGCCAAAAAATCCGACCGTTGCACATGGTAGTCGGCTGCGAATCATGTGCAGCATTGGCCGGGTTTTTTCGGCAAATACGGTAGCTCCATTGTAGCCTCACACCGCTGATGTTTCGTAATTTCAGATATAAAGTTACTGGCTTTTGCTGCCATGTATTCAAGGAATGTGAGTGGAGAATCAAACAACTTCTTATTCTACAGATAGAAGCAAAATAAATATAGCTTTACCTGGCTTCGGCTTGACTAATGCCACACACAGGATGACTTCACTCAGGCCATCAAAATACGCCAAGTCACTCCTGTAGGAGAAATCAATAGACAAGACCAATACATGTATTCGAACTGGATGCAATACGATAAATGAACCAACACAGGCAGAGAGAGAGAGAGAGAGAGAGAGAGAGAGAGAGAGAGAGAGAGAGAGAGAGAGAGAGAGAGAGAGAGAGAGAGAGAGAGAGAGAGAGAGAGAGAGAGAAGAGAGAGAAGAGAGAGAAGAGAGAGAGAGAGAGAGAGAGAGAGAGAGAGAGAGAGAGAGAGAGAGAGAGAGAGAGAGAGAGAGAGAGAGAGAGAGAGAGAGAGAGAGGAGGGGGAGAAAGTGAAAGAGAGGGAGAGAGAGAAAGTGAAAGAGAGAGAGGGAGAGAGAAAGAGAGAGAGAGAGAGAGAGAGAGAGAGAGAGAGAGAGAGAGAGAGAGAGAGAGAGAGAGAGAGAGAGAGAGAGAGAGAGAGAGAGAGAGAGAGGGAGAGAGAGAGAGAGAGAGAGAGAGAGAAAGCGGGGAGTGAGAACGATAGCCTAGCATAAGAACAAAACGCAAGTGCCACTGGAGTCAACCGTGTGAATAACAACCCTGCATTGGGCATGAGAAAAGGGTTGTTATTCGCTAATTGTCGATATCCACGAGGTCAAACGTGTACAATCAAGAGGTTACAAGGTGTGCTCATAGTGTCAATACTCAATAGGGAGGTTCCACACTACGTAAAGTTGAGCAACGTTACGTTAGTGGGCGGGAAAACCCCGTGAATTCGCGAGGGTGCACTCCACTTACGGAAAGTTGCCTATGTTGAGTACGTAAATAGGGCTCTGATAACGTAGGTGCTCCGTAAGTGGATTGGGGTACAAATTTATGACTCCCTCCCCAGGTCGACCCGGCCGTACACTGCCGCGTTCGGAGTTGCCAAGGGCAGCTACGTGATTCGAAAACTACGTATGGCGGAACACAGATCCGCATGCAGTGTACGTAAGACTTTCCGTAGATCGACTACGTTTTTTTACCAACGCAATTACGTTATGCAGAACCGCTCTGTTATTCACGAGTTGTTGTCATTCCTGAGGTGGCTATTCCTAATATTAACGGTACAGTGCTAGGGACAAGCTTTGCGGAAATACAAACACCAGGCAGCAGCTATACATAAGCGTGCAGAACGCGCGAAGTAAAGCGGCTTATCTAGGACGGGCATCCGTCTACACGCTCAGTAGGCGCAAGATAGTCAGAGCGCAATGAAACTCACCCGTCGCTGTAGTTCCAGACAAAGATGGTGCTGTCGATCGTCAAGAAAGCACGGCCAATGTCCGTGAAGAGGCCCATCAAGCAGCTGCATTGCATGTCTTGTTTCAAACACGATCAGGTCAAGGAAAGCGCACACTCGCCCAAGAGACCGACAGAAACACGAGCTACAGCTGACCCACATCAGGTGGGCATACGTTATTGTGCTCACTCTCCCAGGGGTTATTGCCATTCCATCAGTCGCAACGTGTGCTTGTTATCTGCAAACAATGTTTATCTGCCAAAAAGCATTTACCTTTGTTCCCCACCCCTATCAGCACCACCAACAACACACACTACACACGCACACATTTCCCCCCAATTGTGCGCTGTGTGCACTAAACTACATGTAGTAATAGCTAATCAGAATGCCCAGAATAAAGGAAAATGGAATCCCTTCTAGCCAACACAATTGCCTCACAGCACGTGGACTGACGCCATGGCATAGGGAACTGAGCTACTGCTCGCGGAGCGCATGCAAGGTTAGGATACGATTGAATTGGTCAACCAGTTCCTGTGGCAATGGAACACGCTTCACAGGGCCCACGAATGGGAGTGAGGCGAGATCAAGGTTGGGATTGGACGCCACCGGATAGTCATTGTCGGTGGCTCCGCTGAAATTGGTTTTGGCTGTGTACGGAGATAAACACATTCATACACACCCGCACAAAACACACCACATACACACACACAGCACACACAACACACACACATACACACATCACGCATACACGTACACGCACACACATACACACACATGTACACGCACACACGCGCGCACACACACACACGCACACGCGCACGCACACACACACACAAACATACACACACAGACTTTGTTTCTCACGGATATGATGGATCAAAGGATCTTCCATCATACGTACAGTTACTGGTGATCTGCAACAAGTCACTCAAGTCTAAATATCGTCGGCCAGCCTCCAGTTGCTCCTCCACATGCTGAGAAGCGTTCCCCAGCGATTCAGCCGTTGCAGTACTGGATGTGCTGCTGGCCATGGCCACGCGTCACCCCGAATAAATTCGTCGCCAATCCCTACAGCTCTACTCACATCCTACGACTAAAAGGTCAACGCCGAAATAGCTGCCTCCCAATTCCTGACGTCCAATGAACTTTTGTCACTACAGTTTAGCACAGAACTCAAACAAAACAACAATGTGAGCTAGCATGAGATCGAGAGTCACCATCAAACATTTCTACACCGGTATTTTGCGGATTCATTTGAAGTTTCTGCCGCCATTCGTGCTCAGTTGCCATGCGGACACGGGATATGCACCACGTGACGCGAAGGACTAAAGGGACCGTCACTTAATTTTTGCCGACTACCCGCCAAAAAAATCTTTTCTTTTCACGTGCCAGACACGTCCGCGAGCGCGTACGACTCGCGCTCGCCCGCGCTACCTTTCACGTCAAGCAATCTGTTCACGCCACATGGCTGGATTGGATAGCGCGTACATGCAGACATGATTGAAGACTTGCAAAATCAATTTTTTTACAAGTCCAGGCGCTAGGCGCTAGGCCTAGGCAGTACTAATACAATGCCAAAGGCTAAAATGCCCAGGCAGCTGACTTTATTTTCGGAGAAACACTACTCATTGTAGTAAAAAGTAACAATGAATAGCGACATCATCTAGGAAGGATCGCTACCCTAACGCAAAGGAAAGGCCTTGCGCGGCTGCTCTACGAAGTGTTGAAGAAAGACTCATCAAAGTTAGTTGGTGGACGAACAACTCGCTGGCGCCGGAAAACTTGGCCCCCAACGATGGTGTTTGGTGAATCATCAAGCATAATGTCTTGTAGCAGTGTTCACCAGGTTCACCGAGGAAGGAGAACGCTCTAGCCGCTGCTGTTGTCCGTTTCATCCACGTTGGGCGTTAGCTGCACCGCGCCTATTGTGTTTTAGTATTCCATGGACACACATTAGCATTCAGAGCGATTGTGGAGCCACAATTTACTTCACACAGCGTTGTATTGTCCACGAGCGCAAACTTCATTATCAGCAGTAACTGTTACCTGGTTACTCTTCATCCTACATGTAGATTTGGAGTATACACGGCCTTGTCATGACAGCGACAGCTCTACAGAGTGTTCAAGTGAGAAACATTAATTTCAATTGTTGGTGGACGAATAAATGGCTGCTTCCGAAAAACGCGGCCTGCACCGATGGTGTTTGGTGGATCATCAAACAGGGTGACCAGCAGTGTTCACCGAGGAAGGAGAATGCACTCGCCACCACTCCGATTCATCCCAGTGGGCGTTAGCTGCGCCGCGCCTATTGTGTTTTAGTATTTCATGGACGCACACTAGCGTTCTCAGCGATTGTGGAGCCACAACATATCTTCATGCGGCGTTGCACTGTCCAAGAGCAGAAACGTCAGCAGTGACCCATCATCGTACATGTAGATTTGGAGTAAACACACCATGCGCCAATGGGCCTTGGCACAACAGCGGCAGCTCTACGGAGTGTTCAAGTGAGAAACATTTGTTTCGACTTTTGGTGGACGAACAAATCGGTGGTGCCGAAAAACGTGGCCTGCGCCGATGGTGCTTGAAACATCAAGCATGGTATGTGGTGACTGCGCGAAATACACAACAGTAGCACAGCGGAAAGAATAACTGATTGAACAGAAGCGTTGCTTTGTGTGTTTGCGCACAGGGCACCGGTCAACTCAGTGCAAGGCCACCCGCAAGTGTAATGTGTGTTCTCGCATGGGTCACCAATCAGAGTCACCATCATGTCACGATCTGCCCTGAATCGGTCCCTTTAGTCCTTCGCCGAACGCGAAGGACTAAAGGGACCGTCACTTAATTTTTGCCGACTACCCGCCAAAAAAATCTTTTTGTTTCACGTGTCAGGCACGTCCGCGAGCGCGTACGACTCGCGCTTGCCCGCGTTACCTTTCACGTCAAGCCTATGTAACTTACTGCATAGGGTGCAAGGTGACCGTTGTCGGTTTACATGTACTCCAGTTATTACACCGTGCATGCACTGAGTCTGTGCTGCACTGTGCATCCATAGGTGTTCGTTTGCGGTAGCGCAAGGTGACACGTAAGGTTGATGTATTGTTTTGTCCACTGCTATTCGAAGCTCTCGGAGTCGGAAGCGTTACCTCTGTTTCCCCTGTTCCTCCCTGCGCGGAGTCTGTAGTTCTGGCTTGCAGTCGCTGTTACATGCATGTTGGCAGTTGCATGTGTTTTGGTTTTCAGTTGTCTTTATTTGTTTTGTGTGGACGACAGTTCAATATTCTAGCAGTTGTTGCACTTCCTACATTCCGTAGTCATCTGCGGTTGGTGTTCGAGAGAGCAAACTGTGTTCTTCTCCAGAGTGGAGTAAACCATTCGCTTGTGTCTGAGGAAAACCCTGTGTGTTGACGAAGAGGTTGACTTGGCTGTAGAGTGAAAGTACCACATGGTCACATGGTCCACAAAATCTTAGAACTAACTTAGGGTCTTCTGGCGTATGGTATAATTATATGAGCAGCATGAGAGTGAAGTAAAAGACTATTAGCTCAAACATTCAGTCTTTCAAGAGTAGGTGTTTCATCACGGAATAGGTTCTGCAGTTCACTTACACACTGCAACAATGGACCAGCAGTGTCCAGCATACAATAGAGTCATGTGAATATGTACCGTATGCATACTCACAGCTGCAAGGCCAGCGCCCCGTGGCTGCTTGACTTCTCAATCGATATAAATATTCACAACAGTAAGACTCTGTGATCAATCAGAGCTGTGCTTCGAAGTAGTCACAAATGCCTCATGATCAGTCACAAAACTAAACTTGGCAACCAGTCACAGCTTCCACGGTGCCCCAAGACCAGTCACCAGAGATGACCGTCGTAAATCTGCAGGGAGTTTCATAATCTGTTCATTGCAGAATCCACTATACTATGATTCGAGAGGGGGGTAGCGTTCCTGCGGATGCGGAAAACTTGGCTGGAACCCGAGTGTCACGTGAACCCTGATTTTTAAGACTTTTATTATTTGTTTTACGATGAGCCTATTATACGCGATACAGGCTCAGAACACACTTTTCGTCTATTTGGCATATCAGGGATATAGGGCCGAGCAGCCCATATCCCCAATTATGACACGCGAGTTATAGTGAAATACGATTGGCGTATTGTGCTGGACTGACTGCGGTAATGTAAAGCTAAAATCAAGCAGTCAGTTTGCCCTTAGCATGGCCTTGTCATGAGCCGCGGGTGCCACATCCGTGGAAAGGCAACATGCCGGCTAATCTCCCTGAGAAGTTGAGTGGTTATCAGCAGGCGATGACGCTGTGTCGATGATGACCTGTTGATGCCCGACAGGAACCTTGCGAGGAGAGTCATTGGGCCCGACGGGTAGGTAAAGCCAACTTCACCCTGAAGTTTGCGGATGGCCGACATGTAGACATGGACAGATCGGGGCTGAAAAGTTCTGAACAACTCGGCAGCAAAATAACACAATGTTAAAAGTCATCACCTGGCAATGGATTCCAGTCATGCCCTTGACAGAACTGGAAGTAACGGGTATCGGCGGAAAAATATTTCCGGCTGGTGCCAGTGCTGCTAGCTGCAGCACGGAGTCCGGCAACTGAGAGTTGGCAAGACTGGCTGATCTGGCTCAGCTGCTGCTTCCGGAGCCCTCGATGGTTCAAACACCATCGGCGCAGGCCACGTTTTTCGGCACCACCGATTTGTTCGTCCACCAAAAGTCGAAACAAATGTTTCTCACTTGAACACTCCGTAGAGCTGCCGCTGTTGTGCCAAGGCCCATTGGCGCATGGTGTGTTTACTCCAAATCTACATGTACGATGATGGGTCACTGCTGACGTTTCTGCTCTTGGACAGTGCAACGCCGCATGAAGATATGTTGTGGCTCCACAATCGCTGAGAACGCTAGTGTGCGTCCATGAAATACTAAAACACAATAGGCGCGGCGCAGCTAACGCCCACTGGGATGAATCGGAGTGGTGGCGAGTGCATTCTCCTTCCTCGGTGAACACTGCTGGTCACCCTGTTTGATGATCCACCAAACACCATCGGTGCAGGCCGCGTTTTTCGGAAGCAGCCATTTATTCGTCCACCAACAATTGAAATTAATGTTTCTCACTTGAACACTCTGTAGAGCTGTCGCTGTCATGACAAGGCCGTGTATACTCCAAATCTACATGTAGGATGAAGAGTAACCAGGTAACAGTTACTGCTGATAATGAAGTTTGCGCTCGTGGACAATACAACGCTGTGTGAAGTAAATTGTGGCTCCACAATCGCTCTGAATGCTAATGTGTGTCCATGGAATACTAAAACACAATAGGCGCGGTGCAGCTAACGCCCAACGTGGATGAAACGGACAACAGCAGCGGCTAGAGCGTTCTCCTTCCTCGGTGAACCTGGTGAACACTGCTACAAGACATTATGCTTGATGATTCACCAAACACCATCGTTGGGGGCCAAGTTTTCCGGCGCCAGCGAGTTGTTCGTCCACCAACTAACTTTGATGAGTCTTTCTTCAACACTTCGTAGAGCAGCCGCGCAAGGCCTTTCCTTTGCGTTAGGGTAGCGATCCTTCCTAGATGATGTCGCTATTCATTGTTACTTTTTACTACAATGAGTAGTGTTTCTCCGAAAATAAAGTCAGCTGCCTGGGCATTTTAGCCTTTGGCATTAGTACTGCCTAGGCGCCTAGCGCCTAGCGCCTGGATTTGTAAAAAAAATTTTGTAAGTCTTCAATCATGTCTGCATGTACGCGCTATCCAATCCAGCCATGTGGCGTGAACAGATTGCTTGACGTGAAAGGTAGCGGGCGAGCCCGAGCCGTACCCGTACGCGCTCGCGGACGTGTCTGGCACGTGAAACGAAAAGATTTTTTTGGCGGGTAGTCGGCAAAAATTAAGTGACGGTCCCTTTAGTCCTTCGCCCACGTGACACGTGATCGTCATGGAAGCGGGAGAAGCGAAAGGCACGCCAGTCATGATTGGGGAAATCCCTGGTTCCTCGCATGCACTCTCTTCTTTGATTTTGAAAGACTTTTTACCTGCTGGCTGTATGTCAGTACATGTATCAGGGAGTAGTAAAATACACTACCTGGTCAGTATGAAGCGCCCGATATCACAATGGGACGTCTATCACAAAAGAAATAAGCCCACTCGAAGTTTGTTGTTTCACAGGCACTGGCCTGGCCATCGCTGGGGAGTGGGGGATGAGTTCGCTCGTACGTGATCGTTTGAAGGGCGAGCTGACAGTGATAAAATGTGTACAGCACGGAGCGAGTTACATTGTAGTTCCCTCAGTGTTTTTTTTGCCCTATGCTCAGGTGTGAATGTTCGTTGTGAAGTCACTACGCAGTCTCGGTCGTCCATCAGAAGCAGAACGTTTGAACGACAGTATGGTCGCCACTTGAAGCCGCTCGTATGGAAAGGAGACCGACTGATTTACAGCAAGTAGGTTGCTTCACCGTTCACGAAGTTTTGTTGGTGACATTCATGATGCGTGATCGTGCTTGCGGCTAGAGTCGCCAAAGGCAGAGCTGAGAGAAAGAGAGCGGCTTGACACAGATGGAACGGCGAGTATTTTCCAGTAGATTTTTTCGCTGCTACAGCTGGTCAGTCTCAGAACTCGGACACCTCAGTGACCGGACTTCAATGCCCAGTTACTAATAGCTCGTATACCCTAGAAATACGGTTGCCCAGCTGAGGATCCCAGGAGAGTGTTCGCTATGACATCGAGTTGCAATTGGGCGCCATGCAGGCTTGACGCTGCTGTACGAGTACTCTTAGTGTGCCTAATCTATCTGGGGCTACTAGTAATGCTTGCTACAGTCAGTGACGTGCATGCACATGAAGACACAGCCAGCCGTGATAATCCAGACACCCAATTCTGTGATGCTGACTCCTCGGTGCCATGTGTAGCTGACAGTCGCAGCACGATCGGACAGCAGCAGCAGCGGAAGGAGAAGCTTCCGAGCATCGTCATGGTGGTCGTGGATGACCTCGGCTGGAACGACATGGGATACGGTGGTGCCGAGTACAATACCACGACGGTGGACGGCCTGGCAGCCGACGGGATTCTTCTATCGCAGTACTATGTGCAGTCCACATGCTCGCCGTCCCGCTCTGCTCTGCTGTCCGGCCGCTATCCGTTCCGAGACGGCCTGGCTCATCGGGTCGTGACGAACGGCTACCCGTTCGGCCTGCCGCTGAGTGTCACAACACTCGCCAACGCACTTCGGCTGGCTGGCTATGCGAATCATGCCATCGGCAAATGGGATGTAGGCATGCATGAACGCGCGTACACACCAACCCGACGTGGATTTGACTCGTTTCTCGGCCACTACGGAGCTGTAGTGGATCATTACACGTTCATGATCAATGCAGATGCAGAAGACAACCCCGTCGCAGGGAACATTACAGGCCGTGATCTGCACGTTAACGAGGCTGCAGCCACTGATATAGGCGATGTGTACTCAACAGAGCTGTACGGACAACGGGCTGTAGAGCTGATTGACTCCCATGACTTTGATGCCAAGCCGCTCTTCATGTATTTAGCCTACACGGCCGTGCACAGTCCACTGCAGGTGCCTGCTGAGGATACACGTGTGGCTCATTGCGAGCACGTTGCCCCGATGAAGCGGAAACTGTTGTGTGGCATGTTGCAGGCATTGGACGATAGCATTGCCGATGTGGTGTCGGCTCTGAAGAGAGCAAGCGCCTGGGAAAACACTGTCTTCATTTTCACCACCGACAACGGAGGACAGGCAACGGAAGGCTCTAGCAATTATCCGCTGCGCGGCAACAAGCGCACGATGTTTGAGGGTGGCGTCCGCGGCACTGCGTTTGTTCACTACCCGCAGTTCCAATCCCGACTGAAGGGATCAACTAGCAATGCTCTTATGCACCTAGTTGACTGGCTTCCCACACTCACAGAAGGTGTGGCAGACTATGCACTGGCATCCATACCCAACCTACAGTCACTCGATGGGATGAACATTTGGCCAGCCTTGACTACTGGATCGACATCGCCGCGTTCGGAGATACTTCTCAATCTGGACCCACCTGCCGATGCTTCAACTTCCGAGCCAGATGGTTACATAGGGCAGGCCGCGCTGCGCTTCGAGGAATGGAAGTTAATTGTTGGCCTACCCAATTGCAGCGTAAATCCATTACCGGCTAATGCTCTTGGTGGTGGTTGTCCGAGCGGGTGGCTGCGTCCGGGATCTCCGGATGTGGAGACTGAGCCCAGAGCAGCGGATCAACTCCTTTGGCTGTTTGATTTAGATGCCGACCCGGAAGAAAACAATGATTTGTCCGAGGCATTGCCAGGTATTGTGGCAATGATGCGCGAGAAACTGAGCAAATACCCAAAGGTTGTGCAAACTCATGTGCCATTCGATCCTAAATCCGATCCTCAACGATTCAACGGCTACTGGACACCGTGGCTGGACTAGGTAATCAGTTTTCGCTAAATAACGCCCATTCAACATGTCTGCGGTTCAGGCTTGCACTTTTCAGCCGTATTCCTAGCCAACAACTTCAGTACTTCTATATGAACTGCACCTTGAATTGGTCACCATGAATTTGCTATTAAATTTTGTGTTTGGTAAAAGTTTTCTTCTTCTTCTTCTTCTTCTTCATAAAGTCAACTCCATTTGTGCCTGCCGCATACCGGTAGAGTACAACGTACAGTGAACATTTTGGAAGTTGTGGCCAGGCAGTTGTCAACTCTCTGCTTATGGTCTACTTGTACAAAGCCAGACATTGCAAGTAGATAAACTAGCAACCCCGGAGGCATACCGTATGACATGACTCGGAATAGCTTCGCACGCTCTAATAGTCTTACCAGGCAAGCCATGCAATCATGCGTGTGGCATGTCTTCCTGGAGCACTGAACGCCTGGTTCAAGTCCAGTGCAATAAAAGATAAATCGGCATGAACATAGCTGATTGATACACTCACAGACACACTACAACGTGTAACTGTCAGAAAAGTTTCTCATTGCTACCACAGATACAGCGGAAGTAGCTTTTCAAGTTTAACTTCTACCAGCATGAATTGAGAATAATAGAAAAACTGTGATGGTTTTGTAAGCAATCTGTTGTACTGCAGCATTTATATCAATGTATTAAAGGTTGCAAATGTGCATAGTAGCTCAGCTCGGTCTGTGTCCAGCACAGTGTGTATCTACCAGCAGCAGCAGTGCTGGTGGAATAATGATATCGCATCCGAAACATAATTATTATATACGCAGCATGCATGGGAAATGTCAACGTGTGTCATGGTCCTGCAGAACACGACGGCAGATTAGCTTTGTTATCAAGTGATTTGACACGAGACAGCACAAACAAACAGGTTCAACGAAACAACATAGGACTGGAAAAAAAAACAAAACAACTGAAGACAAACACATGACATGGCGACAACAGAAAACTACTGAGGTAGGTGAAGGTCGTACTTGTAGACTTATTGGTGGGCCATGGTGGCTTGAAAGTGCTCCACGAGCTGTTGGAAGGTCACCTTGGTGCTGTCCAATATATCTTCGCTCAGTGCTTCCACGGTCGAATACCGTACAGTTGTCAAAGAGAATATATCGCTCATCAGATGCAATAGCTGATCCTGCAGTAGTCAAATTGAAGAAAAAAAAACAGTCATCGTATCGAGTAGCTGAGAACCTATTGTTCACATCAATATCACTCAGGTGCATGAAAAGTGAGAGTAGCCAGAGACGTGTTCACGTACCCGGACCTTGAGGACATCAACACATGAAACTAATGTAACTACAGTTGTCACCAAGAGTCCACAACCCCAAGAGTGAGCAACGGTCTGTACTATCCCTGTCCAGTGCTGCGATGACAGAGTTTAACATCACACACTGATACAACATTATTTTAATAGACTTTGCTGGCAAACAGTACAAAGTGACCACCAAAGAGTTGTACCCAAAGCAGGTTAACAAGGCAGGGTAAAATGCTCAACCTATGCAGCACTGTGTGTACTTGTACTTGCCCAACACAGAAAGAACAGTATACGTGCTGCCCAGTCACCTGCCTGGGCCTGGGCCTATGTTTACAATAGGATGTGATTTGACCCCCTGCTTCATCCTTCAACACACCCCACATGGGCGCACGTGTCTTCTACGCAGCCCGGGTGACTGTTGTTCGACCACTGCTTCATCCTTCAACACCCCCCACATGGGCACACATTTCTTCTAAGCAGCCCGGGTGACTGTTGCATTTACATCTACATGTAACTGTTACAGTTGTGCTCTGTGCACACCCCTACTCTGTTTCTGGACTTCTTCACGTCATAGAGTTCACCGGTATTTACAAATAGTTACTTGTACATGTACTGCCCTGTATTTCTCGCAATTACAGCACTCAGACTTTGATGCTTTGAGTCGGTTTGAACATGCTATGTTGCTTACTGGACTTCAATGCGATCGGTTCAGTCAGTCGCTCCGAGCTCAGCTGAGGAGAACCAACAGGGTCGAAACAGTAGCTAGCTAATGAGTAGTTACTTGTACAATGTAGTGCAAGCATTCAACGGTTGTGTAGTGTTGAGAGTGTACGGGCTTTTATCTGTGTTGCTGCGATAATCAAAGGCAACACGCATGCCCAGCCTTACCTTGAACACCGCACACTGTCCCTGGAGAGAGCGACTAGGACCGAGAAATCCCCATGCCAGGATCGGACTAAGCGTACTCATTACATTGTAGAAGTGGTGCATGAATCCATTTGCCTACACCAAAGACAAAGATACCAGAGACATGACGTTACTTCAGCACCTAACGACATCAATCCCACGTCTGTGTGCCAAAAGAGATTGCAATACTGTAAGCAAGATCAACGTATCTTCTCGTTAACCTATGAATTTTGGACTATCGTTAAATTTGCGACCCGTTATAATAACATGTCTTACAGTAACCTTTCAAGAACAAAATTTCACAGCAACAACCATCTCAAACACCTATAAACAGGGAGTTAGCAGGCAAGGAGGTGACCGGAGAATGTAGTTAAAACACAATTGTCCATCAACCAGGGTGCATTGAGCCACAACGAACCTGCACCATGCTCCTCTTTGCCTTCAACATAGACCAAACAGCTGTGTTTAGAGCCTGCGTAGCAGAAAAGAAAGTGAAAAGGGAACATAGTTCAAATAAGTATTAGCGCAATCTACAGTGTATCTGTACATTGATTACAAGATGGTCAAACCCTCCTTCTCTGGACTATAGCAATTCTATGCATTCATATTCCTAAGGGTGTGTAGACTCCACTGTAACCACTTCCTGAAGATGGTCCTGGTCCGAAAATATAAAATTAGGATTTTTATTATTTTTGGAAGGATTTGTAGCCGAGAGACCGATTTGGGGTAATGGTGCAAAACTGTGTTAAACTATGCATTCATATTATAGGAGATAATTGCCTTTGTATACAATACCATGTATGGATGTCCCACTTTGGAATGTTGGCGAGGGTGGGCAGTCTGTTGATCAATGAAAAGGAATTGACTATTGCTCTCCCTTTCAAAAAGGAGGAAAGCTGCCTCAGTCCTACGCAAGTAGAGTGACCCCCGTGGACAGGGGCAATGCCATGACCGCAATAGAGGCAATGGCAGTATGGATTAAAAAAGTGGTGTACTTAAGGCATATGCATACACATGTACATAAGCATTATGCATGGACGTGACAATAAGGTAACATTCCTCGCCGTGCTGCGTTGCCTGAATACGAAGCAGTGAACAGAGCAGCCAAGGGGTACACCACCAGATTGAACTCACCGTCTCCTTGAAGCCATCTGTTAACCAGCGGTTGTTGAGAACAGATGTGATAGTGGACGGAGGATTCTCCAAATCGGCGAATGCATCCATCAAGGCAAAGTCGAGCACAACGTCATAAAAGGAGAAGTATGCTAGCTGCAGTCAGCATCAACAACACGAAAAGAATGCAAAGCTTTGAGGTGAAATTATTGAAATATATACACACAGACATCTAGATGCAAAAACCATCGCACCTCAGTACACCATGACAAAGTAAGCACAATCACGAATGAATATAACTTTATAAGGAGCGCCACACATACACACATGAATCCATGCACATGCATGTGCGCATGCGAGAGAGAGTTCACAGAGAGAGAGAGAGAGAGAGAGAGAGAGAGAGAGAGAGAGAGAGAGAGAGAGAGAGAGAGAGAGAGAGAGAGAGAGAGAGAGAGAGAGAGAGAGAGAGAGAGAGAGAGAGAGAGAGAGAGAGAGAGAGAGAGAGAGAGAGAGAGAGAGAGAGAGAGAGAGAGAGAGAGAGAGAGAGAGAGAGAGAGAGAGAGAGAGAGAGAGAGAGAGAGAGAGAGAGAGAGAGAGAGAGAGAGTGAGAGATAGACAGACAGGAGGGGAGTAGTAGACTCAGAGCACCCACCCTTCTCTCCTTGAGCTCCCCAAACATCTCCTCCGTAGAAGTCGATTCCACATATGCAATCATGGCTTTGTACTCTGCAACAAACGCCTGAGCCTCCTGAGAGCAGCACACCAGCAGAGAAAGCAAATGACCATGCAGTTTTCATTGTTCTGTGAGAACTGGCCATTTGGCCAGCAATATGGCGCTGTTCCCTGTGTCACTTGGTGAGGTGAAGAAAAGAAAGTGAAGTCAGCAGATTGGTGGAAACACAGTGCAGAGTAAATGCTGTTGCCAGGTTTCTGCACCAAGAGATGATACCCAGTAGTGGCGTGAAATGTGCGGCTTGCCCCCATCAACAGCACAGAACATGTACCTACCTTTCCAGCCGCTTGCAGAAACAAGGACACTAACTGGCAGCCAGATGTGATGATCCAATCGCGGCTGCTCTTATTTCGCAGAATGTTCTACACACGGGGAAACACGTGCAAGTGAAAGACAAAGTTACAATCGGAACCAACACAAGCAGTCCATACTGCCATATACACCTTTCAGCATCACACAAAAAATTCACGGCTGGCTTACGAGTCAGTTACGACTCAGCAGGACTGAATTTCGCACATCCGGAGGAACTCCATCAACGGAATCAAGGCCCAGATCCAGATCCTAAAGCGGCGCGAGGTGAATAAATCAGACCCGCCGTAAAGTGGTCAAACCGAAAATCCCATTTGCTGCACCCATGTTTCCTTCGTGCCAGGCCACCATCACACAAAAACAAGCATGAAATGCCGAACGAGTTATTCCTCAACAAAATTCATCATCAAACAGGAGTCGGACTAACCTCAAATGCCCGCCGGACACAGAACAACTTGGCTAGAAAGTCGTTGTCACTTAGACAGGATAGCATACCAGTCCTAAAGGAAAGAAAAGAAACAAAAAAATCAGGATAGGTCGCACTGCGAAACAATGACCCAGGAGTGCCATAGAGTCCACTCCTTTGCAGCTTTGGACGATATAGGGTGGTTGAATGGTGACAGGCCAAGCGGGCCTTTATGCCCGCACAACTAAGTATAATTGCTATTTCTAGAGGTCAAGCAGGTGTTTCGGGTACCCGCCTGTAAAGTACAGATACTGCAAGCAAACGGGTACCAGTTTGGATTTCGAGCACCCAGTCGATACGGGACTACAGCACTCGGACCGCGCAGGCGTGAAATGTTTACAGCTCCGTGTCTGAACTGCATGTTGCATTTTCGCATGTCTGCAACACACCCGGGCAGTTGCGTACTCCCGTGGTAACAGATGACATGAGTTGTCTGTGACTGGCTGCCGAGACTCCAGAACGAGGACATACATTTCCCTTTCCATTCCCGGCTTCTGCTTCGTCAGACAAGAGCAGGCTTGGAATGACAGTTGTTCTCTGCATCCTAGTGCCAGTAAAACTCCACACTGTAGAGGTTTTTGCTTGCGATGTGAGCAATAGAAAGACAAAAAGTACCTCAACTGAGGGTAGCTGAGGTTACTAGAAACTTCCGATGGTTGTCCGGCGTCGAACCAGCCGTGGCACCTCAAGATATGGATGCTTACATGGATGAGCTGCTTGCCGAATCCAGACTCGCCACAGTCCCTCACTGTCATGGAGGATGCCACTGTAGAACCTACACGGTTCATGTGCACATCCAGCTGATAGCCTGATACCACAGTCAGGTTCCCCTGAGGTAAGGTTCTCAAACCTTACACACCCCGCACGATGAGAAACACACGCATGCGCATACACAATCAATCGCCAATCAGATCCCCGTAGCAGCACGTCACATACCGTATCGAGCGGAACGGCACGTTTCCAGCCTGAGCCGCCTCCATGCCTTCGTTGTAGAAAGTCAGGTCCATGCTGGAGACAGAGGAAGGAGGAAGCACAACACACCGCAACACACAAACTCACCCCTACTACAGGGCGCCATAGTCCAGCTGGTAAAAAGCCCAGCGCAGTGCTACGAATCAGCTGACCCGAGTACGGTAAGGGGCCGTCCAAGGTTGCCAATACTATTTTCAAAAACGAAAAGATTTCGTTTGGGGGTGGGTGGGTTTGATGGAGTTTCGTTTTGAAAATAATTATTGAATGCAGTTGCATGGATGTAGAATGCCCAGTTACTTCTGGGCGTCGAAAACTGACGTCAATATTTTATTGGAATTCGTTTTACCTGCAGAAAAGGTGGGTGGATGGGGGCTGAAAAATACAAAACTTTTCGTTTTGTAAAAACAGCCGGTAACCGCGGACGGTCCCGAAGTCAGAGGCAATGAGTCAAATAATAGAAGTTACACTCCAGGACCAGTGCAGACATCTGCAACCGTTCACAGACACCACCAGAAAATTGAAACTTCACGTCAGCCAGGTGCTCGACATTGCACGAGGGCTATCTTCATTGCGCCTCATCTGCGTTTGGATGAGTCGTCCGGTTAAGACTTAAAAAAAAAGAATGAAACGGACACCAGTTGTACGTCTCATCTGTGAGCAACTTGATAACCTCAGCTCGTACGTTTCGAAGTACAAATGTCTGAGAGTCCCAAACACAAATGAGCCAAGAAAACAAAAAAGGCTGAAAGAACAAACTCACCCTTGGCCTGATAGTTCCGCAGGACTCTGCACCACACAAACAAAGAAAGACACATCGCCAGGAGATGAAGCAGGGGAGGAACATGAGGCTACAGAAATATCAGTCAACCAAGTATGCATAACTTAGATTGTCGATCAGGCTACTAGTACTAGTACATGCAATAAGCTGATGAGGGAGGAATTCCCTGAAACACTGTGCATTGAGCAGGAAGCGGTGCTTCGTCACAGTTCGCCGAGTCGAACGGCCAACCGGCTACTTATGTGCTCTGCATGGCAGTCAAAAGCCAGGAAAGTACAAGCTCGCTCGCAGGGAGCCACCAGCATTTCCTGAAGCACCGCCACAGTTGCTACAAGTACTTCCTCCGGAAGAAAAAAACAACTTCGTGACGTGGATTGAACAGTCAGATCTGGTGAATCGAGCTCTGAGAAATCGAGTGATGGAGACTCCGAGCGAGATTCAAACAGTGCCAATTTCACCCGTAGAATAAAGTGCATACCAAAATGTATATCCACTCATTGTCTTGAAGGTTTTTGCTTTCGCTTCCGGAGGAAGTACGGTATGTGAGCCTAGCCGTGATCAGCTCACGGCTGTTAATGTGTTATGCGTACTTGAAAAGCGGCAACTTAGATTTTCGCACGTGAACCATGCAAAACCAATGCATGCTCATGCATAACCAGTCAGCTGGCCTGCTCGCCCACGAATTTGACAGGTTACAATACCATCAATTTTGAGTAGGGGTGAAACGATTACCCTTTAATGATAGCTTGCATACCGTCCTACCGGTAGGACCACGGGTCCTACCGGTAGGACCCAAGAAATCGAGCTGCAAAAGTGCTTTTGGTTGAGAAATATTTTGAAACAATTGTTGAGATGAGGTCTTTGTCAGGCAAAGTAATGGCGCAAAATGCAAGATTATGTCCAGTGCATTGCGTATGCGCAATTTTATCGATTGTCAAAATGGCTGCACATAATCCTGTCGGTGCGCTAGCAACTCTGTCCAAAGTGAATTTTGACCATGGCACATCAATTGTGGTGAGGTCTTAATGTTTTTATCAGCTTGCCAAGGCCGTGGAATGCATAATACCATACTCCGTTTCCATGGTTACCATGGGTTGTTACCATGGAATTTCGTAGTATGCCTTGTGCGATCACGTCTAAAATTTGTGGACTCCTTCATTAGCCCCTTAGCAACAGTTTAGGGTCAAGTTTTAGGTCAATGTTAGAACAGAGGCCATGCAGCATGTCTGTGTATGATGGTCCTACCGGTAGGTCCTACCGGTAGGACCGAGGCCTATGCAAGCTATCATTAAGGTAACAAATGGGTATCTGGCAAAACGGGCGGGTTATCGGGTACCCTTTATCCGCCAAACTTTTTCCAAAAACGTTGCATTTGCTTGGGATCGTAAGCGCAACATGTCTTTTGCAGGCATTCTGATAGGAGAGAGATTTTCGGGCAACAATTGCTACAGTAGCCTTCCGGATTTCACGCCAGGAGGATATGCGAAGTCATACAAGTACACTACACCGCGACAAGCACAGTGTGCACAATCACTGCGCTACATGCTAACAGTCGAAATTGTCGTAGCTACAATGGATACCGTGATAAGTAGCAGGATTGAACGAGGAAAAACACACTCAAAACTGTGCACTGAACTGTACAACTGCACACGCAAGCTTCTAATACTGTACCCTACCATCCTACACGACTATCGGGTACTCGTTTGCTAACGGATCAGCAGCTAAACAGACGGGCACCCGGGTTTCCCGGATCACCCCTTTCACCCCTAATTTTGAGATATCGCTTCGTTCTACATGTAAGTCTCAAAACAGTCCGAAATTACATGTATGCTGTAGAGCAGAGTGTTGAGCCTGGCTCGCTCGTTCACGCAGACTGAAATAAAACAAGGGACAGGTTCTGGTTTCTTTAACTTTGCTTTACATAACCAACATAACATAACCATAACCAACATAACCAAAACTCCGAAAAACAGGAAAGACACACTCCCACGACATGTCCATCACCTCGCCCCTCTCACTCCTCTCTCCTCAACTATACTCTGTCCGCGCATGCCCAGTATCCGAAAAAGAACATGAAAACAGCAGCGCAAGCACAAACAAACAAACAAACAAACAAGCACGCAACATGCCTGGGGAACCAAACAGGCGGCAGGCGCGTGGCAGCGCAGCGCAATGGCAATAATGCAACACACAGTAAAATAGACACACACACACGCAAAACTACAAAGTTAGATACAGGGAACCCAATACATGTCGGTTCAGTTGAGGTCACCCCTCAACACAGGGAGGGAAGAGAGAGAGAGAGAGAGAAACTTGGGGGTAGTAGGAAAAAATACACCATTATTTTATACTATTTCGTCCAAACGCCAGGAAGTTTTAGCATTTGTTCTTGCTTCCTGAAAACCTTGGCTAGAGTCCATTCTGGATGTGCAGCTGCTGCAGTATCACCTGCTGCCGCAGTTCCTGTAGCTCCTGCCGCAGTTGCTGTATCTCTTGCCGCTGCTGTAGAACTATCTCCTGCAGCTCCTGGCGTTGCTCCTCAAATTTCTGGTGAACACCTGATCGTATTTCCTGACAGGTGCTGGCCAATTGCTCGACAATTGAGTACACGGCTTTGTCTTTTTGAATATTTTCGCAAATCAGCTCGTTCAAGGCGCTAAGAGAGCGGGCTGTTGTCGCCTCATTCCTTCCCATGATATATCTCAAGTTTTCCATATCTATTTCCAGATCAAACAAATACTATAACAAAAGTGGTGTCCGTGCAGCGCATGCGCGTGCTATATACCAGTCGGGGAGATGTCCTATATCTAGGACATCTCACTCAGACTGGTCACCTGTCCCAGGGTTGTCATGGAAGCGTCGGTAGCGCACTGGCGATGAAAAGAAGTGCTGGGCGAGCATTTCTGAATGTGTGTGGAGGATGCGCAGTGGCGATGGATTTCTTTGCAAATTGGCCAAGTTTGAGGGAGTAGGCGGAGAATTGAGGTAGTGTATATTCGATTCTCCATGGAATACCCGACCGAATGGCCGTTTTCGTTTGGGGATTTCACGTAGGATTTCTCGTAGCCACGCGGCTCTTCTTTGGAAACGATTGTTTCAAAATTTGAATGTTTGGTCTTTGGAATGTTTCTTCACCGCCCCGGCCGTGCCGTGCGTTCACTTCCTCCATGCAGAGGAGGAAGACGAGGCAGTAGGCCGATAAATTACTGCCTGGAAAATATTATAATAATAATATAAACTTGTCTAAGCACTCGCAGACTCCATTGCAGCCACTCACCATTACAGGGTACCTCACTTCAAACTCTCCAACTACGGTCTCTTCGCTGCATAAGTTCACTTCACTTCCAAAAAAAATTGAAAAAAAATTATAGGGTCATGGCTTGTGAAGAGAGTTGCTGTTGACATTTTTTGATTTCTTGGATACGACAGCTCTTCGTTCAAGTGGCTAAAACTAACTTGGCCTGGGAGTCTTTCTTGGATATCAACCCAGGACGTTCCCATGGCGATCATGGACGTATCACCATCGCTTTCAGCCAGACCAAGAGTACATGAAAAAAAAGTTTCATAATGTACTCTTGGCCAGACTAATGGCGAAAGCAAAAACTTCATCGCAGTAGCAGCTCCAGCAGTAGCAGCTACTGCTCTGCTGAAAGTGCGAACACGGATTGTTATTGCGTCACCAATCCTTTTGCGCGCTTGCAAATTTCAATGCGACCAGATTGCCAGTTCCTTTGTCGAGGTGTATTCCACAACGAGGACAGTAAAATTCGTGAAGGTAATTAGGGCGCGTTCAGACTACCGATAAAAAGTGACGGAATGGAAAAGTTGCCAAGGTGATTTGATCACGTGACGTTACTGGCACGTTACCGGCGGAAAAGTTTTACTGCCGCGGCTGCTGCGGCAGTAAAGTTTTCCCGGCAGTAAAAAAGTGCTCAGGCTGCATGCGCGCTTTGAAAAAGGGAAAATCCCTTCTCAGCCTCGCGGTGAGAGGTGCTAAACTTATGTACCGGTAACGTTAGTTTATCGGTAGTGTGAATGTCCTTCACGGTTTATCGGCATTCACGGTTTGACGGGATTCACGGTAGTCTGAACGCCCCCTAAGAGGCAAGACACGAATCTCGACGCCCTTGAGCGCAAGTTGAGGCAAACCGCCAGGAGAACGACGACTACGAATACAAAACGAAAGGCCTCACTTGCGTTTGCTTTGAGTGCAACATTCAAACGATCGTAACTCCCGAACGGCTGGTCGGATTTTGACAAACCTTGTATATTTTCTTGCTCATTTTTCCCACTCTATCGAATGAGACTAAAATCGACGGGAACGGAGCAACTTTCAAAATCCTCCGAACATTAGTAATTTACTACAGTAACACCCTACTTTAACCGACATAACTTTTGGCGAAAATGGAGAAAATCATGTTTTTTTGTAGAATCGCGTATCGATTGGGAAATAAAACGGACCTTTTGGTAGCGCCTTGGGGCGTTCTGCCGCGTGCCGGGCACTACCGGTAGTGCAGTAGTGGCAAGTGTAGTGCCCTGCATGCATGATGCAGCCCTCGCAGCTCGAGTCGAGGCCTCCTGGATCCTTGGCTTGGGAATCAGACTTCAGTCTTCATTCAGAGTTAGTTTGTTGGGTGGCAGCTTTTTTCAACGAAACAACTATTACTAATCACTTACCGTTACCGATGTCACTCGTACTCGTAGTAGGCGACGTACTCTACGTGATGTAGCTTTGTCGTGTCCTCCCATCGCAGCACAAGTTTCAGGTGGTTATCTCTCCGCGAAGCTTTACAGGAGAATCAGTTGTGCTGGCGGCGTGGACAAGCGCTGAGCTAGAAGCGCTTACAAAATTTAATAATTCACAACCAACTACTACTAGAACTAGTAGTGTTACTTCAAAGCAACGATCGATCGAGCTTGGCCTGGTTGATAATAATTGATGAGTGGGAAGTTATAATTTTATGTGTTCAGTAGATCAGTGGACAGTTAGAAATGGCTCGTCGTCGACGCGTCGCAGTACCCTAGTAGTAGTAGTAGTAGTAGTGAATTTCTTGTCTTGGAGCTCACGAGGCCAAACATGGACTACTCGAAGCTGAGGACCAGTGATTTTGATCTAGTCATGGCTGAGGTGTTGCCAACGCTGCTGTAAACATGGTATTCCACTATCTCCGGGAGAATATCATCAACTCAATCGCGCTGTGTTGCTTCCTGATAGCCGCTGGCCAGCACAATAACCTGTACTATAAAAATAATACGCAGCACTAGTCACTATTAAAATGTCCCTTCTAAAAAGGGGAAGTATACCCTAAAATCAAATGTTCACCAGTTGTAATCTTCGGGTTGCTGAGTCGAATGGTCTTGGTCCGAGGAAGCTGAGACGCTCCCTTCCTCCTTTATTCCCAATCGAACTCGCGCACTTCCACCAAGACAGACTGGGTGACTGAGCCCTACTAGATGGACATTTGCATACAAAATGCCACTAAAAGCACCATTTCATTCTTGTAATAGCACGGATGACCGCGATTGGTCCATATGTTGTAGTCTTTTGGAGGCTGAGTTGACTGGTTTTGTTCCGAAAAGGGTGTGATGCAGCGTTCGGCCCTTATTCCCAATCGAACCCGGTTGAGTAAGCGGTGACGTGCGCATGCGTACACCAGTCACCGTGCCCGTAGGCTACAACTTTTACAGCGTTCCTGTCACTCGAGTTGAACCTTTGAGTTGAACCTTGGTGTGAAAGTTGTCGCCTGCAGGCACGGTGACCAGGCGACTGGTGTACGCACGTGCTTACTCAACCGGGTTCGAACCCCAGTTGAGGTACCATTATGGACCCTTCTTCAAATTTCGCAGCACTGCACTGTGTACGATAAAATCACGAAAAATCACCAAATACGGGAGCTCGCCAGAGTCAGCACTCATCTTAAAAAAAATTAATGGACTGCAGGTGCTTTGGTTATTGTGTGCTTGGTGGTCAATGGAATGAAGTCAGCTTGGACAAGCAACTTACTAAAGAGGAGCAGAGTGACAATGATCCTCACAGAAGTGCTTTTTTTGGATATTAATAATATTATGCACATAATTTCACTCAGAGGGTGGATCCTTCCTGTCCAATTTCTACTCACTTACCCTTCTCCAAACCGCTTCAAACGTTGTGTACATGACCGTCAAATACAGTGTACAAACAAATTTCCAGTGAAAACGAAATTTGAAAAAATTAACCTATACATGTATGTGTGTTTTTGCTGATCATGATTCACGTATGTACTAGTATGCTTACTAACTCGCCTTACTAACTTAGGCCTCCTGGCGATCGGTTCAACCAGTGACTGAGCTCCGCTGAGGAGACCTAACAAGGTCGAAACAGTCAGCTGCCAGGAGATTCGAGTGCGGGTGTGTATGTATTTCTCGTGACCAGCCTGGTTGCAGGGGCGGCAGGTGCGTAAGCAGACAGCAACAGGAGAGACAAACTATGTACGTTCAAAAACACCACCAGTAGTTTGCGCAACCATTTGATTCAAGTACAGCAAGGCAACTTACATCTAACTGCATGGTTGCAGACACAAACGAGTCCACGGATGATGTTTCTGATACGGGAGCTGCCGGGTGTGATATCTGATCCACGTCAAGCAGATTGCTGGCATTAGAGTCACCCAAATTAACGGGCCGCCCACAATCCGTCTCGTGCCGAGGTGGACTAAAGCAATCGTGAAACTGCGGCGATGAGTTGTTCAGCGAAGGCACGCTGGTAACCTCGTGCGTATCAACGATGGCGATGAAGCTGTCACTGTCGCTCTGATTCAGGTCCGGGTGGAGAGAGCGAACGCGTCGCTGATACATCTCCTCAATGCGGTGCGTCTGATCAATAAGCGCTTCAAGGCTCTGCACTGTCGCCAGGGCATCGCGGTCCGAGGATGAAGAGCCTACAGAAGAAAACATAAGGGATCAAATGGAACTCTTGCATAACAGCTGCTACCACCTCAACCAGCCATATACAGGTCAGACCTCGATATAACGCCCCCAACTATACTAGTAACATAAACCTCACAATAACGTACAAAATGCAAATGTCCCTGCCGAAACAGCATCACTTCTGTACAAAATTTCCTAGCTACATGTATAACATAATCCGCTATAGCGTAATTTTCGCTATAACACACTCTTCCGCAATGTTCGCTTGGTCCCACGCGCACAGAGACCTCAGTATAACACAAAAAGTCGTACAGTCGAGTGTCTTTCCGGTCCACATCACTTTCTTTTCTTGAAATTTCTGCTCACGGCTCCATGCCCTTGCTGGCATTCAACGCACATACTGGCATTCAAGCAATTCTTCCAACAGTTAACACTACAGTCGCGTGGACTTGGCACATAACGGGTACTTCGAAGTAGTGTTTTCAACACATGCGGTAGACACACTAGAACAGACAGTCACTGAATGTACATGTACCGTAAAGTACCGCCAGAGTGCCCAGTCTCGCGAGAGCGCCCCACCTTGATTTTACAGCCAGGGAAAGAAAAATCGTATAGCAGAGTGCAACAAAGTTTGTACCGTGCGAGAACCTTAGTGTACTGACGTCACACATAGCAGGTTTTTGTGTGGAGCTCGTGTCCGCTCGAAGGTAAATTGAGTACGGATTCACTGCACACTGTGTAATATGTGTACACGGTTCGTGTCATACAAACTACAGACAGGACACCACCTCCACAATACGACCACGAAAGGACGAGATGGTGAGGCGCTCTGGCGGTACTTTACGGTACATACATGCACTTCCTGCGTGAGTGAGTTGATCATTAGTGCTACAGTTGTAAAAAAACTTGAAATCAATAAGCAAAGAGCGTCATTTTGACATACATGTTGCATATTTGCGGACCCAACTCACTATAACATAAACCTCGCTATAACATAAAAATTGCCATACCCCAGAGATTACGTTATAGCGAGGTCTGACCTGTACACACATTTAACTGAACTCTAAACTCATTGAATACTGTAAATATACAAAATTTCGGCGCTGCAAAATTTCGGCACTTCACGATTTTTGACATTTCGGCGGCGATATATTTTCGGCGTGGGGTAGAGGGCATGGTATAGTGCGACAGATGCTGTGAAAAATTTTCATCGGCGTTTTAATTTAGGCGTTCTGGGTCGGTGCCGAATATAGCCGAAATTAAATAGCTGCCGAAAATCTGTATAATTTACTGTAGTGTGAATAGTGTGCGTGTGACCCGCAAGTGCCTGTAGAATGCGGAGCACACCAGCAACATGTACAAGACCATCAGGTATGGAACACTCACCATCTCGTGGGATTGTCCGGTTTCGCAATCTAGTCACAGCTGTATGCCAATAATGAATAGACGCTTGGACTGCTTGAAGTCCTGCGGCAGGAAAAGTATGGTATGGTGTGTCAGAGAGACAGGGAGAGGAAAAGAAAAAGACAGAGACAGGCAGACAGACAGAGGAGAGAGAGAGAGAGACAGACAGACAGACAGACATAGAGAGAGACACAGAGACAGACATAGGGAGAGAGACACACACAGATGGATAGATGATTAAATGTACTACAGCCAGCTATCGGCCATGGTCACCATTTCAGGGCAATGAGAAGGGTGAAAGCTACAGAATTTGTATAGAGGTTATTTAGGTGAGGAGAGACTGCCAGAGGCTATGATTGCACCACAGTTTGGATACAAGTATCCATCTCGTATACGGGAAGCGTGCCACCTCTTTTCATTCCATATACGGCAGAAAATAAACTTGAAAGAAGTACGAGGTGAATTGCTATTTCTGGACATTGGACATTTCTGGACATTTCGAGTAAAATAATTTTTCGTCGCGTGTAGAGTCAAGTCAGTCGAGTTGATGAAGTGTTTCTTCTTGTTGACATCTGGGCTGTTGTAGTTTCTCCTCGTGTCGGTGCCTTGTTGATAGCCTTTGCTTGAGCGGCATTTCATCGAGTTTTGCGGTACTATGTAGCATGAGAATTTTGAGTAAAATAAGAAGCAATGGACGAATCGTTGGCTTCCCCATAGGCCATGTGCACACCACTTCAGACACTGTATAGTCTTGGAACTGGTGGCTGGAAGTGTGAAGAGGCCAACTGCAGTCCACCAATAGAAAAACATAACAAAATGGTGCTGTATAGTATGCCTATTGATGCTATTTTATTTTCATGTCCAGAATTCCATACACTGAAATTTAGGCCAAAAAAATAGCCTGTCAAAAACGTCCTGCTATCAAGTCTCCGGGATCACAGCATGAGCAATTGTCACATATTTGGAAAGATGAAGGATTAGTCCATACAATAAATACAAAAAGATATGAAACAAGTAAAACACACAGCCGGTGGGGCTCTATTTTATTTTTGTGTCCAGAATTTGCTATTCACCTCAATACTTGCTAGCACAATATCATACACGGGTGACTTACCTGCAGCGCACAGCTCCTCCGTGGACATTATCTGAGAGGCAGGTTGCCATTGTGGCCTGTCACCGGCATGATCTGACAGAGAGGCAGAACAGGCATGGAGATTTTTTTAAATCAAAACGAAAGAAATAGATGTTTTATCTGGTAGTATTCAAAGACGTAAAAACAGGAAGGAAGCTTCAGTCTTGCGAACGCAAACTCGGCGTAGCAAGTTCACAGAAGTACACCCATCCACTTGCAGCCACGCACAAACACACACTTGAACATCAGCATCGGCCAACGCAAAGGACCACAGGTCAGTTGCATGCAAAAGTGAACCGCAAACTAGAGAAACCACACGAGACTTCAGCTGTGTGAGAAAGTGGACAAGGTCACAATGTAGCTATCGGCTGTGTCTTACCATCGCCACCAAAGGAGTGAAAGCCTGACAAGGCTACAGACTCTGCAACACAGGCAAGTCACACACACACACACACACACACACACACGTGTACACACACACTTAGTTCAAAAACTGATCTATACACTCACAAATTCACAAATCTCAAAGACGATCCACGGTGTGTACACGCACTTCCGAATCTCGCCTCATATGGGTCGTGCCAAGAGTACATGAAACCCAGAGTGTACAGCTTCTGACTTTTCTGCATGGGTGTCTGCAACGGTGACCGTGATTACACCATATTTGATGCAGATCTGAGGCGGGGAGTGGTGCAGTGCGTACAACTGAGCTGCAGTTGTGCAGAAAGAGATCTGCTTGAATCCTGCTTGTGAGCACTACATCACTAACATGATGTCATCACGGAATTTCGCCGTGACAGCAACCCATCAGAGCTGCACGCTCTGGGTTCGATGTACTCTTGGTCGTGCAATAATGCTTCTAAGAACAAGTCTCCCCTACAGCCTGGCCAGAGTGTCCTCCCGTCTCTGGGAATCAGAGATGACCAGAAAAATCATATCCTGGATAAGTGCATTGTTCACGAGTGGATCCGCCAGCCGCTTTCAAAAACGATTTCAAAGAGAAGACTCAAAACTAGCATTCCTATACCCGAAATGGCTTCGATTTGCATTACTGCACTCCTGTATTCTTCACCATGACTCTCTATTGTTCTGCAAACAACCGTTTTTGGGTGAAAATAGCCATATTTGGAGATGAAACTTCGGCTGTTCGAGAGTTCACACGTAGGTCGCATATCTGTGTCAAAATTATTCTGCATGGCCATGGGCATGTCACACCGGGACCGGGGATATGCTGCAGAGTTGCTGGTACATGGTGTGCATGTCTGTCCCTGCGGGAATTCGCGGAAAAAAACTCTCGAAAACTTGCGCAAGAAATTGCGGCAGAAAACAACAAAAAATTCGACGAAAAGTGCGGAATGATGCAGAACTTGCCAGGAACTCGCGGAATTATTTGCAGAAATTGCGGATTTGGGCCAAATCATGAAATTTGTTGCATCGTATATCTACTCCGGAGTAACGTTAGTACGGGTCATACTGTGAAAATAACCTACAGGATCATGGAAAGCACTGTGTGAAAAGTGCAGAAAACATGTGAGATATAGTGCAGAAAACAACAAAAAACGCGGGAAATCGCGGATTTTGCTGAAAATCGCGGGTTTGGGCCAAAATCGCGAAATTTGTTGCATCCGTGGAATCGCAATTTCCTGGAAGGACAGGCATGTGCATTGCATGTGCGGATCGAGCTGCTCGTGGTTTATAGTAGTGTACGCGTCAAAGCCAGGGAGCCCTACACATACGGTATGCGCAGGGGCCACTGGTGAAAGCGATGTTGCACTAACTCAAGATATGGGTATGCACTATGCAATGATCGTGGCGTCGACGTCAGTGATGATGCATCGGTGGTAGAGGTGATGTGTTAACCCAAGTGGGGGTCCTACAGTTATTGAAAGACCCCGCGATTGTGGCAACATGTGAAAAAGGAACACAACAAAAGGCACGTCCGCTAGCTGTCATCGACACCGATGTGCCAACAGGGTTGCTCCCCATGTACAAGTATAAATATTGCTTGCATACGCTATGAGATTGAGTTGAATAAATAAATAAACGCACCAGCTCCATGAGAGTACGGTGACATAACGGATGTGGTACGCAGGCGTGTATAGTCCAGTGGCTCAGCGGCTCCGGGAGGGATGTACTTTCGCCTCCTGCGCCTGATGTAGAGGCCAGCCGCGCTCAGCACTATGAGAGTAGAGCCAGTGACGATCAGCACTATACGACCGGTTCTGGACTTCGGGATATAGCTGCCCAAAGTGAGAAGCCATTCCGGCAAGGACGGCATGTCTAAATGCTTGTGCTCAGTAATAAGTCTGGCTTGCTCAAGACGCGATACTAGTATACAATAGCTCCCTGCAACATTGCCTATCCATACTCCGCAGAAAACAATTTACGAAGTGATATTCTAGTCTAGAAGCCAACTCGAAAACTCTCCTAGATCCTGGCAGCAAGCTTGCAATGTCATAAAATTGTGGATCCACGTGGGACTCACTGGGCCCGGAAAATCTAGTGTAATGAACAAGTAAGATCAGTAATACCGGGGTAGTAAAGGAATGAAGACTGTACTGCGAGGACCTTGTTCAAAATCTCGAACAAATGTTTGCAACTCAAGCCAAGTCCTGCTTGGTGATGGTCAATTTAATTATGGAGCCGGAGATACAGTGGTCGCCTGATAATGATGAGCTCGTGAGCTAGCTCTGAGCTGTGCTGTGTGATCCCTGTCACCCGGGGCTTCGATTAGTATTTTTCAGGGAGTCGTAAAATACACTCCCGGATCCCTGGTATTTTTGACTGTCGTCGTTTGCGCTTTTTTTAGCAGCGCTTTCAAACTTTTTTGTTTTGACGCCATATTTTCCATGGACACCGACACGACGTGACGTAGACAAGAAAACACTGAATGCTTTTTTTGGCGACACGTGATCTACACACCATACATAATGTAGCAGCCGCTAGCTAGCCTGGGACTCAGTGAGTTGTACAACTAACTACTGCCTGGATACGACACTGACTGATATCATGATACGAGCTTACGGTAGATCTGCATACTTCATGCATGGTACCGGTAGTTGGTAGCGGTACACACCAGGCTAGGGAGGGGAGCGTACCCTGATTTTGGGTACGACATGTCGACAGTCGAGTCGGCAAACGCTGCTTGCTGTCGACATGTCCCGAGCATCGATCTGTGTAGCCTGCAGACGGTATATACCGGTAGTACAGTACAGCGAACACTGCACGTGCACTGCACTGCAAAGCTACTCATGACGTCACCATGGTCACTCGCTTCGTACGTATGATGCAAAAGTGACCAAAATTCTTGTTGTTCAAGGATGCGGCTCGTGATCGTGAGCTCATGAGTCTTGCAAAGCATGCAAGGCTTGCAAGCTTCATATTTCTCGTCAAATCTGAACACATGCAAGCACGTAACTCGTTTTCATTTGGCAGAAGCTCTTGTCTTCAAGACCGCAGACGTCAAGCTAGGTGGGGTCCCTTTCATTCTCAGGACAGCCACCATTAGCGGCGTAGCCTGCGACTCGGCAATAGTTCTGAGTGTTATAGGATCTCCGTGTAGCTGAGTTCGAGTGTTTCCGGACGGCATGTACCAGCGTGACAACACAATTTTCGATGGAAGCTATCGTCAATAATACATGTCCCGATGGATATCAGTTAATTTACCACAGTGAGCTGTTCTCGCACGAATGCATCCATACCCCACTGCAGCTGGCTGCAGTTCTCATTGGGTTCTCGTCGATGATATGCTGGTTTTGTGCTCAAGCTCCGTAAGTGTAACCTCAGCTCTGTACTGCAGACTGGTCAACGGGTTTCGTTCTGAGTTGCCAGTACGCAAAGTATGATGCTTGGCTTATGCATGACTATCAGTGCACCAGGAATATGTCTAAAACTAGTAAGAGATCACAAGTTTTCACTCGTGTGCTGGTTGTTGGTAATGGAGAGGTTCCGCATAACATAATTACGTTCGTAAAAAACTTAGTCGATCTACGGAAAGTCTTACGTAAACTGCATGCAGATCTGTGTTCCGCCAAACGGAGTTTTCAAATCACGTAGCTGCCCTTGGCAACTCCGAATGTGGCACTGTACGACCAGATCGACCTAGGGAGAGAGTCATAAATTTGTACCCCAATCCACTTACGGAGCACCTACGTTATCAGAGCCCTATCTGTGTACTCTACGTAGACAACTTTCCGTAAGTGGAGTGCAAATTCGCGAATTTCCGGGTATTTCCCGCCGACTAACATCAATTTGCTCAACTTTACGTAGTGTGGAACCTCTCTACTAAGTTAGCGCAGCGCAGCGCAGATGTCACCAGATAACTTGAGGATTGTTTGAACAGGTTTCTCGCTACGGTTTTAGACCTATTCCTAGCACGGAGGTAACATGTGTAGTCATCGAAATGTTATCAACGCCTAATACCAACAAAAAAAATTATCAGCGTACCGCCTTGGTAAAATTTAAGACTGGTTTGTAATCCACAAAGCAGATACGCAATTCAGTGATGCATAAAAGGCTAGCCTCTCTAGACACTCGGTCCTTCAATGCATAATTATAATGTACAACGAGACTTTATCTAGGCTCTTAAAAAGTCAGTCTTTCAGCACATTCGTACTAGAAGGTGCGTACTAGAAGGTGCGGCCATGGAACTGGCTGAAAAGACCTACACGTAAATCATAGGGTGATGCATGTTGGCAGCCCCACCGCCACATGGACGGGGGGGGGGGGGGGCAGTGCCCGTACACTTGCCCGTACACTTGCCAATGCTCATGTGCGTGCGTTTGACTAACATCTGGCTGCTCCTTCGACGCAGTTGAATACGGGTACCCCTCAACGCTCGCTCTCTCTCTCACTCTCACTCTCGCGCTCTCTCTCTCTCTCTCTCTCTTCTCTCTCTTTCTCTCTCTCTCTCTCTCTCTCTGATCCGGGTACCCTCAGGGTCCCTGTACCTCCAAAATATCCGTAACTGGGAGTGTGACTGTATACATAGTATGTTTCCGGCCTATCGGGCTATGTCTGGAGCGCCCTGTGCACTTGCTATTCGTGTCACCAGTTGAACTAGTCGCAACCAGTATTACGTTTGTGTGTACGGGTGCATTGTGGCGTCTCCAAACCTTCTCGCCATCAAGAAAATGTACACTGATAGCAAATGACATCCTGCCCGTGGTTGTTTACGTGCGAATATTGCGGAGCTAGAGCGAATCCTAGCAAGCAGTATGCATGCCCCTGGTGTGCCTGCGAAGCACGCAAAGTCTACAGAAGATCACTGATCTTTGCGTATTGATGTGTACTACTACAGCATGCACTTGTAGAGGTTGTGTTTTCCATTGGGTTATGCACCATATCAAGAGTTCGTAACCTCAAGAGTGTGCAACTCTGTACGTGGGGATCCGCGCGGCGGAATTCCGACTTTACGTCAAAAAATGACGTGCACTTTCGTTGGGCTTGCACTACTCCCTGGTTCCAAGCACCATGGGATGCGAAGTTTTGTCCTCTGTGCCTCAGCGGCATGACGTGATGTTGGAATTCCGCCGCGCGGTGGGCCTACAGCAGCCAGACCCCAGTTCCACACTCTTGGGGTTATGGACTCTTGACCATATACTTGTACACGGCGCGCACTGACACGAGCATGCCATGTGCAAGCACACTCTGTCCATGCTTTGGTGCTGGTATGGTCCCCTGCTGTGTTGATGCAGTGCAAACACACCGCTCCTGAGGCGAGATTTCACTTGCAGGTTTGCCTTTTTCTTCTTCTTCCTCTTTTTTTTGGGACAAATGCTTTTTAGAAGGGGATATACTGTCGTGGACATGAAAATCCAGTCGAATGACCGGGGCCGGCGCCCTCAGCGTGTAGAGAAAGCTGCATGCAGTGCACGTGTTGATTCAATGCCACCAGCGCGCTGCAGCGCGTAAATGCACGTCTGTGCCGCTTACCCACGGCTGCATCTCTATCATGCACAGGGTGCCAATAGTAATAATAATGCGTGCGGGTTCATCGCGTGATGTGAAGTTCTGCCGTCGCAGACCCCAGAGCTGGAGTTGCACACCCTTGGGGGGTATCATTATGTACTCTTGGCGCTAGTAATTGAGGAATGTGTGCGGAAAAGGCCACTCGATTGAAAGCACTGAACGTGTTCTTCAGCGCCATTTTCCTTGGGTGCTCTGTTCTGGTTTCACACACTCTGGCTAGATGAAAGGCCTAAATCTTCCTCCATTATTCTGTCTTCCATTTGCTGTTTCTAGGCAAGTTTTCAAGAGCTGGAAGACAGGAGAAGCTGATCAAGCCTTCTCTATATTTTACCTAGTTGAGTGGGCGTTTGGAGATGCATTCAACTTGATCGGGTCAATATTGGCTCACCAGCTCAGCTTTCAGGTTGGTTTAATCTCTATCTATCTGTCTGTTTCTCTCTCTCTCTCTCTCTCTCTCTCTCTCTCTCTCTCTCTCTCTCTCTCTCTCTCTCTCTCTCTCTCTCTCTCTCTCTCTCTCTCTCTCTCTCTCTCTCTGTCTCTCTCTGTCTCTCTCTCTCTCCCTCTGTCTCTCTCTCCCTCTGTCTCTCTCTCCCTCTGTCTCTCTCTCCCTCTGTCTCTCTCTCCCTCTGTCTCTCTCTCTGTCTCTCTCTCTCTCTGTCTCTCTCTCTCTCTGTCTCTCTCTCTCTGTCTCTCTCTCTGTCTCTCTCTCTGTCTCTCTCTCTCTCTCTCTCTCTGTCTCTCTCTCTCTCTCTCTCTCTCTCTCTCTCTCTCTCTCTCTCTCTCTCTCTCTCTCTCTCTCTGTGTCTGTGTCTGTCTCGCTCTCTCTTTCTCTCTCTCTCTCTCTCTCTCTCTCTCTCTCTCTCTCTCTCTCTCTCTCTCTCTCTCTCTCTCTCTGTGTGTTTCTCGCTGTCTCTCTGTCTCTCTCCGTCTCTCTCTCTCTTAGAACGGAAAGTTGTCATGCATTTTGTTTGTCTTTCTGACCTCAGATATGGCAGGCGGCATACTTTTGCTTGATGGATGTCATTCTTACGGCACAGTTCCTCGTGGCCTATCTCCGGAGAAAAATGAGGACGAGAGGTAAGCCACACTCCAGCTAGCAGCTGTACACCATGCTGACAGTGCTCCAATACGTTCACTAGGATATCGGTGGACTGTAGGCAACTGCATCATTAGTAGAAAAGGTGATAATTATGTCAACACCACTGCCGCTCCATATCGTTTGCGTCATCACCCATAATTGAAACGAGGTGCGTGTACCTGGTGACTGTTGTCGTGAGTCCGAATGTAAAAATTGACCTTTGTTTAGCCAGTTGCCCTTCATCACGTACCGCTTTCTTGAAGCGTGAGACTGAAGTGACGACGTGATAAATTTCTCCCGTGACCTTTGCCATTTTTAGTAACACACCAACATTGACTGCTCATGACTTTATTCAAATTTGTGTCTCCGTATTGAATAGAAAAACATGGAAAACCGCGGGGCGCAGGTTGTGCGCTAGACTTTACTACTAAACCAGATTTTAAATGGTCAGGCATGCACAATTTAACACCAGGCTGACAAGACTCACCACCTATTGACGTTCTTGTTGTCTCCATACCGATGATTTCTTATGGATCTTTTGTTCAATGTGTTCAGTGCTACTGGAGGGTGACACAGACCCACCGCGGCGCCCCAACTCACTGCCCGTCCTATGCATCCTGGCAATCGTCATTCCCGTCACTCTGTTCACATCGGGCGGCGACAGTCGGAGCGGCGTGGTCGGTGGCGTTGGCCAGGCCTACGCGACGGAATCGCTTCACGGCGGCAGGCGACTATTAGCAGTCGACGCGCCGTCGAAGAGCTCATCCTTTGATGTATTTTTACCGGTGAGCGTGGGTAATTGGTGACCTGCTTCCTCTCGTTTTTCACGGTATGTTTTGCCGGTGCTTGCTATGGCTTGCAGTCCTTGGAGGTAGGGTGCGGTGTCAGGTGGGTAAGCACTACGCAGTGAGCACCAAACTCTGACTGGGTGTTTGTGTGCTTGAGCGTCACATGCTCATGCTGCACGTTCTGCACTTTGTCCCAGCAGCTCACCTTCAGTTATCATTTGATCCATGTCGAATACTGGTGCCGTGTACCGCTGTACCATGGTGAAGGTTTTGCTGCAGTGGAACCTTTAATCATGCATCCTTTGCTTTGAACCCTTCTACTATACTGCTGGTACATGGTGCTTCCAGTTCATGTACAGTGTTGCTCAATGTAATCCAGTCGCGTCACTCAAGTTTGTGTCTTACATCATTCCGTAGCCCAGTGTTCGCAGGTCTAGGGATGCGCAACGCCCGGCGTGTACTTGAGTGACGTGACTGGATTCCATTGAGCAACACTGTACATGGATCTTCTGTAAATTACTTTGGCATCTGCCAGCACCGTAAAGTACCGCGGGAGAGCCCCGTCTCGCGAGAGCGCCCCACCTTGATTATACGGCCAGGGAAAGGAAAATCGTATGGCAAAGTGCATCGAAGTGTGTACGGTGTGAGAACCTTAGTGTACTAAGGTCGCACTTGGCAGATTTTTATGTGGAGCTCATGTCCGCTCCAAGATAAAATTGAGTACGGATTGACTGCACAACGTGCAATGTGTGTACAAGGTCCGTGTCGTAAGACCTACAGACAGGACACCACCTCCACAATACGACCACGAAAGGACGAGGTGGTGGGGCGCTCTGGCGGTACTTTACAGTACAAGCGTGCTTGCACATCGCCCATGAGCTCTTGCACCTGTGTGATTGGTCCTGCTCTTGCTGGCCTTGTGTGTGCGCCCTGCTCTCCTGCAGAGTGTCCAGAAAGATGCTCTCTACGGCTACGTGCTAGGCTCCATCTCAGCGTTCTTCTACGTGGTGGCCGGCTTTCCTCAAGCGTACAAGAATGTAAGCAATCGACTAGCATAGCACCGTGACAAAGAAAGTATGCTCTCTCTTTCTTTCTCTCTCTCTCTCTCTCTTTCTCTCTCTTTCTCTCTACTGTAAACTGTGAAATTATTGCGATGGTCTATTTTCTGCGAAATTCGCGACCGCGTGGAAATCGCGAAATTTAGACAGCGCGAAAAGGAGATCCATGAAAGGTTTAGCAAGTATGCCACAGTAGCAAATTCTGCAATCGCAAAATTAAAACCTCGCAAACCTGTCCGGATTCTGAAAACGCTAACTAAAAACGCCGCGAAAATTTCACGCTTTACAATATCTCTCTCTCTCTCTATCTCCCTCTTCACTCTTCATTTTGGTGTAGGATCAGGAGGTGACTTCTCAATGCTGTTGTGTTACACGCTTTTTTTGTATTTTTATCGGTACCACGTCTTCACTTTGGTATGAACAAACAGAATAAATTAAATTTGATCCAACTTCTGTCCCCATCCCCCCCCCCCCCCCCCCCCTCTCTCTCCTGTCTTTCCTACTGTCCGACCTCGCTTCTCTGGTCTTTTTTCATCCAGCTCCCTTGCTAACCGGTGAAAAATTGGTTGGAGCAATTTCACAGCCAACGATTGTACAGTAACACACTTTCACCTTTCCGATCCCCCTGCTAATCCATAAAAACCGCCCCATACTTGAATGCATCGAATCCGACGCATTCAACTGCAAAACTTCAATCGTAACTTAGGGTGCGTTCTTAAATCCTCTCGGAAAAGTTGGAGACTCTCCGAAAAGTTCGAGAGCTGTTCTTATATCCTCTCCGAATTTTAGGAGGCTCTCCAAAGCTCTCCAAGCTTCAGAGGTGGTTGAAACTTGGAGATTCCCGCGGTTTGGGATCAGCGCATGCGAACTAGGCTAAAAGCCACGTGTTGATCATGAGTGTTGATCATGAGTGTACGCATTTCCCTTTTCGCATACGCACAGCGCATACTATTTTCGTGGCACTCTTTGGCGCTTCATTTTGCTTGACATTGCAAAATATCTCCGAATTCTTCGAGACCCGTTCTTGAAGAATCCCAGTTTCTTCGACTTCTCTTTTCTTCTTCTCCTAGAAGCTAGAGAATTTAAGAACGCACCCTTAACTCGTGTGTCCATCTGATTCATCTTGCTGTGATGTTTTTTTGCAGTTTAAGCGCAAATCTTGTGAGGGCCTCTCTCTCTACATGTTCATCCTGGCAGCGCTGGGCAACATCACCTACGCACTCGGTATCTTCCTCTTCAGTATGGAGCACATGTTCCTCTTGAACAAGCTCCCTTGGTTAGTTGGCAGGTAAGTTGTGACCAATTTTGCGATTGCGTTGTGCTGAATACCTAGAATAACCGGAAAGTTTAACGACCAAAATGTTTAACGTTTTTGTAATTTTGGCATGATAGCGTGCAGAAAGTTTAACGATGGCTACCTGGCCACCCATGGTCTGTATGCGCATCTTTACACATCTCAAACCGGGTTCGTGATAACGTTTCTTCGAATAACGAAAAAACTGGTCGCTAAAACGTTAGACTTTGTGACTTGTTAGACTTTCCGGTTTTACAGTACCTTCTGTCGTGGACTGGTTGAAATCTGATGGGATGACTGCGGCCAGCACCCTTACTGCTTTTAGCGCTCACATGCACTGCAGACTGTAGTTGATGTACGCACTGTAAGAATGGGCCAGCAGTGCTCGCGAGTCGCGGCTGCAAGGCCAGTGCCCCATGGCCGCTTTGACTTCTCTACGGATTTCAATGTCCAAGACAGTAGTATATGGGTGTTTTGCCTCCCTGTGTCGGGGGATGGTCATTATAATTATGTGGTTCCCATCGCACAGGCTTGGAAACCGATCCTAGTGGAAAGGGAGGAGCTATTTAGACAATGTTCTGCATTAACTTAGAAGTGGGAGCTGGCGGTATGAGTAGATGAAGTTGGTTGCTCCTAGGTGGAACACTCTTCAACTTGCTGGAATTCATTCACTTCAATGCGACAGAAATATTTACGTGCATTGTCTCTTTGCACCGTTCCTTTTGTTACCTTTGAATATCGCTCTTTTCCCCCATGGCCAGTTCATTCCTGACGATGGGCATGTAGACCGAAACGTTGAAATATTTTCTTGACTATGTGTGAACTACAGTGCTTTTTTGAGTGAAGGCAAGTTACCTATGAATGAATTGTGACAAGAAGAGTTGTAATACTCAATCAATCGTTTGTTTTCTCTTGTGCTCTTTCTCTCCTGCAGTCTCGGATCCTTGTTATACCAGTTTACTGTATCCTCCTCTTGCGCTAATACTAGAAGAACAAGTTGATTTTTTCAGTATTAAAATGCTGATGCTGTGCTCTTTCCTCGAGTTTATGCCATAGGCCGTTCTGAACCGCGTAGATGCATAATGCCAAGAGTACATGAAAACCAGAGTGTGCAGCTCGGATGGGTCACGGCGAAATTCTGTGATTACATCATTTTAGTGATGTAGTGCGTACAAGCAGGATTCAAGTAGGTCTCTTTCTGCACAACTGCAGCTCAGTTGTACGCACTACGCCATTTTCCGCCTCAGATCTGCACCAAATATGATGTAATCACGGAATTCCGCCGTGACAGACACCCATAGCAGAGAAGGCCCCAAGCTGCACACTCTGGTTTTCATGTACTCTTGATAATGCCTTTCAGTAGCTTCAGATAGATGGTGGGGTGCGACGGGTTCTTTAGAAGGGCCTTTGGCTGCAGAAGCGCACGCCTGGGCTCAAGAGGGTGTGTGTGGAAGGGGGGGGGGGGGGGGGGGACATGACGCTGTAGGTTCTTCTAGCATGGTTCGTAATCTCATTCTCACCGCAGGAGCCTTGGGCGCTGCTTTCGGCTCACGTGTCGGATATCTTTGGCTGCGGCTGTACATGCACCTGCTGGCTAGGCTGATAAGAAACAGGGAGAGCTGCATGTTTGTTACTTGGTTTCACCAGTATACAGGGTGGACTTGGTGGCTGGGTATGTACAAGACACTATCATGGGGTTGTGGTAGCCTGTGCTTCGAAGTTGACTCATTGCCTTGTAATGCCCTTGACTCCTCCATCCGCAACAGATTCTGTTCCAGTTCTTTCTCTACTCCAAGGATAGCATTTGCAGCGAGACGGACCAAGAGCAGAGGACGCCGCTGAATTCAGACTACGCTCAGCCAGTCGATTACAGCATTGTGGAAGTGTGAGGACATCCACTGAGCTGCTCGACTGCAGCATTGTGGAGATGTGGAGGGAATTCCTGCACTTGCCTGCTCATCGCCGCAGAATGTCCAATTCCTTGGTGAGAGAATTGGACATTTCTGAGGTTTCTTGTCCATTCTCTTTCCCATTTGGGCTTGAAGAAGCTCTAGTTCCGTGCCGCCCATCTCGGCAGCGCACTGCTCGAGTGCAGCATTGTGGAGATGTGGGGGAAATTCCTGCACTTGCCCGCTCATCGCCGCAGAATGTCCAATTCTCTCATTCTCTCGCCGAGGAATTTGACATTTCTGGGGTTTCTTATCCATTCTCTTTCCCATTTGGGCTTGAAGAAGCTCTAGTTCCGTGTCGCCCAATCTCGGCAACGCTAGTTTTTTTAATTTATTACGTTGAAATACCATTCTTACAGCAAAGTCTACCCGTATAGTCCGTTTTCAAGGTGAACATTGAGATGAGCTTTGCATCTTGTACTGACATATGTTCCACGATAGCAATGTCTAATGAACCCCGCATTTCCCCGAACATGAAGCTACTTTTGATCAAGTACGACTTACTAGTGGTTGCTGCTTCAGTACTCGAGTGAACACATTGAGGCGACGGGACTGTGGCCTGAAAGCGGGGTAGTGTTGGAAGCTGTGGCCTTAGTAAAAAGAGAAAAAAAGAAAAAAAGTGAATTTAGGTAGCTAACATAGCACATGCAGGGCTGCACTGTGTTCCCTGAATGTGTTTAAAAAAAGTTGGGTTTTCGGCAGGGGCGGGAATTAGAACGAGGCTGTCAAGTGCAGTACGATGTACAGCAATGTGGAAGATAAGGCTCGGTGCGCTGGATTGTGCACATTCACATCCTGCACTGGCACGTATTGTGTACAGCAATGCATGCGTCGGTTCAACATCACATTTCGTTGTGTACGCCGAAGTCGCTTCACAGGCAGAAACTCGACAGGGGGCGGCAATTGGAAGGGGGATCAACGGTACTTTACGGTATAATTATGTGTAGGACTCCCTGCATCACACTGCATGCTGCACACTCCATGTCTTGTTGACATAATGTAATCTTGTGTGGTCTTTTGATTAGTTGTTGTTATGAGCTAACGTTAGTGTCTTGGTCATGTAAGGACACTTGCTTGAAATAGGAGTACACTAACTTTGTACATGTATTGAAACGGAGATGCCGGTACAGAGTTCTAGCCAGGTCAATATAGTAGGCGGGCGGGCATGGGAAAAAGTTACCCATGACCCATTTTTTTCCATTGTCCAAAATTGTCTTGCCATGCAAAATGTAACATACGGGGTGAACCCCGACTTCACCCCTCACAAATGTGCCTTTATGAACCCTCTAGTAGTGACTATCGACTGTATTTTCGTTGAATTGCACAAAAATCGGAAAATGAGTAGGGGGGGGGGGGCACTTTTTCACAGGGGGGGGGGGGCGCAAACGGAGTAGGGGGCGCTGCGCCCCCTTTGGCTAGAACCCTGCGGTAAGATTAATGCGGATAATCGGATAATCTGTGTAGGCATGTTATTCAAGAAGCTCCAGCATAATTTTAAGATTATGCTGCAATGATGTGCATGACATTGTACAGTTCCGGACCATGATGACTATGACAGCATGCCATGCAATGTCATGCACAGTCAGTGAATGAGGCTTTCCAGAATCACATACAGAGTGGCATACATCGGCTCCTGTACTTGCAACAATTCCCAGTATTATTGCCATTCTGCCCAGACCACATCGTGCACTGCATGTACACTAATTGTAGTAATCCGTTGCCCAACAGGCACACTGGCTGCCATACGGTGATACCTTCGCACTAGCGAGGTCACACCAGAGAGCCCATACAGTCATACAGATTGATTGAGTACCTATACATACATGCATACATACATACATACGGTCGGTTTACGCATCTGACGGCTCTAATAATGTGTATGTACATCGAAGTAGAGGTACTCATCAATCTGTGTAGGTATGTGTAGGGCTCCCTGGGTCACACCATAATTATTATGATACACAAAAACACTGCAGGTGAGTATTTCAATGTGACTACCACGCAACGCAACAGTTATCATGTTGCAACAACAAGAGGAGACTTGCAGAATACAGCTAGGGATGAACCAATGACTTGCAGTGTAAGTGGCAAAACAAAAAAGAAGTGACAACGCTAGCGAGTCATCACAGTCATGTAACATGACATCATCCAAATCAACGGGGAGAAAAAAAACCGAAGAAAGCAAAACACACACACACACACACACACACACACACACACACACACACAGCACTGGCTTGCAAAAATAAATTGTCAGATACAGTTGCACCGGACTGTTATACGGGCGCAGGGATGAGATACAAACCATAAACTGACCGCGCTGGGTTACGAAAACATGCTATCATGATCAAAGACCGCGCTGGGTTACGAAAACATGCTATCATGATCAAAAAGTGTAAGAACGTAAGCCGCGCGGCGTGGAGCTATCACACGGGGCGCAGGGCACCTCACACTGGAGGAGGGCTGTTAGTAGTAAGTGTCAGCAGAATACCGAGCGCCAGGAACGGCACTGCACGGGAGAATGACAAACGGAAACATTGCTGAACGAGGACATTGTCAAAAACGAAATGATATCAGACAATGATGCTATGGTGATATGCGCTTCGGTATAGTGTCATGCTCTCAATTGGTTGACGAAGCTGAACAGTACTAATCAACAGACAGGAATCAGCATGCAAGCAGATTCAGAGACAAGTCTGGGTCAATGGCAGACCCACGTGCTAGGCTAGACGGACATATTCAATGACAAACGGACGGTTGACGGGACGACCGGTCAAGCTAAGGGAATTTCACGCGCGCTCTCCATGCGCACCACACCTCGTTGCACAGCGAAGGAGAACAACGGCAGCTGATGCTGTGATCCTATCAGAGCACTCGTTCAGGGGAATACGTTGTGTAATATCGCTAAAAGGGTAGCCATGCACTAGCCCAAGGTGCTACACAAGCCTGACAGAGCAAAGGCAGTAAACAAGATGGGCGCTATGCCAACAGCAAAGTGTAACAACGCTAGTTTGTTGTCAAGGGAGGATCGCTTCACCCGGAAGCAACGCGTCTGTAATTTCGCACACGTGTTGCGCGGCGAGCGGCAACGCCAGTCCAAATGCCCACGGCGGCCGGCAGGTGATGGGAGGCTAAGCGGCGATGCGTAGCTGCCTCAGGTCTGCTGAGAGTGACTAGTTGTAACCGTGCTAGCAGCCGCTGGTGCTGTGGATATCGCGTGAGCCTGGTTGGGCGGAGAAGACACCGGTACACCCGTGAATGGATCTTCACAACAAGAAACACAGAAATAAACAAAACGCATATTCATTAATAGTTGTGGGAATGGAAAAGGGAAACGTCCGCTGACGAAAAAATAGACTGTCGCCACCAGGACTCGAGCTGGGGACCTTTGCTTGAAGCCAGCGATGCTCTAACCACTGAGCGAAGTTATGGTGTGGCTGTCATCAGTACACAGTACGCAATACACAGCTAACATCTACCGCAATTTGATACAAGACATTCAATAGTCCAAACGATGTGTGCTGGTGCACAAGACATGGTCATTGTACACGACCTCTCAGAGTGTTCAGATTCAGCTTCAAGGCCCTAAAATTTGTCATACAGTGGAGATTGGATATAAGTTCATATAACGACACTCCTTCGGGAGAGAACAAAATGTCACTATATTCAATCCGGCACTAAACCCGATCTTCGCAAAGGACTTACTAAACGACTTGGGCAACAGAATTGTGTCGCTAAACTCAATCTGTCGTTATATGCGCTGTTGTTATATCCGATCTCCACTGTATTCGTACAAGCCATGCAGCGTTACCCACGTCGTAAGTACAGTTCTGCCACATCCGATGCATTGACACAGTCACTGACTGCATGTGATCTAGAAATATAGTTTAATAAACACACTGAAAACTCTGTGTGTTGAGAGTTGAGGCTGCACCGTGTGTGATTCATCGTCTTGAATCTGAATTCGAACACTCTGAGAGGTCGTATACATATGCGCCAAAACAATCCCTTTTCGTACGGACTCGCCATACACAACACCAGGTGCCTACAGAATTGAAGTATGCATGTGAATTCAATACAACAGGACAGGGTGAGCTAGTCATAAACGCTTACCGACAGAGAAATCAGCCTGGGATGCAAGAAAACAACACAAGCAGAAAATAGCAGAGCAACAATATTAATTTTTGTTTGAAATCAAACTTTTCTACTTCAAAGTTCAAAAAAATCCCCCCCCCCCCCCCTGGCTCAGGGTGTACTAAGAAAGGTTTAACTCAGGGCACACAACATTATCCAACCGTTTTTTTCTTTCTTTCATTATATTTAAAACATTCCTTATTGGAGAGTATAACTTCCCAATCCTTTTAAAAAAAGGCCAATAAACTGGCAAAAATGTATACACATGGTGCTCTCGTGCATGCAGTGCAGGTCATTTTTTTGCAAGATACTGATAGTTCCCGGTTATAAGTCGAATCCCGGTTGTAAGTCGACCCCCACCCTTTCTCCTTCTATTTTTAGTCGTAAAAGGTCGACTTACAACCGGAAAAATACGGTAATATTCGCGTTAGGCTCTTCTCGCAAAAAAATAGCGAACATATAATAAGTCTCGGATGGAGAGCCAAGGATTAATCTATAGCAAAGAAAAGGACCAAGGAACAAAAAGTTACGCTATTATGTCCACTAACACCACCAGTCACTTCACAATCAGGTGACCGTCGGTCAAATTTGTGCAATGGTATTGCATGAGCTGCTTGTCAAGTGACTGGTGGTGTTGGTGGATATTATAGCGTAACTTGTAGCTCCTTGGTTCTTTTCTTTCCTATATATTACACCGCGAATAAATGTTATTAGGCAGTTTACAGCAATGCCAGCACAACACGTGTCCGGTTGCATGAGATATCACTTGAGACACACAGCATGCTTACCTGCTCCATTAACAGGTCAGTGGGATCGAAAAGCTGCACGGGATACCAAGCAGAAGTTGGATCAAAACACGCGCATGGACAAACACGCACGCACATACGCGTGCACGCACACACACACACACACACACACACACACACACACACACAAACATGGACATATTGGTCAAAATACAGATTTGATATTCACAAGTCAGTTTACGGTTATATACACACGGCGAAAGACCGGTGTCTAAAATCATCAGGCTAATCTGTGTCCAGTGGACAGAGACAGCAATACAATTCCCATACAGCAATGACACAGCCAAGTCCTGAAGGTGTCTGATTGAAGAGTGATTACAAAAAAATAAACAGCAAAGAAGGATTTAATTATAGGAAACTTCACTTCTCAACTCCACACTCCAAAAACGGTCTCTTCACTGCGATTCATATTCAAATTTACATTTAAACACCAACTTTTCGGGCCTGGCCCATCAGCAGGGCAATGAAGGATATGGTTGTGTAATTACTAATACACATACCGAAGAGCGCCACCGTTACACACAGAAGTAGGGTACAGCAATACACCGAATCCTAAGATGTTGCAAGCCTGAGTTTAGCACACCTAATGTACTAAATTAAATGACTAATATAAAGTGGATGCGAGCAGCACTGCCCACAAGGGACTCCAACATGCAGAGCAGAACCAGAAGAAGTAGCCACTGAATGTTGCCAGTGGACGTACCTCAATCTGATTGTGGGTACTGTACCCAGTGGATGTACATCATGTAATGTACCTCATTGTGAGGGGCACTAAACTGCCCCCCCCCCCCCCAGCTCAAACTAAGGGGCACTAAACTGCCCCCCCCCCCCAGCTCAAACTAAGGGGCACTAAACTGCCCCCCCCCCCCCTCACTCTGAGGGGCACTAAACTGACCCCCAGCTCACATCACCACCATCAAAGTAAAATAGTCAATGCCACGCATGCGCATACCTGATCCACCGTGTTGGAGTCAAGAGCGCCGGACAAGTACTTCTGCACGCCTCCAAGACCCAACTGTACATTCTCTACATGCTCTCCACAGGAGTGACTGAGAGAGAGAGAGAGTGAGAAAGAGAGAGAGAGAGAGAGAGAGAGAGAGAGAGAGAGAGAGAGAGAGAGAGAGACGCACACACACGTAGAGCGAAACCTCCTTATTATTATTATTATGGCACATGGCATCACTACTTCCACAAAACTGACAAAAGAATAGGAAAATTTCAATTGAAACCCGGTAGACCGAAGTGCCCGTAACGTCGGTGTCTGGATGACCGACGTATGAGTGTACTGTGGTCCCATCTGTGCCATGGAATTCGGCTGGATTAAAAACTCTGATTTACTGCTGCAATGGGCATAAAAAGGACATTTTGGTTGCTGAAAATTATGCTGGCTTATAGAGGGTGCTGGTTTATAAAGTGCTGGATTAAAGAGGTGGGAGTGTATCTACGGTACTTTTTTCAACACGAACTACTCACATGCACTTCGGGTTCAGGTCCTTTGGCGCAGTAATACCTAGAGCGTCCAGCAAGGCCGAGTCTGTTGTTGAAGTGACATCAGAGGAGGACGATGATGTCGTGGCCAGTGTACTGTAGGAGTGATTGCCAACAGCGGCGTGGGTCTGTGGCACACTGTTGGATTGTGTTGTCGAGGCAATGCCGGGCAAGATGTCCGAAACCGCGTGCAGAAAGTCCAAGTCGTCCTGGTCGTCGTCCTCAAGCTGTGAGCACACACACGCACGCACACACACACGCACACACACACACACACGCACACAATGTCAAGGTACAGTCTTTAAAAAATGTACAGTATGACTAGCGTACTTTCCCGAGTAAAAAGCCGCACCCAGATTTTTTGTCACGAAACACAGACATCTACTCGATCTATTACCGTTAATTTGACCGAGCGGCATGTACTCCGGAAAATACTAAATGTCAGAAGATGGCACTTCAAAGTACTGGTAATCCCTATTCACTTCAAGCAGAGACGCACAGTCATTCACACACTGACACGGCATTGAATGAAAGTGGAAGTCTAAAACAAGCTACGAAGTCACATAGTTAGGCGAGACCAAAAAAGAGATTCCCCCCCCCCCCCGCACCAAAATCGAGCCAAAGCCATTTTTTCATACATGTACATATTAAATAAACGAGAGAGCTTGGAAGCTCAGGGCCCTACGCTATGCTTTCTTGCCTTGATGAAATAGACAAAAAAAAGCATAGGGATGTTTTTTTCAGACATAACCTGGGATTCAAACCCGCACGATCGCCCTGCAAGCATCCCCCGATACACTTCGCATACATACTAATTCTTCCAAGTTGCTTCACGTTATGATCTTGCATTTCAAAGCCTTATTTGAGTATTGTGGCCAGCCATCTTTGATGGTACGGTACGGTACGGGACAGGTATGGGCGAGGGTAATACGACACCGTCTACCGCCTTGATGACCTAGGCAAAAAAAAGCATGAGGATGTTATAAATTTATCAATTCTCCTATTTTTTTTAAAGGCATCACCTGGGATTCGAACCCGCACTATCGCCCTACATGCATTCCCCGATACACTTCGCATTCATACTCATTCTTCCAAGTTGCTTTACGTTATGATCTTGCTTTTGAAAGCCCTATTTGAATGTTGTGGCCAGCTGTCTTTGATGGCATGGTACGGTACGGGACAGATACGGGATAGCGCCAGGCGTGACACAAACAAACAAATAAACACCAAATTAAAGCTGTGTGGACCCTGGCTAGCGCCAGCCGTTACTGAAGTAACGTCTTCTGCATAGCTACGGGAATAAATTAAATTAATTATGTACAGTACTGATCGTGTGAGTAGATCTGTGACGTGGAGTCAAACAAACCCGAGCTTGTAGGACTCCCTGATGTACAGATCAGGGCCATCGTTGGCCGAAATATAGAAAATTTGAACGGGTAAACCGCGTACCTGTTGTCTGTAAAGAAAATTGAATAAAAATTACCGGAAAATGCTGTAAAAAAAGTTCAACATGGCATGCACACATAGTCATGTACATACATGGGAAAAAAATAAAAAATAAAATTCGCCCGCCCGCACCAATTTCACATGGGTCCTGCCCGGGAATCTCGATTATATTTTGGTCTCGCCTTAAGTTAAGGTCTAAAATAAGGATATGTACATGCAAGCCACACGCTGCCCGGTGACTGTTATATGAGCATGAGAATCGAAAGAGTTGTAACTGCTTCCAAGCGGTCGTCTTCCATGTTTGAATGCTCAGCGTATTGAGCACTACTCGCCAGCTGCTGCTACAGTGTACGTCTCCATATGTACGCCTTGTTTGATAGAAAGCAGTTATGGTGATTGGTTGACAGCATGTTACACGGCGGAGTACGCACTAGTAGTAAAATGAGGGTCCGAACCGCGGCCAGACCCCGTACGGTTCAACTGGTCGTCAAGACCGGGGCTCTGCGAACCGATAATGGTTGTAGTCAGGAGCACTGTTTTCAACACAGTGCGTCCTCCGCCCTGTAACATGTTGTCAGCCCGTCACCAGTGTACGTCTCTGTACGTGCACACCAGGGGGGTCTCTGTCTCTGTACGTGCACACCATGGGGGGGGGGGGGGGTAGGTAGGCTTACCACGACATTGGAAGGCCTGACGAGTATGTCTTCACCAAGGCTGGTAGAGGTCATCGAGGATGGCTGGGCGACTGAAGCTGCGCGCACAATGCCACCATGTACACAGGAAAACAAAGCTGGATCAACAGTAGCATGCATACTTTCGGTATGGTATATGCTAGGAAAAGGCCACATGATGGCTCCTGTACAGTCCAGTTTCAAAGTGCATCCATAGAACGTAAACTCTCCATGCCAAGTCAAATGTGTCATTAGCTGTGTGTGTGTGTGTGTGTGTGTGCCAGCTAGTTCGGTTGGTGGGTGCACTTGTGCCAGATAGTGTTGGGCCTGTTGCCAACGGGCTCGGCTGCTTGAAGGTGTATTGTTGTACCTACCACCTTTGTTGGTTTCAGGGTTCATATACTTTCTGTTTGAAGTATACATACCTGTTAACCATGGACTGCTTCTGGCTAGATTAACTCTTGTGTAATCAATGGTGCTAGTGAAGCTTATATCAGATCCACTCTGATTTAGCCACCGACACTAGTACCAAGTATTACCTTCACTGGGGGCAGGGGTACCTGCAGTTGGATCCCGGGACGGATACCCTGATGCCGTCAGTCCTTTTCTGCACCTTGTCCTCACCCACTTACTGAGGTGTGGTGAGCCCATAAGTGGGATCATTTCAAGTCCACCCTAGTTTGGGGATTTCAGGGGGTGTCGGTCGTTGGGTGGTTCAATGGCCAATTGAGTCATCTTTCCAAGATTCCTTTTGAGTCTCTCTCCCCTCTCCCGGGGAGACCCACGTGACCAGTTTTGGCAGTGAGCAACAAGTACAAGTACAAGTACAAGTGTGTGTGTGTGTGTGTGTGTGTGTGTGTGTGTGTGTGTGTGTGTATGTGTGTACGGGCGTAAGCGCATACGCATGCCTCGCCAGGCTTCTGTTGGGTGCGAAGCAAGGAAAAAAGTTACATGAACGATGTGGTTCATTTGCAAGATAATCTCTTTGCTGTCATAGCTAATGCAGTACAATGGGGAAGGCCTGTGGGAGGACTGATGGTCAGACGATCTAATTTTAGTGATTTTAGCAAAATTAGTGTTTTCGCTAAACTTTACCGTTGCCAAATGAGAACTTGTATACCCCGGACCAGCATCCACTTTATTGTTTTTTTTTCACTGGGTGCTAAAATTTGTCATCGCAAAACCGAGCTGGTTCGGAAATTTCTAAAAATTAAACTATCCGGTTTTCAGCATAAACACTGGGAAAAAAACCCCGAGTATCAGTACAAGGTACAGCATACGAACTTACAGGCACCCACATACTGGTCAGCGGAGAACTGAGGGTCCGCTTGCTGCATCAATTGCTGCATTTCCTGCTGCAACAAACAAGGCAGAAAAGACAAACACAATAAGAGTTTTAGCGAGTGTTACTACTCTCCTGGAGAGAAAGAGAGTAAGAGAGGACTAAATGATTAAAATCAAGAGATATTCTTCTCCTGAATGAGAATGGCTGACTGGATATAAACTAATAGTACATCTTGAAGTATAGCATCATATGATCCTCGACCCGATGGTGGATGATCTTCTCATCACCTTCCTACAGCACCTCACAGCATATTTACTCAATGCGCGTTGCTTGCGTTTAGTCTACTGTTTCACCCTGAAGATGGGCCAAGCTCGAAAATTTGGTAAACATTTCAAGTGACGCCATCTGCAGCAAAGAGTCTGTGTTAGAGAGTTAGGATTGAGGAAACCTAGCGGTAGACGATGTTCAGAATAGATCTAGATCTAAGCTCCTCTGGACCAAAAACCTTCCCATCTAGATAAGTCCACCGATTACACGTGTGACCAACAGTAGATAAGCTTATGTACTCTTGGTATCCCCAAGAGTACATATATAATTATTAATTATTATTTTGTAGAAAGGAAAAGGACATATGGGTACGAGTTAAGAGTAACTCTCCATCACTGTAACATGACACTATATACAGTCAGAAAGTGCAATAACTAGGCACAAAACTGACAGAGTATACTGAGACATTCGACGTCCTGACACCTAGCTTCAACACATCTCCGTAGTGCTAACCGGCAGCCTTCCAACTTGGAAGGTTCAAGGTTATAGAAAGACCAAAGAGGGGAAGGCAAGCGCAACGAAAACGAGCAAAAGCTAAAGTCCCAACGGAACAAAGAATGTCGATTGTTACTGGACGATGACGAGACCAGTACGATATTTGACCAAGCGGTCTAACTACAATTCGAAGCAGCAAAGCAGCACACCACCCAACTTGGGTGGGTCATAAATATCAAAGATAAGTAAAGAAAGGGGAAGCTTTGCGAAAACGAATTGTACAAGCCGAAAGCCAAACTCCTACAGTACTCCTCATGCATGACATTGTGATGAACCATATGTCCTTTTCCTTTCTACATTTATTTATGGCTCAACATCCGAGTTTCAAATTGCACACCTGATGAGCCGTCACGCACCAGACGGCGAAACGTACGTCATGTGAAAAAACTTGTTTTGTAGTCAACTAGTCCATCACAATGTCATGCATGAGGAGTACTGTAGGAGTTTGGCTTTCGGCCTGTACAATTCGTTCTCGCAAAGCTTCCCCTTTCTTTACTTATCTTTGACATTTATGACCCACCCAAGTTGGGTGGTGTGCTGCTTTGCTGCTTCGAATTGCAGTTAGACCGCTTTGTCCAATATCGTACTGGTCTCGTCATCGTCCAGTAACAATCGACATTCTTTGTTCCGTTGGGACTTTAGCTTTTGCTCGTTTTCGTTGCGCTTGCCTTCCCCTCTTTGGTCTTTCCATAACCTTGAACCTTCCAAGTTGGAAGGTTGTCGGTTAGCGCTACGGAGATGTGTTGAAGCTAGGTGTCAGGACGTCAAATGTCTCAGTATACTCTGTCAGTTTTGTGCCTAACGTTAGTTATTGCACTTTCTGACTGTATATAGTGTCATGTTACAGTGATGGAGAGTTACTCTTAACTCGTACCCATATGTCCTTTTCCTTTCTATATTTATTTATGGTTCAACATCCGAGTTTCAAATATATTATTTTGACTAGTTTATTCATATTTTAATAATAGGGCAGTTCCCACAGACTCAAGGTCTTCTTACGGGGTACCCTAAGAATGAAAGTAATGCATGGCGAAATAGAGATGGCGATGCAGCAGTGCGGATATCAGATGGAGCACTATTCCATCTGTCTGCAGCCAAATAAGAGAGAGAAAACAGACCGTAGCGTGAATAAACTCGGGGTAAAACAGATATATAACCCCCACAAGAAAGTGAAACTTCAGCCATGGGGTCTGCGACGGTAGAACTTCACATCACGTGACGAATCCGTACACGTTATTTGCACCCAGTGCACGATAGATACAGGGCTGTACGCCACGGATAAAAAAAACCCGTTTTCAGTGCTCCCTGCTGTACGCAACCCTGCTTTGGGTCCAACTCTCTTGTGGTCACGTTGCACTGTTTGCCAGCGTAACCTTTTGAACCATGTCACGTGATGTGAAAATCTGCCATCCCAGCACTGTATAGTCTATAGAGGTTGTGCAGGCAGTCAAACACTCTTGGGGATCATGTACTAGTACTCTTGGTATGGCCAAGAGTACATAACCCCCCCCGAGTGAGCAACGCCTGAGCATGGCCAAGAGTACATAACCCCCCAGAGTGAGCAACGCCTGATCATGGCCAAGAGTACATAACCCCCCCCCCCCCCCCAGTGAGCAACGCCTGAGCATGGCCAAGAGTACATAACCCCCCAGAGTGAGCAACGCCTGATCATGGCCAAGAGTACATAACCACCCAGAGTGAGCAACGCCTGATCATGGCCAAGAGTACATAACCCCCCAGAGTGAGCAACACCTGATCATGGCCAAGAGTACATAACCCCCCAGAGTGAGCAACACCTGATCATGGCCAAGAGTACATAACCCCCCAAAGTGAGCAACGCCTGATCATGGCCAAGAGTACATAACCCCCCAGAGTGAGCAACGCCTGATCATGGCCAAGAGTACATAACCCCCCAAAGTGAGCAACGCCTGATCATGGCCAAGAGTACATAACCACCCAGAGTGAGCAACGCCTGATCATGGCCAGGAGTGCATAACCCCCCAGAGTGAGCAACGCCTGATCATGGCCAAGAGTACATAACCGCCCAGAGTGAGCAACGCCTGATCATGGCCAAGAGTACATAACCCCCCAGAGTGAGCAACGCCTGATCAAGCCCTGCATAGGGTCTTGGTCGAGCATAGTCGGATCTTCTGCTGTCATGCGTACGCTCCACACCAGCGCGAGGCAGGGCACCTTCGCTTTCGAGTCGAGAGCTCCGGGGTATTTTTGGTGAAGAAAAGTCGCGCTGGAATGTACAAACTGTACGGGTGCTAGAGGGTCGTGATATTATGTGTATCAATCTCGTGTCCCGTTCGCGACCGGGACGGGCGTGCCCGGAATCAGATCTGTACCGTATTATGACGCAAAGATCCGATTACGTTTGACCAAGACCCAATGCAGAGCTGGATCAGGCGTTTCACACTCTGGGGGGGGGGTAATCTATTCTTGGCACGACACATAAACGGTGCACCTGGCACAGTTTCTTCTTGGTCCTACCAAACTAGTCGGCAAAAGGAACAATGCTTGGTGGGCACATGTAAAGCAAAAATAACTAAATACTGACCGGAGTAGTCAGGCTGCCCATCTTGTAGGGTGAGCCGTCGAGCTCGCCGACTTGCGTGATGGCCAAGTGCGGACGCTTCATGGGCAGGGAGCCCTGCGTGACGCACTGGCCGATGAAGCCGAGGAGCTTCTTGATCACCGCGTCCTGCTTGGTCACCTGCTGACGGAGCGTGAGAACTTCAGTCCACAGGCCGTCCTTGTCGCTGTACATGAAACACACACGTGCACCCCCCCCCCCCCCCCACACACACACATGCACGCACGCACACGTGTGCACGCATGCACAAGGAAAGCACGAGAAGAATGGCAACTCAGCTTTGACAAAGTCGAAAGAGACAATCCAGTCACAGAGACAATCCAGTCAAAACACTTCTTGCTGCATAAGGTTGATAGTAGGGAGTTTTAGCAACTCGTAAACGAGAACGAAACGAGTGAGATACATGGTTACGTTTGGTTGGTCACATTCCCAAATGGGAATCACTTGGAATCACTCGGAATCATTCTCGCCCGTTTGGTTGGTCAAAAAAGTGCGTTAGGTTGGTCACATTCCACATGATTCCAGAATGGGAATCGCTGAGAATGATTCTTTTTGGAGAATGATCATTCCACCTCACATGCTGGAATGAGCATTCTCATTCCGGAATCAAAAATGATAATGGCTGCCACGAGCCAAACAATGTAGCAACAGGTTCAAGTGCCTCAAGTCATGCACTCAGAAGTACCATGACTCTCTCAAGGAAACTAGAGTCGGGTAAAAGAAAAGACAGCCGCCGTTCCACAACGACATCATGGAATTGCTATGTCAAGTGATTCCTAATTGATTCCGGTGCGTTAGTTTGGTCAGGTGATTCTTGCCGATTCCCATTCCAGAATGGTTGTCATTCTACACTGATGTCCATAGTCGATATGCGCTTGCACGTTTTTTGCACTGATGCCCAACCAAACGCAATCTCAATATGCATAATGCACGTCACTGATGTCCATAGTCGATATGCGCTTGCACTTTTTTTGCACTGCAACCGTGCGCTAAAATGCATACCAACAGGAGTGCGGATCCTGTCCAGGTACCACAGCGTGTCGTAGAGGAAATCGAAACAGTTTGGCGCAATCGTCGCGGCTGAGCTTGTCTAACCCAAGCCAAAGAAACGTCACAAATCATGCCGCTCAACACGATCTTCTGCACCATGATCAATTCATCCAGTCCAAAGTAAACTACTAAAGCAAGACTATTTCGTCCTCATCAATGATATTCTCGCCGTATGCCAGAAGATGGACACGAGCATCGAAATCATCCACCAGCAAAAGAAAGCAACAGCAAGGATTTGAACTTCAAGTTAGTTGAAGCTTTCCTCTTCTCAAATCATGCTCGGCTTTTTGAATAAAATCTCCACGCCGCACGCGCGCTGCGCTGGTCGATGAAATAAATCAAAAGAAAGAACTCGTATGCCATAACGAATCAACTGCCCTTGATTCGTACAGCACGAGCTCCGATTGCAGAGCGAAACGAGACTCGAACCCAGGCATCCGAGTCGACCACGGACAGGGAGCCCTACATAATACAGTATGTGTAGGCTCTCTGACCACGGACTCGTAGATCTGCGAGCTGCTGTGACTCATGATGACGTCATCACAGTGCAGCAGTGTGACTCATGATATCATAGCAATGCAGCAGTGTGACTCATGATGATATCATATCAATACATGTAGCGTAGAGATATATAGGGACCTTTTTGTTGCATTATGCTCACCGAGTTAGACTCGACAACGCAGACACGACCTGATCCTGACGGCTCTTTAGCTCATGCAGCGACTTCATCATGGTGCCAAGCTCGTCTCGTGACATTTGAACTCCTGGCTGGACAACTTGTGCATTGCGTGCATTCACCTGCGCAGAAGAAAACCAAACCAGCCCACAGAACAACAGTTTTCCACGCAGCCAAGGAGAGGCTAAGAACACGTCATCAAAAGGTCATCATAAGAGTGTGCAGCTCTGCGTGCCGGTACGGGTGTTTGATGGCGAAAACTCACACCACATCAGAGTTCTACCCAAAGGGGAACACTAATTGCACCCCACGCAATGTGAGCTTGCGCCGTTCGTGTGGCCATCACTGCCCATCAGGCAAACCAAGGTGAAGCTGCACACTTTGCAATTATGTGCTCTCTCTCTCTCTCTCTCTCAAAGTGTGCCTGTACAGAGAGCAGGCTGTGGAACAATGGATAGCAAGAAGGTAAACAGCTGAGAGAGAGAGAGAGAGAGAGAGAGAGAGAGAGAGAGAGAGAGAGAGAGAGAGAGAGAGAGAGCAAAAGAGAGAGAATGGACGGAGTGGTGGCTACTTCATAATTAGTAGTTGTGGCTGGGAGAAAGTACCATAAAAGTCCGTAAATAAGTACGTATTTACTTTCGAATTTAGTGACCGTACTAACTTTCGGGTGGGTACTGACTTTCGGGCACGAACTAACTTTCGGACCTGATTTGTGGGTAGTGGAGAAGTCATTTTCATGTCGATGTACATGCTACATGCTGCATGTGCGCACGGTATCAGTACTTATTTCGGGCAGTATGTTTATCGGGCTTGACTTCAACAGACAGAGCAAAAGAATGAAGGGGGTATTTCTTTCGGGCAGGTACTTATTTACGGACTTTTACGGTACCTTTCGTTTGATTTGGTCCAACAGTTCAGGTTTGTTCTGGACGAAGGATGGATGCGAAAAGCCAATCTCCTCTCCATTAGCAGTTAGGCCGTTTTCCGTTGCCACGAGTTTGTGGAACCCATCTGGATGAATAACAAGTTCACAATGAAAACACGCTATCAAGTAGGAGTTGGAGGGGTCCAACGGCAATCACACACAATGCCTTATTAACGCACAACGTTGAGAGAGACAGAGAGAGACAGAGAGAGACAGAGAGAGACAGAGAGACAGAGAGAGAGAGAGAGAGAGAGAGAGAGAGAGAGAGAGAGAGAGAGAGAGAGAGAGAGAGACAGAGAGACAGAGAGACAACTAATAGCTTAGATAGGAAGCACGCCCTACAGGGGAAGCATATAAGAGTGAGGTAGCAAAGAACATTGCAACTACTATAAGTCGGCGTGCAGCACACTACATTGCACGTCCTGTCACTTACACATGTTCAGCTGCCGTACAAAGCTAGAGAAGTTCCTGTGCTTGAAGTACTGCGGCAGCACGGTATGAGCAAACTGCTCAGGTACCAGCACAAAGAATGCTTTGCCATCCTGCACGGTAAAGAGAAGAGTAGAAAATAACACAGCATAGCACGCACACACACACGCACACACACGCACACACACGCATGCACACACACACACACACACACACACACACACACACACACACACACACACCATGTACCATGTATACGCCCGTCGCAAGAGAAGCACGCAAATCTGCAAATGCACTGGATGTGCACCCACAGATTTTCTCTTTATAGCAACGATAGCGGATCTGATTCTGATTGAAACAGATCAAGACAAGCGCCAGATAACTGTCTAATCCACACAACTGGCGAAGCCATGTGAATCGACCCCCCCAATGCACACCTGGTGTACACCACACAGAGTACATCGGAATAGGACGGCCAAGACAGTTACCTGTGCACACCCTACACTTTCTGGGGTAACCAGTATAGACAGCACGCTGCTTTGATAAAAGCAGACACTAGATGCACTGGTACCTTGAAGTGAAATTGGAGTTATTTTACCAACCAGCCACACACAGGCACACACGCGCGCGCGCACACACACACACGCACAGACACACACGCATGCATACACACACAAGCAAGGACAGACGAACATCATAAGGGTCAAGAACCAATGGGTTGGTGCATAGCAGATTCACAGAACCGACAGGCACGGCCTTATGTCTTTGCCATGAACACAGCACATGTTCAAAATATGTATACTTGACTGCATTCTCAGCAGGAGGTAATCCTCTACAGACATTGTCTTTCACACACAGCACTGTGCCACACAGCACCAAAACCATGATCATATATGGATGGCGCTGCAGTGCAACACAAAATCTGTAACCATGCTCAAACATGGAGGCCACTGCAACGCCGGAATTGTGCAGTATATGCACAGCATTGCCATCAGAAAATCCCTACTACTGGCCGTCTGTGGTGGAATGGTATCAAGCAGATCATGCAAGGGGTACAGAAGCCAACCCACACCCCGCTACTAGCTGCCCAGCCATTCCGAGATATTATTCACTCCGAGACAATCTAAAAACGACACCAGAGCCACAATTGTAGTGGTTCAGCTCGGTTGATGACCTATGATTCCTAGTGACCTTGTACATAAGGGTCGTGAACATGTAATAGGACGCCTGAATTTGAAGATCGCATTTCACACCTTGCCCAACACCCACTGTGTAGAGAGCATTTGCCACTCCACATCTGCCAGTAATCAACCAGTGCTACCCTATTCATCTCAAGGTCCACCGGCTTAGCCATGTGTCCTGGGCCCAATTGTCATGCAGCGCGAGTATTCATGGCGAGGTCTGACTCACACCTCAAACTGATCAGCCCGGTGATCTCGCCAGTATACTCATACACACAACTGCCTGCCAGGAAATGGGCAGTAAACTTGTGCCAGACTCTATGAATACCCAGTACACGCAGGTATTTATGGTGAGGTCTGACTCACACCTCAAACTGATCAGCCCGGTGATCTCACCAGCAAGATCATACATACAACTGTATGCCAGGAAAAGGGCAGCAAACTTACTTGTGCCAGACTCTATGAATACCCAGCACACTGTGCACCACTCTCTCCACCTACATTCCTCACATACCATTGTGCTACCATGGCGGCGGACGTCATGTGATCCATGAAGGAAAGTGCAATGCAATTGCAACATAATAATAATATTCTGCAGTGAGATTTATGAGAGAAGATTTATGAGAGATGGTACATGCTCTGGATTCCTACTAGTACAAAGGTGCAACGCGGAGACAACATGGCATTGTACGACAGTAAAACCTAGGGCCTTTTATCTAAAGGAGTAGGGCACACCATTTCCCATCTGCTTACCACAAAACAGTTCAACTTTGAGTGATGAAAACATCCTCAGACTTTCGAATTTCTACAGCACACCCGGCACTTTTACGATAGGAATGACACCGAGAAAACCGTATGATGATGATGCAAACATACGCTGAGCATCACCACTGCTGATATCACTGATTGACAAATTTGATGAGATTCATAACAAACTCAACAAAACACACCTCAGACCAGCAGATGAGATGATCGTTGGAAGAATCGCACACAATTTGCCACAGCTTTTGAAGGAAGAACGGTAATGCTTCAGCTTCCTTGCTCTCCATACTTGTCTTGAAGGTAATCTTCCGGAGATTGCAGTCTGGCTTAATTCTAATCAACTCACAAACAAGGTCAATTATAAACTAACTTCACTTCCTGCTCTGAAAATGAAAATGATGAGAAGCTTGGCAACAATCGCCCCGGCCCCAGCTTTCCTGACGATCAAACGATCAAAAGTGTGATCACTGAACACTGTGATCAGTGAATCACAGAAATAAAAAGCCGAGTCATGTACAAATGTCTACTCACTGACTGCATGTACCGAGTGTACCACGCGTTATGTGCGTCATGCGGTTTCCATGCTTGAAATCGGCACAAAGCGAAGTGGATGTCCAACAACTTGCGGTGCACTGGCTGTTTTTACAATAAAACGGGGCATTACGTAGTCAGTAACAATGGCATGCGTCATCAAACTCTCATCTGACTGGGTACACACGCCCAAACACAGCAAAACGCAATTCGAATCCTCTGGAAACAGCAAACAGTCCCGTAGTCCAAGGAGAACTGGTACTGCAGTACTGGAGATCGAGACCCATGGAGTACATGACTTTGTGAAGCTTGAGTCGAGCATCGTCATCATCGTCACCATTTTTTTGCGTGGGCTGTAGAAAAGAATTTCTGGAAATCTTGACTCGTGCACGATCGATCATTGCATTCAGCACTCATTGTATTTTGCTCCAGTCAATATTTTGACTTGACAAGTCTTGTATTCGGCACGAGGAGAAGGATCTTTCAGCTATGGGGAAGAGAAAGCGCCGCTGGGTAAGTGATGTGGGCGGGGTGCATGTAACAGCAATGGAATTGAATTATGGTTCTAAATGGATAAGCGTGAAATGTTTCAAGAATTTCTTGTCCAAATCCTCAATCGCCCAGTGCATTGATGATGTACCAGGATTATATTCCAGAATAATTGAATGGTTGAGAATGAACTATTGCTAGCATATCATTTTTTGTGTGACTCAGCAGTGATAAAGGAGTGGCCTTTGGGTCAACAGCTGACAATTTTTTTGACACTAATTCGGGTGCATAAGTCATACAGTAAAATTCCCCAGTGGCTTTCCAACTCTAGCAATGATAAACAGGATACTGGTGAAACTGAATGTGCAACAATTAGCACAACACTGACTGGTGTGATACTGACATCTAACGACTTGATGCTTAGCAGCATCACGTCAGGAATGCGCAAACCAGCAACGTGAAACAACGCCACCCACCCTTGGGAGGCTCATGTTATCGAAGATACGCAAAGAGGGGAAGTTACACGCAAACAATGTGAGACAGACTGGACCGCACTATCTCTTTTCGTACTATTCTACATGGAGAAAGGCCCTTGACATGGACTAGCAAACGGCAGTAACAAGTAGTGTCACATGACGTACGTTTCGCCGTGTACATGCTGACGGCTCATCAGGTGTGCAGGTTAGATTCAGATGGAGAGCCAAGGATTAAAAAAAAAAAAAGAGAGGACGGAACAGTTCACAAGTTATCCAGTGTTGCCGTCCTGTGCCGTGGTCCGCATGAAGGACAATAGATACTTGAGAATCTTCATCGGAGGCATCCTCCTCACTAAGAGCTGCTGATGCATGTATCGCCTCCATTTCACAAACAGACTCCAAGAACAACTAAAACAACTGCTTCTTGATAGCTCATCACCACATGTTTCATCACATGTGCCTTTTTCGGGCTAAGATTTTTGATAATGCCACTGTAAAACGGGCTTCTCCTGGGCCGTGTACGATGTTTAACGTCACTCAGAGCCCCTGTAGGAAAGTGATCTGTGTCAAACCCTGCGTGGCGATTCACGTGTCTATATCTTCTCCGGTGGTGTGGGTTGTTAGTACTGTCTCAGAACCCTGGATATGACATTCTTGTCTTGCTGTGATCTTGTCCCTAGGGAGGAGGTGGTGCGTCCAAGCGCTCCCGTGATGGAGACGGCGCCGACGGACCGCGGCCAGAGCCCAGGCGGGCGGACAAGCGCGTTGTCGTGAAGGAGAACGAGGCGTTTGAGCGCTACTACAAGGCAAGTTCCGTGCTGCTTTGCAAGAACTGTCTGTAATTTGCCCCCTAATACCGATGAACAGTTACGTTGTGACGCCACTGGCATACATTTAGATCAATCGAATCATGACAGTTATGTGTCTGGAAGTCGAACTAGTTGCGATCACTGAAATCCGGCCCAAGGTGCAAAACTAGCACCCTGGACCAGTTCCGATCACATCACTTTAATTGCACATGGGTACGTCAAGCGGCATGCTACTTCCAGGGTGTCAAGGGCCGTGCAAGTTGAGGGTGCCAAATATGCACTTTGGGTCGGATTTCACCGAGCACAACTGTACATGAAATTGAGCATAATGTATTCAGATGTCTTCACAGGAGCAAAGACATGTAACGATGCTGTTTGTGCTTGAGCCCACTGTGACAAGTGAGTCCTGGACGGGAGCCGTGACATGACAGCATATGCATTCTGGGTATTCTTGTGCTCATGCATCTTTTCAGGAGCAAAAGATTGCATCTGAGTCCGAATGGAGCGAGGTCATGGAGACCTTCCGCACAGAGCTTCCAGTCGTCTTCCGCATTGCCGGTGTGCGTAGGTAAGTGGTCTGCTCTGCTGGTGGGCAAAACCTGCTCCTTGTGGTGTGATACTACAGTCGTCTTGTATGATAGAAAGTGTATTATCCCTATTGCTGCTTGTCTTATTTCCCTCCCCCCCCCCCCCCCCCCCCCCCAATCATCTGCCATGGTTGGCTAACACCCACTCTCTCTGATTTGACTGGTGTTCGCACTGCGCCTTGAGATGTTGAAATAAATAAATGATTTGTTGAAAGGTGTCGCTTGTGTTGCATCTCGCGGATTGTACCTGCACGTTTCTTCTTCTTTGCTGTCAATGTTTTGCCTTTCCCCAGCCTTGCTGAAGACATCAGCAAATGCCTGGAGGAGACCTACTTCACGGAGTTGCAGAACATTGAAATCGATGACTGCAAAGTGGATCCACCCAAGCCGCTGCCCTGGTACGTACATGCAGATTCACTAAGCACAGCATCCTGGGTTTGGGCGTTGTCTGCAGGTTATTTCCAGCTTGTCTGCTTCCTGCACTGACCTAGGTCGTAGTGTGCATGTATTTTGAACTGGTAACACAGTGTGCCTGTAGCTGGAGTAGTATACAATATCATCACCATCATCTTTTTGTATCATGTGTGTGCAGTGAAACTTGAAAGAAATCTGTGATTTATTGCCAAGGCCATTCATATCTGAGGTCGAATCTGAGGTCAACCGTATCTCCTTTTTTTTTTTTTACTTCTGACTGATTTACTCTCAGGTACCCTGATCGTGTTGCATGGCAGGTCAACCTGAGCCGGAAGACGGTGCGCAAGTCAGAGAAGCTCAACTACTTCCACAAGTTCCTCGTGCGCGAGTCCGAGCAGGTCAGTATAGCTTGACATGGTCAGTTTCTCGTTTAAAGATTTATTGGTACTGTACATGTAGTCCACTGCTTGGAATAGTGTGGCACTGCCTACTGGCCAGACAAATCCAATCTCATGAATAAAATAGCACCGGGCGATGCGCAGCCCTGGCACTACACACATTGTTCTGAGCACTCGAACGCGGCGCTACTTTATTCACGAGATCAAGAGTGTACAACTCTTCATTTGGGGTCTCCGACGGCGAACGCTCGCATCACGTGTCCCAGATACATTTTATACTACGTACAACTAAGGCTAGCGTGCGCGCAATCCGAATATCTGCCATGAGTTGCATACGCGCAGTGCATTTCTGTTAGGGAGTGCTTTTTTATTACTTCGCTGCTCGCTAAAAACGGACTGGAAACGTACAACTGGGACACTACACCATGTGATGTGAGTTTTTGTCGTCGGCGAACCCCATAGAAAGGGTATCAGGAGTTGCACACTCTTGGGGGCTTATAATACTCTTGATGAGATTGAATTTCTCTGGTCGGAGCTGTACTTTTTTGTGCAGACTTCATACACCTTGTCATTGTGATGTCATTATTACACACGTTGCCCACCAAAGTAGGTGTACTTCTGTGATCTAAACGCAGTGCAACCGCGTGCACCCGCTCATTTGTACGTGCCTGGTTTGTACACTCTACATCACTGTGCACCCGGCCTACTGAGATCTAAAACCTTGGCCAGAGAAACTCGACCTCATGAATATAAATTATTCATTAAAGGGGAAGTTAAGGCAAAAATTAAAATTTCACCAGTTGTAGTCTTCGGGGTGCTGAGTCGAATGGTCTTTCTCCGAGGAAGCTGAGACGCTCCCTTCCTACTTGAATCCCAATCGAACTCGCGCACTTCCACCAAAACTGGGTGACTGCGCCCTACTAGATGGGGATTTGTATGCAAAATGTCACTAAAAGCGCCATTTCGTTCTTATAAAAGCACGGATGACCGCGATTGGCCCATATGTTGTAGTCTTTTGGACGCTGAGTCGACTGGTTTTGGTCCGAAAAGGCTGCGATGCAGCGTTCCTCCTTTATTCCCAATCGAACATGGTTGAAGAAGCGGTCACGTGGTCCTGGGTGCCCAAATCACCTGGTCACCACGCCAGCAGGTGACAACTTTCACACCAAGGTTCAACTCGAGTTCAACTCGAGTGACAGGACTGCACCCAAAAAAGGTCAAACAGGCTAGTAAGTTGTACCCTGCAGGCACGGTGACCAGGTGACTGGTGTACGCAGGAGCACGTGACCGCTTCTTCAACCATGTTCGATTGGGAATAAAGGAGGAACGCCGCATCGCAGCCTTTTCGGACCAAAACCAGTCGACTCAGCGTCCAAAAGACTACAACATATGGGCCAATCGCGGTCATCCGTGCTTTTATAAGAACGAAATGGCGCTTTTAGTGACATTTTGCATACAAATCCCCATCTAGTAGGGCACAGTCACCCAGTTTCGGTGGAAGTGCGCGAGTTCGATTGGGATTCAAGTAGGAAGGGAGCGTCTCAGCTTCCTCGGACCACGACCATTCGACTCAGCACCCCGAAGACTACAACTGGTGAAATTTTAATTTTTGCCTTAACTTCCCCTTTAATAGCGCCGGGTGCTACACAGCCCAAGCACCCCCCGCCCCCATGCATTGCACTCGAACACGGCGCTACCTTGTTCATGGGATCGAATTTCTTTGACCAGAACTGCAGCACTCGGCATCACTGAGTACCCAGTATTGTGAGATCTAGCATGTCTGAAAGCAATGCACCAGTCAGTTCTTTTAGAACTAGTGTTGAGTTGTGCAAATTATGTTTTGTCCAAATGCCCAAACTTGTCGTTTTTTGCTCTCATTCTGTTGCTTCTGGCTGTGAAGGGTAACATCACTCGGCAGGAGGCCGTCAGTATGATCCCACCACTTCTCCTGGATGTCAAGCCAAATCACAATGTAAGTCTGAATCTGCACCATATCCTGCTGCACAACTCTAATGTGGTCATTTGTCTGTTTGCTCACGAGCCCTTTCTTGTTGCCTTCGTCGTGAATACTTCTTATTTTGCTCGTTTCTGTTTCTTATTGTGTTAGGTTCTGGACATGTGCGCTGCACCTGGCTCCAAAACTGCTCAAATCATTGAGATGATGCATTCTCGTGACGGCAGCGTACCAAGTAAGTGTGACGTGACGGTGCCAGGACATTATTTTCATGAACGGCTGGTGTCATCTTTGTGCCTTCATATACCGCATTTCCTCAGTACAAGTCTCACCTTTTTGCACTACGAAAAGAGGATGGTGCAACTTACAATCTAGTGTGACTTACTAGTTACTGATGAAGTGAATGTACTGAAACAGTAGCTCCCGGACCTGAAAGTTGTTGTACGACTTCTAATCGAGTGTGACTTATATTCGGGGAAATGCGATTGATGTTTCTGCGAGTGGTCTTGGTTGCCCTTCCTTCGCGTCGCAGTGTGCGCTGTACGCACCTGCATTGCCACTAGCAGCCAGATTGTGTCGCTGTAACTTCTTCTGTGATCAGATGTCGTACTCATGTGTTGTTGACAAGGAAAGGGACACGTGGATATGAGTTTTAAAGAGTATCCATGTGCCCCTTTCCTTTTTACATTTTATTCGCTCAACATCCGAGTTTCATGTGTTGTTCTTCCAGGTGGCCTCCTGGTGGCAAATGACAAGGACAACAAGCGATGCTACATGCTGGTGCATCAGACCAAGCGCCTTAACAGCCCGTCTCTTGTCGTGCTGAACGAGGATGCTTCCTGCATTCCAAACTTGTGCTTTGTAAGTCAGCCGGAACCAGGTCTGAAGGAGATCGCTCTGAACCACTCCAACTTCATGACATTGTACTGGCATGTCCTATTGTACTCGATCATGTGAGAATTTCAAGGGCACAATGATCTTTTTTTCGGATTTGTTACTTTTATTGATTTCTTTTGGTTTTCGTGTTCTTGTTATCTCTCTGTAGGATGACCAGCGGAAAGTCCCAATCCAGTTTGACCGGATCTTGTGTGACGTCCCGTGCAGGTACGGTTATCAAACGCCAGTGTAGCGTCGTGCACGGTGAAAGCCAACCCCACGAGTCGGCTGCCACTGGCTGTTGTAAATGCCTAACATTAGCAACATCGGATTGTGCACTGGTGCAGGGGCACTGACTCGCTCATTACTCTTTGTGGATTGCATTTCACGGTACACGACTGTGCACTCATTCTTCGGCCGTGTGTGTGTTTTCACGTATTGTATTGTACTTGTATCAGCACATCAATGCATGCAATGCATGACTGTATATGATCTGGTTACGTTGGTGGACAGTTTAAGTTAGAGTTAAGCTGTGTTCACAACTGGCGCGTGTACGCGTGAAACCACGCGTTTGTGTGTATTTTTGCTGGCTTTTGGGGCGCCATGCGTACGGAAACGCGCCGAAATGGAAATTCCAACATGTTGGAATTTTCAGCGCGTATCAGGCGCGTACCAGCGTGCATGCCAGTCACTTTGACTGACGGGGTCAAAAAATTAGTACTCGAAGGTGTCACACGCGCTAAATACGACTCGGATTGCTGTTTTTTGTGAAAGGCTGAGCGCGCGTTTGGGCACGCATGAACCGCAAGCGTACCGCGTACACGCGCCAGTTGTGAACACAGCTTTAGTCATAACTCGTACTCGTTTATAAGTCATAACTCGTTTTTTTCATCATGTTGTGTACAGTGGTGATGGCACGTTCCGTAAGAACCTCGAAGTTTGGCGTACCTGGTCTGCCACCAACGCCAATGGCTTGCACAGGTAAGTTGTGCCTGTGTTTACCTTCACTGTTGTCTCATGATCGCCTACTTGTGCGTGAAGCTCAGAGTAGCAACGCTTTCTTTCCCCCTTGTTGTTTCCCTATACGTACCAGTGGCAAGGTGACGGAATTGAGCAGCTTATCGGGCGGTTTGGGCTGTTCCGAGGCTTGTGTTTTGGAATGACCCGCCTGCTGTCCAGCCTCTCATACTTGTACTTTCCTGTAGACGGAAATAGTGCTAATTCTCCACCCTACTACCAAGGTAGCCTAGCGTCCTTTCTAGCAGAAATTTCCCCGGAGGATGTACCCAGTGTGCTGACAGTGCTCAACACCACGGAGGCAGAGCGTAATACAGAACAACAAGGACAATCAAGGCTTGTTTGCTGCTACTTCAAGTTTCATGCTCTCGCAATCACCAGGCAACACAGCAGAAATTTCAGTAGGCAGCACAATCCTTGCGTGGATTATACTCACGCTTGGATTCACACAGGTGCAGCTACTTAGGTTTCTGCTGTTGCATTGTTTTGCATTCAGACTCCAGGCAAGAATTCTGCGCCGTGGTCTGGAAATGCTGGCTGTTGGTGGACGCCTTGTGTACTCGACGTGCTCGCTGAACCCCGTCGAGGACGAGGCGGTCGTGGCCTCGTTGCTTGATCAGTGCCAGGGTGAGACGATTACGTGTGTGTATGTGTGTTTGTGTTTGTGCGTGTGTGTCCCGCGGCGCCCGTAGGCTTCCTGGATGTGCTGGTTGTGGTTGAATGGATGGTGGTGTTGCTGTCACATGGTGTTTTTTCTGAATTGCCGTACTTCGTGTAATGTCGGCGTGGATTTATTTTGAAATGAACCTCCTCTCGAGACTGGGTTGTCTTTCAGTACGCACAGTGTTGTCTTTGTCATTCTTCAATCTTCACTCACCATGTCGATACGCTTTGGTTGTGCACTGTTTTACCACAGGTTCTGTTGAGCTGGTGGATTGCAGCGACTCCCTGCCAGATTTGAAGCGCAGCCCTGGTCTATCTACGTGGAAGGTAAGCGTGTGCCGCTTGGTGTCCTGCGGACGTATTTGCTGATCTTTTCGCAACTTTGTGTACGCACAGGTGTCTTTAGTGCAGCGGCTGTAACTGTTGTGTGCCTGTGCTGTTTACATGCCTACGCTGTCGCATGTATTCTCCACTTCTCCTTTTGTCTTTATCGAGTGTACTTGTAATGTGTAGCTGTAGTGCAATGGTTGTTGTGTCGGATTGGCGAGAGAGAGTGTGTGGGCCTTCATCCATGGTACTGTTGCCATAGTGAACTCAACACGCTGTGCTTGCTCTCGTGGATTTCCAGCTTGCCTCTCTGGCTCAGTTGAGTGCTGATGGTTGTCTTAATATTCTTGTTGGATCATTCTGTTAGGTTGCAGTGAAGAACGGAGAACTCGTCAGCTCACATGACGATGTTCCTGAGGAGCTGAAGGAAAGCCACCCGGCATCGATGTTCCCACGCAATAAGCCAGACCTTCATCTGGAAAGATGGTGAGCTTTTGAGGAAAATTGTTTCACCTTCTGTCCAATACTGTGTGTGCTGGTGCGTGTTGCTTTTGTTTTGTTACCTTGAGTTGTTTTGGCTTTGTCAAAAAATTAGGGCTGCATACAATGCATAGAGTTACTGAGTATTGAAGCAGAAATGCCATTGTTCTGTGTCATGTTTCATTGTTTTTGCAGCTGGAGAGTTCTCCCTCATTTCCAGAACACTGGTGGCTTCTTCATCGTAGCGCTGCGTAAACTGGCCGTCCTGCCGTGGATGAGGAGTGCACCTAAGACCACTGAAACCAAGGTTGGCCATGCGCTGAACTTCTTTGGCTGATTCTAGTTACAGAGCTCCTTGTCTTGGTTCATTCTGCTCCGCTGTCATTTCCAGGTTTCTTTCTGTCTTGTACAGAAGGGTGGTGCTCTTGCGAAACCCAGTCTGTGTAATTGGCGTAGTTTGTGTGTTCAGTGCATCTGCTTGGTGTATTGGTGCATGGCATCAAATATACAGTTCGTACACCTCTGTCATGTTCCTAGAGTGGCTGTGGATGACATCAAAGATATCTTCCGTACATCTCCATGTAGTGTCACTGTGAGATGTCGAACTCCACCAGACTGACCTTGGGCAGTGTCTTGTCGTGTTTCATGTGCTGTTTGCGTCAGACCGAAGGCCAGGCTACACCACCGGCCACCGTTGATGGCGAGAAGGAGACTAGTAATGGTGCCAGCAGCAGTGAATCTCCAGCTTTTGCTCCGCGTCCTCCAGCAAGGTATGATGTACGGGTCCAGGGAGGCAAACACATTATCATGTTATCATTCTGAGTAGAATGTACTTTAGCTTGACACACGGCAACTTTATCTTGTGTTCTACGTGAAGTAACACTAAGAGGCTGAGCGAGATGTGGTCCACACAATGATCTGTAGACAGGTCATTGGTATTGCCTGTGGTTCCAGGAAGACAAACCAATCTACAGTGAAACCTGTCTAAGACGACCAGTCAAGGGACCTTCAAAATGTAGTCTCTGTTGCCAGGTGGTCTCCTTATCCAGAGTCGTTTGACTGGAAATAGCATCCCTTGATCCTCGTTACAGTGGTCTTCTGGGGCAGGTGGTCGCCTTATCCGAGTGGTCGCCTTGACAGGTTTTACTGTATCTTTCTGAGTAGAATGTACTTTAGCTTGATACACAAGAGCTTGATCTACGTGAAGTAATGCTAAGGCCTCATTTACACGACAACGATTGAAAAACGTTTTTCAATCGTTTTCGAAACGTTTTTGCTGTTTACACGAAAACGATAATCGTGTACACTGCAACACGTTTTTCGGCGCACAATGGTCACGTGCAATAAGTTGACCTGGCGCAGGCTGGCGGCGGCATGTTTTGAGTACAAGGCTCGTACTAGTAAAACGTTTTTGCCGTTTACACGAGAACGAAACGGAACGAAAACGATTGAAAACCCCTTTGAAGCCGTTTTTCGTTTGAAACGTTTTTCAGCGTTGTCGTGTAAACGCTCTTATCAAAATCTGTGGAAGCGTATTCTTTTTAAAACGTTTTTGACAAAAACGTTTTTCAATCGTTGTCGTGTAAACAAGGCCTAAGAGTCTGAGCAAGTTGTGGTCCACACCATGATCTGTAGTGTAGACCGTGTAGGGTGTGTTTTTTGCTAGTTCCCCAGGAAGACTTGCTCGTGATATGAATTTGAAGATGTAGGATGCTGTGTGTGCTTGTGTCTCCACCGGTTATATTCTCATCCGGCCCAATCCTGCTCTTGCTACTTCGAAGTAGTACAGTAAAACCTGCCCTAACCGGATGCCCTTGGTTCAGTGGAAACTGTCCTGATACGACAGGATTCCGTTTGATCGAAGGATGCACGTTCAGTCCACAGCACTTTGGTGCCTGAAAATTTGTCCGGTCAATACAGGATTCCGTTTGGCACAGTGTCCGGCAAACACGGTTCACTGTATGTGAGTTTAGGCAGGACTATAACTATCCGTTTGTTTAATACTTTACACTCTCGTGTTGTTGTTGTGCTCCCCGTGCTGGTGCGCAGGCCCAAGCGTAAGTTCAAGAATGCCTTCAAGGAGGATCCCTTCGTTTTCTTCAAGGGCGAAGAGGACCCGAGCTGGATTACCGTTCGGTTAGTCAAACTGTTCCAGTCTTTCTTGGTGTGCTATGTAATTTGTATTGATTGTGAATGTCTGTATTGAGCTACTAGTATTCGGCCTCGCTTGTTCAATGTATATTAATCACGATGTCACCATGGCTTATTGCGCTCTTGTATTGGATGTGGTCTGCAGGGATTTCTTCAAGTTGGGAGAAGGCATCGAACCACACCAGCTCTTAACCCGCTCGCATGGAGGTCGCAAGAGAGCGATCTACATGACGTCGTCCACGATCTCAAAGCTGATTCCGAAGAACGAGGATTTCGTCAAGGTACATGTACTGTGCAACAGCACTGTAATATGTTTCTGCTCCCTCTATTAGTTTCAATGCATATTCAATCTCTTTCCGTGCCTCTTGTTCTTTGCACTGCTCTGTACCGACGTTCGCAGTCATGTACTAGTATTTTCGACGTTCTCTTGATACTGTAGCCCCATTGCGCTTTGCCAAAGACGGAAGGCTAGAGTAATGCAAGTGAATACGCTGGGATCAGGAATAAGTTACATGCACTGTTCAACATCACTCAATGCCTTGGTGGCTGTGTGGAGTGCTGGTGGTACAGACTACGGTAAAACCTGTCAAGGAGACCACCTGTCCAAGAAGACCACTGAAACCAGGATTAAGGGATGCTATTTCCAGTCAAAGGACCCTGGATAAGGAGACCACCTGGCAACAGAGACCACATTTTGAAGGTCCCTTGAGCGGTCGTCTTAGACAGGTTCTCTGTATGCCCTTGGCATTGCACAGTGGGCTCATTGTCATGCCTGTGCTATTATCCCGTCCGTCCGCTACAGGTCATCAACACAGGTGTGAGGGTGTTTGCCCGGAGCACGCAGGCAGGTGCTGCCTGCGACTTCCGCGTCGTGCAGGAGGTAGGGTGAACAGTGTGGGTGAACTCTGCTTTGTCGATGTTGATGATAGCTGCTGTTCTTGCTATGTTGGTCCTGGCCATTGTTCTTGCTATCTTGGTCCTGACTATGGTTCTTGCTATTGGGCCTGGCTTCTGCTCTTGCTATCTTGGTCCTGGCTACAGTTCCCGTTATGGCGGTCCTGGCCTTTGTTCTTGCTATGTTGGTCCTGGCTGCTGTTCTTGCTATGTCAGTCCTGGCTATTGTTCTTGCTATGCCGGTCCTGGCTGTTGTTCTCGCTATGCTGGTCCTGGCCACTGTTCTTGCTATGTTGGTCCTGGCTGCTGTTCTTGCTATGTCAGTCATGGCTATTGTTCTTGCTATGCTGGTCCTGGCTATTGTTCTTGCTATGCTGGTCCTGGCCATTGTTCTTGCTATGTTGGTCCTGGCTGCTGTTCTTGCTATGTCAGTCATGGCTATTGTTCTTGCTATGCTGGTCCTGGCTACTGTTCTTGCTATGCTGGTCCTGGCTATTGTTCTTGCTATGCTGGTCCTGGCTACCTGTCTTGCTATGTCCGTCCTGGCTACTGTTCCTACTATGGCGGTCCTGGCTACTGTTCTTGCTGCTATCTCGGTCCTGGCTACCTGTCTTGCTATGTTAGTTTCACTGGCTAGTCGGTATCTGCGACGGGTGAAATTATAGGCTAGGTGTGATAGAGCATGCAGCAAACATACCGGGGACCTATCTGAACTGCGTTCGGCGCTGTATTAGTATTACATAATTACATTATCCAACTTATTGTCTTTGTGTGCTCCCTGCTCTCCTTGCTCAGGGTCTACATGCCATCTTGCCGCACATCAACGCCAGGCGCTACACGATCCTGGCCAGCGATGCACTCATGCTGCTTGCCAATTGGTCGCCACAGCTGTATGATCTCAGCAAGGAGCTGCAGAAGCTGGTCGAAGATGTCCGTAAGTGTCTAGCGAACTCTGAGATGTAGTGGGACTGTCGTACTCAATGAAGTTCAGCCTGGGGAAGTTGGCCCCCTGCAGTGCATCGATGCACGGATATCCACAGGGTTTGATAACGCTGCACAGTGCTTGTCACTAGCTGACTCATTAGGACGCATCTCCTTGTGCAGAACTGTAGGAGCAATGGTAAAATGCAGTCAACTTTGCGTATAACGACACTCGGCGGGGCATCAGAAAAGTGTCTTTACTCGCGAAGTGTCCTTATACCCGAAGTCTCTTTATATGCGTACAGTTGTTGTTGTTGAATTCTTTATTCTCACGATGGCACCATCACTAATAAGAGATCAGTTAGAAGGGACTTTGCTCTGGGCATGGGAATTCTGTCGTTATTCGCGAATTGTCATAATATCCGCAGTCGTTATTAGCGAAGTTGACTGTATTTTAGTTTGGCAGTGGATAATCACTGGTAGTATTTACATCGCAGTGACGTGACTCGGTGCATCATTCTGTACTTTACCAACATGACGCGGTTGTAGATCTGAGTGCTGGTATTGACATGCACCTTGTATGCGTTGTCGTCTCTCCCGTTATCGCGCACCAATGCTGTATGCGTTGTTGTCTCTCTCGTTATCGCGCACCGATGCTGTAGGCGTTGTTGTCTCTCTCGTTATCGCGCACCAATGTTGTAGGCGTTGTTGTCTCTCTCGTTATCGCGCACCAATGCTGTATGCGTTGTTGTCTCTCTCGTTATCGCGCACCAATGCTGTGTGCTGTGCATGTGCTTCTGCTTGATTTACCAACAGCAAACGGTTCTTGTGTGTTGACGCTGCCGGCTGGTTCGAAAAGCTCCACGCCCGAGGACTCCGAGGATGTGAAAGGGTACGGGAATTTGCCAGCTTCTGAATTGTCAATAGCAAATGTCTGTATGCAGTCACTATGTTCACTATATTTACGATTTTTTGGGGTGTTGCTTCAGTCCTATGGCCACAGTAGACTTCTGCAGTACCCAGAGCTGTCTATTCCATGCCAATGCATGTATCGAGAAACTGCTGGATGTGTTGCTTGGCACATACTTGTACCCAACTATTGGCGTGACGTCTGAAAGGAAGCTTGTTTAAAAATCTATACTGTACAAGCAAAAATATTCGTCTGGAATTTAATTTCGTCTTTTTCGTCCAAGGAGCTTTTGGACTAAATTAAGTGCCGGACTAATGTCGATTTGCCCAGCTTTTCAATACACTCTTGTGATCCATGGACGAAATTTTCAACCGGACAAACTTCCTTTCTTTGGAGTTGGACGAAATTATTGACCCACGAAATTTTCTGCCTGTAAAGTATCCGTTTTTTACTGGAGAAGGCTATCATTCCAAAGGCTGACTTCGTTATGCTGTTGTTTCTTTCTTACACTTGTAGGTTCTCAGCACGAGCACTGTCCTGCCCGCTTCACTTCAGCGCCTGGAAGAGCAAGTTCACAGTGAGACTGCTGGTTACAGCTGATGACCGCTCTCACTTCCTCATGTTACTGGGCCAGGGCAAGGTTGAGGAGATCCAAGCACAGGTGAGCAAACAACTCCGACAGTTAAAAAAGACATATGCATGGATCAGAAGTGCACATTCTTTTGGGGGTGTTGTCAATGGTGTGCGGTGTAGAAGCACCTGCATGTTTGTGATGAACTCTACGGATCAGGGACTGTAGATGGACATATTGATTTTTGCAGTTTGGTTGTGCTCAACAATGCCCCACAAGTATCGTTATAATGTACCTGCTGCAATGTGTGTATGTGCTCTGCTTCCAGGTTGAGGCTCAGATGAAGGAGCTGGCTGGCCGCCCGAAGAAGAACACTGATGGTGAAGACGCCCCAATGGAGGAAGCTGGAGCAGACGTGAGCTGTGCTGCGCAGCCAGAGAAAGAAGGGAGCACTGGCATTGCGCAGGAGGCCGCAGCGGATGATACTGACGAGAGCCCAGTTACCGCCGAGGCCGCAGCGGATGATGCTGACGAGAGCCCAGTTACCGCCGATGCCGCTGAGTCAGCAGAGTGAGTGAAGAGCAACGGAGTGACTGTATTTGCGACGATCCCCTGCTTCTTCTCGACGGGTTGATCACCCCGCACCGGAGACAGCGGCTTTCGGAAACCCACACGGCACTTTGTGTGCGTTGCGTCCTACCAAGCAAGCTGTATCGTGGCGTGCTGACTTTTCTTCAGTGCTCAAACATTAGCGTGGCGTCATGCTCACTTCTTTTACCCAGCCTTGCCACATACATTCATGTTCTTACTTGATGTATGTGTGCACATATGGTGATGATCTGACAGCTTTCAGCAAGCCTTTGTCATGTTTCGAGTGCTGGATTTATTTCCGTGTGGCCCCGACCCCCGGGTGGAGGACTGGGTCAGCCGGATTATTTTCTTCGTTGATCTCCCTGTACATGAGATTGCCTATAGAAATTGACTCTCTAAGAGTTTCGGTCTTTGAATTCCCAATCACTTCCTGACATCAGTTGCGGCAATGTGTGCAATTATGTCAGCCTGTATGCTGGGCATCAACAGCATTTTTGATTTCAGCAGAGAAGTTCTACAGTGTGATTTACTGCTTCAAAGCCAAAGTGGCCGGCCAGAACATGCTTTGCCGGAATTTAGTGAGTGATTCCTCATCAATCCTGGGTACAGTAGGGTCGCGTGCTGAAGAACGTCCAGCCTGAAATTCTAAGAACGCCACAGCCTAAAGCCAAGAACGGCAGTGTTGGTTTTCTGGCAGCTTGTGGGATACCGTAAAGTCTTGTATAAAAGCCGCACTTGAATATAAGCCGCAATTTTGGGCCCATCAAATCACACATAAGCCTGGTTTTCGTGTTGACATACATAGAAATACCTGTCTTGTATAGAAGCCTGAAAAATTTCACCAAGAAAGTCATAGAAGCCGCGGCTTTTATACAAGACTTTACGGTATATATGATCCAGTACGTATTGTTTCTAAGAATGCAGCCAGATCGCTGAAAAATAAGAACGTCCCAGGCTAACCCCTTGGAAACGACGTTCTTGGGCGCACTCCTCTACACTGTATACAGGATCGAATGAGATGAACAGGCATATGCACTCCTTGCATACTACTTCTCTCAAGTATGATAGAATGCAATCAGTTGTCTCGCATTTGGCAAAGGATGTATTTGAGAATAGGTGACAACATGCAAGAAACGAATTACACTGTAGATCTACAGCGCAGCTCAATGCAATGCGTTCAAGCGAGTGAATGCCACGCCGGGTGTGGTGCAGCCTACACCTGTGAGCACCGGGATGTGAACTGACGCAGGGCGCAAACTCAATTCACATGATCGGATTTCTTTGACCAGCACTGTACATGAATGGCACATTATACCTAGTACTGGAGCAGTCACCTTGTCTACCACTAAAGATACCCATGCCACGAATGATTATCAAGACTAGAAAAGCGAACATCCAGATTAGCAACACTGTCCGGAAGCTCAGCGCACAATACAACATGCAATAAACGAATTACATGTACAGTGCAGCTCAATGCAATCCGATGAAGTAGACTGGCTGGAACGTGTGATAGGGCCATTCACGTATGCCATCCACACTGCATGACACGCTCACATGTTCATGCGAACGGTCCAAAAAGTACAGCTGTGACAAGTGAAATTGCGCCTCATGACACACCATTGGACGCCCATTGCCGGCGATGATAGCGATGCTACAGCAGAAGCCATAGCAGATTGTGCTGGGATTGCACCCTTCAACAGCTTGCAAGGCTGAAGAATTGACCACCACTATTCAGCCTGGTCTACACCACACAGCTATGAAGTGGGTTTTTCTGGCCAGTGAATCCCTACTTTTTGGTCTTTTTCATTTTTTTTCACGCACACACATCACACCACATACTCCGGCATGCACTGGCTGTTGACACACACACACACACACACACACACCGCCCACATTGGGGTTGCACAGGCAGATACAGTGAACTTAACAAGACACAAATGGACAGGCAATCGAAATCAAGACTGCTATGGCAAGTACAATATACAGGGCTGCACAATGAACGGTCGCACGAGTCAAGTGCAGTGCAACACTAGACCTGCGAACACTGGGCTTGTGAAGTTCACAGACTTCAACACACACACGGTCAGATTTCATTGAGCAGCCCTGTAGTGCCTGATGACAACCCCCCCCCCCCCCCTGGCATGCTGGTAAGACCCCAAATAAGGAGGAGAAAGACAACACAACCTCCTTGTCGGTGGAATCCTGACAAATTCGAAATGCAGTAGCTCTAATACACAAGCTGCCAAAACGTACATGGTACATGTACGAGATACAACATACATTTTGGTAGGGTACTGTTATGCAGCGACACAGGTGTTTGGTGTGTGATGTGCTGATGCAGTGCAGGAAACAAAACTTGTGTGCCGTGGATACTTGGCAATGATCTTCTGAATATAACATCTGTCTGAGCGCCAGAGGTCGAATTGTCACAGATGAAGTTGATCCCAGAGCAACTATTTTAAGTATTTGGCAATTGGTCAATTCTATGTAACCCAGGATAAAGTGCATGTTTATCCTCACATGCCACTGGACAAAATAGATTGTCCAGTACATGTAGTAGGGACCCTGACAGTCTTCAATTGAAAGCACCACGACCAGTCCTGTCAAGAATATATTTGAAATCCAAACCGTCAGGATTCCACCTTTCTCTCAGACATGATGATTTACATTGCACAGGCTCTGGTTAAGTTGAGTTATCAGTTCTGATCGCCTCAGGAAAGAATAAAAAATGAAAAAGAAGATCAACCTCTTTTTGAATGGATACAAACGTACTACTTTTTTTGTGGAAACAGACGACACAATATTTGGACAAATTTTCAGCAAACTTCACTCCACACAGACTCAGCTTATTCGATAAGGTAGCCAGGGATCTTGATGCGGATGAACCAGCGCATCACGACAAATGAGACGATGATAAGACTGAAGGCGACGCAGAAATGCAGAATGCGGCTGAGACGTGCCATTCCGGGAGCATTTGACCTTTCCAATACGACGAATCCGAGACCACCGAGTGTGAAGAAGAAACTTGAGGCCAGGCCCTCCATAATGTACTGTCCATTTACACGATACTCCATAAATGCTACTGGCCTCTGGCGACCATGCTCGTCTGTCGTTGATCCAATGCTAGGTGGCTCCACGATCATGTCATAAATTACTCCACCGGTGACGAGAAAATAGGACACAAGGACCAAACTAAACACAACCATGGCCGAAGGCATGGCAATCCATCCTGGCTTCTTCAATTTTAGGTTAGGGCACTCCAGGAACTGGAAGGGGACAGACAACACCGCCTCCATCGTGATAGAAGTAGGAGAGAAACCAATTGTTTCGTTCTTCTCACCTACAACTTCTATCTCAACACACAAAATTTGTGTGACTGGACTCAGCGTTGATTGTTCTGATCCCTCAGCTAATGCCACGACAACCGGAGTTCGCGCATGCGCAAATGAAAATCTGAAACATGGCGTCGTTGGGAAGGCTTTCAAGCCGTCTTCTTCGGGGCTCCATCAGGGCTCAGGTTTGCAGTCCAAGGGTTTTGGGCCTAAGCGCTGCTGCCGAGAGGGATACAGAATGCCGTGTGTCGAATGGAGTCTCGATGTTCCGCCGCCACCTCTGTGCTGCTGGTGAGGCTTTCTATTGAAATTTAATGGGAGTGACAGCACTATGCATTATTGTAGCGCTCAGAGGTTCATTCAGTCAATGCGTGCAAGTACCAAAACAACACTAGCTGCACTGGTCACCAGTCGAAGAGAAAATCATGAAATGAACTGTGTACGCACCCTTGAAATCCCAATTTCTCTTCGCCCTGCTGGGCATACATGCATATCCATTCACCTAACGCGAGTGTATTGGCTCGATGTATATGGATTGGAAATTTGAATGGGATGTCACTCTCCCGAATTACATATCCTTCCATATTTTATTGCTTTCGCCACCTTCTCGTTTGGTAGTTCTTGGTCTGTGCATAAAAAAATGAATACAACACGAATAATGAAGCGGTTGGAAAACTATTCTGGTGCGAAGTAGTGGTTCCGGCGTTCTTCGCGCAACAGTGCTGTGTGTATCCCTATACATTTATCGTTGGGTCTATGTAGCAGCCGATCCCTACAGCGAGCCAGACAACAGTCGCATGATGGAGAACGTCTGTCAGAATCCGCCGAGCCGCGAGCAGCTGGTAAAGCTCGGCGAGTACGTTGCCAGCATCATGCCGAAGTACATCCAGGAAGTACAGATCACGGCGTGCGATGAGCTGGAGCTGCTCATCCACCCGGACGGCATCGTGCCGGCACTGACCATTCTCAAGGAGCACTCCATGACACAGATGACCCAGCTGGTGCATCTGACGGCTCTCGATGTTCCCAAGCGACCGAAGCGTTTTGAGGTATGCCGTTCGATTTGGGATTGTCGTGCATTGCTGCGAACACTATCGTATATGTATTATGACGATGTTAAACCATAGACAAGGAGCTCCGATGGTTCCTGTGAGCGGCTGCACTAAAGCAGGGTATGATGTGCAATGCAGCATTGCAACTCTTCAGTCAAGCTAGTCGTGGTAGCACTGACGATGACTGAGTGATCTGTGTGACTTCTGCCCAGTTGAAGCTAGTCGTGGTAGCACTGACGATGACTGAGTGGTCTGTGTGACTTCTGCCCAGTTGAAGCTAGTCGTGGTAGCACTGACGATGACTGAGTGATCTGTGTGACTTCTGCCCAGTTCATGTGCATCTTTACTTGCACGCCTGGTCACTTCTGGTGTGGATTTTTTTACCGCTTTTCTGTTGCAGCTCGTATACAACCTACTGTCGCTGCCGTTCAACAGTCGTATCCGCCTTCGCACGTACACGGACGAGCTTACACCGCTCTCGTCCGCAGAACCGGTGTTCCGGAGTGCTGACTGGTTGGAGCGCGAGGTATGTTATGTTGTACCGTTAAGCTCTTCTGAGAATTATGTTTTTCATGGTGTTATCACTGTACCTAGAATGTACCGTGCAGGTATTCGTGGACTGCGCATGCTGTAGGAATGGGCACGTGACTGTGGGAGACTGTACGATGCTGGTACATGCACAGTCGTGGCCAAAGAAATCCAACCCACGGGTCAAAACTAGCGCCGCCTTTCAGTTACATCATGCACGTTTCAAAAACCGACCTGAGGGCTGCAGGGGCCGCATGAGCATTGGCGTTGCTTTAGGCACGTGGGTCGGATTTCTTTGGCCACGACTGTACTTGCTGACTGACTGTGTTACTGTTGCCAATGCTTGCTCCCCCGTAGGTCTGGGACATGTATGGCGTGTTCTTCACCAATCATCCGGACCTTCGGCGTATTCTCACCGACTACGGGTTTGAAGGCCATCCGATGCGCAAGGACTTCCCGTTGTCAGGATATGTTGAGGTATGGTGGATCTAATTTGCTTTCATGCATCTACCCTGTTTGTGAATTGTATTGTTTATTATAGAGGTTAGGTGATTACAGCATCAGTCGAGATGTTTTGGCAGAGTCATGGACTCACACGGCGCTGCACTAGCGACTCGCGCTGTATACGTAGTGCCCATTAGAAAATCCGCTGACTCACCCCGTGAAATCATTTGCGTAACCTCTATACTTGTGAGTGCTTAGATCAGAAGCCGACTCGAGTATTGTTCTGGCATCTGCTAAGATGTTAATTTAGAGGAGTGTAATACCCCTGCCTTACATGTACACTGCTGCATCTACTGTGTTCTATTTGTGCACCTCACATGGCCTATATATGCGTTCCTGTTGCACACTTGCACCATTTGCAGCACCCATGAACTCCTGCACGTACTCCGCATCCTTAAACTCAGTACTTGTACTGGCCTTGTGATGATTGCACTGCTTGGACGGTTTTGCAGTATTGGTGCTGTTGCTGTGTCATTGGCTCTGTATTGCCACGCTTTGAACACTGCCTACTTTCCGTGTATGTCCGTTGTCTGTGCGGGTCTGTGTGTATGTGTGTGTGTGCGTGCGTGCGCGCATGTCATTTTGTTCACTTTGTGTGATCTACAGCTACGGTACGACCTTGAAGAGGAGCGTGTCGTCGCTGAACCTGTGGAGCTGGCTCAGGAGTTCCGCCGTTTCGACTTCAACCATTCGTGGGAGCAGTTTCCGCTGCATCGGCAACATGGACCCCCACCGTCTGTGGAAGCGGAGTCCACTTCTAAGCCCGAGGAGAAGAAATAGAGCTTGCTATGAATGATAGTACTGTTTGAACTATTTCCTTGTCTGTCTTTGTGGTGTGAAGTTTGAGAGCTGTTAGGAGAGCAGCAGGGGGGTGAATGCACCAACCTATTTATGTACGCAAGGACCATTTGGCTTGAGATTACTACTCGAAGAGCTGAACAAGGACTGGGGGCCTTGGCGGGGCTCGGGGCGGCTCCCAATAAGTTTGTGCATTCGCCCCCCCTGCTGCTAGGAGTGCTACTGCTTGTTATTTATGCTATAAAGAATTCCTCATGTACATAGCTGTTGCACTGCTTGCATGCCTGTGGTTGGTATCCATTGTGGTACCACTGTAGCTCGAAGTTGGATGTCCGAATAATTTTGCCAACGGCACTTATTTTTTTTTTTTTATGCGTTTGGAATGCTTTCTCTCCTTATTCCTGCTGATACTCACACTGTACAAATTGAAATCCACACATTTGGTATTTTCTGAATATTCTTTTAAATATTTACCATCATATGTAGTATTACATTTACTCGCCGGTTGTATCTCTCTTATTTCCAAGCATCTTAGCCTTTTTATATACCATTTTTTATTTCTTGTGCGAGGCTTGCCTCACTTTTAGTACCCCATGTTTCTATAGTAAATTCTGCGTTGATGTTCAACGATAAAGCGAATGCAACTTCTTCTTGTCACTTGTTTTCTTTGGGCAGTCCGGTGCATCATTGACGTGTTTGCTGTTTGTTAGCTTCAAAGTGCTTACAAATGCTGCAATGAACAACAGCCTGTCAATCCTGCACAGCAAGTCATACTCATACTATGAGTCATAGCGCTAGCGGCTGTGTGTGGGTGTGAGATCAGTTTGTTTGAAGGACCGGTACTCGTACATGCATACGGTCGACCTAAAAAGGCATGTAGTACGGAATCCCGTACGAGCTGCACGTGGAGTCAGAACATTACGGCGCCATGGCGGCGCTCCCATTCGTCTTTCTGCCTTTTGTGAATAATACAATCCTCGTTTTGTCACATGCACCCTAGCATAGCAGTCGAGCAGGTGAATCAATCAATGACAACAATCAGGATGTGATCGAGAGAAGTAAGTTCTTCCGATCGTGGCTTGTATTAAAATTATTCACCTGTTCCTTTCAGTGCCACGGTTCGTATTAGAACTAAGAAGTTAGAATCCATGTGGTGGTGTAGGGTGCATGCAGCGTTTCAAACTTCGAAATCCGAGCTCAGTGTATTGAGGCGATTCGTGTCTTGTTGTAGTCCTAATCAACACTCACAGAACGGTGAGCAGAAAGACATCATTGAGTCGAAGATGGCGTCCAACGATGAAGTGATGCTTTCCCCGACGTTCATTTTTTCTTCAGAAAATGTGAGTCAATTTTTTGACTGGATTTGCAGTAGTAAAATTCGCCCAATTTTGGTAGTCAATATATTATTAATATTTTTGATCTGAGACTGTGAGTATGAGAGGCATTCATGAGTTCTGTGACTTTATGAATACGTCATGTATTGCATGGTGTAAGACTTGCACAGCTAATGTCCTGGTCCAGAGGGGGATGCGCATAATAATTATTAATATGCATACATGGATGATGTCAGGAGCACTGAGCGTTCACTAATGATTTGGCCATTGGCATTGTATTGCTTCGTCTACCGTGCGTGTGAGCGTGCGTGTGAGCGTGCATGTGAGCGTTCTTGTGTGTGTGTGTGTGTGTGTGTGTGTGTGTGCGCGCGCGCGTGTGTGTTGCCACCATCCTCTCTCCTGTCCAGAACCAACAAACGTTCCTGGAGAACTTGGCTAGGGTGCAGAAGGATGGCATGTGCAGTGGGGATGTCGCCCTGGAAATAAAGGACTGGACACAACCTTCGGGCGATGTGGAGTCCTCAGTTGACCTCACTATCAACAGCAAGAAAATCCCAGTTCTGTTCTGCAATGACCCACCAGTCTGGAGTCGCTTTGACTTTGGCAAATTCAACCGGCATCTAGCAACACAGGAGATGGGCCGCATGATGATGTATAGCGAGCTGACATCTTCCACGCAGGCAATTCTGAGCGGGTGAGACTTTCTGTAGGCAGTGACGCAATGGCTTGTTTAAACATGAACTGATACTAATAATTATGATACGAGTATTCGCATACGTTTTGAAAAGCCAATGGCAGGTTCGTATAGTCGCCTGTCTCTCACATTCTGGCACAAGTTGATGACACTGTGGATAGCCGCTGATACATGTGCAGTGAAGCGCGCAATAGTTCAGCATGCCTCACCAGGTGCTCGGCTTGCACCCGTACTTCTGGCGATATACTGGTGCATGCATCATTCATTTCCCCTATACTGGTGCATACTAGTAATCATCGCACGATCATCGCATAGTCATCGCATAGTCATCGCACAATCATCGCATGATCATCGCATAGTCATAGCATAATCATTGCATAATTAACTGTTTTTGCCGCATATTTTTTCCGTGAAATCACATTTCTAAGGGTGTGCAGACTCCACTGTAGCCACTTCATGTTTCACACAGTTATACACCACTACTCAAAAACGGTCTCTTGGCTACAAATTCTTCCAAAAATAATACAATCCAAATTTTCGGGCCAGGCGGCCCATCTTCAGGAATAACATTTTGGAGTAGTGGTGTATAACTGTGTGAAACGTGAAATCGCAGGGAATAGAAAATTTGGGACACTGTACTAGCTTTCCTGGGAGCGGATGGGGGCATTCTTTTGGGAACGTTGCTCCGGAAGTGGCCACGGTGCTTGTTGTAGTGTGTAAGTTATGCTGATCCAGGCATGTGCGTATGCAGCACATCAATGTAACTGTTAAACACATGACCAGGTTTCAGTATTATCGTGCATGTTGCAGGTATTTCGGGTGGTGCTAGTATCTCCTTTTGCCTTTTGGGTTTGAATTTAAGCTGGGAGTTTTAAGGCCAGTAATTTATGATAAGTGGTGTGCACGGGTAGTCGGGTACCCGTGCTACCCGTGAGGACATCCAGTAGGCGCGTACAGAATAGTACCCGAAAACCCGAAGTCGCAGATGACATCATGTATAGTGCACGTGTGCGAATTCATGTAGTACTCCGCATGTCCTAGGCCCCGGCGGATAGTGCTCGAGAATTTGATGGATTCTGCTTTTCAATATGCTCGCATTCTGCTCCAAAATGGCACTGATAATGCTTGAATTCTGCTTCGGAAAAATGGAAATAGTGGTTTAGATTACTAATGTTGCAGATTGATAACAGCATACATGTATTTTGCAGCATAAGTTAGTTCTACGAAACAGAAAAAATACAAGGAGCTTAGAATTATTATTACTCAGCAGGCAAAGGTGCGGTAGTAGTCGCGAGGGCATTGTGAATTCTCACGAAAATCCCATATTTTGCAATAATACGCTAGTTTTCGCAAGAATATGCTGGTTTTCTGCAAAACTTGCCGGATTATGCTAGCCCAATGCTAGTTTCCAGAAAGTGCTAAATATGCTAGATATAATGCTAGCATTATCTGCCTGGGCCTAAATTGTCTACCCAGTGTGGAAGGGAAGGGGTGCATTGTGGTGTTACCATGGAAACATTACCCGATCGGGTACCCGTGCTATCCGTGGAAAACTACCCGAACCCTATACCCGAAGAAAATGCTACCCGACTCGGCCCTAATTTATGATTACTATTTTAATGGAAGTGGTGGTGGTGGGGGGGGGGGGGGGGGGTATGTTTCGCTGTGGATTGCACTCATATCACCACTGCTGCCTGTGCCTGTTGTGTTCAGCAATGTCAAGTTTCTCGGCCAGATTCCCGCAGGAGCCGGCCTGGTCTATCTTGCTCTACAGCAGACGCAAGGAAAAGGTTAGACTGCCGGTATGCTAGTGCCGCAGGTTATGGTCCCTGCTCTGGGTACCTGGTATGTGAGTTGCGGTGGATTGGCTGATCGGATATTGAGTACGAGTCCCTCTCCTAGTATTGATTATGTTTGGTTGTCCGCAACGGCTATTTGACTATCAGCAGAGGTGCTCCAATAGCAGCATCTCAGTTGTCTCACGGGTGAATGCGTACACAGTACTGTGGACAGAGTGTAGCAAGAATGCGGCAAGTCATCCGCCGTGACACCAGTTTTCTGGTGCCTTTCGCCGCGTGAAAGGTGGTTCTTGACCAGGGAGTTGTACGACTCCTTGTTCTTGACCTGCCCAGTACGCAAACCCGTCGAATTTAATTTTTAATTTTTTAATTTTATTTATTTTTTATTTCGCCGCGTGTCAAAAGTACAAGTATGCTATGGGTATGACCTGCGACTGGCTGTACTTATTGTATCCGATTTCTTTTGTTTAGGTCGCCGCGACAACAAGTGGGTGTCACCGTACGGGTGCTTGCTGTTTTCCGCTCATGCTGACATTCCGAAAGGCACGCCATTGGCTGGCAACATGGCTTTTATTCAGTATCTGTGCAGTCTGGCTGTTGTGAAAGGTATTCAGGGAATCTCCGGTTATGAGGTGAGTGATGTGAAGAGAAGCAACCTGTCTTGCATGGTGTGTATTTGTGTGCATGTGTGTGTGCGTGTGTGTCTGTGTCTGTGTCTGTCTGTGTATCCACCTAGAGTTTGGGGGATTTCAGGGTGTGGGCCATTTGGGGGTTCAATAGCCAAATTGAGTCATCTTTCCAGGATTCCTTTTGAATCTCTCTCCCCACTTCCGGGGAGACCACTTGATCCGTTTTAACAGGAAGCAAGTTAAAGGGGCACTCCGGCTTCATTTTCGACGCCGAGTTTTCGATGCCAAGACGAAGGTAGGTGAAAGAGAAGACCCCTCGAACAAGAATGAGTCTCCAGAAGCGATCAAGTCGAGCAGGAAGACGACTTTTGAATTTCGCCGAGCGAGCGCTGATGACGTAATGAGGGATTAGCTTGCCAGTGGAAATGCACCTGTGCACATACATTTCACACACTTTTTGGCCAATTTTCAATCGAAGAGGAGGTTGTTTTCTATGTTCTCTCAACGTCGTGAGCGATCCCGTCTTCTATACCCTTCCAGGTACCCTGAAGGTCCTCCAGAGGAGAATTTATCTCCAGCAAAGCGTTGTTGATCCGCTAAATTCGTCTCGAGACATATTCACCCAGTGCAGTGCTGATGAATGTAGAATGTTGAATCTGTGATAATTGTCGACGATGGAGAGAGAGGCTGATAGCCGCTGTCGCAGGGAGAGTGAAGCTGCTGGAAGTAACAACGGGGAGCCCGTTTGTACCACCTGAACAACCAGACTTCAAAGCAGCTTGACCAAATCGGAGGGTGCCTCGTTGCTTATCGTGAATATTACACCGACATGAATTACTACAATTACAAGTATACTGGTGAGTTTTTATCTTGTTTTGTTCGTTTGGTAGTACCCTGGCCTGGAGTTCTCGTTAGCAAATTCCTTTTCCCTGGCGTTTTCTAAACATTCCGTGTAGTACTGAATACGTGATCAAGTATTCCGATTTGGGTAGATGTGGAATTTGGATATGCATTTTATAAAAAAATTCTATTTTCCAAATAGAGCGTTTGTAGAGAAATGATTACCCAAATACAACAAAATTGATTCTGCAGTTCTACAACTTGTACTGAAATCCAGTCAAAGTAAAAATGATTCTTCATGACAGTTGGGGTCAATGAAATCTGATCCAGGTATAACGAATGGTGACGCCTGCCACCCCGGGAACGAATGCCCACTTGGTGGGGGATACCAAAGTACTCGAAAGTGGTGCGTGTTTCAATGTGGCATTTGGAAGTTTTATATGATCTCTGGTCAATGCAACATACGATAGCCATCATGAATTGCAGGCCTCGAACGCAACTCAGACCAGAATTGGCAGTTCCCTAAGTTAGATGCTTTATAATTCCATGGCCCTAGCTGTAGTTATAGAGGCCACGGTTTCTTTGCACATTATTCTTATAGTCGATAGGTTTATACTGATGGCCACAAACAACGGCAGTTCAAACTTCACTGATGTGTTCATGAGCTGAGAGATTTCTCTCCACTATTTCTGTTGTGCACACAGGTCTGTCCAATATGCATTGACCGTATTGGGTATGGTATCTGCTCTGAGAAGGGAATCGCTGGAGCCACAGTCCAACTAGACAGGCTTTCAAGAAACAGAGAGGAGCCATCTTTGCAAGCTGATACCTGATGTGTACCCGACAGAATTCTCACGAGATACCTTACGGACTACGTCTGGTGTGTACTTCATTGTACTCCTTTGACTACTGTCTAGAATCAAGTCGACTGAAACAAGTTCAAACAACTCTGGCTTCAAACGAGCCGTCGATTAGACAAACAGAACGTTCTCTCATAATACTAGAGCACTCCCGACCTATTCCTAACGATTGCCACCGCTTATAAATATGTAGAGTGCTGATTGGAATGTGCTCATAATCTCAACAATTCAGTGCTATAATTATTTGAACAATGTGTTAGAAATTATTCCACGTTCCTTCCATAAATGTTGTATCCACATATAATCCACAGTGCTGCAAAGTTTCAGAGTTTTCAGGGTATCAAACAAAATTATTTCAAATACAGTGAAATTGTTCGCGGACATTATAGCGTAACTTGTAGTTCCCTGGTCCTTTTCTTTGCTATAAATTAATCCTTCGCTCTCTAGCCGCCGGCGAGTCCAACAGTGAAATTGTTAGTTCATATTTATAATGTGGGTATGTAGGAGGGGGGGGGGGGGGTGAACATATTTCTATATAAGGGACCTGCCACTGTAATACCACAGTATAGTAGCCGGCAAATACAGTCGTCCCTCTCTAATCCGGCACTTGTTTATCCGGAACCCTTGTCAACCGGCGCACTTTCTGACGAAACCGGTTTTTTCGTTCAATTCCTACATCTTAATCCGGCACTTGAATTCCGCCTCCGGCAGTGACTTTTTGAAACGAATCGCTCAAACTGCACGTAGTTTGATTTCATAATCCGGCAGTCGTAAATCGCGTACTGTACAGGTGCACTCCTTGCCAGGCCAGGCTAGGCTTGTCCAGGAGACAACGGCAGTCAACCATACTTTCTTATTTTAGCAAGGAGTACGTAGTGTCCTGCCAATTTTCAGGTGTGTGTGTGTGTGTGTGTGTGTGCGTGTGTGTGCAAGAGTACATGTGAACATGTTCTCTGTTTTACTTTATCACTTTATCACTGTGTATATTCCCGGAGAACAATTGAGAATATAAAGCGTGCACCAAATACTTGGGTCGACACGAAAAAACCCTGCGTTTTGACGTACATAAGATACATGCATGCAATTTGGTAGGGCCGGGTCAGAGGGCAGGATTTCTTAATCCAGCACCCTCGTTAATCCAGCAGAAAACGCCGTAGCAAAAGGTGCCGGATTAGAGAGGGACGACTGTATGTAGAAAACAGAAATGCATGTTACCATCATTGTACATGGACGGGCGCAGCAGGCCGAAGCTATCAGCCAGAACAGGATTTACAATCACCTAGAGATACTTGAGCTATTCCAGTATTCTCCGTGAGCTGTCCCATTCCACAATGGTTCATGCCACCATTATTTCTGGTAGTATCCATGTGCATAATTCCAAGACCATCTTGGATTCTTCAGCAATTTGTGCCGCGGCAAAAGATAACGCTTGACTCGGTCACTGGGGCTGTCAAACTTCCCGTCACAAATGAACTTCAATTTCTCATCTGCTTCAAGTATATGTACTGCCATGACTTGACCATGCTTCATCCACAGCTGGGCGAAGATTGTGGCGTTGAATTCCATAGCGCACCTTCTTGCTGCCATGCAGGAGTATGTTGAGAGAAGTGAACATATTTTTACTAAAAAACAACAGCCACTGAAGAGGATAGCAATAGCCTGGGCCATGGGGTGAATTTCCTGCAGGTACACGTTGTTGGTAGGTCTACTGGTCCGTCTCCATATCGTCAAGTTCAGAAATCACCTGTACTACACTACACATCTTGTAGAGGGGATCCTGATCGAATAATTTCTGGTCATAAAATTCACTAAACTGAGGGTGAGACAAATAGTCAGTACTCCCCGATTCCGTCAAGCTGCTTTGAAGTCTGGATGCTCATGTGATGCTAACAAGCTCCCCATCGTTACTTCCAGCAGCTTCACTTTCCCTGCGACAGCGGCTATCAACCTCTCTCTCCATCGTCGACAATTATCACAGATTCAATATTCTACATTTAGCAGCGCTGCACTGGTTGAACATGTCTCGAGACGAATTTAGCGGATCAACAACGCTTTGCTGGAGATAAATTCTCCTCTGGAGGACCTTCAGGGTACCTGGAAGGGTATAGAAGACGGGATCGCTCACGACGTTGAGAGAACATAGAAAACAAGCTCCTCTTCGATTGAAAATTGGCCAAAAAGTAAGTGAAATGTATGTGCGCAGATGCATTTCCACTGGCAAGCTAATCCCTCATTACGTCATCAGCGCTCGCTCGGCGAAATTCAAAAGTCGTCTTCCTGCTCGACTCGATCGCTTCTGGAGACTCATTCTTGTTCGAGGGGTCTTCTCTTTCACCAATCTTCGTCTTGGCATCGAAAACTCGGCGTCGAAAATGAAGCCGGAGTGCCCCTTTAATGCACAAGTGTGTGTATGGTATTAGCTAAACCTTGCATTGTAGAAACACGCTTTTTGGTGTGACAGCATATTACAAGGTGGTGGAACACCGTGTTCGGAAACAGTGCTCCGTACTACAGTGTACAACCATCCACGGTTGGTAGAGCCCCGGTCTTGCGAGAGAAAAAAGTGTGTGTATGTGCGCGCATGTGTGACTGTCATGACATGACAGTACATACATAATTGATGGTTTGCCTGTCTGATCCTGCACGTATGAGTGCGCACACCCTCTCGTAAGTGCACTTGGGAACCTGGGTCTCGCTCACACTTCACGACCGTCCTATGTGGTGTTGTTCGCAACGCATGCTTTTGACGGACCCTTGGGGTCGGGTCGTGACACATATACTAGTATGCGCCTGCTTGTACGTCTGTAAGTCTGCTTGCTTCGTCGTCTCTGTGATGTAGGCTCTCGACCTGCGGCTCAAGTGGCCGAATGACATCTACTACGGAGCACACACGAAGGTCGGTGGTGTCTTGATCGACTGCTCTTCCGGCTCCTGGGGTACATCTGCCATTATCGGTGAGAACAACTATAAACGTCGTGTGATATGTGAGAGGATGTGACCAGTCGAGTGGAAAGCAACTCTACTTGGAGTGCAGGAGATGTATTTGTGTGTGTGTGTGGGGGGGGGGGGGGGGGGGGTAGAGAGGTTTGGTCACACTTAATCCGTGTGCACTTTACATGCGTACCATATGACCCACGTTGTCTGACTGGCGGGATATCGTGTGTGGAAGCTCACCTATGCTGGGCCAGAACGCGAGTGAAACTCAGAATGAAGCGCATCGTGTAAGTCAGCTGTCAATGGGCTCAGCTGGAGAGGTGTCAGAAGTATGAAGCCAAAATGTACGGTGAGCATGGCTCGATGTGAAGCTTCACCTTCTCTTCGTATTTGTTTGCATTCGCTTGCAGACTTTGCTTTTTCGAACTCTTTCCCATCGCTTTTGATCACGAGTGTAGCTAACAGCGAACGGGGAATCTGCTTATGTGTGTATGTAGATATTGAATTTGCGGACAGCTGGCCGTGCATGTAGATAGACGTACTGAAGAGTCAACCTGCTTGCGATAGGTCGTCTTGAGAAGCATACTGTACTGCCGCGTATAAAGCATGACCTGTATAGAAGCATGACTCGACTAGAAGCCGATTTTTCAAAGCACACCGTGACACAGAAGCACGAAGCTGCTCTCTGCAAAATACATGTGCAAGCATTTGCACAGTACGTGCGTGGCGGTATGCACTGCACAGTGTAAACTGATGATGTTGACGTATAAGCATGTTTGAATAGAAGCATACTTTGAATAGAAGCATGGTTTGAACCCCGGCTTATACGGCTGTAAGCGCCTGCTTTTATACGCGACATTATACGGTATTTAACACTATCCAACTGACAATCAAGGAGGTTTTTACTGTAAAACCCGGAAAGTCTAACGAGTCACGAAGTTTAACTTTGTTATGGCCAATTTTTTCGTTATTTGAAGAGACTTTATCGCGAACCCGGTTTGAGATGTCTGTGTAAAGATGCGCATACAGATGGGTGGTCAGGTAGCCATCGTTAAACTTTCTGAACGTTATCATTCCGAAATTTAATTACAAAAAATTTTTGGTCGTTTAACTTTCCGGCTTTACAGTATATGACTCCGGGCCCACCTATTATCTGATCATCACATGGGATCTATGATGCCACCGCCTGGATCTATGATGCTACCGCCTGGATCTATGATCTCACCGCCTGGATTTATGATGTCACCGCCTGGATTTATGATGTCACCGCCACAGCAAACCATGCATTGTAGTCATGAGTTGTTTCTTTCTTTTATGAATTTCAAGACACCACTGCAGCTGTACTTATGGTTGATAAATATGGTGGTAAAGACACACCGGGCAATATGGCGGTAAACACACGCCTGCCCACACTCGCTCTCTAGGCTGCAAAGTTCTGGCACAGAGCTCTCCTTCTCACCACCACCACCATCAGTTCGCGCCTGGCGCCTGGTCGATGCATGGTTGGCGGTATCCGGCATAGCAGGCTGGTACATCAAGTAGTGCATGGCACATAGCAGATGACACAGCAACGACATAGCTCGATTGCGACGTACGTTTCGTCCCCGCTGGACTCATCAGGCAATCTTCTTCTTGGATGTCTTCACACGGAGCTTGACTCGGGAGAATGAATTTCAAGACACCACTGCAGCTGTACTTATGGTTGATAAATATGGTGGTAAACTTTCTTTTATGTTTGTTTTATCCAGGATGCGGACTAAACGTAACCAACTCTGATCCGACAACGTGTCTGAATGATATCGTGAAGGCGTATAGCGAAGAGCACTCCGTCTCGCTTGCTCCACTCAGCCTGGAGCAGGTCCTGGCTGTGACGCTTAACCAGCTGGAGTTGCTGTGGAACCAGTTTCAGAAGTTTGGACCCGCGTCGTTCCTGGACGAATACTATGAAAAGTGGCTGCACAGGTAGGCGAATGCGTGGTGTAATAATGGATAGCCTGTGACTTGCTTGTACATGCATATCTGTGTTTGTCTAGTTGCATCTCAGAAGCTTCACGGTTATTGCATGTGCATGTATGCTGTTCATGAAGACATTTCAGAGACTGTTTACACTTAACAGTCATTTTGGTATTTTTGGGCATGTTCAGGCTGAAGAAGCGGTCACGTGCTCCTGCGTACACCAGTCACCTGGTCACCGTGCCTGCAGGGTACAACTTACTAGCCTGTTTGACCTTTTTTGGGTGCAGTCCTGTCACTCGAGTTGAACTCGAGTTGAACCTTGGTGTGAAAGTTGTCGCCTGCTGGCGTGGTGACCAGGTGATTTGGGCACCCAGGAGCACGTGACCGCTTGTTCAACCATGTTCGATTGGGAATAAAGGAGGAACGCTGCATTGCAGCCTTTTCGGACCAAAACCAGTCGACTCAGCGTCCAAAAGAGTACAACATATGGGCCAATCGCGGTCATCCGTGCCTTTATAAGAACGAAATGGCGCTTTTAGTGACATTTTGCATACAAATCCCCATCTAGTAGGGCGCAGTCACCCAGTTTCGGTGGAAGTGCGCGAGTTCGATTGGGATTCAAGTAGGAAGGGAGCGTCTCAGCTTCCTCGGACCACGACCATTCGACTCAGGACCCCGAAGACTACAACTGGTGAAATTTTAATTTTTGCCTTAACTTCCCCTTTAAACAGTCCACATTTGTTCCGTGTACATGTACGTGTATGTAAGCTGTATTTAAACAGTTCATTTTTGGGAATGTTTTTGAAGGCTAAGAATTTCCTTATTGTGTTGACAGGAAATGCGAACTCCAACAGTAGGAGCGGCCACCTTCTAAAAATCCCCTAATGGCAGAAAGGCACATCCTGACCTCAAAGGCTGAAAATGTTCTTCACCGCTGATTTGCTGATCCGTACCATTTGCTGTGTGTCCTGTTGCAGTGGAGCTAAGGTTACTCTGGGCGGTGATGAAAGTGGCGAGGAGGTCACCATATTCGGCATCAATGACAGCGGTTACTTGCAGGTACGACGGCCATCGGGCGATATCGTTGTCGTACAACCGGACGGCAACAGCTTTGACATGATGAAAGGCCTGGTGATTGTGCGCAAGGCATGATGCCCCGTGCAGCAATCGCCGTAATGCAGTGCAGCCCTGCGGATAGGTAAGAATTATCTATGCGATGGGCCACTCCTTCTCTGTCCCCTTCTTGTTACCGTATTTCCCCGATTATAAGTCGCACTTGATTATACGCCGCAACATCTTTTCAGGTCTGAGGCAAATTGTCTCAAAACATTCGCATAAGTAGGAAGTCACACTCGATTGTAACCTGCACCCCCATCTTTGCTCTTGAAGTTTAGTGTAAAAAAGGTGCGACTTACAAGGGAAATACGGTAGTTGTGGGACCTAGGCACACAAGAACTTCACTTGCTCAGCGTAATACACATGTTCAGTAGTTCTCCATTGCTTCCACGCAGCCGGAAGAAATCAATTTGCTTTCATATGACACCTCGAAAGCACAAACCTACGCATGCTGGTACCTCAAGTATACCTTGGGAACGTAAAACAGAAGCAGTTACCGTGTTTTGAAAGGACTGGGAGAACTTCAAATTCAAAGGATCAGTTGGGATCATTGATTAGAGCATTACTCATGACAAGCAAGGTCCTGGGTTCGAGTCCTGTATATCTTGGGAACGTAAAACAGAAACAGTTACCGTGTTTTGAAAGGATTGGCAGAACTTCAAATTCAAAGGATCAGTTGGGATCATTGGTTAGAGCATTACTCATGACAAGCAAGGTCCTGGGTTCGAGTCCTGTATATCTTGGGAACGTAAAACAGAAACAGTTACCGTGTTTTGAAAGGATTGGGAGAACTTCAAATTCAAAGGATCAGTCGGGATCATTGGTTAGAGCATTACTCATGACAAGCAAGGTCCTGGGTTCGAGTCCTGGTGGGCCTGGCGTTTTTTTCTCTTTTCAGGCCGATACTGTATTTTTCCGGTTATAAATTGACCGTTTATGGCCTAAAAACCAAATTAAAAAGGGGGGGGGGGCGGTAGTCGACTTACGACCGGAGTCTAACCTGTATTTGATCATATTCTTTTGAACCGGTAAATCAAATCCTCAAGTATTGAGGGTCGGCCTACATCCGGGGTCTAGAGTGGGTTTTTTTCATATTGATTTTGAACCGGTAAATCAAGTCCTCAAGTATTGAAGGTCGGCCTACATCCGGGGTCTAGTGGGTTTTCTTCATATTGATGTTGAACTGGTACATCTAGGCCTCAAGTACCACTGGGGGTCGACTTATCACAGGTGAAATACGGTACTTCGACAAGTAGAAATCTAGCAGAGTAAGAGAGAGAGAGAGAGAGAGAGAGAGAGAGAGAGAGAGAGAGAGAGAGAGAGAGAGAGAGAGAGAGAGAGAGAGAGAGAGAGAGAGAGAGAAGAGAGAGAACTGTACCAAGGAGGAATGTTCTTCATTCATCAAATAAATTTGTTGAAGGTACAGCCCACGTTCGCTTCCTTGACACTTCGTATACATCAGAGGATTCCGAGGCCTGAATCCTGACAAGCGGGTCCATGGAGTCGTCGTTATCATCTGTCGCTTTTCGTTTGCGACTCCACTGTGTCACAAACAACTTCTGGCAACTTTGTGGTCAGGCCATTCTCGTCAAGGTCGACGGTGCCGACGCGCACTAATATCCTTGTGACGCGTGTAGGGACGATTCTCAGCTGCACTGCATTGCTTCGGAATTTCATCATCGTGCGGTCCGTGCGGAAGACTTGACATTTATTCAATTCCCTGATAACGTCAAGCAGCTCGGGTGACTCAATTTGACGACCGTTGACGAACGTGTCCTCAACCCCCTTCAGGCTGAATTCAGCATCCGTCTTCATGACATTGTAGCACGTCCTACTGCCATCATCCCAGCAACGGAGGAGCACGCCGTTATCGTCTCTTCTTGCAGTTCCGTGATCCTCAACGTCACCGACGACAATCTTAGGCAGACGTTGTCGTTTCGCATTTGCCCGCAAAACGAGAGCCGAAACCCGGCAGGTGTATTGAGCTATCTCCATTGGTGTAAGATCGACACGATTAGGGTGCAGAAAGAGCGGCCGCAACTCATAGGCTGTATGAGCATCAGTCAAAAGCCGTACCGTAAGCTCATCTTTGTCAACTGAAAATAAATAGAATTTCTCGACATGGGGCAGCGGCGGATCCAGAGTTCAGCTGAGGGGAGGGCGCGGGTAATATTCATGACAGGGAACCCATGCGGTACATGTATTTTGTGGCAACACCGTCTGCTTATCAGGCTTTCGGTTCCCAAGTATGTTGCGCTTTTCTGCATCGCTGAGAGTTTCACCGCCAATAGCTGCATCAACGGCATCCGAGTAACTTCGCTGCGTAGCAGTGCCACCAGCCACATTCGTGACAGTCACAACGTCGTCATCTGCGATAGTTTCAACAGATAAACGCTCCTGACTCGCATCACTACTACTGAGTCAGTGACAGTCCCACCATCGTCGTCAGAATCTACTTCGGATTCCATTTGGGGAAGATCAGAGTCTGAGCAGACCTCGATCTCAGGATCTTCGCTGTGGTCCGAATTCTCCTCCAAAGATGGATTGCTCGACTGAGCAGCTGACGAAGCGCAAGTTCGGTTCGCGAAAAACCCGTGGAGAGTTTGTTGGCTCCCTGGCAGCTTGGGCGGGCGGTGCGCCATCCCCTTCACCGACTTAGCTATACAAGTTCGTCAACTGAACACTAATTTCAAAACTAGAAGTCAACTAAAGTCTAAGAGAACAACTATTCCGTGTTCAGAAGAACTTTCTTTTCTGACACTAGAAACTACTTGTCACAGCATGTGCAAACACTTGTGCAACTGCCCACGTGCATGCACTAAAAAAACGAAATATTTGAGGGGAGGGCGCGCGGTGGGCGCGCGCACCACTGTGCCCTCCCCTAGATCCGCCTCTGTGGGGTGAGATGTTGACCACGCCGTATCTTACATTGACTTCTTCAGATAGCAATTGTGATGCATAATAAAATTACATCAGGTTTTATATTAAAAGGTAAGATCAAAGGTCACGCCACGGGGAGGTGACGACCTTGGAGAACACGGTGAGCACGGTGCATGCGCGCCAAAACCCAAAAGTTGCTCGCGGCATGCCGTGTCTTTTTTTGTTCGCGTTTGGAATCTTTCGATTGGGATAAGTCAGTTAGTTTTTCATCTATGTCCGTAATCGAAAGGTCCATGAGATGTAGAATTTTCTAGCTTTCCTCTCGTATAATTCTTTTTGACATACAACATTTCTTTCTCGAACTTTTAGCTGCTGGAACACCAACATCACTATGTTGGCAAGATCAGGCAGAAGAGAGGTCACGTGATCCACTAAATATTCTAGACTATAGTCATGCCAACAATAGGCATCTATTAGAAGATGCATCATGGTCAGGTCTGCAGGTGGCATCAAGGACAAATTAACTTGAAGAATGTTCAGCTGTCTAGCGGACAGAGCACCCTTAGCACCCTTGATGTTTTCCATGAGATGTAAAAGAAACAACAGTGGAACACATTATGGAAGAGGTTGTGTAATGCGGCTGCTTCTCAACCATGACGCATTGCTGCGCGGTAAAGAAGAACGCAGTGTGCGCACTGCATCATGATCCTCATGAAGTATACGACGCCAAGTGTTATGTAGGGTTTATGATGCCTTGCCCCCATACTCTTTTTCACAACGTCTTCAGCATGGCTGAAACACTCCTGCTCCCGCTACTCCCTCTGCTGAATTATACTGTAAAAGCAGAACATTTCGGTGGTGTTTTATTTTCGGTAACTTCAGTGCCGACAATTTTCACTGAAAATAAAACGCACCAAAAATGTCGGTACAACCGGTACTGTATACGTGTAGTACTAGAACACTTACCTGGAAAACGGGTTTTACCGAAAATTTCCCTCTACCGAACCGCCGGTTTTGGAGAATACCAAAAATATTACACCACCGAAAATTTCTGCTTTTACAGTAGACTGTTTCAAACGCTAACTGCTGTGCATGAATCCTGATTATGATGCCTCCCCCCCCCTTCCATTTCTAGGATTTGGCGAATGCTGCCAATCCTGACTTCGAATATCTGTTTGCTTTTGTGGTGAAATGACTATGTTTTGGCTGATACCCGCAGAGAGGTTGCCGGTTTGAACACCGGCTTGAAAACCAGACCGCGTCTGTAGCTGCCTTTTCACTGCCCTTGGGATAGCCCTCAAACCAGACCGCGTGACACTGTAGCTGCCTTTTCACTGCCCATGGAATAGCCCTGTACATTGCCGGTGGCTACGCTGCTCGCTATCAGCACTTGTCCTGTGTTGAGCCTGCGCTGCTCATGATGCCTGTCCACCCTCCACGCGCCCGCGCGCTCGCACACCCACCCACATGTATCACACAAACGTGCGCGAGCACAGACACACACACACACACACACACACACACACACACACACACACACACACACACACACACACATTTTAAACCTCACTGGCTACTCGGCGTAACTTGTTATATTCACATCCTTCACGGACACCTCCACTCCACTAGGGTCTCTGGTAAAATAGCAGGAGCTGACTTTTAAAACTTCTTTATATTGGAGCTTGAGTGTGATGTTCTGCCTCTCCCCCCCCCCATTCTTGTTTCTTTTTAGTCATGTTTCAGCTACTGCAATCCGCTCCCTATTAATCCTGTTACTCATGCTGTTGACAATCCTAACTTCGCCGTCTCTTGATTGCGTTTTATCTCTAAAAATTCCTCCAATCAGATATTTGAATAACCCTTTTTTTTGTCGTGTGGCAATGAAGCTCCGTGATAATTATGCTACTCAAGAATTCATGTTGAATGCCATTTTTATTCCTCGTTTGGGAGCTGGCGACTGTTTTTGATTCCGTCTCAATTGTAAAACTGATCACATATGCCCTGGTGATATGGTGTAACGGGAAAGAAATCCATCAGTACGGAGGATTAGCAAGACGAAATTCGCGTTCGCGTTCGCAAACATTTTTCAGTTCGCGAACTGGATTGCGAACTTTCGCATTTTTCGTTCGGAAAAATAGTCGGAACACGAATAGCGGATTCGTGTCAGGGCAGTCATAAATTTACCACGCTGTACTGTCTGCACACAATGTACGTCGTGTCAATTCATGCATGTGCGAATTCTGTTTGCTAATCCTTCTCATAACGTGAATTCCGTCACTGAGTTCGACTTTCCTTGGAGAGCGAACGCGAATTTCGTCTTGCTAATCCTCCGTAGTAACTCGTAGAAACATTCCTCGCATGCTACTGTTTCTCTCGCCTGCACTAGAGTACTAGAAGACGGGTGTGCGAAAGCCGACTCGTTAAACTGTGTGCCCGCTATTGAAGCAAGAAAACTTGCAAATCGTTTTAAGGGGAAGTGAAGCCTAAAATCTAATTTTCACCAGTTGTAGTCTTCGGGGTGCTGAGTCGAATGGTCTTGGTCCGAGGAAGCTGAGACACTCCCTTCCTCCTTTATTCCCAATCGAACTCGCGCACTTCCACCGAAACTGGGTGACTGCGCCCTACTAGATGGGGATTTGTATGCAAAATGTCACTAAAAGCGCCATTTTGTTCTTATAAAAGCACGGTTGACCGCGATTGGCCCGTATGTTGTTGTCTTTTGGACGCTGATCAGCGCTGAGTCGACTGGTTTCGGTCCGAGAAAGCTGCGATGCAGCGTTCGGCCCGTATTCCCAATCGAACATGCTTGAACAAGCGGTCACGTGCTCCTGCGTGCCCAAGTCACCTGGTTACCGCGCCAGCAGGCGACAACTTGCACACCAAGGTTAAACTCGAGTTCAACTCGAGTGACAGGACTGCACCCAAAAAAGGTCAAACAGGCTGTAAGTTGTACCCTGCAGGCACGGTGACCAGGTGACTGGTGTACGCAGGAGCACGTGACCGCTTGTTCAACCATGTTCGATTGGGAATAGAGGAGGAACGCTGCATCGCAGCCTTTTCGGACCAAAACCAGTCGACTCAGCATCCAAAAGACAACAACATATGGGCCAATCGCGGTCATCCATGCTTTTATAAGAACAAAATGGCGCTTTAGTGACATTTTGCATACAAATCCCCATCTAGGAGGGCGCAGTCACCCAGTTTCGGTGGAAGTGCGCGAGTTCGATTGGGAATACAGGAGGAAGGGAGCATCTCAGCTTCCTCGGACCAAGACCATTCGACTCAGCACCCCAAAGACTACAACTGGTGAAAATTTGATTCCTTAGGCTTAACTTCCCCTTTAACTTTTAACATGCCAAACTTTCAACTCTTCCAGTATACTGCTTTGGAGTTGAAGTTTTTTACCAAACAGCCACTGCAATGTTCATCCCAGCCATTGAAGCTATAGTCATCTATGTAGTACACCTCGGTTATCCGGACCCCGAAGTTACGGGCACTGCTGGTTCGGTCTACCGGACACCCTTTGAGCGTGTTTCAGTGGAAATGTTGCTACTCTTTTGTCACTTTTTGTGGAAACAGGGACGTCACATGCCATAATCATCTATGACCGCTCCCCATCAAAATGTATGTGATTCTGAGTTAGGGACATTTCAAAGTTACGGGCAGTGCACGGTACGGGACCACCCGGATGAACGAAGTATGAGTGTCGTAGGTCCTGCTTGCAATGCTGCAGTACATGCACAATGAGCATGGTGTGCTCTGGATATAACATACTTTTCACACTGCATCGGATCAAGAGTACATAAACCAGAGTGTGCAACTCGGGATGGTTCCTGTGGGAGCGTAATTCGTGCAGTACGTCATTTCTGACGGCATGGTAAGCCACAGGCACAGGTACGGTGAAAAGTTGCGTAACCAGTCGCGGTGGTGCAGGTCACTGAGTTTGTCCTGATTTCGGTTTTTTGATACGGATAGCCTGGTGACTTAAAAATCTTTACTTGTCGGTGGATGTACGCAGCGTACACAGTCACACAAAACACCGAAATCCTGAAACTGGACGTCTAAAATCAAGCAAACTTGGCTGATTTCCGGGCTATGAAACATGAAAATTTGAGCTGTACGCAAGTCACGGCTTGGCTGACCTCATCAGGGTGACGTAGTGCACGAACTGCGCTGTTTCAGATCTGATATGCACAGTTGCACACTCTGGTTTATGTACTCTTGATCGGATGTACAGTGCTGGCAACTGAAATCCGACCCCCTCGCCATCACTGTAGCTTGTCTTTGAAGACCGTACACAAAGTATCCTTTTCCTGTCATCTAGGCTAGCTGCGTGCCATTTGACCTCGGGCCGCATGATCACGGATAAAACCAGGGAGTAGTACAATACAATGAAAAGGTATTGTACTACTCCCTGGATAAAACCAGGGAGTACTGTACTACTCCCTGGATAAAACCTGTGCTTGCCGGAGTGCCAAGCGGAATCCTGTATTGCCCTGACATAATATTTTCATGCACCAATATAGAAAGTGCTGTGGATCGAATGGTTACACACATCCCTGGATCAAGCTGATCCTGTCATATGAGGACAGTTTCCGCTGCACCAAGGACGTCCTGTTAGTGCAGGTTTTACTGGGTCCGTATGTCTGTACTGTACCTCCAATAATGCGATACCGTAAAAGCCCGTGTCCCGGGCGTATAGAATAGCAGCCTCGATTTCCTGGGCGTATACAAGGGCACGGGCGTTATTTTGGAGCCGGGCGTATACTTGGAATAGGGATAGCAGTAAGTATTGGGTATCAGTACCTGTACATGTACTGGTGTTTCCGGCATACCTGGGCGTATACATGGGCATGGGCGCTATTTTGAAACAAAAGTTTTGACTTCCGGGGTAATTCCCCTGACTGGGTGTGTACACGGAGGGTGGGCGTAGTTTCGAGTGGGCGTACATGTATACACGGGCTTTTACGGTATCCATGATATCCAATATTCACTGAACAAGACAATTTTATGAAGGCAGGCACTTGTACAATGTCAATGATATTGTAGCTGCGATAGTGCTCACAATAATGCAGAGATGGTCACATGCTGTTGCCTGTAGGCAAATGTTGAAAATTAATAATTATTTGGCGGGTGATGTGTGCAACAAGACCGGTCCGTCATCTCACCATAGTCTTAGACATACAGCCTACAGGGTGTCAGCATGCTAGCAGTGACTGGAAAAGCTGACTTCGTTTGTCCGAAGCGGGTTTCTGTGCAGCACGAAGGACTTACACTTTGCTGTAGGTGGTCGTTAGATAAGAAGCAGATTTCGCCACGGCATTCTTTACCGTTTACGGTCCGGAGTTAGTTTGGATGATTTGTTGTTGTACCTGTAGTTTCAGGCTGTCATTTCTCAGTCGCGATCCTTTTATTGATTGACACTAGCGCAGCTGACACAATGACAGTGACAGCTCCATTCCTGGGCAGTTGCCTGTAGTGCCTCTCGACTTGAGCCGTAGAGGCAGACCTACGTCTACGATGGATGGGTGGAGATATTCATGCCAAGGAAACTTGCCAAGCTGCAGGGCATTTCTCAGCCAGCGCTGCGACCGGTCAATCGGATTGCCAAGCGAAGAGGCAGGATAGTCCTTCATCGAACTGCCACTGCGATCACTTTTAGGGTTCTTCTTCGTTTGTAGATCTACCGGCAGTGCGAATTCGAAGTCGATCGCTGGCACCACAATGAGTATTTTAGGTGTGTTTTTCTGCCTGCTGGCCGGAGCTCTCGCGGTGACCGCCTTGCCGGCTCGTATGTCGAAGGGGCTTGACGATGTGCGGGGGCTGCGAGAGGCTCTGTCATTCAACTGCCCCACCATAGCACCGGCGAACACGACAACGACCAGCGTACACCGACTGCACGCAGGCGACATCAAGGTGATCATGGCTATGGGTGACAGCATCACCGCGGGATTCGGCATGATGGGCGCACACGGCAATATCGAAAAGGACCTGCTCGAGTATCGCGGCCAGTCCTGGCTAATCGGAGCTGACAACGACGCCCAAACCCTGGCGACCTTCTTCAAGAACTACAACTCGCATCTGGTCGGCGGCAGTGTGGGCGAACACATTGCGGAGCTGTGCTGGGGAAACATATGCCCAGCCAAGCAGCATCCCGAGAAAGACATCCTGAACGCTGCTATGAGCGGTGCTATGATGTATGACTTTGTGAATGGTCCCGGTAATCAGGTCGACTACTTGGTCAAGCAACTTCACGACAAAGAGGATATAATCGATATCGAACAGGATTGGAAGCTACTCTCAATCCTAGTGGGTGCTAACGACATGTGTGTGGAGTGCGAGGATATTCCCATCGAGCCATCGTCCATCGCAGACTACGAGAAGTACTTCCGAATCACACTGCAGACCCTGCAGGCAAAGGTGCCCAGGCTGCTGGTGAACGTCGGCCAGATGTTCAACGTGTCCCAGATCTACAAGCTCTCGCTGAGAGCGAAGAGCTGCGAGAACATCCACCGCCTGCTGCCCGAGGAGTGCCTGTGTGCGTTCAAACACGGCGAGGAGGGCGATAAACACCGCCGTGTCATGGACCAGACGGCCGTCGCCTACAACCGCGCGCTGGAGAAGGTCGCCGCTGAGTTCCCGCGCTCCGACTCGTTCGCCGTGGTAACCCAGCCAGCCATGCGCGACGGCAACCTGTCCACGTTCCCGCTCTCGTTCATATCGACGCTGGACTGCTTTCACCCGTCACTGGAGGCACATCAGATGATGGCCAAGGCAATGTGGAATGGGCTGTGGACGCCGCGGGCCAACAAGACGTCCACGTTCGAGTATCTGGTCCCGTTCGTCTGCCCCACCTCGGAAAGCATCATTCCAACGGACTAAAGTGCACGGTATAGTTTTCAGGTTCTGCCACCTACTGCATGTACGGTGGTGGCTAGAGTAACCATGGCAATCAGATCTCATGAATAGAGCGAAGCTGTGCTCACTGTACATTCCAGTGTTCATAGTGTCAGGGCTGAACAGCTTCCCCCCCCCCCCCCCCTCCGGCAGTTATATTCATGAGATCATACTTCATGACTCACCCCTTATCACCATGATGCTCATTGAGTGGATAGTAGTGTAACGTACCCCTGCATTATGTTATTTTCGACCAGGGAGTCGTGAAATGCCGGTATTTTACCACTCCCTGCCGCGAAGTTTCGACCTTGAGTCCTTGTCCCGTTACCCTGACCCAAGATGCAATGTGATTTTGCTTGACAGTTGAGCTTGCCATGCCCACGAGTCCACATGTTGACGAAGATAACAGAGAGATTCCAGTACTACGTTCCACGATGATGTTTTCCTCCCGGTTCAAGTCAATGAGAACTAACATGTTACGTCCTACGCATGCAATACGTGAGTATTGTATAGTTATTGTGACAAGATCTTTTAATGCTCGGAAGAGTCGGCGCGTACAATACTTGAACTCTGAAGACTGTATTGACAGTTCTATTAAATTTTAGTATCGCCCAAGTCGCACCACATCTTCTTCTACTTACATGTAGGTGAATCGATACACAGAACAACAAGGGCAATCAAGGCTAGTTAGTCGCTACTCTGAGTTTCATGCTTTCGCAATCATCAGCCTGCAACATGAGGATGCTACTGGCCATGCTGGTATATATAATTATGCCAGGAGAGGTATTGGTGGGTCTTGTGGCACTGTGTGGAAAACTGTGTGTGGATGTGTGTGGGTGTGGGGGGGGGGGGGCTGTATAGGTTTCAGTGCTAGCGGTGTTATTTTAGGCAGGAGGCTGCGTACAGAGTATGTAGTTGAATCGCCAATAAGTTCAATGCACATCTCATTAACCGACTAGTACGGATTAGTGATAGTCCTTGGCGGATAATGGTGATAGAAACAGCAGCAGAACTCGATACTCTTCAGGCATTGTTCATGCATGTTTGGTATATGGAAAAAAAGAGGAGCAGAGTCCGAGGAATCTCCCGCCGTAAGCTTTCTATGGTCTGTCATTATGTACAAGATGGCTAGCTACAGTGTTCATACAGTAGTTATGTAGTTATGTGTCATACAGCCCATGCTGGCAATTGCTACATGGTCATTGTATTTGCTACCAGGGCCATACCTACTTACATAATCTCACTGCCATTTTCAAGCAGAATCTGCCAATTTTTAAAGCATTATCCGCAAAAGGCCTACTGTAAATCAACTAATTTTCGCTGGCGATTTAATTTCGCTCATTTCGTCGCTGGGTACCAACCGGCCAACGTAAATCGCCGGCCAAAATTTGTCATAGAGGCAATTCTTGAGCCATGGTTGCATGTGAGGGCAACAAATACCAATCGATTTCTTTTTTGAAAACCCAAATCGGCCAAAGTTAAATGATGGCCAAAAGTTTCATTTCGAGATCGGCCAAAGTTTCTCACCGGCCAAAATTTGTTGATTTACAGTAGTTCGTAGTAGGGGCTGTCTGTATTGGCATCAACAATATTATTTTGTGTCTGTAAGACTTAGAGCATTCCCCAATGTGTCCTGTAGCTGCACACCTCGTTCCCGGTCAATGATCAACACACTATACAGTCTTATGGGTGGCACAAAGCCATTGATTTGACCACTTTAACTGGGCCCCATCATTGGTCCATGCAGTCCAGGGCAGCGGTTTACATGCTTGGTGGGGCAATGATCATGCAGCAATGATCATCCGACCCCCATCACATCAGCTCACCAGGTCTGTACAGGTCACTTGTGTTCTTGATAAAAATTCAACGATGTGTTTGTTCCTCATAGTCCGATGCAAGGATTGCGAATAGAGCTGACTTGATGTCTTCATATTGTGCTAAAATTGGGGGATCGGCATAGCGGAAAAGTCGACAGTCAATATTGTGGGAAGAACTATTCAAGAGTGCGGAAACACTGATAGGCCAGATAGGGTTAATTGATCTGTGATGCGCATGTTGTGGGCTGACACAGGGTAAGTCGTAAGTCTTGGATCTGTCTCAGCACCACCACCGGCCAATATGTACATGCATCGGGGGAGAGCACTGATGGCCTAGGATTCTCAGTAGTTCGGAATGCAAGGGATCGGGGTCGGGGGGGGGGGGGGGGGGGCAGGAAATAAATATCTTCGGACTGGTGACAGTAATATAGGAGGAAATATATAATAGCATAATGCCCAGTCATACTCTTTGCAGCGGGAATTGCACAGTGACATACGGTGTCAAGGTCATTGTTTTCGCGACAAGTACTTCTATGGATAGGATTAGCTCAGGTTCTGGTCGGCAATGTCTTCGTCGGACTGCTCCGCGGGCGGCGAACTCACGGCGTAGCTGAACGAAACGCCCGGGTACTCGTGCGTGGCGTCGGAGAACAGCCGCAGCTTCATGTAGTCCGTGTTACTGGTTATCGTCAACGGCGTCTGCGTGTATTGGCCGCACAGACGCCAGACTTCAGCCGACGAGTGCTCGTCCGGGTGGAAGAACACCTCTAGATAATCTTTGGGGCAGTAGTCGCCCCTGCCCGGCTCCATATGCAGCGTGTCGAACGTCACCGCCACCTGCTTGGCGGGGTCGGCCGACCGGAATTGCCATATGCACTCCGTGTTCCGCGGGTAGTTGCCGGGGAAGTTGGGCGAAGCGAACTCTCCCGGCTCACCAATGGTGATGTTATGCACACAACCTGCACAGAGAGACATCACAAAAGAAATCGTGCAGAAATACGGTGCTTAGTGGTCCGTCTGCAACGTACACACCACGGGTCTTCACAAATACAGTTGCAGTGAGATGGTTCCAACTCCTTGACTACTACAGTAAAACCTGGTTTAAGCGACCACCCCACGGATCGCTGAGCAAGCAAAAGCGGTCGTTAAAGCCAGGTGGTCTTTAGAACCAGGTCCCACAGTGTCTGTGTAGAACCGTCCGTGCATGGAAAAATGGTGGTTAAGAGCAGGTGGTCGCTGAACCCAGAGGTCGTTTACACCAGGTTTGACTGTACTAGCGTACCTGTACCAGTTGCTGCCCAGTTCCCAGCACGCTGCCCGGCATGGCAAACCCTATGCCGTGTACAGTGGAGGAGCTCAGGGTTGATTTAGTCGTGAAGCCGGAATTTTCTGCAAAACTGGTTGCAAATATTGCAGCTCAGGTTCATAACGCAACTCATACACTCCAGTTTAATTCTGTAAAAATAATTTTTTTATTTTGCACTTGTTAACATGATCTTACTTTGGCATGTAATTCCATCTTCGCTTAGGAAAGTGCCTGCCATGCACGAACACGTTGCGAAACCATCCGCTTCTAGTCGGCATCCGTGCTCGCAAATACCGTCCGGCGTTGCGCACCGCTCGTCTGCCACGCACGTCTTGTTGTCGCGCCACAGCTTCTGGCCGTCGGGACAGTTGCAGACCGGGCCACCGAGAAGCTGCGTGCATCCGTAGCTGCAGTACTGCTGATGCGACTGGCAGCTATCCTCTGTGAGCGCAGGCCAAAGCAATAGACAACCAAAACTTAGTCTTAGGGAGACAATGCTGATAGTTCAAGACTGGTATATCAACATGTTACGTATAATTATGCCATTTGTCACCCATGTGCCATTACCAATTGGCCAGAATACACCAATTGGTGAGACAAAACTGATACATGTAGTCCGAGACAGGTGCGTTAACCTGCTACCCACATGCCATTACCAATTGGTCACAATGCACGCTCAGGGACAGTGGCTTACCGATGGAGCGGTACGAGATCTGAAATCCATTTTCCTGCTCGCCAGAGTCCGAGTGGAATCGAACTATGAAGCCGAACCTGCTGCTGGAGATGAGAGTTTCTGGGAAATCCCTGCCACAGAATCTGCAGAGCACCATGCACAAATGCAAAAAATAGTGTGCTCTTAAGTCTTAATGAGGATGTGAGTGGTAAATAGATACGGTGTGTATGTATTGTGGGTTGTGAACCCTGGCAATAAAGACCCAATGTCCATGTACTTCTCATTATTTGCAACAAAAATTTTTAATAGTCATAACCAGAGGGTATGGTGGTGGTGAATGCCAAAGCAGAAAATGGTCATGGTGATATTGTTAAGTTCATGGTGTGAGCTGCTCTAACTTAAATGCATCTGCACTCTCGGCTAAATGCTTACCGTGTGGCATTTCCAGCTCCGATGTCTGCAACCTCTATGTAGTCGAATTGGCAGTCGTCCGAATGCTCCAGCGACACGTATTGCCTCTGTAGCACCACACGCTGGTTGGCAGGGCTGTCGACTTGCCACGCGCAGTCCGTGTCCGCCCAGTACCAGGCCGGGAAGTCCGGCGACGTGATCTCCTGCGAGCCAGCTCCGCCGTTGAAGTCCTGCGCTTTCGCGCTGCGACGGCCCCCGCATGGATCTGCATCAACAGAAAGAAGAAAGAGGACCAACGCTGGGCACTTAAAAAAACAACAGCAATGAATATAAAAAAACAACAGCAATGAATATAAAAAAACAACAGCAACAGAAAGAAGAAAGAGGACCAACGCTGGGCACTTAAAAAAACAACAGCAATGAATATAAAAAAACAACAGCAATGAATATAAAAAAACAACATCAACAGAAAGAAGAAAGAGGACCAACGCTAGGTACTTTTAAAACCCCAACAGCAATGAAGTGTACTGTTTGACACATAGAGGGTACATGTTGTGAGGTTTCAACCAATTTCTGTGCAGTATGGTGTTAGTAGTGGGCTTATTGCATAGAGTGAACGTCACTTGGCTGCAGCGGGTTTTCTTGGAAGGGAAGACTGTGCCAAACACACAGCGGCAATGTGACCGCAGAGCATGACTCTGCGTTTTTACTCACTGGTTGGGTACAGTCGGTTCATGTTCAGCACGTCGAACCTTCCCGGCTGCAGCTTGGCCAGGCCCAGGTTACGCTGCTTCTTGCTGGACATGACGTGGTACTTGAGAAGCATCACGCTGCTGAGCGGATTCGCCTGCTGCTGCACGCGCTGCTGAAAGTCGTCGACGGGCGACGACGGCAGATGGTTCTGCTCCTGCAGCGACCGGTCCAGCTCCGGACCGTGGATGGCCAGTCCGGCCACGTGGCCGAGATGGTGCACCAGCGACGACTGGCTGTTGCAGCGCTTGCCCATCTGAAGTGTCTGCTGGCCGCCCTGTCGGCCCTGCATTGAACAGCACCTGCATCCGGAAAACGAGACCACCAACATTGACATAAATCAAGATGACCTGAAGTTCACTAACGATCCAGTATTGTTGTGGTTCCTTGCTGAGTGGCCTGGGATTCTATACAAGGAAGTTGTTCTTGTAGTTGGTCTCTTTGCGGGTTGTCGCAGCCAAGTATGCAGGCAAGCAGGTGGCCAAGTAAGCCAGGTATGTGAACAAAGCCATTTATCCGGGGGGGGGGGGGGGGGGCAACCACCAAGGTAGAACACGATGATGCCCATGGGCATAATTCTGATTCACCTGCCCCCTCCTCCCCCCCCCCCCCCTCCCCCCGCACCCACTGCCATCATGACTCCCAAAGGCATTGTTTTATGGCTAAGGAAACTAGTTTACTGGACCCAGACCGAGAGCATGCATGTATGCACAGAGCAGCAGGGCATGTACTGGGGTAGTATCATGTACTGGGGTAGTATCATGTACTGGGGTAGTATCATGGCGAGTACTAGCTAAGCTATGCCCTCTTACCTTCTACCCCAGACGATTCTCACAAAGTCCGGCTGCGTCGTGTGCGGCACGAAGATGACGCTGGTCTTGCGCGACCAGAGGAGCATGGCGCGGAGGATCAGCCTGCGTAGCTGCTTCCCTCCTGGAGAGAGTAACAATACACACAACCCAAGCCAGCACGATTCCAGGAAGCCGATCAATCAACTGGCGACGTAAAACTCAAACTATGTGAGTACCCGGTGGTACCCAGAGCTAGCATATGAGCAACATTGCAGACAAGTGACATTAGGTATTTACTTCATCTGACATTGTAAAGTTTCAACCTGCGTCAACTGTCTAGTTTCCGCCGAGTCTCCAAGAAAGCTGGAAGCAAATCCCTGACGAGCACCATCAAAGGTGTTGTCAGCAGTTTAAGCTAGCTTTTCCCCTGATCCAATTTGTCACAATTTGTTCGAGCATACTGGGGGATGAGACAGTACAATGATGCGCAGCAGTGAGGTAACACACGTTCTGCTATTCACCCGGCCATTCCGCCAATGGAATCAGTCCGGCCCACCGGCAACATGTATTTAGAATAACATTCACGCTACTGCAGTGTTTGTCTCCAGTAGTGCAGCTATTTTCACTGCAGGAGGCCGACCGATCGTTCAGATCGTGAAGTGTATTGTGGGCAAACTGCAGTGCAGTGGCACGATGCTGTTACTTTCTATTCTTACCCCGTCCATCTCAATCTGCAGGTGCCTATTAGGCAATCAGTCCGACCTCCCGGAGACACAACCACTGACACGTGCGAGCATGACAGGGGATTACACGAGCTCATCTAGGTAAAATGGACGATCAAGACTTATTCCTGTATTGCTTGCTGATAAGCACAGCGACATGACAACTATCACTTTGCAAAGAGGATGTTCACCCCTCCCCCCCCCCCCCCCCTTTACTCCTCTTTGCATCATATGCTGGAAATTATGTCCTAGATTATTTGTGGTATATCTGAAGAGTTCGTTCTATTCCTTGCTAGGGCAGTAGGGGTATTTGGACTACTACTCTAGAGTATATTGTGGTATTAGGGATCACACATCCGAGCCTTTTAAGTTATGCCACCATACTCTCGGCCTTCACGTATGTTTCCTACTGGCAGTGGTCATTTATCGCATGGCAGATTCTTAGCAGGTGGTGTTAGTCTTGCTGCAGCCTTTGTCTTAGCTTTGTGCCCTTGTTGGGCCCTTGTTGGTGGTGCGGTTGGCCCTCTCAGGGACTCTGGCACCCACTATGAAGCCCAGTGGTTGCCATGATGTTTTACTTGAGAGAAATAGCTGACTTTCACAATAGCTGGCTTTCACAATAGCTGGCTTTCACAATAGCTGGCTTTCACCGGCAAACAATGGCTTTGTTGTAGACACACTAGCATGTGGTGCTCATTTGCAAGTCAGATGGGAAGTTTGTCAAGTTTTCTTGTGACCCAGGAAAGGACCCTGTCATTGTGCGGCTTGTAGCTGCTGCGTATGCTCACATTGTCATGTCAGTTGGAGCTTGTGCAAACTTTGCCCTGAGGGCAAGCCAAGTTTGGCGCACGCAGCACGGGTTTTGTTCTACACTTGGCCTGCCCTTAGGAATCTATTAGGGTCACTTCAGGAGGAAATAATTATAAAATGCACATCGACAGTTGCCAACATGTGGTGGAAACGGCTCTAAAAGCCCTGAAACCCTGTGGTGTGCACTCGTGTTGAGGTGATCATATCACACGCACAGTATCACTATCAGTGATCCATGGTGATCGGTGGAAAGCTATTTTCGGGCCCACCTACCTCGCGCCAAGCTGGGATCCAGCGAGTAGGGTATTATACCGTGCGTCCAGCGGCTGTACTGGTCCGAGCTGATCTGCCGGCTACTTCTCGTGCCTGCAAGCGACGATCCGTGTGCTAAGTTATGTGAAAGATACAGAAAGGTCGAAGGAGAACCACACCGAAACAACGTCAGATCACCCAACTATTATTATATTAAAACTTCCAAGGATATTCATAACACGCATTGGGCTCTTTATCAGACTAAATCCGCTGCAGAACACAGGGATGCTAGGTTTGTTGGCAGCCTGAGCCCGGTAGTGCCGAACTTTTTTGTTTTCTTTTGTTTTCCGCACGGAATCCCTGTGGGGAGGCTTGAGAGTGGTATTGAAGTTTCAAGATGCCCTACATCCACCTGAGTGAAACAGGGCTTAGTCAACAAGGACAGGACACACATTCGTGAAATCTGACATGCATGGCTCGGGTGAGATCCGCGGCCGCGGCTGTAGTTTAGATTCTTGGCTCTGGCAGGCACCGGCATCCGAATCCTGGAGAAGTGCCACAGGAATGCATTGAGCGGGCGAAGTCTTTTCAGGCTTCGAGAAGTTCGCCAAGGGTTTCAATTATCGACCAGTTGTTCAGGTTTTTCTCTAGGGCTAAGCCTAGCGCTAATACTGTGCCAGGTGACCTGTGGGTCCTTTGTTCGTGGTCAGTATTCAATGATGCCGTCTACAAGGCATTACTAGGACGTGATCATTGTATTCTCAGTCATGGCACTGCGTCGTTGTTGTTGTCACTGCACATACTGCATGACACATACTACTATCCGGTAGTGTAGTGGCGAAGAATAGCACAAATGCCACGATGCCATGTACCACTTGCAATCAACATAGGTACATGTACATGTATGGCGAAGAGTCGCCTGCTAAAATAATAAAAAGGCAACACATCTTGCACTTGCTTCACACGTGGAGCAAACATGTGGAGCTAGTGCAGAAAGAATTTGTGCACAAGCTGAAGTCAAGATGCCTTTCATCACGTAAGTAACGGAGTACAAGTACGAGTCCGTACTGGGCTGCAGTAATTTTCACCTCAGGCAAATACTTGCGCGTGTTTTTGCTCCTTTGTTGATTTCCATAGCCCTAGCCCCGCCAGTTGCACCTGTGGCATCCACGTGAGTCCGATGCTGCCAAAGACTACGAGGTGGAAATCCCACCACGCAGCATTGCTACCCTATGAAGACCGCAGAATGCAACGGAAGGATGGCGCTTGTGCGCGGCACGTTTGGTCTATTCAGCCAAACAGATCAGACCGAAGCCAAAGCGTCGGTGTACAATGACTCCTGAATGAGTTTGGAACGCTGAGGCCGGACCGGGGGTGATTCACAGCGGCTCAGAAACGTGGAAATGCGGACGAAAATCTACGAAACGTGGACACGCATATAGTGCCTACACTTATGTAACTAATTACTTATGGGTTACGCTGGTGGTCCCACGTGGATGACACTCTGACAGAACCATCTCTGCTCATGGAACTGTGTACCAGTGCGAGCTGGGCCGTCAGCAACCAGATGGCGATTCGCAAGCACAGATCTTGGAACATCAGAGCTGTGACAGGCGTGGCGGATTCCAAAGGTTGCCGGAGCGTTGCCGCACATGCACAGTCCGCTTCGTTAGTCTCTCGTCTCGATCATCCGTGAAGATAATGAAGATAATCGGCAGTTGACCAACATGCTATCACCAATGGCTCCACTCAGGTTTCTGCCAGCACAACAGCGATCATCCGTACTCCTGACTCAACGACGATGCGTACAAGATAACAAGTTCTGGAGAACACCGCATACCAATATCGCCGAGTGTGGAAATGTCGAAAGGTGCCGATAGGAGGCACCGGACCCTTCTCAACATCACCACTCAATATTGGGGCTATGAGATAAGCGATGTATTGACACTGACAGGGTATCAAGCACACATTCATGATGAATGACTTCAGCTAATATTATTTTTATCCTATAGCACGACATGAGACAGTGGTCGGGGAATTGCTCGCATAAGAGACCGATACCAACAATTAGGAGTTGGGGGTGCATTGCCAGCGTTTTTGTGGGGCCCTCCAATGCTCCGGTACGCGGTACTGGTTTTGCCTCGCAGGGGGCCGTTGGAATGGTATGCTGGGTCTGACGTGGCGGTAGGCATGACTGAGATGCGCTGGACAGCTACTGTGACGTGGCGAGCCAGTGCTTCTACTGGCGCATAGCACAGAACGGGCAGGCTTTGGCCCGCAGGAAAGAGTCCTGCTCGTCGCAGAGATCAACACCTCCAGCACGGTGGTCGGCGTGCAGGAAAACGCTGTCCTGGTCGCAATTCCTTTCTGCTTCGCCATCACCCGTGGGCATCCGGCAAGCTGGGACACCTCCCCAACGATACCATGTTTACTTGAATAGAGAACCCCTTTCCCACTGCAACTCTTGTATTGGGCATGACGAATAGCAGTAAACCATGGCCGTAGCGTTGCTTCCTTTTTGGTAATGTCGCACACACGCATGTCTAGGTGGCACCCGAAGCAATGTAGTAAATCGCGTGATGACAGACGCGCGCTGCGCAGAGTCTAGAGAGCTGGTCGCGGCAATATGCCCATATACAAGAGTGTCGGCTTAGGACACATTCACCGTCCTCCAGCTTTGGCAGACATTTGCGAGTGTCGCGCTTTCTGTCACAACACGCCAAGCCAAACTTGCACCCGGCAGGCATATGCGGAGTTTGAGCGCATAGCAGATCAGAGACAGGCCGAATTTAGGCTATAAAAGTATATTAATAATAATAATAATAAACGACCCTTTGCATATTTCGCTACAACTAACATATTCGCCCCACACAGCCTGTAATCTCGCCATACTGTACAATGTACATAGCCTTTCACCAGCATTCCTGGCCTGTCAGCCTTTTCTCCATTCGTGCACGTGACATGTAGCCGCGGCAGGGGTACTCTCTCTGTTGTCTCCGCCGTTCTCCGGAATCCCGCTGAGCACTGGACATCAGTAGGGCACAGGAGTGCTGCAGAATGCACGCAGCGGCTCGTGATACTTAGCGGTGGTGATACACAATCATATTAGGTCTTCTGGGGAACTGAAAGCTCTTTTCCCTAACTTCCCACTACTCCATCTCTGGTCGTCTGGAGCTGGTGACACTATCATGACTAAGTAACCTCTATCGGTGGTCGGGCCGGCACAAAGAAATAACAGCAAGTCTTTTCAGGGCGCGACCGCGGAATGAAATCAAAAGGCCAAGTCCGTCAATACCTAGGTTCAGGTTTTGAATGGAATCTGAATCGCACTACGGGCACAATCATGTACAATGTATGTCACACCAAAGTGCGTGCGCGACTTTCACGTCTTCGTAACTACTTTCTAAAGTAATCAGGTGAACATTGCCAGACTTCACAGAATTCTACTTACCTCTGAGAGAGCAGATGTCGGTTCTTCTGCTGCTGGTGCTGCTACTGGCGCGTTGAGATTGCGGCGTAGGCGCTGCAATACATCCGTATGGGAGTACACAGCATATGCATAGGGCTAGTAGAAGCTGGTGCGTCACTCTGGCCGAGTTGAGGAGTATCACTGTTGTTGCCTGCATGGTCGAAGATTATCCGAGATAGGGTTTGCTAGTCTAGGTTTGTCCCAAGTCTCTAGCAGATAGCAATAAACGATCCACCCAGCACAACGCACTCGCTGACTTCACACTGCGTGTCGTTCCACTGACATGCGCGAATCATTCACACCAATATGCAAAATCAGTTGATCTCTCTCACTTGGCCCGGCGCTGGGAACTGAGGCGCCGGTGTCGAGGTCGCAGCCTATTATAAGCTTGGAATCGATTCGCCACTGACAAGTCCCCCATCTCACTGTCACTGATTAGTCGTGCATAAGCGGCGTACTGGAATGTGTATTTTGGCCACTCGCTGCGTGCAGGCCGTACTGTGTTAGTCTGTAACCTTTATTGCCGTCCCAAGCAGCAGCAGCAGCAGCAGCAGTAGCGGCAGCAGCCTGACTCTGAGCTTGAGTGATCGGACCCTTGCAGAAGCTCAGCACGCGCGCATCCATGGCGAAAGACGTGAGTAGCCAAGGGCGAATCGCACCTTGCGGGGGCCTCAGCCTCTAGCCGTGGCTTTAGCGTGGAGTTGTAGATTTTTTCATATCACTGCCATCATCGACTATTCACCTGTGGAAATGACTAGCATTCCCTGCGCTTCGCGTGACTGACGCGGGCAAGCCTGGACAGAATGCAGGGCAGTTGGGAAATGCAATGGTTTCAGTGCTGATCGTACAGGTGGAACATGCGCCGGGTCTTGGATAGGTCTTTGTTTGTAAGATTTATTACTCTGCACCTTGATCAAGCAAGGTAGGCACGAGTGGAAATAAAAGTGAAGGCAACAGCTACAATGCATATGCATCGCGTGGTTCGCTTAGCTTCTGTATTTCCTGCTTTCTACTGGGTACATGATTGTATTGGATTTTATAAACGCGAACACTGCATTTCCTCCGTAGTCTTGGAGACGCGCTTTCACTTTTACTTCGCGATCAGGTGATGACCGAGTGGTGGTACTGGATCCGAGGCCGCTGTAATGACGTCACAATGGCTCCATTCGTCCGTCACAGCGAGTATGCGGGGCGACGGAGCTGAGTGTTGGGATTTGATCGATGAAAAGCGGCCCATGGTCCCAGGGCATACATGACGATCATCTCCGTGCTGCTTCGTCAGGTTCCTGTCAGGCTGCGCATTGTCGAAATTTCCTTTCGTGCCCTAGAGCATGGAGTTGGGTCCACTGCTGTAAGAGTGTCTAAGAGAATGGCGGAGATTAGGTAATATTCCCTTTCGGGTACGTCCAACTCCGGGGAGGCCAACCACCACGCACCATGGTCCTAACAGGTCTCCACTTTGTACTGTATCCATAGCTGTCTGTTTGAGAAGTTCAAGGTCACCGTGATCAGATTATCACTCATGAGAAGGTCTCTGTGGCGGACATTTAGATCAGTCGGTCTGAGAAGGGCGAGATTTACAACATGACTGTCTGCACACTTCAGTGAATGTGTGACAACACTGACAAGATCTCCGGGCAAGCTGATTGAGGTGTCGTCAATGATTTAACTGTTGGACCTGACGATTGGCACCGCGCGCCCTGCAGGACGTTCGAGAAGCTATTTTGGAAAGTGCTCTCGATCTCGCTGATCTGGCCTCCCGCAGTCCTTTCAGCTCTTTTGATCTCGCTGCCGCCTGAGAAAAGCGGGCACTGGTGAAATACATCTCCAATGCCGTCAAGCGTGATGCAATGTTGTTAACATGTTTCTCCTTCGTCCTTCCAGCCATATGACGCACATCACTGTGTGGCGGCTCACAGAATCGGGGGACAATTGTCCCCACACCAGCATGACACCGAGAAACAGTGGTACACAAATGGCAACAACACACTTACTAGCCCCGACGCTCGCTCGCACTCATCATGATCGGAGTGATTTGTAGCAAAACATCTTTAAGTACCGCTTTGTGAAAGTGCCAACATGGGCTGGTCCAGTTGATTCACCAACGAAAGATGTCCATGGCCGCGGACCGTTGCGCAGAGGACTTATACGCGTTGGGGGCAAACTACGGTGCATGGCGGGGAAGCGCACTCCGATCACGAATGGAGGATTCAGTCACAACTCGCAACGCACCATGACAGCGTCGAATACTACACTGGTTTCCTGTGTTTGTTGCACTGGCGAATTAGTAGTAATGACATTACTAATAATTGTGTGAAACGATAGTTTGTTTTGTGCTTTAACGAAAAGTTACACGGTACAATGTTTACTCTGCATCCAGTGTGAGGTGTTGCGGGGCGTCACAAACAGAACCACGCGTGCAGGGCTGTACCCGTACTGTGGGGTATACTGTCCAACTTTGTCTGTGAGTCTTGTATGTCGCACAGTGGACACCATGCCGCCTTGCCCAGAATATACATGTACATGTATAGGTTTGCCGATGACCGGATACGTGATCTTGAAATGGCCCTGAGTACGTTTGGAGTCCTCATGCCATGGTTCTTCTACATTTCGCCATATTCGGCTCCTAGTGGCGATTGCCATGTAGCTTGGGAACACATTCTCCACACAGCAGGTTTCTGCCTGAGTCACTAGTGATGTTCTACTGGTCACGTGTTCTCTGGGTTACCTATCTACGCTGTCCATCTGTTCACCTTCGCTGCATTCCTATTAGTCGGACAGTGGAAATGTACCAGGGGAGTTGCCACTATCCATGCGAACGTAGTATCATTCACGAGTGGGACGCGTTCGTTCGTAAGCCAGTCCGTATGGTAGCTTGGTAATCATGGTAATTGGCTCTTTCGGCGTGGGCAAGCCTTGACAACTGGTGGCGGATGAAAATAAGGAACTCCCCGAGCTGTGAGTAACATTTCGCCGCAGATCATCCGAACAGAGAACGTCGTGACATCCCGACATGTCTCTGGAGCGATCTTGGTGTTGTAGCATCATTCTGGATCGCAGAGGGGCTGCAACAGCATGTCGATGACTTGACATTAGAACACTGTGCTTGTAAGGGAATTGCTTGTAGCCAGCAAGCAACTCCCCCTTGCGAGAACCGTGGAGTTTAGGCGAGGTACACATGTGGACAATGCATGTTGATAAATACAGCTCCAATGCCGACTAGTAGTGTTGCCTCACACTTGTAAAGGTCATCCTTTCTCCGAGGAGCTTGCACGTACAAGTACCGATGTAAGCGCAGTCCCATTTGTTTTCAGAAGCACTGAGTTTCCTTTCTGTTAACCTTTCACCAGAAATTTATCCTGCATGCGGATGCACGCCTCAATAGGGCACGCAAGTACACGCTAAGACACGAGATTGACCCGAAATGCTGAGGTAATCGCGTCTACCGATGCTCTAAGTTGTCTGTAGACTTGATCCGAAAAACACCCAACACAACACATTCATCACTCAGGGGCGGTGGAAACGCTGGTGAAATCTATTCTAAAAAACCCTTCCAGAGACTGCTTTTGAACTTCGCTATTGTGAAGATGTCGCTCTTACAACGCCATCGGTCACTTGACACAAGATTGGTCTGCAGCTGCGGGCGGGTGGAGGCGTCTCCCGGACGCTTTTAGAGTGCACAGTGGATCAAAACAACAACGATTCAGAAATGATTACGTTTTATCGTACTTCCGACTGCCTAAATACGCCTACGCTACAGCGATCCAGGGTCAGCAGTCCGCACGATTTGATTATTTCAAAAGTCGATTCGAATATGGAATCGCTGCACCTGAACGGATCGCATCATTCAGCCTTGGTATTGATCTAATTCTGGACGAGGAAGTTGTCGAAAGTGGTTCCCTATGAAGCATAGACAATTGCGAATACATGCAACTGGATAGTAACTGGATCGAATGCGATGATAAGTTATGCCCGTCTGCAAACAAGTCGAGCCTATCGTTGGCACATGATCTTTGCCAGACACAAGTGTCAATGAAATCGTGATGGTACGAACTACGAAGTGAGAAGTTGCAGCAGTTAACCGTGGTTTACGCGTTCGAATGGGACGGAGTCGATGAGACGCACGGGTGCATTGGTTGCAAGTATTCAGCGGGACATTCACGTACTGGTGGTATCACTGCACCGTGCATCAGTGACGACGATCACTTATATTACACAGAGGAAGTACAAGTATTAATGTAAACTAAGATAGACCACCCACGAGCCCTACTACTAGCATCTTCGGAATAGTCAAAGGTAAGGTCTGAAAGTGAAACAGCTGGGATAGTTACACGGACTTGTACAAAAGTGTCACGAAGATTCGGCCTTCACAGTGAAGTCCCAATTTTGGAGCCGCATAAAAAAAGGTGACCCACCACGGCACCAGTTTGCAAAAGGAAGTGAGAGATTCACGGTCATCCGTGCATGCCACACATCCACATCACATCTGGCTGCCCCCGCTGCGGCGCTGGCGCTACTCATCTGCTGCATGCATGTTACTTAACACTGACTGTATCTGGGTTGGGACTACCTTTCACATGTACAAAAATGATTATGTAGCTCCAAGGCGCTATTGTGTGCTGGTGTCATGTACATTCTGCGTCAGATGAGACAACAACATACATGCAAGTGTCCCGCTGGGCAGGAGTGTGATGCCAACGTGAGACCGCGCGTACAGTGTCATCTCGGTGTCATCTGGAGATGACATTGACATTATCGGGTAGAGCGTGCTATCACTCCT